GGACCCTATCCCAGCCAATCATGGCCCAGACGCTCAAGTGCATGAATGAGATAATAACAATGGAGGTGCGGTCCTTTAACAAATGTTTCGCGGGGTGAGATTTGCCAGGTGGCTTGCTCGGATCAGGGGCGCACTGTGTTGAAGACTGGGGTTCCTGGAAGGACAGCGAACGCCGTGGCTTCTTTGTGTGAACGGGTTCGTTCGTCGGCGCCGTTGGGCGCCCGGGGCAGCATCCACGAGATGGCTTGGGCCCAGAATGGGCCATGAGTGCTTGTGGGGGTGGCGGAGTCGTCGTCAAGATCCGATGTCTCACCAAGCAGGAACGGACACAACGGTGAGCGAGCGGCGAGGCGGTGATGGCCCGGCCCACGAGTTGGGGGAAGCAGCGCAGACCGCGGGAGCGTGGATGGCCCACACGAACCACACCATTGGGACTCCCGTAGGGCTGGGGGCCGGTTCTCCTCGTGGGTCTCGGTCTCCTGGCCGAACTTGATGGCGTCGGGCTGGACCCTGCCTTCCGAAACTTGAGTACAGAGGTAGTTAGTGTGTTAGTGTAGACAGCAATGCAGCAATCCAGCAAGACGAGTCAGCCATTGCTGCAGGGACGAGGTGCAGCTCGGTTGGTGAGGAGCGCGACGTGTTCTCTTTCTAGTTCTGACCGGCTTGTGTTCCGCCCGCGGTTGCTGACCACCATCACCGCCGCCACGGAACCGGTCGGATGGGAACTGGCGGTGGCTGGCGAGGCGAGATGGCGCCAAAGCTTGGCGTGGATAGTCCGGCTGTTGAACAAGGACGGCAAGACACTTACTTCTGCATCCGGAGTTGAAGCTATGGAGAAACTTTGCCGAGCTACGAAGTACGTCGTTATGTGCTGTGCCTCGAAGCCGAGTGGTCCTTGGAGAACTCGTGCAGCCCGCGACACTCGCCCGGCTCCCCGATCGCGGTGTAACTCTGCTGCTATCACAAGCCGCCCACCCTGAAGTCGGTACAGAGAAGTAGACCCTTCGAGGACCAAACTTGCACCGCGATGTCCCGTTGCACTGCTCGTTTGTCCAACACCACCCCTCGTTCTCTCGGCCAATGGCTTCTCAGCTCAACACCCGCGCACAACATCGGTCCTCGGCACCCTCGGGGATACCACCATGGCACAAATCGGCGACCATTATGCGGGAAATGCACGACAGCATCACCACATGCGACGGTGGCTATTTTGCGCTGATAGTTTGCGGATGGCCGCATGGTGCCCCAGCCAGTGTCGGTGTTTACAAGGGGAATTTTCAGGGCGCACCGTGACCAGCGTGACAAACCCGGAAGGATGGGTCGATGCATGGGGCCTTGTTGCTTGGCGGACTTGCCAACAATCATATTGCAGGGTTGGAACCGAGCAATGCCCTGATCTGCAACTGATCAGAGATGCGATACGATGGGATGGCACTGATGGGCTCGAATGGGAGGGGAGAGTGACATCCATGGTGCGAAGAATGTCATCATTCTCAGACGAAACAAAGCTGGACCCGACCGAATGCAACCGTGACGTGCCGTCGCCCATCGGTTGCATGGTGGCAGTTCCTCATGGTCCCAAGACCAAGGTCGCAGTGTTGCACCGCCCCCTACCCGAAGATGCTGTCGTTCTTTTTTTGGATTTTACCTTTTCCTCTCTCCCCACACCAAACAGCGGGGACGACCGAGGAGGGGAGGGTAGCGCCCCACCGGGCGTAAAAGACACCATTGAGGCGCGGGGGCATCTGCCGGCTCAGCCACGGCTAGTCCCGATCTGGTTTGTTCCATCGAGCCGACTTTGGCGCGCGACGCCGATCATGTTGGGAACTTTGCTCGCCTTCGACTTTCTCCAAGGCGGCTTCGCTTTGTTGCTGGAATCACTTTGACATTTCGACATTTCGACACGACAAAAACCAAAATGGGTGGGAATTAACGACAGGGCTCTGGAAGGACATGGCGATGGTAGTTTTATTTCGTACTCACCGCTTCTCTCTGCCTCTTTTCTGCACATTGAAGCAGGGATCTGCAAAGTCACTCTCCTCTGCATCCACACAGGACATGCTGTTTCTTTCTCCCACACGACTTGGTGTCCACGTCGTTTACCAAGGTATACGCCGCTGTCTCGCCGGGCCTGAATGGCGAGGCCGTGGCACTGGAACCAACAGCGAAGCCCGTGACATCTGCCGGGCGGGACGGGAGCACCGTGCCACCGGGAAAGAATTGGCCGGTCCGGCCCCTTTGCAAGCAACATTGGATGTAACTAACACGAAATCTGTAACAACTTGAGAGCCAACCCAACCCAACAACAGACCAACAGGCCAACAGGTCAACCCACGAATTGGGATCACCAACTCAAGACGGCATGTTTCGTGCCGTGGCCGTTCCTGGCTCGCACGTTTTCCAACGCCTGGACGGGTGAATTACCCTGTTACACTCATTTCAACATTCTGCTTTTTCTTGGGGTTGATGACGGAAGACAACAAACTGGCATGGTTTACTGGCATGGTTTCAATACTGCACTAAAAAGCTTGGTTGGATGGGGGGGATCAGAACAATCTCTCGCAAAATGCTTGTGGGCCGTGGTCCTGTCTCACCCCACAATCAAACTCCTCCGCGGTCGGCAACGAAAATTTGAAGGGTTTCCCTGTGGACACAGCGGGGACCAGCAAACGCAAACCCCACGTGCACAAGGCTCTCTTCTCCAACTCATTACCGATGCAGCAAACTGACTGGACGAAATACGAAGAACCGATCTCTCCTTGTGGGTCGCCAACTGCTTTTTCCTGTGGTGCGAAGAAAAGAATTGATGGGTCCTCGAGACAGAATTCCCATCTCTCGTCGAAAATGCTCGTCACCGAGTGTGAAACTGCGCCCACAGTTAGTTTCAACTGCAAGCGCGTGCGATGCACCTTTGCCAAGAAATGTCTTCGATGCAGAGAGCGCATGCAAACCACAAGCCACGATTCACACCGTTTCGTTCTGCTTTCCGGTGGGAGGGCTGTCCCAATGCGGCCAGGATAAGGCTGTGCACCTGCACGGTGATCACCCTGACTCCCGATTCTTGGCCGCCATTGGCCTGCCCCGACAGAAAAATGCACCAAGTGCAGCAAATGCAGCCAGCAAGTGGTGAAAAGCCCCCAATTCTTGAGTGAGTTGGGCAAGCCAGGAACCGGGCACGGCAAGCAGGAACCTTAATCATCAACCAGCAGATCGGGATTGCGCAGCACGCAGCACGCAGCACCACGCAGCAACCGAGTAACTGAGTACTGCACAAATTGGAAAAGTAAAAATATCTTCGGGACATCTGGCATGCAATGATGCAACCAAGATACAGTCCCTGCGGCACCGCCAGAGCCTCCACAACATCCCACCGCGTCGCTCCACCAGACCACAACCGGCTGCTTTCTCCGAAGCAAGGGGTCAAGGGTTGACAGACGGCTCTCTTACAGGTGCTAGCCATACACAGTCGCGACCTCCCGTGGCCGCAGTCAATGAGTGGATGCCCGCGACCTCGGTGGAGGTGTTTGGTGGCCGTCGTGCGGGCGGGGGGTGAGGGGACCTCCCTACACTAGGTAGTTACGGAGTAACTTGAGAGGGGGGGAGAGAGGCCCCCTTCTTCGAGTCAATTCCGAGGGTTTGCACCTCTCTCGTCTTCTCAGGGGACATCAGACAGCAGAGCAGACAGCAGACAGACACACGCGAGATGCAGGTGGACTGCATCGGGAAATCGATGCTTGGCTGCTGCGGCCCTCCCGGTCGCTTGAGTGGCTCTCTTAAGCAGCCGGGGAGAAGAAGCAAAGACAACAACGCCGGACGAATGATTTTTCAGGGGGTTTACAGGAGAAATCGGTCATGCTCCCCAGGAGCGAGATTCCCCCCTGACTCCCACAGCATCTCCATGTTGAAGCGGTCTGTGAAGGCACTGACATCAACATCGTGCCGAGCGCGCGTGGTGACGCAGTGAACGGGATGCTCAGAGTTATTGGTGGTGCCAATAATGCGGGGCCGAGAAACAGAAAATGACGAGAGGCGTGTGGGGGAGGAAAGTACCCGGCCAGGAAACCCGGCCAGGACGAGCATGATTGTTTCAGTCGTGGGTGGTTGAACACGCGCGGGAAGAGATGGCCGCGGGCTGGCCCCCGCTGGCTTTGGCTTCGTGGTGCCGAATCGTCCCTCGCCGCTTGTTGTCTGTGCTGTCTGGCCTGTCGATACCGCGAGGCCCGTCTCTCCCTCTCCCTGGCTGCCGCGGACGCAGTCGAGGGCCCACCCGCACGTCAAGCACACCTCAAGCCGCCTTCGAGCTCTCCGCCCAGTCGCTTACCCCTGTCGAACATCCACGCCAACCACAGGCTGGGACCGCGGGTGGTGGACTGGCCAGTGGGCGCAGGACTTGCAGGACCTCGTTTTCCAAGAGGGCGCCAATGTACCAATGTACCTCCGTACCTGGGTCACATCCAACCCCCCTGTCACCCGAGCCCAAACGCAGCCCCATGTCACCCAAGGTATCCCTGTACCGCCTCCTCCCCCCCTGCACCCGCCCGCGCATGCAATGGGTGGACTGAGCCTCGCTCGACTGGGAGCCCTACTGAGAGGGGGGGGACTGGAGATCGTCCTCCACCAGGGCCCGGCCGATGAGATGGCCGCCGGGGCTATTTAGAAACCTCACCCCCCCCAAACAGGTCCGTTCGTCTCACACTCTCTCGCCCTGCATCAAACATCACCAACAACCAAGCCTTGCACACCCACCGCGCCAGACAGTCGCAGCAAGGACTTACAGTACATGACACCCAGGTCCCCACTCTTCCTCCAAGTCGACCAAGCTTTCCACACCAGGGCAACCTTCGGAGAGCTTCGAGAAACATAGACGACGAGCCGAGGACAAGCCTCGAAACTCAGACCCACGCTCACGACCCATAAAGTCGACCAGCTCCGCCCGCAACGAGGCCCATCCAAACAAGGACCCGCCGGCCACCACACGGTTCGGCTCCCTCCCGAAGGAAATCCTCAACAACTCCAACCACAACTCCAACTTGGCATGTGCATGTGGGAAGGTCAGTTGACAGCGAGCCGGTGCGCTGCATAGAGGCTGTGACTGACACGCCTGCTCGTCCTCAGCCTGAGGTTGCGGCTTTCTCGAAATCTCTCACCAAGAGAGCGCCAGCGAGGCCGCCCCCGTCCAACCATAACTTCCTGTCGCGCACATGGCCACCGTCAGCCACTTTGACAACGAAGACTACACCATGACCTATCCAGAGCCACCCCACTACTCGGCAACGACAATGGACCTTGGGCTCTCGCCCGAGCCATACAGCGCCTACCCGCGGTCCGCACACGACTACCCGACGACGATGGGGTACGAGAGCGGCGCCGTCTACGCCGAGGCACCATACATGTACAGCAGCGGGAGGGCATCGCCGGGCACCTACCCCGACGACAGCGACGTGGTGCGCGGGCCGGCTTCAGACCTGAGCATCGCGAGCGCCTCATCGTCCAACATGGGCTCACCGCTGTCAAGCCACGGGCACATGGCGCCAATTCCAGAGTGGGCCTCGGCACCACACGGGCTCGGGGTTACCCCGAGCATCGTCGACCAGGCCGACTATTTCCCCGGCGAGTACTCTTTCACGCCGGGAGCAATTGAGGCCTTCAACCCCCCTCCCTACGACTTTCCGGCCAGCAAAGCGCCAGGATTTGTCGGTGAGTTGTCACAGGTCCCTAGGTCTTCTTGTCTCTCTCCGCGCCCGCCCAGCCACGGCGGGCAGCACGCCCGGGCCCCTCGTGGCTCCATTTCTCCCTCTGTTTCTTGCCATTCTGGATCCACTGTTGTCCCCCCCAAATCACCCTCCAGTCCCGGCCTGGCCCTCGACACACGCCTGGCGCGGCAGACTTCCATGTCTGCATCCCTGGCGTCCACGCCGGCGTCTTCTGCTGTCGCTTCGGGTCTGCTCCTGACGCCGCCTACCACTTCTACTGCCTCTTCCTCTTCGTCTTTCTCGTCTCGCACCGCCTGGGGCAGCCCGCCCGTGGGCTGCGGCTCCCCGGCGCCCCGCAGTGCGCCCAGCTCCCGCTTGGTCTCTTCTTTCTTTTCTCAGTCTAGCGGCCATTTCGTTCCTCCTCTCGAATCTTGTTGGTTTCCTCTCTTGTCGCCACGCGAAACCCCACCGCACGGCCCGCTTGCTGACACCATCCCCGTCCCCGCAGATCCCTCGCTCATCCACCCAGACGTCAGGCCCATGGCGATGCCCTATGAGCCGTCCTACCCGGCGCCGCCCAACTCCGGGTACCCCACCTCGCCCTCCCTCTCGGTTTCCGCGTCGCCTCAGCTCCGGCCCGGCAGCACCTCCCCGTTCCTGCATAATAGTAATTACCAGCCCTACTCTCCGTTCCAGCCGCCCGTCGACGCCCAGCGCCGCGGGAGCCTCGTGTCGTACCAGTCCAACTTCTCCGGCGAGCAGCCGTTCAGCGGCGATGAGTCGAGAGAGAAGCAGCGCTGCCCCCATCCGGACTGCGGCAAGGCCTTCAAGGACCTCAAGGCGCACATGCTCACCCACCAAACCGAGCGGCCCGAGAAGTGCCCCATCACGACGTGCGAGTACCACGTGAAGGGCTTTGCGAGGAAGTGAGTGTCACCCCATCTCTACCCCGCCAAGTCGCATTCGGACTCCGATATCTAACCGTGCATCCCACAGATATGACAAGAACCGTCACACACTCACCCACTACAAAGGCACCATGGTGTGCGGCTTCTGCCCGGGCTCCGGCTCCGCGGCCGAGAAGTCGTTCAACCGCGCCGACGTGTTCAAGAGGCACTTGACAGCCGTGCACGGCGTCGAGCAGACCCCGCCCAACAGCCGCAAGAAGACGGCGGGCGCCAGCAACGGCAGTGCGAAGCTTACGGGGTACGCGCCCGACGCGACCGGCAAGTGCTCGACATGCTCGCAGACCTTCAGCAACGCCCAGGACTTCTACGAGCATCTCGACGACTGCGTGCTGCGCATCGTGCAGCAGGAGGACCCGGCCGAGGCCATCAACGCCCAGCGCCTGGCCGAGGTCGAGAACGACCGGGACGTGCACAACACGCTCGAGAAGAACCACCTCCCGACCACCACCATGACCACCACCGAGGATGCCGACGAAGACGACGAGAACATGGACGAGGACGAGTACGACGACGAGCTCAAGGGCCGCGGCGGCAAGGGGCTGCTCTCCTCCCCGAGGCGGTCCAAGGGCGGCAACCCTATCAACGGCGTCCAAAAGTCGCGCGGCCTCACCCACTCGCGCGGCGGCGTCCCTCTCCAAAACCCAAAGAGCCGCGGCCGCAAGAACAGGCGCGACTACCCTTCCTCGTGGGGCTTCGACAAGGGCCAGATGACCATGAAGAAGCGGGTCATGGCCGTCTTCGACGGGCAGCGGCGCCTGGCCAAGGACGACATGATGCTGTCGACCGAGCAGGAGGTGCGCATCAAGCTCCAGGACGGCAAGTCCTACGTGACCGACCTCGACATGCAGACGCTCAAGCGTGCCGAGGGCTTCCTCGGCGCTACCGACGAGGAGAAGGGGCCGTGGATCTCGGATGACCCGACCGAGGAGCAGCTCAAGCAGATGCTCGAGTACCCCGAGGCGCCGGTTGCCGCGGCGCAGTGAAGGAAAATCCCCCAACCAACCAACCAACCAACCACCCACCCCGCGCACGATGATGAAGGAACACAAACCTCCCCGCTTTGATACCCAAAACCTATCATACTATAAACACCATCACCAGCCACTTGTGACATAATAATCACACCTGTACTTAATATTCTCGGCCTCCTCTTTTTTTTTCTTTCTCCCTCCCTCTTTTTCCGGCGAACCACATTGGACACGGGCCGGACAGTATCAAATCAAAGTCAAATACAACCAGTGGAACAAGACCACATGAGTCTCTGGCGGCGCGTTTGGGCGGACTGGAAGTGGATTCAATACATGTGGCGTGCGGGAACTTTCTTGTTTTCTCTTCCTTACCTCTTTTCTTTATTTTTATATTTCTTTCTTTTCTTTTTTTTTGTCCTCTCTGCTTCAGACTTGGGAAAAGGGACGGATCTAATAATGACTGAATGACTATGGGCCGGGTCGGACGGGTTAGCGGGACTGGGACCGGGCGAGCGGATACAGGCTAGGAGCGTTTCTGCGTCCTTTACTTTTCTATTGAGACTACTATCCCTCTTGTGTTTTGTTCGCTTTCTCTCTTCCTCTTCACCACTTGCTTGCTTGACTGCAGAGCGGTGGAAAACGATACCCTGTCTCATCACCATCCACTACTACTACTCGATTTACGTTTGTTGCTTTGGCTTCGCGCGAGTTCGGGCGCTGAACGATATGGGATCGGATGTTGGATTAATTTGAAAGTCGTGTGCTCTCTCTATTTCTCTGACTTGGAGATTTGCTAGAGGTATAGAACCGTGTTAAAATGAAAAGGTTACCTACTTATCCCTGGTCAACTCGATTTGATTGTGACGTGTGCGTTCTGTGACTGCCCCTTGACTCAGGTCTCGCCCGGCTCAGTACCGTCACATCGCCCACCCCACCAAAGAGAATTCTTGGCTCTATCGGCTTCGGTGGGGCTAGATCGACGTAATATGTTCGTGTAAGTCGCTGCATGCGATTCGGACGATAAGTCGATTCCAAAGGTGAGACGACGGACCGTTCAACACCGAAACGGGTGAAAGATACGGAAAAGCTTGTATCGAAAGGGAGGGACTCGGCAATTACCTTGTTCCATACGTACCTATTCTGTATCACGTCTCAAGTCGTCGTCACCCCCACCTCGATAGACATGCTTTCTTTGCGCCGTCGTGCTCTTTTTTCCTTTCTTTTTCTTTCCCACCTCTTTTACCCCATACTTCATAACCGGTGCTGTAATCCATCAACTTGTCATCAGTTCGATTTCCTCCGGAGCAGTGTCGCGTGAGAAACTAAAGTTTCATGGCCCTCACCCACCGGCTCTCGCTCACCGGTCCAGACCCGACGGACCCCGAAGGTACGTCAAATCCGCGCTCTTTGTTTCCCCACCACCTCGCCCGGTGGTGGTGGCCTAGCAGGCGGCTCCTATAACGGCGCATACTTCAAAAGCGCCCCGATCAGGAGAGAAACCCCCCCCTAACCCCAAAACCCCAACCAACGCAGACTTCCTCAGCGCCTCGCTGGGCGTCATCTTCCCCGACGACGTGACCAACCAGCACGGCGACGCGGAGCACGGGCTGCTGTACACGTCGCCGCACCTTCCGCGCCCCGTCGCGCTCGCGCTCGCCGACGTCCAGTCCGAGTCCGACCGCGTCCTGTGGAGCCACTGCCTCTGGAACTCGTCGCTGCTGCTGGCGGAGCTCGTCGAGGCGGGCACCCTCGGCTTGGGCGGCGAGGATCGCGGTGGTGATTGTGATGGTGACGGTGGTATTCCCTGGGATGGTGGCGTTGCGCCGCCCCTGAGGGGGTTTGATGTTTCTGGTTTGAGCGTGATGGAATTGGGTGCTGGCACGGCGCTGCCGTCGATCATGGCGGGGCTGTTGGGCGCGAAGAGGGTCGTGGTGACGGATTATCCGGCGCCGGCGGTGCTGAAAACCCTGAAGGGCAACATTGCTGCGTCGGTCAAGAAGGAGCTCGCGCCGGCCGGGAGGTTCGCGGTCGAGGAGGTGTTGGCCGGGGCCCACGGGTGGGGCGAGTTGGACACGCCGCTTGCGCTCGAGAATAAGCATGCCATTGACCGGGTGATCGCGGCGGACTGCTTGTGGATGCCGTGGCAGCATGAGAATCTAAGGCGGTCGATCGCGTGGTTCCTCGGCCAAGGGGAGGACGCCAGGGCGTGGGTCGTCGCTGGGTTCCATACGACACGGGACACAATGCGTGCCTTCTTCGAGACGGAGGCGCTCGCAGCGGTTGGACTCGAGGTGGAGCATATGTGGGAGCGTGACTGCGACGGGCAGGACCGTGAGTGGGCCTGGGACCGCGGTATTGAAGACGTGAGCCTGCGGAAGCGATGGTTGGCGGTGGGTGTGTTGAAGAGGATACGGAAGCCTGTCGGGGAGGGCGAGGGGGGCCTGTGATAGGCGAGAGGGAAACCGTAGACTTGAATCGAGTTTTGTTCAGCTCCGGCCGATTTCGGGTCGTGTATTCTGTAGCCGGACTTGGGCTTGACCATCACCCAGTAAACGTTGAGGGAGGCGAAGGGGGGGCGTCGTGCCCTTATATACACTCAGCATGCTCCCGGGCACCGCGGCAATCAAAGCAACCATGGCTGACATCTCATGCTTCAGCTGATGCATGGTTCATTCAGCTCAGAGGACGAACTTAACTCGATTGGGCAACGCTTGACTCGTGGCGTGGACGCTGATTCTTCCATGGGCATGCCAACGGACCAACCCGGCCCCATGCTGACACGGGCCGAATATTGACCACAGAGCTTGCCCCGATGGAGAAGCGAGCTCGAAACCCATGGGAACTCCTGCCAGATGCCGGCTGAACCTGGTCACCGGGGGGTGTGTTGGGGACACACGGAGGGGACATGACTCGGTTTCAGCAAGCAGTAGAATCATCATGCCATGCTCGTTAGTTACCTGTTGGATTATGTCTTCTCGATTATCGGTTCACGATTGATCGGCAAGGGGACGGTTGTTCAGAGCCAACGCCCTTCGGCTACGAGAGGTCAGCAACCTCACTTCTCCACCCGAATCCACCGGGGCTGCTCTGGTCCAGCATTGTCATGCCGGAGGCTATGCATATTTCAAGGACCACTTTGCGCACAGCCTTCACCTGTTCAACCGTGGCACCGCCATTGAGGGCACCCCTAAGATGACCCTTGAGCTGGGGGTTCACGTCCTGGGGTATCAAGCCGGCGATCATGACGAAGGAAGTTTCGGCCGCGCTGAGCACGCTGGTGTTGCTCAGGACATAGCCATACATGAGGCGCGCCACGAGCCCAAGGTCCTCGGTGCCGGAACGATCCATTTGGCCCATGACTCTTTTCGTAATCTTGCCGTAGACAGCCTCAAAGAAAGTTTGGCCGCGCTGCATGATCTGGGGGGCGGGCGTGTCGTAAATGTCTGCGCGACGCCCGGTTGGAGAGGAGGCTCCAGGCTCATCGAGTTGGTCTTCCGGTGTTACCTTTTTGAGCTCGAGCAGCGCGTTGATTGTCTGGGGCGGGAATCAGCCAAGGTGTCGGTCCATCGTCGTTTTATTTGAGAGAAGATTGGTGGCAGAGTATTATTACCCTTGGAACACCACCGACTGCGGCAGCTTTGATGAGGGCTTCACGCATCCGGCGAGAGACACGTAACTTCTCATCATGGCTCGGAGTATTATCGTCTGAGTCGTGCCGTAAGGCGTGTTGATAGACTTTGGAGATCTCATCGGGTCGGTTTAATTGGCAAAGCGTTGTGGCTGCAATAAAGTACCAGGTGTGTCTTGGCAGATTTGGAGGGTTGCGGATCGAAGAAAGGAGAGCGGGTGTGATGATGGCGGGGAGTGAACCCATGGTGGCTATCAGGAATAAAATGTGATAATGAAAAATGAAATTTAAACAACTTGTAAATGACTTGGAGCTAAGTTGCTTACATTTACCTTGCCTGTAAAGTGGGAGGAAGGACCACATCTCCAGACGTTCTTTCTCGGTCTTCCTCACAAGTTGCACCGCCACTTTCATATTTCGTTCCTCTTCGTGCCTTCGGAGCTTAGCCAAACCCGAAACAGGCAAAGTGTGGCTGATACACCCCACATGCTGCGTCACCCCGTTGGCAGCTCAGTGTGTTCCCTTTCCGAATCTCCCAAAGTCGCTTCTAATACACAGTAACGTGGCAACAAGCGAGACAAGGGCCATCATCTTCCACGCCGCATCCCACCTTTCGCTACCCATTGCCGTTGTCTCCGGCGCGATGGACACATGAACCCCCCATCACCATATCTGGATTTTTTTGCCCCGAATTAGCATTTCCACAACAGCCCGCCCATGAAGATGCGGCTCGCGTGGTACGCAGGGGTAAGTTGTCCCGCTGTAGCTCTTGTAATGTACAGATTTAGCTACTTAGTAGCTGCTGCGCCGAGCTCGTCGCCCATCCGAGACTCCCCCACGATGCCCACATCACCATGTCGCAAAACACTGACAATTCTTTCTCTTATAGGCCTCTACGGCTCTCGCGGCCGCCGTGGTCGCGTCTGCCTTTTACCAGCGTGCCAACTTCTACTCGGCCATGGTGCATCTCGCCCAGAGCAGCTTATCCCTGATGGTCCGTTTGCTCCGACCCCTCCCCCGAGCCATCCGCTTGACCTTCAGCCACTGACAATCGGTACTGCAGGTTCTGGTTAACCTCATATTCGTTGTCTACGGATCCTTCATGTACGGCCTCCAGCGACTCTGCTTTGGTCCCCTCCGACCCGCCGAAATCGAACAGCTCTACGAGAAGGGTTGGTTCGCCGTCACCGAGACATGCCTGGCCATGACAATCTTCCGCGACGAGGTGGGCGCCTTCTTCCTCGTCATGTTTACGGCTCTCGTCACTGGCAAGGTTTGGGGTTGGATTGGAGATGGCCGTGTCGAAATCCTCGAGCAACAACCGCCCGCGAACCCGCTCCTCTTCCACGCCCGCCTCAGCCTCTCGCTATTTGTCAGCGTCGCCTACGACATCTGGCTGCTCACCTACGCCGTTGACGCCGTGGTGCAGGAAGCTCGTCCCACTATGATGGTCATGTTCCTGTTCGAGTTTGCCGTCCTGACCGTCACCTCCCTACACACGGTCGCCCGGTACGTCATGTCGCTGGCAGAGCAGCGCGTTATCAAGACCCAGACGCGCCAGCGCTTGGAGGATAGGCGCCGCCAGATCAGGGAGCAGCGTGCCGAGATCCTGAGACGGAGAGAAGCCGAGGGGGCAACAGACGAAAACGAGGAGCTGCCGGATGAGAACGATGTTGATGAGATGGACATCGAGGTACCTGGCTGGGAAGCAAAGGGACAGTGGGTCTTATCGCTGGACTTGGTTGCAGGTAGGTCGATTGGAATTCTGTCGGGACGAAACAAGGCCGCTAACCTCGATTCTAGACTTCATCAAATTCGGGATATACACGGCCTTCTTCTGCGTTCTTATGAGCTTTTACGGCCTCCCCATCCACATCATGAGAGATTGGTTCATGACGACGAGGTCCTTCCTCAAGAGACTCAATGCCCTCTTCCGCTACCGCCAAGCCTTGAAGCACATGGAGCAGTACCCCGACGCTACCGCTGAAGAGCTCGGCCGAGAGGATACCTGCATCATTTGCAGAGAGGAAATGCGCCCTTGGGATCCCGCCGATACCTCTCATGTCGAGCGGAGCCGTGCGAAGAAACTCCCTTGTGGGCATATCTTGCACTTCGGCTGCCTCAAGAGCTGGTTGGAGCGGCAACAGGTGTGTCCGACGTGCCGGCGCCCGGTTGCCAGGGACGGACAGCAGCCGGCCGCTGGCGGCCCTGGGGTTCTTGGAATCTTCCCTGCGGGCCAAAACCGCCAGCTTCAGCCGCCGGCGAACGGCCAGGCAGCCCCCGGTGGTGGCGGCCAACCTGCACAAGGAGGGCAAGGAGGGGGAGCGAATAATAATGCGAATCCGAACGTTAGGATGTTCAATCTCGGCCCTATTAGGTTAGGCTTCGCTCAGGGCGGAGCCGACGAGATCCGGGAAATGGCACAACGGATGCGGGTGCCCCCAGACGCCGTGAACCGGCCTGTGCCGACACCTACCGTCCCAGCACCGCAAGAACACGACATGGGCTCGAACCCGGGTCTCGATCAGCTTCGCGGGCAACTTTTGGCGCTAGGCCAACAAGTCCGGCAAGAGATCATCAATACGCATAATGCAGCGCATGAGGTACAGGTTTTGAGCCTTCTAATGAACGAAATCACCCGCCTCCGTCAATTACAACAGCAGCCGCAAGACCAACAAGCAACACACCCAACCGCCCCAGGTACCCTCCTCGGTGGACAGGCACCTTTACAACATCAACAACATCAACAGCAGGGCTTAGTGAATCCGTTTATGCACCTGCCAATGCAAGGGCCCCTTCAGGTCCCGAATTCCCCGCACCTTGCGGCCGCTAGGCAACCGGCCTCCGTCACTAGACATGTCGCTGCTGGGTACGGAGCGGCCATCCCGGCGGGGAGTTCCGAATTGCCAGACGGTGTTGTTATCCCCCCGGGTTGGTCGTTGCTCCCCCTCCAGCGAATGGATGGTGAAGCACAGCCACCCGAGCCGTCACATCCCCCCCCGGCAGCCGCACAAGACATGCTGCGGTCTGTTTTTGCACACCATCCTCGATCCCGGGGTACCAGTCCCGCCCCCAGCAGTACCCTTTCTGCACAGCTTGGAAGGGCCGCCGCGCCAACAACAGGTAACATTTCAGAAGCCTCTCGACGGCCGGGTTCACAGGGGGGCACATTTCCAGACACAGGTGCCCGCAGGCAACCTCCGGTAGCGGCACCCATTCCTCTAACACCAAACTGGGGGGGTTCCGCGCAGCTTTTTGGCGGCGACCGGGCACCTGGATCCATGTTTGGATATCAAGCCGAGCCACGCCAGGGCCCACAGGGCGAGCCTGTGGAAAGTAGCGGTGATGGCTCGGTGGCGAACGCGTCCACGACAGTGAACGGGGTCGCTTCTGGGGAGAGGAGTGGTGATCAACGGACAGAGGGGACCGAGGTGAACGGGAGTGCCGGCGATAGACGGCCCAGGCCCGTGTCGGTAGAGGAGGCGGATGATGCCGAGGACGAGCGATAGATATCTCCGCCCTTGGGTTATGTCAGAACTTTGTGTGTTTTTTGAGTCTCTCGTAAAGCGAAGCACAGGACAACCGTGTACGGCGTTGGTTTAGGTTTGTATTTTCTACATGTAATATATCCCAGGAACGAAGCTTGGTTGGGACGTTCGAGATATTCTGCGTAGAGGTGACAATGGGATGACTTGACCGAGAAGGCAACTTGATGTCATATCCAAGGCGGGGAGAGCCACCTGCGTTCTTTCCATTCAAAGGGTAGCCAAAGCGGTCGGCGCTGTGGTAGTCACGGCCAGGTCAGTAAAACACGGAAGGCAAACACGATCTCCCCTGACCGGCGTGTCGCCGGCTCCTCGCAATCCCATCACAAACCTGCCTTACCCATCCGATTTGTTAATGTAGAGACAGCAATACCGTTGCCAGCTTCTTAACTATCCAGTTAACGCTTTCGATATCACGTACTGCGTAGCTACGTTACATCCCTAGAGCAGACGGCCTCGCCCTGCTTCTTTCATATATACGATCAATGACCGTAGACCGTCACGTCCAGCCTGAACAGTACAGAATGTTTTCTTCCGGCCATTCAAGCACCAGGCATCCCACCATCCGGGAACCATCCCGCCGCGCCTCCATCATCAACTTCTTCAAGCATCGCAAGAGCAAGGACCACAGCGCCGACTCAACCGACCTCCTCCAGGGGGCGCTAGAGAACCGACTTCCCCAACAAAGCAGCCAGCAACAGACCCAACAACAACAACCCCAATCCCAGCCCCGACACCTCCGCCGCCGCCACCACTCCAAAGCAGCCCCCCTCACCACCAACCCCACCCCCGACTCCCCGCCACCACCACCCAGAACGCTGTACAAACCACACCCCCAACCACCGCACACCAACTTCAGCCTGCCGTCGAACCCGCCCCAGAAGCAGCAGCCGCCGCCGACGTCTTCTTCTCCCACCCCCGGGCCGCGGCCGCCCAGCTCGGACGGCGGCCTCAAGCTGGAATCATCCCCCTCGCTACTACCTCCTGTCCCGCAGCCCTCTCCCCTCACTCCCCCACCCCCTCCCGTGACGAGTTCGGTGAGGTCGTCGTTCGATCCCCGCGCCAGTATCAGGGCGGCGCTGGGGAGGATTTCGTGGTCGGTGGCGCAGGGTGGGAGTGGGGATGAGGTGGGTGTGAGTGCTGTTGCTGGGGGTGGTGGGGGTGGGGGTGAGGCGTCTTGGGGTCGGGGCGGTAAGAAGGGGGGTGGTAAGGATGCGTGGAAGCGGCTGCGGAAGATAAAGCGGAAGGGTAGTAGTGGCGGTGGTGAGGACCGGGGAGGAGGAGGAAGAGGTGGTGGTGGTGGTGGTGACGAGCCTGAGGAGGATAAGGAGGCCGCTGAGAAGAGGAAGGCGGCGGAGGTCAGGGCTTTCAAGGCGCATGAGGCGGCGAGGATCATGACGGCCTCGTGCATGGCCGGTGGTCGGGCCCGGAAGATGAATCGGGGGGCGAACCGGGTTCAGGGGCTGGTTGGTGCGGAGGAAGGGGATGGATCATCAGCTCATGGCGGCGTCGGGCATCGGGCGGGCCAGACTCGGAAGCTGAGTCAGTTCTTGGGGAAGTTTGACCCGTACCCGGAGTTGTACTGGCGTTTGTGGGATAAGGATATCCCTGGCGGCTTGGAAATGGAACCGGCTGGGGAATTGTGGGAAGGCGGCGAGATGGAACGGGCGGGAAGAGGACTGCCGTCTTGGGCGGGCGCCTGAATAGTGGCATGTTTGTTGAGTCCCGCTAGATATACAACTTCTGAATTCTCCAATATCACCGCCCACCCCCTAGATGGCCCAATGGTCACAGTGCGGGTGGTCGAGGCCCCGAGGCCAAAACTCATGGCGTATCTCTCACCTGTCACCGCGAGGTCGCCGGTTCAAGTCGCCCCGGGGCACGCAAAACAAAGGAAAGGGGTTTCCGCCCCCTTCCACTGCCAGCCCGAAGGAAACCCCCGAAGGGATTTCGTAGCCTGCCACCTTCTCCCAGGTGGTTGGCCTGCGAGCTTTTGCCTTTCATCTTGACCGACGTCCTTTCGTTCTTCCCAGCTTTACCCCCTGGTGTGCTTTTCATATCGGCTCTGCTCATTGGCCCTGTTGGTGCACAAGAAGCAATCATGATTTCCCAGTGATATTACCAGTTACCCTATTCTCGACCGTATGTCTATGCGCCCACCTTGGCCTCAAAGCCCCAAGGTCCTTCTGTTTGAGTCATACTCCCTCACCGGTCACAGAATTTTCTGGTACGACCCTCTCCGATGGATGTCAATCCTCGTTTAGAGGCGCACCTCCATGAAGGCAACACAGTTGCGGTGAAGGCCATCAACACCCAACGAGCGGAAGCCAAGCCTACAGAGCAGAGGAATGATGGAAAAAAGGGGGATGGCTGCGCAAGGCTTTGCCCAACCCGGTCGGCGACCAATTGAGCTCCCCGGCACCGTGACTGGTGTGGTGACACAAAGTAAAAGTTCCGAGTTACACCAAACCACGGTCATCATTTGCCTTACCTGTCTGTAGCACATTGGCCGCCTTCCGCCCCCGCGGGAAGGTAGGGCTATGCGTCATGTCCCGGGGAGAAGGCATCAAGCTAGGCCTGCATATAAGTACGTACGTACATATGTCTCACGCTGGACCCAGCGTCCACTGACACGGCACCGCTGCCGCCTGATCCCGGTTCCTGTGAGACACGGGTGGTAGGTAGGGAGGGTGAGACAACTGCCGGGCGCGATGCGCGCGCGGCACGAGAGAATGTGATCTGACGACAAGGGCCTCCCTCGCGTTAGGCCTTGAGCGCCGCATTCATGCATCCCCTTGCCGAAAATGCCGAGGTGCCCGAGTCACCTGTACATACCTACGACTGTAACCGTGTGTAATGACCGTGTTACGTAGTGGTACGGTGAGGAAGGAATATACAACACATCACAGGCCTAAGGAACGCTTCGTCTCAAGATATATCCCATTACAATTTAGAACGCAGAGTAACAAGTGTATCAACCAGAAACCCGTCCCAACGCCCGTGGTATCTCGACCTTACAACAAAGGAGGAAATAGAACGCTCGCCGTGTATAAGACCCAACCCTGGTTGCTGTAGTGCGGGCGTTGTACCCGACAGACCCAAAATCGCTGACCAAACAAATAAACAAATAAATCAACTTCCCAAAACAAAGCTGTAGCCGTGCTCACAAACCCTGGTATCACTTTTGATGCCCCATTCCAACTTGAATCAAAGGTCCGCGCAAAAAGTAATCCAAAAAAGCAGGCCCCGCGTGCTGGTGCCAATCTGAAAACAAAACGTCGAAGCAAACGACAAAAAAAGAGAAATCAAAACTGGAAGTAAAAAAAAAGTAAACAAAAGGGAATAGCCAAGACGGCGGCAGCGTATACGCCGCGTTGTTGTGAACAAACCCCAGAATCACACCAAAACAGCAACACAGCAACTCCAAGCTCTCAAACTGACCTCGACCGTTCGGGCCTCACGCCCGGACTGCCCATCCCCCGTCCCCCATCACTCCTGACCGTCTGCCCCTCCGCAATAGCAGAATTCACCCCCCCGCCCTCACTCCCCGCAAACCCATCATCCCCATCACCACCCCGAAAAGTCAAAGGCGAAGGCAGCAGCACACCCCCACCAGCCGGGCCCCCAGCACTAGCCCCCGGCCCAGCCCCACCCGCACCCGCACCCCCAACTCCAACTCCAACTCCAAACGGCCCCCCCCTATCCGGCGGGTGCGACACGGGCGGATCGAACAGCGCGGCCTCCATGTTCGCGGCCTCGTCCCGGCGCCAGTAGTACAGGACCTCCTCCTGCCAGCGGCGGAGGTTGACGACCCTGAAGACGCCCTCGCAGACGGCGAGCATGAGCTCGGCCTCGATGGGGCTGGTGCGCAGGCGGTGGATCAGCCACTGGTTGATGTAGTCGGGCTTGCTGTCGGCCTTGGTCATGAGCGTGCTGATGCCCAGCTCCTTGATGCACGCGGCCCGCCGCAGCGCGCTGCCCGCGTCGTCCTTGGGCAGTCTTAGCGCCCGCTCGAGGGCCTGGCGTGGTGTGAGTTGTGAGAGCACGTGCGAGGGGTTGGAGAGCAGGATGGGGAAGCGCGGGTGCGCTAACGAAGGGGGGTTCGCGTGCGGGTGGCGGTGGTGGTGGTGGTTGCTGTTGCTGTTAGGTGGTGGTGGTGGCGGTGGAGGGGGGTCGAGGGCCATGTTGCCGTCTTGCGGGGAAGGGACCCAGTCTGGGGAGCTGGAGTAGATGTCTAGCTCTTCGTGGTAGGAGGCGTGTTTGCGCATGACGCCCTTTTTGATGCAGAGGGCGCGGAGGCGGGATAGAGTTTCGGTGGCCGAGTCGAGTTCCGTACGGGCGCGCTGGAAGGCGGAGTCGTAGTTGCGGAGGAATTCGAGTTCGTCCTCGGTGATGGTGATGCCGAAGAGGTGTTCGAATTCGGCGGCGTCGGTGGGGACTTGGGCCAGCGAGGAGCGCAGGGAGAGGAGATCCTCCTCGCTAATTTGGTTACCTTGATTCTCACGCACACGTTTCCGGTGGAGTTCGATTTCGAGGTCGTAGAGTATCTTCTCGCGGCGCACCACGAGGTCCTCCACGTCCTCCTTGGCAAGCTTGCGGTCGGCGGCCGCCTCCAACAGATCCTGGTACAAGGGATGGACGTCCTCGTGTAGTTGCCCTGATATCCCTAGGAGGGTTACAGGGGTTGGCGGCGCAGAGTCATCATCCTCGTCACTGGAACCGTCTTGTTCCTCGGCCTCCATGATTGCCGTTCCCCGCATAGTCGGCGGTGGCGGTGGCAGCTCGATCTTTGGGATCATGTCTACCCGGCGGAAGGGTGACCGAGATGGCCTATCCTCCAACTCTTGGAGCTTGATCTCCTCCATTTCCAGCTCCGACTCCATAGCTTCGAAAGCGATTTCGGCCGTGTAGTATTCGTTTCGAACATCTTGCATATCGCCGATTTTGGCCTCGAGGGCATCTATGGGAATGACGGCAACCCCGTTCTTTGACGCTAGGTGTGGCCGAAAGAATTGCATCAGGGAGTTGTCTGTGTTGTCCTTTCGGCGCCTGAGTCCCCGGAGTTCCATTCGTTTGCCGGCAATCTGACGTCTCAGCTGCCGGATGCGCTGTTGTTGGGCGTCGAGCAATTCCTGAAGCTCGTTGCGCCGCCCGTCCTCGCTGGGCAGGCTCCTGGTTGCTTCATCCGAGTCTTCCGACCCTGAATCAGAATAGGCTGGGTCTGGGCGCCGAAAATGCTGGATCGGCGGCCGTCTGCTGGTCGGCCCAACAGGCGGCGGGTGCCATGGTGGCGGGTGCCATGGTGGTGGTGGTGGAACGAAGCGAGGGTTGCCGCGCGACAGCAACGGCTGGGGTGGTGGTGGGCGTCTCCAACCCACTGTCGATGGTGAATAGTAGCCGTCGTCGGAGTCAGTGTCGTCGGAGTCCTCCCGGGACGAGCTGAATGAGTGCTCGTTGGACAGAACGGTGGAATCGCCCGTGTTGTTGCGGCTATAGGGTCCGTTTCTAGGGTGGCGCAACCCGTCTTCTTTATAGCAAGGGCCGAGATTCCACCCGGCCGGCGGTGGTATTTGCCCGGCATCTCGATTGACGATCTTGAGGCGGGATATGTCGGTCCCAACGATCGGGAGTGGAGAGGTCGATCGTGCGATCTGGAGGGTCGGACTCAGGACCGCAACGCGATCATGGTCGGCCCCGTTCGAGTGTGTCGATGGGCGACGGGATGACGGAGACGACTCGGGCATGGTTATGGGCGCCATATGGATCGAGGCCACGCGTCCACTTTGGGGCAGCTCCCCCGACAGCCCATGCCATCGAAGCTGCACGAGGTCGACGGGGGTCGCGGGTGCGCATGCGAAAGTGGCCGGCAAGGGCGAACAGGGAAAACCCGAGGCTGGAATGTTCTCGATTCGCGTTGCGGGGTGCGGAGCGTTGGCGCGTCGTTTCTCTCTCAGGGGGGGCGGGTTTCGGGTCAGCTTGAGGAACTGAAATGCGGAGGGGGAAAGGATGGAGTGGAAAGGCTCTGGACACGATGTGGTCGGGCTACCAGGTTGTTCGGTAACTACATGGGTACCCAGTACGGTACAGTGTACTTCGTACATCATTACAGCACTTCTGCTGGGCGATTTACATCGGGTAGTGATGATTGATCGCCATTCTGAGCCTCCCCTCGCTCTAAAAACCAGCTCCTTTCTTCGTTCGGATTTCTTGACGAGGTTGAGTAGCGGAAATATCGTACGTCAAGCAAGTCGCAAGGGGTTGTCGCTATCCCACTCGAAGGGATCTCGAGCGCGACGGGCGGGATTCTGGAGCTCAGCTCTGTCGCAGATGAATGCGAGGTACCTCTGGGTTGGGTATGTTCTTAGCGCCAAAACAGGTTGGGGGCCTCGAGTCTCTTCTCTGGAAAGCATTGATTACACGAAATTGCACCGTGCATGATTGCGGCGAGGAAGCTTTGACTTCGCTACCTATTGTATGCTTTTTCCATTTTCGAAATGTCAAGCTATCTGTAAGATAAACTGCCCTTTGCTGCGTTGGGCACCTTGCAATCCAAATGTGATAAAAATACATCTACATACATACTTCGTACGGAATACGATCTGATGTCCAAATAACTCCATGGTACATCCCAAGTGGGCCGTCCGCCGATCCAGGGGACCTCGCTCGAAGATGCTCCAAATCTCAGGAAAAGAAGAACTTCCCGTTACAGTCGGAGCTGGCCTTTTCTGTGAATGCCATCAAAAATACCGTTCAAGCATAGCTCCCCACAGGCCCTTCGAGATGATCCCGTGCCACCTATGAAAACCTGTATCCAGCGTGTCGGGCAGTCCCCTCCAACCCGTTGTCAACCCAACCTGCAAACTCCAGAGTACCATGTCGAACCTTGCAGGGCTCTTGTTGGTAGAGTCGCATCGCTCCACTTGCGAGGGCGGCTCCGATCCCCGCCCGCAGGCGGTTTCCGTCCGCACTTCATCCCCACAGTTCAACCCACGCGGCGGCCGTGATGTGGTGGGGCACATGAGGAATGGGGATGCACCTGGCTGATTCGGGGAGGTGTATTTTGGCGTGGGACCGTCGTCAACGGCCCGTGACGGCAAGTGCTCCGCCGGCCGGTGTTTCTTCCTTCCCTCGGTTCCCACTCATGTGTCGCAGCCTAATGCAGAGTTAATGTGGGCAAGAGAAGCTGACAGGTTGCTGCCCCTCTTCTCGCCTCCCCTCGTCTCTTCGTTCCCCGGCGCACCGCAGCGGGCATTGGGCTAAAACCTGCAGTTAGTTGGTAGGTCGGGCCCGGAAACGCCACATCCCACTGGCAAAGATGAGCATTGACAGGTCAAGCAAGTGCGCGCTCGGCAAAGGACCAACCGGAGCGGCCAGCGGTCGTCCGGAGGGTGCCGCGGGGCTGGTTGACATTGGCCCTTCAGGCCCAAGATAAGAGGCCGGGGATGGCTCTCAAAGGCAGCCACTTCCAGCGCGGAGGAAAGAGTTGCAGGCCCGGCTCATATGTTTTCCACCGTCGGCAGAGGACCCCTCCTTCCCACTTACTGCCCCTCCACTTCCCTCCCTTCCCGACTTTCCCTCCCCCACTGTTTAGTTCTGTTTGGTGCCAGTGTTCTGCAATCCCTCGACTTGGCTCTCCCACCACCTGCACCCCGAAACCGAAAGGTTACCCTCGTCATCCTCACGCCCACGCCATTCAGCGCCATTCAACCGGCGACGGCCAGTTCGGTTCCCGCCGCGAATGAGGGGCCGAGCCGTGTGTCACGAGATTCCCCCCACCAATTGTAGCTGCATTTAATATACGACAGCGGCGCCAGCAGGGAGCTTGAGATCCCAAGCTGCGTCTCGCTGGAAGCCGGTCAAGGTAACGCCGGACCGCTGATACTTACTGCTCCCAGCTCCCGGCTGATGTTGTGAGGCTCTGCGAGGCAATCGAAGCTCCACGGCCTTATCAGAGCACCCCAGCCTTCCGGACCGCGCGAATTCCCAAACTTCGTTTCCTGACCGTATTTTTGGTTCTCGGAGCGCTTCTCGTGGGAAAACTCCCCGCTGCACGCGGGACAAGGCCCGTTCCGTCGTCATCCATAGCACCGGTACCCCAAGACAGCTAGTGCTAGCGAGGCTGTCCTAACGCCACACTCCGAAACTGCGTCTTACTGTCTGATGCTGCCTTCTCTTCCCATCTTGCCTGACACGCTACAAAACACCCGAACTGCTCTGGCCCTAGAGGCAAGACATCATCACCATGGATCCCGGCGGGACTGACTGGAGCGACTGGGCGTGGGATTACACACAGAATTGTTGGTACAGGGCCAGGAAGGATGCCCAGGGTACGAAATCCAAGTCAACAAACGAGTCTCTTAGTTCATTCAATATTAACCATGCAAATCGCGTAGGCCTTGTGCACTACGACTTTCAAGCAGCCCAGACGGCGCCGCGGGGAAACGTCGATGACCTTGCAAATTCGCTCAGTAATGTCAACCTCGGTGGCCACCAAGGTACACACTACACCCAAGACGGAGCCTACACCTATGGCGCCCCGATTCCCGTCGAAGGCGCCGCAGCAGCTGGCATGTACGGCGTGTCTTCTGCACAGAGCCATTCTGCTTTCTCCCCCAAGGGGCAAGGGAGGGGTGCCGAGTCGCATTCCAAGCCCAGATCGAGGGATAAACCCTCCTCCAAAAAGCAACGGCCGAGGACCGCTAAGGCCGGCGGCTACGAAGACCCCGAGGAGGCCCCCGCGGCACGCATGAACCGGGACCCGTTTTACCGAAAACCTGGTACGACTTCCGGTTCTGACTATCCGTCCGCGCCCGACCCCAGTCCCGACACCTACCAGGGATATGCCGACTCGTACGAATCCCCACACGGATCAGCATATGCATCCGGCTTTTCGCAGAGTTCGGGCGCAGGCCCGTCGTATGGCCAAGGTCAGAGAAGCGTTGGCCCGATCCATGACATCTCGGCCGCTAACTTGAGAGCAGGGTCATCAGCGGAACCGGACGCGGAAGCCGAATCGCCTGACCTAGGTACCGTGCCCTCAACGTCCGACGCCACCGAATATCCCGGGGTGGAGGGAGAGGATGGCTCCAGGCGTTACTCGACGGACCAGGGTAAGAGCCCAAGCCCAGTACCGTTGTCACTTTTACTGATTTGGTTTTATTCGCCCCCAAGAATCCGTTGCATCGGCTACGTCGAGCGATTTACTCAATGATGCGTTATCACAAGAGGATATTGGCTATACAACGGGCGAGATCGGCTCGCCTTACTCGGGAGGAGAGTCTTCATCGATGGCACAGGGTCATATATTTCCGGTCCCTGAACCCGATAACGGCCGGGAAACACCAAGGCCGCTTTCCCAGCGGCCAATGGTAACAATGGGAACCGAAGGCTACCAACATCAGGTCAACGGAGCCGAGAGTATTACTTCAGCGCAAGAGCCCGGTGCGCAAGACGGTGAGAAACCACGTTACTTGTCTCCGGTTGCGGTATGCTGAACTATCTAGGATACGTTGTCGAGCGTTCTTCCAGATTCCAGCCCGGTGAGGTGAGAAACAGCCCCTGCCGCCTAACTCTAACTTTTCTAATGCACTTTACTCTTTAGGTCTTCAAAATTTTCTGGTGCGAGCCTCTCGGCGCCGGGCCGCCGAAAAGTGATGTGATGACCCATCAAGTTCGCTTCGAACAGGGCGGACGGTCCTTCTATCAAGGCCTCCGACGGTTCATTGTGGTGGCGAACGATGAGGGGCATTGCACCTGCGTGTAAACATTACCTATTATAGAATGCTCTATCTCGACCTCGCTAACCTACCTCACAGGCCCATCTTAACATATGAGCACCAGGCCTGCAGAAAAAGGGGCGTCAAACCCCTAAAGCATGGAATCATCTACCAACTCGGGAAGAAGCCTCGGAGGCTCGAGGGAGAGCCCCAGCTGGGTTTCGACGCGGTGTGCGTTAATCTCTACGAACGAACGGAACGACTTGTCAAAGAGTCTCGCGTTAATTATGCGAAACTCACGACCATCGAACACAATTTCCCAGTCTATTTCATCGGTAGTATTGACCCGGTGGATTTTCATAACATTGTCCGTCCGGCGGTTGATACTTGCTGGGAAAAGAAGAAACGGCATGCCAGTAGTTACTAGGTTGCTTCCGTTTCGACTCTCGGCGGGTCGCCTTCTACTATCGTCGCGCGCCATTGCACGACACTGAACGTTTTTTGGTATGTTTTTAGGGCTACTGCTCTGCATCAGCTGAAAACTAGCTGGTATTGTCTGAAATTTGTATACGTTGATGGCGCGGCCACTTCTGCCTCGCTGTCGGGGGTCTGACCAGGCCCTTTCGCGGCACACATCGGCGCCGGCCGCGCCATCCTTTTTTTTTGGGGGAGGTCGAACCAAGGCTGATTAGGTCTCGACATGTTGTTTCTTTCTAAGGATGATTGGGGATGATTGCTCACCAACGGTTCCGCTGTCGGCATACGCCTCTCGCGAGAGGTTGCTTGCCTCTTCCTCGTCTCTATTTTTGCATATTTGGCCTCATTGATATCCAGTCAGCGGGTAGTCTGGCATTTTACGACGTATGAGTTTTACGATTTTCTTTGGGCTACTTCCAACACAATACCCTATGTTGCGATGGAGAAGGGATGGGTTTGGGTATGGGCGAGGGAGGGTTGGGACAAAACTACGGTACAGAATGACTATACTTTTTTGGTTGTTATTATCGCGGCAGGGCTTTCTGTTCGTGTCTCATTGCTATGAGTGGAAACTGTTCCTTAGTTAGTCTGTTTGTTGGACACAAGCTGACCCTCATGGCTTCCCGAGACGAAACTCTGATCATTCCTATATGGGTGTCGGCGCGAAGACTCGATTGAATGTTTGGCGCTGTGTCACCTGTACGGCGTTTTGAACACCTCGAGTCTACCATTCAACAACCCACTAAAGACATGGGTGACTTACCTGTAGTCTTCTTACCCAGTAGCCGGGACCATCAATTGCCCTGGCCGAACATAGTCCACAGCACTCCAAATACTGAGGCGGCATTGCTACCCTTTTGCCAGCTCCCCTAGCTGGGCCGATCTCCTTACTCATTTCCGCGTCCTGAAACTTTTCTCTAACTCATGACCTGGCCTTCTCAGAAGCGGGGGGCACGGGCATCGGTGAGGTGCACGCCGGCTCACGAACAATAACTCCGCGAAGGCACTGAAAGCCACTAAGAGGAAGGCTGGGATGATTGGGACCATATCCATACGTAGCTCGGAGGCCCGGTAACCATCCCCATCCTTGCTCGCCACTTTGCCTCATTGTACTTTTTATTTCTATTGTTTTTGTTCTTTCTACCACATAATCCCCCCAAAAAGGAAATCCCGACTTGGGAGCGTGGTGGCAAGAGATGCGTTGTGTAACGCAGGCCAGCGGTGGTGCGAGTTATCCGTGGGAGCCAGCGAGACCAAGAGAATAGTAATGTCCAGATGGTTGACAGCTGTAATGTAGTGTTTTATTTATCCCAAATAGTAGAGTTATCGGTATGGTTTATAACAACGAGCGCGGCCAAAATCCACTTGTGTCCGTAAACCAGCAGCCTAGGCATTTTGCAGAACGGTCGAGGGAACGTTTTTGCTTTGCGACCAAATGGCAACCAGTTTTATCAACTAAGTTCAGGAGACTGTGAACGGAAAGGCCAAGTTACGCAGTAAACCAACCACGTGCTGTGTATGAAAAGGTTGACCCGAGAGCTCGACAAGGTTGCCGAAGGAGCTCGGCTGGCCAACCGGTACCCTGGCCCCGGAAACCATTCGCCGCTCCGTTTCCGTGGGGAAAGCATGGAAAGGAACGGCCACCGCCGATGGGAAAAAGGGGGGAAGTGCTGGGCCCACTGCGGAATCATCTCTTGCTCCAGAAAATTAGGGGAAAGCGGACATGGGCGAAGCGGAAAGTCATCAATCCCACAGATTATGATGAACACGTGTCCCGCATTCTTTGCTCGGCCCCACGATCCCGCCATTTGTTTATCAGATCAACAAATTTGGGAAAGGGGCTGACTGATGAGAATCTGGAGCCAGCTCTGGGCACGCAGTGGGGCTGATTGATAATTCTGATTGATTAGATATCTGGGCGTCATACAGTGTCCGTACTTTTAGCCGGACACCGTGCCATCCCCTGCGCCTACCCAGAGCAGGCGCCGAATTCGGAGAGACGGGAGCACTTGATGATGAACACGCCGCTTCGGGAGGCATTATCGCTGGCACGGGATGTCTTATCAAGGGTTCCTTTGGGCATGAAACAACGCCGCCGAATCCTAATCCCCTCTTTCTTCTTGTTCGGGCTCAAACTGTTGGGGATGAGGCTGGCTGGGGTTGGTGGGTCGAGACTTGGCTTTGCACAGGAGTGGTGGGTTTCCGGCCGAGTGGCCTGATACTCAGGCTCCCAGGGAGAGCTTGGTGACCGACACAGGAAATTCACAGTGCTCGTGATGGGCCGGTTGTGGCTCGATATTGGACTAAAAAGGATATCTGAAGGACCCTTCTTGACGCCTTTAACAATTCTCGAGGACCTCGGTCCAAAATGGAGCATATTCCATGTCCTGAGCTGGACAACAAGCCTGGAAAGAGTGCGTGATTGATCTCTAATTCATCTTCGCATTATCTCGCATACACAAATGCCTCAAGCCTTCCTGGGCGTCAGACATCGAGAAATTTACGGAATGAGAGAGATTTCCCGCAGTCCGCGGGAAAGCAGGGCCTGATCGGAGACGCATGGATGGCGTCCGCCCTTGTTCAACATCCGTCTTATCCAAACAGGGCCAAGTGAGACCAAAGCCCTCGCACTGTGTCAGTGCCCTGGGCATGGCCCCAAGCTGCAGCGTCGCTCAACGGGTCGAATTCGCCTGCACAACCTGATGGCAGGAGCTGGGTTAAAGATCTCCAGCCTCCGCTCAGCAGTTGTTTTGAAATTTTGTGATTCGAGTTTCGACAAGACTTGCTCTGCAAACCACCAGGTGCAACCCAATCCAACAACCGAATAGCCGGACAGAGCGCTTCACGGCCCAGATTGGCCCACATCAAAACCCATACCCGAGTGAACCCCATCTTCGATTTAGTGCAAATTTCGGTCATGAGGCAAGGCCTTTGACTCCTGCTGCCCAAATCCCCCATCTTCAACACCCTTCTTGCTACTCTCGCCCCATCTGCACTCCTCCGCCCTTCTCAAGCAGTCCGATCGCAGCACAAAACAATGGCTACACACATCGACCGTTTCCTAGCCGAGCATGCGGTCTCGAGCATACCCGAGGAGCCTCGCCCCGGCCCGTCAGCTGCACCCTCGCTTACATACTCATATTCCGAGTCCTCTGACGAGCACGAATTGGAAGAGCCCCGCCAGCCCGAACCCCGCCGCCGACGCGCATCGACGCGCCTGATTGCACAGAGCCCGGCTGATGTGCAGCGCATCACGGGCGAGACCACAACGCAATTGATCCGCCGATGCTGCGGAGGCGGTTGCTGCCTCGGACTTGGGCGTCCCAAGAAGGACGACGTCGAGGTCGAGCAGATCGAGTTCCCCGACAACGACGCATACCGATCGCTGTGTCTTAAGATCGACCAGGTTCCTGCGACGCTGAACGGCGTATGCGATCTGCCCGACCAGACGACTTTCCTACAACCGCTCCGGCGGCCCTCGAATGTACCCTCTCCCACCGACTCGGGTGTTTCTCTGGGTGGGGACAGCCCAGCGTCGGCGGTGGGTGATGTAGAGAAGACGTTACACAATCTGACGCTGGAGGACCTCGACACCGGGATACAGCCGCCCTCGTTTGTGCAACCGCACCCCCCGCACCACGTCTTCCCCGCGCGCCTCCACAACACACGCGAGCTGACCCGCCCGGGCGCCGAGAAGCGGACATTCCACTTTGATCTCGATGTTACAAACTATCCCGAGGGCGAGGAGCACGACTTCAAGGTCGGCGGCGCAATTGGCGTCTCAGCACCCAATGAGACGTCCATGGTGGAGGAGGTCCTCGATCTTCTTTTGGTGCCCCGCTTCCTCCGCGACAAGCCGGTTTTACTTCGCACGACCTCGGGAAGATGGCCGACCGTCTGGGGTGCTGACAAGGCGCGGGAGATCGCCACGACCCGCCGCGACCTGCTGACCTGGTGCTCCGACATCCAATCGTACCCGCCGACCAAGCAGATCCTGCGCCTTCTCGCCGAGCACGCGACGGACGCAAACGACCGCAAGATCCTCCTCTTCCTCTGCTCGGCCGAGGGCCAGGGCGTGTTCTGCGACTTCCGCACGGGGCCGCACGTCTCGCTCGCCCAGCTGCTGCACGCCTTCCCGAGCGCTAAACCGCCCCTGGACCACCTGCTGTCGGTGCTGCAGCCGCTGATGCCGCGCTTCTACTCGCTGTCCAACGACCCGCACGAGTCGTTCCTGACGCGCGACGGCAAGCAGCACCGCCTGATCGAGATCGCCGTGACGGTCCACGAGACGGCCGACTGGCGGTCGGGCACCCGGCCGGGCGTCGGCTCGGGCTTCTTCCAGCGGCAGGCGCTCAAGTTCCTGGACGCGCAAAAGAAGCAGCAGGAGGGCGCGGGCGGCGGCGGCGGCGGCGGCGGCGACAAGGAGCCGGAGTTCTACATCCCCATGTTCAAGGGCCTGATGGCGAACCCGCTGGCCAAGCAGTTCGTGACGGACGGGCCGATGCTGCTGATCGGGGCCGGGGTGGGCATCGCGCCGTTCCGCGGCTTCGTGCAGCGGCGGCTCAAGACGGCCAACTGCGCCAACAAGGTGTGGGTGCTGCAGGGGGTGCGCGACTCGCTCGTCGACGAGCTCTACAGCGGCGAGTGGGGCGTGCACGAGGACGAGGTGAAACGCGTCGTGCAGAGCCGCCGCGGCGAGGGCCGCTACGTCCAGGAGGAGGTCCAGGCCCAGGCCGACCTGGTCTGGTACATCATCAACTCGGTCGACGGCCGCGTCTTTGTCTGCGGCAGCAGCCGCGGCATGGGCGAGGGCGTCGAGAAGGCCCTCGTCGAGGTCGCCATGGACAAGGGGAACCTCGAGCGCGAGGAGGCCCAGACGTTCTGGGACCTGAAGAAGGGGGCTGGGCAGTACATTGCGGAGACGTGGTAATGGGGGTGGTTTCTCTTCTTTTTCTGTTGCTACTTGAAGTGAATAGGGTCTCGGGGAAGTAAGTCTAATGCTTATGCCATGGTCATCCGTGATCGTGGTGTGGGACAGGAGAAAAAGGAGAGGGCGTTCTGGGCGCATGCATGCATTCACAGCGGAGATGGTTCTGGTTTTTATACCATTGGCTCGGGCCGGCACTAGAGAAGGCAAATTAGGACGCATTCTAGATTTAGCTGGCCGTTAGATGGCTTCATATGATGCACATGGGATTGTAGATTGTTTAACTAGTTTAAGGGTTGTGTGTGGGGGGCTGCTTTGATCTGTATATAAATTTGAGGTATCAATTGAACTACCACTTGGTACATATCTGGGCTATCAATATATTCATCATCTGCGAGAACTTGGTCAAGTCTGAATTGTCTCAAGCCCTCATCTGAACTTCCAAGTTTTTATTTCCCTTACTCGCAACCTCCTACATCGGACGATAAGGGTAAAATATATGTATTGTACATACTTACTTTCGTACTCGCATTGAACTCATTGCACCGCACGTTGTCACAAATATTTACTCAGACATGACAACTCTTAGATCCAGTCTTGTTGATTTGAAAGACTCGCGCTCCGGATTACCATCTCGTCGTCCCGCGGCACGAGTGCCGAGAGCGAGAGCGGCGCGTGGGAGGCTGAGAAATAAAGTGATGACCTTGCTGGTTCTCCACATTTAACAGGGGTTTGTCACTTCTTTGCGGCGCTTGTTCAGCATTTGAAATGCGTACGACCCCAACTTTGGAAGCCGTCCCCCCCGAATCTGGCCCGCCGCCGCCCAGCGATTGGAGAGCGAGTGCCACTCTCGGACTTCCGTAAAAGCTGACATAACCCAGATGCAGGTCCCAGACTTCCTTTTCCGTCTCGCGCGCGGGTCGGCGGGACCCAGTTTTAGTCGAATAGCGTCTTCGTCAGTCAAACGTTCTGTTACCAAGCAGTGGAGAACCGGAGACGGATCTGGTGAAATCGCGCGCGGAATTTCGAGGAACCAGGTTGGCGGTGTGTTGGAAAGGAAAACTGCCGGGGAAGAGCCTGTTTGACTTGTCTGGCTCGCGTGGATAATTCAAGGATGGCCAAGTTCAGAGTTTGGCGTCGCAAATATATATATACCCGTCCCTCGTCCCGTCCATAGTCTCCCATCCCCACCATCACAAGTCTTCCCATCAAGCACTCAACCGTCTCCCACACCAAACTCCACCAGAGCGTTTTACCCCTCAACCCGATGCAAAGACTCCTCTCATCCATCTCCCGAGCCCTCTCCAAGCCCCGCCCTCTCACAACAACAACCACCCCCCTCACCAAACCCACCACCCCCCGCCCCTTCACCACCACCACCACCGCCAAAATGGGCAGCACCACCGCCAACGCCGACAGCTTCCTGTCCCAAATCGCCGCCCGCCGCAGCTTCTACCCCTTAAACAAAACCCTCCCGATCCCCACCACCCGCGTGCAGAGCATCATCGGCGAGGCGCTGCAGCAGGTGCCGAGCAGCTTCAACTCGCAGTCGAACCGGGTGGTGGTGCTGCTGGGCGCCGAGCATGACAAGTTCTGGGACGCGACGCGGGACATCCTCCAGGCGATCGTGCCCGAGGGCGCGGCGTGGGAGGCGACGGCGGGCAAGATGGCCATGTTCCGGGGCGCGGCGGGGACGGCGCTCTTCTTTGAGGACCAGGAGGTCGTGCAGGGGATGCAGGCCAAGTTTGCGACTTATGCGGATCGGTATGTTTTTTTCTCGCGGTTCCGGACTGAATGATGGGTGGATGAGTGAATGGCGGGCTAACGCGATGGATGTAGGTTCCCCATCTGGGCTGGCCACTCCAGTGGTATGCTGCAGTTTGCTGTGTGGACGGCGCTCGAGGCCGAGGGGCTCGGTGCCAACCTACAGCACTACAACCCGCTCGTCGACGCCAAGGTCGCCGAGGAGTGGAATGTCCCTGCTACGTGGAAGTTGAGCGCGCAGCTTGTCTTCGGTGGTAAGACCTCGCCCGCCGGCGAGAAAACCTTCACTCCGCTGGAAGATAAGCTCAAGGTCTATGGCGCTTAAGGGGCAAGGATTTCCTAGGGGGATAGATGATACCACGGCGGGGCGTTAGAAGCAAGCATGATCTAGAGGTTATTTCGCCCGTCTTTTTAAGACGTTCATAGAGACATAAACAGCAGAGATACTCGTCAAGACTTTGATTGATATACGGATCTGTTCTATAATTTCTGTGCTTGGACTCAGCATTATTCTAGTGACAACGAATTGGTTGCTTACATGTTATGCTACCTTCCATGCATTACCCAAATACATTTTCTGGTACATGGTTTTCTTTTCTTCTAAAATTAGTTAGGATGGGATGGAGCATCAATTTGCCCCAGCGCCTGTCCAACTTTGACCGTCTGCCCCTTCTCCACAGCCCACTGCCATCCGCCCGTGTGCCTCCCGTTCTCGTCGTGCTCCCCGGCCGGCGCCTCAAACACCATGACAACGGTGCTGCCCAGTTGGAAGCCACCCATCTCTTCACCCCGCCTCAGCGCATGGCCCCTCAGCACGGAGCTGGCGGCCTCGTAGGTCGCTTCGGCATAGCCTAGGTACGGCTCGCCACGGTTGGCAGCCTCCTCGGCGGCCCTGTCCGCCTCCGTATCGGTAGTCAGGCTGTTAGTGCGGAGCTCCCTGTCAAAGTTGATCTTGATAGACCCGACGTTGGTCGCGCCCACGGGGACGTAGCTGAAGAATCCCCAGCGCCAGCGGCCGAGCAGCACGACGCGCTCGTTGAGCGTGAACAGACCGGGCATAGTACGTTGTAGGTAGGGCGACACGCTGTACAACTCGCCGGCGAAGTGACGGCGACGCTCGACAACCCAATTGGTCGGGGAGTGGAAGCGGTGGTAGTCACCGGGCGCGAGGTAGATGACGGCGTAGTAGAGCACGTGCCGGCTATCGGGGGAGAGGTAGTCAAGCCAGGACTTCTCGCCCAGCGCGAGCTCCGCGCCGACCTCGGAAACGGAGGTGGCTGAGGCCGCGACAGATTCGTCTTTGGGGTGGTCGAGGCTGCTCTTGCGCTTCTTCTTGTTTCCAGACAGGAGATCCGGCAGGGTGTAGGAGATGCCATTGACCCGGGCGAATTCCTCCTCCCTCTGGACAAGTTCTTCGTCTCCTTCCAGCTCGTGTTCGTTTCGCTTCGGGAATTTGTCGAGAGATGCCTGGCTAGAGGAGATGCTTGGGGTCGGGCTGTTTTGGCCGAGGAGGGCATCGATGGTGTAGGTCATACCCTTGACCTGCTCGATATCGCCGCCCTCGATTTGCCCAAACTGTAGGATGCGCCCGTCAGACGGGGAGAGGAGTGCGTTCGGATTGGGATCGAGGGGTCGTGCGCCGGGCTTCAACGTGCGGTAGAAGAAGGCAGCGAGGTTCGGGAACACGCGGAGATCGGTCTCCTCGATCTCGTCTAGGTTGACGCCGAAAAAGAACGAATACAGCTTGAAGCCGGGGATTCGAAGGAAGGTCGGGAGAGTTAACTCGTTGAACTTGCCCCATAGCCGCGAAATGGCCTTTAGGGGCAAAGTCGACATGATTTGCACCTGCCTGAACTTTTGTTAACCCCAATTCAAAAAATCACCAACATCCACACCGGGACGGGATGCATCCTACCAAGGGCCATCCGGGCGAACCCGCGGTCTCCTTTTCGGCCGCTGCCCTGGCTCGCCATCCTCGGCCTGTTTTTCCTGCTCTCTGGTGTAGACCTTGTAGAACTGCACCAGCCCCAGGAACCCAACGCCGAGACCGACGGGGATGGGATACCAGCGGATCTTGGAGTCGTGCACTTTGGAGTCGGCCCTTGGCCTATGTGACTGTTGCGAAAAGGGTCGACGTCCGGGGGATCGCTGGCTCGGCTGCGGTCGTCCTCGAGACGCAGCAGTCCTGGAGTGGAAGCCGGTGAAGCTGGAGGAGAAGTTGGAAATCTGGTGGCAGCTGCGGCAGGCCGAGCGCCGGGCAATTGTCGAGCGAGTTACCCCGACCGTAGAGGAAATGGGACCAATCTGGAGCGACGCCATTTTGTCTTCGTCTTAACAAATTTTGGCCTACTACGGCAAGTCGAGGGAGGAAAGGGGCGGCGGCGTGCCGTTTCTAACGAACCTGCATTGTTTGCCCGGGGAAGCCTCCAGCCGGCGCCAAATGACGCCGCTTTTACACTTCGGGATTCGAGGGGCGGGGGTTTCGCGGCACAGGTAACCTAGCTCAAACGGTTGCTCTCATGACGCAGGTGTGCATTCGGACGAAGAACCGGCAACCAGTGATGGATCGGCTTTTTCCCACAAACCCGAGAACTTGGGACGGATCACGTTTTGTAGTCGAGGTTGTGGCTACCCGACGAGTGCTTGAAGAGCGGTCAATTTCGCATATTTGCACACTAAATGCGGCATAGTGGATAATCGCTGGGGCATGTTATAGCCAATTTTATGTCTGGCATGTGAGAGGGGCAGTGGGGCAAGTAGCTGTACCCTGCTGTACCTGCATGTCTCGTCCGCCGCAATCCTCCGGATGACAGCGTGGAGGTTCCAGGTTGGAAGCTGAGGAATTACACAACACAACGCCGTCAGCAATTCGGAAGAGAGGGGAGCAACGAACACGACACCTTCTTCTTATGGTAGTGTTGCTCGATTCTAAACCCTAAGGCAACCCCAATTTTACACCTTTTGCGTTTCCAAGACAACCCCCTGGTCCTTACTTGCGATCGCTTTGAAGGTCTTCAAGACAGCTTAACGACCGACCTACACCGAGCATCCATGGCTTCCTGATACTTGTAAACGCCAATTCAAAACACCTGAGCCGACCGCCGTCAGCACCACGCATCACGCCCGCCCTCCCGACTGAGCCGAATTTTCCATTGCGTACCTCCTTAAACCAATCGTGCGACAGAGCTCGCGATCATCGCACCTAACCACGAGATCAAGCGCGATGGCGGACGAACGGCCGGGATCTACCCCACCGGGGCCGCAAGACGATGCGCCGATGACCGTCAACCTTCAAATCGTGTCGCCCTCTGTCGGAGTTGGAATCCTACGGTTCCCCGACATGCCGGCTACTACGACAGTGCAGCAACTTAGAGAAAACATCCGAGAGGCATTGCCATCGAGACCGGCGGATGACCACCAACGTCTAATTCACCGAGGCCGACTCCTGGCACGCGACACAGATACGTTGCAAGATATCTTTGGCGAGGAAACAGTACGCTCTTTCTTTTACTAAAAGATTGCGAGTTTGAGAGGGCGCTGACGGAGTCTGTGACAGTTACGAACAAACGATCAGCAAACAATACATCTCGTGCTGCGAGACACTGGAGATATCCCTCCGCCCGATGCTCAACCGCGCCTTCTTCCACATGCCCTCCGGAATCCGCCCAATGTCGCCGCCATCCCGCGGCCGGGGTCGGCACCTATCGGTGTGCCCCATACCACGGCTCACGCTTCACAACACGGTCAGCAGCATGCTCAGCTGCACGCCATACAACACGCCCAGCAACAGGAGCTGCTCCAACGGATGACTCAACTCCAACAGCGAGAGGCTAATTATCGCCAGTTCTTGGCTCAACAACAAAACACCCGTGCTGCCACGGGCCCGCAGGTCCTGCAGGATGGTAATAGCCAACCTCAAGTTGGCGGGATTGATCCTACGGGAGGGAGAAACAGTCCGGTTGGGCAGACATTCCGGACCGTCACACGGGAAGGTACCGGGCCAGATGGGCAGCGGTATAGTTTCAGGATGGTCCTGAACGATGTTATCAACCCAACTGGCGCTACCTCCCGTCCTCCATCACGGCCCGGGCCGACCTCTGATCCTGTTGGTCAGCGGCCGCTCTCGGCTGCCGATGTCCGCAACATAATTCACGGAGCTGACGCGAATCGGGCTGCTCAGGCCATGGCGAATGCCATGCAGCGGAACACATCGGGCGTGCACCCAGCCAACATGCCGGCTGAGCTTGCTCACTTCAACTTCAACAGCCCTATCCAACCAATCCAGCCAGGCGTCACGACCCCTATCTTCCCGGGCCTATCGAGGAATGTTAGCCGGGCAGCTACGCCGGACACCTCCACTAGGTCTGTTAGCCACGGAAGCGGCATCGGGCCCAGTGTCCTGCCGGCCTCGGCACAGTTTCAGGCGGCTCAAGGCCACCCCGAAGTGTACATCCTCTCTTCGCCGACGGGGCCTCGGGGCTTGCTAATCAACAACGGTTCGGAGCTGTATACCACTCCTGCCGCTCGGTCCCTCCCTTTCATACCGAACCCTTACCGACCATTTGCCCCGGTACCGTCATTAACCGAGACGCATCGCACGGAGAGCCAAACCCAGCAGGGACCAGGACACCCGGCGGGTTCGAGCCTGAGCCAGCCACAAGCACATATCCAGGCCCCGCATGCACAGCCCTATCAGCCGCCTTCACCCCTAGCTCAACAGCCCTACCAGCCACCGGCCATGCCCCAACAGCAACCGCTTCCCCAAGCGCAGAACCAGCACCAACCCGCGATCCGCCGTCGGCCAGTAGCCGGCCAAGCAGCGCCAGCAGCCGCAGCACAACCGCAGCCAGCGCCCCAACTCAATGCGCACGCTAACCCGGGAGTAGCACCTCTGGTGGCAGCAATATGGCCGCACATCTGGCTGATAATTCGCCTCGTCGCGTTCGCATGGTGGTTCTCGTATACTGACCCATCTTGGGAGCGCTGGCTGTCTCTTGTCCTGGCTTTCATCGTGGTGCTCGCAATTAACACGGGCATATTCAACGGAATGGTCAACAACGCATTCCACCCTGTGAGGGAGCAGCTGGAAGGCATGATCCCATTTGCGGACCCCGACCGCCCGCAACAGCAGCAGCAGCAACAACAGCAACAGCAAAACCAGCAGGAAGGAGGCGCCAACCAGAATGATGAGAACGGAGCAAACCCAGACCCCGCACAAACAGCCGCGAGGTTGGTGGCGGAGCGGAGGGTCCAAAACGGGAGCTGGCTACGGGATCATATGAGGCGGATCGAGAGGGCGGGAATACTGTTCCTCGCCAGCTTTGCGCCGGGCGTGGCCGAGAGGCATATCCAGCAGCTAGAGGAGCAGGAACGGGCGGATCGGCGGGCCGCCGAGGAGGCGAGGGCTGCTGCTGCCACGGCGGTTGCCGAAGCTGCTGCGCAGCAAGAGGCCGAGCAAGCTACCGCTGAGAATCAGGAAGGGCAAGAGGAGACTGGGGAGGGGGCCCCTGCTCAGGAGCAAGCTGAGGCTCCCGAAGTTCAACCTCAACCGCCTTTAGTTGAGGTGTAGAGGTGTCATTGAATTGGGTGGTTTGGGGGTCCGATAACTGTTTCTGAATACCTGGGCTTTTTTTTATCTATTTTGAGGCTCGCCTCAATGGCCGTCTGGTTTGGCAGGCGGCGAGAGTAGAAGCACGATGGCTCTGTGTCTGTCGTTGTATAACTTATGAAGCGGCGAGAGAGATATCCTGTCTTGAATTGATGTACGAATCGTCCACCGGTATTGACCTGGACCCTCGTTTCTATTATTTTACCGACGTGTCAATGTGCTCTGATAGTCTGGAGGCAATGAATCAACCCCGGACCCCAGCCCCTGAGCGCTTCCGAGGCTGTCTCGGAGGTGGCCCGGCGCGAGACAGCCGGAAGTGGGGCCGCAACACCAATGCTCTCGCTCGGCCGTGGACTGCCGAGGTATCCAGGATTCCCCGCAAACAGCAGGGGCGCCTTGATAAAGGGAGCAGGGAGAAGGAACCTTGAGGATTGCATTGCTTGCAACCACGTTCCATAACATATATTCTGATCATCTACCATTCCAATTGACCTCAGGATCCCCCCGTCTTGATCTCGTGCTCACTTTGTCTCACTCAAACAAAACAAAACAAAACTTACGTCATATCACAACACAAACGTCACCATGGCCGAAGCACAGCTCCACGACTTCCCATCCCTCTTCTCCCTCGAAGGCAAAGTCGCCGTCGTAACCGGCGGTTCCCGCGGCCTCGGCCTCAGCGCCGCCTCCGCGTAAGCCCTTCCCTCCCTTTTGCCCCCACCCCGTACATACCACACACACACATCACTAACCCAACCCCAACCCCACCAACAACAGCCTCCTCCAAGCAGGCGCCTCCAAAGTGTTCATCACCTCGCGCAAAGCCTCCGCCTGCGACGCCGCCTGCGCCTCCCTCAACGCCCTGCCCAACCTCCGCCCAGGCAGCCGCGCCATCTCCGTCCCGGCCGACGGCGCGACGCTCGACGGGGTCAAGCACCTCGTCTCGCAAGTCTCTGCGCAGACGGAACACGTCGACATCCTGCTGGCCAACGCGGGCGCGTCGTGGGGCGAAGGGTTCGACACGCACGGCGACGCGGCCTTCGCCAAGGTCATGGACCTGAACGTGCGCGGGGTGTTCAACGCGGTGCGCGAGTTCGCGCCGCTGCTGCAGCGGCGCGCGACCGCGGCCGATCCGAGCCGGGTGGTGATTACCGCGAGCGTGGCAGGGTTGGGGGTGGGGACCCTGGGTAAGCAGGGGACTTATGGGTATAGTGCCAGCAAGGCGGCCGTGCTGCATCTGGGGCGGAATTTGGCGGTGGAGTTGGGGCCGAGGGGGATTACGGTGAATAGTATCTGCCCGGGGTTTTTTCCGAGTAAGATGAGCAATGGGTTGTTGGAGATGTCGGGTGGTGCTGAGGCGCTGGGCAAGGAGAACCCGTTGAGGCGGCTGGGGCAGGCGGAGGATATCGCGGGGGTGGTGGTGTACTTGACCAGCAGGGCGGGCGCGTATGTCAATGGGGCGGCGATTGAGATTGACGGCGGTGCGTTATGGCAGAAGGGGCAGCTGGATGTTAAGTTGTAGGGGAGAGAGTCGGGATAGAATAGAGTATAGCGAGGTGTCTATTACGTTATAACACAGGTTTCCCCGAAATGGCCGTAACTACACATTATACTTAAACTGTCGATGCCGTCGCCGGCTTCCGAGCCATCCATGCGCTTGCCTTGTACGTCGTTTGCAACATCGACTCCTTGTCGACGATGTACGGCGCCTCAATGCCCGTCTCCCGCGACACGATCTCGAACCCGACGTCGGCCACCAGCGCCATCACCTCCTCGTCTGTCAATTCAAAGTTACCCGGGTCCGCTATCCCAGACGTGTCGTGGCTGGATTCGGCGTCGCCGTCCTCGTGCTCGTCCCGATCCCACACACGGCCTTCGAAATGCCATAACAGAGGGCCAATGTTGACCAAGACGCCGCCTGGCTTGAGACAGTGGAATATGGTTTCCAGGTACCGTATGAGGTTGGGCGCCGTGTCTAGGAAGAAGACCGTGGCAACCACATCATATGCCGCCGCTCTGTCCTCTTCGGCGTAGAGACATAAGAAGTCGGCGGCGCTCATGCTCATAGAACCAACGCGTTTCGCCTGCTCTGTCTCCGCGAGCTCCGTGGCACAGTGCAGATCCGGGATGGGGTAACTGCGCAGGTGGTTGGCCCTGGATCTATGGTTTGAAAATGTGTGGATCCAGGGGAAAATCGTATGCTGACCGGCGCGCTGGCAACAGTTGAGTATGTACGAGGAAGCCAGCAGCTGGTGGTACGAGATCTCGTTGCCCTCGGCTTCGTATCCGCTCCGGCACAACTCGAAAACGAACCGGCCGAGACCTGCACCGGGAACGAGGATCTTGAGCGGGGGATGATCCGCTCCCCTCGCGCTTTGCTCGGCAGCGATGGCGCGCAGGACGGGTCCAAAGCAGGCTTCCCGTTCGCCGGCGCCCTCGGCGGACCAGTCACGGTAAAACTGGCGAATCGTGCTGCGGGCCTTGTCGATGTCACCCGGCTTGGCTGAGCCATTCCATTCCGAAGGCAGCTTCAGGTCACCCGTCTCGGAGGGAACACCGACGTGGAACATCTCCAGTCCCCTCTTGAAAATGGTGCGGGCGAGCTCGGCGTTGGATTCGATGGCGTCATCTATCTTGTCCAAAGTGTCCAGATAGTTGAATGGAGGGGCCGCGAGCCTCTGCCAGTGGGCTTGCGGCAGTGCGTAGAAGGCTTGTCTGCGCAGGTGCGTACATTGGAAGTGGGATGTCTTAGCATACTGCCTATCACGAAGTCAATATTTGAAGCAGTTCCACGGTAGACAACAGCTGGATTTGGAGTTTGGAGTTTTGGCGCAGAGCAAACTCACACAGATGGTTGAGTTATGGCGACTAAGATAAGCAGAGGGGGGAATGAAGGAAGGTTGTCTTATATGCAATGTTGGGTTTGGTTGGGGTTGAGTCAACATCGAGATTGCCCATGTTGTGTGTGGCCTTGAAACTGACATGTGAGAATTTCCGAGATGTTACTCACTGATAAGAGTCGAGCGTGCGGTAGATGACCTGAAGCTCCTCCGGATCATCGATTCCGTTTTCGATGCCGTCCCACGGCGTGTCTTCCTCCATTTCCGTTTTCATTCGCGTAGTGTTAAAGGAAGAAAATGGGACCGGGCGTGTTCGAAGGAGGAAGTTGACGGAAAGAGCGGAGCCGGAAACCGGCGGATGCTTGCCTCGGAGCGAAGAATGACGGCTGCAGTGGCACCTTCCTCCATCCCCGGTGCTGACCAAAACCCGAACTCGGCCCGTTCAGAAGATTCGGAACCGTTTCGATGGATGCTCCGTCCCGTCGCTTCGCCGATATTGGGCCATACCAAACAAAGTCCGGGTTCCTGCTGGTGGCGGAAATGCGATTCAGGTTGTGCACGAAATTTGTGCAGGCGACATTTGACTACAGCCAAGCGAGGGAAACTAAGAACTTAAACCATGTTTCGAGTTATGACGCTTGGCCGGTTTGACTATTTAGTCCTCTCAGCAAGATAGATAAAACGAATTGCTCGAGTCAAGGCAGAGAAGGAAAAAGGATCAGACAAAAAAAGAGGAAGAACATATCACGAACAAGCCTGCAAGCGATAAACCCTAACCCCGGGGACATTCTCTCAGCTTCTGTCGCCGCTTCAAATGAAGTGTTCAGTTCCCCAAACATCTGCAACTCTCCGATCGCCATCTCGTTTCACAAAGCTAAATTTCGAACAGGGGCAATGGACACTCCCATTCAACTATCATTTCCTCTCCCGCGGTCGCTGGACTCGCGAATCTACCTCCACCTAACGGTCAAGCCCAAGGCCATCCTGCTTTTTCTCACCACGGCGTCGATGGAAGATGCAGGTTCACCAACACCATTAGGGTCGTTCGTTTATGCTCTGCCTGATGTATGCCCAGCTTCCCAGAGGACCAGCATCAACTGCTGACCCTGGCTTAGAGATACAACCCCAGTCAACCGCTCGCAACGCCACTCTGCACGGTGGAACCGACACTCGAGTTCACCACGCGGCTGGCGAAACTGCTAGCGAGGAAAACCCAGCGGCCGACCTATGTAGGCAACTCCATAAGTTTTGCGAGCACCGGATTGGGCGGCACTGTGGAAGAGGAGATGGACGCGTTTAAGAAGGTTGTCGAGGTCACTCTGTCCCAGTTGCAGCCTGTCATCGAGGCAGCCCAAGCTCCCTCTAACGGCACCGGTTTGGAATAACCAGTCCATGATACGAGTCCAACTCTGATAATCCATGGCCGTATATCCGATGGAGTAAGACACGGAGCGAGCCATCAGTCAACAACCTTGATCGGTCGAAGGCAACCTCAAAACAGTCCGACAGCATGTTTCACCGAATAGTGCACATGGCCGGAAGAGTGCTGCACCATTTAATGTCCGAAGACAGCTTTTACGATTCTAGAATTGGGTCTGCGATGACAGGGCCCTTCATGATGAAGTCAGCCATCACTAGGATATCCAACTTCACGTTTCCTGTCTTTGAACGTCGTGGAAACGGCCGCAACCAAGGATAAGAGCCGTCCCGTATGCGCGAGGGGGTCTTTTCCCATTGTTGCACATGAATCGTGACGTGGGCCAGCACAGGTGTCGGACACAGTATCCGTGTGAAAGACGAGGAAATTCATCGATTGGATGAGTGAGACTGCTCGTCAGCCCGAATAAAACGGATGGTTTCCTCAGCAGAATGGAGCCTTGGGCGGTACGAAGTACATGTAAGTCACCGGGGACATGGTCCTTAGACTACCTAGGCAGCTCGAAATAGTGAGAGAATAGCACCGTAAGAATGTCAGCATAATTTTGGTCCATTGAGAGAGACTCGAATTGATGAAGGCACCTCTACTTCGTAGGTACATAAGGTATCTGATCTGAAGTCCTCGGTTGCAGAGAAAGAGGGAGGGAGACGAGACCCCGCGCGAAAGGCTCGCTCCGCCCGCCTTCCAAAACGGCAGTTGCTGTGGAGTTCCAGATTGGTGAATCCCTTCTTCTGGTTGGCCATGGACATGTCCGCTCTTGCAGTCCCACTGTAATTCCGACCCTGCCCCGCCAGACCTTTGCAACATGGCCTCGCCAGGGCCCCGCGGCGCAAAATTTAGGGCGGGCAACCAACGCCGGTTTTGAAACAGTCGGCTGCCCGCTCTTCTGTCAAGGTCCGACAACGAAGGACAAAAAATCAAGGTGCGTCAGGTCAGAATCCCGCAGGGCCGGGTAGCCGGGTAGCAGCAGGTACCTCGTTTCGTGCTTGACCTGCTGCTATTTTTTGTGTAACTCGGATTGCCTGATGGCCCAACCCCCAGTTCGTGTGCAGAGGCTAACAGCTTCTGGTTTCACCCCACTTTGCGCAGACCAGAAGAATGCCATCACCACCACCATCGCCTTGACCTTTTCAACCCATAATAAATCAACTACCAAAAGAAACCTTCCCTTCATCCCCTCAAAGGCAATCTGACGACCTATCTGCTACACCTCGGTCTTCATTCGCGCCTGCAAGCTCTGCAGCTCCAGCGCCAGCGCTTGCCGCTTTTCCAAACACCACAAACCCACAGGGGCTCGCTCACCACACATTTGCTTGCCTGCCCCCGCCCCACGATACTCGACGTCGGTTCTTCGCCATGGATTGGCAACCAAGCCCGGACTCCCTGCGGACTCTCGCAGGGTGTCTCAAAGATTCGCTAAGCGGCTTCGACAAGGCCGCACAAAAACAAGCCGAAATCGTAAGTCCCTCTAGAAGCTTTGCGCCTGCGCGTCGGTGGGGAAACTGACCAGACCCCGCGCAGATGCTCTCCCAAGCGAAAGCCAGCCCGGATTTCAACAATTACCTGGCCTACATCTTCTCGAGTGCCAATCCGCCCGCCGGCCTGGCGCTGGCCGCCAATGACTGGCACTTGGTCCGCTCGGCCGCCGCCATCATGCTCAAGAACAGCATCAAGTCGAACTACAAGCAGATCCCCGAGCCCAGCATCGCGCTAATCAAGCTCGCCGTCCCGATGGGCGTGCAGGACGCCAACTCGCAGATTCGCAATTATGCTGGCAATATTGCGACCGAAATGATCCGCCGCGGTGGCCTCTATAGCTGGCCGGAGCTGTTGCAGGAGCTGTTGAAGCTGCTCAGCAACGAGACGGGCCAGGTATCGAACGAGGCGCAGGAGGGTGCGATGGCGGCCATGGCCAAGATCTGCGAGGACAACACCAAGTTGCTAGAACGGGAACATAACGGCCAGCGGCCGCTCAACATCCTGCTCCCCAAGTTCATCCAGGCGACCAAGAGCCCCTTGCCCAAGGTCCGCACTCACGCACTCACGGCTATCAACGTTTTCACCCCCAGAAAGTCTCAAGCCATGCTCAACTCCGTCGACGACCTCCTGCAGCACCTCTTCTTCCTCTCAGAGGACCCCGTGACCGATGTTCGGCGCCAGGTCTGCCGCGCATTTGTCCGCCTCGTCGAGACCCGTCCGGACAAGCTTCTGCCCCATATTGCCGGGCTGGTCGAGTACATCATTTCGCAACAAAAGAGCGACGATGAGGACCTTGCCTGCGAAGCCGCAGAGTTTTGGCTGTCGGTCGGCGAGCACGACGATCTCTACCGGAGTCTTGACCCATACATCCAAAAGATCATCCCCGTGCTATTGCAGTGCATGGTCTACAGCCCAGAGGACATCGCCATGCTCGGAGGGGAATCGGACGACGAAGACGAAGAGGACAGAGAGGAGGACATCAAGCCGCAGTTCGCCAAGAAGAACCTCAAGCGCGGTGCTGCTCACGCTGAGGGGGCGGAGGCGTCGGCCGAGGAAAACCAGAACGGGAATGCGTACGAGAAGCTGGCCAGCATGGACGGCGACCTGGAGGAGGGTGAGGTTGACGATCTGGACGAGGAGGGGGGTGACGAGAATCCCGACGAGAAGTGGACCCTCCGCAAGTGTTCAGCGGCAGCGCTCGATGTTTTCGCCACCGACTTTGGCGGCCCCGTGTTCACCTCCATCCTGCCGTATCTACAGACTAACCTGAGGCACCAAGATTGGCCGCATCGGGAGGCTGCCGTCCTTGCGCTCGGCGCTGTCGCCGAAGGCTGCATGGATGTCGTGATCCCTCATCTGCCCGAACTCGTTCCCTACCTCATCAGTCTACTGAACGACGAAGAACCGGTCGTCCGGACCATAACCTGCTGGACGCTCGGGCGGTATTCGGCGTGGGCGGCCAATCTGCAGGACCCGGCCCAAAAACAGAGTTACTTCGTGCCCATGATGGATGGCATCCTGAGGAAGATGATCGACAAGAACAAGAAGGTGCAGGAGGCCGGGGCTTCAGCTATGGCGAATCTTGAAGAGAAGGCGGGAAAGCATCTCGAGCCCTTCTGCGGCCCTATCATCCAGCAGTACGTCCTGTGCTTCAGCAAGTACAAGGATAAGAACAGATGGGTCCTTTACGATTGCGTCCAGACGCTGGCCGAGCATATCGGCCCTGTGTTGGCACGCCCCGAACTCTGCAACCAACTCATGCCCGCTCTCATCGAACGGTGGCAAAAGGTCCCGGATCAGTCGAGAGAAATGTTCCCGCTCCTGGAATGCCTGTCGTACGTGGCCATTGCCCTCGGCGACGCCTTCACTCCCTTTGCCGAGCCCATCTTCGGGCGGTGTGTCAACATCATCCATCAGAACTTGGAGCAGACCCATGCTGCCAACAACAACCCCGAATTCGACCAACCCGACAAGGACTTTTTGATCACCAGTTTGGATCTCCTGAGCGCTATCATCCAAGCTCTTGACAATGCCAAGGCCATCAAGCTGGTCCAGAACAGCCAGCCAGCCTTCTTTGAGCTCTTGAGCTTTTGCATGGACGATCCTGCCGACGAGGTTCAACAGTCAGCTTACGCTCTCCTCGGTGACTGCTCAAAGTTTGTCTTTGACCAGCTGAAGCCCTTCCTGCCCTCCATCATGCCGATCCTGCTCAAGAGGCTGGATCTCGAGAATATTCTCGATGAGGAGATTGACGGGAGCTTCAACGTCGTAAACAACGCTTGCTGGAGCGTCGGCGAGATCGCGATGCAGTACAAGAAGGATATGGCGCCGTTCGTGCCGGAGCTGCTCCAGCGCTGTGTCCAAATCATCTCCAACCCCGGCGTGCCTTTCGGTGTCAGCGAAAACGCGGCCATCGCCCTCGGCAGGCTTGGGCTCGACCACCACGAGCTCCTCGCTCCGCACCTCGCCAAGTTTTCCGAGGAATTCCTCAGGTCCGTAGAGGAGATCGACCCGTCCGAGGAGAAAGCAACGGCGTTCAAGGGATTCAGCATGGTGGTGGCGCAGAACCCGCAGGCGATGGAGAAGGACATGCTGCGCTTCTTCACGGCGATTGCGAGGTATCAGGATCTGAAGCTGCAGAACCCGATCAAGCAGGAGCTGCACGAGATCCTGCAGAACGTGAGTTATTTCTGTGCAATCTATCCGTTTCGTAATGAGATGCTAATCGCTGGTGTCATGGCAGGTTCTCAACATTTACCACCAGCTGATCCCCCAGTTCAACGACTTTATCGGGCGGCTCCAGCCCCAGGACCAACAGGCCCTGAAGGCTACCTATGCCCTTTAATTCGAGATTCGCTCAGAGTCTGAGGCCGACATCTTGCTTAACACCCATTACCGCCCCACCGCGTACATGGATATGCTTCATATTTTGGTAGCCAGGACGAGAGAAAACAAAGGAATATACCCCCGTGGACGGATCACATCGGCGCATGGGGGTGGTTAAACCGAGGACCAAATAGGGGTTGTTATTCGAGAGGGGCGTGCAGAATGCAATATTTTCTTGATTCGGTGCTTGTACCCTGCCGGCACAATTTCCTGTCAACAAGGTTGGGACGGGCGTGCGGCGATAAGGAGGTGGGGGAGGGATGGTAATAGCAGGCGGGAGAGTGATTGGGCGTGGTATGGTGTGTTGCAGGCGAGCGTGGCACGAGGGGTGTGACGAGTGACGGGGGCAGGAAAAAAAAACAATTGGGAATGGAATCATCGGTTTGGCGGAGACTGCTCAACGGTTGCTGGGTGGTAGTGAGGGTTTGCTTGGGTGGCTGGCTGTTGCGGGCCGGGTTTTGGGAGACCGACGACAGAGAGATGCCCATACCCATATGGACTGAGCTTATGACAACGGCGAGGTCGACGATGACTTGGAAGGGACGGGGTACCCGGGAAGGGTACAGGAATGGGATTGTCCGAAAAGGGACCGGCGAGGTTGCTGGGACAAAGGAAGGGAAGCAAACATGGAATCAATGGGTCCCTTCATCGGCAGCGCGGGGGATATGGAATGCGCTGCCGGTGATGGATAAATTTGGCAAGCAATGCGCGAGGATGTGTTTTTCGCTGGTTGACTCGGGTCGACCAGGACGGCGGGAGCACATAGGAGGAATGGGTAATGAATTACATAGATGCTTTATGTAGAGAACTGGCGGTGAACTGTATTGCATTTACACTTAGATAGGTCATTAGATAGCTAGTAGGTAGCTTCGCGGTGTAGCTTTTAGGTAGGTAGTTAAGGCGTGTTTGCTGTTTTACTCTTGCTGGTGGATATCAGCGGTCCATCCATCCATGGCTTTACGTGCCGGTGCTTGTTTGCTTTTGAGTCTCATCATGCAGCCGGTAGTCGGTCATACCGTGGTGTTTGTCAAGTCGTTTTCCCCGAGTCGTGACATTATTGTGACTTCAAGCCCCAGTCTAACAAAATGAAGGAACCAGCAAACAGATAAAAGGGTTTTGTGCGTTAATGTACTTTACAAGTCAAGGGATGCGGCCTTGTAGTTGTATCTCCGTCTCTCTGTTCCCCCAAGTAACCAGAGGTTTGACGTTAGGCATATCCAAAGCACATGAGGGGACAGATAAGGGGCTTCGTTGACAATATAATTGTTTACTTTAGGTGTTGCGACTAAGCGAGTTGTCGAGTGACTGAGTTAACAACTCGGGCTCTTGGGCTATCCAGATCTCCCGTGCTTCCAGAAGAGGAAACAACACGACACTGTTCATATTTTTCAGCATCGGTTAACCTGTCCTAATCTTGCCTTGCCTTTGAACTACCTACTGAGATTGCGCCACGGCCGACAACCCCCTTAATGTACTTCATAAAGTAAGAGCAATTGACAAGCGCTGGCATGTAACATCTTGTAACAAACAAGCATGTATTATGAGAGGAAATATGCTAATCAATAGGTCATAATTGATGTCTATCTTCTGACGATATTGCAAGTGTATAACGCCATAAAGATGTTTCTTGTTCCTGACATTGCGCTTCCCACGCCGGCATCAGCGACAGAGCCGTGGAATAAGCATGGGGCAAGAAAAAAGGAAACATAAAAGAGGAAAAGAAAGGGGAGGCTCGCTGCTCGGACTACCTGAACAGCTGGTATTCGCCCACCTGCATGTAGTTCTTGGAGCAAAGGCTGCAAAACGACACTTGTCAATCTGTTTCCGCGCTCCAAGCCCACTCTCTGTTCGGTCCACGCCCAACCTCTCCCTGACGAGATCGCCATGCGCGCCTCCAATCAGCACCTGCCTCAGCAGAAGAGCATCGTGTCTCCCACTGCCCTATTTCCGGAGTATTCTGGCTCGTCCGTCTGGTTCGATATGTCCCCTACGGGGTTCCCGCTCCCGCTTTGCTCATACCGAAGGTTAACGGAAATAAGTCCAAATCAGGAAGCGGCATGCTCGGTGGTGACCTGAGCAGGAGAGCTGCGCCTCGTTGCTCACGTCCCCCATCTCACTTGGAGGCCGACCGTGGCGCGCGTCGCGGGCGGCAGCGGCTGTATTGAAAAGGGGCCGAAGGAGACGCGATGGGACGCGCACACCCCCGGAATTCATTCGAAACAGGCAACGGGCGGATGGGATTGGGTGGGAGGGCGGCATCATCATCATCGCCGTGTCCGACTTTGGCAGCCGCGGTGGCTGTGCAAGCGCTGCTGATGGGGACGCATGCTTGGGGGGAAGCGACGACAGGGCCCGGGGGCGGACTCAGCTGTTCTTTGGACTCCGGCGTTGGAAATTGATGATGGGGCTCGTTCATGCGTCGCGTTATCGCGTTTTCTCTCCGTACGTACGTATGGATGGATATGGTCAAGACCATGGGGGAGGCTATGGCGGTGGGATGTCGTGCTAGGGAGCTCGTGTGCCCTGCGCGGCCTCCCTTAAAGTCCTCTTGCACTGCACCGCACTGCACTGCACTCCAGGCTGCTCACCGTTGTGTTCCTGATCCGGACATTTCATCGTCCAATCAGTCGCCAGGCTTTGCCCTGTTTCACCAGGAATTCGGTCCGGCGCGGCGCGGGTCTTAGCTAACGGGCTATTGAACGCCCCCATCTCTTGTCGCACTCTCTCCTTAATCGGTATTCCTTCCACACACAGCATCGGAAAGGCCGTTGAGCCAATTCCTCAGCGATCTGGAAGGGATTCAGTTTCAGGGTTTAGCGCGGCGAAAATCTGGCGCTGAAGTGGATTCTGGCGATCACCAGGTCCCTTGAGGTTTCCCAAACAGGCAATGTTTCCAAAACAGGCAGGCGGCAGGGCGGATATCGGCTGGGCCTCAACGTTTAAGTCGATCCCGGTTCGATTTCCGGGTCCGCCCATCCGCTCACTAACCATGGTCCTTGGTGATCACCCCGGGTAAAGTTCGCAACGGCGCAGGCTAGTCAGGGTATGGATGATGTAAATAGCAACATGATGCGCATTGCGACTGTTTACACTAGTGAGTGATTGTAACGTTTCAAGAACAATCATCAAATTGATCGCCGGGTATGGATAGCCCAATTGCTGTGTCGCTGTTAGGTGAGATGCTGGCGTGTAATTAACTGGAATCCCGATGCAACGGAGGAGGGCTCGACAATTTGGGGATTTGTTAGGACGAAGGAAAGGGTAACAGCAGGCAAATAAACTGCTGGGGCTAGAGTGGTATACCAATAACACTGCATCTTCCATTCTCTGGGCTCTTTGTCTCTCTTCCCTATCTTCCCATTTTGTCGGTATTTCTGTTTAGTTATTTTTTTAATATTTCTTTTCTTTTCGTTGTTTACATACAAAGGGGATGCTCTGGACGTGCATCTTCAACTCCCGAAACGTGGCAGCACTCGAGCCAGGAATAACTAAGACAGGCACCGCTGCATTCTGGAAGGCAACTAGAACGAGATAGGCTATGTCATAGCCAGCCACAAGGTAACAACAGCAGGGCGCACCACTACCGAGACATCTATGTAGTGGACATATGTAGTCTACCTCTACCTACCCGATTTAGTCAATCGATTCGGGATCGAAATCCTTGATGCATCACCGTCGATCTTTCGGATCCTTTACAAACCGAGAACGACTTCAGCCTTTGCTTCCTACAACGTAAACTGGACGACAAGCCCCCTCCAACATCCCATCTAGCAAACCTATGTCCGTAACATACTGCTTACACCCGCCGCTTAACACCGATGTAACGTTCTGTGATCAACATCCTCTGTCCCCCTGAGACAAAACAACAACAGCGGGCCGGCCAGCCAACCACAGCCACACGCCCCCCCCCCCCAGATCTGCACCAACCGCCACATCAAAGATGGCGATGCATCCAGGAACGGGTGGGCGTGGGGGGACACCAAATCTCAAAATCTCCAACCACCGCACGCAACCAGCCGGACTCAGATCGGCCCACGCCGCCCGCGAGGCAGTGTAAGTGTAATCCTCCTCCCCTCCTCTTCCTCCTCCAGTAGTAGCGACAGTAGCGACAGCAGCAGCAGCAGCAGCAGCAGCGTCACGTCCTACACGTAGGACTCGACTCGGGCCTTTTCTCTCTCTCTCTGCTGGCCCGCCGAATAGCAACAGCAAAAAACAGACTACACCCTCCCTCCCTCCCGCGGATTCGTTCCGCCCTGCTCGCCTCACCGCGCTTTGGCGTCTGACAGGATCTTTCTTTTCCGTTTTCAGGGCAGACGATCGTCCCTGCGCGTCGCGGTGCTCTGCTGTGCTGTGCTGTGCTGTGCTGTGCTGTACCGAGTAACTACTGCTGCCTGCGTGGTGGCGTGAGGCAACGTTGGGCCGGGTCGGACAAGTGTCTTGTGTGTGTACTTGTGTATGGATGTACGTAGATATGTCGGCGAATGTGTCTGCAGCGGCGAATGTGTCTGCAGAAGCTGGCCGGGCGGCCAATGGGATGCCTGCCCTGTGAGCTGCTGGTCTCAGGTCCTGCCGTGCAAGGTATGTAGGGGAAGTCCCCCCCCCTCTAAGGGCGGATCCTGCCGCCCGAGAGAGCTGGCGGAGGGTGGCGGCGGCGGACGGGTGGTTTTGGGGTTGGAGAGCGTCGGCCGTACACTCATCTTCCGTGTGTATGAGTTTGTCTGGAAAAGCCATGCTCTGCCGGCAAGGCCGGTGTCTGTCCCAGCCGTCTGGTTCGGGCCCGGGGGTGTGGGAGCTTACACATGAGGTGGGGGGGGGGGGGGGGGGGGGAGGCAAACCTGCCCGGCGGTGGGTCTTTTGGGTTGTACCTACACGCGGTACTTACGGTCCTGTTTTTGCCATCGAGGACGCTGGGCGTTGAACAGGTCACAGGCTATTCCGGAATTGGTTAAGGAACGAACAACCGGTGAGTTTCCGGCGGCTGTGGTGCAATATTGTCAAGGGCAAGGCGAGAACGAGATGAGTAAGGGGAGAAGAATGCATTGGCCATGATGCCGTGCAGGCAATGGTGATTAGTGTTGGAGGCTCGGGATTCGACAGTCACAAAATCTCAGCCGCGCCCAGCTCACCACCATCACCTGGTCTGTCCACTCACCTGGGCGGCCCGATGGGGGAAACCACCACATAAGGCTATAAATAGCAGAGCCACTCAGAGTCGATACCCGGGATGTGGTTTGCCCTTGTACCGTTGGGCAGCCGGGGATGAATCCTTACGTCATGCTGGCAACTATGCATGTATGTAGTACTCTGTGATTGTCGAAAGCGTGGGCCGTGGGTGTCTGCGTCCATAATGTATGGGTAGCAGCATGGGCAGCGCCCGCCGCTTGGATGGGTGGGGTTATCATGATGTGCTTGGCCGTTGGTGCTTCTCGAATGACAAAACTGCCCCTCTTCGAGAATTTGAAGAAGCCGCGAGAAGGCCTGGGCCATGCGGCACGAAGCGAGGATGGTTAGGGATTACACAGTATAGCATGTCACGATAGCCTCGATCTCAACGTCAATCTGGCATCATGGTCGGCTGTTGCTCTTGGATCGCCTGTTCGAAGATTCTTTGATAAGCGAAAGCGATGGTGGGGTTGATGCAAGCCGAGGAAAAGGACCTTCGATCGGAGGACGGCAAGCCTTCGTGATTGGCGTATTTTTTCTTTTCAGTTGCGACTGGTGATCCGGGTGGACTTCCCCTCGGCAAAGACTTGCACCGTCTGCACCGTGCCGGTTCCCGGATCAGCCCACCTTCTAATTTTTACTGCTTGCAGAGATCACTTGTCGCCATCGCGGTTGATTTTGGTGACGCCTTAGTCATGCCCGATGGAGAATGACCCGGTAATGTGGTTCTCGGTGCAAAATCAACAACCATCTCATCTCAACCGGGACTGCTTCGAACCGGCCACCCGGCAAATCCGACCTCGGGCGGCGGGCGGCGGGCGGGCCCGAGTTGAGAAGAGTGGGGGTCGAATACTCTGGAAAAGCCACGAGAGAGTGGTATCGCAGGAGATCGGTTGTTGTGAGTGGTCTGTTGCTCGGTGAACACAACTGATTGGCTGCCGCCGCCTTCTTTTTGTCCAATTCGGCCGGATATGGCAAGCGACGTCAGAGTGGAGAAACGCCGGGAGAAGGGCAGCGAAGGAAAGGGATGCTTGAAGGTTATCTTCGAGAATAGAAACAGGCTATTCCCGACTCGGACAAGCCACCGTCTGTGGAATTCACTGGCGATTCACGCGCTGGGGTCGCCACGAGTCACGGACTGAGACATTGGAAAGAAGAACTTTGGCCGCAAAGCACGATTCGCCCCAGAGGGAATCCAGTTAGTTACCGACTTATGCTAGTGCCTAGGGGGATCATGGCCACGCCTTCCCCAGGCGATGCATAAGCTTCCCCCGCGGCGGAAGTAGCGGCGTCACGGCAAAGCGGCCCAAGCGGCCTGAGGGAACCCCCGGCCTTCCAAAGGGGAAGGGAATTCGTTGAAGGGAAGAAGTCTGGCAGAATCGGGGAATGTGTGGGGCAGGATGGAGAGCGGTGAATGCTGGCCCCATCACCAAGCATCACCAAGCGGACGAGGTGTGGAGACGGAGCTTCAGACCAGACGCCTCCGCCTTTTTGCCGAAGATGGTCCACGAGTGGCCTTCCACCTTTTCCAAAAGGGTCGCTTGATGGGGTAAATCTTGTCATGCTAAAAATCGGGGTTCTCATCTTTTTTTGCAGGGTTAATCCCTCCAATTCGGACGGAAGACCAGCAGCCCGTTGAGCCAAATCGCGCGCGTTTGATGAGAATTCGATGCGAATCGAGGAGGAGGATTTTGGAGAATGAGGGGAAAGATGCAATGTTCGAGCAGGGACTTGAGACTCAACGCGGGAAGCCAAAAATGGACACGAGAAAACCGTTGCATCGGCCAATCAGGGGCGCAGGCGCCTTCAGAAAACCCCCGATCCACCAGCCATCGACGCAAGGGTTCGGGGACAGGGGACGAGCATCTCGCAGGGCAGTGTGCATGGATCGCTTTTCGGGGTTAGCACGCCTGCGATGGGCCGACTCGACAAGCTCAAGGTGCGGAGTGAAGAAGGTTTTCAGATGGGGTTTTCTCTCCCAGGGTTTCGTCGTTGGCCCGGTGGTTGGTGGGGTTCTTTGGAGAGGGCGAGTCCCGTCGGCGCATTCTTTCCGGTACACCGTACACTCCTGCAGCATCATCGGCGCGGCCTCCTTTGTCTGAAGAGCGCTCCGTTGGCTGTCCTGCGATGGGTGTCCCAAGCTCGGCTCGGGGCGATGCTCGGCCCCGCCCCGAAGGGCACCCTGTAGACTGGGGATCTTACCACCGGACAACGGTCGATAATGGCAGAGACGGCCGAGGTGGAAGTGGATCTGGAGAACTCTCGGAGGAGGTTTCGAAAAGCTTTTGGGCTCCAGCTCGGCTTCTCAGCAAATGACAGACTTCCCGACGCCATGGCTGAGCGATGACGAGGGAGCATCTCGGCAGTCGCGGCGTCGTCCCACGCTCGAGAGGACCTTTCGCGCGCCCCAGATTCCGCAACCTTGTCCATCCTCGCGACGGAGGGCCACAGCCGAGTATCCCCGGCCGTCGACTTCAACGATGCCAGAAATGCGGTTCTGGTGCGGCCTTGGCCGCATGGCCATGCAGCAACCCAAACTCTATTGGCCATTGCTCCCCTGGGACTTTTTGCCGACAAGGTGCAGCAGCGACGCGACAGGCCCTGATGGCCTGAGCCCCGCATCAAGCAGACTCGACAGGGCAGCATTCTCAGACGACTCAACGAAACAGTTCCTGCACCGCGCCGTCTGTGCGCTTCGGCACTCGAGTCCGGGTCTTCAAGACAGAGAATTATGTTTGCTCCCAATTCAATGTCAGTTTCATGAACGCGCGTTGTCGGTATGGATGATGATCGAGTTTTCGACGGGCGAGTTTTGGGTTGTAACTTCCATGGTCGTCACGCACGCATGCATAGAAAAGAAAAAAGACACTGTCGACTCTCTCTCACCGAACATGCGGCCAGAGACAATCAGCAAGCCACGCGCAAACAACTAAGCCAGAAACTCAAACATCGGTCGATTTGCTCATTGTCAAGTGTGTTGACGGTCCGTCAATTTGTCCAGACGTGGGGTTCCTCACGGCAACGGCGGCCACCACCCCGGATTTCTGCGGCGTGAAGCCCGACCACCAGTCACAGAGAACAACAAGCGAGCGACTCAATGGTGGTGCTCCGCCCCAACGGGCTAGCCCCCGGTCGGTTAGCAGGTCCTTGCAGGTCGTCCACTTGACCCAGCAAGAACACCAAATCGGCAATTTTCCTATTATTGGCAGGAGGGAGAAGATGCTCGACACTTTTGAGACTTTGAGGAGGATGGATATCAGGTATGGCATTGTGTCAGCGGAAATAACCAATGGCCAACGTGAGGTGGCCGTTCCACAAACCGTTCATCGTCTGTCAGACAACATGCGACTGTCTGTGTAGGGCCAAGGAGCGCCCAACGCTCACACGCCTGTCTGGCTCCGTCCCAAGTTAACGTAACATTCGAAGACACTCTCAGCTGCGCTGCGCGGGATTCCTTGGGAATCCCTCGCTGCACTGTCTCTGCACGACGCCGCATGCCGATCACATTGGTCAAGCCTCTGGGAAGACCCTCCACGGCACGCACATTCATCAATACCCTGCATGAACAAGCAGAGCACGCTGCGTGACTGCGAAGTGGCTTCCACGGCGCTTCTTCGATGGTAACGGAGATCCTGCACGGGCCCTAGGCAGCACCCAGCACCTCCACTGACCAGGTGACCACAGCCGCTCCAGACGCCGCCGGTTGCCTTCCTTGTTCCTCGGTACAGCCGGAAATCGGCCACCCTCGGGCGGCCGTTGGCCGTACCGACAACAGTTTGCACCGACTGACAAGGTGCCCAAGCAGCCAAGCTATACTAGCTTGGTCCAGTACCGACGCTACCTATCGATGACGACGTGTTTCCAGAGTTTGGTAGGTAAGGTCGGGAGCTCGCGAACGTGGGGTGGTGTGAATGTATGTCAAGCGGAGGTAAGGCAAGGTAAGGTAGGTAGCTTTGTTCATCCCGCTCCCTTCCCGCCACTACGATGCTGTGCCACTCTCGTCCGTCCACTTTCCTTTGTCCTCCATCCCGCTTGATGTTGCCAGCAAAACCTAAGCCTCCCTCCCCGTCGCAGGGCTGACATCGTACCCGCGCCGTCCCAAGGTGCTGGCTCCCCGTTTTCTCAAGTACCCCATGCGAGCAATGCCGCGATTAGTCAGGCTCCATCGATGATCGCACACCCGCCCGGTTGCTGCAAATCATCATCATCATCATCGGTCCAGAGGTCCCCTGCTCCAGCCGGTCTCGCGCTTTTCCGTCTTTATTCCGCGGCTGTCCTAACCCGTTAGGGCGTGTTAGGGCGTCGACTGGGATCAGTCGCAGTGGGGCCGCCAGCACATGGTGTGTCAACTGGGACCAGTCTTGGCCGCCCTGCTGTCCCGATGGGGCAAATGCCCTTGGCTCGGTGGGTCGTCGGTGGGTGGTTTCCCACGCTGCCCACCACTCAGCGCGCATGGGCGCTATTTAACTGTGCAGCTCCCCCAACGGCCCCATCTCTTCCTCTCTTGGTCTCCCAGATACACCATCATCAACTGCTCCGGCCCCTCGCTGTACCTCAACAACTCACCTTCGCTTTTTAGCAACCCACCCTTAGGAAGTCCTCGTTGACTCCTGTCATTCGCTTGTTTCTTTTTTTGTCTGTGTTGGAAAGATCTCGGAAAACGAAAACCCCCCAAAACCACCACCCCTCCTCCCCAAATCGCCAATCGCTACGAAGCACTCGCTACTCGCTACTCCCGCCGCCTTTCAGTGATGCAATTATAAATACAACCATCTGCAACCTCACAACCCGTAGATGCTTGACTGCAAGGCCTAGCTCACTCGCTACACCCACTCTCGCTCGAAACCTTCTTGTACCGCTCGGGACGCAAGGAGTAATCCACACGATCGCTACTGTTCACGGGAACCGCTGAAAGGGGAAAGGAAAAGAGCCTGGAAGAGCCGAGAAACGGAAGACGGTCTTGAGAGAGATTCGAGGATCGACGAGAGAAAGAGTTGGCTCGCTTGCTCGCGTTCCCGAATCAGCACCATCCAGCTCGGTGTTGTTGTTTTTCTCCATCCCAACAACACCACTGTCCGCTCATCGACCATCGACCTCGCTCCTCCTCCGTATCGCCGGCTTCCACGCTGCTGCGCCTGTACTCTACAGTCCACGTCCTGCTCGCTCGCCTTCCCCCACCGCACCCTCACCACGTTCGCTATCCCGTCGCCCATAGGGCACGTCGTGTGTTTACTTCATGTTAGCATGCCCGTTCCTCGACCGGTGCCGCGTTCCAACTGTTAACCGCTTTTCCCAGTTCTTTCGTTAATCTCTTTCCACCTCCCTATTCGTAATAATGGCCGGTCCCGGTGGTGGTCCCCCTCGTCGGAGGTGCGTTCGCGAAAGAACCCAAAAACACCCTTTCTCGTTCCCCGTTGCTGACAGCTTTCTAGCCACACCAAGTCCCGGAAGGGATGTGAGACTTGGTAGGTCAACGCGGCACCCACAAGGCTATGGCTCGGCTCGTCACATTATGGTGTACTAACAAGCTCGTTACAGCAAGCGCCGCCACATCCGGTGTGATGAGAACTTCCCCCAGTGGTATGAACTCCCGAGATTCCTGCTGAGAAGCTCCCTGGGCCTTTGGTTTACTAACATTCCGTTAGCCGCAACTGCACCAAGCACAAGATCCGTTGCCCGTACAATGATGTGCCCGCTCCCGAGGACAGGGCTGGCTCGCCCGACAAGCCCGACCTGATGTGGACGCCGGAGATCGAGGCTACCATCGACCAGTGGCGCCGCACCGGCATGTTTCCGTTCCCCAGCCTGGGCATCTATCCGGCGCCCGCACCCGAGCTTCTGACCCTCGAGGACCTGCGCTTGATCCACCACGTTGCCTCCATCAGCCACCAGATGCAGGAACTCGACGCCAATGACTTCACCCTCTGGACCCAGCAGATCCCTACGTAAGGCTTGGCGCTTAAAACGCGGGTACGCGCTTGTCCCGTACTAACGAGTTTTCTAGAATAATCAGGATCGGCGCGACCCACCGCTATGTCTTGCACGCCCTGCTCGCCTTCTCCGCCATGCATCTCGCATACCTGACCGGCTGCCCAGCCGTCGGAAACATGGCGTATGAGCATCGCGGTGTCGCCTTGAAGGGACTGCAGGAAGCCATCAGCACCTTCTCTCGGGAGACGTCGGATGCCGTCCTGGCCGCTTCGCTGGTCCTCTCGTGGCAAGCCACAGATTGGTAAGCAATATAATGCGCCTATCCGAACTCCTCCGACAGGAGACTAACCTGCTTTGGTAGGCGGAGCTGGACCCAACTCATGCAGGGAACCTCATCTGTAAGTCGCACCAGGTACACCACCGGCCCGGGAACGCACACTGATAAATATCGCAAAAAAAGGTTATCGAGGCCATGGATCCCTGGAAACACGAGTCGCAGTTTGGCGACTTCATTGCCGAGAGCAGCACCTTCCCGACCGCCCCGCCTTCGCCCACCCCGGACCATCAGCCCAGCCAGCCTCGCGAGGATGACATGGAGGCCTTCCAGCGCGTCCTGCAGCAGCTCCAGAAGCTCGAGGCCTTCCTCAAGAAGAACCGCGAAGACACGAAACCGGTCGCCCAGCTCATCACCTTCATGAAGGGCTCCCGCAAGGTCACCTCGTCCCTGTCGGTGGCACAGCAGTTCGACCGCCTGAAGCCCCTGCGGACCTGGCTGTTCTGGCTGCCCGTCATGTACCTGCAGCGGAACGGTGCATCGCCAAGCGCCCTCGTCGTGATTGCCCACTACTACACGGCCGCCCTCCTGATGGAGCGTCTCTTCCCCGAGATCGGCGCCGCGTACTTTGGGAGCATGACCATCGGCCCGGTCGAGGAGATTGCTCGCCGCCTCTATGCCATCCGCAACTCGGGCCACCTCGAAGGGGACCTCCAGACCCCGCTCAACCTGATGGAGTTCCCCATCGAGACGGTCAACGAGTTCCGCTCCCGGATGGGATGGGTCCAGCCTGCGCGCACGCCGTCGTTCCCCCAGTTCGACCACTTCGACCAGCCCAACTTCTATATGAACGAAGGCTCGCCGTTGATGTTGTCGGCCAACTTGTCTTCCGAGTACCTGCCGTACGGAGAGAACGTGGCTTTCAGCTACAGCACCGAGGATTTGTCTGTCATTCCCGAGTCTGGTCCTGCCAACGCCGTCAGCCCGCTCCAGCTGTCGTCGCCGTACGTGAACCCCCACTACCTCAACATTCCCAGTCCGTCGTATGGGGGTTACAGTCCGGCTTCGAGCACCTATGGCGACTTTGGTGACGGGTCCCCAATCGTCTACAGCGACGCCGAGGACAATGGCACTTACGGTTATACGGCTACATCACCCATGCTGGGCGGTCCCAACACTTATGGCGTCGGGTTCGTCTCTCCAATCCAGACCGTGTGGACCTAATCCGGGTTGCACCAAGGGCTGCTAGCCGCGTCGCGCAAGGGCAAACATGATTAACCATGACGACCAGGCCCTCCCATCTGAGCACCAGTCCGGATTGCCCGCCCCCTGAGGATCTGTACGCTTGGTTACCAACCCAGCACCCGACTCTTGCCCCTTCGCCCTTCCTGGCCCCCGAGGAGTCCTTTCTGCCGATTCCCGAGTCGCCCAGCTCCCAGTTTGCCCCTCTGGCCACCCGGGAGGGCAGTAGCATGCCTGCCAACACCATGCTCTCTGTGCCCTCCAGCCCCCAGGACAAACGGAAGGGCAAGGGCGCGTAGCCGCGCCATCTCTCGTCCCCGCACCTGGTTACGAATTTTTACGACCATTTTCCTAGTTTTTTTGTCAAGCATCCGAGCTGCTTGCTGGCTGCCTTTTTCACCTCAACACAGACGCAATTGTACACCACCCTCCTTTTAGCGATCACGCGCGCAACGCGCAACTCTCGACGAGACAGCAGCAACCCCACGGCATTATCATGACGTGTTACACTCCTTTTTACGACTGCCACGATCTCACCCTAATATTTATTTTTTGCATCTCGATGCAACGACGCTCCTTTGTCTCGGCAATCATTCCGAATAAGATACCCAACTTACGACGCTCCTTGTTTACACCGGCTGGTCCGCTCGCAACAAACTATAGACTTTCCTTGAGCATTTCCGCGGATCGGAACGGTTAATCATACCCCAACGGGGGGATAGACACTCCTTTGACGACACATACACATACTGTACCATGATGAAAGGCATTTCATCGGCATAGAATTTCGCTCCTTACGGATGATCACGATACCCAACTGCATAGCGACTGTTGTTTTGGCTTGGTTTAGCTGTTTGTTTTTTCCTCTTGTTTCGATTATTGGTATTTTGGAGGACTGGGAAGCAACGGCCGTTGACGGGATGGATGTCCGGTCGGTTTCTGTCTGGGGGAAAAAACGTGGATTTGTCTCTTGGATTTTATGGTGTTTTCTGGTTGCATTGGGCGGCGTTTATATCGGCCTGTTGTTGTAATCCTGTTGCACACACAAACTCTTGTGTTGGATATAGTACGTGGGGGAGAGGAGGGAAGTAATATGCCCATGGGGGCGGCTTGTGCATGGGCGCGCAACCCCTTGGGTTGGCGAGCATACCATCTAATTAATTGTACGAGAAGTGAAGGATTAGTTAACTAGCCTGGCTTGGATCATCTGAGTTCTCTGGTGCATACTGGATACATCTTCTCTCGCTTGCTGGCTTTTAAGTGCTTCTTGCTTAACACAATACCCCACTGCCCCAGCCCTCGATAGGCTCGGTAAATGACCTTGTCCTGTCCGCTTATTGTTTCCCGTCGCCCCTGCCCCCAGTTGAGACAAAGCTGGCGAGGTAATTAATGCAGATCTCGAATTTGTCCCCGATCATAGTGATGGTGATGATGCTCACCGATTTGAACCGGTCAGTTTCGGAGTAGATCATCCTCGCACCCTTAGATCAGAGCGATGATCGTGTAAAACGGAGAGCGAAGGGAAATGGAGTTAGCAGACTCATTCCGCCACAAGTGAGAACACTAGCTAGTTTTCTGTGCTATGAAGTCAAATAAATCCCAACTAATGCCCACGAAACGGGGCCTGAATCAACGGGATTGCCACGACATAAAACAAAGAGTTACAATAGCCTCCTGTGCAAAAGTTCCGGACGGGTGCTCTCGGGTATGTATGTACCTGTTTCCCAGGCATTAGAGCTAGATTATCGAGAAGATAGGACCTGAGGAACATAGAAGCCGGACTTGTCTATCACACCCCGCTTAGCTGCCCGGCTAGCTGGTATGAAACTGGTTTTGTATTGGGCCATGTCAAGAATGGGGGGGTGTATATGTGGGATCTGGCTCGGCCTGATAGTGATTGAAACTGTGAGCAAGATACGGTTGGGTGGGTTAGCCTTCCTAAGACATCTGGGGATGGGTGCTTTGGAAAGCGTTGCCCAGACGAGGGTTGGGATCAAGCTACTCGGGGAGTGAAGATGATGATATGTGTAGCCGGGGGCGGTTGTGGTGCTCTGAGTTCCCATCTCGTATTCCACCCCCAGCTGCCTCCTCCTGGCAACATAAGGAAGACGCGACACGGCGGAGGGAAGCGTTAAGTTAAGGGCTCATAATCCATCGTCAGCTTCTTCCCAAGCTTTATGTGGTACTTGTTCAAGTCCCAATCCCGGATGAAGAATGGTGAGATGCCATCACGAGACAACCCGGGAAGGACTCAGGGGAGTGTCCTCCTGGGAGCAAGACAGGCCTGAAACACTCCTAGATCACAGCAAGTGCAATACACCCTTAGTATATACCGAATGTGTTTGATTCCATGTTACGGTATCAAGCCAGGGAACCCGCCATGCATTGTGAAACCCCGTTCACCGCTTGCTGAACCAAGAAGAACCCAAACTACCAACTCTAGGTAAGTATCACCACACCGCCCAGCCGACAATAAGGAAAGTAGCGTGACCACGCCATGGTACCGTGTTCCTAATTTCAAAGCCTCAAATGCCCGTCCGCTTCTTAACTCCGTGTCCAGCCTATACTGTTTCCTGCCATTCACCAAACTACCAAACCACCCAACCAGCAACTTCTGTTGGGGACAGACAGCAGAGCCTGTCCCAGGGGTATATAATTCCGTTCGATTCGACTGCTCCCGAAGAAAACACCAACACCGGGTTGAGTTGTGACGTTTTTCACCTCGACCCTCTCGCGCTTCTTGCGCTCCTGGCACTGTCGCTCCTATCTCTCCCCGCCCCTTGTCGGATCGCGTCCTGGTATGTAGGGATCGGAGGGCTCGGCGGTCCCCGAGCCTGCGGCGGGGTCGACCTGGTGGTGCTACTCCTGGCCGTAGCCGACGACGCCCCGCGGCTCCTAGTCAGACGGATTAGGGGCGCATTCTCGTTGTCACTGCTTTGTCTCCGGCTGTCCGGCTCCTCGGCATCGGAATGTTCGGGGCTAGTGTATTCTGGGGGCGGCCGGTTGTCCGGATGGTGTACGCCAAATCCGACGACGGTTGGCTGGTGGCCCTGGTCTTGGTCGGCGTTCCCGAGCGAGGTCGCACTACCGCTGGGTTCGCCGTCGTCTTCTGTTGGTACCAGGTGGGCGAGAGAGATATCGGTGGGACTGCGGAGAGGTCCCGGACTTGTCGGGGAAAGCATGCGGAAGTTGCCCGATCTGGAGCGGGTATGGCCACGATCTGAGGTGTTGGGGCCCCGGCCGTATAATTGAGCCGAGTGGCTGTACTGGTGGCCGCGGGCTGGCGAATTCGTGAAGCCGTCCTTCGTGCCTGTCGCAAGAAGAACGGTATCTGCCTCGACACCGTAAGGCGGCGGCGGCGCCAACGAACCCGTCATGGGGGCAAGACCCCATTTCTTCACGTTGGCCTCGATGAAAACGAAACCGGCCTGACCGAAGTTGACGTGGACGATACACGGTCCGTTTGCGCCAATCGATGGGAAGAAGTTCTGCGACTTCAATCCGTGCATGGCGTCCTCCAACTTCTTGCCGTTTCGTGTGAAGAAGATGGTCCCAGTCCGCGGTCGGTAGCCGACGCCGATAACGTCACCTTGGACGATTTGGGGGCCATAGGGGGTGCCGTAGAAAGGTTGATTGTGGCGGCGGGTGCCATTCGAAATATAAGCAACCGAAGATTTGTGGAATCCTATTGTTGTTAGCCTCGGACTGCTCGGCGCAAACGGGACGACTACTCCTTACCTGGTAACCTGAAGAGTGGGTAAGGTTTGGTGGCCATTCCCACGCTCAACAAGGTGCTATCGGGCTTTTCATAGACCTTTGCCTCCCAGTAGTAAACGTCGTTTTGTTTCGGGACGGGTAGGTTGCTCATAACGGTGCACTCGGAATCGAAGAACTCGATTTCAGTCCTGGCCTCCACAAAGCAGTTGGCGATTTCCAGCTCTGGTTCGAACTCCCATGCTGAAACGCCTTTCTCCTGGATGGCTAGATATTGTGATAATGAGATGTCGGTTTGCACGGACTCGGGGGGATTCGCGGCGATGAAGGCTGTTCGACGTCTGTCAGCACGGGTTCACGACCAAGGTAGGCCGGGGACCAAATCGACATACCCTTGGCCCGGAGATACTCGATCCTCTCCATATCATCCATCGTCTCGAGGGCCTCGGCCTCCTCGCGCGCAAAGGCTTGCTCGTCATCGTACTCGCCGGGTCGACCAATGCGGTCGAGGAATATGCGTCCGGACGCTGTGTATCGGAAGAAGTAGAAGACTAGGAATATGGTAAGGATCAGGATCGCCGACCCGAAGGACGACAAGAGGCCGATGACGATGCCATTCAGCCCCGGGCTGTAGTTGGCCATGTTGAAAGAGGATCAAGACCGCCGGATCTGGAAAGGGATTTGTCGCTTCTCAGGTCCTAGGATTCTGGTACCCGATCGAACCGCGGCCGCCGCCAGGCAGCAAACGATGGCACGATCGCCAGGTTCAACCCAACCCCGAATGTCCTCCTCCGGCGCTAGGGCGGGCGTGGCAATTTCCTGCGATGCGACGATTCGCAGTTCCTACCCCGTGGGCAATCACAAGTTATAAGTTGTCGCGCGAAGGAAGCGTTCGTCCGGGTCGAATTCCCGAGATGCAGCGGTCGCAGGAAGTGTTGCTCGAGCGCAGCTGAAAAGGCGATCGTGTGTGTGGTTCGTTGCGATTTCGTGAGACGCTGCAAGTCCCAGCTGTTAAAGGCGTCGAGTGGGCGATCAGACCCCAACGGTGTGTCACGCTGGCGGGGAGCGACCGCAGCCAAGCAAACCCGAGGGGATGACGAATGATGAGAGCAAGGAACCTGGAAATAGCAATGATGGGAGAGGAAGGCACCGCCCGCTCGTCGATATGCGTAAGGAACAGGAAGATGAAGATGGAAAGATGAAAGGAAACGAAAAATCAAGAAGGCGAGTAGAACACACAAAAAGGTTGCGCGGGATGGTATTCGGAGGGAGAGATGAAGGAGAGGCACGGTCGTTGGACGAGATAGATGGGGATTGCCTGATGTCACTTGGCGGCGGCGGCGGACGGAATCCCAGTTGGCCCTCAGACCGAGCTCGCCTGGCAATGCGCTGGGCTGGGCTTGACCCCAAGCGACCCTTCACTGTTGGCGGCCTACCAGCAAATCGCGTAGGGGTTGGTGTGGAGCAGATAGGGTGCTATCAGGTGGCGGGGAAGTGCTTGGCAAAGGGATGGATTCTGGGTCTGGCAGTGGCAGATGACGCTCGAATGGGACGGTCGGAGATGGCGGGTCCCTGGTCGCTGGTCCCTCTTTCTGCCCGGTCATGTCATGTCACTCTTCCTCGACACAACAAGCGACCAAACATTCCATAATCCAGAAACAACCCAATTGGAGACCCATTTTCAGGCCAGCCATCCTCGAAAATTGCCAGGAATGGATTTTGAGCCTCTGACATTACTTGGGACGACGATGCGCGGGTCTGTTCCGGATGCATAAACTCGCTGGAGCATCCGTGGTTACCAAGGGCGTCTAGGCGCCTGAATGCGGCGGCAGTGCTCGACGTTGCCCTGCGGAAGGGGCTGGACGAGTTTCAGAGGCGGCACCACGGCGGCGTAACAGACCCAGAATCAGCATGTTTCGGATCCCCTTGCACGGGTGGCCTTGTTTGGTAGCCGCCTGCAATTTTACATAACGTTGCGATTTAGCCAGGTCCATCTTCAAACAATAAAAAGAGCATCAACATGCCCGAGGACGCCGGCTGGGTTGTCGATCTTCAAGGGCACCAAATAGGCCGTATTTCGTACAGTAACGCATGTGCATGTGCACACACTCATACGTGGACAAACATACGGACTTCGTAATCCAACCCTGCCCGGTGCTGTCGTCAGCTCAGGGATTGCTGGTATTGATCATTCCGGTGGGAATCTCTCCCTTGCACGTCCGCTCGCAAGAAATTCCATCCAACGCATATTTCTGAGAAAATACAGATCTGTACGGATACAAACACAGGCCTTGACCTGCGGATCTCCCGAGTTTTTGAGTCTTTCCGGAGCCTCCGTGGGTCGGGCCGGCCGGAGCACATGGTTGGCCCACCGGCCTGCCCGGTCTCGGATTTGCAGCAGGGCTTAAGTCGTGCCACCTCATCGCGACCATATTCGCGATTGAACTCCGTTCCACAGGTGACATGAGAAATATATGTGATTTGTACCGTAGCTAAATCAATCAAGCCATCCGCCGTCCAGCTCGCTTATCCGTATCATACTCTACATGAGAAATCCTTGGCCGACATGATCCACCCAAGCACAACTGGCCGTTGCCACAAACGCCCACATAATAATGATAACCCTTCGTTCCGTGCCATTCACATCCCGTCGTCAGCCCGCAACCCTGCATGTCATCAACCATCTTCACACCATAAACCCGCCCCCCGAACACGTGCTCACGCAGCACTATCCCGGTTCCTCCTCGCCCCCGCACCACCCCTCTTCTTCCTCTTGTCCTCGGCATACGCGTAGTCACTGACCGACGTGCCCGTCACCGAGCTACCGGTGGGGATGTGGTGGGAGTGGGTGTAGACCTTGGTGCCGGCGTCGCTCGGGGCGCCGACCTCGCTCTCGACCCAGCTGCCCGGGACGCCGCGCGAGTCCTCGGTCGGGGCCGTGGAGGCGGGAGGAGGAGCGCCGCTCCTAGGGCGCGCGCGCGAGCGAGAGCGGGTGCGCTTCTCCCTCGCGGCGTGGTCGTTGGTGCTCTCCGAGGCGTACGACCCGCTGACGACGGTCTCGGCGGGCGCCTCCTCGATGCTCCGCAGCGCCATGGTCTCGTCGGCACCGTGGGTGAAGCTGAAGTCGCGCTTGACCCTCGACGAGGCCGCTGCCGCCGCGCGGCCCTTCTCTTGCAGACGGCGGGCCTCGGCGCGGATGCGCTCGTTTTCGCGCGTCGCGTTCTTGTCGGCCGTAGAGTAGACCTTGCGGATGCGGCCTCCGGGGCGCTCGCTAGCATCCTTCTTGGTGGGCGTGGTAGTGGGGGTGCGTTCGCGGTTGTTAATTAGCTCGGATGTTACAGTGCTGCCTGTGTCGGTAGCGCCGTCGGCGTGACTGGGGCTCATGGTTGACCAACTCGGGTTCGTGGAGCCGTCCCAGTTGGAACCATCCGCGTCGCGGTTAATACCGCCCACACGGGCAGACTTCTCATGGCGGTAGTTGCGTAGGTGTTCCTGTGCTTCGGCCTCGGCATCCTCGTCGACGATGACACCACCATCAACCTTGCGGCGGGCTTTCTTGCGCTCTTCCTTCTCGCGGGCCTTCTCCTCACGGCGGCGTTCCTTCTCGCGCTCCTTTTGCTCGCGCTTCTTGCGACGCTTTTCACGGCCAGAGAAGTCCGAGACGCCGCCAGTGATACCAGTAATGCCCGTAGTCGCGCTTACTACGGTGGTCAGGTCGTCACCTGTTGTAGTCGTGTGATCGTCGACGTCCTTGTAAACACTACCGCCGCCGAGGATAGTACTCGGTGTCGCATCGGAATAAATGGTGCCGTTAGGGCCCTTGCGCCGGAGGACTGTGGATTTGTAGTCGTCCCAATCATTTTCCTTGAAATAGAAGCCACCGTTCTTCGCCCAAAAGAAGAACCAGATGCCGACTAGGACAAAGGCGACGCCGAGAAGGGCAAAAACGGCAAAGACAGCATTATTGTTGATATCCTGGGGATGCAGCGCGCCCTCGTCCGGGTCGTGATGTTGCTCAGACGGGTCTCGGCCGAGCAGTACTGCGCGCGCTGCCAGGGGACCGAGTGATGCGACATCGGATCGGCCGAGGAGGTTGTTGATAATTGCAGGCGCCATGGTGTTGTGCTGGCAGTTGCGATTGTTCGATGACAAGCTGGCTGGCTTCGCTGGTTTGACCAGCCAAGCGGAACGGTGGGATTGTCGATGCAATCACCAAATGGAAATAAACCGACGACGAAAATAAAATGCAAAATATGGCGGGCGGCGATGAGCGCAGCTTGCCTGCCCCAAGTCAAAGATTTGGTGGTGACGCAAAATGGCAAATGGAAGAGGATCGTTGGCCGCAGGAGAATGTTGTGGTTCAGCTGGTTAACCCAGAAACCGGGAGGCTGGGACCGGGGGGTGGTGGGCGAGGAGGCGGGATTCCTCCAATTCATCCAGGTCAGAGGCCGGAGCAAAAACAACAACAACAGGCAGTCACAAAGCTCATCCCAAGCCTTGTGGATGATGCACTGAGCCGCTCTCCCGCTGTTCAGGGGTGCCTTCTCCGTTCCGTCGAAACCCCTCCTGCCTCTTTTGAACATCCCAAGAGGAAGGATGACGTCGGTAAACAAAAGCCCACGATTGCCCAGCAACCGCGAGGCAACAATCTGCGCCCAATCAAATTCACTGCATGCACTTAACTAAGCTCTGAACCCCAACCCCAACCCCAACCCCGTCCAGCAGCTCAAATCCAAGTGCCAACAGGAGGGAAGATTTGAAGATTGCCTCCCATCATCTCTCTCCATACATTCGATAGTTATCGTGTATTATCCCGAGCTACCCTAGCTAACATAGCGATAATTTCTTGCCCTCACCGTTCCATCCTTCTTTCACCGTTAACCCTATCCATAAATTCACCTACCGTCGCGGCTCAAGACGGTCACTGCCGTGTCTCGCACCTCCACAAATTAATTGCCCACCCGAAACAGTCGCCCGGACTGCCGCATTGCCAATCTTCCCAAGAAACCCACAAAAAGGCGAGGTCCGCATTGTGTTCGTCAAGCTAATGAACGCCACACTCAACCCATCCGCCCGCTCGGCCCCTCCGACCCCTCCTTTCGGCAAAGCAACACGCGGCACGACAGAACCAACGAGGAACTTTTGGCCGAGCGCATCCAAAAAAACGGCAGCGGCCCCTTTCGGAAGGGTCGGAAACAACTGTCTGTTTACCTATCGTGTTGTAAGCCGTGTAACCAGGGGAGGAGTAATCTGTACGAATGAGGCGGTCGAGCTCCTATTTCATGACATTCGTCGCTTGCAGGGCTAAACAGACAGAACGACTGACTGACTGACTGACTGATTGACTGGATCATGATGGCCACCTCACCCTGCGCTGCTGCTGCTGCTGCTGCTCCTCCTGTATGCGGTACATACCCCGCCGCTGGGGTGTCTATGGGTGCGGTACACGTGGTTGTCTGAGGGGGCGCCCTCGGCTGTATGGGAGAGACAGGTGTGAGAAAACTGCCTCAACTGCTTCACCGCACTGCAACACCGAGGTCTCTGAGCGCGCCACATAGTTCGTAGCCATGGCCGTCTCCACACAGTAAGTGGTCGTTTCTGCGGGTTTGCGAAACTGGGTATGTGGACATGTACCTGCATGTTCTGGAGTGAACGGTGGCCTCTGCTCCATTCGCGCCCTGTCGTGTTGTTGATCGCCAGCCCTGGTCGAGCGTCTCAGGTCTGTATCACGAACCGCCGAGGTCAACGAATGGCACGGCTCGGTGGAAGCAAAGAGCCCGCAATGCGGGCATGTTTACTATGTATAGACCGAGTTCACGTCTCAGGCAATTATCGGCTTTGAGCAGGAGGCAATGGGCACGCCGGGCAATGGACAACGGACCGAGGACTGAGAGGCAGGGGTTATCATTGACCATCGTTGAAGTGATCGTCGATGGTGAATATCCACAAAGAATGAAGCCAAGGCTTCCAGATTCAAGGTTGTATGCAGGGGTATGCCTCAAGACAAGTCTCGAATCGACTGCGGTCATCAACCTCGACTAGGAAGAGTTGGACTTCGATGCCGAGACCGGATCTCCATCCTCCCTCTCCATCCCTCCCTGCCCTCCATTCCATCCAAGAATGCAAATGCCAAAACAGTGGTACGTCAACAATTGGGTATGAAGTGAAGCCAGGACACAGCAGGACAGCCAGGTGTCTATGTGAAATAGGAAACGTTGTGAAAGGGTTGATGTCAATCTCTTGTAGCGGACGAGTAGTGAGAAGAAGGTATAATCCCAGAATACCCCACTGACCACCTCTATACACGTCCAATACCAGCTTCGGAAAAGCCAACATGAGGGAGGAGGTATGAAGGTGAAGTGATGTCCATATTAAAGGCTTCCTCCACTGCTTTTTCCCATGCCGCGCCGGGTTCGGGGTATAAGTAAACCGCTTTTGTCTCAGCAATCTCAAATCTCGAGAGACACGACGTAGAAAAAAGAAGAGCGACCGCCATGTTTTAGCATCGTGATAGGGTACAACAAAGAGCCATGCCTATCTGAAGAGCAAACAAAGTAAGGAAAAAAACGAAACGAAGTGGTATAAGAAACAAAACCGCCCGTCCATACAAAAGGTATTGCCCCCCAAGCAGCACGAAACGAAGCAAAGCAAATAAGCCAACGCTCGCTAGATCATATCAGATAGGTACCGCCAGGAAGACGCAAAACAAAGGTAAATGGAAATGCCGGCCGTTATGTGCACGGAAACATTATCAGCGTCATTATCATCTCTCAAACGTCTCGGCGTCGTCGTCGTCGTCGTCGTCGGGTCGATGGCCCCGTCATCATCAGGTACGTTTTCATCCAACCTCGTCATTCATCTCATGTTGTGACGCGTTACAGTGGTGGTGGGCCGCCAAAGTACCCATCGCCATGTCGCGATGAGAACGACGAGGGATATTCGGGGTAGGGTGGCGGCAGCGGCGGGGCGTAGGTGGTGTACGCGTCGTAGTCAGTGACGGCGTCGTACTTGGGCCCAGTGTCGTACCTGGTGGCGACATCGTACTTGTTGGGAGCGGCGACCTCGTACTTGGAGAAGGAGCGAGAGAACGACCTCGGCCGAGACTTGGCCCGTGACGTGGCGCGCAGGCGTGACTGGGTGGGAATATCGACCCTGGTCCGGCGGTCGTCCTGGTCGACGTAGCTCGACCTGTCGCTGTCGGCGGCCCGGATCTCGGGGTTGCCGCTCCTCGAGGTGATGTTGATCTCGGCTCCGTCCTGGCACTGCATCTCTGTGTTGCCAAACTTGAGCACCGTGCTCCCTTTCACGCGGATTGTAACATCCTCGTCATTGTTCGGCGCCGTCGACCTCGTGGTCCGCGTTGTTGCCGACTGCCTGTAGTCGCTCTCGTCATGGCTTCCTGAGCTCCTGGTGGACCTGCTGCTGGTGCCACTCTTGCCTGCCTTTCGAAGCGTCTCTGCTGTCAGCGGCATTTGGGGCACGGCGATAATGTCGTCCTGGTAACGACTAGCTTGCCGCATCTTGTCCTCGTATGCACTCCCGGAAGACCCCGAGTTGCCACCGTAATACGAATTGCGCCGGCGGTGTCCAGCTACTTCGGTTTGTTGATCAGGCACGTCGTAACCCAAGTCGGCACCGAAGTTTGGGCGTGGCCGAAAAGGGATAGGGCTGAAGTCATAGCCCACTGGTGCCATTGGTGAAAGGTCGGAAAAAAGAGCATTATCGACGTCGGGGTCGTGCTCATCAAAGTCGCCCCTTCGCCTGGCCGGTGTGGACGGTGGCGGGCGGAATGGAAGTGTGGTCGGGCGGGCAGACGATGGCCTGCGTGGCGGAGGCATCGCCTTCCTGTCTTCATCGTTCTTGGATACTCTTCGAGTCGTCGAAGGCCGTCGTGCTAATGCTTTCTCAACAGGCTCTTCGTAGTCATCGTACTCAATGGCGCGGGGTGGCCGAAAGCCCATAGAAGACTGTGGTCGGGACCCAAAGCGAGATTCAAGCGGACGGGCGAAATAGTCCGACGTTGGAGGAGGAGGGGGGTGGTGCATGACGAGAGGGGCTGGCGACGGTTGACCAAAAGGTGACGGTCCGTGTCCATGTCCGTGTCCATGTCCGTGTCCCGGTCCCGGCCCCGGCCCCGGCCCCGGTCCTCCTGGTCCTGGTCCAGGTCCTGGTCCCATCCACGAAGGGGGAGGGAACGAGGTGGGCAACGGGGGGCCCGGAGTTTGGTTTGCATAAAACCTGGCGTTTGCTGGTGGTGGCCTCCCTGAGGCATAAAAGCTCGATGGCCTACTCTGGGCCCGAGGCCGCGAGACGGCTGGGGTGATGGTGGGGTCGACACCATAGTAGGCCGACTCATCTCTCCTTGGTATGCCTTGCGCCGTCTTCGCATGCTTGACTGGTGGGCGTGAGGCAGCCATGAGCGCCTTTTTGCTAACCGACTTCTCACGATCCTTGCTCGATTTCTTGAGCGAGTCTCTCCTAGGGTGCAGCGTGGAGTCGGAGTCGGTGACGACGCTCGTGGTAATAGGGGAGGAAGAACCTCTCCTGGCCTTCTCCCTTCTCGCTCGCCCGGTGTTTGGCTGCTGCTTTGCTGGGCTGCCTGGGGCAACCGAAGATGCGTAACGACACGATTCCTCGATGATGTTGTCAAACTCGTCCACGTCTTCAACGTGCGCAACTATTGTCTCTGCTCGACCCGACATGGCGGTACGAGCCCACGCCCGTAAATGTGGTGGGGTTGTAGCTCAGAGTCAAGTTGTTATGTCGTTGTGGAAGCGGCAACAATGCCCCGAGATCGAGACGACCAGTGTCAAAAGGCGGGGCGGTTGTCCAACGGCGGTTCGGCGGCTCGGCGGCCAGACGCTTTTGTCGCTCAGGGAATCGCAGTCGTGGCAATGTGGTCGTTAAAATATAATTGTCAGGCGACAGCAGCCGGTGCTAGTAATATTGTGGTCAACGACGGTAGGGAGTGGTTCGACATTTGTTGGCTGCGGAGTTGGGGCGGTGGTAGAACGAGGGCGGAAATAATTGGGATGAAGTGTCAGGCTCCTTGGGACGGAAAAAGGTGGAGGAATGGGACAGTGACGAGTTTTATTCCACTGCGGGGGTGCAACGCAACCTGAGTGGAGGGGACGGGATGGGACGACCAGCAGGGGACCGCTGCTTGGTTCGTCTGGGGAATGGAAGGAAGCGCTGACAAGCACAGCACGCCGAGACGGGACAGTCACCCAGAAGAGGGGCAGCCCCAGACAGACGGAAGACGGGATTCCTTCTCGACTGCGACATGTAATATGGGCAACGAAACAATAGCAAACATAATACGCTCGGAGACGGGAACCGGCCGGGTGACGGAGTTGATTGACACCACCGCTTCCCATTGCATCCAGGCTGCTGCGGTCTCGATTCTTGGTGGTTCTCGCTGGCTCGCTGGATTACTTCGATCCTACGGATACCTGGTACGTCCAAGTACTCTGTACATACAAGTACTGTGTACGTAGGCACCAATTTACCTCTGATCTCCGGTTGAAAAGCAAGCCACTTGATGGGAAGCTGCCGCTGCTTGCTGCGGGCTGATGCTGGTGCTTTTCCTCTCTGCCTCTCTCGTGGGGGGTTCGAAGCCGAAAAAGACCCCTCGCGTGCGGATCAACCTGGTCAGCACCAACCCCTGCAGCCCTGCACAGATCCAAAGGCACATTCAAGATCTTCTGGTCAGGGAGTCGAAAGATGGCCGAAAAAGAACACCAGACAAACAGGGGAGAGACGAGGCGGACCAGCAGCGGGGCCGGCGCAAGTGAGGAGACACCTCATTCCGTGCTCGCCCTGCTCTTGCTGCCCTGCTGGGCCAGCAAAGTGATGCTTCGCGGGGTACTGTATGGATGTACTTGTGCACTGTGTAAACTCAGCCTGGAACGAAGCGAGTCCCTTCCCTGAGCGGGCCGCTTGCCTGGATGGGTGACTTGGGAAGAGCTGTGTGGTCGAAAGCTTTGCGTAAGGCCTCAACCGGTGGGTATCGCAGTGGAGCCACTGGCCTGAATGGACACGGCACCGACGAACCTGCGCCCGGATTGGGGAAGCTGCTCTCCAAAAGCGACCACTGACCAACTCCCCTCCCACTCTTTCCCCCTCTACTCCGCGGTCTTCGTGCCCGACAACGCTCTTGGGTACCAACTCGCTCGTGGGCACGACGTCAACAAGGAAATCTGTCCTCGGAAAAAACAGGCTACAAACGATTTTTGAGCGGAAACGCAGCGCTGCAGGGATTTTCTGGGCTGGCGTTAATGTTCTGCGAGTGGAGGATTGGAACCAGGCTGAAACATCAAGAAGACCTGAGCCGGGAAGGGATGGGAGCCCAAGTTCCATGAGCCGCGCACCACCAGATGGCGAACCCTGATGCCTTGCGAATTGAAAGAGACAACCCCGATTATCCCTTCCTCGGCAACGGGCAGGAAGACCGAACGCCAACACACCATTTCCGTCCATGCCTGGAAAGCTTGCGACCCCCATTGGAGCCGTCGGGCGTGGAATGCAGACTTCTGCAGGCCAAAGCCGCCTGACGGCTCTCATAGGGCAACGGCCCGAGGGAGTCGAAACTAGTCCTGCGCATTGCAGTCATCGGCCTCGATATCTGATATGACGCCGCCGCGCTGCAACCACAGCGTTGGGATGTCGCCATTTTTCAAGTTGCTGCATCGCGATATCCCCCGGTTTCCAACCCCAGCTGCGCGACACGGTGACACGGCAATACCGGGCGATGCTATGTGCGATGTACCAAGGAGACGGGAGACTGTTCGTTTCCCTAGCGACCCGGAGCACCGGCTGTCGATCATCTCATGCGGGAGAATTGCAGTGCGACGACGAGTCTCGATCGAACGTTCCCCGGGGCCGCTTACATACCCACATACCCCAGCTTGTCAAGGGATGAGACAAACCATCGTCGCGGGAAGCAGCTTGTTTTGGGTTTCATTCTCGCCGTCCCCATCCCATTGGTCTTGCCCGTCTCGAGTTGAGCTGCAACAACCAATGGGTCTCGACTTATACCCTCCAACATGGCGTGAAGCGCATTGAGCGATTGACTCGAGGTCCCGAAGGAACGCTTGACACAGGGCAGCTGTCCAAGCAATCTCCTGGTTGATTGGACTGGTCACCACAACAAGAACCGCTCGTCGCCATCGAGCTATGAAAGCAGCTGCATATGATACCGCATTGTTCTATCGAGCAGGACAATTGATTGAGTGGCTCTGGTCAAGGTGACATCAGCCCGGCATCCGAATCTCTCCGCAGGTTCTCCAAATAGCCAGCCACCGGCCGCCGTCGAGTGCGTGTGAGTCAAGTCGACATCGAGGGCAGTCCGACTAGACCCGAGTTGGTTTGGCGTAGAATCTCCGCATCCGGAAGCAATTCCACGCGGGATCGCAGCTGATCCCGTGATGTTGCCGAGTGAGGGGGCGGAGAGCAGGGGTGTTGCGCAAGACTCCCGGCCGGGTGTCACCACAGAGCGGGCTCGTTGGAACTCGAACCAGAATTGCTCGGCTTGACCTACTCTGAGCTCTTCTCCTCCGGGGATAGCTAGCATTCCGTAGACCTGACTTTGCTTGCGTGGGCCAAGTCCGTAAGATGACTGGATGACTCGCTTCCTTTTGTGATGCCCTTCCTGTGTAAACCGTACGAGGCTTCCACTCGCGATGAGAAGCACCACGATTTTGAGATGTCTGCCCACACCGCTCTTTTCGTACTGCCGTCGTCGTCTGCATGTACTATATCGTGCGTCAGGTAACACAACCCCTTCTCAGACTTTGGTGGCAGCCGAGGGGTTGGTTAGTTGATGATAGCCATGATGAGGGAACGCATCGGGCGAAACATCGGCCTTGGCTGAGTCGATAGTTGACACCCAGAACACTGTGTAAGTATGCTAATTCCAAGCACTAGAACCACATGTAAAAGTTGCCGCTGTGTCCAACCGTTGGGAATGTGGACATTAATTGCGGCTCGGCTTAGACCTACAAGCGTTTCAAGTCCCCGATGGCAGTTTGGCTGAAGCTGTGACCTGGACTGACACAGAACGGCCCGTGAACAACCGTGTTGCTGTGAGGAAGATGCCTAGTTTGAAGGGTGCCACAAGAGCTTTCTCGAGATGTTTGCCAAGAGACTTGCAAGTGCCTCCACAGTAATGCCGATATTGGTGTACATAAGGGGGGATGGAGCGGGAGCCCACACTTCCGCCCATCACATGGTTGCCTGAACTGGAACCTCGACGTCTGCGACCACGGGCCGATGGTCAGAGAGGTAAACCCCATCATCGAACTTGTTGGCAAGAATGCCAAAGCTCAAGAAACGAAGGCGGCCCATACCCCGCACAAAGAGGAAATCTATCCTTGCCGGATGCTCGTTTGGGTCGTCTCCAAAGGAGGTGAAGGTTATCTCCTTGTTCCCGTATTTGGCAACTTCCGGCAGGATATCGGAGATGTCTCTCATCCCTGAGTTTGGTTCGGTTAGCACCTTGTATGCTCGCCCTGTGGGGGTGCTGTTGAAGTCGCCACCAAGAAATACAGGAGTTGATAGCCTAGGGGCACGCTCTCCGGGCCAGGTACTGGCAAGCTTGAGGAGAAGACGGGCGCTTTCCTCGCGGGCAACCTCTCCCTTGTGATCGAAGTGGGTATTCATAACCGTCACGACTGCCCCAGTCCTCCTGTGGCTGAAGGTCCCCATTGTAACGACCCGCTCCAAAGCAGCATCCCATCCCTTCGATGGCACTTCTGGAGTCGGAGACAGCCAGAACGTCCTACTGCGCTCACACTCCCAGTGATCTGCGCGAAAGAAAATCGGAGAGTACTCGCCGGCCTCCTTCCCATCCTTCCGTCCCTGACCGATACGCCCCCAAGAAGGACCCAGGTATGTTTGGACATCGGTGAGCTGAGAATGCAGGACTTCCTGGAGACAGACAAATGGCGAGTCTTGGCTGGAGGTAATGAACCTTAACTGTGCACACAGCCTCGGGCAGCGGACCGACCATGGCTCCTCGCCCGGGCCGGGATTCTTGGTGTCATACCGAATATTTAACGTGACAAGGCGAATCGAAAGTGATGCGAAGTTCGAGGGAGTCATAGCTGCTGCCTGGAGCCTGGAGGACGCGTTTTCGGGCAAGGCGTGCAGTTAATTAGGTAACATTGATAGAAGTCGCTCTCGGTAGGCGTCTGTCAAGGAAGTCCCACGAGTCGAAAGGGATCAGACACTTGAGGCAGAGTGTAGCTGTTTGTTGGTGTAATCTGTACGAAGTATACCACTGAGAAGTACAGATAACTGAGGTAAGGTTCCGTACTGTGCATAGGTTCTCGGTTTGTTTGAGATTCGTGTTCCGGTTCGGTAGTTGCCGGCTGCCAAGCAGCTGTCCATGGATGGCAAGCAGAGGCCGTCGATCACGTCGAATCCCGCATCGGGATCGCCCTTGCAACACACAGTTCAGACTCACTCGGTAGGAATCTACACAGTAGGTAACCTTCGAGAAATTCCTTCCCCGCCGATGAGCGCCTCTTTTTTCCAAACAAGCGCGCTTTCACCAAGTTGAGGAAAAAGCCTCTTGATGTTGAGCAGGGCTTGGCAAGCCTAACGACGTCATAAGCGAGGGTTTCCCCATCTGAGAGACTCGGCTTCGGCTCACATGCGCCGTCATTTGACCGACATACCCCCAAACTGTGACTACAGACAAGTCGAAATTTCCACATTTGGCATCCCGCGTTTCGTAACACGGTTATGCAATCACTTTAGTTCGTTCGCGCGGGGCGCGCCACTCATCAAAACAATCCCCGAGGCGATCAGGCTCGAAGTCCAGAAGCCCAGTGAAGGCCAAAGAAGGAAAGAATGGTGGGCTGCGCGGCTGCCTTGCAGTTGCGTCAAGTTCGTGCAGCAGCCCCTGCAAGTTCGTCGCTCTTGCTTCTTCTTGTAAGCCAAGGGTCAAGTTCGACGAACTGGAAGTTCCCCGACTCGCCAGCAGCCTGGCATCTTCCATCTCGGTATTTCTCTTCACTCGCTCGATCTGCGATGTGAATCAGAACGCGGGAGAGGGTGTCGGGCAGCCCGGTCATCTGCCACTCACGGACTTGGCGACACACCATGCAGGTACGTCGTGAGTCCTCCTCTTCTCTTGAGCAAAACGACTGGGCCGCTTCTCCGAAGATCGCCAAACCTGACCCTGCCCGCACGAGCTGCACTCCTTTTCAGCTCAACAAGCCCGGTTATCGACACACACTTCGACACCATCGACGCACATCAATGATAATCCGAGAAGATACCGGGTGTTTCGGTAAACGGCCACTCATTCCTAATGGGGCGGAGGAGAGTCAGATGTCGGAGTAGGTGGTTTCCACTCTCGGTCTGGTCTCAGCTCAGCCTGCTGGGCGTTGTCACGCGTCGAGTCAGAAGGCGGCATTCTGAAGCCAGAATTCCAAGAGACTCGTAATCGACTTCCGACTTTGCCGGGTCTTTCTTGATATCGCCCATCTTTTTACCAGTATTTTCAGACACATTACCCCCCTTTTAACTGCCCGTGATGTTCACGTCCATTCCTGTCCTTGGAAACGTCCTCACACTTGGGGCGCGGGGGCACACCAGCGTACCATCACCGTTGGTCCACACCCACACACAGCCGCAAGTTGGAGGGAAGCCGCCTTATTGCCCCGCGAAATTGAGACCTGTCACCTTGATTGACCGGTGACTTGACTGGAAAGGTGACCGCACCAGCCATCTTTGAATGTTGGTGGTGGGGAACTAGCATCAGCAGCAGCGTGGGCATGGTTTCCGAGTTCACTACATATCTGCACGGCTTGTCCGTCCTCAGCTGGCTACTTGCCCTCCCTCTCTTCCCTTTTCGTCTCCTCATGTTCCACAGCATTAGTGGACACCCAATCCCTCACAGTCCTCAACATTCGCTTCTGACAGGACATTGCTGAGCCGGCAAGGCCGGTGACAGTCGTCTTCCTCTGTGCCTTATTGAGCAGCCTCCTTTTCGGTGTTTCCTCCCCACCGCCGTTTACAAGAAGAGAGCGGACACCCCTCCCATCACCGTCTTCCTTGGTCTTTCTCGCCTGGAAATCAACAGGATGCCCGCCTCCAGGTCCTCCGCGCAGCACCCACCACGGGACTCGTGGCTATCCAACCCAATGTTCCTCCAGCCCAGTATTGAGCGAGACGATGCAGAGATAGAGGACCTTACCCTATCCAATATGGACGAGGATCCCCTCATGTACTTTTTAACACCCGCGCCTTACTCCTGCTCCGGCGAGGAGAGCATGGATTTCGAGATGGAGTTTGATGCCGGGATCGAGGACGCCAAACGCCCAACTCAAATCATCCGGAGCGTTAGCCCATCGAGCCTCGAGGGCCTCAGCCGGCCGCCTCCTCGGCCGCCAACACCGCCGCGGTCGCCAGCCACCCCCGACCTGGACTACGATCTATCTGGGACACCGGACGAGTATGAACAGTACGATTACATGGAGAGCTCATGGCCACCGCGCCGCACCAGCTCTGTGAGCTTGCCCCGCCGCCTCAAGGACAAGTTCAAGGTCCACCACCCAAAGCAAGACGCCGGACACTCCGACAGCCTGGTCCCGCCGCCGCCCTCACCGTACCCGCCGCGCACGTCGAGCCGGGGCCGTGCGACCTCCCGAACGACCAGCGGCTCACAGCAGCCCTTCGCGGCTTCGACAACCGGAAGAAGGTCCCGCGCCGCACCGGCCCGCCTCTCGCCGCATGCGTGGCGCGAGCCGAGCCCGGACGTATGGGCGATCGAGGAGGAGCCCGAGGCGGAGCTGCACAGCGAGGTGGGGGACGGTAGCTTTTTGGAGGACGCCAGGGCTGGAAGCGCTAGCCCGGTAGACATCCCGGCTGCGAAGCCGAAGAAGAGGGTGCGGTTCGTGCTGCCCCCTATGGAGGATCGCGGGGCCACGTATTAATTAGATGGGGCGCATATCATACCCTGGGTGGATCGCATTTGGGTTTGGGGCTTTGCATAACACGGCGTCAAGGCGGACGGTAGTCTTGTGTGTTCTGCTCTTTGGGGGGAGGATCGTTTTGCTTGCTTTGGAAACGGCATAGTTAATGGTTAGGTAGTCTGATATCATGCTGGGAGGGCATCTGCATTAAAAGATTGTCTCAAGTCTGGCACTTGATAAAAAAGTTGGTTCCTGTCCAAGTCTGTATCACTCCCAATACCACCACAAACTTGATCATATGGACGATCACCCCAATACGAGATCGGATCAAGAATTGAGACGACGGCCGTTGTATCCGCCGCCACATGTCGGCATCGGACGGAACCTGGATCAAAGTCTCATGGTTCGGTTTGCGTTGCAGGTTTTTAAGGTCCACCTGCAATATCCGACCAGTTGTTTTCATGGGCGCATTGAAGTGCCTGCATGCATTTCCAGAAACAGCTGCGATGACCTGCATGTAAGCCGTGTTGTCCTATCCGTGACTTACTCGGATCAGGCTACACCGTCACGTCGCTCGGTTCCTCCGCCATAAAAATTGGCGGAATTTGGTACCTGAGTTATCAAGTTATCATAAGGATCAATTCGGATATAACGTTACTGTGTGAGCCATGTCGCTGGAACCCTTTCATCTTGTCTGTCTCCCTGCGGCGAAGCCTGCCATTTATTATTTATATCACCCCCGGCAGATGTGGAGCCATTTCCGCAGCCAGGGTTCCCGTTCCCGGTGCCGCTCCCGAGTATCTCCACTCGAGATCCGGGCGGTGATGATGTCAGGGGCCACGCTGTCAAACGTCTGGCCCGGCGGTGGAGAAGATAGCTGGTGGTGCTGGGATTGCTCCCAAGGGTCATTCCGATGCGGTGAGAGATCGGATAGCGAGACTGCAAGATAGCCGCATGAGCTTCTTTTCAGTGCGGCTGGTAGCTGTGTTTCAATAGATGTCGTCGGTGTGATCGCCAGAATGGAAGCAATTGCAACCCAAGGCCTGCAAATACCGCGATGCGTAAGAGCCGAAGTGGCTGCGCCGATGCGCACTTGTGAGCTCCTCGGGGGTGTCGGTGACTTGCGCAGCTGACAGTTTGGTGGTTGCCGCACCTGCCCCGCTGTTGCATGCTGGATGCGGAAGCCTGGGCTGGCCGCTCGACAGTGATTGGCCCGGATTCCCTGCTGTCTGCATCGTGGTCTTTGGGCCAAGGAAAGCAGGAAGCTGCAAAAGTGTGGCAGGGGGTGGGGCATCCCTCCTCGATTTGTTTACCTTCGACTGCTGCTGCGGCCATTGTTTATCGTCATTGGTGGGTGGGACAAGCGGGAAGCTTGCGGCGCTGTCTCGAGGGACGAAGCGCCCGTTTCACTCGGTTTTCCGACAAGAAGCACATGCGGCGCGGGTTTTGAATTCTCTTTTTCCCAACTGACTGCGCAAAATCCCCAGGAAGACCGCTTCGGTCTCAGTGACAGTTTTCCGGGTCGGCTGTGTTGCACAGCACAGCTTATGGATGCTTGCTTCCAGCGGAGCTTTCCTGCAGCGGCCCGTCGAACCAACCCATTTCAAGGTTTTGGCAAGAGTGCCGCAAGCCTTCTCACACCACTCTTCCCTCTGCGCAACGTCATCTTTTTTTCTGTCAAAATTCAAGACAGTACGAAAGTAGTGTGTCCATGATCAGACTCAATTCATTGAAATCCGCAGCGATATCCTACCCCCGGCAGAGAGCGGACAGATCCGATCTGGAACGCAGATCGTCGGCAGTTATGCGGTTCACCGAGGTGAGCTAGGTGGGTTCGTCCCGTTTCCCTGGTTATTGTTTGTTGATTATGCCCCCAAACCGTCAGCCCCCGACTCCAAGCACTCAGCACCCCATTGGCAGCTGCGCTCTCCGCTTGGGGTCTTGACGGTGGATTCTTCTCCGATCAACAAGAAAAACTTTTGAATTTCACGTCATGTCACAACTTGCTACACCATCAGGCTTGAGGAATGCAGGTTGCTGACCGGGTCCCTCGTCCTCTCCTTTTCTAGAACCATGTCACCGCCGACACAAGACGAACCACTCCCGGCCGACCCAGAAACACCACAGCGTCCCTCGACGGCAAACAAATATGCCAATGCGACAACACCAACAAATAAACGGGCGTCGGCCCCGGCCGCTGCAACCCCGAAGAGCGCACCAGCTGCCGCTGGCAATGCCGGCAATGCCTCTGCCAACAAGAAGAAGGTCGAGCCCAGCCTACTGGGCGACTTCTTCCTCGGCCGTCAATCACCGGCCCGTGTCGTTGCCCAGCGGGAGGCTATAAAACAGCGACGGAAGAGCATGGCGGCGGATGCGGCCAACGTGCGGGAGGAATTGCGCCAGGAGATGCGCGCGGCGGCAGTGCGGAGAGTCCAGCAGCCCGGGGGCGTGACGGACCGAGTGAAGGCATGGCAGAAGGGGAACGCGGCTGCTATGAAGGAGCAAGGAGGTGTGATACCACAACCGGAGGACCTAGCGAGCGTACCAACCGAGATTGCCGCAGAGGTTCCTGCCGAGAGCGTGACGGAGACGGACCGGTTGCGCGTCAAGATGCGGCAGAAGTCGAGAAGGAGGAAGCCCAAGACCGACAAGGCCGAGGACAAGGAGAACCAGGATGACGGAGGCAGCGATGAAACGGAGCGCGGGAAACCGTCCGCGACCACATCGGGGACATCACCCAGCAAACCACCCGTGGTGGTTAAGCTGGCGCCGAAAAAGAGGATTGTCAGTGATGACAACTGGATGAAGCAGAGGAAAGGCAGGAGCCCACCCCGGAACGCCTCAACAAAACCAAAGGCCCAGCCCGCCCCGGCACCGGCACCGGCACCGATGCCAATCCCCAAGGACTTCTTGCAGCGAACAGCGAAGAATCCGACGGTACAAAATAAAATCAAAGATTGGGCCGAGAGGGTAGAAATCCCTGAACCTCCGCCAGCCAAGGTGAAGCAGTATCGCCACAAGAAATCTGGCGCGACGGTGACTGTTGAGGAAGACACCCCGAGTGTAATCGCGTCGGACCCGGGGATCAAACCCGCGCCAAAACCTCCGGCCGATGACGGCATCCGAGTCAAACCGATGAAGATGAAGCCAAGGAAACCGAAAGCCGAGACCGAAGACGGCATTCGGATACCTCCCGTGCGGAAGAAGGAGCCCGTTGATGATGGCATTCGGGTGCGGCCTATCGAGACCAACGTGCAAGACGACGGGATCCGCGTCCGGCCGATCGACAGCCCACTTACAGCCGACGGCATTCGAGTCCGTCCAGGCCCCGAAGTGCCCGCCGACGACACACCGGTACGCCCTGCTTCATCCGGGCCCACTCCGTCAGCGAGGAGCAACAAAGCGCCAAGCAGCAAAGCACCAAGCGCAAAACGCACCCAGTCCCCAGGTCCAGATGATGTGATTGAGGTCATGGAGGACCCGGAGACCGAGGTCGAGACACCTGCTAAAAGAAAACCTCGTCGACGGCGCTCAAGGCGACGAAGCCCTAGGGCCAGCCCCAGGGCCAGCCCCGTCCCGCGGACTGTGGAACTTCCGGAGGATCGACACTCGGAGTCTGAGACCGCACGCCACATCCCCTCACCGACGGGCTCTAGTGACGAGTCTGAGATGGTACCTCCGACTGTTTTGGGGAACAAGTCACTGGCGGATATTCCATTTGGGTACTCAGCATTCAGTGAACTCGACTTGCCCCTGGGCGCCGATGCACGTAACAGTACCACCAAGCGGCCCACCAAGACTCAACGAAACCCGAGCTTCAAAGCGATGCCGAAGGTTTTTAAGAAGGTTGTAACAGGTGCCAAGGACATCATTCAAGAGATGGCTGAGCCTCCGAGACCTGTTGCGACCAACAAACCGCAGAGCATTGAATCGTGGCTGAACGGCACGGTTGATCCCTTTGTCGAACCCAGTGCCAGTTCGCCAGTTTCTCAAGAGCCCACTCGCAAGGAGCCAGCGCCCCAGGAACCTGCTCGCAAAGATCCTGTCGCCCAGGAACCCGCTCGCAAAGAGCCCGCCTCCCAGGAACCTTCTCGCAAAGTGTCAGTACCTCAGGAGCCTACCCGCAAAATTTCAGTCCCTCAGGAACCCGCCCGCAAAGTTTCAGTCCCTCAGGAATCCGACCGCAAAGCGCCAGCCCCCAAGGAACCCACGCGGAACACTCTAGCCGAGGACAGGAAACCAACTCCGGAATCACCGGGGGCAGCGCTGGAGAGCCAGAAGCGGCCGACGTCGAGGCAGACGTCGAGGCCGCCATCGAGACCATCGTCGAGACAAGCGTCAGAGAGCCGATCCAGAGAGACCGTAGACTCCGCTATCTCGAAGAGCTCCGGCTCTCAGGGCAACACAGAGTCGCAAAGAGAGGAAGATAGCGATGCGACCCCCAAAAAGGCCAAGTCCCCCCCCGCTTCATCAGCTGGGCTGAAGAGGAGACGGGCAACCAGGGCAGCTCCGTCTCCAGCAAAATCGGGCGGTAAAAAGCCATTCCGGGAGCTGCTGAAGGAAGCTTTCCGGGGCGAGTCTGGCGGACATAAACTTCCGCCTGCGGTATACCCTAGCTGCGAAACCGATGACGAGAGCGATCACGACGGAGATGATTATGAGTCCACCATCCGGAGCAAGGAACCTACCGCATCCGACTACTCGTCTGGTTACTACTCATCCACCTACGATTCAATGCTTTCTTCCGATCTTTCGAGCCAAGGGCCCCAGCGAAGGAAACCGCCAACAGCCGGAGTTCACGAGTTGTCCACGATCATGTCAGAGGAGGTGGGCAGCACGGTCAGCTCAGATGCACACTCCGATATTTCTCAAACCACCGTCACCCAGACGACGGCCTTCACGAAATCAACCGACATTTCGAGACAGAAAAGCCAGAAGACGGGCCTCAAACGTCGTCTCACAAAACATTCTGATCTTGTGTCGGTCCTCTCGTTACCGGATAACGGCCAGCTCGTCGCGCCCAGACGTTCAAAGAGCATCAAATCGTCCCGTAGCCTTCACCGCAGGCCGAGCAGGGCGAACAAAAGCAGAGCCGACGAGCTGTTGGATGAGTTCGCAGACGATGAGCATTTTTACGGGAGGGAGCTGAAAGCTCTGGTTGACGGCGTCGTCCCAGTGCTCCTAAGAGATGTCATGAACGGAGGTGTTGGCGAGGCGAAGGCGGATGCCGCGGCCAAGTCGGTGGTCAGCATGGGCATGGCGCTTGAGAAGTTAAGGAACTTCCACAAGCAGGTACCCCTCGATGACATGTCGGAGTTGCTCTTCTGGCTCGAAGATGTCTCGCCAGTTTACGATAACTACCTGGACGTATGGCGGCTTGGCTTCCAGGGGCTGATCATCAACCTTGCTCCAAGAAACGGCATGTTTGATGACAATGACTCGCTCCTGAACGCCCTCCCTCTGAATGAGGATGGCGATGTTGTCGGGGAAAATGGGGAGCGGGTTGATGTTGCGTTCCTCCTGAGGCGACCTTTGATCAGGGTTAAGTGGATGGTCAAGTTCCTCAAGGTGAGTTTACCCTTTTGCTACTCTCATCGACAATAACGAGTGCTAACACCCAATTCAAAGGCTGCCGTGGCGGTCACCGAAACCCATGAAGCTGAGCGGCTGCTCTCAGTCTTTACAGCCCTTCAGGAGAAGGCTCGCAAGCGGCACCGAGAGGAGACTGCTCGCATGATGGACGAAGATGCGAACAACACCGACACCTCCCGGTGTCGTGATCTTCGGAATTTGATGTCCCTCGACGGCGTAATAATGAACCGAACACGTCAAGTCGCCGCGTTGGACGTTTTCTCCCTCGATTTGGACCATTCGAGCGGCCAGCGGTTGGGGTGCCAGGTTGAGATGATCTTTAGGGATAGCCCAGCGCTTCCCGAAGACAAGGGAGACATTCTCATCAGGGAGCTTGGAAACAACACCCGCTCATGGCTGCTGTTCCCTCCTGTACCCAGACAATACATTTCCTCCCGACTGGGAGACGATGACGACTCTCTAATCGTCATGATACGCGGTAGCCACAACGGGAACGACTGGTATGAGCTCCTGAAGATATCGACAAACAACGACGAGCAGATCGATTACTGGCTCCGCATCCTGGGAAGCCATCCCATGCCGCCTATGACCCGAAGCAGGCCAGTCAGCATGGTGCTAGGATCGACATCGCCGAAATCGGGCGCGACAGATGTTCCGGTCGGCGAGCGCAAAGCAAGTGTGTCAAGCTTAGGATCGTCCGACACGGAGAGACCCAGGACGCCATCCCGGCATCGTACACAGCAGCATGGCGGTTCTTCCCCGCCAGCTGCAACTGGCTATGCTTACCCTGGCATGACCACCACCAAGGAGAACTACGCACAGGACCACTCCGAGCAGGATAGAAGACGGTCTTCCTGGGAACACCCCTCCGGAGATGTACCGAAGATCGTCAAAGCGCCTCCCAACACTACACCATACCGGGAGGACGGCGCTCCTCCCCCGCCTATCCACCGCAACCTCAGCTCGAAGAGCTCGAAGAGCCCCGGCTTGCTCGCTCCCCCAGTGGACTCCGGCCGACGGGCGCGACTGAAGCGCCGGATGTCATCTCCGCTGAAACATGAATACACTCCCTCCGACGTCTCATCCGACAGCTCGTGCACTCTGAGCGATGAAGATTCCGAGTCGTCACAAACATCCGACGAGGACCTCGAGGAGGATGAAGTTCCCGATACCATCCCGGGATATAGCATCAAGGAGCCCGAGGTAGCCCCTCCCGAGTCCGTTGTTTCGGATAACAGTGTCACGCCGTCCCACTCGGCATCTCAGCTAGAGCTCGCCGTCAGAGATGATTCGAGACCGGAGAGGCCGGTGGAGAAATTCGTCGGGACCGTATCGTACTGGTCTGCCAGGAAGGGGATCTGGAAAGACGTCAATAACGGCGAAGCGGCTTCCATCGTTATCCATCCGGGATGTATGGAGGTGCATCCCCTCAGCGAACAACACTCCAACCGGCAAGCATACCCACTGCAGTCGTCGGGCACATCCGAAGTCGACAACAGCAACAAGGATGCCGGAACTATCGTGCCGCTTGTTGCCCTGATCTTGACCCCGGTGGTTATGATCCGTCGCAGCACTGCGCTTGACCTCGAGGTCCGGAGCCCAGCGTCCCCCGAGGCACAGCTGAAGATCGAGGCTAGCATGTTCCGTTTCCGTACCGTTAACCAGGCCGACGCCAGAGATCTCTACGAGTCTGTCCACAACAGCCGCCTGAACAATGCCCGGTACATCCAACTCAGCGAAGAGAGCCGTGTGCAATCATTCGGGCAGATGCAGCCCGTGCCCGGCGACGGCAGCGCAGGCGACGACAGCTCCAGCCGCCGACGGAGCTGGTTCGGCCGCAAGAACAGCTACCGCGCATCCACTCGCGCACCTAGCGTCTCTCAGGGCAGCATCTCGACTACTATCTCCGCGAACAGCTTCCTCCGGCGCCTCATGGGTGGCGGCAACAACAATTCCTACAACATCGACGAATCCACGCTCGACAAGCCACGCCCGAGCTCAGCGGCAGCAGTCCCAGGGGGTGGCAGCCTCTACACCTCCAGCTCGGGCTCCGGAGGATCCGGATCGGGCTCCATCACCCCTCCCCGCAGCGCGTCCCTCTCGCTCTCCAACTCGGGCAGCCAGAGCCGCTGGAGCGCCGGGTTCGCCAAGCCCTTCTCGCCGGACCAGCCGCTCGAGATCCGGTGCCACCTCAACGTGCAGAACAACCGCTGGCTCGACAAGGGCGACTGCGTCCTGCACATCAGCCGGCCGCCGCCGGGGGTGCGCCAGGAGCTGCCGCTGTACAACGGCCTCGAGAAGCGCGTCATCGTCACGCACGCGACCAAGAAGAACGCCGACCACCCGCTCATCCTGCTCGACGCCGTGCTGGGCTCCAAGTGCTTCAGCCTGCTCGGCAGCAAGGGCGTCATGTGCAGCGTGTGGGAGAACCTGCGCGACGAGGAGGGCAACGTCGGGCTCGCGCCCAGGAGCGGTGCCATCGCGGGCAAGGTTACCAAGTGGTGCTTCCAGTGCAAGAGCATGCAGCAGGCCGGGTGGATCATGCAGCTGTTGACGACCGAGGTGCCCGGGTTGATGATGGGTTAGGTTTATGGGAGGGTGTTGAGTCATTCTTTCTGGTTTTTTATGTCCTTCCCTTTGTTCTTTTCTTCTGTTGGGAGGATGGCAGGGAGGGTGTTGAGTCATTCTTTCCAGTTTTTTATGTCCTTCCCTTTGTTTTTTCCTGTTGGAAGGACGGCAGGGAGGGAACGGAAAGGGAGAGACATGGTTGGTTGTGGGGGCTCTGGGGGAGTTGTGGTCAGCTTTTTGGGGGAGTTTGTTTTGGGGGAGGGACCGGTTGGGTAACAGCATGTCGGGTTGCATGGGTTTTGGACTCGGTGTTGTTGTTTGTTGTTTCTTGTCTCATTCACCACACACTCGACTTGCCCTGTTTCTTTCATATGTCAACTGCACATACTATACCCTGTCTGGCGATAGAGTTGCTTCCTAGGTTGCATAGCGTGTTGTTTGCTATTTTTTTACTAGAGACTTTTATTTTAGTGTTAAGAGATAATTACTTGTTCGCGAATTCTACATGCATTAGTTATAAGAATAGCGGGCGGTGTGTCGGTGTGCCAGTGTTTTCGCTGCTATCCGCAATTGGATAACACAACTCCTGTCCCGCGAAAGATGCACGTGCGTTTATATTAGATATAACGATACCTGTATAACAGTAATCGCCCCAGAACATCCCTGTCAGGCTAGAACAAAGCTGCCGAATCTGGATGCAACGACGCGTTCCCTTGCGCGCCCTTGCTCCCATTCTTCCGACCACAAAGGGACTTCTTCGTGTCAACTTCACCGCCATCGCCCGCATCAAATTTGGAAACAAACAAGACCTTTCCTTTCAATTTCCATTCACACAGCGTCGCGCAGCCCCCAATTCGCTCCATTTGCACTCCTCCCTCTTCGTCCTGCGCTGCGCTGCGACAGCGCAACCGCCTTTGTCATGGCCGATTACAACTCCATGAAGGTTCCCGAGCTGAAGAAGCTGCTCGGTGAACGGAGCCTTCCTCATACCGGCAACAAGGCCGACCTCATCGCCCGCCTCACAGAGAACGACAAGCAGAAGGCTGCTGATAGCACGGCGCCCCAGGCTGGTAAGCGCTTCATCCATTCCTTGACCGCCGCAATCTGCGACTCTTTATCTCCCTGTCGCAACAACTTTCTCAACTCAATAAGGGTTGAGAAAGTCCATCAAGCGTTGCGAGATATAATTGCCATCCCAATTTGTACAATGGACACACCCGCTGACTCTGCCTCTCGTCGTTAGAACCCGAGCAGCCTGCTGCCGAAGACGAGATTGACTACGAGGATGACGACCTCCCATCAACCAAGAAGGACGCCGTAGCAGAGAAGCCCGCTGCCGCACCTGCCGCCGCAGAGACCAAGCCTGCCACCGCCACGGAAGCGCCCGCTACCACGACAGACACCGCCACCACCACCACCACCGCCACCACCGAAGAAGCCAAGACAACCGAAGCCGCGGCGCCGGCCGCGGAGGCGGCCAAGCCTGCCTTCACGCAGAACCTGCCGCCGACGAACGCGCAGTCCGAGGCCGAGAAGCGCGCCGCGCGCGCCGCCCGCTTCGGCATCACCGCCGCCGCCGACGCCACTGCCGACGGCGCTGGTGAGGGTGACGGCGAGGCCCAGTCCGAGGAGGCGAAGCTGGCCGCGCGCGTCGCCCGCTTCGGCGTGGCTAACGACCGCGTCTCGGCCCTCGACAGCGCGCTGCCCGACCGTCCGCGCAAGCGCGGCCGTGGGGGTGCTGCTGCCGGTGCGGAGGGGGCGGAGGGTGAGAGCGCTGCTGCTGCTTCTGGTGAGAAGGAGGAAGGCGGGCGTGGTAGCAAGCGCGCGAACCGTGGTGGTGCGGGTGCGGGCGGGAGGAATCAGCAGCAGCAGCAGAGGCGTGGTGGGAGGGGCCATGGTGGGAGGAGGCAAGGTGGTGGTGGCGGTGGTGGTGGTGGTGGTGGAAGGGGTGGGAATGCACAGAAGGGCGGGGAGAAGGGTGCTGCGCGGACGGTGGACCCCGCTGAGAAGGCTAAGCTGGAGGCTAGGGCGAAGAGGTTCGCTGCTGCTGCTTGAGGCTGGGTGGCTACCTACCTACCTACTTACCTGCTTCTTTATTCTCGCTTGTTTGGCCGGCCTTTAGGGCTTTTAGTTAGTTCCTGCACCTTTTGTGCCACGTAGTTTGGTTTCTTTCGCAATCTTGTCACCGATCGATCGACGAGGAGGGGTTGGGCGGGGAGAGAAAAGGATGGGGAAATAAACCATGGGTCGGATATACAGGAGGGCAATGGAAATGCGGACTTTGTAACCATATCATACCCATATTGCTGAAACTGAGTTCTCGGGTTCTCCTTGTGATGGTGTGGGCTGGTTTGAATGTCTGTGTGTCTTGTCACGATACCGTGAGGCGCTGCGGAATGGAGCGAGTGTCCGAGGTATGGTTGTGTAGCGGACCACGGCGGAGAAGGGCAGTACGGCGGCACCTCATAGGTAAGAGAAGCCGAACCCCAAGTGAGTGTTCTAGACGTCGACCAAAGCTCGACCTTAGGAAGGAAACAAAAGCCATACTGAAGCCCCAAAGAAACGGGATTTACTCCACTTACTTTTCCTTGACACCCCTTCTTTTATTCGATTTCGTTCACAGTCCAGCTAAATTAGCATGGGCGGACACAAGATAGATAAAATTGTTTACTTTCAACATCCCGCTTCTATCAGTACCCCTGGTTCCTCGCCCAAGTACCAACATGTCTACGAGGCATAATGGAACCGGGGAGGGCGGAGAGTTATGACGGGATAATGATACGCAACAACACCCCAGAGGTCAATAACCTGCACAGGGGGCTGTATAGGGGAAGAGGTCACAGTTCACTGTGTTGGTTTTATTTGTGCCGCTGCTTACCAAGTAGACCCTCGTTTTTCATCGCACTTGTCTTCTCACGGTGCGGTTAATCCTTCGGTCTCGAAGTAACAACTTCGTCGAGATACCTGGCTGGAGATGGGGGGATAGGGGGGAAAATGAAACCGATGTTTGGAACAGCAAGGCCAGCTTAAAGTAGCGAGGACCAGTTGATGGACGCTGGCTCGTGCATCGCTACAATTTTGGGGGTTGTATCAGAACGAAGCGGAGGCGCTGGTGTCGCCTACTGACTTAGTCCTCGTTGAAGTGAACCGGCAGCGGAGTTCGGTCTCGGAAAGGAAAAAGCCCTTACGTATTTCGTATGCCGCTTTGAGCAACACTATCGTGATAATCGAGTTTCAGCAAAGTGCTCATCACACCAGTGGTTAAGTGAGCGTTCCTGACTCGCATGCATGGGATTAGGTATCGCTTGCAGCAGAACGAAGCACATCCGTCCTAGTTAGTCATGACTCGCAGAAGGATTGGAGTTACATCGCCGCCAGGTGCCCTTCTGCAACAATAAATGGCCAAACATGCAGCTGAGCCGGTGACGCTAAGGAAGAAGTGTGGTGACAGCGCTTGTTGTTGACTGGGACATGCGAACGGAAAAATGTTGACTTGGATGCCACTCTCCGGTTTCTGTACCCTCATTGTTGGAAGCCGAGGACTGGACGGTAAATATGACCAGCCATTCAGACCTCTTTCCTCCCAAGACCACCGGTTAATGTGCCCTCCTAGCTGATATGAGGGGGTGTGCCGTCGAGGACAGCCATAGGTCACGACACGCCACAGTTTCGCATGCGCCTCAAGTCACTTGACTTCCCGCATCCGGCAGGGTATTTTGTCTGACGGAAGACGGGGACAAGGAAACCCCGTCGATCACGAGGTGGAATATTTGGCCGTGGCCTCGGCTGCCGTGTCCAAGCTGGCCGGACACTGGGCGGGACGGACCATGGAGAATCACTGGTCCTCGACGGGACGGGGCGTCCTCTTACGCTATGCTAATCACAGGATGAAGACATGGGCGGACGTTGTTGATTCGCGGGGAAGAGAGACAGAAACAAGGAATAGGGGTCGAACAGACGGATTCCCATATTTGCCATCCCTGGCTAACCATGATGCTGTCTCGATGCCCTTCTCTAAGAGGTAAGACCTTCGAAGCGGCAGGAATTACCGAGCCTTCCACATCTCGCTCAGGGGGACGAGTGTTGAACCGGGACAAATTGCAGGAGAGCGAGGTGATGAAGGCAGGGGGGTTGTTAAGCGCGGGTAAGAACGGCACACGTGAGAAATCCCATCAGCAGGGCGGCTCAGCTTAGGGGGTCATCAAAACAGGGGAGTGTGAAGAATGGATGTGTTTGGCTGAGCTTGCGCAGATCGAAGTGTCAGGGTGATGTTGCAATGGTCGATAAAGACGCCACATTGGGGATTGAATGGCATTGTCGATGCAGAGTGGCAGACCGGACGACGACTTGTTTGGCGAAGAGAATCAGCACATGACTCCGGTGTCATTGACTCCTTACACGAGATCGGCTGTTGGTTACTGTTGGCTGCTGTTGGCGGTGGTGACACAACGAAAACGAGGTCGAGAGTTAATCTGTAATTAGTTTCCGAAACCAGATTGCGTTGCTGTGAGGGGGGCATGGATCCTGTCGTCGGCTTGATGACATCAAGCGATGCCGGCGATACCGGCGTGATCCGTGCCCAAAAGAGGTTAAGAAGATTCGTGATTGCTGCACATTGACCCTTCCGCAATCACGTTTGTTGTTGAGGGGAGGACTCCAAGAAAATCAGATCCTGCCCGCTGCTCCTCGCAACCTTAACCAATGGGGGCTGTCAAACCCCTGCCTGGCCGGGTGAACTCCCTGTCGCTCTGAGCTTGGCGAGAACGCGGGGCTCTGACAGGGACATGGTTTAAGACAGGGGGTTGCCGAGGCGGCCAAGCCAAGAGGGCGCCTCTTTCAATTCGAGCCGCCATCGACTTCACGGCAAGTTCCAGCATCCGAGCTTCAAACTTGATGTTGATGCATCATCAATCCAAGTTGATGGCGTACCTGCCTCCCGAGATGGCAAATTTTCAGAGGCAGCCACTGACGATACACCGATTTATTTGTGCCACGTCGCCAGCCTCAGCAGTACTGGGGTTCGCGACCGAGCCAGAGACCCGGAGCTGTGGCGGAGCATGCAAAGATTCGCCAACTCTTCTCCAACGGCTCTCGCTTCCTCGGTAACGCACTCGCCACAACTGAACGACCCAACAAGCCGGTTTGTCCTGCAGGAATCCAGTCGATCGGAATCGCTCACCGTCGGCCGACCCGACAGCACGTCGCTCGATCCTACCTATTTTGCAACGTGCCACTGCGTAGGTACTGATGAATCCGCCTTGCCCCGTGCTCGGTAGGCTCACACAACGCCCTCGTGGTTCACAACGCAACGCCAACTCATTCATTTTCAGCTCCCGAACTCGCCGAGGTTTCGATGATCCTCCTAGACTGCAGTGTAATGTTTTTGTCATATTTCCAAGTTTTCCTCGACTGGGGACTCGGACCTGCAGGGACTGGAGTGACTGGCAGACCGAACTGTCGCCGATCAAGCACATTGGCGCCAGGAACCCCGCTTGCAGTGCGGCTCATCCATCGTGCCATCTTGCTCCACGGTTGTCGATCACCCTCAAGAGGCCAGATCCAGAGCAGGACCGCACACCCTCCGTTAGCACAAAGCGCGCAATCCTGCAGATGGTTCGCATGTCTGAGTGAGACATGCATGCATGCAGCAAGATCAAAACGACCACGAGATGGTGTCCGATATCCCGGTAAAGACAATTTCTCGCAGGCTCAAGAGGAAAACACGGTTTCGATCTTATGCAGACTGCCGAATCCAGCTCGAAGAGGAGTCTGGGTTGAGAGAAATCAGGGGTTTCTCTGATCGCTTGCGATGAGAAACGTTGCTGGTTGGCCAAAAATGTTGGTATTTTGGCCAATCAAAAAATCCAAACGCCTTTTGGCCAGCCGCCGCGGGGCAACCACGCGTCGGCCGACAAATCAAACGACAAGGGGCGGCGGCTGTTCAACCGGAGCACCTTGTTGGTCGGTTGGATGGTTTTCCGGCCCAGAGAGAGTAGAAAAACGGGTTATCGTGTTGTGTTTCCCCAATCCCGCTCAGATCCCGCCGAGAACGGAATTGGCACTGGAAGCCCCGGGAGGAAGTCTCCAATTCAGACCGTTGTCTTTGCTCGACTAGACGGCAAGGAGGGCTTGGTTGAGACTGCAGTGGAAGACACACGACACCCGACTCTATCTCTCACCGTCTCCCTCATAACAATGAACTCGGCGGCGGAGTGCGTCGTCGTTGGTGGCGTGTCGTTTGGAGTTTCGACGTCTCGGCCTCGTGGATCCCCACACTTACTGTGTAATCAAGGACTTTCCCAAAGCGACGCTAGCTTCCGGGGGATCGCCGCCATGGATCAATCGTGACGAGTCGATACGCCGCAGCGAGACTTGCCCGCCTGAGACATGGAGGAATCAAGTAAAAGTCCCGAACTCTATCATTGGATCTTGTCCATCCTCATGGCGAAGCTCTGTCGTACGTTTAAAGGCCCGACCTGGTGAGGTCCATGTGGAGATAAACTCGCGTAAGGTACTAACTAAGAGTCAACGCCTCCGGGCTCAGGGTCCGCAACACAGTCGGGTACCCGAGACACACCCCACCGCGGCCGTTCGACTCGCCGTTGGCGCCGCCCAAACCCGGCACGGGTGGCGAGCAGACATCCCGTTGCCAGCCGCTTTTTTCAGGCCGACCCCTGGTTTATCAGAGAGTGGGAGCCATTAAGAGCATCCCTTCCGCCGTTTGTTGGTCTCCCGTGTCTCCTTCACCTCGGGAGCCATATTGATGATCCACGGCCACCGACGGACACCGGAAATCAGAGCGGAACAGTTAGTGGATAATCTTTTCATCCTGAAGGCACCGAATACAGCAAGTGTCCTGCTGGGCGTCGAGGGTCTGCTGCCCAATGACACCTCAAAAAATGCTTTTTGGGCCCTCATAGGGCATGTCCCTCCTGCAGCATCCAGGGCTGTCTTGCGCGCATGGCGGCGCAGCGCCAGTAATGGATGTGCTGTGGAGCAGCCGCCCTGCAGGGAAGCGACAGGGCCTGAGGGCTTGATGAACGCCGACGAGGAAGTGGGGCCTGTCTACCGCCCTGTTCCTGTTCCCGAGCCCCACCGCGCTTGTACCAATGCTCCACTTCCATTCGCACCGCTCTGCTCGCTCCTGCCGCTGGCTGCCTCGAATCCATCCTCGCAGCTTCCCGCATTGCACTGCACTGCGCTGCATGGCTCGCCTCGCCTGCGAGTGGCTTTCCGCTGCTCCATGTCTCTCCCCTTCCCTTTCCTGCATCGCGCTTCCCGTGGATGAGTCAGTGGTTGGCGTGCCTGTCCGATCCCTCACCTGCAACTTCCCGCCCAATCGACCTGCGTCTCCCTCCCCTGTTCTTTGCACCAAAACCCACATGACTTTGCCAACGTCGTCTTCTCCTGGCCAGCGCGGCCTCGGGCGAGATGACTACGCCACCCACTAAGGCCAACCGATCATGTTGGGATTCAGTTACAAGTGTACATGCAATATGATTTTTCAATTGGGCTTTTCGTTGGCAGGGGTGTGGAGTTGGTCCCCTGTCGTGTCCCTCCTCGGATGTTGAGAGAGAGGACTTCCCCAGGTTCGAGGTATCTTCTCGCGGTCCCGTTCATATCTTGCTACTTCCCCCCAAGCCTTCACTTGGACGTGTCCTCCTTTTCCCTCTTCCGCTCCCACGTTCTATCCGCTTCTCTTTAATATCGATATCAAGGAGGCAAATTCACCTGCGCCTCACTTCGCCAACCGTTCCACGACCTCCACATCCGGCTTACTCTTTCCCCATCTTACGCTGCTGGGCGGTACACCCATTCATTCGCAGGGGAGACCAGATCCGAAGAGAGACCCACGACGGCGCCAGCGCTTCCTGCCGCCGCCCCCCACCCTTTTCCCGCGGGTGTGATCTTGCACCACACACCCTCCCGCTCGCAACCCCTCCACCCCTCCTCTCTTGGCCTTTTAGGGTTTTGATTGATAACTGAACTGGGGTCCTGGAGACTCGTCACTTTTTGTGTCCTCTTTTGGATTCTTGATCTTTTCTCCTCTCTTTGATGCTTCTCTCGCCCCGGCTTATCGAGGCCCTCTTACTTCCCTTACCCTACCCTACCCTACCTACCTGGTGTTTGAAGGGAAACTATAATCATCCGCTCTCACGGCTGGACCATTAGGCCGCAGGACAGGCCAATCTAATAACTCTGACCTTCGACCTCGCCTCCCGGCCCTGGTCACGTTTGGGACCCATACGCAACCGCCGAGGCACGCCGTAACGGTTTTCCATACTTGGTAATCACTCGGCCCCAGAATAGGCCCAGCTTCCCGCGGTGCAGCTCAAGGTTGCCCTCCTCACTCGCCACTGACCTGGCCCACCCCACTGACTTTTACCCCAGTGACCTAAACCGCCTACGTGTTAATTCGTACATTACCTCCGATGGTCATGGGTCGTTGAAACTGGGTGGGTGATTATGGTCGAGGCATCCAGGCTTCATCTTGAAGAGAGTACAAAACCACAATGGCTTCCAGGAGGCCAGGAGGCCAGTCTTTTGGCTGGTCGGGTATCAGCAGGCCTAGAGATCCACGAGCCGGCGCGGAAACTCCGCAGGAAGAGATAAAATCGAGGGCCGGGTGGAAGACCAAGAGGGCGGCCGAACCGAGTCACCAACCTTCGAGAACGATCCCGCAACCGAACCCGTCCCGACTGCCACAGGCTCACCATCGCCGCCCGTCGGATGGCCAATCAGAGCAACCGCGCCTGGTTCAACCATCCCGGGTTCGGAGCTCCATTGGAAGCGCAAGTGGTGTGGTGGTGGGGGATTCACATGGGCCGTCCTCGACTGCCCCAGCTCCCAGCAAGCTTCCAGCCCCCAGTTTGAAGCCTCGAAATATCCTCCGCCGCAAACGCTCGGGTTTATCGCAGGACACAACCAGCACCCGTAACGAGTCGCGAAATGACTCGACTGGAACCGCCTCCTCGGAATCTTATTTCCGTTGTCAAACACCTCCGGACCCGTTCCACCTCGACCGCGAGCTCACCCAGAGCCCCATGGAGATCCGGCTCGCCCAGCAGGTCGAGATCCCGATGACAAAGGCACAAACGGTGACAATATACCCCGAGCTGGATAGGTATCGAGATGTGCAACTACCACCCCGGCCCGAGAGCCCAGGTTCGAGCCTACCATACCGCATCGCGACCCACGACCTCGCCCCCCACACCCCTTTTCTCCGGAACAAGCAGTCAGGTCAGTGCCTTTAGTGGCAGTCCATCTACAAGATGGTCGGAGTCGCCGGGGCCGGGGCCATACAGCCGTGACACCACGCCTACCTCAATGTCGTCACAATCCCCGGGCTTGGTGGCCCCAATTCGGATACCTCCGCCGGGGACGAGGCGACCTCCCGTGACACGAAGAAGAGCTGGCAGCATCTCAAATGAAGCCGGCCCCGTAACGACCGATCCTCAGGGGCTGTCTGTTGTTAGAGAGTTGTCGACCTCGTCATCTTCCAATTCAACTGTCCGTGCTGGTGTCAACGCAAAAGAGAAGAAGAGCAAAGGATCGTCGCACCGCCCGCCCAGCCCACCGCCGAGGAAGTCGTCACAGAAGCCTGCAGAAAGCCGAGATGAAGTGGTGGCCTCGTCAAAGGCCTCGCGTAGGGCTGCCCCAACACAGGTCGCATCGCCGCCCGCAGTGAAACCCACCTCGTTTTCCCGTCCTCGGCCTGTACAACCCACGCCGCCCACCGGTTCGTCTCGACTCGCACCGCCTCGACGCCCCAGCCGCGATGGGACCGCCGATCTCCCACCTCAAAATGGGCAAACCATCCCTGTCATTCACAGCAATCTGTCCTCAACCTCGTTGTCCGAAAGACGGCAGAGCGGCCTTCTGGCCCCAGGCCCGGCCAGCCGGCCGATCGTCTCAACCGCTGCCCCAGACCGGCCGAACTACCTATCTCGCCGGGCCCCAACTAGGGAACCCACGCCGACCCCCAGGCCTGCTGCCTCTCGTGATGTGGCAGGGACGTCCAAACAAGAACCGGCGAGGCCGACACGAACACCAAGCCCCAACGTATCGACCTTTAAAACCCGGTTCCCCATCTTCGGTCGACGGACGAAAACAGTTCCCGAACCAACTCAGCAGGATAAGAAGGACAAACCCGCAAGGAAGGGACCAGCAGCTGGAACCGGCCACGAGGGTTACGGAAAGCTGGGCTCAGTGCGCCGGAGAAGCAACAGCATCACGAGCACGACGCGTGTGATCCCAGGGACTATGTCTTCGCAGGAGAGCCTGGGCAGCATATCCCGCGACTCGTTCCTACAAGAACGGATGGCACCAGTCGTCATTGCTGGTGGCGAAATAGTTGAGAACAAAAACGCCAGCCCGGAACTAACCCGCATTGAGAGCAACCAGAGCTCGACATTGAGGCGGCCCAGCATCGAATCCCGAAACGACTCTCAAGTTTCGCTCGCTTCGTCTCGCGAAGCCTCTCGCGAGCCCCCTCGCAAATCCCTGTGGCCGTCTCCTTTCCCGCGTCACGCGCAGACACCTTCGCTGAGCAGTCGGCGCCCGTCCGAGAGCAGCGATTCCGAGGCCGTTATGATGAAGCCGACCTTGGCCGTCAGGAGATCAATGCAGCGGATAAAGTCTGGCGAACAGGAGCCCCCAAAGCTACCCAAGCCGATCGTCACCCGACCCCAGGTTGTATCGCCCGCAATGACGAGCCTGGACGCTAGCATCATGTCTGATGACTCCGTCTTCGATCCTTCCGCGGAACCGGCCGTGACGACCAAGGAGCGGACTAACTCGGCGGCCACCTCCGGACCAAAGAAGCTGGTAAGACGAGCTCGCTCCCCGCGCAGGTGGAACTTTTTCGGCCGCTCGCACAGCCAGGCACCCGCCGAGAAAACGGACACGGCCAAGACGGTGGCTGCGACGGTCCAAGTAGTGCAGAGCAAGCCCGTGGCGTTTTACACCATGATGGACTCATCCGAGCAAGATGACTCTGACCCGGTTGACCTGGAAGAAGTGCTCCGCGAAGCGAGGGGTATCCCAACGACCACCCCTGAATTACCCCAAGCGGAAAACCCATCAAGCAGGAGGCCATCCGAGACAATGCAGTCACCATCAAACGCGCCGACGTCCCAGCAACTCGAGGTTCAGCGACCTGAAAATACGAAGCGAGTGTTCACAACCTCACCCGCCTTGCCCGCCGCCCCTCGGTCGAAAGCCGAGCCAACGCCAGCTCAGCCGCCTACATCTCAAGCCCCGAGTCGACCGAGCAGACTCCCTCAAGTCGGCCGCATCCCCAAGGTGATAAGCGCTAGGGCCGAGCAGATCTCACCGAAAAGCTTCTCGAGGCCTTTTCACCGGTTGAGCGTACAGATGCCCCCGGTTGCACTTGAACCCCAAGACCAGGAATCGGTCGCGAAAGGACCGAGCCCTCCCAAGCCCTCTACCCCAGAGACCTCCCACGACGACCCGATGTCAGGAAACCATTCCAACATCTCGGCTCTGATTTATGGCGTGCCAAGGTTGCTCCCACCAACCTCCAACCAGAACGGACAGGAGTTCCTCTCGTTCTCGCCCCGCAAGGACTCGCAATGCACAACGACAACATCCTCCAGCAGCTCGGGGGGACTCATGACCTTTGCCGATGCCACTGCGGTCGTGCCCTCGCCGTGCGCCCCGCTTGCCGAAGACGAGATTTGGGACGAGTATAACGACCTGCTCGGGGAGGAGACAATCAAGCTGTCGACATTGCAAGGGTCGTCCTGGCCAAAGCCGCTGCGGCTCGATGGGTCTACGGACAAGAAATATATCGAGCCTGCATTGGAATCGCCGACCCTCAGCCCTCCACCTCTGCCGAGTTTGGTTCAGGCTCTACGGGCGGGAATGGAACACAATTCCTTGAGCGTCCGTGGCTCAGACGTTGCCTTGGAGGTCAAGCGTATGCTCGACTACGAACCCACGCCGATAAACTCTGTTGTCATCTCCGATACGCCATGCAGCCAGGACGACGAGCTTGACCGCGTGAATTCGAGCAATCAGAAGGAAAAGGCCCCATCCGCGCAACGGGATAGCTGTTCCTCTGCCCTCCAAGTGCGACGGTCAAACGCCAGCAGTAGTACTCAGTGCTCCGAAGACAATTCGCCACTGTCGCAAGTCAATCTACGGGTTGGCTCCATGACCGTCAGCAAGTGGCTTACGTTTGGCCATGTCCTCTTCAGCCCCGTTCGAGACGAGCTGGTCTCCGAGGTCGGCTCGCTCAAGCGCCCCTCGATCCTCGTGGTTGACGGCCTAGGTAACGACGACTGGTCCTTCTACGCGGCCGAGACATACCCCGCCGCTACGTTTTTCAACCTCTCACCCCGTGCTCCTCTTCCGACCGAGTACCAAAATGAATCCTCTTTCCCGCTTAGCCCTCCCAATCACCACCAGGTTCAGTTCGCATCCCACACGGCAAAGTTTCCCTTCGGCGCGCAGAGCTTCACCGCGGTCGTCGTCCGCTTTCCCGCGGCCGCTCCCGAAGGCCACTACCGCAACATTATTTCCGAGGCTCGTCGTGTCCTGAAACCCGGCGGTTACATCGAGCTGTCCATCCTCGATGTCGACCTCAACAACATGGGCAATCGCTGCCGCCGCACAGTCCGCCGCATCAAAGAACGCATCCATGCCCAGGCCCCCGACACCAGCCTCGCATCAGCCTCGGACCTCATCCTCCGCCTGATCGGCAGGCGAGGATTCACCGACGTCAAGACCTGCCGCGTCGGCGTCCCCGTCGCCAGCACAGTCGCTCGATCGCGAGGCAGCAGCAGCAGCAACAATAACGGGGCCGGCGGCAGCAACGGGAAGCGGCGCTCGACGGGCGCTGCGTCCGGAGCGGCCAAGCACAAGAAGGACGAGCGTAGCCTTCCGGAGATGATGGCCGACGAGAGCCCCGTTGCGGACGAGAGCATCGCGCAGTCGGTGGCACGGGTTGGTCGGTGGTGGTACAGCCGCTGCTACGAGAGCGCCGCGGGGCCCGGGCTGGGCCCGTCCTCTTCCAAGGGCGGTAGTATCTGGCGCGACAAGGCGCTGCTCGCCGAGTGCGAGGAGTGGGGGACCAGCTTGAAGCTGATGGTCTGTCACGCGAGGGTGCCGGATGGGAGGGCCAGGGTGGCGAGCATTTGATGGCTTTGCTCCCCCTTCCGGTTGTTGTTGTTGGGTTTCTTTTTTTCTTTCTTTCTTTTCTTTTTGCCCCCGACGTTGGACGGAACGGAACGGAAGGGATGGAAGAATGAGCGAGGCTGTGCAAACAACAACACGACAACCACTACGACGACATACAACAACATACACATGACGCATACAAAGACCAAGAGGGCGCGAGCCCGAGGGTATCATCCATACACATTTTTCACGACCGTCGCATTTACCACCAAGGCGCGAGCCGGTGGTAATAGAGCGAGGACGGCTCAGAGCGGCTGTTTTGGCCCCTTTTACTTTCTTTTCTTCTTCTTTCTACCAACCTACCCTCAATCGACAGGAACGAAAGCGGGACGGATTCTAATTTTTTTCGGCATACATATTGCTTCGTTTCTTTTTTAATGGTCATCCTGGGGAGGACAATTAATAATCACCCTACCTACCACGACAGGAACCCGCTGGCTGGCTGCAATGGTTTGGATTTGGACATTTTCTGGTTTGGGGGTTTGGGGCTTTGGACATCCCTTGTCCGCAAGGAGATTGCCTGGGACGAGATGACTGGCGTTGGGTTTCGGTCCATTATTTTCTGGTTCTTCTTTTTGGTTTACTGTTGGCGAGCGAGCAAGCGAGCATCCGCGAGATACCCCCACCGGTCCTTTTCCAGCTGGGCTTTATGAGATGGGATGGGAGGATGGAAACGTACATAGTATGAGTGAATGATGAATATGAGATGTTGAAGCCATATCGATGAGCAATGCGCAGAACGTGATGATTTGGTGAAGTTGATGGATATTTTTGTTGCTAAAATTGTCTTTTCTTTTCTGTGTTTACTAAACCCTGGTTCGGTCAGGATTCCGCTGACCTTTTATGTTACCTTTTATGTACAGATCGATATGAGAGAGTCTAAACAAGACCTTGCTCACGAGTAGGTGTTCTACACATCGTCGTTCCCCCCACCCAACACACCCTTTCCAGACTTTCCACAATCACGCCGCCTTGGCCAGCTCGGCCTTGACCCAAGCCTCGAGCCCCCCCGCGGCGATGATCTCCTGCACGTTGGCCGGCAGCTCCCCGACCTGCTCCGTCCACGTCTCCCCGCCGGGGCCCTCGGTCACCTCGACGAGGCTGCGGCGGACATCCCACGTCAGGGTCCAGCCCGTGCGGCGCGTGAGCACGCGCGCCTCCCCGGCGGCGGCCTGCGGGGCGAAGCGCGCGCGCAGGCGCTCGACGAGGCGCGGGATCTCGAGCCCCATCAGGGCGTTGTTGATGCTGTTGCGGGAGAAGACGTTGCCGAAGCTGGCGGCGACGACGAGGGGGATGTCGCGGGCGAGGATGGCGGTGGCGCTCTGCTCGCGCGACGAGCCGCAGCCGAAGTTGAAGCCCGAGACGATGATGTCGTTCGGCTTGGCGATGCCGTCGAATTGGGGGTCGTAGTTGGAGAAGCAGGCGCGCGCCATGTCCTCGCGCGACACGTTGTCCTGGTACGTCAGCCGGCCCGGGTAGATGGCGTCCGTGTCGAGGTTGTCGGCGTCGCAGAAGACGATCTCGCCGCTGATGCGCTCGGGGAAGCCCGGCAGGATTTCTGTCGCGGACTTGTCGTCGGCCGGTGCCACGGCCGACTCGACCCGGTCGATGAGCGAGTCGAGCTGCTGTACGAGACCGGAGAGCTCGGTCTCGGGGGTGCGTGGGAGGCCGGTGCCGTACCCCGCGTCCACGCCGGACCAGCCCTCGGGTACCTGGTAGATGCCCGGCCCCGTGATAATGCCGCTGAGAGCGCTGGCAGCCACGACTTCGGGGCTCGCGAGGTATGCCTTTGCGTCGCGCGATCCCATGCGTCCCTTGAAGTTGCGGTTGCTGGCGCTGATGCCGACCTCGCCGGGTTCGAGCAGCCCCGTTCCCTAATTTCGTTAGTATTAAGAAATGAATCACAAGAACTCGGAAAACTAACGAGGCCAATGCAAGGGCCGCAGCCAGCCATGAGGGGCTGGGCGCCGGCCTCGACGAGGATCTGCCAGTCACCCATAACCTCGGCGGCCTCCTGCTCTGCTGCTGAGGCTGCCGCGACGTAGAGCTTGACACTGTCGGAGATCTTGGGAATAACGCCCCCGTTGGCCTCACCGGCGTCCCTGAAAACCTTGGCAGCAGCCCTGATGTCGGAGGCTCGGCTATTGGTGCAAGACACGATATACGCGCGGTCGACTTTGATCTTCTGCGGCGCTAACTCGTGGAGGGGCGTCGCAACCTTGACGGAGTCAGGACCGGAGACGTAGGGCGAGAGCGTGGAGAGGTTTAGGTAGAGCTGCTTAGCGTACACGGCATCGGGGTCTGCCGTGACTGGGTTAGCGAAGAGTTTGTCCACCGTCTCATGCGTGATGCGATCCCGCGTGGTTCGGTCTTCAAGCATGGCCGCTTCGGTCGCCTTATACCGCAACCAGCGCTCCAGAGTACGGTCGATGGGGAACAGGCCGGCAAGGGCGCCCCATTCGCAGGACATGTTGGCGATCGTTACGCGAGTATCGACCGGTAGGGTCTGCATGGTCTCTTCGGGCCCCGTGAACTCAACGACATGGTTTAGAACGTCGCTCTTGAAGATGCCGCACAGCGCAACGATGACATCTTTGCCGGTCACACCCTGCGGCAGCGTTCCCGTAAGCGTGACACGCGCAATGGGCGGGACGTTCCACCATGTCCGACCTGTAGCCCAAATACTGCAAGCATCGGTGCGCACGACGGGGGATCCAAGGCAACCCACTCCGCCGTAGTGAGTGCTGTGGCTGTCCGAGGCAACAGCCATGGTCCCTGGCCAGGCATGCCCCTCCTCCACCATGATTTGGTGACCGATTCCGTGGCCGGCGGGGTAGAAGGCAGCCCCTTGCTCCTTAGCGAAGGCCTCGATTTTTTTGTACTTGGCGAGGTTGACCTCGCTGCGGTTGGACACATCGTGATCCAACGCCATGATGAGTTGACCGGGGCGGTGGACTTTGGTTGCTCCTATCGACATGAATTTCGTCATGACCGGGAACGAATTGTCGTGGGTAAGAATAGCGGCCGGCTCGATGCTGATGTAGTCGCCGCTCCGGACACGCTTGCCTGGGGGTAGGCCAACAGCATAGCGTTGAACGATCTTCTCGGTGAGGGTTTGAGGGGACCCTCTCTCGGCGGCGGAGGTCGTCGTGGCATAGCCGCGATGTTGGGAGCGAAGGCATTGGGACTGAGAAAAGGCAATTGTAGGTGTACGAAGGCATCGGGAACTCGGTACTGATCGCAACGACTGGATCGTCCGTACGCTGGCTTGACTGACAGGATACCAACTGCTGGAGAGGCGCATAGCCCGCCTGCTCATGGGGCAGAGCTTGATATGGAGGGTTAGTCAAAAGGCTAGAATACGGAAAAGGAGCACTGTCTGACTTACCCCTCTTGCTCTGTACGCCATGTTGTACCGCAGAGGTTATGGCAAAACCTCGACGTGTGTGTTAGGTAAATACCTGGATGTTGACGGACAAACCTTTCGAAAGAGAGTCATAGTACGAATAAACTCATCGTCTGTCGATGTTCCAAAATCTCGGCTCGGCATCGATTGGCCCACTCAACCCTGGCGGTCTCCGATTCCGGCCCTTGAATTCAGCCCCTTGTGATTGGCCCAGTGAGTGTTGATCAGGCACTGGGCACTGTGACTTTGCGTACCGTACGAGGTAAGGTACATTACCTACGCAGTCATGGTGGGGAGTCACGAGTGTCGTTGAGCAAGATTTTGGTGAAAGAGAGAATGGTGATATGACGTAGACTGACCATCAAGCAGCTTGCTGGGCATCTAAATACCCAAGTTTAGTTTTCTGGCCCTAGATAGCCAGAGGTTCTCGGTTTCTTTGGTCCTTGGCTACCAGGTACACATTTGTCTTCATGACCTCGTTCCCCCTTGGAGCGGGGCACACGCCGCTGGGCTGCAGGCGCTCCCGAGAGATACCCGAGAGCGAGAACGAATCTCAACGAGGCCCAAAATAGGTCCAGTCGACAACGCCCGACACAGACACACTCCTCCTGTGATAGCCGGGATTGAGGTCTCTGGTGAGTTGCATCCGTGTGGGCATACTTGAACGGTGTTAATCTGCCCAGGAAGGCAGGCACGCCGCCATGTAAATGTCGACCAAACCAACGAAACGAAAGATACAAAAACCCCAAGGAAACTGTATTTGCTCAATTTATTTTTGTTTTACTTGAGTTCTTGTTTTTTATTGTTTTTACTCGATTTCTTTTATTTGATTCATTCTCCTCGACTTCTTTTCTTTCATATTCTTTTCCCTTTTATTTCACATCTTTTTACTTGATTATTTCTTCCTTTGGACGGGAGCTCGGGAGTGAAAGTGTGCTTTGTTCCAACGGCTTGGGTCTTGCTTGGCGGGGTAGGTTGCTTCCCCGGATTGGCGGCCGCTTTGCGGGCCAGACCTTTCCAGGTCTCCGATCTCCGAGGAGCAAGCAGCAGCACTTTCCTCCAGTTCGCCCAGACCCCTGTCCCCAAGCACCCAAGTATACTCCTACGCACACAGGACCATCGCAGAGCATCCTTCTTCCATCGCATGCACGAATGCCTGTCAAAAAAGCAGACGACTTGACGACCGACAAGGGCCCTCTCCACTGAGAAAGGAAAGCACAGGCTTGCTTTCGAGTACTTGTCCTGCCTGCCGTGTCCGAGACATGGTCGATCATGGGCCTTGAGCTTCGACTCGTCCACTCCCTCCTATTCACCAGAGCCGGGTTGAGCACGCCGTTGTTTTCTTAAACGGCTATTACTTTTTTGTTTTGGAGTAGAGGTAGTTGCCGAAGCAGACGAGACGACGCGACACAAAAAAAAGAAACCATCCGCCCGAATTGCACGACTTCGGCTAGACGAGGGCGAGCGGTAGATAAATGCCCGGCGACTCTAGCGCCCCATTACATCCCGCTCCGAGTCCACCATGACACGGCGCATTGTACGATTCCCTTTCCCAATCTCCTAGTACTATAAATATCGCACTAACCACCGCCCCTCTCCCTCACGAACAGGTCCGCACAATAGTGCAAACCACTACCGCCGCCATCTTCACCTTCATCGTCATCTTCTTCCTCGACCGCAACTACCGTGTCCTCCCCAACGCCATACACGAATACCTACCCTCCCACCACTCGGGCACCGTCGTCACCGACATCACCCTGACAAAATGCTCGTCCCTGAACGTCTTCTCGTCGTGCAAGCTCGACTCCACCGTCTGGCACCGCATCGACAAGGACCTGTACCTGCGCCGCAGCATGTTCTCGTCCGCCTACCTACACATCCAGCGCAAGCGCGAGGAGGAGCTGACGCCCGAGGACAAGGTGGTCATCGACGTCAGCGTCGGCCGCCTGCACCCGGACGTCATGGCCGCCAAGAGCAGTGGACACAACCTCGCGAGGGAAGCGCCCGAGAGTGGTGATGGTGGAGGGGGGGAGGAATGGTGGGAGTCGCGTCCCGGCGGGTTGTGGATCAAGCGAAGCAACAAGCGCGGCGTGAGCGATTCCAAGAGCGCCGTGACCGAGATCGACGTGCTGTTTGGGGATGATGCCGTCGAGGCGCGGCCTGGGTGGGAGATCACGGCGGGGACGGCCATGCTGCTGGATGGGAGTTCGGGGATGTTGCCGGTCCACGTCACCATTCGGCGCGGCGCCGAGCATGATCCTTACCAGCCGGTGCCGAAGGTTATGGACAATGGCCGGTTTAAGATCATGCAACTGGCGGATTTGCATCTGAGTACGGGAGTAGGAAAATGCAGAGATGCGGTGCCGGAGGACTGGAATGGGGGGAAGTGCGAGGCTGATCCGAGGACGCTGGATTTTGTCGAGAAGATCTTGGAGGAGGAGAGACCGAATCTGGTCGTGCTCAGCGGGGACCAGGTCAACGGCGAGACTGCGCCAGATGCGCAAACGGTGAGTGAAACATGTGCTCGATTTCTTTCACTAGACGTCGTACTAATTATGGCTAGGCTATCTTCAAATACGCGCAAATCCTCATCAAGCACAAAATTCCTTACGCATCCATCTTCGGTAACCACGACGACGAGGGCTCCATGTCGCGTGCATTACAGATGGAACTTATCGAAAAGCTCCCCTACTCTCTCTCCAAGGCGGGCCCCGCAGACATCGACGGGGTCGGCAATTACTACGTCGAGGTTCTGGCCCGCGGCAGCTCGGGCCATTCCGCCATCACTGTGTACTTGCTCGACTCTCACTCGTACTCGCCCAACGAGCGCAAGTTCAAGGGATACGACTGGATTAAGCAGAACCAGATCGACTGGTTCCGCAAGACCGCCCAGGGCCTCAAGAAGAGCCACAAGGAGTACACCCACCACCACATGGACGTAGCGTTCATCCACATACCCATCCCTGAGTACACGTACCCGAATGTGACGTTGGTGGGTCAGTGGAAGGAACCGAGTACCGCGCCGGGTTATAACTCGGGGTTCTATGACGCACTAGTCGACGAGGGGATCTCCATGGTCAGCTGTGGGCAGTATGTTATCCTCTCCCTCCTTATCCACCTGGCCACTCAAATCAAACTAACCTAACCCCGTAGCGATCACGTAAACGAACACTGCGGCCTCTCCCAAACAAAAGACGCAAAGCCGGCCCTTTGGATGTGCCACGGTGGCGGCGTCGGGTTCGGCGGCTACGCGGGCTACGGCGGCTTCTACCGCAAGATCCGCATCTTCGACTTCAACACGAACGAGGCCCGCATCACCACCTGGAAGCGTGCCGAGTACGGGCCCGACGTAGATAAGCGGATCGAGGAGCTGATCCTGGTGGATGCGGGGCGGGTGGTGGCGCCGATGCAGGAGTAACTAACTCACCCACCCTCTTAACCACCCCGAGAGGGTACGTACAAGACAGTTTAAAAAAAAGGAAGGGATGGGCAGCGATATACCCAGTCTCAGTGTTCTGTATATTTTGGGAAAAGCAACAATATCCTGAACCGGGTCGATGGGCAGGCAGGACAGGACATGGCATGGCCGGCGTTTTGGGTTTGCGCGTCGAGGTTCGGTGGCTCCGTCTCTTTTGGTTGCGCGTTGGCGGAGTGCTTAGGATATTCGACTACGGCGTGTTGAAGCAGCTTTTGCCATCGTGGTTAGAAAGGTTCATAGCAGACATGAAGCTATCATAGGGAGTGCCGGCTCTCTTGAACATTTTTGCTTATTGCTAAGCTCCTAAGTTAGTATCTGCTTACGTTAAAGTGGCCTAGGTGTGTAGCAAGTTTTCCTATAAGTTTGTACTAGCGGATATCAAGACATCTCGTGTGCACCACATTCAGCGGGTTCATTACCTGTGGGACTCGCGATAGTAGTGTGTGGGTAACCGTGGGAGAGGATGTGGGCGGTTGTCCTGCACGTGAGGTGGGCCAGGGAAGGCCCCACCTCCCACAACCCCCGCTCGCTCGTGGTCCTCGGGTCAAGCCCCTGACTCCCTAGCTCGATTAGAGAGCCCCTAACAACGAACAATATTCCACCCCCACCATCCGGAGAGAGAGGATTAAGTAGATACCTATATAAGGCCACGAGAACCCCATAACGACGGAACAAAATGTGGAATGTCACTAGGTCCAAAAAGTGGGCGCGAGTAATGGACTATTTCCTCACCCCCATTTTAGCTTGAACCTCGAGAATATGCAAGCATTTGTCCCAGACAGGTTAGCATGGGATGGCATCATCGTAGAGATGCGACCAATTTGAGCAATCTTCATCCGCCAGCACCATAGTTCTTTTCATTGACTCTTCTTATTTACTTGTGCCCGCCACGAAGAAAAATTGCCTAACGATCTTGAACGGCCATACCGCCAACATGCTACCTCGCAACGTCAAGAGCCTTGGTCGGCGTGCGTGGAAGGTTGTGCAAGCCAACTGGCATCTCGGAGTGACTGCTTTTGGCGGTCCGCCCGTCCATTTTAGAATTGTATGTCTATCATGCGTTTTGTGTTTGTTTCCCACCCCGAAGCTCATTGTTCCCTCGCTAGTTCAACGAAAAGTTTGTCCACAAAACAGAATGGATCGACGAGCAGGTGTTCCAGGAGTTGTTCAGCATCTCCCAGTCACTGTCCGGCCCCGCCAGTACCAAGATGCTGTACTGCATTAATTTGATGCGTGGCGGAGCCATGTCAGCCGTGTTGAGCTTTCTGCTCTGGAGTCTCCCAGGCGCCATCGGCATGTACGCCTTGTCCATTGGCGTGGCGAGCATCGATGAGACCCTCCCAGGCCCCGTCTACGCCCTGCTGTCCGGCCTCAACTCGGCCACCGTGGGTGTGATTGCGTTAGCCGCGGTGGAACTGTCCCAGAAGGCTATCACGGACAAGTTGACCCGCCTCGTCGTCTTCTTCACGGCCGCCGCTGGCATGATGTACAACGCGCTATGGTACTTCCCCGTACTGATGGTCATCTCCGGACTCGCAACCGTCACCTTCGATTTCCGCTGGATCCATCGCCCACTTGCGAAGCTCGTCGGGGCCGCTAAAAAGTTGCGGCCCGGTCGACAAGCCCGACCCAACGAGACCTCTCCCGAATCCCGCTCCTCACCTACCCCTGAACCCACTAGCCACGCCAACCCTCCCCCGACGACAACACAACCCACCCCCATTTCCGACCTCCCCATCACCGAAACCGAAGCCCACCAGCGGCGGCAGGACACCACCCCTCCCCCCTCCACCACCGAAACTGAACAGCGCATCATCCCCGCCTCCCACACGCTCTCCCTGCCCGCCTCCCTAACCTGGAAAACCGGCAGCGCCATCATCGCCACCTTCCTCCTCACCTTCATCGCCGCCATCACCCTGCGCGGCACCTTGCCCGCCCCGCCCCTCCTCTACCGCCTCTTCGCCAACATGTTCCTCGCCGGCACCATCATCTTCGGCGGCGGGCCCGTCGTCATCCCCCTGCTGCGCGAGTACGTCGTCGCCGAGGGCTGGGTGGCGCCGCGGGATTTCTTGATCGGCCTGGCGCTGATCCAGGCGTTTCCGGGGCCGAATTTTAACTTTGCGGTGTTCTTGGGCAGTTTGGCCGCGCTGGGTGGGGGGTATCACTCGCTGGCTGGGGCGGTGATTGCGTGGGTGGGGATCTTTACGCCGGGGCTGGTGCTGGTGCATGGGACGATGGGGGTGTGGAGTGCGGTGCGCAGTCGGAGGTGGGTGAAGAGTGTGCTGAGGGGGGTGAACGCTGGGGCGGTTGGGTTGATATACACGGCGGTGTATCGGATCTTTGGGGTGGGCTATATTGATGAGGGGTTTCAGGCTGGTAGGAGCTTGGGGGATGATCCGTGGTGGGTGGTCATCACGGCTACGAGTTATGTGGGGGGGAGGTATTTTGGGGTGAATGCTCCGTTGGCGATTCTGCTGGGGGCTGTGATGGGGTTGGTGAGGTATGGCGTGGTGTCAGCTTGATGGTGAGAGAGCTTGGTGTATGTACGAAGCACGCGTAGCCGTCTTATGCAGTGACTCGGACGGTCCGAGGTAGGTACGCCCTCCCCCAAGCAATACTTGGAATGAATAAACCTTTCAGGTAACAATACGCTAACTACCATAGATATCTAAATACCATTCAAAATGGCGCTCAAATATTACAACACTTGCCAAGACAATACCGAGACCAAGACAACGAAGGACGGTCATGTTGTCTGCTCCCAGTGCGGAGAGTTTTATAACTCTTAGCGGGCTTCCGAATGGAACCCACGACACCGGCAGGTTGCATTTTCAACAACAGCAACTTTGGGGTGCATGTTTGGGGTGCGTGTTTGGGGTGCATGAAAGTGGGATGATGGAGGATAGATGTCTGTCTTCTCAGCAGCTGCCGGCGGCTGCAGAGATGTGGGATATCAGGGGAGAAGCGGCGTTGGATTGAGTTTTAGTTAGAAAATAAGGCCAACGGCATGCATGCTCGATAAAAGGGATCAAGTGGTGCAGTTCCCTGAACCTTTGGAATAGTTGAGACGCTGGGGTTTGTGAATTAGATCAAGGAGCTGAGGTGAATATCGAATTGTGTTTGTGATGAGATCTTGGAAAACGAGCACTGAGGATGACAGGACTTCCGCTCCTTTCATACTTTCTATTTTCTTTCTTGAATATGACTGTGAAGTTGGCCGGGTCTTACCCTTTGCTTGCTGTGCAGACACGTCCAGCCTGAAAAACTGTCCGTCCACGGGTCTGACACTTTACAACATGACGGTCCACGAAAGCAATTCCTCGAGGATCATGGGATCCAGTGCCGTATCATACGTGCTAAATGTGTTTCTTTCATCTTCATTGACTCGTCCTTTTCTCGTGCCTTGGCTGCCCAACTTACTTCTCCGACTGATGTATTCCTTCTCCATATCATACTATGAGGCCAACCATTCCTCCATGCCAGTTGACTTACGGGCCACGTCCTTGTGAAGGAATTCGGACGATTATATTGCTAGTTGCCCCCCTTTGGTGGGTTACCTCTCCGTTGAGGGGTCGCGGTTGGCCGCCCTCTCGGCCAACTGAAGCTCACGACAGGAAACCAGAGTCTTTGGTGCTCATACGCATTCTCCTGCCCTGTCACGGGACGGGTGGTCGTCTGCAGCCATTCCTTTCCTCAATGCCAATGCGGGGGATATGGGAGATAATTGGTTGAAATACGGACCTGCCTGCAGGACGGTTGGTTGCTCGCAAACATGTTGGTCGATTTCCTTTCGTCTTAGAGGCACCCGACCCCGCGCCAGTGTTTTCCCTCACCTTTCCCTTCTTTCAACCCATCATTCATCCGATCACGAGGTGTCCACTCTCTTCAAACCCATACACCAACATTGTATCCAACATGTCGTTCACCTTCGGCGTTGCTGTCCACCCTAGTCAGCTGCTGCCAACAGAAAGAAACCTCTCCGGGCTGCTAGAGAAGCTGCTGACCGTGTTTGGTGATGAGTCCATCCTAGACGGAGGAGGGCTTCCCAGTCAACCTCTCCAGCGTGAAATCGGTGATGTCCCCCGCTACGCCCTGCGGCCTATGGTTGGGAATGACTTCCACGTTCAAACCTCGTTCGGTTCTTCGCCTTCGTGGAAGGCCGTGATGCAGCTCGACCGGGATGACGAGAAGTCGGACAAAATATGTCTTCCCCTCTGCGACGTCACCCTACAATCCGAGTCCGAGGCGACAGCCACCATTAAATTGGCACAACAGATGGCCAAGCTTCTCCGCTACGCCTGGCCGGACGCCAATGTTGTTGGCCCTTCAAAACGTCGCCAACTCGGGCCACCCTTCGTTGATCCCGCCTTGCCGGATTACCAACTTTTCCAATGGCTTGCTTCCAAGGATCTGAACCCCGTCAGCGAAGGAATCATGTTGATCCATTTCTACGGCTCCAAGGACTGGTTCTATCGGCCCCTTCGACAGGTGGCTGTACGTATTCGTCTTTTTTATGACCTGGCGTTGCGTTGGCATCAAGTACCAGAACTGACATTTTGATCCGTGTGTCCCTCCCATAGCGAGGCCTCGCTGTTAAGCCATCCCCAGAGACAGACCGGACAGATATCACCGTACACACGGATTCAGGTGCAGAAGAAGTCATAACCGACGGATCTGTTGCCCAGATATGGTAACTTCTTTCTCTTGACTCGTTGCCCCTTTTTCTGCAAAGAGTGGCAAAGTTAGGCACTGATCGCGGTCCTCTGTGCTCACCTTTAGGTCATTTACCGGCCCGGATAGCTGGGTCATCTCGTTGCCTGTGGTTGCCACGATCCTCCTGCTTATGACGCATCCGACAAAGGAGGTCAACCCCCTGCCCGACAATCCCGATAGAGACTTATCGTGGACTTTGGATTCTCTTCACGGATTTTGCAGGAAAGAAGGCCTCGAAGACGGCGATCGCCACCTTTCGTGGTCGTTGGGCACATTTGCGGACTGCTGGATGTACTTCAACTTCATCTTTTTCTACTTCACCCCACACGATGTCGACGCGGACGAGTGGATTGGCTCCGGTATTCGCTGCGATCGTCGTAGCATCACGGTTCGAATTGGGGACCCTGAGCGCAAGGAGACCTTCAGAGAACAGCGAGTCTGGCTCAGCATGCGTACTGCAACGCCATATGAAAGCGGTCAGCAAGCGGACGCGGATAAGCTTAAGGGGCCAGATACCGTTGGGGTTGTCCTAGCCGACGCATTCCATCACAGGATCGGAATGACGAAAAAGGAGTGGTTAGTGCGCGACATGGAGCCTGCTAAAGGGCATGGGGGCGTCAAAGGTTTCCAAATGCTCCTTTGGGGTGGCGTGGAGGACTGGAGTAGGGGGTGGAACGCGTGTCTTGATTATGTTGACCGTCTGCACCAAGTCCAGGTACCTAATCTTCGCCTCTATCTCCCAACTGAACGTCGCTAAGAGAGGCGCTAACAACTCGGTCTCACCAGGTCAGCGACATAGACAACAGCGACCCATACAGGCTCCACTATCTCATGTTTGACCTTCGCGGCGGGCTGGCCAAGGAATACTTCGTCACAGCCAACCTTCTCAAGATGTTCCGTCAGCATATTGACGTCTTGCCCCGTTCCCTTAAGCAGATGAGATCAAAGTGGGAGATGACCTACCCGGGCGTGGATTCGGACCTCCTGCAGCGTTTTGACAACCACACCCAGTTGGCACTGCTGAGGAACTGGTCTCGGCTGATCGAGCACGCTGACGCTCTGCACGGAAAGCTTGCCGATAGGATCGAGAAGAGATCTGGAGAGCTCTTGAGCCTGAGGAACAATGTGAGCGTTACCGATCCCATCAACTGGCATCCTAGATTGTGTTGCTAACCATGGTGCAGTTGATGATCGCCCGGGACAAGTGATCTGCAGAAATACCAGCATGGATGGAGTCCAAGTCTTTGTTGGAGTGTATCTTCTGTTTCGTAACAAACCGAGCACCAAGTACCTACCTACGTCCAAGATCCAAGTTTCAAAGGCACACGTCGGTAGTTCCAGTTCGATCAACTTCGCTCCAGCCATAGTCAGTTCAAGGCAGTTACCTAGTTGGTTTGACGCAGTCAAGTTAAACCCGACCATTGCAAATTAACTTAGACTTGGTTGAACTTATTATTACTGGTAGGGAGGCCAACAAACGGACCCGTCAGTACATGAGGGCCACATTGCAACACGGACTTTATATATACTCTGTGATCAACTAAGTTGTGACTTGCCGGGAACCCATCCGGCGTTATTATTGCTGTCCTGACAATAAGCTAGCTTGCACGTCGGATCTCGAGAACTTGATTGTGGTATTTTGGCCCCCACGGTGCACCAACGGGTGGCTGCAGCCTGCAGGCCGCAGCTGTCCGATTGGCAAGTAACGGTGCCAACAAATGACTCTTATTATATAATTTGCTTCCCCGCTCGCGAGAGAGAGGAGTCCCAGTGCTGTGCGCCTATGTAGGCATACCTGCCTGCCTGCCTCGAGGTATCTCGTCTTTCTTTTGAACCTTCTTACTCGGTGGCGCCATACTACAAGCCAACATGGAGGCCGCCGGGTTGGCTCTCGGTGTGGTGACCATCCTAAGTACCTTCAAGGATGTGGCCGAGCTTTACGCGCTGTTTGTCGACTCAAGGAGGGTTGGGCGAGATTATGAGATGCTCGACACCAAGCTGGAGGTTGAAAGGACGATGCTTCTCCACTGGGCCGACCGTGTTGGCCTTCTTCGAAGCGACTACGACCCCCGACTGGATGTCCCCAATACGCAGGAGACCGTCTTCAGGGTCCTGGCCTGCATCCGCACTCTTCTCAGTGACACGGCCCAGCTGAAGACGAGATATGGCCTCCAGGCCTTGGAAGCCCCGGACTCGGACACGCCGATCAGCATTGAGTCGGTTGCTTCTGAGGACACAAAAAAGACGATCAGCGGCGCTCCGATGGAACGATTGACACGGGAACTCGACAAATTGCGCTTGCGGCAGCAGCCCCCTCAGCAACCCAAACTCGTGAAGAGGTTCAGTTGGGCTGTCAGAGACAAGCAACAGTTCGGCAACCTGGCCAGTGATCTCTCACATTTTACTACAAAGCTCAACGACCTCCTTCCGGCCAACTCGGGCCCTTCGGTTGCCCAGAGCGAACCGCCACCCTACCAAGGGTTTCCCGGGCACTCCAGAGGACCGGGAACACTGAATGGCGAGTCTGGTATCGAGAAGCGCGGCATCCCCAACACTGCTCAGGATGTCGTCGACGAAAAGTACCAGGACAAAATCCTGGAAACACTGTGGTTCCGGACCATGGAAGCAAGGGAGGAAGAAATCAAGTTCGCTCATTCCAAAACGCTGAATTGGGTATTTGAGGCCCCCGATGGCACAGTCGAGTGGGATGACCTGTCAGAGTGGCTCAGGTCGGGGAAAGACATCTATTGGGTGTCTGGCAAGGCCGGCAGCGGCAAGTCAACGCTGATGAAGCGGCTTTTTCACCACGAGCGCACCAAAGAGCTTCTCTCGGAGTGGGCAAAGGGTGGTCCAGTCCATCTCATCAGTTTCTTCTTTTGGAACCTCGGAACCCCTGAACAGAAAACCCAGGAGGGCCTCGCGAGGTCTCTCCTTCATCAGATCTTGTCGCGCCATCCTTCCCTCATCCGCGAGGCACTCCCGGGCATGTGGAAGGAGCTGAACCGCACCAACGACACCGTCAGCCTGCCTTCCCTGGCCGAGGCGCGACGTGCTTTCCAAGTAGTGGCGGCGAAGGCGGGTGAGCTCGGCAAGTTCTGCTTCCTGATCGACGGCCTCGACGAGTTTACCGGCGACTATCGGAACGCGATCGACTTCATCGAAGACCTCACGGCCAACCCGGGCTTCAAAGCAGTGGTCTCGAGCCGACCCATTCCCGAATGCGTCGACGCGTTTGAGGACAACCCAGGGCTGCGGTTGAATCAGCTTACGTACCCCGATATCTCCACCTACGTCAACGACGTTATAGGCGGACACAAGTACATGAAGAAGCTAATGAATCGACACCCAGCCAAGGCGCGGCAGCTAATGGGAGCCATTACCGCAAAGTCCTCGGGTGTGTTCCTATGGGTTGTCCTCGCCTGTCGGTCGGTGCTTGCCGGGTTCGCCGACTACGACCGGATAGACGAGCTATGGCGTCGCGTGGACGAGCTCCCGCCGGAGCTGGAGGACATGTTCAAGCTCATGCTCTCCAAGATCAACAAGCGCCACAGGGAGCAGGGAGCCTTCACCCTCCGAGTTTGCCACTCTCTCACCGTGGGTATCGGCTCGTCAACCCCCTTTCATGCGCTTGGAGACATGAGTGCGGTTCCCCTTGCTCTCCTCTGCCAGGAGGACGCCGATCCCGAGGTGCTCTCGGTAGGGGAAAAGGAGGCCCTCCGCGATGATCTCCAAGGTTGGCTGACCAGCCGATGCGGAGGCTTGTTGGAAACACACCAAAAGCCTCATCCTAAGGATCCCCTCACTGGGACCTACGTCGAGTGGACGCACAGATCCGTCGTCGAGTTCCTGAACGGCGACGGCACTTGGGAGTTGGAATGCCTTCATATCGACGAAGATCGACCCGGAATCCCGGCGTCCTTATCGCTTTACTATCTGCATACGATCATGCAAGAGGATCAAAGGTCCAGGATCCGCTACAATGTGCTCTTTGCTGGCATGCTCGACTGTGGTGCTTTTGCCGACGCGGAGGCCCCAGAGCGGAAGGATCACAGCTTCTGGCGGATTGACCCTTATTTGGTTGAGATGCGGCGTATAGATCCGATCTTTGCGGACGCTTGCGACTTTTCGGTGTTAAAGACATGGCTGGATCGGCATTTGGATGCTAGCCAGGCCGCCTCCCACGCTGCTCTCCTCCTGGCGGCAGAATCGGGCGCTGTGAATTACATGCAAGCACACCCTGACTTCACATGGCTTTGCCAGTGGGAGGAAAGCCCTTGCGGCTGCCTCCCGCTATTGTACCACGCCGCGGCACACCCGTTCACCGCCGGAATGATGATAACCAACCGACCGGGGCCGCCATCGGCGCTCAGAACCACCATCGCGCTGCTCCTTTCTCTAGGCGCCGACCCGAACATGACAGTAGAGTTCCGTGGGTCGGACAATGGACATGGGGGGTGGTCGATCTACCTTGACACGCCCTGGAGAGGCTGGTTGAACTGGGTCGTACTCGACCCAACCCCCCCCCAAGACGTAGCAGACATTGCGGATATCACGGCCATGTTTCTCGCGGCTGGGGCGGATCCTACACCAAGCGTTCGTAGCTGGATTCTATCCTATCTTTCGGATCCGAGAAATCGGAATACTTTAACCGTGTCAGATGCGCAGTTATCTCGCGCGGTTGATGTGTTGCGAGGACAGCTATCACAGACGGCCGACGAGGGCAAACAGGAAGATGGGAGGCCCTGGCTCACGTCGGCTGTAGGGTTCATACACCCATTTTAGCTAGGTACTTTCGGATAACTTCAATTTCCACCAATTTCGACCTTGTAAACTACCTACCTAGATACCCTCAAAACCCGCTGTGACAGGAATGCCGCACTTGGCCACCCACGTTCCGACGTTTTAGGTTTCAATCTGGGCTATTCAAATGCTCAGTCAAAGCTCCGCAAAGCTTTCTTTTCTTGGTGTTCCCCCTTAAAACACCGGGCGCCGAGGCATGTCGGCGTCGGCGTGCCACACGGACCGTTTTCGTTTCCAGCCACGGAGTGATTACTGATAATTAATCTGCGTGATGCGATGTTGAGGCGGCCATGTTACGCCGCCAGATCTGTTGAGGGACGGAGACGGGGCCATGTGTTGAGGTGTCGCCATTGGTCAGCATCGTGTTTTGTTGGGTCAGGGGTTGTCGATGTCGGGACCTTGTATATTCACGACTCCATGAGTTATTCAATGAGATGCGAGAGGGTGTGGGGAACCCAGAATATGTCACCGAGCGTATGATTGTTGAATAAGGTACCTACTCATCGCCGAGTACATAATCTAGTGGTTCTCGCCGTGCCTCAACCGTGCGTACCTAGGTACCTTATCCAAGTCCAAGTCACTTTATATTTGTGTTTAGTCCTTTCTCACACCGCACTTATCCGCCACTTAGGTACCTATCTACCGTCATACACAAAAATGGCACCCATCATCGTCCTCATCACCGGCGGGAACCGAGGCCTAGGCCACGGTCTCGTCACACGGTTCCTCGCGCAACCCAACTACGTCAGTACCACTCATTCCTATTCACCCGGACAGGAAAACGTCACGTCACGTCAGACTGACCGCACGAGCATTTCAGACAGTCATAGCGGCAGTCCGCCACCCAGCCCACCCGACAGCCGAGGCCCTCGGCGACCTGCCCCGGGGCCTCGGCAGCACGCTGATCACGGTGCGGTATGACGCTAGTAGCGAACAGAGCGCTGCCGACGCCGTGGCCGAGCTCCGGGCCAAGCACGGCGTCGACCACCTGGACATCGTCCTCGCCAATGCGGGCATCTCGACCCAGTGGCCATTGGTCAAGGACGTCAAGCGGGCTGACATTCAGGCGCATGTCGAGGTGAATGTGATGGGCGTCGTTTCGCTGTACCAGGCGACGCGTGACCTATTGCAGCGGTCGACGGCTGGGCCTCGGTTTGTCGCAATGGGGTCGATGGCGGGTGCTTTAGGGTGAGTTGTCGCTAGGAGAGTGAAAGCCGAGGCTAAAGCGGTGCTATGACTGACTCGGGTGATGGGCAGGCAACAACCACCGGTGCCCAGTGGCTGCTACGGCCCATCCAAGGCCATGCTGAACTGGTACGGGATCCGGATCAACGCAGAGGACGAGTGGCTTACTGCCTTCATTCTGGATCCCGGCTGGGTCCAAACGGAGATGGGCAACAAGGCGGCCCAGGTTTGGGGTGTCGCGGAAGCGGCTCCAGACAAGCTGGATGATTCGGTCGACGGCATGTTCAAGGTCCTCACGACGGCTACCAAGGAGGCACATGGAGGGAGGCTTGTAGTCTACACGGGGGAGATTAAGGAATGGTAAACTGGAGGTGTCATCTGGACCATGGGTATTCTTTATTAAAATCATAGTCGAGAGTTCGCCCACAGCAACGATGGCAATGAACGAACCTCCTACGATGATACCATCCGATCTACTGTCAACATTACATGTTATATCTTCACGTGTTACACGTAGTGGTCATACTGGGCGAGGCCACACTCGGCCACCGCCAGAATACCTACTTGTAACCGAGGCGAACACGATAAACCCATCCGGTCAAAAACATCACCGCACAACAAACCACAACGGTCACGCCCAGAGCTCTCCTCGCCTGGGCTGCGTCTCCCCGGACAAGTGTCGGGGTAGGCGTAGTAGGCGAGGAGGCGGTCGCCGTCGGAACCGCGTTGGTCGAGACCGTAGTCGTGGGGACGACTGGCGCGGTGAAGGACACACCACAGGTTGTGGTGGTAAGGCCGTTGAAAGCCGGTGCCTGGGTGGCAGCGTTCGGGTCTGGCGTAGCGGTCGCGTTGGCGGGATTGAGCACGCTGTTGTAACTTGTTAGCATGGCATATTGTAGCTTATGAGGTTGGATTCGACCACAATTAATACTTACCCATCGAGGATATGGACGACGCCGTTCTTAACGAGCAGATCGGTGGCGATGACACGGGCGCTATTGACGAACAGCGCACCGTTCTCAACGCGGAAGTTGAGGACGGCGCCCTGGGCGCTCCGCTGGGTGCCAGTGGTGATCAGCTGGCTGCGCAGGACCCTGCCGCGCACGAAGTGGTAGTTGAGCACAATGGTCAGCTGCTCGATAGTCATGTAGCTGATGGCACTTCCGATGGCGATGAATGCCTCGTTGTTGGGCACGAACACGGTCATGTTCGACAAGGCGTCGAGCGGCCCATCGATGTTAGCCAGACGCAATGCTCCGACGGCCGCGGTGTATCCAGCTACCACCAGGGTGTCAGTCACGCGGCCCGGGACCATCAACACCGAGTCGATGACGTGTAACGTGCCGCCGGTAAAGTCCAAGTCCTGAGCTGGATGTCAATTCGGTCTTGTTCCTAGGCTGTTAGCTAAGGGCGGAGGGGGGAGGGTTAACGAAAGTGGGATTGGACGATGGACTGGGCACCGCCGCCGGTGAAGAAGGTGAGGGTGCCGTTCTCGGACCGCTCTTGGATGACTTGGACCTCACTCATGTTGGAATAGGCCGGGATGCTGAGGAATGTCGGGGCCGAGGTCGTGCGAGCGCTAACAAAGTCCGCCATGTGATAGACTCCATCGAGTATATGGTAGTTCACGAAGGCAGTTAGTAGATTCATATCCGATGCAAGACGGGCCGGCAGCGATGTGCCGAAGAGTCGAGCGAGTGCAGTGTTGCTGGGCGCGAGTAGGGTGATGCCCTTCGCCTCGCTCAAGCACTCGAAGATGAACTCTTGCGACGCGAGCCACATAAGCATCATGGAAAGCGTATCGCTGTGCGCGGTGAGGACTTCTTCCAACGTTTGTGCACGAGCGACAGCGGCCGCTGCGAGCATGAAAAAGAACCACAGAAAGAACATAGTGAGCGTAGGTTCGATCAATTGAATTGATGGTTGATGGGTGAACGCGTCGGAACGCTGCTGGCAGACAGGTGCTCTGGAATCGGGGGGCAGAAGGGCTTTTATACGCTGGGCTCGGACTCACAATCAGCATTTCCAGTCTGTGCATAATACATCACGCCATCGAAGGCATGTAGCAAATAGGAAGCCCAGAGAACCCGCACGGCGATACCCTTCGGAACTAGATAGGTAGACGGGCAAAGAAACATCCGGACGGGCACGGGGCCTCTCGCACGGATGTCCTATCACATCATCTGGGTTTGTGCGGTACCTACCTTACCTATATAAAGGCTAGCATGGTAGGTTCTCGTCATCATTCCCATCTGCGTCGAGCTCGGGGGTGCATACCATAAAGGTAGGTAGTTGAGTAAACCAAATGACAAAGCTACCTAGGTACCTTACTTGCCTCCACAGAGAACACCGACGTAAAGCTACCTACATTCATCATGCCAACAATCACCCCAGGATCCATTCCTTCCTTGGAACAGGCGTTCAGGCAGTGTAGCCTCAACGAACAACCTCGCCGTCCCCCCCAACAGACAGCGTCCTCCAACACCAACCCCCGAATCGCCCTCACAACGCCCCCAGTGCACCTTGACCACCTCCTCAGAAGCAACCATCGCGGCGGCAACACCACCCCCCTCATCCGCAACCGACGTCGCCGCCGTGCTGGCCGGCGACGCCGCCGACACCTCCGACGCCGAACTCGCCGCCGTCTCCCCCCACGCACTAACAAACAAACTAACCAACCCTCTCCATCCTCACCCTCAACCCCTCATTAACAACCGCCTCCACCCTCCCATCGGGCGCGACCTCAAAGACAAACAAATCCAACGGCACCGACCCGTACACCGTCGCGGTAACCGTCACCCAGGTAGCACAGTCCGTGACAAACACACCACCCCCCTCACTATCCGGCTGACTGACGTCCTCAAACGTGGCCTTGAACGCGACCCGGCGCCCGCCGTCGGCCCGGGCCTCCTCGAGCCCCGTCGGGTACAGCCGCACCGAGGGCCGCAGGTGGGGCAGCAGCGCGCTCGACACGTTGCTGCTGAGCGCGAGCGCGAGTAGGCCCATGTCCGTGCCGTTGGAGAGCCAGTGGGTTACGTTGAGCCCTGGGGCTACCGGGTCGACGGAGATGGTGAGGGAGGAGTTGAGGGGTGGGGTGGTGCTGTTGCTGTAAGGGGCGCCGGTGGTGGTGGTGGTGGTGTTGCCGGCGAGGCTGGCGTGCCGGTAGTGGCCTGAGAAGGTGACGTTGGCTTGGGCTCGTGCGAGGTTGGAGAGGGTGGGGATGTAGGTGTTGGCGAGAGCTTCGGCGATGGCGTTGGTGATGCCGCCGGGTGCGTCGCCGGCTGCGAGGACGCTGATGCCGATGTCGAGTTCGGGAATGAGAGCGAAGAGGGAGCTGTACGAGCCGATGCTGCCGATCTTGTTGAAAGTGTGGACGAATTGATACGTTTGGTCTGTGTTTTCCTTTGTCAGCTGGTATTCCAATGATCCCATCGAGGAGTTGAAAACGGACTCTGCTGGAGTTCGATTCGTCGGATGCCCCACGGCATGCCAACCATCGCCAAGGGGTCTGAGCTGAACGATGTCGGCTTTAGCCACCGCTTTGTCATGGCTGGCTTGATCAGGGACGACCTCAGTATCGCCCGGCCGAGGGTCGACATATCGCCTGTCGAGGTGTACATGTTGCCGGTCCTATCACATCTTTAGCATATATCAGAATAATAATAGCTTCTGCACTTACGCCTTTTCCTCTCCCAGTTCTCCTCCCCAGGTCGTTTTACGCTTCGTCCCAGGGATGATGCTGACCGACTCAACCGGCTCGTCGTAGAAGGTGTGCTCGAGGTTCAGGGGCGTTAGCACCGCATCTGTCATCAGGGACTTGAACGGTTTGCCCGTGATGCGTTCGGCCACGTATGACAGCAACACGAAACCCAGATCCGAGTACGCCGGTGTCGTGAAGGGCGCGAATGACGGCGGCAGTTTGGCCAGCCCCTCAAATAGCTGTTTCCGATCACAGGTCGGGTTGGTGCCGCAGGGCGGAAAGGTGGAGTTGGGCAGAGGAGGAAAGCCAATGTTGTATAGGTTGGCCATGGGCAGTTGCTGGCTGAGTTCGCCGAGCAGGGCGTCTATTCACTCCCGTTAGTAATTGAAGATGTGAAGATGTTAAGGCACTGCATTGGAGAGGGCTGGTGCAGTGGCGTACAGTCTCGAATCAACCCGGACATCTGGCTTGCGAGGGAACCGATGGTGATGGACTCCCAATCCGGCGTGAATATGGGCGAACTAGAGGCATTCTCGGCGATTTCCGCTATCTCGGGCAGATGCTTGGTGATCGGGTCGTTCCATATGCCGTCACCCACCGTTGCTAGGAAGGTGAGCACCGTAAAGATCTTGGTGACGCTGCCGATCCGGAAGACGGTGTTGGTGTCGACTTCGGTGACACCGCTCGAGTTAAACGAGCCCAAATTTGGTGCTGTCCAGTAATGGGACCATAACGGCAAGTCCTCACTTCCCGTAAACACCTCGACCGCATAGGAGAAGTATGGCGAGCCAGTGCTGGTATCATTGTCGATGTTCTTGAAAAAGACATCATCCAGGGTCTGGGCCACGCTGGCGATAACAGGACTCTGCAGAAGGTTCGTTGGCCGGGGGAGTAAGGGGCCATACAGAGGGCAGTTCTGCCTGGCTGCTGAAAGGGGAACGAGGGGGACGAACGCCACGAGAGCGGCAAGAACAAGATGCATCGTGATTCCCGTCTCGAATTGCTCGAAGATGATGTCCGGTGGAGTAGGGAGTAGGACCGGTATTCACACGGATGCGGTCGCTAAAGACGCGAATCCAGGTATTTACGTATTATCCGACAGGGGCAAGCTCCGCAAACCAGGCAGCCCCTCTCGGAAGAGTAGTAGTGTAGTAAAAGTAACCCTAGATGTAATACCCTGTCAAGGTATGTACAGTGTCAGGTGTCTTCTACCCTAACTCGGGAGGTGGTTCGGGTGAGTTGCCACGCAATGGGATTATGCAAGGGGTCTTCGGATCTCGCCGACGGCTAGTAAGGACGGCAATGTGTTGAATTTCATAGGCTATCTATAAGGCTTCTATGCGCCTTCGAAACAATTACGGAGAGTCGAGGCCCGTCCGGCCCCTTTCCAGCGTCACACTGCTAGATCTCAGGCATAGTGTCTCATATCACGATCATTACTGCAATTATGACATGCCAAGAGACGATATCAGGTTTTAACGAAGAGCCTTTCTTAATCAGAACCAGGCTGCTGGTTCGAGATCGACGAGACCGGGTCCTTTGCGGGAAGTGGCCGAAGGAACTTTGTGTGATGACCGGGAGACAGAGTTTAGGCTGAGCGAACAAGGCAAAAATAAACGGCGCCGATGCAAGCGTAAATGAACCCATAATACCCCAGATATAAGGGATCGACATGGAATCCGACTTTGTTCGCTCCCAATCCACAGGATTGGTACTTTGGATGTATGTACGAATACGTGTTGGCGGGATGCGGGGACAGCGCGTTTGCTGGACACGAGCCGGGCTGGTTTTGGCTCCCAAATGCCGACCAACTCAGCGATGTGTGTATTCGACGAGGAAAGTATTGGACTATGGGAATACCATCGTTGACTGAACACCATACGCAGCCTTCTTGGGGTAACCAAGCAGCAACGCCGGGGTCAAAATGCAAACGTGCCGAGACGATGTCCAGACCTAAAACCGAGGCCAGCCCAACCTAACCCATCCACCAAACCAAACACCATGATCCCCGTGACAAGTCCTATGCTAAACCATCCCTAAAACCATCCAAAAACACCACCCACCAACGTAGTCCATCCCTCACTCCCCCCTCCGCCTCAAAAACAACTCCATCACCGCCCTCCGCCTGCCCTCCCCAACCCTGCGCTCCCTCGCCCCCTCCCCAACACCCAACCCCCGACAAACAACACCCCCAAACACCTCCGCCACCCTTCTCTCGCGGGCTCTCCGCCTCTCCAGCGCAGCCAACGCCTCCGCCACAGGCGACACCGTCCCCCGCCTGACCAAGCTCAGCGACTTCCGCCCCACCCCGCCCAGCACGCCACCAATCCCCCCCCTGGCCGGCAGGGACGCGACATCGCTCTTCATGGCATCCAACTCCGCTTTAGAAAGCGGCGCCAGCTCCGACACCACCCGTGCGAGGGTAGTAGTCAGGAAGACGAAGCAGATGTTATGGTTGGGCGCGGACTGCAGGATGTCGAGGACGGTGGTGCGGTCGGTGTCGAGGGCGGCGTCGTCGAGGGGCGGGTTGGCTGCTGCTGGGTTGGCGAGGGCAGGGATGGAGGGCGCGGCCTGGTCGATGCGTTCCCAGAGTGCGGCGGGGATGATGCCGTCGGTCAGGCCGCGCAGGAAGAGGAGGAGGGTTTGGGCGAGGGCTTCGAGGCGGGCGAGGGAGGGTGTTTCCGGGGGGAGGGCGGAGGAGAGGGTGTGGTTTTGGTCAAGGGCGGAGATGAGCGAGAGGATGTGCTCTGTTCGGGTGTCGGCGTCGGTGGATTTGCAGACGACTTCGTCGAAGGGCCAGCCGGGGTCGGTGGGGATGGTGCAGTCCTCGAGCATCTGGGCATCGGCGACCACTCGTTGGGTTACGGATTCGATGGCTTCGGTGAGTTGGAAGAGCTCCCTCGGAGCGGGGCGGTGGGCTGGGAGGTCGTGTGGGATCGGGCCGTTACTTCCTCTCTGTTTTGAGAGGGAATGGGCAAAGGCTCGAATCCCGCCATCGGGTACCCGGATGAGCTCCTCGACGGAGCGGCCAATGCAGGTTGGTGCCCAAGAGGCGCGGACAGGGATAAAGTGGTCTCGGCCGTCCGTCACTCTAAGGACGAGAACCTCTTCCAAAGTAGAATGCCCTGCGTTCAGCATTTGGGCGTGCGCAACGTTGGTGATCAGCGTGTCGAGCACAGCATTCAGCGTCTCGCCTGGCTCTAGCGTGACCTCCTTTCCTACATCAACGGGTTCGGTGTCATCGTCCGCGGCCTCTGGGTGCACAAAGGATGTCATCAGCCATTGTACCTGGGCTAGATCGTCACCCTCTAAGTCGTCTGTCGCCCGCTTCTCGATGAAGGATAATGTGGCAGGCACGCCGCTAGTATTCGCTAGCGTCAGGGTGGAGGTGTGCCTCTCGAGGAATCGGATCTCGCCAAAGTCAACGTGTGTCGGGGAGTCCGTGGCATCAAGCCGTGCGTGATCTCGGGCGTCGTGGCGGTCAACTACGATGGTGATTCCCGGTCGACCCTCATTTTCCGCCCGGTCCAGCTCTCGCGCAACTTCCGCATGCACCTTGGCTTTTAGTTCGGGGACCACGGCATCGTAATCGAGCGCGAAAATGGTTGTAACGGGCTTGTGGTCGGATGATGTGATCCGCTGGTGGGAGGTGTAAAGTTCAAGCCGTAACCTGTCGTGACCAGCTTGACTGGTGTTTTCATCATCGCCTCCATCCTCGGCCTCGTCATATTCGTCGTACTCCAGGCTCGTCGAGCTTGGCTGTTCCTCCCCGTCATTTTCAGGGTCGTACGAAAATAGGACGTCGTCATCAATACCCTCTTCCATGCCCCGAGCCTTCATCTCCTCGTCCTTCTTGCGTGTTTCCTCCTCTTCCTTGACCTTCTGCTCATACTTCTGCAGGTCTTTGCGTGTGCGGTATAAGACCCGGTCGCACCAACTAGGCGGGCGGCGCTTCTCGCTAGAGTCGAAGAGCGTGACGGTTCCCACATCATACTTGTAAGTGGGCAAAAAGGCGATAGGGCCCTCTCGCCAGCCCTCGTGGAAGACCTTGCGTTGTTTGATGAGTCGCTTGAGCTGGTCGTGTGGAAGAAGAGAGTCAAGCGTAGCTTGGAGGGAGCCGGGATCTCCATGCGGGTCTTGGGGGAACTCGTCAGGGTCTGGAAGGTTAAGGGAGTCGTCATCCGCCCCTTTGGAGTCGGCAGCCTTGTCTTCGGCCGGTTCCTGGGGTTGCTCGCCGGGATCCCGGTCAGCAACCTCATCGCTACTATCGGACAGGCGATGGACCACGATGGGCTCCCCTTCGAGAGAGCTCTCGCGGCGCAGCTCCCGCTTGGATAGATCGTATTCGCCTCGGGTGTGCAGCATCAAAAGTCGCCGAATGTCGTCGCCAGGCAGGCGGTCCAAGCGGAAATTGAGGTCGCCGAACCAGAATGCAAAATCCTCGTCACCGATCTTGTTCTTCTCATCCTCGGAGACCCCAGAAATGGTGATGGGGTCAAATCGCGCGTGGGTCATGATCTGTTGCGTCTGGCTGGTTCGACGCTCCAGATAATAGTCCTCAACGCCGCTCGCCAAGTGGGAATTAACAAACAACAACTGTGTGACTTCTCCCATAACGATACGGGTGCAAACGGCCCCTTTATTCCCCAAGTATCCCAGCGCGCCGGTGCCAACGGTACTGGTGCTGACGTTGCTTATCGTCGGGGCGATCTCAGGTGAAGCGTAAGCTAGGAGCAGCAAGCCTGCCAGCTGCTCGGCGGCAACAAGTTGGTAGTCAGGTGGTAAAGCCGCCTCAAGGGCTGCCTTCCACTTCCCCATCGTCGTGTCGTCGGCGGTGTAAATCCATGACATGTACTGGCTCGGGGCCGTGAGGACATTAACCTCTTGGAGCCCGAGGACGTAGAGCCCAACCGCGCCGCTGCCTGATAGCTCTATAGGATCCCCGGTATTAGAGGAGCCGTTGTGACCCCCTTGCCCTTCTTCCACCCCGTACTCGGGCGGCTTCGAGGACCCAAGGGCGGGGTCCAACCCTTCCCCGTCGATGAACCACCTCGCAAGGTCTTTGTCCGTGCCCGGGCACGCGGCGACATTCCAAGTGCCCACCTTTATACGCATGCGATGGGCACGCACGTATTCCGAGCGGCGGCTATGCAGTGCACTGTGGAGGGAATACGGATTCGTGGAAGACAAATCGGCAGCGTCGGCGGTCGCAGAACCGGTGGGCGTCCCCGAGGATCCCATGACGACATTTATCGTATCCGAGCCGATCCGGGCAAAGGGTATCGGCGTGTCTGTGTATTTATGCGGCGGTCGTGACAGCTAAGACGGCGGGCGACTTTTCGATGTACTCGTGTTCCTCTCGAACTCGGGGACTCGAACCTCGACGGTCATTGGCGGAGGGGGAGTGGCACAGCGAACGGGAGTGTAAAAACGGGCCGGGTGCGGGGGGGTGTTCATTGGAAGTCGAGGGAGCTGGTTTTATATAGGAGCGGGCGAACACATAGCGACAAGCGGGATTGTTGTGGTTGGAATGGACAACCTGTTGCTGTGGACTCCTTGCGTGTTGCGTGTTGCGACGGCTGTGCGCGGCTGTCGTCGCGATGGAAGTGGGAGAGTGGGCAGCGAATCCAGGCTCTCAGGTGGGGGTTTCCGGCTGAGATTTGGGCCACGAGGCCTGCATGAACCGCCACCTACTGCTCCCCACATCCCCCGCATTGGCGGGTGCCCCAGCACGGCCGCCCCTCGCTCAATCCCCAGGCCGGCCTGTCCGGATTGAGTTCGCCGTGAGCCACTGAGGCCACCAAAGGCAACCCGGCGCAACCGCCATGCCGGCCTTGATTAAAGGCCGTATCCCCCATCTGACTGGTATTTTATCTTTCCGGTCGTTAGATCTTACTTTCTCTCCCGTCAACACCCAGAAATCGCAATCAGACACTCGCGCATCAACCATCGCAACAGCTTCGAACACCCCAACATCGGCGTCACAAAACTACCAACTGCTTAGCACCATGGCTGAAAGTAGCAAATCGTCATCTGACAAGGCAAGCGGCGATGCGACCAACAACTCACAGTCGTCAAACGGCAGAGGTGCCTCTTCGGAAGCGGCGCAAAACATGCTGAGCGCAGCCAGGGCGAGAGCAAGCAACAACACATGTGAGTGCCACAGTGCAACAGTCGGCGCATTTCTGAATCCACCTAAATCCGGAAAGCTCCAAAACGCTGATACCGGTAATAGCGGCCCCCGTACACAGTGGTGTCTCTCCGGCTGTCGCCATGGGAGCATTGCTAGATATGGAGGAGGAGGGACTGCAGGAGGATCTGTTGAATCCCGAAACCAGCGAAGAAGAGCGCGCCCAAATCAGAGAGCGCCTGGAGTAAGACCGCCCACCGCCGATATGCTACAAGACATTCACGGGAGACGAGCCTGGACTGACACAACGACAGTGGGATGCAGGTGCAGCGACGTTGGCACGATATGGTGGGGACCCTTGAACCACCCGCGTGAGTCTATTCATCTTCTACCTCCTCCTGGTCCAGCCAAGATTCTACCCTTTGCAATCATTCTGGCCCTCCCACTGACAGCTCGCGCCTAGACCCAACTCCCATCGCTCTTCTGCGCCCGGTCCTAGCGCGACATCGAAAACGGGGAAAGGGCCGTCTTGTTGAGCATGCCCAGGTACTTTGCGTGCCGCCGTGATCCCGACTCGGTTACCCCTGTGCCCCGTTGGGCTTTGTACCAGTGACCTTTGTACCAGTGACCTTTGTACCAGTGACCTTTGTACCAGCGGTCTTTGTACCGCTGATATTGGTCTTTGCGGCGGTGGTCCTTGCGGCATTGGTACTCGTCGCGGCAGTGGTCCTCACCGGTAGAGTCGTCGTCGCGGCCGGGGCGGCTGCGGGTGGCGGGCCGTGTTCCAGCTCATACAGCATAGGCAGGGCCGCCAGCCCGGAAACTGGAACCGGCTTGCCGCAGGTCTCTGATGTTCGTGTCAGTCTGGCTGTTGGACATGGGCGGGCTGTGGCTTGCACGCGGCAGGGTGTGGTAGTCGATTCGCAAGGGAATAAAATGCCGTCAGTCTTGGGGCAGGCACACTTACTAACGATGTCCGTGCTCTTCGGCTTTGCCCGCGCCTGGCGGAGCATCGCCAACACGTCCTTCTGCATCCGCGATGACATGGCGGCGATTCGGTGGATGGAGTGCGTGTTGCGTGTTGCGTGCTGAAATGGGATCGAGGAGGTAACGGAAGAAGAAGGCCGGTATGTAGCTTTGTTTTCGACTGCTTGGGCTATTAAACACTCTTTTTGAGATGGGAGCTAGGCCTTTATTATACGGTTGGGAAGAGCCGACGGGTACAGCCTTTGCCCACGGCAGCCATCTTTTCAACCAGTGCGGCCGAAAACCATTGCCAAAGATGACACCCGACACTTCGCCGCCCGGGTCATAGCTGACGGGTCCGGCCAGCGAAATCCTCCGCGACACGAAACTCGCTGGAACCCTCCCAGACCACCCCCGCGGGGCGGCGAGGGCTGACAAGTGAGGATTGCGGCGCTGCACAAACGGTCTGCGCACAAAGAACCGGGGACTCCTGAGACAGATGGAGAGAAATCAAGTACCAAAAATTCGAGGCCGTGTACTCGGTAGCGCGTTCAGCTTTCTCGCCAGCAATTCTGACTGTACTGGCACATGAAATGCCGTAACACCCGACGGCGACTTTGAGGCGCTTGGTTCAGCCATAAACGAGCTTCACGCGGTATTATGGAGACACCCTTACCCCTTGCCAACAATCCACGGATTGGGGCCTCGGCTGGACCAGCAACACTGGCTGATCCTGCGCGTCGCCTAGGCCCGGTCCCTACATCCGACGCCAATATCAGGAACAAGAAGTCTTACTAGAAGATTTGAGCCTCACTCGGGCGCATGTGGGACTGGGACCTGCATCTGAAAACTCCAAGGGGCCAAGTGCGGCGCAGTGCACGATGACCATGACTCAGGGCGAAAAGCGTATCTTCTTTGGGGTGGCTGCGGCGCTACCCGCCAGCGTTTCACAAACCATCCTCTCAGCGGGACGTGGGCCCCATAGCCCTACGGAGGGTCCTCTTGGCGAAGATCTGACCCATCCTCCGCCGCATTGTATGGGTCCATGACCCGTCGTACACGATGCGTGTGATGTTTTCAAACTAGGTAGCCGGAGCAGGCCTTGGGACCAAATGTCAGCATATCTCCCCAGCGCCGGAAAAACTCCAGTTTGGGATCCTGCGGGCATCGTCAGCATTGTCCCCATTGTGGCCGGACGGAGGTTGCCCGCGCCGTTGGACGACGGCCTTGGGACTTGGGACCGGGTGCCAAACATAGCACGGCACCATGAGATGGCACTATGGTTGGTCTCAGAGGCGCCATCGAGTATCGTCTGTCCCGTTTGTGCTGACGTGGCGAGGGGGCCGTCGATGAGTTCAGCCCAAGCCCGATGGTCCGGTCAAACAACCCCTGGTTTTGATATTGCCGTTGGCCGTTCCTCTCATCACTTGAAGCCAGAAAGATATAAGAACCGGATCTTACCATCAAGTTCAGACTCTCTATCCATCCGGCTACACACTCTCACCTCTGGTTAGGTTCTTCCATCTCATCTTTCCATCCCCGCTCCTCACCACACCCCCCGAGCCTTGCTCCCCTTCTTGTTTTCTTCTCATTACTCTTGTCCGAAGCATACACCATGTCTAGAAGCAGCCCCCCTCCGCCGCCGCCGCAAGATGCCATCGAAACGTGGCAGGGCATCTTTTCCAACGGCCCTTACACGTCGCTAAAGATGGTGGAGTACATTCTGCAGGCAGGTAGGAAGGATATCCGCTCCTTCGTGGCGGACCCGGTCGGGACCGTGACCGGTATCACTGAAACTGCCATTGCCGGCAAACATACCCTTGATCAAATGCAGCCTGTCTGGGCTAGCAAGACTGGCCGCTGCACATCTTTCGCAGTCAAGGCCACCGCCGCCCTATCTCGAAAGGTCGACGCGAAAAAGAAGCCGGTGTATAACTTTGCCACCTACGATTTGGCGGGCCACCGCGTCGCACGCTGCCTCAATACCCAGGTCGTCATTGACTCCAGCTCGACCATCCCCGGCGGCGCCTTCGTTCTTCCCGAGAACCGCTGGCAAAAGTTCGAGAAGACGGATGCCAGCTGGAAGTTCAAGAACTCCGAGTCCAAGTTCGAGAGAGCTGGTGATGCTAGCGGGAAAGTGGTACGTTCACTTCCACCCCTGGGTCCATCTCTTAAGACAACGCGCTAAAACAATACAGGCATCGTCGGCCGCCCTTAGTAGCCCTGCCCAAGCCATGTACCTGTGCCTGGCCGGCGTCGAGGCCGGCGTCAAGTTCAACATCCCCACCCTGTTCCGCAGCGTCGGCCCCCAAGGCCAGCCCCTGTACCATGGCATGGTGGCCTGGATGCCGTGCAAGCGCTGCATTGAGCTCGTCCCCGATATTAGCAAGGAGAAGAAGAAGCTCAAGCTCATCATCCAATGGGGGAAGAATACGGCCGGCGCCGGAACCGAGGCGGATGCCGCGACGTGTGCCGACGAGCTGGAACAGTTTGTCAAGAACTACGGCGGCCCCAACGGCCCCCAGCAGTGGGCGGCTGACGGTATCAACACCTTCAGCGATATGATGTTCGCCGAAGCTTGTGCGCTCTGGGGATATCCCAAGCTCGTCAACAAGATGACCCCCCCGCCCGCCAAATAGGCCAATACCAATACCAGGGGTGTGAAGGAGAGTCGGGTACTGCCTCGGCGGATCATTGCTACTGTTTAGCTGTCTGTTGCGGGCAATAGGCGGGGTTGGATAGGAACCATAGGATGTAGATGAGGAAAGCCGGCAGAAGGCGGGGCCGAGGCAGGGTCAAGAAATGCATTCAAAGTTGATTCAGGGGCCACAACCTACCATCAAGTCACCGTTTTCTAGGCCCAGCTTCTTCCTTTGCCGTCCCATGTCTAATAGTCCGTACCCTTTCCACTTCTCCCAATTTCGGAAAGTCAATGTCGAGTGAAACTATCAGCCGTCTTATATCCTGAACGAGCCATTCCACTCTTACACCTTTGTACCATCGGTGATGGGATGCCCAACCAACGCTCACAAGTAACTGAACGGATCGCCCTCCTTGGCATCGCTCCAGACCCCCAATCTCATGCATTGCTGCCTGGTCCACCATGGTTCCCCAAACAGCCTCGGAGACAGACGGGAAAGGCAATGGGACTTTTGCAACCCCGTTTGCTCGCCACATCCGCAACATTCGGACGGGAGAGGGTCCCATTCCATCTATAAGCCACCACAGGTTCCTCGCTACCCAACGTCGGTGGCATGTCATTACGCACACAGGACGGGCATGAGCCCCCAGCGGACTCGTTACCCGAACTCATGTACGATGCGCTCCCCAACGCCACCTCGATCCGAGTTCTCGACCTGCTCGAGGCTAGCTCGACTAGGGTCCGCTGCACCATGCACGTCGTCAACCTGGAAACCAACCCCGCCTATGCGGCGCTGTCTTACACGGCACGCAACCCCATCACGGTCCATGACCGCCGTCTCTCCGACCCCGTCGCTCTGCACGAGGTGGGGAATCCCCAACTCCCCTTTGAGCGTTCCATCACCCACCCAGGCCCGGCTGTAGTGCCGAAGTCTTTCGCCATTGTCGACGGTGCGAGACGCGAGTACTACCACCAGACGCTCGAGCATGTCCACAACTTTCCGTACGAGGATGTCAACTACCCGGACGGGCCCCCGCGTGTCATCGAGGTCGATGGGTGCGCAGTACAGGTTGGGGAGAATTTGTTCCGCTTTCTGGCGTCCCTTGGCGAGTTGAGGAAGCAAATGTCGGAAGAGCCACTGGAAGCTTCCGAGTTGCTCGAGGCGAGAGACGCGCTCCGGCTGCCCATTTGGATTAATGCCGTCTGTGTCAACCAAGAAGACTTGGAGGAGAAGGCCGCACATGTGACGCTGGCGAGGGCGATCTTCAAGTCGGCACTGCATGTGTTTGCGTGGGTTGGGCCGAGTGACAGACTGGGAGACCGGGCGACGGAGGCCATCGACATTATCCTCGGCTACATCCATGCTCAAGAGTTGCGACAGGGGGATCCTTTAGGCATCGCCTTAGACCGCCCATTACCGGAGGAATTTACGATGTCCAGCATCCTGGAAATGACAACGGCGCATTGGTTTGCCCTCTTTGCCTTCTTCCAACGACGCTGGTTCCGCAGCGCCTGGGCTGCACAGAACATCATCCTCGCTCGGCAGGCGTACATGGTCTATGGCGAGAACATGGTGGATATGTCTCTCGTCGTTCGGGTGCTGACATATCTGGACAACCGCGGCTTGGGCCCGGAGTTTTGTGCATTTGGCCGAGCATTCCTCACCGGCGAGCCCGTCTCAGATCCGGGCAGATACGTTACAAAGCTCCTCGCCGCCGCTAACTTGGAGGGGGCAGAGCCTTCCCCTGCGTCGGTGACGGAGGCGCTTGTAGTGGAACCGAAGGACATTTTCACCTTCATTCGTGGCTTCCACTACATTCGACAGCACCGCCGGCCTCGGCTCACCTCTGCCCTCTCTGCGCTCCGCGATCTCGACACGACCGATCCCAGAGATAAGATCTTTGCGTTCCTCGGCCTTGTCGATGACGAACTTGGTATCATACCAGATTACGGTGCCACGATACAGGATTTGTATCGAACGGCCACGGTGGCCACGATAGAGAAAAGGCTCCGCCTCTCCATCCTTTCTCATGTCCAAGATGCTCAGAATACCAACATTCGAGACCTACCCAGCTGGGTCCCAGACTTTAGCGTCCGGCTCGGGAGGGTGCCCCTTGACAAGGGAACTACTAGCGAATGCGATTTCCGCGCCTCTGGAGAATCGGTGTACCGCCTAGCGGCGAATCCTAACGGCACATTGGGTGTTTTCGCCATCCGGATTGATACCGTGTCTACTGTCACCGATATGGACGTCGATCCTGTGTCCCAAATATTGAAGGTGGCCCTTGGGCTACCGGCGTGGTATCCCGACAAGCCCCTCAGTTGGTGTCTCGTGAAGGCAGGCGGAGGGAGTTCTAGCGAGGAGCTTCGCCCACGGACTGTTAGTCGCGTCGAGGCGTTGTGGCGAACTCTCCTGGCGGACAATGTTAAGGCGGAGGGATACTATCCGGGCGAGTTCGCCGATTATCTGGGCAACGGGTTTGCCAGCTGGGTACTTCGCGACATCCTAGAGACACGCGTAGGCATTCATGAGCACGCTGAGCTCGAGAAAATGCATTGGGTGCGAAGCCTTGGGGTCGACTCATTCTGCTCAAAGCTGGCCCTCTGGTCGGCCATGTACGACGGCCATCAGGTCGTAGCACACCAGGAGTTGAACAATATTCACATCCCCTATTATGAGCGTGCCATCGGCAAACTCTATCGGAAGAGGGGAGACGAACGGGAACAGTACCAGCTCGACCTCCACCTCGGCATCCCAGAGCCAACGGTTGGCATCCTCCACTTTCCGACTGCCAACCGGTTGATGGAATGTGTAGGCGATCCAGTCGACGAACTGGACGCCGAGATCGCCCAGGAGCACCTTTCCGGGGCTTACCGAGCCAACGCCCGCTCTCGACTGACATCTGAAGAACGAAAAGGCGCCGCATCCTTCGAGGAAAGGATGCGGATAGCTACCGAGGGGAGGTCCCTCTTCCGCACTCCGCGCGGACGGATCGGGCTTGGGCCCCGATCAGTCGGCAAAGAGCCCGGCTGCAAGGATGAGATATGGATTCTAAGTGGCGCAGATGTTCCCTTCATTTTGCGACATGAAAAGGGGGACCGTTATCGGGTCGTCGGGGAGGCCTACGTTCACGGTATAATGTACGGTGAGAAATTAGGAGCCCCTTGTAACTGGGAGGATATAATCCTGGTCTGAGGCTCTGCGTTGGAAGATAAGAACAACCGGGCACCATGGCAGATGAACTGCAACCACTTGGTATGATCGGATCTTTACATCCCATATTCTCGAGCCAACTCTCCTCCTTACTGAGATAGGAACGTTGGGGGTGAATAACGGGGCATCAAACTTCAATATCACGCCTTCTCCGGTACTGCCACCCGTCGTCCGCTATCCTGGTCGGGTTACCACGACCAGAGACCGCCAGAGTCACCCTCATTTCAAGCCGCAACGGATGTTTCGCGGCATTTATTTCACTCCCTCAGTCCCATCCAACGAAAGCAGCGGAAAGATAAGAAAACTGCCTCAGGCGTGCCGCCGACTCATAAACCGTAAAGACATTCGTCATTGCGCATCTCGTCAGAGATGACCAATGGAACCTAGAGGGGGGTACCGAAAGGGAGTAACGGAAGCCCAAAGAAGCAGACCGAGCCAAACGCCAGCCAAAGCAGCTCACATGCCGAAGGAGGGTGCTCGTGAGCAACTGCCCGGGGGTGCATTCTCCGTCTTGGGCTCTTGGTGTTTGTTGGACGGCGCGGGAGGCGTGGGGCGACAGAGTCGAAACCGGGTAACCAGTTGCGTCTGGGCCAAAGAGGCGTCAGTAACCCCCTGCTAGTGCTGCAGATGCGAGCCCAGACGCTTGGCTCGGCCGCTCTAGGAAGTAACGGTAAGGCTGCCGGACCCTCTGTAATATATTATCCGGACCAGAGCCCTCCGCCAACCCCCTGGAGGCAGCCTCGGATCGGCAAGTCCCTGCCCCGACTCGGGATAGCGCCCGAAACGTTGCACTCAGATCACCTTCGTCCCCAGAGAGACGCCAGCCAAGCACGCCTCTCCACATGCACTCCGGACTTTTGGGCAGCCCATGCGGGAGTGAAGTCCGGGGTGAGAGGCGAGCCAGTTGCCGGCAGGAAAGGGCATGGCTCGAACAGCTCGAGAAGGGGGCTTCGAAGCTACCTCTATATAACGTGTGTCCCCTGAACTCGTCGCGAGCAAGTTTGAGTCCATTATCCTTCTCCCCCTCCTCTCCCAACCACCATAATCATGAAGGTCCTCGCCCCCCTGATGCTGGCCGGCGCCGCCAGCGCCCACACCATCTTCTCCTCGCTCGAGGTTGGCGGTGTCAACCAGGGTGTCGGTCAGGGTGTCCGCGTGCCCTCGTACAACGGCCCCATCGAGGACGTCACGTCCAACTCGCTGGCCTGCAACGGCAACCCCAACCCCACCCAGTCCACCTCCAAGGTCATCACCGTCCAGGCCGGCGAGAGCGTGACCGCCGTCTGGCGGTACATGCTGAGCACCACCGGCTCGGCCCCGAACGATGTCATGGACAGCAGCCACAAGGGTCCCACCTTGGCCTACCTCAAGAAGGTCGGCGACGCCACCTCCGACTCGGGCGTCGGTGGCGGCTGGTTCAAGATCCAGCAGGACGGCTACAGCAACGGTGTCTGGGGTACCGAGAAGGTCATCAACGGCCAGGGCCGCCACAGCATCAAGATCCCGGAGTGCATTGCCCCGGGCCAGTACCTCCTCCGTGCTGAGATGATCGCCCTGCACGGCGCCGGGAACTACCCGGGTGCGCAGTTCTACATGGAGTGCGCTCAGATTAATGGTAAGTTATGATCACATCCCAGGTGAGGACGAGGAATGTCATGAATGGTTTGACTGATATTGTTAAACAGTCGTTGGCGGCTCCGGCAGCAAGACGCCCTCGAACACCGTCAGCTTCCCCGGTGCTTACAAGGGCACCGACCCCGGAGTCAAAATCAGCATCTACTGGCCCCCGGTCGAGAACTACCAGATCCCCGGCCCCAGCGTCTTCACCTGCTAAACGCTTTTAGCGAGGTGGTGATACAGTGGCGGATCTGGGAGACGGTGATGATATTGCATGGTGTGGTGGCGTTGCATCCACGGGGGTGGCCATGGACAGCCACTTTGGCCGCCTTGCCACCTCCTGGCACCCTATGGCTTCTTGTACATACATAGCTTAAACACCTAGGACCACTTCCGATCGGTTCAATTTCCGACCTCGGTGTGGTATCTACATGACTGTACATGATTCAAATTGTATGACAAGGGCTTATCCTTGCAAGAAATAAACGTCCTCAAAAGATCGTCTTCGGGAATGTCCTGATTACCTCGCCGCTCCAGTCATCGCCACGCTTGGGGCAACTGCACTTGGTGGCACATAATGAAGAAATGTCTACGTGGATATTCCGTGCCGCTGTGGAACGTGCCGCGGAGTCTGATTACCCAGGTACCGGCCAGTTGCTGGTGTTCAAAACCGCCTCTAATTAAGGCAGGTAATCTTCAACAGCTCCTCAAGACGGCGAAGTTGATATAACTTCCTCTCCGTGACTGGTGAGAGCGATTATCAGGATATGTTCATGGGCTACACGTCCATCCTCACCTGACTGTTGCGGCCAAAACAAATTGCCGATCATCGTCCAGGGGTGTCCAACGACGTATCAACAATGAAATTGATCAGGTTTCCGAGCCGACAATACCGTTGTGCCGTTCAAATCGCGACAAAGGAATGATCACAGCCCATATATCATAAGTACCTATATAATTAAAGGCCCTTAATTTATATCCTTTGACGACCCGAACTGCCCCGAACTATATAGGTACCTTCTTGTTGTTTAAAAACCCGTACTTTCATCTCGCGGCGCTACATCCTCCCATCCACTCGATTCTAGGTTGATTCTCATCACTATCCTAACTGAAAACCCTGGCATTTCTTTCTGGCGATGAACATGGCTCCTGAAACTATCAATCCGACGATTCTGGATCTAGATGCCAAGCACCAGCAAGCACGGGGAGAGGGTATGAACAAGCGTCTCAAGTTGGACGTTTCCACGCAACTGATTGAACGGCGTCCCAGAGTTAACACCTTTACCAACGGCCAACATCGTCTTTTTGCAGGTATGGTCGAAGACTTGTTCATGACTGACCAGACGGACAGGACTGAGCTTGAAGAGCCACAAGACATTGAAGAGCCACAAAACACCGAAGGCTCAGGTGACGATTATCCCGAATCATTTGCCCTGACCCCCGTATATGAAAATGGACCCATGCTTACCACCCAAGTGAATGGGTGGTTTTCACTTTCAGCTTCGGAGCTGGCTCAAGAGGGTTATGATTCAATGTTTTATCAACCTGACGACTCATACGTTTCGATCCCAGACAGGGACGAGAGGGCTCATTACCGGCGGAGTACCCACAGCCCGGTCTCTGGGTTTCACAAACCCTTTACTAATCCCGTGTCTGGAGGGTCAGGCAGTCAGCAGTTCATCTGCCCTCCCTATGGCCAATCTGACGCTTCCCAACAGTTCTTGTTCGATGGGGACCATTCTGTTGATCAAGAGCTTGCGGGCCAGCCTGACTGGCTCAGACTTCTCGACAGCCCTCAACAAACCAAGACCGATCCTTCCTTCTACCCAGACTCCTTTCAAGACTCTCCCGCCACTGATGGCCATCCAGAACTCTGGGAACACGACCATCAACAACAATCAGTAGGGGCGGGGCGAGACTTGGACTTCAAAGGAGCGAGTGGACCGGTACTCAAACTTTTATGAACGAAGGGGTGTTGGCAGCAGGACCTTTCTTAAACTCGATAGAATTGTTTCCTACTACGTAGCTAAAATTCATTCTCGTCTCAGTTCATAGTCCGTTCCTGATCCAAGGCGTGTCCAACAATGAATGTACCATTCATGTCCCTGTTATCGTTGACCCCTTTCAAGGTGTGTTGCTTCTGCTCACCCCAAGAGGACGTTCTATTGCTCGCACGGGGGTTGAAATACCCCGCCCACCCTCTCACGTCGAATTGTACACCGGACGCTGCTAAACTCCGGAAGGAAACACAATTTCATAGAAGATGAAAATAGCGCCGGCTGGTTTCGGGTTATTCATCCCCTGTGCTCCTTACTTTACGTGACTGACAACCTGGCGGAGGCTTGCGTGTTGTTCCTGGGGCTGTTTGTTCTGTTATCAACGGGATGCCGTGTCAAAGATGCACATCTAAATACTCTGTGGTCAGGGTGGCGTTGCGTGTTACATGCTGCAAACCGTGGCTGTCTACATGTAGGTTCCGACCACTCCACGGCGTGCCCGGCCCAGGGATGTGCTGGTCTAAATTAGTAGCTTAGTCGCTGTGGTCGTGTTCTTCTGGTATGGTTGTTGTAGAGAAAGATAAAATGGAAAATAAAAAAGGGAAATACTCAGTTTCCCCTGCAATCATGGATGGCAGCCACCGCAAGAAAGCCAATCCTGCGTAGGTCAAGCCTCGAGGTCCTGGTCTCAGACGTGGTTGTGGACAACCCCTATCAATCATGTGCCACCCAATCTCTTCGTCCAAATTCGCAAGCGGCAAGCTTAAAGAGAGCGTGCAGGTCTGAGAAAGTACCAAAGATCAGGTAGGCGACTCCTGGACGTGCAGCGTGGGTCCTTTGTGAGCGCGGGCGCAATGTGATCTCACCGTGGCTTCCCTACAATCACACGGCGCCGAGCATCGGCTAGTAGGTAATTCAGGCGTTTCTGGATACATTGGAGGGAATCATTGCCTAGGCTGCGATGTGGCCGAACGTTAAGAAAATTGGACGTTGCTGTGATCGAGGGCATTCGTAAGGGGCGCGGCGGAGGCTCAGAGAGTATGTTTTGGCTCGGGACAAACTGGCATGGTCTTCAACAGACATTATGGGTGCCGACCACCGAGGGGATGCACTGATGAAGGATTTATCGAGACTCGCGGCTGGAAATGCTACCTGAATAAGAGACTTAAGCGGTGGGCGTGGGGGTAAGAGTATGTGGCCGGAATGCGCGGCTGGGCAACTGATAACAACGAACTCGAACCAAGCAAGGAGCAACGTGACAGGCAGCAAGGTTGCAAAGTTCTTACCTGAGTAACAGGCTAACAGCAGCTTCCCCCTTCGGAAAGTAGCGATGTCAGGGGCAGCTCCTCTCTCCGGCAGTTTGCGAACACTGATTCGCCGAGTGTGCCGCGCTCCGATGCCGATCTGCGGGAACTCCCCGCTGGACTTTGGAAAACCTCGGCCCAATCAGTGTTGGGGATCTCACTCGTGCGGGCAAGAGCACGCTTGGTTGAAACAACCCCAGACGGGACAGGAACGCCCACCGAATCTGCGTACCATTCAAGCGGGAGTCCAGGGGTTACTCGATTGTCTCGGTGAGATTTAAGGGTTAGCGGGTGGCAGAGGACTGAACGTGCCTTAATCGTTAGAAATAGAACGTCTCAAAGCCAGAGAGAGAGATATGCTGAGACCGCGGGGTGGTTGCATTGTTGAATGGGGTTGTAACAAAGAGTAGAAGAGATCGGCGTCAAGTAGGCATCGAGTTATCGAACCTTCCCTTTCTGGACACTATCCCGCGGTCTCCTTCAGAACTCGAACAGCATATAAGTGAGGTGCACTTCGCACATAGCCAACTCAACTAGTAGCATACTCGACATCTCTCCCAACCTCACCCCTCCAACCCTCGAAGTCTCCCTAGCCCGCCGACAAAATGGTCCGCGTAAGAAACCCATTCTTGCGTATTGCCCAATTCATGATGTAGCACTAACACCATAGCTAGATCATCCCCGCCCTCCTCAGCCTCGTTACCGTCCTCTCGGTCTCGGCCGCGCCGCTCCACGCCGAGGTTGAGGCCCGCGCGTGCGCCTTCACCTGCGGCAGCGTGTGCTACGAGAGCTCGCACATCAACGCCGCCCTCAACAAGGGCTACTCCCTGCACCTGGACGGCGACGACATCAGTGAGTTCCCCTTTTCCCTCCACCACAAAAAGAAGGGAAGAATAAAAAGAAAGAAAAAAGAAAAAAGGAATAAAGGGAAAAAAGAAAAAGAAAGAAAGAAAAAGACTTTTCCCTCCCCTTTCCACATCTCCACAGCTCCAGAAATACTCACACCCCTCCCCCTCCTCTAGACAACTACCCGCACCGGTACAACAACTACGAGGACTTCGACTTCCCGACCCCGGGCCCCTGGTACGAGTACCCCATCATGTCGAGCCACAGCGTCTACAACGGCGGCTCGCCGGGCGCCGACCGCGTCGTCTTCGACGGCGACGGCAACTTCGACCTGCTCATCACCCACCAGGGCGCCAGCGGCAACGCCTTTGTTGCTTGCCGTTCCGGTTAAGCTGGGTGTGAGTAGAATGGTTATGGTTAAGGGGGGGGGGGGGTTGGTGTGTGTGGGTTGGTGACTTTCTCTGGGTGGATGGACTTTGTCACATTGTTCGCTAGCATGTCAGCTAGGCGCCTGACAGAAATGGCTACCTACTTGTGAGACGGGCAAAGAGGGTTTGCGTTTGCGAGTGATCCCATCTGCTTCCTGTGTGTGTCGGTGTTGGTTAAGGAGTCGTTAATGTCACCGACAAGCCTGGATGACGATCTTGGGGAGGGCAAATTGGCTCATGGCTCACTCATGGGCTTTGAATTCAAGCACGGTATTGTGGATAACTGACACCAAACTCCCCCTGTTCATAGATCGTCCGGACCGGCACGCCTCTGTTCTCGGCAATGAAGCCGATGAGCTGCTGGCCGATGTCCTTGATATCGTTGTACTCCTGTAGGCGGCGGATGTATGTCTTGACAGTGGTCTCGGGTGGTTGGCTACTGACGCGATCGGTTAGCAGGGCTCTATTCTTGCTTATATGGCGCATGGTAAATAGAGTTATCCGTCACTCGGAGGCAGCCGCACATACCTCAGTTGCGTTTCTTCTTCTTGCAGCTCACTCGTGGTGCGGAGCAGCAATCGCAAAGTGTCTTGGGATTTGGCGAAGGCGTCGCACTGTTGAGGGAATGAATTAGACCTGTGGTTATTGAAACCCGGAACGCTTCAGCGGAGGCTGCGCACAATCTTGATTATGTACCCTAGGTCGTTGTCCTGAGTTGCCAAGATGGATTAGCTACCTGGTCAAGTATCTAGAGAGGTACTTTGCATACGCTCATCAGACATCCAAGTTCCCGGTCATCCTTCGCGGCAATCTCGATGGGTTCGCCCGAACCCGGTCCAGTAACGATAATCGCTGACCCATCCTCGTTCCCAGACTGCACACGAGCACTCATAACCCATGGCTCAACATCCTCCGGGACGTTGACTGGTGCATGACTAGCCTCAAGAAGCCACTGCTTGTAGCTGTCTAAACGTGACTGAACCCTGACGAGAATGCCGTTGCGATCTCCATCATCGTCCGTCTTTTGCGCCAGCCATTGATGGAACGATGTGGCAAGGGATATTTGAGTCCGTATCGCAATGACGATTGCATCGCCACTATCATCCCTGGGCGGCGTGCCGTTTCTAGACTCGTTGTTGTTGGTCGCCATTTCGATGGAAGGGGGATGGGGAAGAACTCGAGGTTCAGGTTGGTCGAGGCTGCGAAATGATAAAATGCACAGTATGTGCTGCGAAAGCGAGACACTGTGCATGCTGGGGTGAGGTTTAATGCATGGCGCGGGTCGTGCGGTCCCGTCGGTGGAGGAGAACTGTCGCTGTCTTCATTTTCTCGAATACCAGGTCAAGTTCCCTTAGGGCAACGAGGCGCTCAGTCATGCACCGTTGTTTTTCCCAAAGAGCTCCGTCATACTCAGCCGTTTTCCAGCGCCCGAGTCCCCCCGGGCGGCGGTAACTGCCTGCGGCTCTGAAGTCAAGCTATCGTTGTTGTCCAGCGCCTCCGCTGTCGCCGCTTGAATGTACGCGTCGAATGCTTCCCGGCCCTGCTTCCAGGCACCCAGGATCAGGTTCGCGTGCATCTCCCGCGTATCGCTCTCGTCGGCATGGATCCAAAGCCCGAGGATCTTCTTTCCAGATGCTTCCGTTCCCTGGTTGTTGCCACTGATTACAGCGCCGTCCTCGAGCCGAAAGACGATGAGCTCCCCCACCACCTCGCAATCTGTCACCCTCAAGAGGTCGATCACGAGGTTTTCCATGCTCCGGCGATTGAACACAAACACGCACACCCGCGGCAGTGTCTGTCCGGTGTGTGCCACGACGGGCTCTTGCTCGCAGATGAACATGGTCCCCTCTGCCCCGTGCTTCTCCCACCCTTGTGTAGCCTCGAGGAAGTTGTACGCAACGGCGTTGGCGGCGATGGCCGTGATGGACCGGATGCTCGGTTGGTACCGGCGCAGGACGCGCAGACTGAGCTCGGTGTTATCGCGGGCCGGCTGCGGGTTGGATAGCGGCATCGTCTCGCGGTTCTCCATGTACTGCGCAGCGTCGGACTCGTAGTCGGAGGCGGCTACTTGTCGGGGACCGCTGTTGCTCGGGTGGTGGCGGTGCCGCGACTTGCGGGGGGTCGGCCGACTCATGTTGGGTGGTTGGGTTTACTTAATTATGCTTCGATGGTGTCAAGGAAAGTGCTGTGTCCGGTTCGTTTTCGGATGACGCGGGCGAGCAGGCTCGAAGCTCAAGATAGCTGTCCGAAGTTGTTTGGGCAAAGATGGTTCAAGCCGTCCCGCGGCCTGACCCCACTTCCAATCAATGGTGGGGCAGGGCAAGTATAAACCGGTATTTCGGCACTGTCTCGCCGGTGGCGCCAGTTGCAAAAAGAAGCAGGAGCTACCCCTGGGTTTGAACTGTGCCCTGTGCCCTGGCTTCCAACCTGTGCCCTGGCTTCTAACTATACCCTATGCCCTGGCTTCCACTGGGTATACTACCTAGGTAGGTTCGAATTGTACCCTAGATCGCGACCGGCTCCCCGGATCGCAATGCAACTGGTGGTTAGGTTTGGTAGGTAGAGTTATGGACTGGAATGGAAGGAAGAAAAGAAAACAAAAAAAACTGAATATCGAACTTCTCCCTCCATTCGTCAACCTGTTCAATTGGATCACGTACCGAAGGAGCCAAGATCTTTTGTACCAATAGAGAAATAGTAACGGCATGTAACCTGCAATTGTTAAAGAATGCCGCAAGAGTAAGCTTACACGCTACCAAATTGTTAGTGCGGACCCCTGGAACGCACTGCAAAGTGGCAACGCACTACCCGTATGAAAAGACCGTTCGCTAGTATGGTATATAGAGATATATAGAGATAGGCGGGCAACTCCCCACCTGTAAAACATGAGAATTCAGATGACACACAACTCTTTACATCGATCTCGACCATACCAGAATCCCTCCAACAAGTTTGGCACGTTTCGTCTGAAAGTTCTACATCCCATGGGCCATAGCCAGTAGCAACACTACCATCCTCGACATGTCCACTACCGCTACCGTCCGACCCCATTTCAACTTCGAGGTCGAGATCGAGCTCCTGGTCAAGCCTAAAGAGGGCAATACTAAACTGTACAGGGACCTCAAGGCGTCGGGCTTTGATCCAGCTCTCAAACCAGGCCATGATGCGGACAAGAAAAAGGCAGAGAGAAATCGGACAGAAATACGTAAGGCTTTGGCGGCAGCCTTGACCGTCTGCGATGTTGAAGCCAAAATCGATGGTGCCAGCTACGAAACGTGGTACGTCAAGGAGGAGGGTAGCCTCAGTGAAGTTGCGGACGAGAGAGGGGGCGGTTACTGTAAGTTCGGCTCGCAAAACACCCGCTACAATGATCATCTAACGGACACTAATGTCGGTGAATAGGGGCCATTAAATTGGTCTCTAAAATCATGTCGACCGATGAAGAGAACTGGGCCGATGATCTCGAAAACGTGTTCCAGGTTGTGTTGACCAACTTCGATGTCTTGTTGACCAAAGGCTGCTCTATGCATGTCCACGTTGCCCCGGGGCCGAAGTGGAATGTGACGTCTTTGCGCAACTTTATGAAGGCGACGGGAGTTTTCGACGACGCTATCACGAAGATCATGCCTGCGGAGCGCAAGAAGAACCCTTGGGCTAGATCCAACTTCCACGATGGCCCTGGGCCCGCAGACAAAGCACAGCCGGCGCTGAAAAAAGCATTCGACGAGGTCCCTTCGAAAGCCTGGAAACCGCTATTTGCGGTTTTTGACAAGATCGAGATGACCAACGTTCTCCTCACTTGGGGACAGGTCCGCGAGGTGTCATGGAATCTTGCATCCCTCCACAAATCTGAAACTGTCGAGTTCCGACGACCCCCTGGTGTCAAGACAGCTGCGGCCGCACAGAAATGGGCTACCTTCGCCGTCGCCTTCGTTTGTGCCGGCACCCAATCAGACTGGCAGGCTCCGTGGCTGTTGAACAAAAGGAGCGCCACCGTTGGCGAGCTCCAATCCTTTGTCTCGAGTGGACTTGAGCTCCTTGGTTGGGAACACCTTCTGGATACCCGTGAGCTGACCGAAAACACCTCGTCGGCGATGCCGCTCGAACATTTCGATTGGGAGGGGGTGAAGCGCAAGCTGGGCGAAAGCTAAGAAGCCGAGCGGAATTGAGGAAAAGGCCGAGGCTCGGGTTGATAAGGGTGGGTTGGAAAAGTCGGCGTTCATTAGCCGGTGCCGTCGACTTTTACTTTCGAGGTTGGGATGGCGGTGATGGCTTCCATGTTGATTAGCACCCTCTGGCCAAAAAAGGCCGAACTCGAAACTGAAGGAAAGCAAGAAATCAAGCAAAAAGAACAAATGAAAAGAGATGGAGAAGACTAAGTCAAATGAAAAAAAGAGGGTAAAAGAAAAGGAAATGGAGTAAATAGAGTTTCCTTGGGCTTCAGGATGACTTTCGTTATATTCCTCCAGCCGAGGACTCGAAGCTTCCATTGCCCTAGTTTATCTATATGAGACGCCACAAGGAGACTCCAGTCGCTCCTGATCTTCCAATCCAAAGTGCCCCTGCCCCGTCTGCCCACTCTAGAAGGCGCAGCCTTCTTCGTTTCGGCCTCCCAACCGTGGGGCGAGAATAGAGAGGTCAAACTGGCCTGACAGGCTGACTGACTGGCCATGGCCATTGCCCACCCTCGGCTTGGTTGCTCGATACCAGCTCCAAGATGTGGCACGGACTAAAGTGTTGGTGTTTTGCGCTATCTACGGCCACATTTACCCACCTCCTCTGGGCCTCATCTTGAACGATGCATGCTAATTTTAGGTATGTCTCGCAGCCATCACGGCGGCTTTTGAAACTAGCGCGGCCAGATGTCTCTGATCTTCTGCACCGAATGTTTCAGAAGAAGTGCCCCTGTGGGTGATCTACCTTTTGATTGGACTCACCGGAGACAGTTGGACATTTGGTTGGTTAGCCATTCGGTGCAACTATCTCCCTACCACGTATGTACATAGTAGGGGGTGGCGAAGTGTTGGTGACGGCCTGCCTTGACCACAGTGCGGCTCGGGCCGCGGGCCATATATGGGGCCGGCTGTGTTTTGACTTGGGAGCAGAGGAAAATATTTAACGAGAAGTAACCACGGCAGATAGGTATCTACCTACATAGGGCTATAAGCAAACACACTGAACAGTCCAGAATTCCAGCACTTTTCGATTCTTTCCAACCCGAATGAGCCCCCTGCTGCACAAGTGGACCTATATACCTACCAGGCTCCCGACGACATAAAGCCGACAAAAACACCACACTGCGCCACGCGCCTTTGCCTCTGAACAAGCAAGCAAGCAAGCAAGCAAGCAAGCAAGCTGCCTGCCCGCCATCCTCGAATCGCAAAACCACACCGTCGCAATCATTCCCTTCCTTGCTTTCCCACAATCATCTTCACGTCGCCTCTCACAAACAAAGCAAAATGTCTGCTCTTCAACGCGCGATCGCCAGCAAGGCCCAACAAGAGGAGGAGGATGACGACGCATGGCGAGCGGCGCGATGGGCGGCCGCGCGCAAGGCTATGGCCGACGGCACATTCAAACGTACCGAGGTCCGCATCCCCGTCGTCCTGAGTCCGGACGGCCCCGTACCGTCGCCCGAAGCCCTGCAACGCCTCGTGGGGATCGAGTCGCTGCCCGAGGTGCTGGAGACGACGCTCACCACCTGGGACAGCAGCAAGAACGGAGGACTCGGGGGTAGTACGGTGACAGCTGCTAGGATTTGTCACGTGAACTATAGTGAGAAGAAGAGATTGGAGAACAGGGCGGAAGTGGAGTATGATGCGACGGGGAAGTATGAGGTGATATTTCGGGGGAAGAAGAGATGTCCGATGGTGGTAAAGTCGTTGAAGAAGGGTGGGGGTGGAAATGGGGCTGCCGGTAACAAGGGGACTGCCGATGATGGGGATGGTCTAGGTAATGGGAAAGTGACGAAGTAGAACGTGTCTTGATCTGGAAAACAATGATATTTGATTTAGGCTATAGATTGTCAGCCATTGCTGAATGACACCCGTTTCTGAATCTGGTCGTCCAAGTTGGGACCCCCCCACCGCTTCCTCTTCTACGTACAATGAGACAAGCTTGATGTGAAAACGGTGGCTTGGATATTAGACTACGAACTAGGTATGCCACATGAGGATGATTGCTGGCGACTGAAATTCGCCAATATGTCACATTACATATAAAGGCGGAAGACGAAGACAACTAATAACTAATATGTCTCTTGCGTTGGAGTTAGTCCTGCTCTAACCGCCGGATCTTTACTAACTACCTCATCTACACTCTAATCTGGGTAGTATTGACTAGACATGGATCATGGATCCTTAAGCTATCGCACACCTTCCAATATTGACCACTACTTTCACTATTCCTTCCAGAGCTTATAATCACTAAAGTACTGATCGTGGATCCTCCTCGCGTAATCCATAATGACGGGAAAGCCACGAACGATCTGTTCTGTGGTCGGTGCCCTGGGACGGTCAGCATGCCTCTTTGCATTGTTTTAGAGCTGTCATCTCATTTCCGGGGAAACGTACTGGGCACAATCTAGAGCCGCGCCGACGAACCCAAACACGGTCGCATCAGCCTCCGTTGGGGAGATGCCGCCGAGAATCCAGAAAGGGCCGTCCCGGCCAGCCTCGTGAGCCTTATTGCGTGAGTCGACCAACAGCGCGTTCACACTCTCCCAAACCTCGACCCTCGCGTCCTTGGCCTCATCGTCGGTAAACCGAAGCACGCCCTGACCTATGAGCCTGGCCTTGACGGAACGGTAGGCAAACATGCCGATGAAGAACCTAATAAAAAAGGGCATGGCGCTGAGGGCGTTATCCCGCATCACGTAGTAGTTGTCAATCCACCGCTCGCGAACCTGCGGCAGAGGTTAGCCCTTGGGGTCTTTTCACTCTCTTCCACACTACCGTCGCTAATCCCACCTGATAAAAGTACAGCTTATCCTCCAACAACGCGCGCACCGCCAAGTCCGTTGCCCTCTCGGCCGGCGTCAGGCCCGCGTTCAGGTCCGCGATGTAGCCTTCCTCGACCAACCTGCGCGTGATAAGCGTCGAGTCGGCCAGCTGCTCGGGTGTTGCACCCGGCGCCCTTTCCACATCGATGTAAGGGATCTTGCCGCGGGGCGCCTTGAACACGGAGCCAGCGCCGACCTTGTACGGCACTCCGCCGATGCGCAGGCGCGTCTCGAGCTTGTTCACGAAGGGCGAGGGGACGTAGCTGCCCCGGGCCGGGAAGCCGCGGTGGAGGGTGAGAGGAGGGATTGGTTTGGATGTCATGGTGTTGTGTGCACGTGAAACGGGGTTGGAGAGACTATGAACTAAGTATCACATGGATGATTGTTTTGGGGATGTTCAATAAAAGAAAACCTCTTTGATAGATATCATCCTCGACTCGAGGGCCGTCGAGTATTTCCGAATCCCCGACGCCGAACCGATCGGCATCGACGTCGCGAGAGCCCGGAGGCGGCGTTGGTGGGGGCCGATTCAGGTTTTCAGCCCCTAATTCAGCGCTTCTCTCGAGGGCTGTTCCAGGCAGCAGCTGAGGGGCGGATGGAGGTCGCGAAAGGAAGGTGGGGCACACACCGTCCTTTCTCTTCACCCAGACCCATCAAATCAAGCAAAAACGCCGCCAAAGATATCGCAGAGCTGAATTTCTTCAGCAGAAGCGCTGTAAACATGGCTGCACGCGCCCACAATACGTGGTATTATCCATGTTCATTTTTGTCTGACCGGGTGACGCAGTGATGTCGCAGAGCACGGCACTCTCAACCATCTGACGAGGTACCCTAACCCACGCGCCCCGCAGCCGAGAGCCCGATTTCAACACAGGGCGCTGCCCCAGTCGTGCCAGGTTTCCAGCCCCCCCAGGTGACAGGATTGCTGCATCCATACGCCGCAACGCATGGCAGTGGGAGGGTATCATGATATCAACCTTGGAGAGCTGGATGCCAACGAAGTCATTCCAAACCAGGCGTGGGCTAAAGGGTTAGGGCTCTGCATTTCGAATTCGGGAGCCAGACCGAGACTGCGTGCAGCAAGCAGTCCGAGAGCCCCACCTCCCCGCATCTTGCCTCCTCTTGAACTTGTCTTGTCTTGTGCCAACAGAGCGCAGAGAAGAGGGCGGTGTCTTCCGAGTATCTCGTGGTGTAAGCGAGCCCGAATCCTTCACCGACAGACGATAAGGCTCTGTGGATTTCGGACCTCGCGTTGTTGGGGCCAAGGCTGTCGGGCGGGCATTAAAGTGGTGCCAACTCCGGGATCCGGCCGTGCTTATCATCAAGAGGAGTGCCCGATGATACGGGTCGGATCTGCGCCTGCAAAACGTGGAGGAGGCTCAGAGACATTCTCCACTACCTTAAACGTTCCTTGGCTCACTTTTATCTCATCAGGCGTGCCAGGTTCCCCACAATCGGTCAGTTTCTCAGACAGGATTCTCGGGCCAAGAAGATGGAGATTGTTCTGCTCGGTGACGCTTCGAGATTTGGCCGGTTAGAGACAGGGATTATGACGGACCTCGAGCGACCCAGCAGTGCGAGCAGCGTCGGCTCAGAGCACGGAATCTGGGGCGGGTAAGCACCCCCCTTGGTCCGCTTGGCGAGCTTGGCCAGGCCTGAGAGGCGCCAAGTCTCGGTTTCCTTCCTGGATTCTGGGGATTTTCCCTGGACCTTCCTAACACTGTCACTTGGCACTGGGGCAGCGGCGATAAAATCCTCGAGGATTGGTCGTCCCTTCGGCAGGCCATGGCAGTCCAGTTGCCCTTGATGTAACCGGATGGGGCAGGTGGAAAACGCCCACCCCCGGTCTTGGTGGTGAGTATCTCTGACCACTCGTGGCGAGGGCGCAATGCAAGATGGCTACCAACGGGGGCGCAATCAAGGTCGGGCCGAAGCATAATAATCTGAACCCACCCTCCTCACTTGGTGCGATGCGAGCCTCATCCGGTCCTCTTCCACTCGGTCGCGTGCACTGAATCCCCTTCGACGACGACGACGACGACTCACCACCACGTACGTCTGGTGTCGCGAGAGCTTCATCACCACCGGCAAAATGTCAGCGGAAAAGACGGACGCGATCAACGACGACTCGGACGTGCGCCGCACGACCACGTCCACGAGCTCCCCGCCCGAGACGGCTGAACTCGAGACCAAGAAGAAGCCATGGTGGAACTCGATCCGCGAAGCGGGCTCGGCCACGCAAATCGTCATTGCCGCCGCCCTCGGTGTCGGCATCGGCCTCGCCGTGAGTTCGACCGTTGACGATATTCCGGCGGCAGCGACCACCATCGTCGCCATTCCGGGCAGACTCTGGCTGCGGGCTTTGAAGGCTGTTGGTACGTGGCGAGTGACGCAATGATGCAGCGCAATGGCAGGGACGGTTTCAGCTGACGGTTTTCCCCCCATTTTAGTCTTGCCCTTGATTGTCACGGCTATGATTCTGGCTGTCCAGCGCCTCCGTGTGATGACGGGTGGTAAGTACCTGCAAGTAATCGATGGAAGAGGCAGTTAACGGCTGACATCCTGGGTCAACTAGGTGGAAAGATCCTTGCCCGCTGGACTGTCGGTTACTATGTTCTCACCACGCTCCTGGCCATTGTCATCAGCACCATCCTGACGGACCTCGTCTGGGGCCGGTTGATGCAAGTGGTTAGCGGCGAGAGCCTGGCAGTGTCCGAGGAAGACGCCAAGACGATTGCGGACCGCGAAGAGCTCGCAATCGCAGACGTTGTCTCTCAGATGTTCGACTCGTTCATCCCGGACAACATCGTTAACGCCCTGGCCACCGACAGCCTGCTTGCCGTCCTCATCACCGCTATCGTTGTCGGTTACCTGCTCCAGCCAGGGTCGGCAATCATTCGCGTCTTGGAAGAAGTGGAAGTCATGATCACCAAGATCATCACCGTCCTTATCAAGCTTGCTCCCATCGGTGTTTTCTTCCTGATCTTGCCGAACCTCTTCAAGCTCAACATTAGCGAAATCGGCTTCAACCTCGGCATTCTCATCGGCGGAGGCGTCACCAACATGGCGATCCATCTGTTCATCGTGCTTCCCATAATATTCTTCGCCATCACAAGGAGGAATCCCTACCTCTACTGGTTTAAGTGCTCGAGGGCGTGGATCACGGCGTGGGGTTCGGCATCGTCTGCGGCCACGCTCCCCTTGTCGATGAAGTGTGTCACGGCCCAAGGTGTGCCCCTCGCCATCACCAAGTTCAGCGTCCCGCTTGGCTGCTTGGTCAACATGGATGGCACCGCTATCTACTTCCCACTGTACGTTGGACTCTAGCCTTTCATATTGCGTCCCGGGTTTCGAGGCGAGAAAGCTAACGGAAATCTAGATGCGTCGTTTTCCTCGCGGTAACGCAGGGAATCAAGCTCACGCCGGTTGACTACGTCATTATCTGCCTGCTTTCCACGCTCGCCAGTATCGGCACCACCCCGATTCCCAGCTCTTCCCTGGTCTTGACCGTCATGATCGCCCAGAGCGTCAATGTGCCCATCACGGGCATGTACGTACGTGTTATTCTCCTGCTGTCTGCCCCTCATATCGGATCCAGCTAACCCCCGACCCAGGCCATCATCATCAGCATCGACTGGTTCTTGGACCGCTTCCGGACAGCCGTCAACGTCTCGGGTGACATGTACGCTGCCAGGGTCCTCCAATCGCTTACCGGAATCAAGGATGACCCCACTGCCATGACGCCCGCGGATGAGGAGCACGTCGTGGGCCGGGTCGACGACAACTCCCAGAGAGTTTGAGGGACCCAAACATGACGATGGAATATCTCGGACTTGTAGCTACTGTTGGATCAAATTTCAAGCGTGTTTACGAGACATGGTGTCACGTCGGGGGCGTCGGCCGAGGCCGAGAGAGACTTGGTGTGTCCATGCAATGTGCGTTCCATTCCGCCGTGAGGTTGTATTTCAGTCATTATACCCCCGGGTTGGACTGTGAGCCACGTAACCGGTTCCGGTTGGCAACTCAACCGGCGAGTTCGTCACCCCAAGCTCGTTCACATAACCCGGCTGACCCACCATCTCGGCGTACTGCGGTTGGTAGTGCGGTTGGTTCGCCACCCCGGAATAGCCCTGCTGGTCCGCGCCGGGCGGCATTTCCACCGTGTACTTGTAGTCGTCGTGCGATTGTTCCGCCGCTTGCGTGTCCTGCCACGCTGCCCCCTCCGCTCTCTTCCTCTTCCTATTCCTCATACACATTATTATCGCCAGCACGCCCAGCAGGATGCCCGCCAGCGCCGCACCGACGGCGATTCCAACTACCGCGCCCGTTGAAAGCCCGCCTTCTTCCGCGGCTGGTGGGGAGGAGTCGGAGGCAGAGCCCGAGTCGGCCGACTCCGAAGCGCTCGAGAATGCGGTCTCCGAGGCCGAGGATTGTGTCGTGGGCGGTGTTGTGCTGGATGCCAGTGCGAGATCTGACGACTGATAATTCAGCTGAAACATCTGGGCTAGCAAAACCACCTGCGCCGTGGTCGGCAGCGCGGTCGTGCCTCGTCCGCCGGTCTCGGTGTCTTCGGTCACGGTTGTCGTAAAGTCGACAAAGACCGGGTAGGTGCTCGTGCCGAAGTTGACCATGTCTGTCCCGGAACACCTGGCGGTGCTGACCGTCACGCCGGTTTCCGTCGCTATACACGTGTTGCCGTTGAGGTTCGTGCACTTGAAGCCACTACGACTGCTGTCAGTGCCGACGAAAAGTGCCTAGCAGAGCATCATGGTACATACGTGGGGCAACACCCAACTGCCGTCTCGCCTTCTACCAAGGTGAACTGCAGGTCCCAGTCCTGTCGCCTGCCATATTCCGCCGTGCAGGCCGATGTATAGCCTGTCGGACACGCCAGACCGGGGGAGTAGAAGCCCCATCCCGCGAAAGGGGCGGCTGGTGTCCCGGCCCCTCGTCTGACAGGAGGCCAACAGCTCGTATTGTCCATTGGAGCCGCTTTCTCGTCCTTTATTGCGCATTGTTGTCCCCTGAACGCCCCGTCGCAAGTTTCGCAGCCGACGACATGGAGGCTGCAGCTATCGGGGATGGACCAGGCCGTGGTCAACGGCCCAAGCCATGTGCCGGATGCGCCAGTGACGGGCATTGTGCTGGCGGGAAAAGAAAGGCCGGCTATGAAGGCGCACCGAACAGTATGACGGGATTCGGAAGAGGTTCGGGTTTGTCCACTCTGGCAAACCGGGGGGGTGTCGACTTATTTATTCCTCTTCAGCCCCCACGACCGCGTCTTCCAGGCCCGTTTTTACCTTTTGGCCCCCAGATTTCCTCTCTTTTTTTTCTCTCATCCCTGAACAGGGTCCACATTGGGGACTGAGCGCGCCTAATTTAGCTCGGGCTGAGAGGTCGAACGGTGATGGGCAGATCACCGCGTTCGGGGGATGAATGCGCTCATCGAGGTTTAACCAAGTTAGCCCTATCACCAAATACCTACCTCGGCCCATCGTCACACAAGTCAAGGAGTCGACACTGGATTGCACACGCCTCTTGCTGTCGTCTGATACCAGCAGCATGGTCTTGGGTCCTGGGCCGGCTACACAGCAGCCATGTCGCGTGGTGGGTCGACAGGGGGCTCGATCAGGGGGTTCTGTTGCCAATCGGATTTGGTAGCGTGGACACCCTCGTCAAACTTGCCCAATCACTTGCGCGGGCGGTTAACTGGGCACGCCGAGGTTGCGGCTGTCATTTGTCAGTATGCGGTTGGTTCACAATGAGAGATGAGACCTCATGCTCACCTTTCATTGTTCTGAAACTTGCGCTCAAAGCAGGGCGCTCGCAGCCCGTCTTCGCCAACTTGTTTCCTCTCCACCGTCTGATTTTCTCGCCTCGAGGAGGCGCAGCTTGCCATGCGAGCATCCTTCTACACTCGCTACCGATCATCATCCATGTTGAAAGCATGAAAAGCTAGGTATCGTTGCAACTTGCACCCCTCTCGGGGGCCGGGTGCGCTTTCGTTGCGTGGCTACCGCTGCGAGCCTTGTTTCTCTGCTTCTCCTTCCCCTCTCAGACTGGGCGTCGACACAACTAGCTCGTCGATAAGACCCTCCAGCACCGTCTCCCACACAACCGTCAGGGCATCGGCCACCTTTACTCTACTCGACCCGTTGTTCTTAGAAAGCATAGGGCCATAGTCCTTGGGGTTCACTACAGTATATATTTTATATGACTACTCTACCGCCGTCGAAGCTTTCAGAACTACCGGAGATGGTGGACAAGCTGCACCGGAAGTTGGCTGCGAGAACCTGTCACGAGACTCAGTTACGTAGGTGGACTTTCAAGCTATAATAGCCGAAGCCCTTTTTGGTATGGGTACCTAGGTTGCTTTTGGACTCCCCAGAGAGCTTGAACATCAAGCGTCAATTCTATCCTACAATCTCGTATTTCGACCTAGAATTCAAGACGTTGTGGTTATTAGAAGAAAGCGGTGGTTGGTGCACGACGTCGGGAAAGTGTGAATGTATTTATTGATCCTGATAGCGGGCTTGTACCGAAGAATAGATGATTGTGACAAGGAAATCGCACACCTCAGAGTACTCGGCCATCCTGTTAATAGCTACAGACTCACACTGACACCACCAACGCCACCTAGAACCACCTCATCTTTGCCTACTCCGCAGCTCACCATCCGTCGCGTCAGCGTCCCTACCCGGGGCGTCATCAGGGCGGCCAGCTGAATAGCAGGACGTTCATGTCCGTGGCCCGTGACTGTATGGTGGGGATGTGGACGGAGAGTATGGGGGAGGTGTATACTGGGCGTTAGACGAGGCATAGTCAGGCGGAGTCAACGCGGGTGGCGGGGCGGTTGGTAGGGGATTCTCAGTCTTCTGGAGGGGGCAGAGAGGCGTTGGTTGTGGAGGGGGGGTTTCGTTTCCACGTCGTGACAAGATGCGCCAGACCTTGGTGAGCCCGAACCTGGCTGCCCAAGTGGTTTCAGTCTTGGTTTCGGTGTTGCCTTCCGCCTGCTCAGCTTGACGCTTCTGTCTCTTGGCCTTCCGTCTTTCCTCTTTCCATTTGGGGCAGCCCTTTTGCAGACAGCCACGTAGCATAAGAATATCTAAAAGGGCGAAAAATAGTACGACAGCCGTCGCAGCACCGAGAACGCTAACGAACGTCGTGAGAAATTCGGGGCTGGGCCCATCGTCTGCCTGTTCCTCTCGGGTTGATAGAGCTGCCTGTTCCTCCGGGATCGGTAGAGCTGCTGCTACCATGAACGTCATCGTCATCAAGCTCATAGCCTTGAAATGGGTAGGGGCCATGGTGAGACAGACGAACCCGGTGTTGGTTGGCGGATGGTGTGGTACTACAGTCGAGGTATATCTGGTGTCTGGTGTTTCTGGGGCGTGTATTATATAGCTGTACAAACCGCCTCGTCATTACTCTGGTCTACTTATTAAATAAATCTGTGTTCAGTGGTCACGCGGCTATGTTATCAACATCCAAGGTCGCCTTTTCTTTATACCTTGTTTGTTCCAGGATGGTCTAGTGGTGTTGGTAGAGACAGATGTTTCACACACAGGGATATAAATAGGCTTCAGCACTTAAAAACTCAAAAATCAAACATTTCTATGGCTCGGTTAATTTGCCTGCCGGTTGTGGCTTAGAACAAAGCAATCGCGTTGGGCGGCGAGGCGACCAGCCCGGGGTGGTTCAGGGGCGCCGAAGTCAACAAGAAGCTGTATCTCCCCGTCTTTTTGGCGTATTCGCCCAGCGCTTTGAGGTCCCACAGCTCGCCGATAGACATGCCGAACTGGTTGAGAAACCAGGGATGTAGAACTAGGCTGGTTGTTAGCACTATTCGCCTATACTTTTCATAGTTCGGCTACTGCTCCGGGGAAACTCACCCAGGTCCGAAACACCGCCCGGCGTTCCATCGGGCTTCAGCGCCGGAAGCGCCTCAAACGCGTGGGCATCGCCCGCCACAGCCGCAAAGCGGTGATTCCACACCCAGCGCGCCGTATCCGCGTGCCCGTGGAGACCCGACATGGTACCGGCCTGAAACTTGGCAAAGTCCTCGGGCGTCGGGGCCTCCAGCATCTGGGTGTATCCGGTCCGGATAATGAGAATATCACCGTGCTTGAACTCGACGCCTTGGTGCTTGGCCACCTTCTCAATATCCTCAGCCGTGATACGGTACCCGTCGAGCGGGTGGTATGGCTCGCCCGTCGTCTCCTCGTGGTACCGCTTCCAGTCGATCAGGACACCACGTCCGGCGAGGGCGCCGCGCGAGTGCCAGTGCTCGATGGTCGGGAGGGGATTCTCGGCCGTGGATTGCACCGAGAGGCCTTCCGCCGTTGGCTTTTGGCCATTGTATGTGGTGCCGTCGGTGGTGATGTGGCAGAGGCTGTCCCACTGGCTGCCGAACTGGGTATTAAACTCGAGCTCGTCATCCCAGCCTTCGCAGTCCATGTCTAGATCTCTCAGGCGGTGCGGGCGATGTACCGGCGGCTTGCGACCCGCCACTGGGAACTTGATGCCGTTCAATGGCCAGCTATATGTCGTCAGCTTCATTGCAATCGTCCCCTGCCGCAACGGAATCAACCTACTTGAGGGAAATTGAGACGCCATCCTTGACCTCAGCAGCAGCCTCAGCCACGATCTTGGGCGTGATGAAGTTCAGAGTGCCAAACACATCTTTCTTGCCGTCTTTGTCAAATACGCCCCAAGCGCAGCCCTGAGGCTGCCCATCGACCTTGGGCAGATCGTCAAAGTCTGGGACTGAACTTGGGTCCATAGCGAACGGTATCGGGGTTTCGGGTCGACCTCAAAGAGTGTGGTTATGTGGTTACTAGCACACTAGGGAGGGCTTCTTGCCTGAGATAATATATTGGTTCGCCCCCGCAGGATCGGGGCGGTGAATGAACCTGAGGGGGCGGCTTGAGCCAGTGTGACTCTGTGAACAGGGGCTGTGACTTCATTGTGGAGGCCCCCGAGCCTCCGTGACTGGGCATCCCAAGTCCCCTCTTTCAGACGGAGGGACCGCTCGGACAATGACCCCTAGTTAGCGGAGTCCTCTTCAGTCCCAAGGCCGTCATGCTGTCAGCCGCTAGCTAAGTGGAGGTCGAGTGCTGGCCTTCAACCGGCGGTCCGGCGCATTAAAGTTGGCCGCCCTAATGCAGAGCCAAAGCCGAGAGTCCAATGCCGTAGAGCCAAGCGCCCCCCGGAACCATCGCGCTTGGTGCGCCTGCTGGAGAATTTCGTGGAATCAAGCTCCTGAGTGGAGGGAGGTCAGATGGACGTGCATGTTAAAGATGCGTCTCCTTTCGAGCTATCCTAGTATTCCAGTATCCACCATTTCGTGATTCCCAACTTGGGAAATCACATACTGCTGCTGCCAACAGAATGCCTTCTTTCCCAACCTCCCATACTTCCCATACTTCCCATACTTCTACATGCTGTACCTGAATCCGGCAGGTACCTAGGTACACAAAGCTGTATACAGTACTCCGTCGCACGCATGCATTCCGCGGCACGTTATCAATCCTGCCTGCCTGCTTGATTCCCGTCCCGTCTCAAGTACCTACTATGTAGGGGCGGGGAACTCAACTGCATCGATCCGCCTCCTTTACCCCTCCGTTATTACAATCCACCAAAGACCTCCATAGTACAGTCATCATCACTTCCCCACACGCCACATTGCCACCGTCGTTCGTCCTAAGAGCACGGGCAATCTGATATCCCACGGGGTGTCTGTGCCAAGTTGGGCCTGCAAAGCTCCTCAAAACGTTGTTTTCTAGGCCAGTGAAGCGGTTGGTTTCCCCCCCTCCCCTCCCCGGGTTCTCCGGTTTGGCCTTAGCGCCTGCACAGCAAAAAATAAACGAATGCGAATGCGACGGTGACATTCGTTTTCGCTTTCTACCTTTCGTCGATCATCTTTGGCTGGCCATCATGCCGTTGGTGGTCGGGCTCCCAACCTGCATCAGAAACCGAGCCCGAAATCACCTCACGGGCCCGGGCTTTCGAGCAAGTTTGTCAGGCGAGCCTGGCACAACTGCAGTAAAGGAGAAGCATATAAAGCTCTCATCGTTCCCGCCTCTTAGTATAGGTAGTTCAAACCTCTAATCAACAACATCCCACCGTGAACAAGACGCTCAAAATGACAACATCCGCTGAAACCGCGAACGGGGCTAACGCTGCCCCAAGCGCCGAAGACCTCAAGGTCTATGAGCTGTCCCAAAAGTACACGGCCGAAGTGGCCAAACGTTTCCGCCCAGAGGGCCTCGACCAGTTCGTTCGCCTCAAGGACGCCGGCAGCGAGCGGTTCCGCGCGCTCGCCGAAGACCCTTGGGTTGACCACGTTGCCTTGAATGCGAAGCCGCCCGTCAAGGACGGCTCTAAATACAAGTTTGTGATCCTCGGCGCCGGATACGCCGGCATGATGTACGCCGTTCGCTTGATCGAAGCCGGCCTCGCGAGCGGGCCCGACGATATCCGCCTCATCGACGCCAGCGGCGGCTTCGGCGGCACTTGGTGGTGGAACCGCTATCCCGGCCTGCACTGCGACATCGAGAGCTACAGCTACATGCCGCTGCTCGAAGAGACCGGGTACATCCCGACTAAGAAGTACGTATCCGGCTCCGAGCTGCTGGAACATGCCGACCGTATTGCCACGCAATGGAAGCTGCACGACAAGGCGCTTTTCCGAACGAACGTGAAGACCGCTCGGTGGGACGACGCCACTCAGTTGTGGAATGTCGAAGTCACCGAGGGGCGTGGGCCTGGCGAGCAGAACCGCGACCTGACGCTTCAGGGCCAGTATGTCATTATTGCGTCTGGCGTGCTCACGAACCCGCATGTCCCCAAGATTCCCGAACTCGAGACCTTCTCCGGGCCCCTGTTCCACACGGCGCGCTGGGACTACAAGGCCACCGGCGGGACCCCACAGGATGCCACTCTGACGGGCCTCGAGGGCAAGCGCGTGGGCGTTATCGGCACGGGCGCAACCGCGATTCAGGCGGTCCCCAGGCTCGCCAAGTACGCTAAGGAGCTGTATGTGTTCCAGCGCACGCCGTCTGGCGTCTGGTGGCGTGGTCAGCGTGAGACTGACCCCGAGGAGTGGTGAGTTAACTAGTCCCCAGAGCTTCGTTGAGTTACCGGGTAGCTAATCTCAGGCGCACAGGAAGACAAAGATTGCCAGGAAGAAGGGTTGGCAACGGGAGCGGCGGCTGAATTTTGAGACATATGTGACCGACAATGTCCAGGAGGGCCAGGAGAACATGGTCGCGGACGGATGGACTGAGATGCCCGGCTTCTCCGCCCTCCTCGGCTCTCCCAGATACCCCCTTGTCGAGCCTACGCCGGAGAAGATTGCGGAGCACATCGGGCGTCTGTACAAGCTCGACGCACCTCACTCTGAGGCAGTGAGAGCGCGCACCGATGAGATCGTCAAGGATCCCGAGACAGCCGCCAAGCTCAAGGCGTGGTACCCAACGTGGTAAGTGTGGCCGTTTGTGATGAATACGAGGGCCGATAAAAGAACACAGCTAACCGGAAGTCTAGGTGCAAGCGGGCGACCTTTAGCGACGAATACCTCCAAGCCTTCAACCAGCCGAACGTGCACCTTGTCGACACCGACGGCAAGGGTGTCGACTCCGCGACCGCCAACGGGTTGGTGGTTGCCGGAAAGGAATATCCTCTCGACATTCTCATCCTGAGCACGGGTTACGTGACTCCGAGCATTGGCGGCGGCAGCCCGGCGATGCGCACCGGCATCGACGTCTACGGCCGCGGCGGCCGGTCTCTGGATGAGAAGTGGAAGAGCCAGGGCGCCTCCACGCTCCACGGCGCGTCCTCGAACGGGTTCCCCAACCTCTTCTTTGCGCCCCTTTCCCAGTCCAGCCACTCGGCCAACAACGTCTTCACCCTCGACGTCGGCAGCCAACACGCTGTCCATATCATCGAGCAAGCCGAAGCCAAGGCCGGTGGCAGTGCCATCATCGAAGTGACGAGCGAGGCTGAGGAGGCGTGGGCCCTCGAGATCATGAAGCGTGCGCCCTGGTTCGCGAGTGTCATGGTATGCACACCGGGCTACATCACAGCCGAGGGCGAGGCTCTGAAGCAGCCCGAGGATCCGATGGAGATGGCCAAGAATGCCAGGGCAGGTAACTGGACGCAGGGTATCGTCACTTTCATAGAGGCGTTGGAGGAGTATCGTGCCGACGGGCAGCTCAAGGGAATCGATGTTGTAGCGAGGACGGCTTAGGCCGGTTCTGGGCGACACTTTGCTGTTTGAGCCTGCAGCATTGTGCGTTGGTTTTTCCCGATTTCATAAAATAGATAAATACATCAAATTCTCGAGGGACAACGCAAAAGCTTTGGGGGACTTTTTGAAAGTCGGAAGAAATCCTTGGTTGAGAAATGCGAGCCCGGTTGCTCTGCGAGAGTCTCAGTCCCTCAACCACCAACGCAGGTTCTGCGCCATCGATGAGTTGATAATAAACAACCCACCACAGCTAATACAATAATTTATGAACTGTGACCTCGAATAAATACATGGTTGATTCAACCACCCCTCGCCCCCCTTCCTTCACCTTTTCTCCAAATCTTCCGTCTCAACAACAATGGCCTGATCTTCGACGCCCCGGTTCCTCTTGTGAATCGCATCGCCAACGTGGTCATCGACCAGCTGCCGCTCCGGCATGAAAGATGAAAACTTCCGCGCCGCCACCCTCTTTTCAAATAGCTCGTCGAGTTGCTCCAGACTCCTACCCTTCGTCTCGGGAACGAAGAGAAACGCCCACACAGCCAGGATCAAGTTGCTCCCGCCCCAAATGTACCCGTACTTTGGCCCCCAGCCCAGTTGGTCCGGGTTGATGAAGTACGGTGTAAAGAAGGACACTAACCAACCGACAATGAAATTCAACCCCGATGCGGTACCTACAGTCTGCGAGCGCAGTCGTTGCGAGGGAATCTCCGTCCCAAGCGCCCACAAAACCGGTCCCTGGCCGACACCATACACCCAAGTATACACGATACTCAGGGCAACGAGGGCTTTGCTCGCGGCAGATGAGTGCCCACCCGAGGCGGTGTAGACGATGGCCATGCCGAACATCATGGCCGACGAGATGATGGAGGTGACGACGAGGAGCTCGCGGCGCCCAAAGTAACGCATCGCCGGGAACGCCAACATGTTGCCCGTCAACGCGATCGCCAAGGATATCATAACCCAGGCAAAGGGCGAGCCGACTCTGGCCTGCACAAACAGGTACACCGAGAACCCGGCCATGAAAGTGACGCCGGTGGCGATCCCGGCGATGTTCGCCCCATAGCTAAGCATCGTCCGCCGAAGGTCCGAGCCCCTGAACATATCGCCCAGATGCACGCCGGCGTGTATCTCCTGCTCCATCAGAAACGCACTCTTGATGTCCTCCACCTCAGCCCGGAGCATCGCCTCGTCCTGAATCCCGCGCAGCCGTCGAATAGCCCGCATCGCCTTGTCCTCCCGGCCCTGCGTGACATAAAACCGCGGCGTATCCGGCAAAAACAACAACAACACCGTCAAGAACGCCGGCACAATGTACATGACCCCCAGCGGGATCTTCCACGACGCAGTACCCCCGTACGGCTGACAATAATTATCCACCAGAATCCCAAACAACGCCCCGAGCGACGTCTGAAAGGTGCTCATCCCCACAATCGGCCCGCGCAGCAGCGACGGCGCCGCCTCGGTCATATACGTCACACAGTACGGCACCAAGAACCCATTCGACACCCCCAACAACAGTCTCCCCGCATACAGCCCCCCCAGGCTATGCAGCCCCAGCTGCAACGAAATCGACAGAAACGCGAACCCACAGCCCACCCACAACCCGACCCGGCGCGACACGCGGGTATGGGCGAAGTAGATGGCGACGGCGGCCAGGAATCCGCCCACGTTCATGAGCGACTGGATCAGCCGCTGCACGTCGGTGCTGATGTTGAATCCGATCGGGTTGGCCGGATCAACGTAGCCGTATACCTCGAGGAAGCCGGGCATGCTCTGGAAGCCGGCGATGGCGGCGGAGTCGTACCCGTACTGGAACTGGCCTAGGGCGATTAGGAAGCAGATGAGCACTACGCGCTTCTCGGCGAGGAGGCGGCTGCGCGTTGCTGGGGCGGGGGTGGGGGTTGGGGCGGTCATGGTGAGGTGGTGAAGGGGTTGTTGTTGGTGTGGTGGCGGTGGTTTTGGGTGGTTTAAGGGGGAGGAGGGGAGATAGAGCCGTGAAGGCCATGGTGAAGAAGGGGAGTCGACTGGGTATGTACCTGGACCTGGTCTAGATAAGTAGGTGGTCTAGAACTCACCATCGAAGCCGACCGACCAGGATTGGGGTTGTTAGCCAAAGGCCAACCCTATATGCCGAATTCCCCTCACCACGCGTCTGGCCACTCAATTGGCGAGATTGCATCAATGGTTGGAAACGCCCGGGATATTATTGCGCGGGACGCATACCCCTCGCATGGGTTAGAATACCCGTATGCAACGTTGGGCCTTGCCGCGAGGTGGAGGGACATCATTAGGACATGGTTAAGCCCGGCATTGCCAGTCCTCTCCGGCACGCCGTGTAACGAACGTTAATATGGGCAGGAAGATGTCGATTATTTCGACTCAAACTATCAGACGAAGGGCGAACACCGAGGTTACGGTGTGGGCGTGGTTAAGGTGAGGTAGTAACGAGGAACAATGTGCTAGACCTGTTCCCCCAATCACCGTATTCACCCTAGGGAACCCATTAGGACGAAAATGGACAATTAGAGGAACTGAAGACAGTAAATTCAAAACCTGGTGGCGGATTAAAACCAGATCCGGGCGGAGGGGCCAAGTAAAAAGGCGGGTTCTGCTGGCGACCTGGAGGGTGGCTTATACGGAAACTAAAAAGCAGGGTGACTCGTCAACAATCAATCATGATGATTCACAACCTCATCATCGAACGAGAGCTCTTTCGCCATTTCCTGATTCCCCCGGCTGTGGGCGGGTAATGGATTCGATTGTTTACCATGTTACATGATGCGGAACGTGTTGGGGTTCGACCTTTTGGCATCGACCCTCGCCGGAAGGTTTTCTATGATCGGGAGACAGATTAGCAGAAGAGAAAAGAAACAGGAGAAAAGAAACAGGAGAAAGGAAACAGGAGAAAGAAAACAGGAGAAAAGAAACAGGAGAAAAGAAACAGGAGAAAAGAAATAGGAGAAAAGAAACAGGAGAAAAGAAACAGGAGAAAGAAGACAGGAGAAAGAAAATAGGAGAAAAGAAATAGGAGGAAAGAAACAGAAAAAAGAAAATAGGAGAAAGAAAACAGGAGAAAAGAAACAAAAGAAAAGAAATAGGAGGAAAGAAACAGGAGGAAAAGACGCGCCTTTGTAATCAGGCGCTCGGCTCCGCAGCTTGACGCTGGGTGGGTCTGGTTCAAGCGGGCTGCTCTCGGGAGTGGGCTTTCCCCCTTCCCTCACTCGCGATCTTTCCCTTGAACACAAGCAAAAGCGAGAATGGGTTTGGCTTGTTCATCGCAACTCCCAGAACCAACCAGATTCGGCAATTTCATTGCAATTCAAATCCAATCCAGCCAACCAAGCGTTCATTGAGACTTGTTTTAGCACAACTGCCAATTCAGAGTAACTCGACAACTGGCAAACTGCAGTCAGCACCCGTGGAAAATAGGTCCTGACTTCTGGGTGACGTTTGCTGCTAGAAAGGGGAAATTATTCATCTGCCCAGGACTGGACCTAGCTATGTCATCACTCCTCAAATGGACCAGAGGGTTCTTACGTAGAGCCCCATTAACGCCCTTGAAGTTCCCAACGGCTGGCTTCCAGGTCGTCGATGACTCCAAGGTACTTGAAGAAGAACGCTTCGATGAGTTTACGGCAGGTCAGTACTATCCTGTACATATTGGAGATGTGTATGCTTCCAAGTACCAAGTGCTGGGGAAACTCGGCTTCGGAACGACTTCAACCGTGTGGCTCGCTCGCAATCTTCAGTACGTAGATTCCCTGCCCAGTAACCGAAATGAGAACTAAATGAGGGACCCAGAGAACACAGGCACGTTGCGTTAAAGGTGTTTACTCGAGATGGACGTAGCACAGACGAGCTTGACATCTATGAGCGGATACGCAAAGCAACCGCTTCCCATCCCGGTCGTCATCACGTCCGCACTGCACTCGACATGTTCACGCTCCCTCGCCATGGGCATGACAACCGGTGCCTTGTTCAGATGCCCATGTGGGATAGCTGGAAGGACCTTCTTCGCCGTAACCCAGCCGGAAGATATACCGAAATTCTGTTAAAAACCTCGCTGCAACAGCTCTTGCTCGCCCTCGACTACCTCCACACCAAGTGCAGGGTCGTCCACACAGACATCAAAGCTGATAACATTCTGCATGAAATCGTCGACGAGGGGATTCTTGAAGCTTTCACCACGGCCGAACTAGAGACGCCATCGCGAAGAAAGTTTATCAACGGTGCGCCGGTGTATGAATCACGCGCTTTCGACTTGCCAAACGATTTCGGCGGCGTCGTTCTGAGTGATTTTGGATCCGCTGTCCATGGTGATGAGAAGAGAAACTACGACTGTCAGCCAATGGTGTACCGATCACCCGAGGTCATGCTGAAGATGGACTGGGGCTATCCAATCGACATCTGGAACGTCGGGGCTATGGTATGATTCTATGCCTGGTCGCTTCCTTCGGTCTCCTAGATAATTCTAACTGCCATACCAGATCTGGGATGTGTTTCAGGCCAAACATATGTTCTACGGATACGATCAGGAGAAGAAGTGTTATACCACCCGAGCACACCTCGCCGAGGTTATCGAGTTACTTGGACCACCCCCGCTCGATCTAATTCAGCGAGGGCTGCGAAGCCCTGAATTCTTCACAGAAGATGGTAAGTTCCACCCGCTTGACGCACCTTTCCACGTCCCCGCTACTTACCTACCTGACGACACTTGTGTAGGGAAATGGAAAGCCGATGTTCCTATCAGTGAAGGCAGGAGCCTTGAGGAATCCGAGGAGAACTTGGAAGGGACCAACAAGGAGGAATTCTTGAATTTTATGCGGGGAATGCTGCAGTGGCGCCCGGAAGATAGGAAGACGGCGAAGGAGCTCTTGAAGGACCCATGGTTAAACAACTGCTAGGAATCACGTAGTGGCACACCTCAGCTACAGGTAGAGATGAGATGCTGCCCATCCCATGATCTCAAGCATATTCCAACCTCACCGGGTCCCACCCTGGCCGCAAATAGCTGCCATCAAACTTGAGGTCCAAAGACGAGTCCACCACGTACCGCACCACAACCTCGACATCCACCCGTGCCCCCTCTTCCTGCAATGCCCACACCGCTAGGCCCACGACGTTCTCCCCACTGTAGTCCAGCACGCCAGCCGGCACGGGGAACGTATTTTCAAGGGAAATCGACGGGTAGTACCGCCCATACTGCCAGCCGTTCACAAAGAGCAGCACCCTGTATGCAAGCGTCTCCCTTTCCACATCTTCCTCAGCCGGTGTAAACCGGAACGCCAATGACACATCCACTCCCCCTGGCACATCCAGCGGCAGCTTCCCACGATAAAACCTCACCCCAGCCCCATCAAACCCATCCCCAGGCGTTCCTCCCTCTTCCCAACCCGCATCATCAAATCCCGGCAGATGCCACCCCCCCCTCTCCGCCGCGAACCCCCCCTCATTATACGCCGTCCTCATCCCATCCAACCCCCCCTTAACCCCACCCGCCGTACCCGCAACCATCCACTCCCTAAACCCCCCCGCCACCTCCTCGCCCTCACCACCCTCACCACCCCCCAACAACCGCACCTCCATCAACCCCCTCACATTCCCCGCCCCCTCTCCCTGGTCATGCCCCGTATCGTCATGCACCACCAGCAACACATTCTCCCCCCCACCCCCCTCACCCCCACCCATAACCAAAGCCCCCTCCGGAAAGGGCAGCGTCAAATTCCCCCTCGCCACATCGCTGCGCCCCGTCCATGACCCGAGATACGCGCCGTTCAGGTAGGCCGACCACCCGTGCGCGGTGCCGCCTTGTACCGAGATGTACACGCCTGTTGGGGTGGTGGAGTTGCCGGGGGTGGTGGTGAAGAGGCCGCGCCAGAGGCGGGTGCCGGTGTGGAAGCCGTGGCGGTCAGCGGAGAGGGGGAAGGTGGTGGTGGTGGTGGTGGTGTTGATGGTGGTCCAGGCTGGGGAGGTGGCGGTGTAGGAGGGGAGGCGCTCCGGGAGGGAGTCGCGGGATTTCCAGGCGGTGATTTGCGGGGGTTGGTAGGAAGTTGGGGGGGCGGGGATGGTGGCGACGAGGGTGGAGTGGTTGGTTTGGGTGGTGGGCAGGTCGATGCCGTTCCAGCGGATGCGGGTTATGGCGGAGGTGGTGAAGACTTCGAGGGGGATGGTGCGGTTGGTGTCGCCGGTGAGGGAAATGGTGGTGTTGTCGGTGAGGAGGGCGGTGCGGACGAGGTAGGGGCCGACGACCAGGGCTATGGGGTTGGTTGTTAGCATTATTTAGGTTTGGTTCAGGAGCAGGTGTGGCTGGGAACGTACCGGTCTGGTCCACAGGTACTTTAGGATCGTTCGTCAGGGCCGGAGCCCAGATCTTGTACGCTGTCTTCCTGTCCACGACTACCACTCTGACGCCATTGTCAAAGTCGATGACCGTCATCTCCTCTTTCTGTGAATATCCAACGATGATCCCGTGCTCGCTTGTGGAAATAGTCACGGATGGTCCTGAGGCAATGGCTCCCTCTTTAGCTCCCCGTAGGTAGAACTCCCCCGTCCTGCCAGTGGGTGTCCACAGCACCAATACCGGTCTCCCATCGATGATGGAGTACGTGAGAACCTCAGCGGTCGAGTAGTACAGCGTGTGGTTTCCAAAGTGGAAATCGGCCAAGAGCATCTTACCCTCGTGCCCACTGAGGACAACGGCGCCGGAAATCTTGGGCACGAAAAACTCCCCAATGCTGGTGTTTACTTTGAGGGCAAACCACTCCTCTGACGCCGAAGCCGTCTCAGCATGCCGGATAGCGTAGAAGCCTGCCCCTGTCTCGGGGTTCCGCAACTCGGTTGTAAACAGCTTCGTGTTGTTCGTATACTCCGTGCCCGTTCCCACACGTTCGGTCAACGCAAGTTCGTCAGCAACTCTTGTAAACAGGCCCAGGTTCTTGATCTCATAGTACTTGTCGCCAATACTCCTATCCTCAGCTATAGCAGCCCCATAGTCGTAGCTGCTGCCAAGGAAGGGTGCCGCGAGCCAGCCCCAGTTAGTTCCGCCGTGTATCATGTAGAGGGTCAGTATGGTAACCCGCTGGGCAATGTTGTCCCGGTAGTAGAAATTAACAAAGTCCACTCCTATTCGCTCCTTGCACCCACCAGGCGGACCGTCCCAGGGGGTCGTGGCCCCGCCTTGAAACTCGGGCATCAGGGACGGCTGCTTGGGAGACGCGAGCTGGAATTGGTCGAAGTAGCTGGAGACGGCCCAAGGCGTGATCACGCCGCATTGCTCGAGGACACAGGACCAGCATTGTGGCTGAACGGGAAGCGGAGGCGTTAGTAGAATGAAACAGACAATTTGCCTCCCTCACACTTACATAACTGTCCAAACCATAAATATCCACGTTCCCACCGGCACCAACGGTATCGTAGTCCTTGGACCACGACGGGCCACTCCGGTTCGGCACGTTGTGTATGAGCGGGACGACAATGCCGTTCGCTCTTGCGTTTTCCTTCAACTTTTCCATGTAAGAGATGACTTCTAGGTTGGGAACCCGAGCCTCTACGTCCCTCCACTGTTTGGCGTACTCGTTCTCGATTTGGTACATGAGAACCGTTCCGTCTTCGGTCAGCTGAAAGGGCCGCGTAAGTTGGGAGATACAATCCTGATACGGCGTCCAAGCCTCTGTAAAGGCCGTGCCGTTTAATCGCGGTGTTCCGTACTCGCCCGTCGTCGCCCACAGGGCCATGCCCCCAGCACTCAGCTCTCCGTTGATATACGGGCCCGGCCGGACCGTGACATACAGACCAATATCTTTCGCCATCTCGAGAAAGCGGGTTATATTGCGGGGTCCAGTGCTGAAGTCCACATTCTCCGGGGTTGGGGCATGAAACCCCCAGTGTGTGTAGATCGATACCATCCGCATGCCCGTGGCTTTGATCTTCTGAAGGATATCCTCCCATAGCTCGGGTACTGGCAGTCGGAAAGGGTGCATCTCTCCCCCGAACAGAAACAAGCGTTCGCCATTGATGATGATGCTGTGGTGGTCCCATTGGATTTCGTCCTGGAGTCCATTGTCAAGTATCGGCCAGGGCGAAGAAGCATTCGCGAAAAGGCTAACGTGGAAGGGGAGCGAGAGCAGCCCAAGCAAGAAAAGGCCTCCGGAGAAACCCCCGAGGCGAGGCAAGTACCCCATGATTGGGGACCAGAAAATCACGGTGCTGGAGGAATATGTGGTTCGTATGCAACGCTCCTTGCAGAGAGATTGCACAAGATAAGTAGTGTTTTTACCGCATCTGGAGGGTGAGTGAAGTTCTGCCTGATCCGACAAGAAACAATACCGCCTCAGGTCAGCGGACGGAAAGATGCAGTATTATGTATCATCTTTCTGCTTCAAGTTAGCATACGGATGGGGTTAACTAGGGCCATGTAAGTAATTTGTTTGCCAGAGCCAACTGGTCGGTATATTGAGGGGCGACGGATAATTAAGAAAGCGCACCAATGAGGTTCGGGAGAAAGAAACCGTCGGCGGCACCGTAACATCCGGGACTGCTGATCTTGAACTGCGTAATGTTGCGAAGGCGGGAGAATGAACACGGCCATGGTAGGGTCCACGGGAATGTGGATATGTTAGTCAATGTCGGGGATATCAGGATGGGAAAATAGTGTAGTTCGGGAGTACATTGCCGATTCGGCATACGTAACTTGGGAGGGGTGTTCAATGTTGATGATTCAAGAGAAGCTTCATGTGAATATTAAGTCAAAACCTGTTCATGTTGAACGGACCTTGGCTTTGCGGTGGTTGTGTCCGCAGCTCGCTGTGGGCAAACCCCTGAATCCTGTCCATCATATACGTACATTGCATGGGCGACGATTCCCCCCCTGGGCAAGCGAAGCGTCCCCGGTCGTTACCTCCCATGCCATACATGATGACCCATCGCGCGTCTCGTCATGGACACTGAAAAGGTCTCGTGTGTAGCGCCCGTCCCATAATAGCCATGTCCCATCCTTCAAATGCAAATATGGCCGCTCATAGCGCGGAAAAGGAAAACAAAACAAAAGGAGCAATGAGGAATGTAAGCCAATGCCCTGTAACCCATGAAAAGCATGATACAACTCATCGTGCCCATAATAGGGCGAGGAAAACCCGATAAAAGGCTGTCACTACATTGAGAAGTATGCGCCGTCCCGATCCTCCTTCGTACCCACAAAGCCAAGACTAAAAGACGATGACGACCTAGGGCAAGAGACTGGGTCTCTCAAACATCGTGTAAATAGGCCATACAGGAAATAGCAACGCATCCTTCTGCTTCAAACACGGAGGATGGGGTTGCCTCGGGGTATCCATATTCCTCGTTTCCGTTCCACCTGGGGCATTAAGAGACATTGGGTGAAGCATCGGCGGCATCACAAAAACCGACGGCAGGGAGTCCTTTAGTGTTCCGAGGGAGCATCAGGGTGCCCGAAGGGAGCATCAGGGTGTCCCGAGGGAGCATCAGGGTGCCCCGAGGGAGCATCAGGACGCCCAAGGTCGGCTGATATGTCAATTGATGCCTGTACAACGCGAACGCCGTGGCCGCTCGTTTCACCGTCAGCTGCCGAGCTCTGCCCAGCCGTATCGCCTTGCGTGGCACTTTGGCCATTGTTTGGAACATCGTCCGCTAGCGGAGAAGGATATGTCGGCACGTGGTGTGAAGGAATAACGCCTTCTGCGTGATACACGACGACGTGGTCAAAAGGATCATCCGGGTCCGCGGGTTCGGGAGCTGGCGGCGGGGCCGGTATGGGTGGGGGCGCCGGGATCGTGCCTGGGGCGGCATGGTTGAGGCCAAGACCGATATTGTGCTGGTTAAGAAGTGGCTGTGTGTCAATGACCATATCGTCTTCTGGGACATCGTCGTCCTCTATGGCGTCTTGGTCTCCGTCGACTGAAAGTTCAATGAGCGGAGGAACCCCTTGAGGTGGCGGCGGGAAGATGGGGGCATCCGTGGGGCCGGGCCGTGTTGAACGCCGCGTCTCCTCGGCCTGGATTAGGCGGTTGAAATGTTTGCGCAGGCCAACAACGCCCTGGCCGGAAAACACGCAGAAGACTGAGCGCTGATGGTCGGTGAATTCTAAACAGGAGCTATTAGTAACGCTCTGGGTATTCGGACGAGGGAACGGCAGACGCTTACCAGGAGGAGCGGCCCGGGAGTAGCTTTCCAGGTCCTCCCGGAGAAATTCTTGGACCCCGGTCAGGCTGAGGTGAGTCAGGCGAGGGCAGCAATTGAGAAGCCGGATGATGCTCTGGGACAAGAGGTTAGTGAATGTCTGCTGGTGGGAAATCAGGACGGAGGAACTTACCGCTTGGGTCAAATGCACGCAATAGCTCAAGTGGACTCTCTCCAAGCAGCTCTGGCTACTGCTATACTCTCCCGGGATGTGGTTGCCATGCGCATCTCTGCGCATTCTCGGCCGGCGGTTTGCATTCGCAAGAGCGATGACGCTGGCGTCCGTGATACTAGCACACTTAACGAGGCCGATCCTCTTGAGCTTCGGAAGAGTAGCAAGTTTGGTGATTGAGTCGTCTGTTAAGTTCTGGCAACACCCGAGGTCGATATAACGAATCCGGTTGCACATGGTGACGAGCCGCTTCACACCGTCGTCCGTGATCTGACTACAGTGACCCATATGAAGAAAGTGTAGGTTCCTTCCGAGGCGCGAAATGGCGTACACGGCAGCATCGGTCAAGTTGCGACATTTTTGGAGCACAAGATTTCGAAGGCGCGACGCAACATCAATGATCTTTTCGATAGTGCGGTCGGTGATCCCCGTGGAGTTGCTCAGGTCGAGGATACGGAGATGTTCATAGGTCCTGTTGGGCGGAAGGGAAAGAAAAGCGGCGTCGTCTACCAACTCGCAACCACCAAGGCGAAGCTCACGCAGCGCGTTGCCTTTGGTGAAGAGCGCAGTAACTGGCTCGTTGCCGATAAGCCGGCACTGTTGGAGGTCGATTTCGAGGATATTGGGGCAATTTTCGGCAAATGCAAGAACCGTCCTGTCCTGAATCTGAGCGCATTCGTTGAATTTGAGCTGGACCGGTGTGTTAGCAGACATGCCCGCCAAACTTGAGCAAACAAGGACACGACCTACCCTCTTGATGTACCGACAACGCTGGGCGAGCCGGATCAGACTGCTATTCGAGATCTTCTGGCAGCCTGATATGTTGAGGCCCTGAAGCCGAGGGCAGTGCTCGGTTATTGCGTCGATGGAGGCAGCGGTTATATTGTCGCGGAAGGGAGTTCCTGTGGCAGCCGCGGGGAGCAGAGAGATGTCGAGAGAATACAGGTGACTGTTGTTCGAGACGAGGGCAATGAGCCCGGAGTCTGTCAGGTGGCTGCAGCCGGTCAGAGTCAGGCGCTCTATCCGTGTGCACCCAGCCAAGGCCATAACGCTGCCGTCATTGATGCCATCGGCGAGAGCGGCCAGGTTCAGGCGCCGAATGAAGTCGCGGTACGAAAACGAGGGGTTCTCGAGGCTGAGCGTCTGGCAGATTTTTTCGTGTTTCGGCCATGTCGAACATGAAGGGCGGTGCCAGAGAATGTCGACAGCATTGCGAGCCCACTTTCTGCAAGTCAGCATCGCATTGAAGATGTCTCCTGAACTGCCCAGCTTCGCGAAGACGGCAATCAGGATCTCGTTCGGCAGACGGTGGATGGGCTGGAGGCATTCATCGTCAAAGACCTGCATATCCTGGATATTCGGCACGCCTAGCGAAGACTGGGAGTCGTTGGCGGCGAGGAAGAAGTCGGATTCTTCATTGTCGGGGGGGACGGGCGAACTGCTCGACGAGCTCGTGCGAGAGTCTTCCTGAGGCTGTCGGTCGGTGGTGTCCGGCGCGGCCTGCGCGCCCCCGTCTTCGGCCGCGATAGCATCGAGAGACGAGACTAGTTTCATTTTTTATGTTGTGACGGTTCCGCAGCGCAGCACGCAGACTGCTGTAGATGTTGCGGGAGATCAGGTTGATGGGGCGGCGATCGGTTGATGGCGGTGATGTGGAGAGCAAGCAAGGGTGGGCTGTTGGCGCGCGACGCAGGGCTTCAATTGTGATTCAACCAGCGGGGCCCAGGCTGAGTGAGAGTTGGCCCAAGAGGGTTGCCCTGGCCCAGAATATAGCCTTGGCGTGGGCGGCACTCTCGGCACAGCGCGCCACAAGTCTCCAGCTCGATGGGCTGGGTGACAGCGATGGGAAAAGTAGAAGTTATGGGGTTGGGATCGGGCAAGAAGCTGTCTTTGCAACGTAGGGTTTTCGAATTTGGTGTTTTCGAGCGTGGGGTTTTGGCACGCATGCAGGGGTGCAGGAGTAGATGAGGTGGTCCTGGATCGTCATATGGTAAGGCAAACTCTCTGGGCGAAGAAGGTCGATGCCCGTGTCACCACCATGCGCCCAACTTACGTTAATGAAGGTGCGACTGGGGAACCGAAGGCAGAAGGTCCCGCCGGGCGGTCAGTTGGTTGCTGTAAACGCAAGGCGGCGGCGGGGCAAATAAGTAGCGGAGCTTTGACACCGGCTCGAGTTGGTCACGCTCAAGGGTCACTCGGAGCCCCCGCCTGTGCTTTGTTTTTCGGTCAAAGTCGAGGCGCGCTCTTCAAGTTCTCTGAAGTGCAGAATAGGGAGGATTTGTTCGACCCGATAGAAATATGACAATACGTGGGAACTGCGTGCAGCGGCTGGGATGCGACGCTCATTTATGCCGCTTGGGCGTTCTCTGAGCTGGGTACCAATGCCCACTCTGTCAGCGACAACTTGGTCGATATCATCACGAAGCTCAATGCCCATCTCTCATCAGAACACAAACACTTTAAAGGCCGGGATCTTCCTAGATGCTATCGTCAACAAAGTCGGCCTTCGGAGGTCTGGAGTCCCGTCCCAAAACCTCTAGATTACGAAACATGGGATGGCTTTGCGACAACGTCGTAATGGATCTACGAATCTGAATGCGCGGCCCAGCCTGTTTCAGATGGAATGGAGGAAAGACGTTCACAGAAGGAAGCCGAGTCAAGTTTACTGGAGGAGGTCTCCGGGACGCACGGACGGCACTGCAGTTGGCACGACTCGTCGGTTTCGAGTGAACTTTGGGATGTGTCGATCCAGGCCCTTCTCTGCGCACCTGACACCCCCGGTTAGCGAATGACCTCATCATTGCATCGGGAGGGAAACAACCGAATCTCACGAGGTAAAAAAGCAAATTGCGAGTGCAAATGATTGAGACGGTTCTCATGACGGCTGTGCTGGCTGTGCCTCCTTTTGCCTCATCCCTAATCCATCGGCTTCGCCACTACCTGGGCAAGCTCATAACTCGGTACCTACCAGAGAGCGCTGTGATAATCAGATGGAATTGAGGGAATTCAAGGCGAGGATGGACTGGATCGGCTAATTCTCGGTGTTTGCACTAAGCGAGGTCGGGACGACGAATTCAGGTTCCTGGCAGGGCCCGGCAGACAGAAGTGATGTCAATTTTGGACCGGGCGAGACCGAGCACAAACATCCGACCCGAGCCCAGTTCAGTTCTTCGCCGGGAGCGGGGCCGTCGCAAACAACACATTACGTCCCGAGCCATGAGTGACGGCAAAGCTGAAGAAAAAGAGAAATAAGAGACATCATGACGCTCCGACAAACCGCCTTGCGACGAATCACCGTGGCTCCCGTGGCTGCCGCGCCATTGCGAGTACATGTTCCCCGCCGGTCACTTTTCTCTGGGAAGGACACGAGGAGGAGGTCCGGCCGGGCTGTTGAGAACCTCGATATCAGGCGCATCTCGGCACAGTCGGATGAGTGGCACCGCAACCGGCGCACCTTTCTCTGGTGCGGCGCCATCGCTGGTGTTCTGTCCTTCATCTACACTGCCTGGAAACTCAAAGTCGAGCTATCGAAGCCCGTGAAGCTCGACGCCAACCTTCCCTCCTCGGACCCACTCTCATCACCCAACGCAGCGGACCGTAAAGTAGTCGTCCACGATGAGGAGGGCCGCGAGATCGTAGCAACTGGCAACAGCACCGTCCCAACTTTTCCCCGCACTCTCGCCCTCCCGGCCTTCACGGCGCCGATCACCACCCCCTCCCCAGATCAAACCGACAGGCTCACGCACACCATCACCACCCCCTCCGGCACCACCGAGTACACGCTAGTCGGGCTCGGCCTGCGCACGGTGACCTTCATCAACCTGCAAGTATACGTGGTGGGCTACTACGTAGCAACAGCCGACATCGCGGCGCTGCAGAGCGCGCTCACCAAAAAGGTCAACCCGATCGCGACGACGCTGGTGGCGGGCGAGCGCGAGGAGCTGCGCGCGGCGCTGCTAGACCCGGCCGAGGGCGAGCGCACGTGGGACGAGCTGCTGTCCGCGGGCGTGCCCGCGCGCTCCGCCTTCCGCGTCGTGCCCGTGCGCGACACCGACTTCCACCACCTCCGCGACGGCTTCGTGCGCGCCGTGCAGGCGCGCGCCTCGCCCGCGGCGGCGGCCGACGACTCGTTCGGCGAGGCCATGCGCCAGTTCCGCGCCGTCTTCAACCGCGGCAGCGTGCCCAAGCGCAAGGAGCTCCTGCTCGTGCGGGATGAGACGGGGAGGATGAGCATCGCGTACGATGGCGGTGCCAACAAAAAAGAGGGGCGGCCGGCGGGGCGGCAGCTGATCGGGGTGGTTGAGGACGAGCGCGTGTCGAGGGCGCTGTGGCTGAACTACCTGGCGGGGAAGAAGGTCGCCAGCGAGCCCGCGAGGAAGAGTATTGTGGAGGGGCTCATGGAGTTTGTGGAGCGGCCCATCGGCACCGTTGCAGCGCAGGTTGTGCCTGTTGTGAGCGCGAGGGTGTAGCGGGAGACCTTAAAGCCGTGTGTCCTAGTTTTGTACGAATAGAAATACCACCAGAGCAGCGAGAGCATGCGCAGTATGTCAATTCATGCACGATTGAGCAATTCTCCGCACTCCGCGCTGCAAGTGTGCACCTATACACAGAGCAAATTCCAGAGAGCCGCGCCTGTCTATAAAATAATGGGTATCCCTCCTCATGCCTAGGCTTTGAAACGGCCACAATTACAAAGCACCAGCCTCCTTCAACAGCTCCTCGAGCGTCTTGCCGTTCTTGCCGTTTTTGACGACCGCATCGAGATCCGAGCTACCGCCGATGTGAGCGCCACCGATGAAGATGTTGGGGACGGTACGCTGGCCCGTCATCTTGTGCAGAGCGCTCTGGATGTCGTCGCCGTCGTCTATCTGGTTGAGCTCAATCGCCTTGTACTTGGCGTCCCGGCTGTTGAAGACACCCTTGGCATTGTTACAGTAAGGGCAGTACGACTTGCTGAAGATCACTGAAAGCGGTGGTGGTTAGCGAGGTTTGCGTGAAAAGGAAGCTGTTTCTGTCGGGATAACTTACTGACGGCATTGTCGTCGATCAACTGCTGGGCTTTCGTCTGCGCGGCTTCCATTGTGATCGATGGGGTTGAGCCAAATAATCTGCGAAAGATGAAGGACATGGAAGTCGATGCGGGGTGGTGACGTTCGAGAAGAGGGTGAGTAAGGTGAGGGGCAAACGGACTCGTTTTAATGGCCCGGGTCGTGGTTGCAATGGGGACAGACCGCAAGGTACCACCAGAAAAATAAGCGGATTTGTCAACCGGAGTTAACCGATGGCGAAATCACAGGAATCAGCGTGGAATACAAGGATAGAATGACGAAGGACTGTATGCAAGGAATAAACCGCAGTGATCAGTGAACCAAAACGTTTCTCTCGGAATCGGGCCATTGGAAACGGATCTCAGGAGACAGATTTATCCCGCCAAGCCCCTGAACTTGAGATCAGCCTTTCCCTGCGCGGAACGCTGTCACCAAAAGGCCGATGACGCAAATGGTCCGTGCAAGACCCTGTCTGCTCAGGTTCAAGAGCCAGAATGTGCCAGCGAGGCATGGAACTGACTCCATCAGAAGGCTTCATCAGAAAGGCATGGCGGTAGAGTTAGTCATGCAAATGGGGTTGAAAGCGAAGCTATTCGCAAAGATCATTCCCGTCTCCAAGCGGCCGAATCCTGTCAGGAGCATGACCTCATTGTTCTCGAACTCCACCTATTCTGTAATTTGCCCCCCCGTTCAACCCCAGAGCACGCAATGCCAGGAGGCAAAGTCTTGGACCTGGGACGATCGTTCGCGCTTGTCCTCGTGGTGGTTTCCTAACCACTCGTCTGGAACGAAGCGGTTGCGCGGCTCAAATGGGATGATCCGCATCCCGGTTCTGTTCAACAGCAACCAAATGGTGCCATCTTGATGCGGGTGATGATGGATGGGAGCACGCGCTGCAACATCAGGCGTGTCGGGCCCGTATCGAACGTCTCAACAAGGCAGCCTATCCAGTCGACCGCCGGTTGCCCAACTCGTTAATCGTTATTTTCGAATTCCGCGAGATGCGCATCGGGTTATCGGCGATCTGTTGCGCAGCATGTTTGCATCAACACGACTCAGGGTCGATGGACCTTGGGATGCAGTTGGTCAGAAATTGGACCACGGACAAATCGCAGCTGGGAGGAGGGAACTTGACCCACATTTAAGGCGGGGGTCTCGGACCACGGGGTCGTCCCAGAACATTAAAATTTGGCACCCTTGCAGCCCTGTCCTCAGCGAAGACCGCCACCCAAAAGTAATCGACCGGTCGGGAACGGACAGGACACATTCAGACGGCCAGCAACTTCGACGTGACCTTCTCGTTGCCCCCAAGGTGGTGATCGACGAAACGGCGTTGTTTTCTTTCCTTTTCCGGAATTCTGGTGTGAGGACAACACAACTCTTGTACTCCCATTCCAAGGGCAACGGCTTTAGCCTCAAACGTGGTCATTGACGGACCAGTCCTCTCCCTTCGACTGATGCATCAGTCCAGCAAACTTCACGATTCCCCGCGCCTCCGCGTTCATCGTACCAGGCGACGAGCAGGTTGATATAATCCGGCCACCGGACCTATTCACTTGCTCATTAGGTCGACGGCATCCTGTCGTAAGACCGCACTAAAGTCGCCAAGGTGGCTTCAGGTTCGGAAATTTGGGCATCACCAGGTGCCTCGTTCGCGAACCTTGCTGGCAACCTTACTTCAGCACTGCGGAGCCTCCCCGCCTCGCTTCAGCCTTACTTGGATACCACCGCGGACCGTGTGGTTGGTGCTACCGAGTATCTCCAATCAACAACCGGCTTTTCGCCGACAGTTCTCTACACCACCGCTGGTGTCATCCTGCTGCTCGGCGCCATACCGGCCGTCGCATCACGCAACGGACAGGGCAACAAGAAATCCGGGATCATGCCGCGCTATGGCTTCTCGAATCGCTGGGCCGTCTCGCCCTTCAGCTCGCAGGAGGGCGTTCCCGACGTGACCTCGGAAGACTACAGCTACATCACCTCGGCAGACCTGGAAGACCATGGCATCGATGTTCCTCGGCCATACGCACCTCACTCTCACGTCGTCGAACCGCACTTCGCCCCGCCTCATTCTCACTTCGTCCCTCCTCACTCTCACGTCGACTCGCACCCGCATTCGGCGCCGCCGCCGACCTACGGCCGACATCAGCCTGAGGACGACGTCCTGCTGATCAAACACAAGGCCATCAACTACCCGGAGCATTTTCCAGCGTATTCCATCGGCGACGGAAAGCTCTTGGTCAGCGACGTCCGTGAGCGTGTTAAGATGATCTTGGACCTCTCAGATCGTCAGGCGGGAAGGATCAAGCTTTACTACAAAGGGCGTCGGCTAAAGAAAGCCGACCTTCCGGTGCGCGAGTACGGTGTCAAGAATAATAGTGAGATCCTGATGGTCCCTGGAGATTCAAGTCGTGGGAGCGGCAGTGAGACCAGCGAAGAGGTCGTGGGAGGCAGGCGAGACGACCGGGAACGGTACGAAACGCAGGGTAACTCGCCAAGAGTCGGCAGGTCAGGCAGGTGGGACGACCGGAGCCCGCGTGGCAGCGGGTCGCAAGTCGGTCTCGATGTCCCGGTGGACGACAACAGAAGAAGAGCCACCTCGAGAGTTCGGACCCAGTCACCGGGATCTGGAGTTTCTACCGCCAGTGCCCCTGCCGCCACCCCCGTCGGCAAGCCCGGAGGCCCCATCGAGAAGCTGAACGGCATCGCCGCAGACTTCAACACCAAATGGCTACCCCTTTGCCTCGACTTCATCGCCAGAACTCCGAGCGACCCGAAGAAACGCGTCGATGAGCATCGCAGGATTTCCGAGAGCATCATGCAACAAACCCTGTTGAAGCTTGACGCGATTGAAACTTCCACAGAAGAAGGCGCGCGGGCGATAAGGAAAGCGTTGGTGGTCGAGGTGCAGGGCGTCTTGAACAAGATGGATGCTGCGAAGAATGCAGCATAGCGGCCCCTAGAACTCCTGGGCTACTCCCCACGCTCGCCACGGCACTGAAGTCCGAATCCCACACGCGTTTCTGGGCCAAGCCCAGCCTCGATGTTTTCACTTCCTCCGAGAGTTTTATTCACCATCTCCCTCTTTTAGTTCTTGTGTAGGTTATTTTGTTCCGTTTTTTACTGCAGACAGCATAGCGAGATTCAGACCGTTGTTTCCGGCTCTGTGCGAGTCCGGCATATTTCCAGCATCAACATGTTAAGCACAAGAGATCACGTTTTGTTTTGTCGGCGTTTCTTTGTAATCTGGGAGGTCAACTCGCCCTCAACCTCCCTTTGATGATTGACATCCCCTCTCATAATAAGATAATAAACTTGCTTTCGAGAGCGGATGACAGCTCAAATCCACGATTCATGACTGAACTGAAGTGTGGGCATGCATGCCTACCACACTCTTACACGGTAATGACCACGGACGACCCAAGCTCCCGTCAAACTCAAAGGAGTGGGAGGTCAGGACTGGCAGCTGCTTCGACCATCGCCAACTGGTGGGTCTGGGGAAGAGAGAAACGAGGCCCCACCCATGCGGGCGCGGTAGGTCTAACCCTATCGCACTCTGCCTCAGGCCACAATCAGCACTCGCTTGCCGACCTCCACCCGCTCCGAATTCGGCCTAGCGCATTCTCGCCGGGTTGGCTGCACAAGGCCAATTTTCAGCACACACAAAAAAGTCGAAGAACGACCATCAACCATCACAAGGGTAAGGAAGCAGCCAGCTGCTACTCGATCAGCCGGACTGTGACTGATCAACCTTTTCTTTCTTTCTTTTAGCCCAGGTCATCACGCCAAAATGTCTTCGTTCGAGTCTGTGGTACGTACGCCTCAGATCCCCCCAACTCCTGCACCTCGAAACCCGCGCGGGCGCCGGCCGCTCCAAGTTCGCGATGCAATTACTTCCGGGAGCGAGCAACGGCGCCGGCGGATGACCGGGCGGTGGCGCATTCGGGGGAACATTGGGAGTCGGAATTGCAGGAATGCTAACAGCGGTGCGCAACAGGTCGTGATCGATGGCAAGGGCCACTTGCTTGGCCGCCTGGCCAGCATTGTCGCCAAGCAGCTCCTCAGTGGCCAGAAGATTGTCATCGTCCGCTGCGAGGACCTCAACATCTCCGGCGAGTTTTTCCGCGCGAAGCGTACGTACCACCTTTCATTGTTCGGCATTGGGCGGGATTTCGGTCGTCAGGATGGAGGCGGGGCTGAGGCTGGGGACGGGTTGGGACAGGCCGGGACGGGAACAGGGAGCGCTTGGGTTTCTGCTGCTCGGATAATGGGGAACGCCATGATGAGAACGAGAATAAGATGCTGACGGACGGAAACAGTCAAGTACCACGCCTACCTCCGCAAGGCCACCCGGTACAACCCCACTCGCGGTGGTGAGTCCAACATGCAAACGGCCGATGGCTTCGCGACCAGGCGATTCTAACGGCGCACAGGTCCCTTCCACTTCCGCGCCCCCTCCCGCATTTTCTACAAGGCCGTCCGCGGCATGATGCCCCACAAGACCGCCCGCGGTGCCGCCGCCCTTGAGCGCCTCAAGGTCTTCGAGGGTGTCCCGCCCCCCTACGACAAGAAGAAGAAGATGGTTGTTCCCCAGGCCCTCCGTGTCCTGAGACTGCAGCCCGGCCGCAAGTACTGCACCGTCGGTCGTCTCAGCCACGAGGTCGGCTGGAAGTACCAGGACGTTGTCGAGAGGTACGTCGCGCACGGAATCCCCGAACGGGCCCCGCTCGTACGGGTCCGGGAAACACGCCGAAATACTGACTCTGTGATAGGCTCGAGGAGAGGCGCAAGGCCAAGGGCGCCGCCTACTACGAGCGCAAGAAGCTTGCCGCGAGGCAGCTCACCGAGGCGAAGAAGACCGCGACGGTCGACACGAAGACGACCGAGGCCCTCCAGGCCTTTGGCTACTAGAGATAGTGGCCGACTCGCACACCTCCTTGTCCTTTATGCGATTTCCCTCTAGATTGGCGCGGTGGTTCGGGGCATCAACTTCATTTGCGTGGATGGTGGGGATAGGCAATGGCTATCTGACTCGCTGTGCGTCCCAGGCTTGGGACCTCATAAATACATGAGATCAACCAATGGAGACCGAGGTTGCATGGGACGAAGACAGCAGAAAACGAAATACCCGGCTCTGGCGGCAAGGCTTCGTGATGTTGTTGGGCAGAGGCGCTGTTAAGTCAGGCCTCTCGAAATGACCGCCGAATGCCTCGGCCAGTGCCCCGCTCATGCTGAATAAATGACCATAATCTGTACCAGCGCCAGTTAGTTGTGAATGCAAAGGGACGAGCCCGGGTGGGCTGGTGAAACCATTTGGCAATGTCTTGAGAATCTTCTGTGACCTGATCTTGGGGAGTGTCGGAGCCATCTGGAACACCCCAAGTACGGAGGCAACAGACGCGACGCCACCGCGTGTAGCTCCGAGATCATCGCGCCGGCAGAGCTGCAAGGGTGGGTACGATGACGTACCTACCGTCTGTTTGGGTGCAAGTCGTGCTGAAAAGGAAAAGGAACTGTCTATCCAAAACCAGAGGCCTTCCGAGTCGTGTAAGCTGGAGGCGCTGGCACACTCTGAGCAACCTCATCGCCCCCAATCCTCCCTCGGTCCGTTTTTCCTATTAACCCCTGAGTGCCGACACCTCAACCGTGACAGCCATCTCAAGAGTTTTCCCGGGCTGTGATGTCATGGGTCCAGGTATTTCCCGTAGCCTTGCCTTACTGTTAATTCTCGAGTTGAAACCCCGGGCTCCCACCAGGGCACCCTCACATCGGGCCCCCCTCCTTTGCCGTATGTTCTCTCGAGTCTCAAGTCTGAGGTATTACCCGTCCACTGGGTGAATCACCGTCGTGATGCTCCTTCTATCGAGTCAAGACGTAAAAAGTAAAAGACCAAACTATTCCAATGCCCGGTCTCATGCTACCTAACGGACCAACATCCATCATTGACCCCCGCCCGTGACCCTATTCCCAAACCAGTAGAAGAACATCTATCAACATTTGACCCAAGCCAGCATCCCCTCACTATTCGAATACTTTACATATCAAGTTTGACAGAGTGGCTCAACCTTCTCACCAGCCCCAAGCTCCTCTAAACGGATGATAAGATCAGCCAGCACTTGTAAGTCATATGCCACTCTAAACTCCCAAGCTAGTCATTATTTGGATTAAAGAAATTAAAAACACCTGGGATTTCGTGTTTTAGATGAGGCAGTCAATCTTATTCCCCATTAAGTAATTAAACCAACAAGAGAACATGTATTCAAATACATACCTGCCCAGTTAACTGTCAATATTTGAGGGGTTTGCAATGCCTTCCCATACTTTGGAAGCTCTCAACCAAGCAATAAGGTATGCATATAGATCTTGTTAAAAGGATAGGGAAGTTACAATGCCAGACTAAACATATTTCTCTCGGCTGTTCCTCATTACGCTACACTGTCGTCACAAGAGCTTTTAGCGTTCCTCGTACCACGACTTGAAGAACACACGGTAAATGCTTAAAATAATAGCAACTTGCATTTTACTTTTTCAAATACTCAGTACTAAGCCAACCCAATCGGGCCAAGCCTGGGAGTCCTGGCTGAACCTGGAAGCGTTGACAATATCTTCTGGGCCACTCTCAGGTATACGTTCTTGCATAAGCATTGTACGTCACGAACTGCGATTCCGGAGCTGGACGTCTGCGTTGGGGATCTGAACTGGATTGGTGCCACATAGTCCAACCCTAACAAGCGAGCATACTAGTAGCAGTACCTAAAATATCCCAAGATGGCTTCTAAACGGCGGTCACCAACCCTGTCGTCCTTGCGTCCTCGACTGAGAGAAAATGATGTTGTTTCTTCTGTTTTAACATCACATCATTTCAATGGGTTCTTGCCACTTTCCTGGTCGCCACTCATATGTTCCCGAAGTAGTTTCATCTAAACTCCCTAGGACAGAAATGTGACTCTGTCGGCGCGGAAAGCCTGTACTGAAACCCTTTCAAGGTCCTGCCAGGTCCTCTTCCAGGAGTGCCGTTACACTGGCAGTCGCTGCAGGCTTCGCCCGAGCTTCCCTTGGACGGAACTTTACAGTTCTATCATCAAGTGGGCTGCTAAAGCCGGGTTGTGCGCTATACAAATGGTCCCCGGGACCGTTAACAACAGCGGTTCCTAACCGGGAGCCCCTGAATGGAGTAACTAGAGGCTACCTAAGTATATATCAAATTACAAGGGAGGTCCTAAGGTGTAGCCATTGGGCATATGCAATTTGACACTCGAGTTCACCCATCCCAATAACAGACCATCCCCACTGCATGCATCTCGTCATCGTCAATGAAGAGTTTAAGACTCTCCAGGTCACGTTCGCTTAGGAAGCGTCGTACGTTCCCAGGCAATGTCCGGTCTGCTCCATTGCTTTCTGGATGTGGGTAACATTGTAAACCCCATCCGTTGAGAGGAGAAACTTTAGCTAACCGGTACTTACGCAAGAGGTGAAGAAAAGGCATAAGAAAAGGTTATTTCGATCGTTGAGTCGTTCATCTCACTGAACTGCGTGTCATATAAACTAAAAAGTACATTGACAAAACTACTTAATCTTAGACTTTACCCTCCTTTGTTACAATCATCGTAGTTTCGTACACCCACTGAAGATTTATACCGTAAGGAAGTAAGATAATTGCTTATTCTATAGACTTTTTATAAGTTTTAAGGCTCCTTATTATAAGTAATTCGCGCTGCAATTCTTAATTACCATCGTAAGGTAGGATATAATTACCTATCTACCCTCAGTTTCGTATATGCTACAATGTAGCCCTAATATCCTAAACCCCTAATATATTCTAAGACCAAGCTTATTAGCAATAGAACTTTCTCGAAAGGCTAAGAGGAGGGAGATGTAAGGGGCTGATGTTAAACAATGTCGTTGACAAGACGACCGGGCGCCGCCCGCCGCCGAACTTGGTGATGTGGGGCCGGAATCCGGTGCAGGTCTCTCAACGAATCACAACGGGAGCTTGGCTCAGTTGGAAGAGCGCAGGTCTCATACTGCTGTATGATTCGGTGGCAAATCGAAAATATCCTGAGGTCGTGAGTTCGAGCCTCACAGTTCCCATTTTCCTTTTGCTTGACATCCCTTTTTGGAACTTGTCGGAGTCGTAAAGGAACTGTTGGTCAAGGGTCGTCGGCGGCGTCGGGGAGGATTGCGGCGGGGGTGGTTGCCCTGGTTCCTACGTCATATGGGTCAGTGTTCCCTCGTCAGTCACATCGCCGCACAACGTTCGACAGAGCACAAGGCACGGGGTGATCCCCACAACACCTTCTCGACTTGAAGGTTCGCTGGTCTATTTGCATTCTGCTAAACCCTCCGCGAAGCGGACGGTCTCTCCTCATACACGGACATTACAGATACAAGCCCTCCGGCTCACCCTCCTGCTTCGTACGCAATACCCGCTCACGGGCGGAGCGGAAGTCGGCCATCTGCACGCGCATGCGGCGCTCCCGGAGAGCCATGAGACCGGCTTCGGAGCAGATGGCCTTGATGTCGGCGCCGGATAGGTCGTCCTTCTGGGCGATAAACTCCTCCAGGTCGACGTCCTCGTTAAGAGACATTTTGCTCGTGTGCAGTGTGAAGATCTTGCGCTTGGTGTTTTGGTCGGGGTTCTCGAACAAGATCTTGCGGTCAATACGGCCCGGCCGGATGAGGGCGGGATCGAGCGTCTCGATCTTGTTGGTGGCCATGATAACCTTCACGTCACCGCGGTCGTCGAAGCCGTCGAGCTGGTTAAGCAGCTCCAGCATAGTCCGCTGCACTTCGCGCTCGCCACCCGATGTAGAGTCGTAACGTTTCGTGCCAATGGCGTCGATCTCGTCAATGAAGACGATTGACGGGGCGTTCTCAGCGGCAACCTAAACTGCGTTAGCGCAAGCTCGTGGTGAATATTTGGGCGAAGCTTACCTGGAACAACTGGCGGACCAACCGGGGACCATCGCCGAGGTACTTCTGGATCAACTCGCTTCCGACAATGCGCAAGAACGTAGCAGAGGTCTGGTTGGCCACGGCCTTGGCTAGAAGAGTCTTTCCGGTACCGGGCGCACCGTAGAGGATGACACCCTTGGGCGGCTTGATGCCCATCTCCTCGTACAGCTCGGGGTGCAACAAAGGTAGTTCGACGGACTCCCGCACCTCCTGAATCTGTTGCTCCAAACCACCAATATCCGCGTACGACTCCGTGGGCGCCTTGTCCAGCTTCATGACGCTCACAAGCGGGTCTGTGTCGTCTGTGAGGACGCCGACGATGCTGACGGTTTTGTGGTGCAAGAGTACACTGGCACCGGGCTCCAGCAGGTCCTTGTCAACAAAACTCATGATGCTGACATAGTACTCCGGTCCAGTGGTGCTAGAAACGATGGCGTGGTCGTCGTCGATCATCTCCTCGAGCGTGCCGACCCCCATCGGGCTACCCCGCATGTCGTCAACACGGCTGCGCTCGTCGGCGACCCGGTCTGTGGATTCCAGCTCTGAAGTGGGCGCGGAGTTGTCCTTGACGGCTTTCGCTTTTCGAAGGCGCTCCTGGTTCTCGACGTACTCCTCCTCGAGCAGCAGGTGATCGTGGATACGTTGCATGCGCAGCAGTCGGAGCTTGCATCGGCTCGTCGGGTAGACGGGTGGCATCTTCGCGGCAGCGCTGGTGCCGCCGGCCCTCTTCTTCTTGCGACCGATGCGCGCGGTCGGCCTCGGGGGCGGTTCATACTTGGGTTTGTCCTTCTATTGCGGCGAGGCTGGTTAGCAACGTGCTGGTGATGATTTGGTTGACCGTGGTAGATGGCCACCTGAATCCTCAGGAACTCGAACCTTCTTGTCCTTGTCATCTCGCCCATCCTTTCCCCCACCCATACCTCCGCCCATGCCGGATTGATTCTGGCCCTACAAAGATCGTCAGAACCCATTCCGCAACCATAGCCGATTCGGGCAACTCTACCATGGTGCTCGTGTGCGACCTCGGTCGAAGCTACGGGGCAAACGACTGCCTTTGGTACGACGAGGTTTATTTACACACAGGGTGTGTTACTGAATGCTCCCAAGGCGTGGTTTGATGATGCGGGCGATAAGTGACCAGACGGCGGGTCTTGGGGTTTGTTGGTCGAGGTGATGTCGATGGTCAGTGCGAGCTTGAGGCGAGCTTTGTTGGGAGTCGCCAGGCGGCAGAGCGACGCGCCAACTAGCGAGTGGGTCTGAAGATGCCCCACCACCAATGATATCAAACCGTCTTCTTCCAGCCCGCCATCAGCTGAAGGCTGGTTGTGTATGTAATCTGTACTGCCCCGTGTAAGAGCCTAAGCCGGGTGTTATTAATGCTACAGTTGCAGGGCTGCTGCTTCGGCGTGTACCAAGGGAGCAAGGCTGTTCTCCCTTTATCGGAGCTGAGACCCGAAGTGCCTTGCCCGCCCGAAACGCCTTGCTCATGAATCATCTGGCTCGCAATGGAGACGGGTTTGGTGTTAGTTCGGTGCGGGGGATGGAAAGACCAACCGACCGAGAACACGATAAAGAGTTTGGGAGAGCCTGTTCCGGATTCTATAGCAATACCGAAACATTCGATCAAATTTTATTCACATCAACGCCAGGCAGTAGAGTTTATCAGTGTCCAGGCTAGAAAAATACCAGCAAGCCTCCGTGCCCTTGTCACTGCCCCAAGTTTCAGCGAACCACCTTTCACCGCTACCCGACCCCTCCAAGAAGTACCGAAGTACTTGCCCCCGGATGATCTCCCCACCCATCCATCGTCTTCCGCCGCGAAACCGCAGGCTCAACCAGGTGTAGCCGAACCACAACCACCAGCGAGCACTCCAACTCCTGTCCCTGGACATCGCCGACCGCCATGGCCACCACCCGCGAGCGCCGGATTGCGAAGGAGCTAGCCGACATCCACAATGACAAGGATAACTCGGGCGTGCTGGCGAACCCCATCGACCCCTCCAACTTGACGCACCTCAAGGGAACTTTTCCAGGGCCGCCCGACACGCCGTATGCGGGGGGCACCTACCAAATCGATATCGTCGTCCCCGACATGTACCCGTTCAAATCGCCCATTATGAAGTTCGACACCAAGATCTGGCACCCAAACGTCAGCAGTGTGACGGTAGGTCCGAGCGTCACAGCAAGGCAGGAAGCAAACGGAGGGCGGGGCAGGGCAAACTCGGGCACAACAGGGCGACAGAAGCTAACTTGCGGCGCTTACCAGGGAGCTATTTGCCTCGACACGCTCGGCTCGGGATGGTCGCCCGTGGGCACCATTAAGATGGCGCTAATCTCGCTGCGCATGCTGCTCGAGTCGCCGAACCCCAAGGACCCGCAAGACGCCGAGGTGGCAAAGATGATGATGGAACAACCTAACGAGTTTGCCGCCAAAGCCCACGACTGGGCCGTCAAGTACGCCGGTGCCCCGCGGAGGGAGACGCTCACACACAACTACGAAAAGTCAACCGCGCCCGTTGTCAAGGATGACCCGTCACGGTACGTTTCCTATTCGATACGGCAAGGTTTAACTGGGACTGGAGACATTACTAGTTGTGGGTTAAGGACCGTGCTGATAATGGACGGGCGTTTGCCGTTACTCTTACAGATACAAAGGGTATAATAAGGAACTGGTGGATCGCTTTGTCAACATGGGCTTCGAGGTTGACGCCGTGGTCGATGCGTTCATCTTTGTGGGTATCGACCGCAACGGGGGCGAGGACTATGAGCTGGAGGAGGCGTATATGGGCGATATCACCGCTCGGCTCCTCGGAGAGCAGTAGCAGGACCAACAGGCGTGCGAAATAATCAGCGATTGGACCGTAGCGTAGTTAGGCTACGCTCCACTGGGCGGTTGACATTGTTGCGACGGGCACGAGGAGATGTGCGGTGCTGGGGGTATCCGGCAGGCAGAGCCCGATCCTACTTGTCCCTATACGCATAAGGAAAGGAGTTTACGGATGGCGCACAGGTGGACAATTTCATGGGGCTCCGTGCTTGTTTTCTTTTCATTACTTAGACGGAATCTAAATGCAACCCATTGCTTCCAACACGTCTCAACAGCCACCTCGCCAGGCGGGCAGTCCTGAACCCACTCTTTCGAGAAGCACCGAGTGCGGTGTTCATGTTGGGTAGGAAACGATTACCCCTCGCCATCACAATACCTCTCCGGATCTGTTTTGGTAGTGTCGAAACGGAAGCTGACGTGAGCCTCCCACACTCAACCTGCTCAGCCTAACCCGGAAAGCACCCACGGTTGCGTGGCCGCCCCTCCGAACCGCGAAACAATACCATAGTATGCCCCAGTCTTCCTAACGCGGGCTCAAGGGTGGGAAAATAGCACATCATAAACTCATCGGTAGACGGACCTCGAAGCATGTTGGTGAAATGCACGATAAAAAAACAAGAGGCTCATAATGCACAACGTATTATGCCAAACCACCAAGTTCCCCCCAGTCTATAAGTTTGCTAATGCCTTAGTTTCACCCCGCTCCCTGAGCGTACTCTCCTTACTCTCACAACTGACCGCTCCTCTCTAGCCACCCTCCGCATTCACTCACGGTGACAAAAGAAAGGACCAACATCATGTACAAGGCCAGCGCCGGGATAGCATTACCATGATACTATGGCGCTCGTGATTTAGAGAAGATCGCGCCTGACGAACTCGTCGCGGAGGGCCTTGCCCAGACCGGCGGGCGACCGCTCGACGATGACGCCGGCCGACTCGAGCGCCTTGATCTTGGAGTCGGCACCGCCCTTGCCGCCGGACACGATGGCGCCGGCGTGGCCCATGCGGCGGCCGGGGGGCGCCGAGATACCGGCGATGAAGGACACGACGGGCTTGCCGCCGTTGACGGTGTTGTTCTCGCGGATGAAGTCGGCGGCGTCCTCCTCGGCGGAACCGCCGATCTCGCCAATCATGATGATGCCGTCCGTCTCGGCGTCCTCGAGGAAGACCTTGAGGCAGTCGATGAAGTTGGTGCCGCTGAAGGGGTCGCCGCCGATGCCGACGACGAGCGACTGGCCCAGGCCGGCGTTGGTGGTCTGGTTGACGGCCTCGTAGGTCAGGGTGCCGGAGCGGCTGACGATGCCGATGCGGCCGCGCTTGTGGATGAAGCCGGGCATGATGCCGATCTTGCACTGTCCGGGTGCGATGATACCAGGGCAGTTGGGGCCCACAAGGCGGGTCTTGCTCTGCGACTTGAGCATCGAGGTGATGCGCACCATGTCTGAAACCATGTCAAAACTCTTGTCCACATCTGCGTCGGTTCATTCTCCTGCTCGCGACTGACCATGCTGGGGGATGCCCTCAGTGATGCACACAACGAGCGGGACCTCGGCGGCGATAGCCTCTTCAATACCGGCAGCGGCGAGTGGGGGCCTGTTGATCCGCACCTTGTTAGCGCGGCTTGCCTCGGGTGAGCTGTTTTAAGAGTTTCCTTACGGCACGAAAATGGCCGTCGCATTTGCGCCCGTCTCCTTCACAGCTTCGCCGACGTTGGCGAAAACGGGGAGGCCAAGATGCGTTTGGCCGGCCTTCTTGGGGTTGGTGCCGCCAACAACCTTGGTGCCTGAACAAATCGCGCGTATTAGATCCAATGCTCGCCCGCCGCTATCTGGTTTGTCCTCGCTCGGTTTCAGGTAGAATTACCATAATCGATCGCCTGTTGCGCGTGGAATCTGTCATAACAGTCGCCGTTAGCCTTGACTCCTCAAAACAACCCCTGGCTCTCTCTGCGCAGGTTGGTAAACTGCGACCCCACGATAGACCGCGCGGGGGGCTTGCAGCGCGAAAGAAGCGGGTGAATATTTGGTACTCACGTTCCCTGCTTGCCAGTGAAACCCTGGTAGAGGACCTTGGTGTCGCCGTTGATGCGAAGGTTCTGGATGGTCGCAGCATAGGGGGAGGCGGAGGAGCTGTAGTTCCTCTGGGCAAGCTGTCGCAGGAGAGCGCCCGCGGGCCGCGATTGCCTTGAGAATGCCTGCATTGTGTTGTTTCTGAAGCGAGCAACGGAGGAATCGAAGGGAGGTCGTCGGAGCAAGGTGAGCGGGAGGAAAGAGCCAATGCAGAATGGTGATGGCTTGATCAAGGGTGTCGTTTAACGGGATGCAACAGCCTTCGTCATTTCTCTCCAACCCGCGACCTTGCCCAAAATTGTCCAGCTCCAACCAACGGGGCCCCTCGATCTGACAAGCAAGGGCTCGCCTGCTGCCATTGGCTCAGATGTGAATCCTCGGCAATTGCGGCGGTGGTATTTTTCCGATGAAACCCGCCGGCCTTGGCTCCGGCACAAGGTCGGGACCTTCCGGGGCTCGGCCCCACGTGGAACGGAGAGCTGTGCACGGGCCATGTCCAGAAATTGCTCCTCTTGTGGCCCGTGCAGGCGTCTTTTCGCGAATACGGGAGCCGTGTGTTTAACAATACCATCCTGTTGTATTTCCATTTCATGTTACGACGGTTTGACCCCGCCAAAATTACCAACAGATCTTGAACTGTGACACACCAATCCATTAAAGAAGAAACATCCTCAACAGGAGCCGGGCCCTTCGATTCGCGAATATAAACCGACATAAGGTACACCTATTCGCTTATCTTCCGCCGACGCCGTCACTACTACGACTCCCGCTTGCTTTTTGACACTCGACAGGGCTCGCTAGCCCCCCACACTCGCGATGGCGACCACAACCGTAACAGCGACGATCCGCAAGAAGGAGGCAAACCTCCCCCCAGAGAACGAGCGCTTCCTTCGGTGCTGTGCAGACATTGCCAGTGCCTTGATAGAAGACCATGAGGCGGCTAGGGACCCGAGTCGGCCTCGAAAAGATATCAACCTAAATACGCTTCGATCCAAGTTCGCCAAAAAGCACAAGATCAACAATGTGCCGCCTCTCACGGCCATCATCGCGGCAGTACCTGAGCATTACAAGAAGTACATTCTCCCGAGGCTTGTAGCAAAGCCTATCCGTGAGTTCCCCGTTGTTTGAGGATTGGAGGAGATGTTAGACGACTAACATTCACTAGGTACATCATCCGGTATCGCTGTGGTGGCTGTCATGTGCAAGCCACATCGTTGTCCTCACATCGCCTACACTGGAAACATCTGCGTCTACTGCCCAGGCGGCCCGGACTCAGACTTCGAATATAGTACACAGTCATATACCGGCTATGAACCAACATCTATGCGAGCCATTCGCGCCCGCTACGACCCCTTTGAACAGGCTCGCGGGCGAGTCGACCAGCTCAAGGCACTCGGCCACTCGGTGGATAAAGTGGAATTCATCATCATGGGAGGGACATTTATGTCGTTGCCGGAATCGTACAGGGACGAGTTCATATCGCAGCTTCACAACGCACTCAGCGGATACGGGACGCTAAATGTGGACGAGGCCGTCCGGGCCGGCGAACAAAGCAGCATCAAGTGCGTGGGGATCACCATCGAGACACGGCCGGATTACTGCCTCCAACCACACCTTTCCAGCATGCTGCGGTACGGCTGCACTCGCCTCGAAGTCGGTGTTCAGTCACTGTACGAAGACGTGGCTCGCGACACTAACCGTGGCCACACGGTGGCGGCCGTGGCCGAGACCTTCTGCCTTTCCAAAGATGCCGGGTTCAAAGTCGTCAGCCACATGATGCCCGACCTACCCAACGTCGGGATGGAGCGCGACCTGGACCAGTTCAAGGAGTATTTCGAGTCCCCCGCCTTCCGCACCGACGGCCTCAAGATCTACCCGACGCTGGTGATCCGCGGCACGGGACTCTACGAGCTCTGGCGCACAGGCCGCTATCAGAACTACACGCCCAACGGGCTAATCGACCTAGTAGCACGCATCCTCGCGCTCGTGCCCCCTTGGACCCGCATCTACCGTGTGCAGCGCGACATCCCCATGCCGCTGGTCTCGTCGGGGGTAGAGAACGGCAACCTGCGAGAGCTGGCGCTGGCGCGCATGATGGACTTTGGCACGACGTGCCGCGACGTGCGCACGCGCGAGGTGGGCGTCAACGAGGTCAAGCACAAGATCCGGCCCAACCAGATCGAGCTCGTGCGGCGCGACTACGCGGCCAACGGCGGCTGGGAGACCTTCCTCGCCTACGAGGACCCCAAGCAGGACATCCTCGTCGCCCTGCTGCGCCTGCGCAAGTGCAGCGAGAAGTACACCTTCCGCGAGGAACTGACCGGCCAGCCGACCAGTCTGGTGCGCGAGCTGCATGTTTATGGTATGGCGGTGCCGGTGCATGCGCGTGATCCGAGGAAGTTTCAGCATCAGGGTTTTGGGACGCTGTTGATGGAGGAGGCGGAGCGCATCGCGCGCGAGGAGCATGGGAGTGAGAAGATGAGTGTGATCTCGGGGGTGGGTGTCCGGAGCTATTATGCCAAGCTGGGGGTACTGGTTGGACGGCCCTTACATGAGCAAGTATCTCGATGGGAGGCCGGGGCCGGAGGAATAAACGGGGCCGGTAGGCGGCATCAAAACCGACTGGGAGAATATTTGGGGGCCGGCTTCAGGGCATCTTGGCGTTGGGCGACATCAGCATGCATGACTTGGGAGGCGTTGGCGGCAACTACCATCTGTCATGACTGGATACTTAGGTAGTTCAAAATTTGCACGGGTTTCTGGTATGCGTTGCCTTCTTTCGGTTTTGAGCCCGAGAGGGACAATGGTCAATATTGCACACGATAGACAGTCGCCAACTTAGGGCAGAAGCACGATACCCACGACGCTTCACCCATATCCCGGCACCGTTCTGCATACGGCAATCTTGCCGGGGAATATGCTCGCACTAGTTATTGGCCAGGGTGCTTGCTTACCCCGACCAGCTCGTGCGCCGCGTTTAGAATTTGCGAGAAGGCGAACACAAGTGTCGGCGTCGATAGTGTATATTATTCACGCGCTCGAGTTCGGAGCGCCTATGCCCGAGTCCATATTAATATTTTACAAATCCGTCAACATCCGCAGATTCAGCTCACGGCGGCAGGCAGGTCGGTCCCTACTGTGTAGGTAGGTAGGTAGGGAGCCAATGCGGCCAGCTCAAATGTGGTTGCAGAGAGCGGGCCCCAGCTGCGAATCGTGTTGGAGCTGAGTGGACGTAGCGAGCACGTGGGCATGCAGCTCGAGGACGTCCTGTGGAATGAGACTCGCTGGACTAGCAGCGTTATATAGTAGCCCGACTACCAATATCTATTTTTCTGGGACGGGGACTGCGAAGACGTTCGAGTCAGAGGGTTGGCACATATTCGGAGGGATAATGGGCAGCTCCAAGAAGGCGGAGCTCATTGAATACAGCTTCTCTTCCATGCCGGCCCTGAAAACCAATTCCAAGCCAGGCACCCGGCCGTGGAGGGGGGAGCAACTCAAAGGGCACCGGGGATTGAATAACTGGCTGCGGTAGCCGTAGTTATCGAATTTGGCTGTCTCCACGGGCATCGCTCGTACATAGATTGCATCACCAAGGATCTCGGGCGCCGTGCCCGCTTGCGCGCTTCATCGATCGTATTGTTTGGACTTTTCGTGGTAGTCTCGAAAAGGATCCAGTTCCAAGTTGACCTGCGAATGGATCGTGTTAACACTAAGCCGCATTGTTAAGGGGCAGCGGAATGGGCCGACGAGGGAAGGGAGGGTGCTCACTCTTGCGGACCATCATCACACCCGCCGTGATAATCCCCTTGTCCTTAACAACGCCATCTCCCGCCACCGACTGCGCGCCACACACCGTCGTTTCCGGACGCCGACCTCTGTATCCAAGGCCGTACCTAAAACCTGCCGGTTTAGGTTAGTCACTGTGCTTTCTGGGTCGGGGGCCGTCCGCCTCTTACCTCTGTGACCTGTTCGGCAGCCTTTGGAACAGCAGAGATGGGGGAGATAAAAGGGAGAACGTCGAGGTTTGCTCCTCAGGCCGGGGCTTTGTCAGTCCCACTCTACAAAGGGCCCTTCCATCTAGCAGTCGACAGCCTCTCGGTCGATTCTTGCACACGAGGGAGTGGGTACGGCCGAGGTTCTTCAAAGGATTGGAGGGGGTGGGAGTGCTCAGGGTTGTTCGTGGCTATGTCTCCCCCGGCGTGGGAGTCGACAGGTCGGCATGGATGTTTGGGACACCTGCGGGTTTGGAGACGTCAGTAAGTCTCTGGTTCTCTTTTGTCGGGTATTGTCGTCACCAGTTGTTGGCGAATGGTTTGAGTTGGCCAACAGGCTCCACGATGTCAACAAGAGGAAGGGGTGGCTATAAGAAAAAGAGCCTCACGACTTTTGGACAGAGATGTTGCGTGTTGCTGCCTCTGGGAATGCTAGATTGGGCTGCTATTCCACCGATAAATTCCAGGACCGAACGGGTACGTTGGGAAGAGGAGGCACGGGTGCGCGGTTCCGACTGAAAGATGCAACTGAGCGTCAAAAGACAACAACATCTGGGGATTTGGCTGATTGCTTTTGGGGAAGAAGCGGACGCATTGACCGGGTGTCTCCGTACAGGCGGCTCGGGGACAAGGCAGCAACTGATGGATCTTGCGTGTCGATGTGGTGCTCCATTGTAAACTCCCAGTCTGACGGATGTTGCGGCTTTTGCCGGTGAACGCGCGCGAGAGGCCGTTTTCCGTTTCTCAGGAGGACTTGGACAGAATTGAGAGACAGGACAGAAACGGCTTTGGAAGGTCATCTGCTGATGACTTGTTTTCTTTCGGAGCCCGGGCCTAAACTGAAAAAGGGAAATGTATTTGTCGGCCACGCGGTCGAAGGCCCCCCATCCAAGGCTTTCCAGCGACCTCCCAGGCGCCCCGGGTTCAGCCCGCCTGGACCTGATGTCTGCCTGCAGTTGATTAAGCCAACCCCCCAGGCATTCCATCGGGCCAAAAGCATTTCATGTTGGAACTCTTGCAGTTCTTGAGTGCCCATTCTCTGCGTGGGGCCCTTGGGGATCACTGAGGAAACGACAGCGTTATTTCCCGATTCCTTTTTGCAGCATGCAGCCTAGAAACAACGCCCAGCCTTTTGCCGTTTACGGACCCAGGCAGTGGTGAGAACGGAAGAGGGCAATCTCGGGCCGGTCGCCTCAGTTCTCGACCCGGCTCCCCGCCCCTGTTTCGCATGGAAGAGCCGCACAAGGGCCTTTCCAACCGTCTTCAGTGCTGTGCGCCGAGTTCTTCAGGGCTGCGACCCCCGAGCCCGAGTTGCTTTTCGTGTGCATAACGCGCTTGCCACTCACTGCCCGGTCAAATAACGCAACGTTGCCGGCCACAATCCGCGTTGTTTTTATTTTGAACACGCACAGACACAGTTTATTTTCTTGTACTACCCACCACCCACAAAACATCCACCGTTTTTAAACCGCGCCCGTTGAATGATAAGAGTTTTGTCTCGGCCTCTCACGCTTCCGCTTCCGTTTTACCGTTTATTCGCGAATGCCGGATCCCAACCCGTAATCCGGCAGGTAATGAACCTGCAAGGGATCCCACGGCGGGGAATAAGGCGAAGATTGATTCATGATGTTGTGACGATTCAGAATCCCCCAAACTATTGATGATGGTTAAGCTTAGGGCAACCCGACTGAGGGGGTGGGTGAGTGTCGTCTCAGATGGAAGTCGGTTCAGATGGAACTTACCTGAATACGGAGGTGTAAGAACTATCTCGTCGTCCTCGGTTGCGTCGACTCGCACAAACTGGGCCCACGCGCCGATTCCGCGAAGCAGCTTGTCGATTACGCGCCTTGACCCCTCGTTCTTCAGAGTATTGTCGCGAGCTTTAACGGAACACAAGTCATGAGTACGGACGGGACCTCCACACGCTGATTTGGGGTGGCAAGGACGGGACCTACACATCTCGTCGGCGCAAATGATGGCTCTATCCTGGTGATCTTGTTGACGGGCGGTCGTGCGAGTTGCGAATGCAGTGAATTTCGACAACGGCCATCGTTCTCTCGCCCCTTTATAGACCCAGTGTCGCCGGGGAAGCTTTTGCAATCGAAGATCAGCTACCCCATTCTGGGCTGGTGCATATTCTCTGACTGTCTGTTTCTTTCTTATTCTGTGTAAACGTCACTATCCTTAGGTTTATGTACCATACAATACCATGCGCTACACATAGAGCACACGCCCTTGAGAGCCAGTGGCGGAAACCGGGGCTAGTTCCGGGCAGAGTCTTCATTAATACCAAGAGGTCTCCCATAAGTCCTTGAGATAACGAATGACCCATGCTCCGAGAACAAGTGAGCGCAAACCCAGGCGGACAAGAGGCTGAAGACCAGGGGCACTGACGATAAGGAGAATGGTTCACGGTCGAGGATGGGAGAAGCGAGGCGGAATCCCCTTGAGTTGGCTTGACCCTGTGGGCCGAATGATTCTGCAGTCCCCGGACCAACAGCCGGGGGGCTTCCGCTGCAGTGAAGCATCGGACGGGAGCCGCCGCAGTGGCAAAGTGATAGGCCATATTCTGAGAAGAAGCAACGGAGCTGGACTGGATGCAGGGGGGAAGATTCGGGAAGGAGCTCCATTGGTGGCTGTCCAAGTCTCTCACCGCACCGCGTGCCCGGGCAAGAGATCGAGTGGGAATGGCTGGAAGGTTGACTGACGTGTCTCTTGCCAACCTCGAACAGAGTTTTTCGATCGGAGGTAATGAGCAGGCCGGAGCCTGCTTGCCTTCGTCCTCCCTGTCCCCTGGGCGCTGATCACCTGCAAAAACCCAAGCCCAGCAGACCGGAAGGAGATTAAAGTTTTCAGCTACCCGCATGGGGGGTGGGCTCAGGGATCAAAATAGCTTAGCTTCCTGGCAAACCGGCAACAGAATAGTCGTGAGACATAGATGACTATTCGTATAGAAGAATGCGGCGGCCAAAACGGGCAATTTAGCGAAATGAAAAAGGGAAAAAAAAACGGGAGAGCGGGCGGGACGGTACCTAGGGGGGCTTTGAGATGCGGTAAAGCGGTGACCAGGATCCCGGGTTGCTTCACCATGTTGCATGTCTCAACCAAAGGGCTCACCTTGGCTCGTTTAGGCTTGATTGGGGAGCAGAGCACTCTTGGACGTATCATTACCTGCCGTTGATACCCCGTTGAGAACTCCTTGATGCAGGCTCACGGCGGAGGGACCATGGTCAGCCAATGACATCGCTTGACGGCGCACACACACACACCGAGAGGGGAAAGAAGGTACCAAAAGGCGCGTCACGGAATAAAACAAAAGAAACGAAAATGGCTCTATCACGTTTTGGGGCGGAATACTGGAGGCCCAGTCCCTTCACCGATTCTCTCTTAGGCGGTTAGGCCCACCACGTCACCCAAGGATGCAGGTTTGAGTCCCAACTTCCTGGTGACTTTCACTTTCCTTCCATCCCTTTCTCTCGCCCCTTTGTTGGTCTTCCAGGTTCAAGTTCTCTCCCGACACATCAACTCCGCGAGACTTACGAGCCCATCCAACCCCTCCGCGTCCTTGAACGCTGTTGGCCATACCTGTCGTGTATGGACGTATCTCACGGCCGCCGAGCTACAGACACGCCGCCCTTTGGGTTTTCGATTGAAGACAGGATGGATCGCTGATGGTGGTGGGTTAGCTTTTCTTCCACATCTCTTTCTCTCGCTAATACCATCGAATGGTTGACTAACTCGGTGTGTGTCTCAGGAGAAAGCCGGAGCTGGGCCCGTCTTTTCGACATGATCTCCCTCGAGGACGGCGACTTCAGATTTGCTTCACGCCGCCGGGTGTGGGCGTACTGCACACCTCCAGACACGTTTACTCTGACCTCCGACAACATGGTCTTAAACCAGCAACAAGTGACGCTCGCCGATTCATCCTTGAACGGTCATCTCCGCGTTATATTACTAGGTACATAGGCGCGGTCCCCACGAACGTCACTAAGCCCATTGTTGCCTGCGTGCGAAAAGCCTAGCTGGGACATGGCGCTTTACATACCAAAACTGCGAACCAGTCACCAGAACCGGGATTTCGACAGTTGCTGCCGACTTACATTACAAACGACGCTACCTCTGGCCCCGCCATGGTGGGTTTATTTACCTAGCACTGGGCAGGAGGTTTGCCATCGTTCAGCAGTCAGTCGGGTTTATCTCTTGATCTATCACTGGCTGGGATGACCTACGAACTCCCTTCGCCTGGATACACTGTGTCTGCGCATGGCAGGTGGCATACCGGACCCTGCACCGTTGGCTCCTTGCTTGTCGATGATCCAAGAGCAAGCCCGCAGCTAGTCGCTTGATCGGACTTCAAGCAATGCAACACGTCTCCCTAAGCCACCAATTAGCGGCTAGAGACAAGAGGGAGCTCAACCTTGGGCTTCAGTCTCACTGGGCTTGCCCTCCCTACCTTTTACTCGGGTCATCAACCATGGCGACGCTCAGACGCGGCACAGTCAAACTTAGCGACACGCCCATCTCGGTGTCAATACGAGCACTCGCCCCAAGCAATACAAGCTACCGGGGTTGGGAACCCCGGTCTCTACAAATGAACGCTGGCTCACCCCTACTATGTCTGAACGAACCAACATTGCGAAAAGGTCGGGGCGAATGGAATGGCCTCGATTGCCCGGTGGTCAGACAACAAAGGTCTATCAGCATGCAGCAGTACCGAGCACCCAAGTTGCCAACCGCGAGCCCCGACTTGGGGTAAAGCAATTGCGCGACGGCGGCGCTAAACTACCTACCCTACCTACCTAGTAGTCACTTAGCGGCACCGAGTGGCGCCTGCTCGGACTCTTTGTACGTACATTCCGAATCCCCTTACCGTCCTGAGAACCGCTACTGTCCCTTCCACAATTCCTTCAAGTCCTCGCGCCTCTCGCGATGCCCTGTCGTTCTGCGATATCGGCAATCCCCGTCGGCTCCATGCTTGCCGAACTCCATTCTGGCTGCGTCGGTGGTGGGGCGGATGCATCTCGCAAGGGTTTGGTTGCCTTTCCAATTGGCTGACGGCCGGTATCGTGGCTGGACGGGACGTTGCGCGAACACATCCTGCGCCGTGGCTCTCGCCATCTTGGCAGCATCGGATGCTTGCATTGGGCGAGATCAATGGGGGACTTGAGCAGCCCCCAGCTGCCGGCGAACGCTAGCCTCCCCAGAAGCAAGTATGAAGGGAGGAAGGCTGAAGCTCCGGAACGAGCTCCGAAGGCAGCCACATTGCCACGGCTAAGGAGGTGCGCTGCGTTGAAGCTGATTTGAGGAGGCAGATATGACGTCTCGAACTGCTTGGTCGCTTGTAATGCTCATGAGGAGCGAGTCCAAGAATGGGCGTGTGTATATGCATACACACATTCGTTCCGAACTCGAAACATGTATTCGTGCAGCCCATCTAGGGTGCTATGTGGACATTGGTAAGCTTCTCCTCCCGTCACACCTCGTCCTTTCCCCTCTTCTCACGCAAGCCAGCCTCATGACGGTATGTCGAGGGCCCTTCTCCACTAGCCTTTCTCTAGACAGGCGTGGCCTTAACAGCTTCGACATCTCCATTGCTCGTTCAGCTATGTGTGGAACATGAGCAGCATTAAGCATGATGCTTTTTTCGAGCTGGCTAAGCGAACGAGTGTGAACGGTGCCCGATTCGAACCCGGGCCGTTCAAACTAAATACTTTCTTGGCCTCTAATTCACAGTTTCATCCTCCTGTTAGCAGCTTTTCATCGCCCCCCGCCCCCCGGATCACTCACGAAGCGGCCGTCGTGGTCGACCGTTCAGGACAACCGCGCTTCGGTCAAGCCCTCCCGGACATCGAGACCACAGAGGCTCAGGCTTCATGTTCAGGCTTGGGGGTGCTGCTGGGGAGGCAAGATCATTTTCGTTGTTGTTGCTACCCAAATCGACCCATGGGTCCTTCTGGGTTCGGATAACCATAGGCAATTCCCGGGTCTACCTCCAACCTGACCTGCAGAGGCTCGTTCGCGCGCCTTCCTTCACCGCCCGCAACGGCAGGTCGTGCATGCTAGTTTGGGTCCGTTCCTACACCAAGGTCAAGAGCCGCGTTCAAGAGCCGCTACTTTACTCGGGCAGTATTGACTTTTCAATCTGGCGACAGGTTGAGCCCTTGTAGGATGGATTAAGTTATTAACTCAAGGGTTCGGGGTAACCCTCAATCATCAAGTAGTACTAATAGTCTTGCATGCATGGCTTGCAGCTCGTGAGATTTGTTAGCAGTGCAGCGATCTGGTTCCGTCTTTATTAATTACCTAGGTGAACCAGGGGTGTTGAACGCGACAAAGGACTTAGGAACTCAGGACCCGACAGTCGACGACCATTGGGGATGTCCATACCTAGATGAGTTCACCAGCGTTAGGCCACTAAATAGTTCGATGGCATCGCTGCCTCGGAGGAAAGCCGCCTTGTTCTGGTTCGTGATAAGACTGCAAGCGTCCAATCCAATGTGGCCTGCACCATGTACCTTAAGTCAGGGCGCAAAAGAGGAACGGGCGTTTGAGGGATCAGTTTCACCCCGAGCAAGAGCGCGAGACACCCCCACGTGCGCGTGATCTACACGTGACTCGCTCTTCGCTCAATTAGGTTGCCATTGGTCAAGATCACCAACCAACCCCCCACGATTCCAAACAACCTCCAGCTCTTCTCCCTCCGACACCTCCTCCCGCGTCAGGCACGTAGCTAAACGCGCCGGCACCAGGCCAGCCAGCGAGACAAACCCAACCCATCTCGCATCCCGACTCAATTCTGCATCCGTCCGTGCCTGGCGCACATCGACAGACGACAGCCAGCCCTCAGAAACAGCCAACCCCCACCGCCATTTCACCCAACCCGCCAAGCCATCCAAAACTCAACAACACCAAAATCATCTCATGATAACATTCCCACCACCCACCATGCCACGGCCCAACCCCAACCACCCCCATCCCGGGGCCAGGACCAATCTAATAACACCAACAACCCTCCCCGCCCCGCTCCTCCGCACCGCCGCCCTCCTATCCTTCGTCCCCGCCCTCCCGCTGTGTGTCGCACACGGCGCTCTCTCGCGCGACGTTGTGCCCGCGCTGGGCCTCGTCCCGCTGTTTTTCTCGGCCGCGGTATCGCTTTTTCTGGTGCTCCGCGCTCGGTCGCAGGGTGCTCGCGATGGGGCTGGGGGTGTGGGTGTGGGTGTGGGTGCCAAGGGGAAGGGGGTGGTAGGGAGGAGGTTGGGGGGCGAGAGGGATTTGGAGGGGTTGCAGGGGTTGGAGGGGTTGGTTGCTGCTGCGAGGCGGAGGGGAGGGGATGACGAGGGGGAGGAGAGAGGTGAGGAGAGTGGGCTTGGGTTGGGGGAGGAGGAGGAGGAGGACTATGGGGACGATGAGGGTGGGGGAGATGGGGGGTCGGTGTTTACGCATCGGATTTTGGTGTTTGTGGTGGACGTGGTTCTTGCGACTGGGTTGATGGTGGTCTTGGTGTTTACCTGGATCCGGACCGGGCGGAAGGGGGACAGGCGCCCCCAGCTGGCCATGCTGGCGGCTTACGCGACTATGCCGTTGTTGGTGAACTTGTGAGTTTGAGAATGGCGCGCTTGGGGTTGAACGGTGGTTTGCTGACATGGACACAGCTTGATTCACTCGTACCTCGCCGCACGCGAGCTCGTCGCTGGTCTGGCTATCCCGGGTTTGGTCGAGTACACGGCGTGGCGCGTCGTGCCGGCCGACTGCCCGCATTGCGGAAACCGGCTGCGGCCAGACTCGCTGCCTCCTATTCCGTGGTACGAGACTGTCTCGCGCCCGAAGGTGTCGCTCCCGCGGATTACGGCACCGTCCATTCCCCGGCCGTCGCTGCCATCCTTCAGCGTGCCCAAGTTCTCCGGCTTGAAGGGGCCTCGCGAGTGGAAGGCTCCGGCCTGGATGAGGGGCAGAAACCCAGATGCCAGCCTCTTTGTCGACGACGAGCAGAACGAACGTGATCGGTATAGGGATGACCCTGACGCACCGTTCGAGGGACCTTCAAGCACGACAACGGCGGTTGCCATTGGATCTGCGGTCCCTGATCCAGTGGAGGTTGTCGTGGGAAAGAAGGATAAGAAGACGAAAAACTCTCCAAGCCCGGCACACGCCGAGGATGACGTGGCCGCGTGGTAGTCGGCTGAGAGGGGTGTTTGTTCCTCGATCCTTCCACCGTGAGGGTTGTACGGATATTAGGATTCAGCGAGGGAGTGTTCTTTGCGATGGTTTTATGCTTCAAGTTGGTGGAGTTTACGATCCGATACCCAACCTTTGTGTCCGACTTTCCTCACTCAGTCAACAACCTGTTTTCACTTGCTTTCATCGGTTTTCAGTGGGTACATTTGGCTCTTGGCCAGCAGATAGCGAGACATTTGGATATAGCAGCGTGCGTTTCTCGAGATTTCTTTCTTTGCAAGAACAGCTACTTAACACTACATTTCCCATTGCCGGAACCTGTCACAAACCGGTTTGTCAAAGGTGACCGCGAAACAATACGGTTGCCGTAGCAACGAATAGGGGGTGTCAAGCCACTTTGACTGTAACCCCTGAGTTGTGTTTACTGGTTGCGGACAAGAAACGTAAGGTTGTCTCCGTAACTCCCTCTACACCAAACCCATGTTACAGTTGAGGTACCCCGCGCAGACGGATTCCACAAATGCAGTCGACAGATTCCGGCCCCCAAATCCACCCGACGGGCTGCCTGTTTGGGGAGGCACCTCAACAGGCGCAACCAGCCCGCCCGTTAACCAACTTCAAGCCAAACCACCACCGCCGAATAACGTCCACCTCCCAAAAGACAACCGAATAACATAATGACCTCTCCACACCCCTTAAACTCACCATCCCCCTCTGACCCCTCAACACCCCCCTCCCCCTCATCATCATCATCACCAACCAACCCAAACCCTTCCCTCCCACCACCACCCACCCAATGGGACCTCGACCTGCACCTCCCCCACCTCGAGCGCGCCAGCCTCCTCGCCACCCCCACCACCCTCATCCGCGCCCTCGACGCCGTCGGCACCCTGCTCGACGCGGCCCACATCCCCTGGGCGCTGATGGGCGGCCTGGCGCTGCTGTTGCACGGGTTCCGCAACCGCACCACGCGGGATGTGGACGTCGCGGTAGGGGAGGGGGTGAAGGCGAGGGAGGTCATTGCCGCTTTGGGGTGCGGGAGGGTTTATACTCCGCCGTTGTTGTCTGTTGTGGGGAGTGGGTGTGGAAGGTTTTATGTTGTTGTGGGGGGTGGGGATGATGGGGGTGAAGGGGATGGGGAGGGGGTGGTGGAGGTGGATGTTATTTTGGCGGGTGAGTTCCGGTGGTTCTTTTCGGAGTTGGAGTTGGACAGGGTTGTGGGGTGTTGTGGTGGAGGATGTGGAGGGAGCTGGCTGACGTCGTCTTCCTAGGACATCTCGGCGCGCCCAAAACTCTTGCTGGTGCGACGACCACCAGGACGGCGCAGACGGCGGCGGGGCTTCGGTCGTACAACGTTCTCTCTGTGCAGCAGCTCTGCCGGGCCAAGCTGCACGCCCTGTACCAGCGGGAAGCGGAGCGGGACTTTGGCGATCTGGAGTGGCTTTGCATGAACTTTGCTACCGAGGTTGCTGAGGCGGCGGATACGTATGGCGAAGAAGAGCGGGCCAACTTCGTGGCCAAGTATCAAGAGAAGCATCCCGACTCGCAGGAAGTGGTGATCAAGGGTTTGATGGCGATGATGGGGTTGGGAATGGAAGGGGCCCCAGATTAAATGCGAGATCAAGGGTCGAGGCGAGGAGAGGCCGATGGGAAGGATGTAAAGGAAAAGATCTTGCATCGTCCCCATCGCATTTTCACCCTTTTGTGTGGGTCAGAGATGCCACATCTTGAACGCTTCCTCACGTTAGGCAGGGGAGTAGGTCTCTAGGTAGATGGAGGTGGCGAGTAAACAACTAGACATCTAATTACAAAACAGGCGACCTCTATATTTACGGGTCTCTGGCTTCGCGGCCGGGTGTGGTGGAACGTCTAGACCATTGTTCACCCCTCCGGACAACCCAAGCTGCGAGTGTTCTTCGTCCTCTTCTTTATCATCCTTGACATCATCTCTATTTTGTCCCGTGACAAATTTGTAAGGAAGCCAGCCGACCTTTTTAACCGAAAGACTCCCTAGTTTCTCCGCCGGGTGTTGCGTGAAAGCCCCCCTGAACAAGCTCAGGCCGGTAGGTTGGGTGGTAAACGGCCATGGGGCAAGGCTTAGAGCTATGCTAAGTCCGACGACGGCACAGGCTATGAAAACGACGGTAAACGCCAGAACGCTTGTCTGGGATGAAAGCTTGTACACCCACATCTCGGAGGTGATGAAGTTGTCAAGAATCCGGTTGGTGCTCGTACTTTCCGGGTCGGCATCATTAAGGGGTAGCTCGTCATAATCGATGATGCCCAAGGCGCTGATCATGATAATGGCGTGAATGGAGAAGAGGCCCCATAGATCCTTCATAGGCGCATTTCTATAACTGAAAACCTGGCGCAATGCGTTGAGGACTAAAGTCGCGGCCGGGTTGTTCGAGTCAACCGGCACGGTCACTGAGTGACTCACTTCCCAGCTTGCGAGCACCCAGTCCGGGTGTATGTAGACGGGTTCTGCGGGTTCCGGCTCAGTTTCGATGGTAAGCCTCGCGTCCCCGGTCGCGTTGATGAGACGTCGGGTGGCGGCCAGTTCGTAAGTGCCAAACCCCAGATGAGAGGCCGAGTTGCACCAGGCAGTCGAGTAAACGTGCGAGTGAGGATTGAATTGTGAACCATCAGCGTCCACGCTGCCATTTCTGTAACTGTACTCTACTACCTGCTGGTTCAAAGAAGCAGCCCGATGCCCCGGCGATGGGGATTCGGAAAATAGGGCGTTCCAGTCACAGGGAGGGTTTGACCGGCCGTCCACCATGGGAATACCGCAGTTCCTTGTTGTCGAGTTCAAAAAGACGATACGAGAAAGCGAGTAGAAGTCGACTGAGACAGTGTCAGAAGTCTCGTTCGTTAGTGGTTTGGTCTCGTTGATATAAAATTGACCGTGGTGATTTCTTGACCCGGCCCAACCTTGGCCAACTTGAATGCATCTCGTCGATATTTCCTTCTCTGGGTTGGGGGAAGATGACTGAAAAGTTTGCATTAAACCCGTGTCGGTGACGGTGTAGCAGCGGACTGACATGTCTTTTGCAACGGACATGACGGAAACATTGCCCCAGAAGCAACTGCCGGAGAAACCAAGGGCAGGACCGTGCCGTCTGAATCCGATTTCCGGGACGGATTTGTATGTTTGATAAAGAGACTCCGGCAGTGACTCTCCGTCATAAAAGACCGTCTCGGTCGTGTCCTGGCGTGGGGCGAGGTCGTTGAGGGAGCTGAGTTCAATGCCGCTCACATTGCTTTCTCGCTGATTCTGATCCAATGTATCCCAGTCAAACACCATAGAGATGCTATACCTGCCAAGCTGAGTAAGAAGTTGGTCCAACACCTTCCGGCACGGGATCCAAATGCTGCCGTACACGGGCCAGTCGTTTATCCAAATTTCCGACCGAACCATGCGGTTTCTCGCCGAGGGATAGACATGACCGCTGTTCCTAGTAAAGTCATCCGCCAGCTGGTCAATGTTCTTGCGGTGGAAGAGTGTCGCCGGTTGGTGGCCAACGTAACGCCCGGGGGATGCTGGGTGGGGTGGGATGATGAGATTGGGAGGATGCTCGGAATTTAACTGGACAAAGCGGCGGGACGAAAGCTGGTCGATAATGGCTGTTTCCCGGACCGGGATGAGGAGGATGGCCATCGCGGGGCCCAGAAGGAGCGAGATAATGCAGAGGACCACAGCGAGAACGAGGAGTTGAGGAGTTTACTAGCCGACAAAGACTAGCTCAGGGCATCAACCTGATAGGTACTACGCTATGTGCTGTCGTCACCCACTGGAATACGCCACTTTGCCACCCTTAGGCTGTGGCGTCGAGCGTTGTCGATTGGAGGTGAAGTGCACAGGCCACTCCCTCGCCCATAAAAGAAACGTCCATCGCACCCGATCTTCCTCCTCTTCTCTTCTTTCTTTCCTCGCCCTTCGGGGCATTTGGTCAATTTGAAACGATACAGAGAAGATTAGCATGGCCCCTGCACTAAGGATGACACGCTACTCAAAGAGACGCTACCAATTTTTTCACTATGATCGCGGCCGCAGTCGCGACACGGAGAAGAAGATTTGGCTCTTTTTGGTTCGAACTTTGGTCTTCCCTTTCTGTTTGGTCGGCACCTCAGACTTGGTTGGGGAGAAGATCTTCATGGTGAGAGTCTGAATGCGAGGCTCGAGATAGGCTTGAAAGGTGAACCCACCACCGCTCATGTGCCCCCGATGGTGCTGTACAACAGAGTGGTGTAAAGCAGCATTTAACCGCGGAATTACTCCCCGCCGCATGCACCAGCGGCGTTAGGTAAGAGGGCCATTCACTCTCTGTTGGGCACTCACAGAAGGTAAACTGGTCATTCAGCTCATCGTTGAGCATCACCTTTCCTGCTCGATGACGCTGCGAGACAGCGAGTGGATCACCCCCCTCAGCCAGTCTACTGACATGTACCATTGGTCCCTGGTGAGCAGACCCCGTGAGCTTCCTGTCCCGATCCCGACCCGCCGAGGTCGCCGCTAACAAAAACCACCAAAACAGCGGCGTACCTAGAACTCGGGTCAGCCTTGGTCTCAAAGGACATCAGGCTGAGCTTACGCTGCCGTCGAAGCAAACACCTCTGACCTCTTTGCATTCGTCATCAAGCCGGTACTTGCGGCGAAAAGGAAGGTGAAGAGCCCGATAAGGCCAAGTTTTAGGTTATCCGATTTGATATTGTACAGAGCAAGAATCGCTCCGACTAATAACATGGCAGCGAGAATCGTGCTCAGGTACGAGATGAAGTTGGCAATCTTCTTGCCTGATGCATAGCCCACGAGGGGGTTCTCGGATCCCCCAGTGGGTGCTTTATCCTGGGATATTGTCAGTTGACCCTCCGCAACCTATAAATGCGGTGGCATACCGGGAACAGAAACCCAAAGTTGTCCCTAACAAAGACGGTCAGTCGATCAGGATCTTCGGTGCCGTGGAGAGCAAGAAGGTCGTCTTCATCGTCATAGACACTGGAGCTGGGACCTCCCAGCATTGGGAAGGATCGTGTCTCGCCGGGGCGGCCATGAAAGAAATTGCGGCGAAAGGCTTTGAGTGTTTTGCGATCTGGTGGCTGTATGCGGGCGAGGGTGCTCTCAAAGACCAGCGCTTCTCCTAATCCGAGCGAATGGTTAGGTAGGTAGGTAGGCAACGTCAAGAGAGAGGGGGGGACACGAAGGTGCGCGCACTGTACTCGCGCATGGTACTTCTCAACCGCGCCATTAATTGCATCCTCTTGGGTTCATTTGCGCATCTCGTTTTGTACGCCCCCCAATTCCTCAAAGTCTGCATCATTTCGCGGTTCCCTTGGTCGTCTCGGTCGAACTGGTCGAGTTGCGACTCTATCTCGACAAGCTCGCTCTGCAGACAAAGCAAGTTCCTGGCTGCAAGGCGGTCAAATCGTTTAAAAATCTTGGTTGTCTTGTCCCTGTCGCTGGCCATGAAGGCAGCAAGTGAGGGGAAGCCATCAACATATGTCGACTTGCCTCCAGAATGTGGTGGCATTTTGGGAATGTCCGTTGCCTTATCTCCAGTCTATGTCGCGAGTTGTTCGGGTTGAAGTTGCGCGTTGTGATAACCCTGACAAGTGACGGACAACCTGAGGGTGGAAAGTGAACTCGTTTCTCTTCCCCGAAAACCTACCGGCTCGCTTGCCAAGCACCCAAGGCAGACATCGCTGCGGCCGGTTCAGCGAATCCAAGCGGCCGAGGCCTCCCGTTAGGCGTAAAACCTCGTGTCCGCCTTCTCCGGTGGACGACTGGTATCCCGACCACAAGCGAGAATGCACACACAAAAGTCGTCGGAATCCACTCCGGGCGACACCGGATAGCTCCCGATGGCAATCACGAGCGACGACTACTTCAGCGACAAGGACTACCTGACACCCGGATCTCCGGATCTTCAACCCGTTCAGGTAAACTGGAAAAGTGGGAAGAGGGGGCTGTCTGACGAGTTGAGCTCGGATGATGATGAACTCGACCTGGTTGGTGCTCCTTTGCGATTTATTTCAATTGCTACACTGACTTACTTCGTACTGCTTGCAAGAACTCGCCCTGGGCAGCAGACATCTTTGAACCACGGAAAACTCAAAGTCCCAACAAATTCCCTCGTGTTGAGTCTTCTCCCGGCAGCGAAAATGACAGGGTGACAAGGGCTTTGCTCAACGTAATGGGCAATGGAATCTGGACTCCAGGTGGTCCCGAGCTCAAGGACCTCGCAATCGAATGGCATCCTTCGCCGGCCTTGGATATCATTCCCGCAGCTCCGGCTCAGGCTTCCCTACAACCGGTCCCGATACGAGAGACTACCAGGCGCAAGGAAAAGAAGAGATTCGCGCTCCCAATCATCATCGACGGCGAAACCGAGTCCGTGGCGGTTATGGCCTGCCCAGATACCGGATCCTTCGAGAGTATCATCCCGCTGGAGTTGGCGAAGCAGCTCGGCCTTCAAGTCAGCCCGGTGGAGGAGAGTTTTGCTCTGGCCAATGGCAAAGTTGTCAAATCCCTCGGAATCGCTACTGTCCGATGCTCGTTTGGGACCCCGGGAGTGGTGAAAGCCGAAGCATCCAAACGCCTCAAGTTTACCGTCCATGTTTTCGAAACCTTGGCCGTGCCCGCCATCATCGGCTCCTCGTTCCTAGACGAAACGGAAACGTTCACCAAGCACCGGGATCGCCTGGTTGAACAAAGAGTGACTGCTCTGCAATCGCTTCGCGTGTGTAGCATTGGTAAGCCCAGAAAGGGGTTGGTCTGTCGTCTTGATAGCTTTGTTGGCTGTGCGAATGCGGACACGGGCTCCGATTTGGATCTGGTCAGCCCCAAGTTCGTGCATCAACGAGGGCTCAAGATCCGAGATGACATTTACATGATTCTCGAATTTGCCGACGGCAGCACTGGACGGACCCGTGGGAGCATCGATGTTCGCTTCGCCATTGGAAACGTCGACAACGAACGTGGATTCGTGCCTCGAGGAAGCGAGTTAGACCTTGAGTTTTTTATCCTTGATGATCTGACATCGGATATTCTGGTCGGTCAGGATACCCTGGAGGAGATGCACGTCATCAGCGAAAATGGCGACCTAGTGATAGACTCGGTACCGCAGCCGGGGCTGTCCGACTGCAACATCATTCGTCACATTGGAAGCGTTGAGCGCACCGCCATATCAGCTCTCAGAACGGTCAAGAAGATTTTCAGTCGGCAAGACACGCATAGCCGTATGTTTGAAGACCCAAGTCTTTGATAGACGCACACTATCATGGTTAATCTCCCTAACCGTTTTGTTTCTTGTTCTAGCAAGCCTCGTGGTAGATATCGAAAACCCCGAAGATGACCTCATAGCAATGCAGCGAGAGAACGCACGTCGCGAGGCAGAAGCCACAGGGGCCGCCTACAAGTGTGAATTTCCCGATTGTACGGCGCCCCCGTTCCAAGCGCAGTACCTCCTCAACTCCCACGCAAATATACACTCATCGGCAAGACCTCACCACTGTCCCGTGGATGGATGCCCCCGAGGTCAGGGCGGGAAGGGTTTCAAGAGGAAAAACGAAATGATCAGACACCGCCTTGTGCACGAGATGCCAGGGTATGTCTGCCCGTTCTGCCCGGACGGAGAACAAAAATACCCCCGGCCTGACAATCTGCAACGGTATGTGGCTCTTAAAGGTAGAATTTTCATGGAGATTACAAGTAGGAAACTAACTTCCTGGCTTAATCGCGTTCTCGAACAGGCATGTTAGGGTCCACCACAGCTACGACAAGGATGACCCGTTGTTGAGAGCCGTGCTTGCAGAGAGACCAGAAGGGACGAACAGGGACCGACGAAGACGCGGGCTCTATTCCTCGAATGGCTCTACGTGAACGAGACATATAAACTTGGCGAGTCCAGCCCACCTGAGGTGATTTGCAAAGAAGGGCACTTGGAAATTCATGTTAATAGCTATTAAGGAGAGATGGGTATCAATCAAAAACGAGGGCTGTTAAACCGAATACGACGGCACACAATCACCGACGGCTGAAGGCTTGGTGGCCAGCTGATCGGAGTGATCGTTTGGTCGGATCAGAGCTTCCCTCCCACTTCTCAGGCTGACAGCCTATAGCGATAGAACCAGCGTACTCCGCAGCATATCCTACTGAAGGCAACATATTGTCCATAACGAAATAGGCCACTAACAGCATACATACCTAACCGTAGCGTAGCGATGTCGACGTCGATGGGGAAATCTATCATCCATCTCACCCGGGCTCGGCACTATCCTGCTAATCAGCTGGAGTAAAACGTCGCCCCCCACCTCCCTGCTCCGTATTTTAACTGGCAGAGTGCGACTGTTCGTCTGGTGCATTGTTATCTAGTGCCGGCGTAATGGCGTTCCCCAAGATTACGACCCCCCATGTCATTGGCAACGGCAACAATAAGCACTTCATAACCCGCCCCAGGTATCACCTTTGAGCCCGCTTACCAACGCATTCATGCCTCATGCCCGTGATCGCAACAACGGTTGACCCTCTCGTCTTCAGCACCGCCAAGCCGGTGACTGCCATAATGGCTGCCACTGCCTGCTGCATCCAGATAATGCCTTACTCCTCGGTTTGCGCTTACGTGAGGGATTTGACCCCTTGGTGGCCGGCCCGACTGCCGCAGTGGTTGATCAGTCAGGGCACGGAACGATTCATGAGTCGCTGCCCGAGAGAACAGGACTAGAATTTCGCGTTGGGCAGGCACCTTGCCGCACGTTGCTGACACGCACTCGGTACTCCGAACACCGAGCACGGCGGCCGACGTTGATGTGACCCTACCGCATGCTCGCTGGCCGTTGATTATTCACGACACAGTCTCTTGTCGGCCCATTCATGCCTCTCAAAACTTAAGTCGAAGTCTAGACCGGACTTCGTCACGTATAGCAAGATTCTGAATTACTAATGATGCATTCAATGCCATTTCTAAGCTACGGTAGCAGGGGAGCACTACGATCGCGGGAGAAGACCGGACTTCCGTGCACCTAGCTCCGGACACGCAACGCCCACCACGTACCGAAAGGAGGTACCTGAGGTAGACAGACGCGGACCTTGAGTATAAGTACAAGGCTGGTTCCTTTCCTACAGATAGCTCCCAATAACAATCCAAGATCCTATCCAATATATCTCTATCAAGATCACACCTAAGCCACCATACCATGTCTGTTTTTATCCCCCACCTCACCAAAACGGTCCATACAACTGGGTACGCAGCCATTGACCCAACCAACCCCAAGCTTTCTGCGTCTGGAAAGACGGTCATTATCTCAGGCGGCGCCAGCGGCATTGGCTATGCCATCGCGCAAGGATTCTGCGTCGCGGGCGCAGCGCGGGTGGTGATTCTCGCCCGCCGCCAGGAGGCCTTGGATGAGGCGGCGACGAAACTCAAGGCCGAGAATTTGGCAGCCGGGCGTGCGACCGACGTCTGGACCTTCTTGCTGGACATCCGGAGCACGTCCGCTACCAATGCCGTGTTCAAGGCCATCCGCGGGCTCTTGAACCAGACTCGGGACGAGACAGAGCCGATGGGAGCCAACGTCATGGATGCCGACATCCTAGTCACGAGCGCGGCCAGCCTGCTGCAGGGCAGGACGGCGCTCGAGTTTGAGGCCGAGGGCTACGCCGAGACCTTCGAGACCAACGTCGGCGGCAACCTGAACCTCGTGCGCGCCTTTCTCGGCCCCGAGATCCCCAGCATCCCGTACACCACCTTCGACGGCATCTCCAAGGACACCTCGGCGATTGCAGCACCGCCCACCCGGCAAAAGGTCATCCTCGACGTGTCTTCTTCCGCGGCCTACCTGTGCCTGCCGGGCCAAGCGCCGTATACGGCTTCCAAGCTGGCCTTCACGCAGATCCTGCGGTCGCTGCAGGGCGAGGTGGACGGGATCCCGGGCCAGCCGGTTCGCGTCCACTCCTTCAACCCAGGCAGCGTCTTCACCACGGGTGTTTCGAAGCTGTTGGACAAGGACAAGGGGGCAGCGTCGTTCCAGTGGGACGACGAGAGTTTGCCACGGGGATTCGCTGTGTGGCTAGCTAGTCCCGAGGCGGCCTTTCTGAAGGGCCGGTTCGTCATGTCGGGTTGGGATGTTGATGAGCTGGTGGCGCTGAAGGAGAAGTACGCTAAGGATCCTAGCTTTGGGACCATTACGCTTGCTATGTAGAGGGGGGGACTTTAAGTAGCTAGGTGGACTCGGTTGAAGTTAGATAGTTACGCGGAGGGGCCACAGTTAGGTCAACAAACGATAGAGTTTTCGAAAGATCTGTCCGCGAGGATGTAATTTTGTATGATCATGTTCCCGTAGGTCACCAGCTAGTTCCCAACCGAAAAGAGTCTCAGGGCCCGCCAACAGCATTCACTAAGAGACGGTTAGTTGCGCCAACGTGAAAGAGAAAAAAAAGAAAATATGTGCTTGCCTTCAGCCATAACCATCATCCCAAACTCATCCGCCTCCGCCAGCCACAACTCACTCCTCGCATCTAACACCCCCCCAGGATTAATATGAAAGAACTCCATCATCCTATAGAACCCGCCCTTCCACAGCGCCAACCAATCCCCATACAACCCCCGCCAGCGCGCCTCATCCTCCGCCTCCTGCCAGAGGTAGCGTGGCGGGGGCGCCGGCAGCGGGGCCAGCTCGAAGCAGGTCAGCACGGGGTAGCCGTGCAGCAGCGACCACGCCCACTCGACGTGGTGGAACGAGTGGATCGTCTTGCGCTTGGCGGCCACCGCGGCCCATTGCCGCCACGAGGGCGGGACGGTGTGCGACGCCTCTTGGTCCAGGAGGAGTCCCGTGCGGGAGAGGTGCGCTTTGACGTCCCACATGCGGATGAGGAGTCGGGCGTCGGCTGGGTGGGTGAGTGCGCCGTTGCTGTTGCTGCTGCTACCGGCGGATGGCCCTGGCATGCCGAATAGGAGCATGATGAGCATTATGAGGAGGGATTGGGCGGCGGCGAGGAGATCGGCTTCGTTGTACGTGGTATACTGTTTGTGTGTGTGTTACGTGTTAGAGTCACTTATGCCTAAATTACTTTAACCCCCCATTTCTCTCCGTCTTCTTGCCTGGTAGGTACCTAGATAGATGTACATGGACATACCTCGCCGAGCAACCGCTCTATCTCGTGGAGGATGGTGTTCTTCACCAGCTCACGACTCCCGTCCGTATGTTCACTCCACATCTTGGTCAAAGCGTAACAATTTGCCAGCGGAGTCGGAACGCCATCCACAAGTTGGAGCCTGTGGATCGGAGGCGGGAGCTGAGCAGTGTGGTGGGCAGCCATCATCCGTGGCCACGATCTCAGCACGCGGATAGTGAAGTGCATTGTGTGGCGCACGACAAGATCGTGGTTCGGAGTACCGGGTGCCTTGCCGAGCAGGATCTGGCGCCGCTCCTGGGAAACTACCAGCTCGGGCGGGATTCCCTCCGGTATGTGGGAAAGAAGGGTTTCTACGTGGGAGTCGGTGTCCGGGGCCGACAGCGGGGTGTTGTCGTCAGTGGCGGCACGAGTTGACCGGTCGCCTTCGTCCCATACAGGTGCCGTGAGAGAGGACACAGTGTCAGCTTGCCCGTCGTCGTCTTCACGGGAGAATTCATCATTGGTGGCCGTTGGTAATGGCAGGGGTGCTGGAGGCGGCGCCACGGCCGAAGCGTTCCTCGGCGCATACTCGCACCCATGAAAGGACCTCGCCAGACACCGACCGCAGGTTGGATGCTGCAGGTCGCACCGCACCTTCGCACTTGTGCATTGGCGGCATGCCTTTTGCCTAGACGGCGCTCTGACGCCCCCAACGCACCGCTTTCGATGCCTCACCAACGATGACCCTAGAGAGAAGTGGGTAGAGTGACGTTAACCGTGGTCCTTTCTCGCAACTCCAGGGACAGGCTCGGTCAGCGGAGCTTACTCTGAGTGAAGCGCCTGGAACAGCGCGTACAGGTGAGTGATTGCTCCGATGATACCATGATTAATTACGGAATACGAGTTTGCAGGTGCGATTGGTGGTCCGTCAAACTCGCTGGCAGAATGTGAGGGCGGTTCCGGAGATTTGGGCTTAGCCCGGGGGGTCTTAAGAGGTAAGGAACCTTATGTCCAGATCTCCGGCACCCGGGGTTCCGAGTTGTGTGGGTGGGCCCTGGTGTATGTGGTGTTGCTTGGTAAGAAAACTGCTGGTTGGCTGGTCACAGAAGAGTGTGAGTGGCACCAAGAGGGCTCAGGGGTCGGCAGAGACATATATGTGGGCATGATTGACAGGGCAGCACAACCTTCCCTCTCGTCAGCTGTAGGTACCTAAGTATTTTGCTTCCACACTAATTAATACACAGCATCTTGGATTTCAGTACCGGCAACACTCTCCACAAAACGTGCCCCAAACATGCCCGCCGGCGTCTGGAATCCTCCCGCAGCTTCCCCTGCCAGGACCCGCTTCACCGCTTCGACCGAGGCCTGCGAGGTAAATGTGTAACCGTTTACAGTATGCAGCACCGCACGCTTGACAGACCTGTCCTCGCTGGTAACCACCACACAGGCATGATACGGACTGGCGGCTCTCTCTTGCGCGGTTGGGCCATCAGGCAGGCTCGTAAGATCGCCGGTGGGTAGGGCTGCCAGTGCATTCCCCGAGGCGTGGACAAATGTTCGGATGTTGGGCACCTTGGTCGCCTTCCAGATCGTGATGAGGTCGGGTAGCGTTACTGGGAAACAGGCAACCTGGCCCTTGCCGTCGTCGAAGTCGAAGGCGCTCGTCGCGGCGCCGGCATCCTGCTTCTGTGCTAGGGCTCCCCAAACACGCTCGAGACATTGAGTCGCCAGACTGCTTTCCGCTGCACTGACTACCGAACCACGCGACATTGGTCCTGCGACACATAGAGCGATATCCAGGGAAACCGGGCGCTCGACGCGCTCCAACGCGTGGCCGGCGAGACATCCGAGCATCGCAACGCTGCCTCCGCACCCCGGCATGAGCATGACCTTTGCTTCCCTTGCTTTCCGATCCAACTCGTCCGCCAGGTGATAGCCGTCGAGCTCCGCGGCAACGTCGAGGTAGTGGGTTCCGCTTCGGATGCAGGCCTCCATGAGCGGGCCTGCTGTGCGCGCAAAGGGGCCGGCGCAGTTTAGGAGAACTGAGACGTCTTGTAGGGACGCGTCGATGAGGAGTTCGTCGCCGAGGTCGAAGGCGCGATACCGCGCATCGAATCGAGCGGCGAGAGCCCGTACCCCGTTCTCCGACCGGCCCGCTAGGATGAAGCCGAGTCCAAGTGACTTTGCGTACTCGGCCACAAGGCGGCCGGTGTACCCCGTACATCCGTAAATCATTAATTCCGGCATACTGGCGCGTTGGTGAGGCCTGACCGGCGAAGGGATGGAGAAAAGTGCCTGTATGAGCCAGCTTGAGACAGAGAGAGGTTCATCTTGGAATATATACCCCTTCAATTGCATCCCTTCTTCATACCACGGAGGGTTGGAGATTTTCACTTTGATCATCAAACCGAACGACGAAAACTCTGTAGCTCGAAAGCTGGACGAATCTTGATCGGATTCGAACCAGGGACTCGGGGTTCCGGGTTCAGCGTCGTGCGTCAGACCCAATGCAAGCCAAGGGACTGGGGGATCACGACTACCAAGTAACGCCGAGTAACGCCGGACACCAGCGCTTCCTAGTCAGCGCCACCCATCGAACTTAGATCGCATACAAAGCGTCTTGCTTCCGGTTCACCCCCTCTTTCCCTGTTGGCGTTTGATTCTCCTTTCTCGCGCACAGCCGGCGTTTCGCGCAAGCAAGTACATGGCTCCCCTTATCTGGCTCATCACCGGCGCAACGTCAGGCCTCGGAGAAGCCTTGGTGTCCCGTGCATTGGCGGCGGGCGATGCAGTCGTTGCCACGGGTCGACAGGCGGAGGAAAGACTTGCTCACCTAAAATCCGACAAGGTCGCCGTCGTCGACCTCGACGTATCGGCGAGCCGAGAGCGTATTGAGACTCAGGTGAAGAAGGCGTGGGAGTGCTTTGGGCGGATTGATATCTTGGTGAACAACGCGGGTTTCTCTGCCCCGAAGGCCATCGAGGAAGCGAGGTATGTGAGTCTGATCCAAGCCTGTGGAGCAAAGTCAAGCTCATCACCAGCCAACCCTGTCTGAAGTGATGGGTTTATGCAGCGCATATTCGACGTCAACGTCTTCGGCCCGATTCGCGTCACCCAAGCCATACTCCCCTACTTCCGATCCCAAGGATGCGGGTCGGTAGCCTTCATCGGCGCGGGAGTCGCATGGGCTCCGATCCCCTTCCTCGCTCACTATTCCGCTTCCAAGGCGGCCCTGGACCGGTTTGCCGAGGGGCTGCGAAAAGAGCTCCGCGGTCAGTGCATCCACTGCACAATCTTCGAGCCCGGCGGTTTTGCCTCGCAGCTCGGACGTCCCCGGGATAGATCCGACGACGAGGGCTTTGGCCAATACCAACCGACCGTTCCGGACTACGCCGGGTTGTTCGCCGAGACCATGGGGGTGTTTGCCAACGAAGTCGCTCCCAACATTCCAGGGGACGTGGTGAAGTTGGCCGACATCGTTGTGGACTTGGTGCGGTCGTCTGAGGGGATGGCAGGGCAGTTGCCGGTACGGGTGGTGTTGGGCAGTGACTCCCTAGCGCTCGTGAGACAGAAGTGCAAGGAGCAGTTAGAATTGGCTGACGGGTTCGAGCATGTTTCTCGAAGGACGGACCGGGAAAATGCCGCCGATCTCCGTTATGACGGCATGCTAGGGTTAACGTCCCTGTTGTCATAGGTGGTAGCTGACATGGAGTCAAAAGCGGCGAGTGTTTATCCTGGGGCTCACGCAATATTCCCGCTACAGTGACCAAACCAACACCCCGTTTGATGTGTCGGAAGTGTTGTGCGATGCTGGCGCTTCCGCCAATATTGAGGCCCTTCAGGCGACATTTCATAACGTAGATTATCGATTGTTGATTCAAAGTCGAGTACGAAGTATTCGTAACGAACTGCGTATTTGTACCCCCGAGTCCCGAGCGAGCATCGTTCGTTTATCCACCGCCAGACGTGTCCAGCGGTGAGAAGCCGGACCATGGTGAAACAAACTCAACCCAACCCACACATCACATCACCCGCGACCAGGACCAGGGTCAGAGTTAGTAGACGCCCAGCAACCCCAAGCCCACCGCCGACGTCCCCTGCTGCTGCTACCGCTGTTAGCAGGCCGGCTCACGCCCTCCCGGAAAAGTTCGCACCAGCTCGTCCGTCCGCGGCCCCACGCCCCACATGCGTCCCGTTCCAGTACCACCTCAATCTTCTTCGTCCCGCGCTGGGAAGGGGGGGCCGGGCTTGGGCTCCGCTTCGCGCGGCCGGTTCGGCGCCGTCTTTTGTGGGGCTCGAGCCGGCGGGGGCTGCCGGTCGAGGTGCGGCTGCCGGCTCGCTCGGAGCGGTGTTTCGTCGTCGGGGTTGAGGAAAGGGCTGAGATTGGTTGAATGGGGTGGTGGGTGTGTGTACATGCTGAGCGGTTAGAGGTTCGCAGTAGGGGCGAGGCCAGTTTTGAATTTTGCAGTTTGTTTGTTTGAAAGGCCGATTTCAAGGTTGCCTTGGATTTGCGTTTTGACGAACCTTGGTCCGCAATGAAGGATTGACAACCAAAAAACCAACAATTCGACATAGCAAGCTCCGGACCTTGACCAATTTTCGTCCACTGCCTGTCCCGAAAGTCCTGAGACAAACATGAAAGGAGCAAACCCCGGTATGTATGTCGTTACCAAGTACCTCCATGGAGGTCGCCCCATACCCAAGGGTAACCAATTGTGGGCCGGCTTTGGCCAAGCGAGCAAGGCATTTATTCATAAGCAGCAGCAGCAGCAGCTAGATGGTGTAAATCGACCTCAACCTCAACCTAACACAATGCAAATGCAGAGCAGCAAGCCCCGACCCAAACACACAACGGTATGTTTCGGCACCTCGGGTGACCGAAATTGCGGCGTGGGTGTCCAGGAAGTGCTCCGTGTCATTCAAACACTCGAGCACGAGGGCGTCCCCAACTGCGTCACCGGTGCCAAGGCATTGGCGTACTATGGCGCTGGCAGAGTTGCTCAAGTGAGTTTGTCTACATTGCCATCTGCAATTGTACGGGGAATCGCGCTGATGAATCTGGCCCGCAGGATTGGGAAATCGCCGTGCCAGACGAGCTTTTGGACCAGGCCAACGTCTTCTTCACACACAAGGACGAATATGAGGCGGTGAAACCCATCATGCCACAGGCCAAGTCTCTCATCCACACATACCCGTTGTACAAGCTGAAGCACGCCGCCTTCACCTTCTCCCTCGTGCCGGCCTCGGAGCCATGCATCGACTGCGATCCCGCCAAGTGCGAGCGCAGCCATAGCGGGATACCCTATCCCAAACTCGAGGACTTGGCCCAAAGTCTGCTCGACACGCAAAACTACGCCGGCCTGGAAGATCTCGTTGACGGCATGGACCTGGATGAAGAATGGGGCTACGAGAATCTGGATTTGGACCGAGAGCCGATCGAATACATCAAGCGCAAGAATGAGCTGATCTGCGAGTCCCGGCCAGGTCTTCCTGGCCTCATGGCGTCGCTCTCGTTATCTCCTGACGCTCGGAGGGAGTGGACACGGGCTATCGTGGGGAAGGTAGCGAGGATGACCCCGAAGTATACAGAAGCGATTTACGCAACGAGATTTCGCCTGAAGGGGTCACCAGACCCCAGATTGGATACGAATCGGCAGGTGTAGGGCACAGGCTGCAGGCAGCATCGGGACGAGTCACGACGAAACTTCTCGCAAGTCGCAACCGATACAATAATGTGAGGCGAGTTGCAGCTCGTTGGGCTGGTTGCGCGGCTTGAGCGGCATGTTGAGCTGGGGATGTCCACGTGTGCAGGGCCAGCTAAAGAACGACCCAACCGCCAGCGTGTTCGGGGATTCGCCGTGGCATGCTCGGGATTGAGCCTGAAAAAAGCGGGAATTCGTGACTGGTCCACTCTCCTGCAACGATGAACCAAAGCCGTGGCTGTGCCTGGCCAGCCCCACGTCTTGGCATTTCGACTTGCTGTCCAGCGAGCCAGCCTCGCGCCAACACACCCCAGTCCAGCCCCTGGAATCGTGGCCGAGTCATTCACAACTCGAAACCCATGCAGCCCATGATGGCGGCCCACAGCTGGTCACGGTTCCACGCCCCAGTGCTCCTGCGCTGGAGCACCTGGTCCCTTTTCTTCCATGGACTATTCCAGGTTCGGTTGAAGGTCATTAGGGCTTTTCTTCTCTTTTTTTCTCCTTCTCTGCACCGACAGCCGAACCCCCGGTTGCTTACCTAGCTGCGATGCCTGTCTACGCCAACACGCCCGAGGCACGACTGGGCCGCGCCGACTCCAAGAACCCGTCGACGACATGCAGAGGTATCACCTCGAGCGGCCGACCATGCCGTCGTGACCTGGCTGGGGATGATGAACCGCCGGCCAATTCGCGCTTGAGACCCGCGAACATCCGCACCGATAACCCGGCCGACGAGAGCCTGTATTGCTGGCAGCACAAAGACCAGGCGAGCGCCTCGGCCCACTCGAGCCCGGGACCAAAGCCGTCCCATACGCCCATTCTTGGAGGCCGGTCCAGTGTGGACACACTGGCCGAACGCCTAGGGCTCGCTCGCACCCAGTCGGAGAAGCCGCAGCACGGATCCGGTCTACCTTGGGGAAGCGGGAGGCCCTCGAACCGGCCGAACCCGAAGAAAAAAACCACATTCTGCTGCTGCTTCAGCCTCCCCTTCGACTTCGACGAGGTCGAGCTTCCTCCGCGCCCGAAACCACACCCGGTGCAGCCAGCATCCGTGTCCACGCCGGGCGGTAAGAAAAAGAAATCGAACAGACGCAGAGCCTCCTCGCTCATCCCCGAAGACCTCCCGACGGAGACGGCGTCCCAACTCGTCGCCGAACTCGAGAAGACCGTCTCGCAGCAAGACGAAGCAGGATACATCTACATCTTCTGGCTGACGCCCGAATCCGAACCGGCCACGCCCCCCGCCGAGGCAGCCCGCTCTCTGCTGGCGCCGCCCGCCACGGGCGACCGCGGCCGCCGACCGAGCGACGTCCTCACCTCCTTCGCCCGGTTAGCCCTCGGAGACGACGGCGACGACAACAACGGCGAGCAGCAAAACAGCCACGGCAAGAACAAGAAGAAGAAGATCCTCCTCAAGATCGGCCGCGCCACCAACGTGCAGCGCCGCCTCAACGAGTGGCAGCGCCAGTGCGGCTACAACCTCTCGCTGATCCGCTACTACCCCTACGTGCCCTCCAGCAGCCCCGGCAGCACGGTGCCGCGCAAGATCCCGCACAGCCACAAGGTCGAGCGGCTGGTGCACATCGAGCTGACCGGGCGCGGCCTGCGCGTGGCGGACCGCGAGAAGTGCGAGGCCTGCGGCCGCGAGCACCGAGAGTGGTTCGAGGTCGAGGCGTCGAGGAGCGCCGTGGCTGATGTGGATGAGGTGGTGAGGCGGTGGTCGGATTGGGATGAGGGGTTGCTTTAGGGGTGTTGCATTTGGCATTGGTTTGGCGTTCATCCTTGCGTTTTGTGTTGACATTTCAGGGGGTGCATCATAGAGGGAGCCATTTTATAACGGCAATATCACAGCGTTGGCCTCGCCCGCAAACGTGACGCTAGTCTCAACTTGCAGCGTCGCTAACAATCTCGCACTCCCAGGCTCAATTCCATATGCGTGCTCAACCTAGGTAGGTGACTAACCATGCTCTACTAATAAAAATACGAAGCAGGAGGTAAAAGAACGCCGACCATTGATGCTCCCAGTTCCCCCACCCAACCCAAGCACACCAGGCCCATCAGAAAGAAAGCAAACACCAAAACACCACCCCATGCATGCATGCACACACACCAACACCCCCACTTATCTCGGGTCATCTCCCAACTCACACCCCGCCAGCACCGGTACCAACCACCACCGGCAGCGAGTTAAACCCCACGATCCCGTCCGCCAGCAGCTCCTCCCCGCGCCGCATCGTCACGCGCCGGCCAATGATCCCGTCGCTGCCAACCTGCAGCGACAGCGCTGCTCCGAGGGCCGTCTCCTCGAACCCGCCTAGGCCGTCGTCGTGCGGGCTGTTATTGGAGGCGGTGTTGGGGCGGTGGAGGGTGAACTGCTGCATCAGGCCGGCGTCGGCGAGCGGTTTGGTGAGGTCGCCTGTCATGCTGTGCGGGTGGGAAAGATGTTAGTGGGGTTGCTGTGGTGGGATGGGGGGTGCAGGCGGGGAAAGGGTGGGAGGTGAAAGCGTGGGGCAGGAGGGGAAGCATACTGGATGGAGACGAGCAGGCTGTCGTCGAGCGGGTTTGATGCTGCGGGCTGAGCGGGGTGGAAGAAGCGGACGTGAGTGGCGTGGACGCTCGAGGGCGATGTCGGGTTTAGGAAGAGTAGGTTGCCGAGGCTGCCGCGGCCGGTGGGGGAGGAGAGGTCGACGCGGGCGCCGATGCGGGGTGTGGAGGAGGGGGTCTCTGGGCCGCACATGTTGTCTGACTGTCTGTCTGGTGGGTGGTAGATAAGGGAGGTAGTACTGCTTTTGGTGTGTGGGGTGAACTTAGGTGTTGTGGTGGATGAATGAGGATAGGCGGGTTGAAAGAGTCCCGAGGAAGCGTATGTGTGGATGGCTCTCAAGTCAATGTTGTGATTGAGTTGAGGGAGTGGATGTTGGCATTTAAGATGGCCAGCAGGACATTCTGGTTTTTATTGCTCGAGTTACCTAGTGAACCCCCTCAAAGAAAACCTTCTCGATTCCACTTTCTGTCTCGGAACATGAGCCTGAGTCGCGGCCTGCCTTCCAGGTTCAAGTTGTGAGCTGGTGACACTGGGTGGCCAACAAGGTAGTCCCTCAAGGTGCCCTGATCAGCAGCCCGTCGTCCCGTTTGAGCCTGCTTCGAGACCTGCCAAAGATGCCCAGATCGTCCAACAAGGGACTGTGGCAGGCCAATCAAGCCGGCTGAAACATGCGAAAATTGCCACTTTGGTCGTTTATTCCTCTTGGCGCCTGTTTGAGCACAGGCCACCAGCCCCTCACCAGGCCCATTTGAGCACATTTGCGCCGGTAAATTGCGGGGCATTTCACCACACACCTGACGCGTGTCAACAGCAACTGCAACCCTTCCCAGGCAGGAAGACCCGACGCGACGTGCTCCACGGCAAGTGCAACTCAGACAACTTGCTCACTCAGACAACTGCGCACCTTGATGAGCACGTTTCGCCGATTCGCCATTTTCATCCCGTCCGAACCCTAAAACGTGCAGCAGACGGCCCACCGAAGAGGGAAGCGCCAAAATGGTCAACTTCAGCAATCTCCTCCAGTATCTCGCCCTGCAGTCACCGCTACACTCGAGCGACACCACCGACCCCAACAACACCACTCTCAATCTCGCCAAGATGGGTCTCACCGCCTACACCCTGCCGGCCTTGCCGTACTCTTACGATGCGCTCGAGCCGCACATCTCGGCCCAGATCATGGAGCTGCACCACAGCAAGCACCACCAGGCTTACGTGACCAACCTCAACAAGGCCCTCGAGTCGCACGTCGCCGCCGTCGCATCGGACGACGTGGCTGGCCAGATCGCCCTCCAGCAGGTCATCAAGTTTAACGGCGGTGGTCACATCAATCACTCGCTGTTCTGGAAGAACTTGGCGCCTGCGGGGAGCGATGAGGCGAACCTAAACCAGGCCGGCGGTTTGGTGGCCGAGATTGAGAAGACGTGGGGGAGCTTTGACGCTTTCAAGAAGGCATTCTCCGCGGCGCTGCTGGGGCTTCAGGGAAGTGGCTGGGGCTGGCTGGTCAAGGAAGCTGGGAACGGAGCCGGCCTGCGCATCGTCACCACCAAAGACCAAGACCCTGTCGTTGGCGGGGATGTGGCGATCTTCGGGGTCGACATGTGGGAGCATGCCTACTACCTTCAGGTTGGTCCCCCTGGCTATCTCCTCATTCCGCCGTCTTGCTAACTGGGATTTAGTATCTGAACGGGAAGGCTGCGTACGTTGAGAACATCTGGAATGTTATCAACTGGAAGACCGCCCAGGACCGTTTCGCGGGGAGGTCTGAGGAGAAGACCGAACTTTAAAACATGACGGGTTTCGCGTGTTTGAATAGCTAAATTCTAATTTCTTTACTTGCCGGTTCACGCGGGCGACAGTCAACCTCAGTGCTTGATGTGTTCAGCTAAACCTGTTGAGGAGCGGCATGAAAGACTTTGACCGGAGGCCTCGACTCATTCCACCCAGCCACAAAAAGTCCCGTCCGATCTCGAGCAATCATTTACCTGACACAGGTCATTTACCCCCATCAAGACTCACCGACGCCTCTCCAGCAGGCACCCAAATCAACACGGGCTCGGCCCACACTGCAGAGCCAACAACATGCGAGATCGGTCTCACAACCACGAGGTCCCCCGTCCGCCGGCCAAGCGCTGTCTTGCGCACCCTGCAACCGATGGATCATCGGTGTTGGTCCCACGGTGTGACGCATACGCAGTGTTTGCTAAATCTCGACCGGCACCACCGGTAACCTGCATCTCAGCCGCTGCAGAAACCGCGCAGAACGGAACCAGGTCGTAAAAATGCAACTGGCTGATTTTTATCATGTCCGGTCCAATTTCATTACGCTCTGCTCGTCGGCTTGTCGGGTATACCACGACTTTCCGCCACTGGAAGCCAGTGAATCAGAAACTGTGAACAATCCCCAAGTCGGCCATCAATTGTAAAGGCGGACTTTCCTTGAACGGGGTCCAATGCGATTCGGCTTGTTCGACACGGCCTCAACACGACATCCCCCGGGATCTGCTATCCGCGGCAGGACTCACACCTAACACGACACGAGAAATTCAAATGACAGCTAGCTAATTCTCCGAGGTCGCTCAAGCACAGCAGCTAGCCGCCGTGCCCCATGGGTCTGTACCACCTTCCCGGACAAGAATTCTGCATCTCTAGTATGGTCTGGCGAATATGGACGCCTTTTGGGATGTTTGTTTGATCCATCTGGCATAGCCCCCGACGGAAGCATCGAGGGTCCAAGTCTAGCCCCGTCGGTAATACGCGGCCGCGGGAGGGGAAAACGGACCAGTGCAGAAACATCCGCGAGTAAAGTACCGGAATCCCAGCTGGCATTGGCAATGCCGACGGAGTAGCCCTCGACCTTTGTTTGTTCCTCCCCCTAATATCCCATCCGAGAAGGCAACAATGTGTTCTCAACCACCCCCCCTAGCTCGCGGGAGGACAACCCGGCATACCCTCGTTAGCAGTGGATTGAATGGTACTGAGGGAAGGGGATCCGTCTAAGTGGTTGAGCGCAAACAGACTCGCTGTGGAGCCGACGGGATCCAGGGATGGTGGTTGCGAATGCAGAAAGCCCGTCAGAGCGAGGCAAGGAGTCAACGGAGGTTATAAGATGGTTGGACTCATCTACTGGCCGTCATCACCCCAAAAGCCCCCTTTCCGGCGCCGCCACACCCACCCGCCCCAAGAACCGTTATCACCATGACAAGGGTCCATCGTTTAATGGCTCTCCTGAGTCTCAGGTACAGTCACAACACCGTCTTGGCAACAATTCAATGTGCTAATTGACCTTTAGCCGCAATTTCGCGCCTGCTCTAGGTCACGTTAACCGTGACTATGGGTATGGCGACCAATCTCTCTCGCAGCCTACCGTTACAGCCACTCTCACGACAACTGCGGTTTCCACGGTGACTGTGGATGGAAGCATTTGTGATACCCTCTACATCCCAACGACAGTCACGGTTTACACCGACTGCTCGTTCACATTAGACCCGTCTAGCGTCTCCGGTCTGCCTCTCGGCAGCTACAGCAGCCAGGGCCCCTGGACCAATATCACTTCCGCTCCGGATGCCCCCTGCACCCATGACTTTCCGATTTCCAGCGTCGTCCCTAGCAACTTCTCCAGCACTCTTGGTTGGAACCACACGACGGTCACTTCACTCCCGACTCTTACCGGGACTTCTGGCACCACCATTGAGACCGCCGATCCCATCGGCACGTCTTCCGCCCACTGGACAAACTCGACCCGGAGCTCGACCGCGGAAGAGGACTGGACAAGCGTCCTCACTCTCACGGTGACCTCTTCCGCGATGGTCACTGTGAACGCGACCGTGACTTCCGGTTACTCTGCACCTTCTGGCTTCAGCACAGGGACTGGGCTCCCCGGCCACAGCCCCTCGGATATTCCGACGTCCTATCACCCCAGCCTGACATATCAGACCACCACCCGGGGTAAGTTGGCCACTTGCTTCCTCATGCTTTCGAAACTAACCCTTCCACAGCACCATCCAGCGCAACCACGCCTCACACGTCCACGAACGGATCCGCGACCAGGTCTTGGTCGTCCCTTCCCACCCACACGTGGTCCCTTCCGCCAAGCTGGAACACCAGCACCATCTCGGGCACGCCAACCAACACCACCTCCCACTCCATCATCACCACCGAAACCAACGACCCCCTCTTCACCACCGCCACCTCCTCCATCCCCGCCTGGACCAACACGACCACAACCCCAAGTTGGACCAGCACCCCTACCAGCCTGACCACATCCTCATCCATCACATCCACCACCAACGGCGACGACACCGGCGGCCAATACGGCAGCTACACCTACCCGTCCCCGTCTCTATCCTCAACAAACGCCAGCAGCGTGGCGTCGGTCGACCCTATCGGGGGCACCGCCACTTTCACCCGCACTGATACTGCTTCCGTGTCTATTCCGACGACGCTGTTGACTACGTCTAAGCCGGCTGGTGGGAGCTCTGCTGAGGTGGTGTCGACGGCTTCGAGAGCTGGTGGTGGGGGTGGGTATGGGTATGGGTATGGGGGGTACTGAGGGGTAATTGGTGAGGGGGGTGATGGAAGGGGATGCAGATGGGTGAAGATAGGTGAGGGTGAGGGTGGCTTTTGTTCAAGGGGGGGGTGGGGTTAAAATGGTGCTTGGAGAAGAATGTGTGGTGTTGTGGAGGTGAGGAACTAAGGGTTTGATTCGTTTCTACAGTGTATTTATTCAGTCGGTTGTAAGTACCTAGGTAGTTGGCGTAAGGGCGAATATCTGATGTTGCCTAGCAAAATAGGCCACTCTGGGGAGGCCAAGGGGCTCTCCTAATCATGCCTAAGATGTCTTGGGCATTCGGACTTTGCTAACAACCTACTACGGACTTTGGTGCCTGGCTCGGAGAGGGGCACTCTCTACTCCCTTCCATCTGATCTCAGGCCAACCTCAACAGACACCATCTTGTATCACGCGCCTCCCAACACTATATGTATTAGGTTCGCACCTCACGCTGTCAACACCTCCTCCCAATTGAAGTCAAACACCGGCTTGGCTCGGCGGCATTTGGGGGAGGACCGGTTCAACCCCCCCTCGCGGCGCAAAACCTCTATTTTCAGGGGTTTCGTAGCCACCAACCTTCATTACCTAATAGACCAGCGAAAATGGGGCTTGGTGATGAGCTTTTTGACTTTCTCTCCTTGGCCTTGTTTTTTTCCCATGCTTTCTTGCTTTTTCGAGTAGGTCCTCCAATCAGATTCAGATCCAACAAATACCATCTCATGGCTTGGACGGACAACAACGCCGCCGTCGATTTCTAAATTTATACCCCCGCCGACTCAACTGTGTACTAACCCACCATCTCGGATTGAGTTTATAATAGGTCTCGGATATCACAGCCATCTCGAATCTCGGCCCAATGGTCGAATTCGCCGGAGGCTCCGGTAGTGGATCGCATTGAAGGATGAGACCATGGCGTGCGGCGCAGCCGAGCAAAAGGAGCCGGCGCAGGGGTTAAGCATATTTCCCACCGTCAGCGTGACAGTGAAGATGGAACCCATTGGTTACCACTTTAAAAGGGAAGCAGGAGCGCCTGAAACTTCCAAACAGGCTGCCCTCCCTCACCAAGCGCGGCGTGGGAACTGAACGGTCATAAGGTTGCAATAAATTACAGGGCTAGACGAATACTCGGGTCCCAGAATCCTACATGCCACAGCCACCTCCATACATATCTTGGCTTAAGCGCGACCTCAGCTCAGGGGAAGTTACACACGGCATCAAGTTCAGGTGACGACTGAACATAAAGGCTCGAAGGACAACCACCTTACCGGGTCACGATTCACATTGCAACCTGTTCGGTTTGCCCATCCACCACCATTGAAATCACCAAACCCCAGACTCCAACACCACCACCCACCATGATGATGAAGCCCACCCTCCTCACCACCCTCGCCGCCACCACGGCAACGGCAACCGAGCTCCTCCTCCCGCTCTACCAATACCCCGCCGACAACGGCGGCGCCTGGCAGCCCATCGAAGACGCGCTGACCGCCAACCCGTCCCTCACCGCCAAGATCATCATCAACCCCAACAACGGGCCCGGGGAGGGCCCCAGCCAGGGCATCAACGACCCGCAGTACGAGGCGGGCGGCAAGTTGCTCGCGGCACACGCCAACGCCCAGCTGCTCGGGTACGTGCACACGTCGACCGACGGCGGCGCCACGCGCTGCACGGTGCCATGGGCGGACGTCGAGGCGGATATCCGCACCTGGGCGACGTGGGTGGATGCCGGGGTGGCGATGCGCGGGATCTTCATCGATGAGGCGCCGAATAATAGCGTCAACCCGGAGTGCGAGGCGTATATGCAGAACTTGACGACGCTGATCCGTACCGATGCGGAGTTGGTGGAGAAGTTTGGGCCGCAGCCCGTGGTCGTGTTTAACCCGGGCGGTACGGGGCAGCTGCAGCCGTACTATGAGATGGAGCCGGACTACATTGTCGCGCTGGAGACGTGCTTTACCGTGCCGGAGCATGCCGGCGGGGACTATGACCAGTGCCCTGCTACGGGGGTTTACGAGATCTACGACCATGATGGGCCGGGCAGTTCGATTGATAATGTGCTGTTCCCGTCGGTTGGGGAGGCCAATGCCGCCCGCACGGCGGTGCTGGTGCATGGCTTCCATCACTTTAATGGGCCGACGGCGAACCTGACTGCGACGGAGGCGGTGCTGGAAGAATTGGTTGGGGCTGTGGTGCAGAGGGGGATTGGCGCGACGTTTTTCAACACGAGGGGATATCATGCTTTTGAGGATGAGCCAGCGACGATTGGGGTTGTCGCGGATGTGTTGAACGCCGCGAACGCGGCATAAAGTTGCGAGGGGGTCGGTTAAGGAAAGGGGGTAATGAAATGGTAAATTGGTAATGGTGGATTTAACGGTAACACTAGGGGCACTACCGCTGGACATAAGTGTGATACTTGAATCGAAATTTGTTCTGAAGTGACTCCAGCCCCCTCAGCATCCCGAGGACTTGATGCCGTAACACTCCAGCGCGCCATTGCGGTTGTCAACAACGGTGTCTGTATGTCGAGTGACATTGGTTAGTCCAGGGTGTGGTCCAAGGATCCAGGGGGACACTGACTGAGATCAAAAATGGCAGTCGGCCAGTTGGCCTGGGCGGCGCCGGTGCCAGGATTGCACTTGCAATACATCAACGACGGGCCGCCGTCAACGATCAGGCCGTTCTCGGGCTTGCCATTGGTGCACTGGATGCATTGGTCTCCAAGATGGGCACTATCGATCTTTGTCAGTATGTTATTTGAGAAACTACTTAGTACGTTGGACATACCCATTCCCAGACGGGTCCGCCTGCAGAGTGCCGTAGCTGTTCTTAAGGCAGCGGTTCAGGTCGAGCCTGGAGCACTTGTACTGCCCAAAGATGTTCCTGCAGTTTGCCGTCAAGGTCCTACCGCTAACCTTGATCGAATTGGTCTCGCAAGATCCGGCAAAGTTGGCGGCAAGAGCCCCAGAGGCACTGAGGCCAAGGACCAGAATGGAAAGGATGGACTTCATGGTGGTTAGAAATGTGCGTGTGAAGAGCCAGTACCCGTTGATCAGATCCCGATTGGGGTGGCCAGGTGTGTCAGTTGTTATAAGCGAAAGCTGAAGCGGAGAGCGGTGTAGTCAGCCCGGAACCCAGGAGCTTCTGGGGGTTCTGGGCCGGAGGATCATTGATGGAAACCGTGCTTGGGGCAATTGGAAGCAACCCAAGGTTACAACGTGTTTGGGAGAGGGGTAGCTACTGTTATTGAGGTTGCCATTGAAGCTGTCGTCCGGATGCTTGGATCGGGCGGCCAAACCGGGTTCCAGCTTCTCGGGTGGCTCAGGGGCATGCCTTTCGGTGATGAGGACCGCCTGGAAGATGCCTTGATATCCGTATGAGCGGTGCCCAAGCAAAACCCGCGATAGTGAGCCTACCTAATTTTAGACCATTTATCTGCTATCTTGATAGTTTAATAAACCACGCCCGGGTAAATCAAGTTTGCGGGCCCTCATTGCTGGTTGAAGCGCTATGGCGGCTCTAGACGATTGGCTGGCAATATACTGGCTGGTTGAGCCTAAGAGACGCGGCACAAATCTTCAAAAGAACGTTAGTGCTCGCCGATGTTAAACAGTGAGTATCGGCATTCTCCCTGAATCTTTGAAGGTCGGGCAGCCTCCTAGAGAATGGTGGCCGGGGAAAGCCATAACGCCAGATCCCATCCTTCACGCTGAGATCCTGACTCTTGGGATTGTATATTGCCCAAAGAGTGCCGCCGATACCGATGTAACGATATCAATCCGACGCAGCTGATTGAGTCGATTAATTCCGCGGAAACTCGGTAACCGGCCTTGGTCGGTGTGGTGGCAATCTCATCCTCGAACCCGACTGCCCCATGCCATATGAGCGAACCAGCTGAATGAGCTTTCGACCACATCGATCATGATCGCGGTGTCCCGAATGATGAACCGGTTCGGGCAAATCTAGTGGTCAGCAGCCTCCCATGTCTCAGTCACTGGGCCTATGGTCGATTAATCTTCCTCTGTCTGTGTTTCGTTACGCAGTTCTTCGGTCGATCCATAACTGAGTTTCGAAAAGAATGTTGAATTTCATGGATAAGTTCTTCAATTGCTAGGTAACCTGAATTGGATAAGTAGTCACCATCGTTTTCCTCTCGTCTTCCCAAACGAATCTTGTCGTTGCTAGGAGTTCTCGGTGTAAAGTCACCCCGAACATTTGACTTGTCAAGCGGACTCGGAGGTTGCAGCAGCCTGCCTACTCGGAGCGACAGCGTCCGGCATGCGGAAATCCTTGGAACCCAAAATTCCATTGGCGATCCTTGCCATGGAGAGGACTGCCGTTCGGCCGTCAACTGTGTCACGGGAACACAGTTCCAACTGTGACTGTGCCTTTCAGACCCGAGAAGTGAAAACTTTAATGTTCCAAGTCCGCACGCACATTCCATTCTTTCCTTGGCGGGTTGGGCTTCCCAATGTAGTTATCTTTTTCTGATCTTCGCTCAGTTTGTTTTGTCTAGGAAGGCGATGGGGGGCTTGTTGGGATCGAGGGCGATTTCTGGGCTTCTCTGCAGGCTGCGGGTTGTGCTTGCTGGCCGACAGACCTCGACAATGAAATCTGAAAGGGAATGAATGAATGAATGAATGAAATTGGGAACGAATTGGGTCAAGAGCAACCTGGACGGGCCGGCGACGACTGTGGCTGCCCAAATCAAGTTACTATCGGCCCGTCCACAGCTGGCGCCCCGCTGAAACCTGACAGCACTCTCACTGGCCGCCCTCTTTTTCAGCGAGCTCTCAGTTCGGATGAACCCGGAAACTCGGCTTTCTCACCGACGCCCTCTGAAGTAAACAGTTACACCGGAGAGAAACATCGCCAGAGTCAAACATCACCACCATGGATGATACTAGGACGAGGCTCACGACAGTCAGGCAAGGCAACGTGCCATTTCTGCAATTCCCTTCTCCGAAACAAGACCATGGCCGCCAGCAATGCTTAATTTACATGATTCCCGGCAACCCCGGACTCATCGATTACTATGAGCCGTTCCTGAATACCCTGCGACAGCTCCTTGACGAGATTGAGGCCAAAGAGGAGCATAACTATGCATATCACATCTACGGGCGCAACCTCCTCGGTTTCGAGGATGGCGACCACGAGCCCCCGTTCGGGACAACCACCAGCTCCGGCACTCAGACGGAACCCTTCTCTCTAGAGGACCAAATCGACGGCGTCTGCTCGCATCTCCAAACAGTCAACACCACCACCCTCAAAACCAAACAAACCTTCGACTCCGTAATCCTCATCGGCCACTCCGTCGGCGCCTACATCGCCCTCGAAACCTTCCACCGCCACCACACCGCCCTTCTCTCCAGCCCCACCACCACCACCAACACCACGGCCACCACCACCCCACCCAAACCCCCAACAACCCCAGCCCCCAATCTCACCACCATCCCCCTCCGCTCCGGCATCCTCCTCTTCCCCACCGTCTCCCACATCGCCCACTCCCCCAGCGGCCGCCAGCTCAACCTGCTCCGCACCATCCCCTTCTTCGACCGCACCGCCCACCACATCGCCAAAGCCTTTGTCAGCGTGTGGCCCGGCTGGGCGCTCGGCGGCGTGGTGCGCAAGCTACTAGGTTTTCCCGCGCACGCGGCGGCGGCGACGCTGCGGTTTCTGGCGGGGAGGGACGGGATTTGGCAGGCGGTGTATTTGGGCAAGGATGAGATGCGGTGTATTGGGGAGGAGAGGTGGGGGGAGGGGTTGTGGGAGGTGAGAGAGGGGGGGGAGGAGGGGGTGGGGTTGGTGAAGGAGGGGGGGGAGAAGTTTTATTTTTGGTTTGCGGAGCGGGATCATTGGGTTGCGGATTGGGGGAGGGAGGAGTTTGTGGAGCGGCGGAGGAGGCATGAGAAGGGGAGGGTGAGGGTCGTGGTGGATGGGACGGGGATTCCGCATGCTTTTTGCCTTCGTAAGTTGGTACCTGTGTTTGTCTCGGGGTTGGTTTGGTTGACTGATGATGGGATACAGATCACAGCGAGTCGGTGGCCGAGAAGGTGAAAGGCTGGATCGAGGATATTGGCGGTCGCCAGTGAGGGGAAGGCCGGATACACGGCCACCCGGCCGCTCTGCTGGTGGCCAAGAGGCTTGATATGCGGCCGTGCTGCTGTCCAGTGGCCACCGGAGCTGCTCTTTCACCTCAGAATGCCTGGGACTTTCGGCGGAAGTATTCCGTCTCAGGTTTCTGCCCTGATGGTTTCGAAGCCCATGCATGGAGCAACCAGGAACTTCTGGGCTGCGATCAGCAAGTTGAAGCCCTCTTTCTCCCGTGTCAACCGGGCCCCATGCCCCTTCGCGGAATGATTCATCGGAAAGTATGGGGAGCCGACGTGGTTTTCAACTTTCAACCTAGACCGGGCCGGACCGCGCAGGGGCACACCATCTAGACGTTGACTATTAAGGCGATACCGACCGCTCGACTGCCGACACCGCAACGAGGCACCCCAGTCACCCAACCCGGTTTACGATCGACCCAATAGGAGGGGCATGTCTTTCGCTTGACATCGCGGCCAGTGGAGTGGGCGCGATCCGGCAGAGCGGGAGAGCAGCGATATTGACAGCCAAGTTTAGGCACCCGAATTCTCTCGCTCAAGATTGGCCGCGACAGCTCCACCGAATATCAAAACTCCAAGGTTCAGCTGTCAACTGCAGCATGCCGTGATCACCATTGGGAACCATTGTTTCCCAATCGGGTAGTCCGACGACTTTCGGCCAAGTGCAGCTTGATGGAATCTGGTTTTTTTGCTATCTCGTCCGTTGAGGGAAAATCAACCGCCATTTGGGTATCCTAGAGAACGCCGTAACCATAACCCCTTGATTCAGTCGTTTCCTGTGCGTGTGGGCAGATGCCAACAATGCACTCCCCGCCCGCCTGTTGCAGTTGGGGTGATTGTGATACCCGCCGCCATCAATTCCCTGATTTGCATGACACTTCTGATGTTCGTAAAACTGCAAACGCGTGTGACCCTGCCCCCTAGATGTATCCTCCTATGCTTTGAACCGCATGGCTGCTGACGGTCTTCTCGCCGCTGCCGGACCATCCTACCTGATGAGGTGGTTTCGTTTCCACATCCCATAATCCCGACATCGCCTGTGCTATGGCGGCTCCTTCCAACACCGCGGCAGGGGGTAACTGGGTTGCTGGCCCGGGCTGTGAAGCGACACCAAACCCGGGTGTTCCGTAACATGGCTTCGGGTAGGAGTCCCGCATCTCTAAAGTCGAGGTGAGCGGCGAGGGTTTTAGAAGCTCAGATGTAGCCAGCGGCCCTTTATTGCTGGCTGTGTATGTAGCGTAGGGCCACGGTCCAGCATTTTGGGCGTATTGAGGCACCATGGTTTGGCCAGTCGACGCTGCAGCTGTCCTCCCCCGGATGCTTTCGACGTAGTTGCAAATGAAGAAGAATAGGAGAAACGAGTGGATAACCCTGCGGCGCCGGATTAGTTTCTGCGTGCGCGTCGGAGTTTTCTCGTCTTTGGAGTCCCTCACATCATGATAACCAAGAGGCAGACGCTGGCGATCTCTTGCCCCGCCGTGTTGAAGACGGGCCCAAAGTCAGAAATGCCGCAGATGACATCCACCAGTAGCATGCCCGTCGCGGTGGCGACTCCCAGAGAGAGAACGCCGTCGACTCCAACGTGGACGTTGGGTGGAATCCCACCATCCCGGCGGAGACTCGCGACAACCAACTCGGCCGTGTTCCAGAGAGCAACTACGGGACACTGTTTGGAGTTGTGTCAGCAAAGTTCCGGTCAAAGTGGACGCCAGATCGGAGGACAACTAACCACCACCAGGATCGGGACAAGGCGTTCGAGGCCATACAACGGGCCTTGCCGTCCGGCAGCGACGGGCCCGATGATGCCGGTCACGGTCAAGGCAATGATCAAGGATGCGGTCCGAAGGACGTTACAAGTAACAAAAACAGTCCAGCCGAGGCCATGGTAATCGGTGAGCCTCCACTGCTGGAGCTCTTTCGCCGACGGCTTCGTTGTTGGCGGCGGGAGTGAGTCCAGCCAAGCTTCGACAGCGGGATCGAAAGGAGGAGATGGCCGAGACGGCTGTGACCGCAGGTTTATCCTCCACATTGAGTGGATGGTCGACGGCCTAAGGTGGTGTTTGGAGAACAGAGTCGACTCTCTTTCCGGTGCTGGTGCACAGCATGTCGAGTTTCCGGGGGTGTAAGGCTGAAAGATGATTTGGGAGAGTCCTATCGTTGGATGCGTGGACTCGCCAGACTTCGTCTCCGACCTGCAGCTGTCGGTTGGGTGGGATGGATGTCTTGGTTGGTGGAATGGGGCCTTTCCCGTGGGTTGGCCGTGTCAACTCTGAGGAATGCTGCATCTATCCATCGCGTTCCAGGCCTGGAATCTATCGACTATTGCCAACGAGACTGTTGGTTTGGCCGTTTATAGCTATCGCTTTAAGGGAACCCATAATGCTAAGGTTGCGTTTCTGTATCCTTAAAGGAGACCCAAAGCTGCTAAGCCCGGTGATGGGAATCCGCCAGGATGTTGGTGCGCTTTGGTCCTGGTGTGTGGAATAGGCTTTAGGCACCCGTATAACGGCCCCCTGTCATGCGCTGCGGTTGCCCCATCCCTCTCATTCCCTCCCCCCATTCCCCCGTGTCCCAAGCAATCTTACTGTGTGTCAGAGCCGAAAGAGCCGTATGCTTGCTTCCCTTCGTCTTGCTTTTGAGACCCTTTGCCTCCCGTAACTTGGTGGATGCTCAGAAAGACGGACAAATTCCGCCGCTCGAGGTGGCATTTCCCGCCGCTTCCGCAATTAACTAGCGCGCCGGGCCGTGTCTTTCGGTGCCGATCTCTCGGCTCGCGTCTCATTTCCTCGCCCCGGCGGTCTTGTTCGGTACCGGTGCGCTGCGGCGCCTTGAAATCCTGAACCCGTTCCGTCCTCTCTGCCTGCTCGGGAAAGGAGATGAGCCTCAAAGAGACGCCGCCTGGGGTGAGACTTCGCCGGCGCTTAATCCTCAATGTTGAAACGGGCACCTCCCCTGAAATGTGGAAGATGACCGGCAAAAGATGCGCCGGAAAGCCAGGATGCTTTCAACTGGGAAGGCAATGATATGTTTTGCATTTTGGTTTGTTCGAGGCTTGAAACTATTTTTGTTGTTGAGTGTGAGTGAGAATTGGGAGACTTTCAGGAGCACGTCCCCGGTTGGAGAGAGGTCATTCGTTGCTTTTCAGTGCTACTAAGCTTCTAGATCGTGAATGAGACTGCAATTTACGATTCTGAGTGATTTCGTGTAGGTGAAGGTCAAGAGGATCATGAGGGCCGTGCACTAGGATGCATTTGATGTTCTGTTTCTGCAGGCTCCAGGTTGTTGGTGCTTGTTTTGGTAACAACGCTAACTGTTGCGGCGACGGCACGGAGGCTTTGATGGAGGCTTCAGGTGGCTGAAACGTGCACTGCAATTCAGCCAAGACCTCAAAAATTCTCCACACACAGTGGAATGCAGATGCTATCACGTGATTACCTCGCGAAGCTGAGCAGAAAGGGCAGTGACGTCAGTCGCGCCATCAGTGAACCTGGGGCTTGAGCCCGACAAGCCGACCGGGTCTGCCTCTCCCGAATTCACAAAGGCGCAATACGTTTGTTCTAATATCAGTAGGTAATTATTTACAAATTTTAATCTGCATTTTTACGTTTTGTTGGCTCGCTGCATGCTACTAATACCAAATCACAAAGACTGTGGTGGCTTGGATGGGATGCCTTAGTGCCTGAAGCAGAACCAGGCCGCTATCTGTTATCAGAATTTTTCGAAAATATCCTGCCCCACCAAACCCGACTCCCCCACCTTCCATGTTCTGATACCAACCCACCACAGGCGTCGCAGCTAACTTTCGCCTCCTCCATCATACGTACTCGATCGGGGACAAAAGACGAGAGCAGAATTCTTGCTCCCAGTTTCCGGAATTCGAGCTAGTGATTCTTTATCCTCTTTTTTTTCTTCTTCTTCTCAGCACACCTTATTTCTCAGATTCACCATGGCACCGTCAGCATCCAAGGAAAAGCGCCTCGCCAAGCGCGCTGCTGAGGGGAAGAAGACGGTCGCCTCGCGGTCGAAGGCCAACTCTAAGAATGCCAGCGCCGCCGCCTCCGTAAACGGGGATGAGACCCCCCCGACCGAGCTTGACGCTCATGGAAACCCCGTCGAACCTGATGAGCCCGCTACGTCCTCCGACAAAATGGGCGAGGTTAAGCGCCTGGCCGAGCAGCTGGACAAGCATGGTCTTTCGGACCGAGTCACCACCGGTGTCCTGGCCTCAACCTCCACCAGCAAGGACGTGAAGATGACCAGTGTGAGCTTGGTGTTCCACGGTCGGGTCCTAATCACAGATTCCACGCTCGAACTCACCTCGGGCCGCCGATACGGCCTGTTGGGCGAGAACGGTTGCGGCAAGAGTACACTGCTGAAGGCCATCGCCGCCCGCGAGTACCCGATCCCCGAGCACGTAGACATCTATCTCCTGAACGAGGGTGCTCCTCCCAGCGACCTCGGCGCCCTGGAGTGGGTTGTCAAGGAAGCCGAGCTCGAGATGGAGCGCCTCGATAAGCTGGCCGAGAAGCTGCTCGAGGAGGAGGGCCCCGAGTCCCCCGTCCTGATGGATCTTTATGAGGTATGTAGACACAACCCTCGTTTCTATTTCGTGACAATTGACGCTGACCGAACCCTTAGCATATGGAGACGATGGATCCCTCGACCTTCGCGACTCGCGCCTCGCTCATTCTGACGGGTCTCGGTTTCAACAAAGAAACCATCCACAAGAAGACCAAGGACATGTCCGGAGGGTGGAGGATGCGTGTTGCTCTCGGCAAGGCGCTGTTCGTCAAGCCCACGCTCTTGCTCCTTGACGATCCTACTGCCCATTTGGATCTCGAGGCTTGCGTGTGGCTGGAGGAGTATCTCAAGAAATGGGAACGCACCCTTGTTCTGGTTTCCCACTCCATGGATTTCCTAAACGGCGTGTGCTCACAGATGATCGACATGAGGGACAAGAAACTTATCTACTATGGTGGCAACTACGACTCCTACACCAAGACCAGGTCCGAGCAGGAGACGAACCAGATGAAGGCCTACCAGAAGCAGCAAGACGAAATTGCCCACATCAAGAAGTTCATCGCCAGTGCCGGTACTTACGCCAACCTGGTTAGACAGGCCAAGTCGCGCCAGAAGATTCTCGACAAGATGGAGGCCGATGGCTTCATCCAGCCCGTCGTTGCCGACAGGGTCTTCACTTTCCGCTTTGCTGATGTCGAAAAGCTGCCCCCGCCAGTTCTATCCTTCGATGCCGTGACCTTTTCCTACTCGGGCAACCCCAAGGATGACCTGTACCGCAACATTGACCTCGGCTTCGACATGGACTCGCGGACTGCTCTTGTTGGACCGAACGGTGTCGGCAAGTCCACGCTGTTGCGTCTCATGACGGGCAAGCTGTCTCCCACCGGCGGTTCAGTGACAAGGCATACTCATTTGAAGATGGGCTTGTACTCGCAACACTCAGCCGAGCAGCTCGACCTCACCAAGTCGGCGCTCGACTTTGTGCGGGACAAGCACAAGGACAAGTCGCAGGACTACCAGTACTGGAGGCAGCAGCTCGGCCGTTATGGTCTAACGGGAGAGGCACAGACTTCATTGATTGGCACTTTGTCCGACGGACAGAAGAGTCGTATCGTCTTCGCCATGCTCGCCATCGAGGGGCCAAACATGCTGTTGCTCGACGAGCCCACGAACGGTTTGGATATCCCCACAATCGACAGTTTGGCGGATGCTATCAACGCGTTCAGCGGTGGTGTCATCGTTGTGAGCCACGACTTCAGGTAAGCTCTTTGTGTCCCAGTTCCCATTTTCGGTGCTTCACGGGTGACGATACTGACATGTTTGCAGGTTATTGGACAAGATCGCCAAGCAGATTCTCGTGTGCGAAAACAGGACTATTAAGCAATGGGACGGCACCATCTCCGACTACAAGAACTACTTGCGGAAGAAGATGATCTCTGCCGGCGCTGTTTGAAGTGGTTGAAGGGCACAGTTCGGATGCACGAGAGGAGTAGAATAACGGCAGGCCGCACCGCAGCCGGTGCGCTACACAACATGCCACCCTGCAAAGCGGCCTGGCGAAAAGGGGGTCGCCCCGGGGCGCCCAAGATCGCACGAAAAGCGCGCCGAGGGGCAGGAAGGTGGTTGGATCAGTATGGCCGCGGTCATTTGCGTGGCCATGATGCTTTTGGGACGGGATAGACTGTGACCCTTTCCTCCGCGTTACAGAGGTCCCCATTCATGAGTTGCATATCTCGGGAGCTAGAAAGCCGAGTAATGACGGAATCCAGAATGAATCATTCATTTGTGTTATTTCAACAAGTATCGACCGTGGCAAAATCCGTCTTCCTGTTTGCTGATTGTACTCCCGGCCCCCTGCCCCCCTTTGTTTTGCTCGGGGCCAAAGCAATCAACCATCAGGTACGAACAGAAGTAGTGATACCCAAAAATGGTGGAGTTGGTGGACCGCAGTTTCGAACCCCGCCAGCCCGCCTCTTTCCCCAACATTGAAAGTTGGGTCCAGGCCTGCCCACACACACCCTCATCAACATGCGTCCATTGTTGGGGAGGTAATTATTTCCTACATCCGCATTTGGCGCGATACCGACAAAACCGTCGAGAACCATACGTCGTATTTCGTGAATGGAATCAGTTCAAGCGACACGTCGAGTCTCTTCCGCAAGAATCCACGCCTGTCAGCGCCGGTCATCATGGACCAGTGATCCATTATCCAGCTCTGACGGTTGCGAGGCGATGGTCTCGGGTTTTGGGCTGCTTTCAACTCTGGTTGGTTCGAGGTCCGGAACGACGGGGCGCGGGAGAAGCAGGGCTTTGTGGAAGCATGCTTTGACGCACGCACCAGCGTGCAGCCCCGGCGGGTAATTGGCACCAGGGCTGAGGTGGACTGTACCTGGCCAGCAGGGGAGGGGTGCTACTAAGATGTTAGTTGTTTGCGGATGCTTGGCTGTCGTTTACAAGCAAACTTTAGACGTAAGGGGGCTCAAGAAGGACTATTTACGACCGAATGAGCGGTAAATTAGGAACAATGGATATCTTGCGGCTAGATGATGATGTTTGTTGAAGTAAAATGTACAAGTTGCGGTAACAAAGGCCGGGAGTCGAAAGGCACAGGACTAACAGGAACCGGGGGTATACATAGTGAGGGGGCTGACAACTTGTGGAGTGGCACTCACTTTGCTCAATCGGTCGGGGGTGGACCGGTGGATGGATCACCTTCGCGAGAGGTGCGTGGAAGCGGGTGTCAAAGGGGCATTTTGGGGGAAAGACTCTGCGCGGCACACCAACGCAGCGAGGCGGATGTGGCCAAATCGAGGAGCGATATCCAGCCTGGCCCATGGATTCCCAACCACCGAAACTGACCCCATCGCATGTTCTTTCCTCCCATCACCATCACCATCACCACCACCGCGCCTTTCCATCGCAGCATCGTCGGCAGCGCCGCCCTCCAACATCCGGCGCCCGAGCCTGAATTCCTTAATTGTCCATTTTAGTGATTCGTGTCTCCCTTCTGCCAGCAGTCCCAACCCCTGCCCGAAAGAAGACCACGTAAACTCGAGGCGGCAACGCGGTTACCGCCGACCGCCCGATTCCGTCCGATTTATTTCGCGATACCTTCGCCGACCCTGACGTCCACCCGACCACCACCGAAGTCGGCGTGTTCCTGTCTGGCACCAGCACCAATCCGGCCGCCTCGATCCGCGCCGAATCGAGCTCGCACGGCGTCTCGAGTTTGGTACACCGTACATTAACCCGGCCGCATCGCCGTCGACAGCATTTGCAGTGCAATTAGATTCAAGGTGTCGAATAGCGCTGTGACTCCGACGTGATCCGCGACGGCCGAGAGCTCGATGGGCTCGCATAATTCGTAAAAAATATCGAGTAACTTGCTGCGGAAGAGGGCCATCGAAGTGGCCAGCTAACAATGGACCACTTCTCCACCGTACTGCAGCGACCACCTCATTTTGATGAGGATGGGAGCAATGGAGCTGTGGGCGAGGATCGAGGTCCGCGCGGGGGGTTGCGCGACATCTTGAACCCGATGAGCGCGACAACACAGCCAGGAACGCCTGGAGCGCCTGCGCCGCCTCGACCGCACTCGTCATTTAACCTACGATCCCCGACCCAACAATCCGATTACCACCATCCGAACACTTACGCCGCCTCGCCATCATCTGCCGCGGGTCAGCCATCGGGATCCCGTTCAATTCTGAACAACCCATTTGGACCCGCGCCCTCCTCGTCATTGCCGCCACCGTTGCAAGCTCCACCAAACATTGTGTCGGCGGCGACATCGTCAGGCCTGCAGCATCCGCCGCGGTCACCACTGCACGCGCCACCCGTTTACTACCCAGCAGAAATACGCGATCGCGATCCGATACGCGAGAAATCGAGAGCCAGCAGTTTTTACGACCCGACAACTGACGGCAATCGAGACCGCGAGCGCAGGGTTTCAGAAACTGGCTCCTGGCGCTCCAGTGCGCAGGCCTCTCCGCCAAAGGTAAGCAAGCAATCTCAATTTTGGGGAACCCTCCAACGCCATCCATTGCTAGGCACCAAGCCTTGTCCACCTTCCTTTGTCCCCGACCCATCCCTTGCCCCATCAACCTCTGCCACCGATCATCAGTTTTCCGCTTCACTTCCGGTTCTCCCCACCCTCCAATCATCGACACGCCATCACGCCAGCACGCCGGCCCTTTTTTTTTCTTCCACGCCGCGAAGCGTGACTTTATCTTCTTTCCACCTACCAAATCACCATCCATCCGCCTTTCCTTTTTCGCCAGATTCACTGACGCGAAATCTGTCCCACGCCACTTTAGGCTCGCGACCCGTACAATTATTCGCAATCTTCCGCGGAATACTATAACAACGGGACCTACGCATCGCCGACGACAGCACCGTATCGACCGCGGAGTCCCAGCGCGCATCCCCATCGTTCCCCGGCGGTAGGACCCACCAGTCCATCGACCAGACCGCCCGTTATCACCTCACCCAGCCTAAGGCACATCGCGATGCCCAGCGCGACCACCAACGGGACATCGGTCCTGCCCGCTCTGGCACGGACCGAGTCACCAGCGCCTTCGTCCAAGACCCCGGCCTCAGGTGTAAGTTTCTATGAGCCATGCTATACGCACCCCGTCTGCTAACAATCTGGCATAGACCCCGAGTCGGGCTGCGGGCGTCATGTCTTTCTCCAACATCCTTTCGAGCTCCGAGCCAGTCTCCAAACCCAGGCCGACCTCGCCGGTCCCTGTGGACGACACGGTCGTTGCCGTAGAGAAGAGGGAGAGGGCGGACAAGGAAAAGAAGCAACATCGTAAGAGCATGAAGACGTCACGCGTCTCGGACATCAGGAGCATCGAGTCGACCCCGAAGATTCCCCGGAGGCCCGCCCAGCCGAAGGCCGACACCCCTTCTTCGGCACGAGTCCCGGCTAAGAGAGCGGCCAATGGCGTTCCGAAGCACAAAGTCTTTTCTGCTGAGAAAGAAAAGAAGATACGGGAGCTCATGGAACAGCTCGATTTTGAAGATGTGGATGCCACCGACTTCGATGACGAGCTGAGCGCTTGGAAGGAGCGTGCACAGCGCCGCCGACAGGAAATGAACCGGCGAGATGTGACCCACCGACAGGCCCGGCGAAGCGACTACGCTAGCTTTGAGGCCGACAAACTCCAATCACATGCCGACTTCGGGAAAGGCCGATACTACGAGATCAATTATGACGAAGCTCTCAATGAGGTGAGGGAGCAGGAGCTGTTCGCCGAGAAGGAGCGGAAGAAGGATATGCAGCGCAAGAGGCGGCGCGAGAAATCCATGGCAACAACCATGGACCAGCGGGCTGCGGCTCTGGCGAGAGCTTCTGCTGCCCAAGACGAGGCCGAGAGGCAGAAGTACATGCGTGAGGCCGAGCGTGCAAATAAGAAGGTGCAGCAGACCAAGTACATTTTGCAGAAAGGCCTCAAGGGCCCCGCCCGCAACATGGGCCCGATCGAACCGAACCTCGAGGGCGGAACAATGGCTACTTTTTCGGCCGAAAACATGGAACCGGGCAAGACCAAGGGCAAAGGCCGCTCTGGGGGCAGGCTCAAGAAATCCAAGGAACAGAAACAAGCGGAGAAGGAATCGGCCGAGGCTGCGCAGGCCGCCTTGGATGCCGGCGAAGAGCTTCCCAGCAGGGAAGAAACCGCCAAGATCCGCATCAAGTTCAGCAAGTCGAAGGGTGGGAAAGACGACGCCGACAAGGAGAACAAGGAACCGAAAGATTCCAAGGACAAGGAGAAGGCTGCCGAGGAGCCCAAGGACACGCTAGAGACAAGGTTCCAATCCAAGGGTTTCAACCAGATCTACGACCAGATTTGGCGCGATCTGGCGCGAAAGGATGTGAACAAGGTCTTCAGGCTGGCGACCGATTCGTACTCGACCAAGGCATCCAACCTCAAGAAGACGGCTATTTTGGCGTCCAAGGAAGCGAAGCGATGGCAACTTCGGACCAACAAGGGCACCAAGGATTTGCAAGCGCGCGCCAAGCGTGTCATGCGTGACATGATGGGTTTCTGGAAACGGAATGAGCGCGAGGAGCGTGACCTACGGAAGGCTGCCGAAAAGCAGGAGCTCGAGAACGCTCGTAAAGAGGAAGCCGACCGCGAGGCCGCCCGCCAAAAGAGGAAGCTCAACTTCCTTATCTCGCAGACCGAGTTGTATTCTCACTTTATCGGCAAGAAGATCAAGACGAACGAGGTCGAACGCAGCACCGATCATCCGGACGTGGCCAAGGATGACAAGGACAAAATCCCGGACCACGAGTTGGACGTCGATGAGCCCACGGGACCCGTCGGCAGCAAAGTCACAAACTTCGAAAACCTGGATTTCGATGCCGAGGATGAGTCGACACTTCGTGCTGCCGCCATGGCCAATGCTCAGAATGCCATCGCCGAGGCACAGAAGAAGGCGCGCGAGTTTAACAAGGACGATAACAACATCGACGAAGATGGCGAGATGAACTTCCAGAACCCCACCGGCATGGGCGACGTTGAGATCGAGCAGCCGAAGCTTCTCAACTGCCAACTCAAAGAATACCAGCTCAAGGGCCTCAACTGGCTGGTCAACCTGTACGAACAAGGCATCAACGGCATTCTCGCCGACGAGATGGGTCTCGGCAAGACAGTTCAGTCCATCTCAGTCATGGCTTACTTGGCGGAGAAGTACGATATCTGGGGCCCGTTCCTTGTCGTTGCCCCTGCGTCAACTTTGCACAACTGGCAACAGGAGATCACGAGGTTCGTCCCCGAGTTCAAGGTGCTGCCATACTGGGGTACCGCGGCAGATCGCAAGGTGCTGCGGAAGTTTTGGGACCGCAAGCACACGACGTACAAGAAGGACGCGCCCTTCCACGTTATGATCACCTCATACCAGCTTGTGGTCTCTGATGTTGCATACTTCCAGAAGATGAAGTGGCAGTACATGATCCTGGATGAGGCCCAGGCCATCAAGAGCTCCCAGAGCTCCCGGTGGAAGTGCCTGTTGGGCTTCCATTGCCGCAACAGGCTGCTGCTGACTGGTACGCCGATTCAGAACAACATGCAGGAACTGTGGGCGCTGCTTCATTTCATCATGCCGTCCCTCTTCGACTCTCACGATGAGTTCAGCGAGTGGTTCTCCAAGGATATCGAGTCGCATGCACAGAGCAACACCAAGCTGAACGAAGACCAGCTCAAGCGCCTGCACATGATTCTGAAGCCGTTCATGCTTCGTCGTGTGAAGAAACATGTCCAGAAAGAACTGGGTGACAAGATTGAGCTGGATGTGTTCTGCGACCTCACCTACCGCCAGCGGGCGATGTACTCGAACCTGCGCAACCAGATCAGCATTATGGATCTGATCGAGAAGGCAACCCTCGGCGACGACGACTCGGCTAGTCTCATGAATCTCGTCATGCAGTTCCGGAAGGTCTGCAACCATCCGGATCTGTTCGAGCGCGCCGACACCTCTTCGCCCTTCTCCTGCGGTTACTTTGCCGAGACAGCCTCGTTTGTTCGAGAGGGCACGAATGTTACCGTGGGTTATTCGACGCGCAGTTTGATCGAGTACGAGCTGCCCCGTCTCGTCTGGCGTGACGGTGGACGGCTACACAAGGCTGGCCCCGACAACTTGACTGCTGGTTTCCGCAACAGGTATCTGGACCAGATGATGAACATCTGGACGCCCGAGAACATCCAGGACAGCCTTGAGGGTACCGACAACTTCACATGGCTTCGCTTTGCCGACACCAGCCCGCAGGAAGTCTACAAGGCCGGCCACCAGGATGCCTTTGCTCGTGCAAGGGACATGGTCACAAAGAAGAACCGGCTGGGGGACATGAATGTTCTCTACAGCGAGCCCGAGGACCAGAATTGGGCTCCTTCGCACGCTCTATTCCAGATCTGCGACCGCCAAGATCGTAGGCCGCTGGCCGAAATCACGGAACAAGGTGTGCTTGGCAACCTCATGAACGTGGCTCGTTCGACTTGTGATGATCTCGGCCTCGGCCGTCTCGAACAAGCTGCGCGCTCGCGTGCATCGGCTCCGCCAATTGACGTTTCCTGCAACAGCCGTGGCTCCGTTATCGAGCGTGAGAACATCTTGTTCAATCGCCAAATGCGCAAGGCGCTGTACGGTCCGACACCCCCCGAAGCGAAAGCCTTTGTCACGCAAAAGGTCCCAGTTGAGCTCTACCCAACTCCTGCTCTCCTGCCGGCACCGGACAACGAGAAGCAGCGGTTCACCAGCATCACGGTGCCATCTATGCGCCGCTTTGTCACTGATTCCGGCAAGCTTGCCAAGCTGGACGAACTCTTGCGCCAATTGAAGGAAGGCGGGCACCGTGTCCTTCTGTACTTCCAGATGACCCGCATGATCGACCTGATGGAGGAGTACCTCACGTACCGCAACTACAAGTATTGCCGCCTAGACGGTTCCACCAAGCTCGAAGACAGACGAGACACGGTCGCCGACTTCCAGACGCGGCCCGAGATTTTTATCTTCCTTCTCTCGACTCGTGCCGGTGGTCTCGGCATCAACCTCACGACCGCCGATACTGTCATCTTCTACGACTCCGATTGGAACCCGACCATCGACTCGCAAGCCATGGACCGCGCCCATCGTCTCGGACAGACCAAACAAGTCACCGTCTACCGCCTCATCACGCGCGGCACGATCGAGGAGCGCATTCGCAAGCGCGCCATGCAGAAAGAGGAGGTTCAGCGTGTCGTCATCACTGGTGGGTCCTCGGCGGCTGGCGGAGGCGTCGACTTCTCAGGCCGTAGGGCGCCCGAGAACCGCAACCGCGACATCGCCCTGTGGCTCGCCGACGACGAGCAGGCCGAGCTCATCGAACGGCGCGAGAAGGAGCTGCTCGAGAGCGGCGAGTATGACAAGATCCAGAAGAAGCGCGGCGGCGGCAAGCGCAAGCGCGGTGGCGAGGCCGCGGCCACGGCTGCGGCAGCGTCAGTCAGCCTGGACGAGATGTATCATGAGGGTGAGCCGACTTTTTCTTTTCTCAACTCTTCTGACCCTTCCAATGCGTTTTCTTTGTCTGCTTCCAACCCTGGCTCCGGCGTAGCCCAGAAACGACGTAGACTGACGCAGCATCTTCACGCTACAGGCGAGGGCAACTTCGACGACAAACAGGGCTCCGGCACGGCAACGCCCACGGCCGCCGGCGGCGACGACGGCCGGGGCGGCAAGCGCAAGAAGATGGGCAGTAAGAAAGCCAAGACCACCAAGCAGCGCCTGGCTATCGCGGATGGCGAGATTTAAACCCTCCTCCGACCGCTGCCTGGCTGCGGGCTCCCCGGTGGGGATCAGTCGAATATCTCGAATATCGGAGCCGCTCACGTCGAACGACCGGTCCATGTCGTCCTTTCAACATGAACCCCGGCACAGTTTACGGACCCCTGGCGGCGCAAGGATGGGCGTTGCAAAGGCTGCATTGTACGAATACGGAGAAAGAAGAGGACACCAAGTGTGCGTTTGTTCGGGTTCTGCTTGGCACATGTTTTGCCACAAACCGGTCACAGACACACAGGCACGGGGGGCACCTAAAATGAGGCGATGTGGTCTCAGTTTTCCTTAACAACAGACAGACGGATGAAGGGATGGGATCATTTGGACCGGCGTGTGGCATGTTTGGGAGGAGAACTAGGGGGCGGGGATGGGGATACATACAGCACGGGCAATGCACAGCGCGGCGACTTGCGACAACTTCATTTTCCTTGTGTCAGAATGTGGTAGTTTTTTTAGTAACTTAGCTTAATAGGAGCTGGTATAGACATCAGTTGAGCATGCAGTTTGCAGGTTGTCCTGCGATGGACCTGTCCCCGTTTGAGAGAGAAGGCAAGTCACGTCGTTCTTGCAAACTGAACCATGGTGGGAAGGCTGGATGCAATTATATTTCTAAAGGAGCCCGAGCCTGCCCCTCAATGTTCGACAATCCTCGTGGGGGCGAAGAATATCCCGTGTTTCGGAGGTAGGGATACGTTAAACACAGTCATCTCCTTTTCTAACCTTACAGAAGACGCCATCTCCAGCGCTAGCACGGCAACATGCCAATATTCTTTGTTGGCTACCCACTCTCTCAGCTCAGAGGTCATCGGGGTTAAAAAACGGAACCGCATCGCTGACCAAGACCATCGAGGATGAGCTCTGGGGTGTTGGGTTGGAGTTGGGAGTTGTCGTGGTCCCACTGTTCGGTGCCGGCCCATCATCCACTCCGATCGTCTTGCTCGCAAGGGTTTCGGGCCCATCCTGCGCGGCCAAGGCTCCGCGGGACGACACGCGCGTTATGTTTGGCGAGTATGAGTGACCCGCTGGTTGGCTCACGTACTCGGTAATCGCTACCGTGTCGTTTCCCGTCTGGGTCTCCCTTCCTCTCTGGGCCCCCATTGTCATGGGCATGTCTTCAGTCTTGTGGGCCGCTTCTCTCTCCTCAGCCTTCAGTCTCTCCAGGGCGTGTCTCCTCTGCGGGGCTCTTCTCCTATCGGTGTCTACTGCGCTACGTATGGCGTCTGCGGGGCCGCCCGGTCCCTCGGTGTTCCAGCTTCGTGCCTAGCGATCCGGAGCGTTCAAGTCCGAGCCCGGGGCACCGTGCGTCAGTCCCTCCTCCTTGTCGCCTGGCTGCTCGTCTTGCGCGGGGGGGGATAAGTGGTCCTTTTGGGTCCCTGACGGCTGCAGAGTGCAGAAGGATGGGTAGTCCTTCTCATAGTTGGGGCGGCTCTCCCTGAGGCCCCCCCTGTTTCCGGCAGAAATGGGGATCCATGCTGTGTAGGCTAGACGGCTGAGATGGAATACGGCCACGGCGAAACCCCAGGTAAACAAGGCCATACCGAACGTAACGAGGAGGACCGGGATCAGGATACAGAAGGCCAGGCCCGCCCAGAAAAGGGTCATAAAAAGGAAGGCCGTGGCGAAGGCAAAGAATACGGATAAGGCGAAAGCGATGAAGCAAAGAACAGGCATCGAAGCAAAAATTACTTGAACGACGATGAAGCTCTGTTTACGAGGTCAGGGGGTCAGCTCGAGGTGACGGGAAGAAGCAATTCTAGAACATACGAAGCTCAAGGGGTGCTCGGCATAATACGTTTTCATCGTGGTGAAGGCATTCTGTCGAAATTCTGGAGGCGCGACACGGTCGAGCTGGCGATGAGCGAAGTCGAACATATCGGCCACCGTTTCATCCAAATGCATGGTGGGCTGAATGCGGTTGTGTGTTGCTGTGGGTACCTAGCTATAGTATCTCAAAAGAAACTTGTAATTCTCGAATGTTTTCGATGATGAACGCAACGCAATAAACGAGCGAGTTCAAAACCTGACAGTCAAGGGAGGCGGGGGGAGTAATGGGAAATTGGGAATGGGGAGCACATCGCGGCTGCCGCCAACGCGTTGAGGCAATGACGTTGCGTGCCGTGGGACAGAGCGTGGCTGCACTCACTCAGCATTGCTTGGCACTCTTCATCAGCCCCCAATGTGGCGCCCCCCACACAACCCCGAGCCATGAGGAAGGCGGCAGGGGTCGAAAACCAACGCATCTGCTCCCACTTGCCTATTTTGACCATGAAGTATCCTTTTGCAAATGACTGACATCTGACAATTGACTAAGTGTAACACGGCACCAGGTACGCAGGTCGACCGTGTCGGCGTTGGGCTTTGTGCTCTGTTCCTGTTAGCAATACGGCACTACTGACATTTCATGTTCAGGGTACACTGTATCTGAAATGTAAGAAGCTCTTCATTCCTCTCGAGAGGTACAGATCAAAGTGTATTGCCTGAGTCGCTTTGTTGGAAATTTAAAACAGACGAGTAAGGGTTTGCGAGTGTGTTACGGAATACGAGGAGAAAACCGGATATAATAACTACCTCGGTAAGTATGTACCTGGGCAATTCACTTTCTACCCCTTTGACCCGTCTTTCGACCGAATCAGCAATTTCACCTACCACATTCCGACCATGTGCATCAAACACCGCCAAAAGCACTCCTGTGTGCACTATATTACCAAAGTGGACAAGCTGTGCGAACTAGCTGAAGCCCGAATTAAAGACAACAAGACCCCACTTCCATACGGGTGCAAAACGAAATGGGAACCCAAACAAGAGACTAAGATGAAATGCCCCGAATGTCATAGCCGATGGATGAAACACCAGGCCGACTACTTTGACGAGAAGTGTACAACCCACATCATGGAGTTGACAAGAGGATATCCCATCGTTGAAAAATACATGGAAATCCAGATCAGAGCTCAAAAGAAGAAATTTGCTACAGGGCACATCCCTAAATGGGAGGCTGATACAGAACGCAACTCTGGAGGAACCGTCTACGATCATTACCCCGCCAAGATCAAGAAGGTTCTCGCCGCCATGGTGAACCTCGTTGCCAAATTGAAGGCCATAAAATATGAGACAAACCGACCCGAGGCAATTGCTCAAGATGGCTACGACAGCGATGGGAGCAGCTGCCCAGGGCTTTCCACTGACAGTGGCTCAGATACCGCGGTATGAGCATCAACTCAGGGAGCAAGCTGGCAAAGAAGTCGATCACGAAGGGAAAGGTAGGTAGGTAGCCACTCTAAAGCAGATCTAAGCCGGCAGCAATACTAGGCTGGCGGTGGTTCGCAAGGCAAGAATAATGGTTTGGTGATATACGGCTATCTACGCCTCCTACGATCAGATCGAACGAGATTGCATAAAGGTTTACTCTTTTTCACCACCGGTTACGTCCGCATTAGGTTGCTAAAGTGTGGTGATTTGCTAGCAAGTAACGAAGATAACAGGGCTTTCTAAAAACTAACTCATTTCCTAGTCTTTAGGATTCCGGCAGGTTATGTCACATCTAAGGCAGGCTTCTTGAACACGTGCTATGTAGTCTTTATATTTACCAACTCGTCTCATCTTGAAACTTACGAGGTTCTCAATGAAATCTCGGTACAACGCAGGCATTGCTAAATGTGACCGGTTTCTGAGAATAACGAACATAGGCTTTTTGTGAAGCTGGAACCGCGCAGTTAGTTGGTCTTCTAGCCTTCTTCAAGGCATGGGATTCAGCTCTCGGGCATTTTGATGCGGGCACGAGTATATAGAGCTATAACAACCTGTTGAAAGTGCATACGCTGTTCTGTAGCAAGCAACTTCCACCAACACCCCGGACACCACTCCTCGCTTAGCCTAGCTACCATTCACACTTCATCTTTCGTAACAACATTGCTATCAGTTTCGCTCATATCCAAAACATCATCACTGCCGCTGGATACACAACTAGTTCACAACCGGCGGCAACTTCACCATGTGTCTTGTCTCCAAAACCACCGGGTACTCCTGTCCACACCGCAAGATTGAGAAAAAGGAATGCGATAAAGCCAAGCAGAGTAAGACGGGAAAATGCTCGCCTTGCACCGACCTTCGAAATGCCCCTGGCGGCTATGAATTCCGGCAAAGTTGGCGGCTTTGCGATGCGTGCCATGCCGACTGGAAAGGTAAATGGCATAATTGGTGGGACGCGACCTGGCGGGCCCTCTTAGACAAGGCACTATACAACCCGGGGCTGTGGCAGGGAATAATGCATTGCAAGGGCAAGTACCAGGGGCATCGCGACAAAACTTTCCGGGAACTGTTCAGCGCTACCGGAGCCGGCTTCTGGGTATATGAACGGTATGAAAAGCGCTTGGACAAGCTGTTAGATCAGGCTCAGAAAGAAGTGGGAGGAATGTTTTGAGCCTCGGTCTACACTCGAGGAGCAGCCTCTCGCTATCGGTAACGGCAGGCCGACTCCGATGGCCATTTTGTTCGTTCGGCCCGTAAAACACCACGAGGTTGCACAAAAGACAAGGCTACACATAAGGACAGTGAGCCCGGTTATGGAGTAAGGGGCGTGGTTGGACTGTCCGAGCCTGGTGGGTGGGCTGGTACCACTGGGGTTGGGGACTTTTGACGGGATGATTGCTAGTGAGCAGGTTCTTAAGAAGGCAATAAACGTTATTTGGCGAATGATTATATGATTCAAGGAGCAACCTCCCTCCCAGTCTTAGCGCTCTCCTTGAGTGCCTCGATGATCCTCAACACCTGGGCTGCCTGCGTGGCCGGCACGGGCACATCCTCCTCCTTACCGCTCTCCACCGCCTTTGCAAACAGCTCATAGAACTTGAGGTACGTGTCCGGCTCGACACTCGGGTAAGGGCGGTCCACGACTGCCCCATCCTCCCCCAAGAGAGACAGCCGTCCATACTCGGCCTCGGTCTCCCTGCCAAACCCAGCGTCCGTCGCTTTCCCACCGCCCCTAAGCTGCCCCTCCTGCGGATCCAGCCCATTCTTGTGATAGCTCCCCTTGCTCCCCCGAACCCAAAACCTAACCTGCTCCGCCTCCACACTAACCACCCCAATCCGCACATACACCACCAGCCCCGTCTCCTCATAGCTCAACACGGCCGTCACACTATCCGGCTCATCCCCTTCCCCCTCAACCCCCTTCACCAGCCTCCCCTCCCTCTGCCTCACAAACCGCCCATACACCCCACTCGGCATCCCAAAGAGCACAAACACCTGATCCAGCAAATGCGTCCCCAAATCAAACACCACCCCACCCCCATCCTTCATCCCCATCCCCGCCTTCCACCCCCCGGCCGCCGGCGGCTGAATGCGCAGCCGATCAAAATGCGTCTCGAACTCCACCACGCGCCCCAGCGTCCCATCCGCAAGCAGCCGCCGCACGGTCAAAAAGTCCGCATCCCACCGCCGGTTCTGATACACGCACAAGACACGCTTGCACTCGCGCGCGAGGTCCGCCAGGGAGTCGGCCTCGGCGGCGGTGGGCACGAAGGGCTTTTCCACGAGCACGTGCTTGCCGGCCGCGAGGGCGGCGCGCGCGAAGGCGTAGTGGGTGTTGGGCGGGGTGCAGAGGATGACGATGTCGATGGCCGGGTTGGTCATGAGGGTGTCGAGGTAGGTGGTGTGGTTGATGGTGGGGTGGTCGGCCGGGGCGGAGTTTCCGGGGGTGGGGTTGCGTTGGAGGATGGTGTGCAGGTTGAGGGAGGGGGTGAGGGCGATGAAGGGGATGTGGAAGACTTTGGCGGAGAGGCTGGGGGTTGGTTGTTAGATTGGGGTTGGGTTGTGGAAAGGGGATGGGGGGACTTACCCGTAGCCTACGATACCGACGTTGAACTGCTTCTGGGAGCTCATGTTGGCGGTGTTGAATTGTGTTGAATTCGGGCGGTTGTTGATGGTTATTGACCTGGGGCTAAGATGATGAGACGGTAGGGTGGCGATATGGGAGATGAGGGATATATTATACCGTGTAGAGAGGTTCAGCGCATTATTAATACAATGAAGTTAAAGGGACTGAGTCAGGTTCTTCTCTCGTCTTTGCGGGGTAGTTGAAAGTTCTCGTATGGCTGTGGGCCACTTAGACATCGGGCCGACAACGCTCGACTTCCTTGGCATGACGTCTCCTCTTGATTTCATCAAGCGATCATCAACGCTGAGGTGAAGGGGCCATTGAGCCTTAATAATAGGTTGAGGATTTGGTCTCTATCGATGCGGCCTTCTATTTCTCCGGTTTTATAGTATGAAACCTGGTTGATGTTGATGATCCAACTCAGGGGTTGACAATTGGGGTGGGAGTGCTGTTAGGGTTCGGGTTAAGGGTGTCCATTCCATTGTTTACATACGAGCCCCTGAATGACCCCTGAGCCCACGGACAAAGGAGTTAGTTAACGCTATGGGCCTTGCTGTGCACAAAATTCACCTTTGATCTTGCCTGACTATACTTAAACCCATCGCGAGTGACGCTGCACCAATGTTTGTATTCTAACCTCCGGCTTTCACATTGTTGACTTTAATCCATTATTCTCTGGCCACTCACTGGTAAGTTGAGAGTTTATTGATGTCCAATGTGTTGTCAAATTTGCAGGTTCCCAAGTTTATGCTACGCCCAAAGGGCCACCAATGCTCAGTCCTCACCAGCCGGCCTGGGACCAAGCCCTCTTTTACCCCCTATGACTTTTAATGCCCCCATCATCCCCTCATCAAGCCAGCTCTCACATGCTATTTGCATGAGCTGTTCACCATGGGGCTCAACATCCTCTAGTCAATGGAACGCAATTCATTTCACTTAATAATATAAGTCGTTGTTGTCTGGGTGTTTTGTTCATGATGCTTGGTAAACGTCAACACCTTTGGCAAGTCATCCAAGCAATAACCGGCCCCATCGAGGCAATCTCCAGTCACTTACCTGTGCTTTCCTGTTTCTGCATGCTTTGAAACCAAAAAACATCAGAGAATGGATGGCTTTTCATAATCGGGGCGCGTTATTCGCCGCTACCTAGTTCAAGAGCGGGTCTGTGGTCAATACCTGGGAAGGCCGCTCAACATCCCGCTTTGTGCTCTTGTTTGCATTCCCTTTCCCCTCCCACAAATCAAATTCTTCCCACTTTACCTACATTCTTATTCCTTCCCTTCCTCTCCAACTCCGGAACCCGCAATCATCATCGTCATCTAGAACTAGCGTCCGCTCCACTCGACTCCCACTCAGCTCGCCTCGATCTTGTCACGAGCGCTTCCCATGCCGAATCTGCCGACCGACCGACCGGTCTGGCCTGACCTCAAGAGAAAACAGCGGGGTAAGATTTGATTGAAGCTCCCGACAGCAATAACCCAAGTCATGGCAAGTAGTAAGTTCTGATCTGTTCTTCCTATTATTCCCCTCCACATCCACACCGCCGCCTAGCGACAGCGACAATTCTGGCTTCCAAAGCAAGTCCCGTCATAACCCTAACCTCTTTTCCCCCGCCCGGTTAACTTGTCGCTGACTATACATCGCTTTTCTTGTAGGGTCCAATGACAAACAAGACGGCCCGACTGCTCCCATGGTGTTTGTCATCAGCACCGCAGCGAGAAACACACGACCTTCACACCAAACTTTCGACTCTCATCGTCCGTTTATAAAGTATGTTACCCCAACCAAACCACGTTCATGTTGGCGATGATGATCCACTCTTCCTTTTTCCGAGCAACTATGGGGACACTCCTGTAGAAATCTGAGCCACCAAAACCTTGCTCATGTTAGAAGCAGCCACCTCTACCTAATGGCTTGTTAACCGCTTGTTTTTATTAGGGCCAGGAAACATGCAGCAACCAGCACAATTCTTCGCTCAGTTGCACAACAATTCGATCACGGATGGTCAAGCCCGATCAATTGGTCGGCCACCTTGCACCACCATACATCTGCCCGCCCCCTGCTCTAGGGGAGGGATGCCTTTAGAGTTCTCCAAGTGAGTCGAGCACCATATTCCCCGTTTCAACTTGGCGACAATGATGATAAACCTTCGAATTCTCCTGAACGCACCTGATGGCTAAATACCTTTTGCCATCATCTGAGCTGAACCCCTCCCTAACGTGAATCAGTTTCTCGCTCCCGTTTGACGGTATGCTAACCGGTTCTTGAACCCGAAAGACACAGATGCCTGAAGCTTTGCAATCGACATCCCATGCCACCCCAGCCGGGTTGCGAAGCGGTCAGCAACCAGATTTGCTCGTGCCCTTACGACAGACAGAAACAAGAGCACATGTCTCTAGCCCAATCTCACCCCGCTCCCCTCCCGTTGAGGACACATCTGTCGAGGCTTCCGAGGTAAGTTCAAGCCCCCATTACACCAACCTGGCGATGATGATCAATGTTCTGTTTCCAGTTGAGAAATGACATGATATGAACTCTACGTATCTGAGCCCCTCCCGACTGTCTCGATAACCCCCAACCTCGAGAGCAATCTACTGATCTTGGTCGTATTTTCAAGAGAAGCGTTCAAAATCGGAAGACCAAATATGATATATGCAACGAAGGCGGCGTTTGTTCCGGCTGCCATTTCCCGTCCAACAGGTCGCCTCTTCTGCCCGCCTACTGGAAACGAACTTTTGAGACAAGGCACACTAATCCCCTCTTAGATTACCCCCCGGCAACCATCGAAACGAACCCGAGCTCTTTTACACGCCGTGCTAGATGAAGGTATCGCCCCTCACCTTGTCTCCGCGGGTCCATGTTCTACCTTCACCAAGCAAGTTCCCCTTTTCTGTCATCCCTAACCGTAAATATCTCGCCCTTGGCACATGATAAATTTACATGTAGTCTCAGTCTCCAACCGCGAGGACGAAGAATACTTTGTTGATCTGACTGCTATATGCAACCCTCCTTCTCCTATTTTCTCTCTTCTATAACGGCTAACCTCGAGTTGTGTTCAGCCGTTTCATACTCGAGCTGATGTCACCTCGCTTGTCTTTTATTAACTAAGACAACGCCGCATTGTTTTGACCGCACCGGACCGCGGGGTGATGGACCTGGACCGACATCCCGCTTAGAACCACAGTGTGCACTCTGGGGGACATTGATGGTTTTTCAAGGATAGACTTCCTCGCCACCCAATCCCCCGATAACGATCACCCTATTAAAGCAAAGGCACGTCGGCCCAACGCCATCCTTCCCGACTCAATATGCGATACGACGACGCGCATGAACACCGCCATCCTCAGCGTATACGAAGAGGCAAGTGACATCCAATCCCGCCCGCTCCCAAACCCTCCGTGATGGAAAGTGTACAACATCAAATGGAGTACTGATAACCCATATGACGAAAGATATTATGGTCTGACCGAGGCCTCGTTCCCCTTTGACTTCATTTCTCAATCTGACTGATGGCGCCGGCGCTGACATGGACATCTCCCAAGCAGAGACGCACCGAATTATTCCCTGGAAATACTTTTCTTCCCGAGCAGTCTACTAGCAACCATTCAACCCCCAATTTCCGCGCGGCAGGTGGTATGACGAGGAGTGGGCCGCGATTCACTGGATGCACGGGGCGGAATGGGGAAGAAAACATCGTACCAGAAACCACTGCGTCGCAAATTGAACAGACAACAACTTTGGGTCAGAGTACATCAACAAAACACTTCACTTGCCGGTGTTTGTACATACCCTCCTCGCTGAAACTTGTGGCTCGGTCTCAGTCCGAGGCGTTGCGTTGACAGACATCAGCCCCAGCCAATCCCACTTCAAGCCGATGAGGCAAAGGCCGGTTTCTCCGTATAATTACATTTCGGGTTCTCTGCTCGTGCCTATACTGAGTTTACACCGCCTCGGGGAAAGCCTGGGATGTGCGGCTGAGCCGGGCGCACTTGCAATTACCATTCGGGGGCATAAACGCAAGTGTCGGATTCAAATCCGACGGCGACGTCAGCGACGCATAATTGCTTGGACGGTTCCCGATTTTAGTCGCAACAGTACCATTGATCAACCACACGAAACCCCTTTCTGTCGACTTTTCTAATCCGACCCCAGCCATACGTATCCTAAATGAAGTTACGCATAAGACCGGATGAACTCGGGGTTGCGAATCGGCGCGATCCGTATTCCGCGAAGTTGAATGAGGTTCCATGGCCGAAATCTTGGCGGCAGGGCTGTATGCTTGTTTGTTGATCGGATGGCTTGGGAGAAAGTTGATAAAGAGTTGCCAGTTCACTTCAGTCAAACAACTCGTCCGACAGACCGTTCAATATTTTGCATCTGCGCATGCTTTCCTGTTGCGATAACAGTCAACGTCAAGAAGATGGTCAAGTTTAGCCCCCCCTTGTTGGGGATGTTCATGGTGGCAGCTACCTTTTACGACGCCATCGTAGCAACAACGTGTGGCCCATCGCCGGATTTAAACTGCGTAAGTCCCATCTCTTCCTCGGATCATGATCAAGCTTGCTGAACCCTTTGCAGTGTGGTATGCTCGTCGCTTCGGGCTTGGGAGATAAAGTGCTCTTGCCCAACCAGACCGAATACACGAGTCGTCTCGGTTCGTACTGGTCTGTGAGCGCCGCTTTGAGCCCATGGTGCATGGTGCTCCCGTATACGGCCGAAGATGTATCTAGCATTATCAAAACCTTGGTGTCGGGAAACTGTTCCTTTGGCGTCAAGGGGGGTGGCCATGGCTCCTTCGCGTTGTCCAACGCCGTGGAGGACGGTGTGACCATTGACTTCGGTACGTCTAGTCCTCACGTTCCAGAGGTTTACAAGGCACAGAACACAATGGTTGACCTGAGCAGCCAATATGAACGGTACCACCTACAACGCTGAAACCGAAGTTGCGTCGATCCTGCCCGGCGGCTCATGGCAAGAGGTGTACGAAACACTGGCGCCGCACGGCGTGACAGTCACCGGTGGTCGCGCAGGTACGGTAGGAATCGGCGGCTTCTTGACCGGAGGCGGCAATTCGTTTCACGCAGCATCTCACGGCATGGCCTGCGACACCGTCGTCAACTTCGAGGTTGTCATCGCGGACGGGTCCATCATCAACGCCAACGCTGAGCAGAACCCGGATCTCTGGATAGCGCTCAAAGGAGGATCCGCCAACCTGGGCCTGGTTACTCGGTTCGACTTGCGCGTCATCAAGTTCCCGGATGCGGCGAAGCCGGATATTTGGGGGAAGTTTCTTTCTTTCGATTTGGCAGACGGCGACAATGCCATCGACGCCATGGTCAACTTCACCGAGCACGCCCACCTAGACCAAAACACCTCGTCAATCATGTTCTTCGGTCACATCCCAGCCGCCGGAGGAATGGTCCTCCATCTCGGACTGGAAAACACAAAGGGCATCGTCGACCCTCCCGCCGTTGCAGGTTACCTCAACGCCGGCAAGATCCTCTCTACCAACTCATTAGTCGTACCCATGGCCGATCTCGTGCGCTCCGAGAACCCAGCCCAGGCAGCAGGCGTCCGGTAAGACGAACCAACCCAACCAACATGCCCCACACACACACAACTAACCCGCGCGCAGAAACATCTGGTTCACCCTCACCTTCAAAGCCGACGCGCGCGTCATGAAGTACGCCGCCTCGCGCCACACCGCCGCCGTCGCCAAGCTCTCCGCGTCCCTCTCACCCGACAGCAACTTCACCACCATGTGCGCCTTCCAGCCCCTCAGCCACGCCATCGCGCAGCACGGCGTGCGCAACGGCGGTAACGTCATGGGGCTGGACTACTGGATGCAGAACGGCGACAGCGGCATCCTGCTGCTGCTCGAGCTCGGTGTCCGGGGGGCCGAGAATGAGGCGAAGGCGTATCCGGTTATGAGAGAGTGGGCGCGGGAGGTGGAGGCTTACGCGAGGGAGCTGGGGGTGGCGTGGGAGTGGAGGTATCTGAATTATGCTGGGCGGGAGCAGGATCCACTGGCGAGTATTGGGCCGGTTGCTTTGGGGAGGCTGAGGGCTGCGGCGAGGAAGTATGATCCCGATGGTGTGTTTCAGACGTTGCGTGGGTCGGGGTTTAAGATACCGAAGGGGGAGTGTGACTGATCATGAGGGATTGGGCTTTTCTTTGGTGGAGCTAAGAGCAGATAGAATAGAGGCGGTAGAGGAAGACTGGATCTAAGGTACTAGTAACTCTGCGCCGCTGGTTTTCAGGTCATGACTTCAGCTCGTTCAGTTTGGTACCTAGGTAACTTTCCTGCGGCGAGATGACCCGGCGGTTACACCGCTTCCATATTTTCCACCCCATTCTCCAGCCACTGGCAGGAAGACACGAAACCCCAGGACTTGCACTTACCCGCACATAGGGGGGGTTGGGGAGTCAAATTTTTCCACCTTATTGTAATGAACCACTCAAACAGTTAAATAGTTAATACACTGCTTAAATGCCCTTGAGGAGAGCATTAATAGTACTTTAACCGCTTGATCTTCGAACGGCTCAACGTAGGAGTCGCTCTTGCCGCTTGAGCGATCTACACGTTGCTCTCGAACACCTTAGGGGAAGGAGCGGACTATAGCCCCTTCCTTGAATGAGCTGTATGTCAATCGAGCCGCTCATTTCAGTTTGAACCGTTCGAGAGCCGCTCTTTTAGCTGAGTTAAATTTTCCCCGCTGGTGTTTTCGTGAACTGTTGACGTGGTGTTGATAACCGGTCCAGGTACCGCTCCTCGACCCCCCCCTTGCGCGGGTAAGCAGCAGTTGAACTCGACCATCTTAGTGGCGTATTCCGGACTGCTCGTGCCACAGCCATCCTTCAGGAGAATGGTATCGAACCCTATGCTGCATGCGTCCTGGAGGGATGCGAGGACACACTGGTCGGTGTTGACGCCTGTAAACAGCAGGGTGGTGATTCCCTTCTCCTTCAAGTAGCCGATGCATGGTGTCGTGCCTCCCCAAAATCCCGACACTCTGCTCTTGTGGAATCGGACGTCTGGTAGGTTCGTCGTCTGGGACTTGTCGAAGTCCCCCTGCAGCGGCCCATGAAGCCTTGTGTTCCACTGGTCGCGCATGAGCAACCTGCCGGCGGACACAGTGGAACCGTCCGGCAGCTGGACATCACCAATATCATCTCCAACGCCGCCGTCCGCCTCGAGCTCCTTCTTGCCACCGGTCCCGTGGTCTTCTTCAGTCTCAGAGAAGCCAAAGCCGCGAAAGATGGCCGGCGGCAACACGTCCAACTCTTTCTCAGAAATTCCCCACCCAATATAGACAATCTGGATGCCAGCCGTGCGCGCAGCTGGGATGCCGGTGCGCAGGAGTGTATCCTCGGCCTCGTGGCCCTCACCACGAACTTTTCCAAAAACGCCGGTGACAGAAAGAGGTTCTGCATATCTATGATAACGAGGGCCGTCTTCTCGGGCGCGATGGTCACGGGCATCGTTGTCGTCGAAAGCCTGATGCGCCGGCCCGAGGGAGCTTGGTCGGGCGACGATGGATGAGTCAAGTCGAAGCCATGGTCCGGATGGAACAACCAAAAGTTCGCCTTTGGATTGCCAACAACTGAAATACTTGGGGCCATAGATTATCGAACGCCTGTTGTTGAACACCGAGAACTGCAACTTGAATGATCTGAGTAAGGCAAGCGAATTTCGAAGTGGGAGATTGGCCGCCATTTTTCGCCTCGAACAGCCGGTAGCACTCGAAGCAGTGCGTAAAGTACCTCTAAGTAGCTAGGTAGTTTACGCGAATTAGGGCAAGAAGGCGGAAACCAAGTTAAGGAGCAGCAAAACGAGCAAAATGGAAAACACCAGCTTTGGGATGATAGGATCAAACATTCACAAATTACTCCATAAAAAGAGGATTTGCTGCTGATGCCTCTTAATCGGGCGGCAGGCTCTGCCGCAAAATTGGAAGCTTAGTTGGAGAGACTACCTAGCTAGACAATGTTTGAACTGTTTATACCGGTCGCCACCATCGCCAAAGACCTTTCGAACACCTGTAAGAGCTACTATAAACAATTCCTCCGCTCGTGCCGCTTGTCCCGTATCGGCGTTAAGAACCCCCATGTTGGCAACGGCGTACAAAAACGGAACGTAGATTATAACAGCGTCTTTGCCTAGGCAGCCTCGCAGCCTTCTAGGGCCCGTTTATACATCGCTTCAGCCTGCTCATATCGCCCTTGGTCCTTATAGAGGACTCCGAGATTGTGAACTGTATCGAGTGTCGATATGTGATCCGGTCCCCATACCTTTTCGTAGCCTTCTAGCGCCCGCTTATACATCGTCTCGGCCTCCTCATATCGCCCTTGGTACTTATAGAGGACTCCGAGATTGTTAACTGTAGCAAGCGTTGATATATGCTCCGGTCCCCACACCTTCTCCTTACCTTCCAGCGCCCGCTTGAACATCGCCTCGGCCTCCTCACATCGCTCTTGTCTCTCATAGATGATTCCGAGGTTGTTGACCGTTTGGAACGTCGATGGATGCTCCCATCCGTACACCTTCTCCTTACCTTCTAGCGCCCGCTTCAACATCACCTCGGCCTCCTCATATCGCCCTTGGCTCCCATAGAGGATTCCGAGGTTGTTGACCGTTTGGAACGTCAATGGATGCTCCCATCCGCACACCTTCTCACTGCCTTCTAGCGCCTGCTCGAACATCGCCTCGGCCTCCTTATATTGCCCTTGGCTCCCATAGAGGACTCCGAGGTGGTTGACTGTTTGGAACGTCGATATATGCTCCCATCCGCACACCTTCTTACTGCTTTTCAGCGCCCGCTTGAACATCGCCTCGGCCTCCTTATACCGCCCTTGGCTCTCATAGAGGGCTCCGAGGTTATTAACTGTGTCGAGCCTGGATATATGCTCCCGTCCCCACACCTTCTCCTTACCTTCCAGTGCCCGCTTGAACATCGCCTCGGCCTCGTCATATCGCCCCTGGCTCGCGTAGAGGATACCGAGGGTTGCTAGCATCCAGCCTCTACTCCCATCGTTATCAACCTCGCCTAGTAATTGTCGGCATCGATCAGCGTGGAGCAAAAGTCGGCGTTCAATCAACCAGTACTCCGGAATCTCTGGTTCCGGCAGACACAGGCTCGTACACTCCATGGCCAGCTTTGCCAAGTCTTGCTCGTCTGGACCACTCAGTACGTGGATCATCCATGAGTGCACACAAGCGTGTACGCTATAGCCACCCAACCCCGACCCCGTTTGCGCTGTTATCGAATGCACTTCCACGAGTCCGTGACCGCAGAGCACCCGCATGTTTTGCTCGAATGCGAGCCGGGTCTCTGTAAGATCTTGGAGCCACTTCCACTCCGGCTCATCTCTTCTTGTACCTCCTTGCTGTAGTAACTCGTACCACAAGTCTTCGTTGCCGAAGAATGCCCACAATCGCAGAAGCATCGCGGCGGATTCGCTCTGGCGCTGGATACTCGCAAATGAGATGTTCCAGGTCGAGTACATGGCACGATTCTCGTACGTGAGGAGTTGTGGGCTTAGCTTCTGCAACTGACCCCACGCGCTCTCGTAATCCTACAAGTATTGTCGCCACGACGTCGAGACCTGCGTGAGATATGCACCGGCCGTCGATAAGGCGAGCGGTAGACCGTCGAGCTTGCGGGCGAGGGCAACGGCGGCAACATCTGTCATCAGGAGAATTTGTCAGGAGTGTGTGTATTTACCGAAGTTGAGGAATAGCCACCTACCGTCTTGGGCTCCAGTGCGACCCGATGTTGACTCGAGAATGCGGAGACTGTCTTCTATCTTGCGCAATTTTTGCAATCGCAGAACCTCGCCGATCTGAACTGTTGATGATCGTGTCGTCACGATGACCGTTCCATGGTCCGTATCAGGGAGGTACTGGCGAATATCGTACCCCTCTAGTGCCGGTTGATCCGCCTCGCTATGCCGGTCTGAGTTGCCGCCGTCTCCCGCGGGAGCTTCCTCGTTGTCGCCTCCCATCTTGGGGTGGTCATAGTTGTCGTAGATCAATAGCCATCGTTCATTCGTCGGTTCGTCCAGCCACCTCCTGACAGCCAGCGATGCATCACCATCTTTGTCCGACACCGTGGTCTGCATGTAGCTCACGGCAGGGTGCTGCCGGAGGATCCTTACAGCTGCATTCCGGAAGCTCTGTTTGAGCGTTGTTTCGTCTCTTGCGTTCAGCCAAATCGATGCAGAATAGTCATTTCTGTGCCGTTTCATGTATGCGATGGCGAGCTGCGTCTTTCCCATGCCACCCAGACCGTGCACAACAACGGTGCGGCGCCCTGACTGCCCGCAGAGCTTCTGGTGCATCCATGCAAGCTCCTCTTCTCTGGCGACAAAGTGGCTTGTTTCAGTGGCTCCCGACAGGCTGGGTGAAAGGGCAAACCGATTGATTTTGCCTCGTGCTGTTTCGCATACAACGTCAATTCAAACTCACGACAGGCATGATGAGGCTTCCCTACCATCGTCTGCCCTCGCTTCCCCTTCCCAACGCCGTTGTACACTGTCCGTGGCATCTGTGACCATTATTTGCAGGTATTCCGACACCGCCACGTATCCGACGTCTGTTTTCGATGGATAGCGGACCATGGAGGTATGATCTGCGTGGATAGCGATCGGCTCGGCATCCGCGTGTCCTGGCACGATCGCCGACGTCCTTGGAACCACCTGATGCTGCTTAGTGTCATTTCCCTGTAGTGGCGAACGAAATCACGAACCAGGATTCTATGCCCCAGAACTGTTGGAGTCGAATACTCTTCGAAGGCATACTTTGTCACAAAGTGGTTGCTGATCGGTGCGTATTGTCCCAGCTGCTGCTGCAACCACTCCGAATCTCGCTCGAGATGTTTCAGGAGTCGGCCGTTGGCCGCAACGAAAAGGGACGCCACATTAGCGAGAACTCGCCCCAGCTGCACGCCGTTGCCGCCCTGGTGAGGAGTTCCCATAAACAAAATGCCATGAGTTGATAGTTTGATCGATCGGTGGTCGGCCAAGGCGCCCTGCCGAGCGGCGTCGGAGTGGATAAGAGCCTGTGTTACCAGTGAACAAAGGTTTCGTGCGTTGAATCAAGCGGATTGGCCTACACTCTTCAAAACGAGCCCTCCTAGGCTGTGGGCGACAAAGATGATGGGTCGGTCGATGGACTAGAAAACCGTCTCAGGATCGGCGCAAGATGGTAAGATGGTAACGGTGCGCACCCACATTCGTCAATTTTCGCTTCCTGCACAGATCGGACACCAGAGTTCTCGCGTGGTCGTAGAGATACTGCCAGCTCACTCGGTCAGTGGCATGGGTATTGGCGTCGTAGCCCCAGCAGAGAATACGAGCTTGTGGGAGGTCTTCGGGGAGCAGGTCTCGGAGCCAGTGGACGCCATTCTCCGCCGTCCATGTTTTCTCTCGGTGGCCGTTGAGACCATGCAGTGCGACGATGCTGTCGTTGTGAGCCAGGAAGGAGCGGGAGCATGCACTTCACAAGTTGATGGCACATACTCGATGATCGGGTCCTGCCCCTCAGAGACAACCTCCAGGCCTTGCGGGTGCTCCACCCTCTGACTCGGCGAGCGGGGCTTCCGGGAGAGCACCTGTTTCGTTCGATCCACAAAACGCGAGAGTTTCGGGAAACCCGTATCCATTACTGCCGTTACTATATCTCTATCCGAGCTTCGTTCGAGGTTCGCATTGAATGTATCACCTTCTATCAGACGGGTGCTTCGTTCTCGAGGAGAAACCTCCAAATCGACGGCGCCCTGGGGTGGCCATTGGGCTGCAGTTTCAGCGCCGGTCATTCTCGGAGCGGCTAAATTTGATCCCGTTTACGTCGCCATGTGGCTAGGACGACCAGAGAGTTTGACCTATCCCAGGGCGGCCAAGGTTGGTCCAGTCAGCGTCTTCAACCTGCACACCTAAATTATGGAAAATCCAGCAAGCCGAACTCTCCACCCCCAAGGGGGTGACTCCTGAATAGTTCAAACGGTTCCATCGGGGTAAGCGAATTCAGATTTTACCAGCATACATACTGGACGGTGTCATCTACTCCGAGGGTTCTGAAGCAAAGACAGATACTCAAGTATTCGAGGGAGTTTCCGGACTTTCTGAGGGCATTAGGGACAAGTCAAAGTGGTAGACATTTTGGGTAGTACTGATTGTGGGCATGCTAGCCATTCTCTTAGCGGTTGTGAAAATGGCTCTATCGGCGGCACAGTTGGCCGTGTCTATTATGAACCCAAGAAGAGAGATTCTGCGAGGGATATTATGAAGTGTCTTGATGTCCGGAACGCTGCACGATTCAAGAGGCTCCTCAACCAACTGATTCGTCAATTTGACACATCACAGGTCATGAGTAGATTCCATGGGCATGCATTCGCAGTCTTTTATTTCAAGTTCCCCGCCGCAACCCCTAGCTTAGCAACGAGAGGAAACTCAAACGTGCCGTATTGGCCACACAAGAATCTTTCCTCAGGTTATCGTGCCAAACCGCACGACGATTTGTTTGTCCGACTTGGCACTTGGCGGCAATAGAAAGACGCGGCCCTCGGTGTCGGGTTACCAGCCCCCCGGGTCTACTCGAGTATGGTGCGGTGCTGAATCGGGCAGGTCGGCATGATGTTGCATCCTCCATTACGACTCAACGCTCGACGCCCTGCTCGTCTTACTTCCCCTCCACCATCGCAGCAAATCCTTCGCCGAACACCTTGACCTCTTTCTTCACAACTGCACTTCTCAAGCCCACCAACTCCGAGGCCGATGAAGCTCTCCCACCTGCTCCCGGCCGCCCTATCCGGCGCAGGCCTGATCCACGCCGCCGTCTTGCCGGCCCCCGACTCACCCTACAAGGTACAATGGACGTCGACGGAGCTCGTCGACCCCGCGCGGCCGGACCCCTTCAACGCCACGCACGCGCGCCGCATCATGATCTCGCGCTTCACCCCGGTGCACCCCCGCGACTGCGTCCGCACCTGCCGCGTGCCCTACATGAACGCCTTCATGTCCTCCGTCGAGGACGCCATCATCGACGCCTTCGTCGGCGCCGACATCGGCTGGCCGCACGGCGTGCTGGGCCGCATGGAGCTGGAGCTGTGCTGTGCGGTGCGCGCCCCCCATAACACCAACACCAAAGTCCATGACCCGCACCACCACCGGCGCTTCCCCACAATCCTCTACGGCACAGGCCGCAACACCACCCGCCTGCTCTACTCCGCCGCCGCCCAGCACCTCGCCAGCGTGGGCTACGAGGTAGTCGTGATGGACCACCCGTACGAGACCGACGCCGTGCAGTTCCCCGACGGGTCCGTCATCTACGGCGGGCGGGTGCCGCGCGACCCCGACGCCGTGGAAGCCCTGGCGGCCGCGCTGGATGTCCGCTCCCGCGATACGACGCTGGTGCTGGATTATTTGGGGGTGGGGCGCGATGAAAAGGGGGTGGTGGGGTTTGTGGGGGATTCGTTTGGCGGGCCGGCGGCCGCGGATGTGATGCGTAAGGATGCGAGGGTGGGGGCGGGGGTGAATATGGATGGGATGATGTTTGGGCCGGCGGTGGATGAGGGTGTGGAGGGGCCGTTTTTGATGTTTGGGTCGCCGGGCCATAACTCGTCGAGTGATGAGACGTGGGAGAGGTTTTTTAATGCGACGGGGGAGAATTATCCGCGCAGTTGGATGAAGGAGTTGAGTTTGGAGGGCGCGATACATGGGTTGTTGATTGACTTTGCTCTGGTTGCAGACGTGGCGGGTCTGAGGGGTGATGACAAGCAGGTGGTCGGGAACTTGATTGGGACCATTACCGGAGCCCGGACTATGGAAATCTTGCGGGCGTACCTGTCGGACTTCTTTGAGTTTACGCTCGATGGCAAGGGTAAGGGGCTGCTTGCTGGGCCGAGCAAAAAATATCCCGAGGTATTGTTCTTGTAGCTCCGGCTGGCGGTTTGTGTATACCGTCGGACTTCCCAGGATATTAACATAACAGCGATGGCGTGATGCCCCTGACCGAACCATGAGTTAGCTCAACTTCGGTAGTTTCAAGGCACAAAGTTACTGGGATCTGATTATTTATCGCGCTATAAAGGTGTATAATGCGTAGTAATGGTTCAGGTACCTCGCTCTGGGCGAGGAGGTAAAAGGCGTTGGTTGTTAGGTAGGTCAGCAGTGTTGGCATTGCTGCCCAACCTGCTCCAGCCTCTCAAATGCAAAGCTACCTTTAAAAGCACAAATCCGTCTCCCAGTTTGCCGGCCGTTCTCCTTCCGTGTTCTACAGAGTCCGTAAGCCCAAACCTCCCACGATCAAAGATCTCTTCAGCTCACTTTCAACCGCTACGATGGCACCGAAAGAGGACGCGATCCTTCACACCATATACGACCCCGAGGTATCCCATTCCAGAGCCCCAACCTTGGAGTAAGCGGGTTTCGTGTTCTCGTTTATTTCGTTTCGTCGAATACAACCAACCGTCCGGAGCAGATACTAACTCTTGCGCTGCAGTCTAGTTTTAGTACACGGGCTGAACGGCGACCACATTGAATCGTGGACACACCAGGAGAGCGGGATCTGCTGGCCTAGGGACCTTCTGCCTGAGCAACTACCCGGCATTCGTGTGTTATCCTTTAGCTACAGTGCTAATGTATACGGCAACACATCCATCGCGGGTATACGGGGCAATGCCCAGAACCTACTGTCAAGTCTCCGGGATTTGCGGGAGGACGAGGAGGATAGTCGGCCTATTGTGTTTGCCGCTCACAGTCTCGGGGGTATCATCGTTAAGCAGGTCAGTGTTGGATCTGGTAGCTCTCCACTCGGAACTGGCCATGGCTGATAAACACCTCGGCTCTAACAGGCTTTACGCATGGCACACAACGATAGAGTCTACAACGCCCTGGGTACCTCAACGGGAGGTTTAGTACGGCTCCCACATGTGTAAAGTATCCGCTGCTAGTGGACAGTCACCGTTAACCCCTAAATGCAGATCTTCTTCGGAACGCCTCACTCCGGGTCGGACAAGAAGCGCTGGCTAGCCATGGCAAAGAAGTTCGCGCCGCTTGCTCCGGGGTCCCGTTTTATCGGCTGGAGCCGGCCGTCGCCGCTGGTTGAGTCGCTGACGAGACACTCGGCGGAACTTCAAGCCCTCTGCGATGATTTCCGGCACTTGGCTAGCTCTTATGACATCATGAGCTTTTACGAGATCGTCGTTTTCCCGGGCTCCAAAAGTACCATCGTCAACAAAACGAGCGCCGTGATGGGCCTGCCGCGGGAGGAGCCGATTCCACTTGACCAACATCACATGGACATGATCCGGTTTGAAAGTAATAACGACTCAGGATTCCTCATCACTTGCAGACACATCGAGCGAATCATGGTCAAAGGCAGACTGGGATAGGTTTGATGGGCCATTGGAGGTTGGGAGAGGACCATGACAACTGAGGTTTTGGAGATCACTTCCAAGAGCTAAGTTGTACTAGAAAGGTCTAACGACAGTGAGGGCTAAATGATACAAAAGAAAGTCTAACGACAGTAAGGGTTAAACAGTATAAAGAAAAGTTCAACGACAGTCTCCAGTAATACCCAGTACGCCTCGCCATGCTCAAACACACACCACCATCACCACCACCGGTTAATCTTGAAAGTCTCCGCCCCCCACAGGCATCAGCTTAACGGGCTCTCGCCGCCTTTAGGAGCTCATTGGCCCTCTTCAGGCTCTGGGCAACCCTCTTCAGCTTCTCGTCTGACGCCCGTTTGTACTGGTCCAACTGTTGCTGCACCGTGTCACGCTCTTGTCGCAAACGGGTAGACATGCGGAGCTCGTTCAGGTGCTCTTCCGTCTTGTCCTGCAGCTGCTTCTCAACGTCCTCCTTTTCCTCCTTCAACTTGGCGAGCTGCTTCTCAACGTCCTCCTTTTCCTCCTTCAACTTGGCGAGCTGCTTCTCCAAGTCCTCCTTGTCCTCCTCCAACTTGGTGACCTTCTCCTCCAAGGCCTCCTTCTCCTCCTTTACCTTGGCGAGCTCGGTCTCCAATCTCTCTTTATCAGCCTTTGTGTCCTCTAGCTCGGACGTCAAGCGCTTCTCCGTCTCCTGCAACTCAACGATCTTGTCTTTCGCGGCATCGAGATCGTTGATCAGCTGTTGTTTGACCTTCTCAGCCTCTGCCTTGTCGGCCGCAATGCCCTTGGCATGCTCGAGCGTCTCATTGGCGAAGGCCTCAGCGCCGTGGTCGTCGTCCGATGTGGCGAGATCGGAACTGCCCTCGCCTGTGGCATTCCTGATGGCGTCGAGCTGGTCATTGCTGTCCTTGGCCTCCTGCCTCAACCGCTTTTTTTCGCGCGCATCCTGCTCCTTATCGGCCGCGGTGGTCTCGATTTCCTGGTCAAGGGCGGCAAGCTCCGCGTCGACGTCGATATCATCATCCACAACGGGATCGGAAGCCACGGGGGGGACAGGGGCTTGTTGCTGCTTGGCTGCTGCGTCCTTTGTGGTGAGCGCAGCTGCGTCAGACACAGAGGCATGTCTGTCCCTGCCACTTTTGGAGGAACCAATTTCTGTCGGGGGGGACATGGTGGGTAGCGTGGAGGACTGTTGTGTAGGTGGAGAGGGAGGATAGGTAGTCAACAAGTGAATGTTTTGGTTGTGGTATTGGTCTGTAGCTCGGGAGCCTTTGGTGCTAATGCTTAGTTAAAGCAAAGAGCGTTCAAGACGAGAGCGGAGAAGGGCATGAACTTATACAAAGACATGTACACAGTACTCTCCTCGGAGCACTGCCCGGGCAGCCACAACTTGCGGGCGCCTACAACGAACCCAATCCAATGCCTCACCACCAGCCATTCACGGTGTTTCCATCTTAGCGTACAATATTTGCGGCCTTACGATCGACGGGATGGGATCTTCGCGCCCGCTAGTTCGAGATGCCGCCATATTCTCGTGGCAGCTGAAACCTGACAGATCGCCATACCGAGTGATGAGTCACATGAAGTCCAGGGGATGAGGCTCTTGGAGTTCAGTCAATGGAAATCTAACTTTGTCATCGCTCGTGACGCAGTTGGGCTTCCTGATTGTCCTATCCCCTTCACCCCCATCACCTCGCACCACCGCGTGAGGCAGAAACAATGGAACGGTGAAACTTGGAAGTAGATCGTAGGTAAGCCAGCGCATTCTTCGGTACTGCGCCTTCAGTAAGGCTATAACAGCTCCGTTCCATGGCAGCGGGATTATTGGGTAGCAATCTAAACATTGGACCCCTTGATTGGCCTGGCGACGCACAGATTGACGAGCGGATATTTTGAATCCGGGGGCCAATCAAAATAGCACACATGGAGAAGCAGATAACTTTGGCTGTGTGTCAGGGACCTGGTATTGCAGACTTTTCTGGGGTAATCTGCAAGTGTTGAGGTCCTGAAGGCCCAGCTCAGCCACCATCTGCACGACTGGTGCCAGCTGTCTTGGGAAAGAGCCGCAATCATGGAGCCTTTCCAATCGCCCTGAGGGTTCGGAACGGGGAACCCGTGGTGGAAGGGGAAATTTTGCGGCTCAAACAGGTCTTCGAGCCTCCAGTGTTCTCGGCGACGGCCGACGAACACAGCCGCCCAACAGTGCCCAACCTGAACTGCCTTGGGCAATTAAAACACCTGACCCACGGCATACGTCAAGCACTGAGCAGCCGTGGACGGGACCAACGGCAGTGCCCGGCTGTGTCCCGTGCGCATATTCTTGGTACCTCAGTGCTACCTCAGACTGACCCATCGGCTCCTTTGCCCTTATCTTCAGCCTCATTCGCAGCCGTACGTCATACCATCACTAGAGCCTCCAACGCGGGTGCCCAGGAGCAAGTGGGCTATGGCGAAGGGTTCAGTTAGGCCGTCCTCTGATGCCCGTGGTGTAAGTGCCGTGTTGCAGAATGCCAGCGTCATCATGTCCACGATATTTAGTGTATCTGCCACGACAGCGGATCCGGACTTCTCTCGCCTTCTCTGTTGTTCGTCGCGTTTTCTGCTTCTCTCAGTCCCATCACACCATTTGCCATTGATCCCCCCACGTGCCCAGCTGTCCCTGCATTCCTTGCGCCAACATGCCGTCACTTCGCTCCCTGTTAGGCCGCAGGGCTCCGTCACCTAACCCACAGGCCCTGCCAAGAAGAACCGGTTTGAACGTCCTTTACGATCCAACTGCCCAGGGGTTCGGAGTGAGCATGGAGTAAGCCCAACGCAACCCCCACCCTCCACCCCCACCCCCGTCACGAGGGTTTGTAGTCCAGCTCGCTCACCAACATCTCTCAGCATCGTTTTTGTGCACGGTCTCAACGGGCATTACATCCACACCTGGGAGGAGTCCTCTGTATGCTGGCCTAGGGACCTCCTCCCGAGGCGGATGGAGAATGCCCGCGTTCTCTCCTTCAGTTACGACGCCGACATCTACAACAGCGCTTCTCTCGGGAGGATCAGAGACCATGGGCTGAACTTGCTCATCCATTTGATTGCCAACCGCCCCCAGACCGGTATAGAGAAGTTCGAGAGGCCGATCGTTTTCGTCGCTCACAGTCTCGGGGGACTGCTCGTTAAGGAGGTCCGGCACCCAGGATTCGACCTCGCGGAGGACACATCCGTTCCATGCTAACGTCGAATAGGCACTTCGGGAGGCCAAACAGCATTCCGAGGACATGGGCCACAAGGCCATTCTCGCCGCTACCCGCGGATTCGTAAGAGCCCCCCACCCCTTTTCTCCTGACCCACCGCGAAAATTCTGCACGAAGAAAAGTCCACTCTCGCTTGCCCGTTTCCATCAAATCGGGACCACACACGATTCAATCGGGTATGGTGTAGCGGTAACATCGTTGACTCTCACTTCTCAGGAGTGACTGCTCTCTCAACAGCCCCGGGTTCGACTCCCGGTATCCGAGTCTCTATCTTTTTTCTCTTGGGGCTACCCCGTTTCCTTTTGCTTCATAGACTCAACCGCAAGTCACGGGAGGGATGGATTCTAAACTGCCCAGAAGGAGATCCTCTTTCCTGGCTGAGAATGGCATTTCCCACCGTACGCAAGAGCAAGGGCTAACCATCCCGTCAAAAACCAGGTCTTCTTCAGCACACCGCACGGCGGAAGCAGCGAAGACTCCTGGCTCCGAATCGCGGACGGCTTCGCCCCGCTCGGCGCGCGACTCGGATTCGGGCGCGGACGTGTGTCGCCCCTCGTCGAAGCGCTGAAGGAGAACGCATCGTCCCTCTATGACCTGGTGCAGGACTTCCGGCACCTAGCGGAGCACTACGCGCTGGTCAGCCTGTACGAGACGGAGGCGTACGGTAGCAGCGGCGCGGCCATCGTCGACAAGTCGTCGGCCTTGACGTATCTGCCGCACGAAGAGCAGTTGGGGATCCCGGCGTCGCACACCGGCATGTGCCGCTTCACTAGCCTTGACAATCAGTGGTTTCATGCTGTCGTCAAACGCATCGAGCGCGCATCCCGGGGCCGTGTGGACTCGCAGGGCCGGAGTAAAGGGGTTGTGTCGGCAGGTGAGCCGGTGGGGGTTCCTGTTGCGTTCACGGGCGAGGCGCCACAGCCGCGGGTGCTTGAGGTCAGGGAAATCACCGATGGTTCTGAGTCGGTTTCTGCGGCGGAGTTTTACGGCCACTGGCGTAAGACCGATGTGAGAGATGTGCTAGGGTACCAGAATGCGACGGCTGTTAGGTAGAGTTCTTTTGATATCAGACCGTTCAGCTTGTCCTTTAAATTGATTCTTGAAGAACTGTCCTCATGGTCCTGCCCTTGGCTCTTGTCCTTCGTTGCTTTAACTAGAACGTCGTGACCCGAGGGTGCCGCCAACCGTGCCGCCGATGACGATGACGACGAGGGCCGCAATAACAAACCAAACCCGCTTTTTGCGCCACCATGTTTCCTTAGAACCTTTGCCCTCATTCGGCGCTTCAGGAGAGCGGGTGTCTAAGATAGGCCGTTCGCCATCCGAATATCCCAAGCCCGGTGGTGATCCGGGTTGTGAGCCGGGTTGTGCGCCGGGTGGTGAGCTGGGTGGTGAGCTGGGTGGTTGTGGGGGAGGTAGTCGCGGCAGCTTCGGTTCAGGCCGCCAATGTTTGGACTTTTTCCAGACGAAGAGCTCCCAAGGGAAATTCCTGGCGGGATATGTCACACCTTCGGCGGACTTAGTCCAGAACCACAGCACCTCAGTCCAGTTTCTCATGTATCCCGTCTCGGGGTCGAAGAGCCTTTGGAATCGCGACCGTTTCTTATACTTCATATGCCGCGGTTTGAACGGAGATCCCGACCTCTGGAGGTGCTCAGTCCAGCGCAGCGATGCGTAGCGCACGAATTTGTTCTTCTTTATACGGTTGTGGACTTTATCTTCCCATTCGTTCCTCTCCTGCGCCGTCACCACGGCTACCGAGGGGCCGGCATTGCTGAAGCGGGGCAAGAGGAGATACTCACCGCAAAGGCGGCTAATAAGCTTGTCCGCATGTTCTTGGGAACAGCGGTAGTGCTGGTGAATGGAGGTTTTGCAGGTTGTGAAAAACTTCCGAAACGAGTCGTGAATGAGGCAAAGCCCTCGAGGCCAGCCCTTGATCAGCCCCCCGCAGTTTTGAACAGCCCAACGTAGGGTGGAATAACGAACGCGAGTCCTCTCCACGTCCACTTCCTGGATGTGCCTCTCAGGAGGCTCGTCTCCTGAATCAGCTTGTGCGAACCCGGCTGCGTCGAGCAGGCCGCACCCTGTCTGTAATTCCTCTGCGTTGATGGCACCAATATGGTGCATAACCCAGAAAAGCACGTTGAGAGAATGCCTTGCCAGCCCGCCGCCGGTCGAGAAGATTCGCTCGATGATAATACGATAGAGCGCATCGAACTTGCCGCCCTCGGGGCTATTGTTGAGAAAATCGAGGAACTTGATCAAAACCGCCTTGTCCGAGAAATTGGCGGCCTCGATTTCGCCCACGAGGACAGCAGCCCACAGATGTGTCTTCTCCTCACCACCCGAGATCGTCTTCCAGAGCAGCCTCTCGAGTTCGCTCTCCCCCGCCCCGCCAGCGTTCTCGCCGACCTCTCCATCACGCCGTGGACCTCGCGTTTCGTCAGGCTCTTTACCCTTGCCATACCTGTGCAGGATTGCCTTCACGCGATCTCTTACGGCACACTTGACGTCATTCTCGAAGCCTTTTGTGCTGAGCTGGTGCACCGGAATCTGGTTCAGATGGCGGAACTCCTCTGAGTCGTTGGAGAAAACTAGGACCTGGAATTGGGCCTTGCGACGCGGACTTTCGGCTGCTTTGAGGGCCACCTCAGCTACCCAGTCGAGGAGAGTTGGCACGGCGGCCTGCGCGTCATGACACTTGTCCACCCCGTCGACGACGAAAACCAAGTCCACCTCGTCGGCCACAGCGAGGATCACTTCCTGCCAGAGGTGAACGATGCGCGCTTCCCTCCACTCGCATACGTATTGCCCGAAGTCATTAACCTCTTTCTCGAACTTGGTCGTCAGGTGACTGACCGACGTCGGCTGGGCATCGAGGATCTCGCGGAGCCAGCACACGGCCACGCAACTGGCCGTTCTGTACTGGGCGGCCATGTCACTGACCGAGCAGTGCGCGACGATGGCCCGGTGCTGGGGTCCGGAAGAGTTAGGGCGTCTGTAGTTCCGCCACCGCTCCGCCATGTGTTTGGCTAGGTGGGCCTTTCCGCACCCTTCCGGCCCCCGGACCCAGAGGGTGCTGAAGTTCCCATCCTCGGCTCTAACAGGCCAGTTATCAAAACACTCTTGAGCGGCTGACTCGCACGTGCCCTCGGCGGGTACAACAGGCCGCGGGCTAGGCTGCATCTTGGAAATACCCAGCCGCTGCAGCGCGCGGCCGTTTTTGTCCTCGAGCGCTGTTTTCCAGCCGTGTTAAAAATAAACCACCGGGGAAGGCCATGAGGCACACTCACTAGTCGGTTTAGGCCAATTGGTGACGATGGCGTGGATCTGCTGCGCCAGAACGCGCACTCCGTTGTTTGTTGCTTCGGTATCGGACTCACCTCCACCCAACTTGCATATCTGGATGTGATCTGCCCCGTCCAGCTTGGTTACAGTTTCATTTGCCCAATCCAGGCTGCCGGAGGCGTCGTTCACGATCTGCCATGTTGATGAGATTGGTCAGCTACGGTGGCCGTGGCGAGGGTAACCAACAACACGTACATACCACTTCCTTCATCCGAGGGACGTAGGCGCCCTCTAGTAGGCCAAGGACCCTGAGATGGGGGATATCATCGGCGACCATCCGAAAGAGGTTCGAGAGATTGTCCGTCCACCTGTAGTTTCTGTCCATTTCCTCGAGCAGTTCACTTGGCGGGTTGTTGCGGAACCGAACGCCCCGGGGCTTATTCAACATCATGAATTTATTGAACGTGCGTGCATCAAGACCCTTGTGAGGTGTCGCGAAGAAGAGCTGTGCCGGACAATAGAGTAAGTTTCTGACAGCGCTAAATGACCACCGGGCGTCCTCCGCTCGTCACTTACAAACCCACAGATAGAATTACGGATGTCTCGATAGCTGCGCCTAGAGTTCCCCACCACAAGGACGTGTTTGATGATGTTTCCACCTAGATTGTGCCCGGCCAAGATCAGAGGGCGAGATTCTAGATGTGGCTTGCCCCTGTGGTCGGTAAGAAGACCAAGGAGATTAATTGCGATGCTCTGGGCCGTCGTTTTGTTGCATGTACTATTGGGGGTACCGGAATATCCGTATACAAAGACCCTGAGGTTGGGGATAGACGGCGAAAGTGCATTCTTGGCCCAGAGAAACCCGTTCTTGGTTATCCAACTGCCGTTCGGGTCACCACCAAGCCCATGAACCAGGACGATGCTAACGGCGGAACTGTCAGGGCACCAACGCATAGGGTCGAGTGAAACGTACGCTGTGTATTTTAGGTACTTACTCAAGGCGCAACTTCTGTTTCGCATCCCCCTCACCCGAACCATCATGCACGAGGTTTAGCCCCCAGCCACCCGCCTGGGCGACCTCATCTTGGACTCGAGGCATGTTTGAGCACTCTAAACGGCCGCCGGGCAAGTCCCGACAATGATGTTCGGATCAAAAACAAAAATTAAAAATTGTGCCACATCCTGGGGAAGGCGGAGGAGTGGAAGTCAGTTTCTCAGGTGTGTTATCAAGAGGCATGCGGGGCTTGCCATGTTCGGGTTATGGTCGCCGAACTCGCTGCAGCCTCGCTTGAAAAAGCAAGCTGAAAAGTGAGACATGGTCCCAGCGGGCCGCAAATCAAACTGGCTGACAGACGCGGGGGTGCAGGTGGTTGCCGAGATCCATCTATGAGCGCCTGAGAAAACCCATCCAAACCCCCCAACGAAGAATCACCTGGGCCAAGTCGGTGTCGCTTTTCTTTTTGGATACGACCTGACCGCTGGAGGACTGGGCACCAGGTAAGCACCTGCCGCCAGTGGGTCGACTGGCGGACCGGCGCGGGGGAGGCCGAGGCCGATCTCTGAGAACCCCCATTTTCGCTAACCAACGGGATTGGACAGAACCCTCCCGCCCACGCACCCAACGCTGCGCCGAGGTCACAATCGCCCACGAGCCCCCGAAGTCGAGTTCGAACCGCAAGCCCGACGGGCGCGATGAGCGAAGAAATAGTACCGAACGTCCAAGTGCCAGCAACTTCAGCGCCCATGGCGGCTCCGGGCGGGGCAGACGACGATAGTGCGCATTTTGCCGACCCTATGGATACCGACCCATCCAGTATCACGCGCGCAGTTGACAAGAGTTGGGACCCGGTCGAAAAAGGCCTGGGTCAACTCATGGAGAATCTTGAAAACTTACCCTTGGGCCCTGGCCACGGCAACGATGTGTCGGAGCTACGCAAGGAGGTTAAGGGACTGGGGGAGAAGGTTGAAGCGCTGAAGGGGAGTATCAGGGAGCTGAGGGACGCTGTCGCGAATGCCGAACACATGGAAGGGGACAAATGGAACGAGAATAATCGACGATTGGACAAATTATACAAACTGGTAGTGCTGGAGCGAGAACCGAGTGAAATGCCCGGAGAACATCTCATGACGACAAGAGGGGTTCCGGAAGCAATGACGTTGGCGTCGGGGGGAGGGACGTCGGCAAGAGGGGCTATACCAAAAAGACCAACCGCAGACAGTGGTAAGCCGCCTAGTGTTATGCGGAAGTTGTTTTCCTCCTGTATGCCTTAAGGAGGGTTGAGTTGTGGACTTTTGGTAATCACCTAGGTAGCGAATGTTCTGCGAGCACCTCGGTGCGGCCCAACTCCCACGTCCCTTGGTAACAAGGCTTCTAGCCAAATGGCCAAACGCTGAAGGCTGAACGCGTTGTTGTCGCTAGACATTGTAGGCGATGAACAGGCAGCACCTCGAGATGAAAGCGTGGACGAGGTTGCGACCTGCGAGGTTTGAGTCTGAGCTGTTCGCGAGCTCAGTCGAGAGGGCTCGAGCACTTCATTAAAGCCCCGACTCCCCCGCCAAAGTCGGTGTGGATGTTCCCCTTGCTGCCGCATTGCAGATCGGGGGACAGATCGCCAAGAACTGTGGATGCAGGGCCCTTTCGGCGCCAAGAGCAGGAGCGGAATGCGACACATGGTGGCCGCGAGCCGAGAGCAACCTCAAAAATTCGGGTTCGCGAAACATCCGGGCTCGAGCGCTTGAGGTGAGCCGGTCTCAGGACGGGAGCCAGGAACCATTCACGCCATTTCGAGCAGCGAGGCAGTGCATAAAAGAATCCACATAAATCTCTTTCAGGAACATGTCGTGATGTCCGACCCAATCTCGAGCCAATTTGCCAATCTTCATCGTAGCCATCACAGCAAATTTGGCACACCCACCATTCTCTCGTCGTGTTCTGGCGCTGATGAACGAATGGTGGAGTGCTTGCTGGGGCTGTGCAATGCGTGCATGCCGAGAGGCAGGGGTTAGCGCCGAGCCAACCGCGACTTCTGGGCAAAGTCTTGTTTCAAGAACCAAGCATTTTTCCAAGACCACCAAGCATTTCCAAGGAAGCCATGCCGATCCCGAACCTGCATGTCACCGACCACTGCCATCATGTCATTGTATCGCGCGCCAAGGGGAGACGACCTCAAACAGCGAGACGGTGAAACCTGTCACTTGGGAATGCCGGCGCGCAACCGCAGACATCCTCCTCGGTCTCCCTGGGGAACCCTGCCAAGCTCATCAAACCTCGGCCAGCCCAGTGCGCCATCAAACAGTGGCCGTTCGTGAAGCACAGTATGAAGTATTCGTACCACAAGCGCCTTCGTGTTGATACGACAATTCCCCTCCCCGCAAGCTAAAGTTCGTGTCCTTTGAGACCACGGAGCCACACCTTCAATGCGTGCGTCTCCGAGAAGGCAGGTGACGGGTCTCATGTTTTCCAGTTCGATCCTCAAGTGTCCCCTTGTGAGAGCACGAGGAGTCGAGCCAGGATGATACAAAGTCCATCGACTTTCCCCTGAGCACAACGAGATGACGATGGAGCGCCTGCTCGCTAGCGCGCTCCCCGAATACAACCCGTAGCATTTGGAACTGTGGTCACGGTGGGGTGGAGGCTCGATCTGCAGTTATCTCCGTAGGCCCGACCGAAGGGGGTGCGTCAGCTCCTTCTGCTCGACCAGTGACCTTTCCAAATGCAGAGAGTCAATGACCAGAACCCTGCACACAGTTCCACGTCGAGTTTCGTCTGGATCCAGCAAGCACGACCGTTCGGCGTTGGTGGGCACATGGTGGGGACACCCGGGGGTGCCTTCCTGCTTTTGAGCAACCCGTCCCCTGATTCCACCGTGCCCCGTGCCTCTGTCTCTCCCTCAGACATTCCAACACATCTTTCTCACTTTTAATTTTGGGGGAAGGGAGCTGCATTCTTGCCCTTCGCTACACACTCTTCCCATTCTGACACTCGTTAACAAACAAGCCTTGATCTTTCTTTTTACCGTTTCCTACTTCCGCGATCCATTACATCACCTCGGGAATAAGCCCACATCAACACGCCCTTCAGTTCTCTGTTCGACTCAATAACCATCAACCAGCAAGAAGAGCGTCTCGGGCCATCGCCAAGATGCGCGCCACGACCGCGTCCATTCTTTCCGCCTCGCTCCTCTTGGGGCAGGCATCTGCCGCTCTCCAGCCCATTGTCATGAAGGTCGATGCCGCCGAACCAACCGTTATTGACTACCTTGCTGACCGTTTCACAGGGAAGCAAGTTCTTTTACGAAAATGGCACACAATTCTACATGAAGGGCATTGCGTACCAACAGGACATCGCCGCCGGGGGTGCCTCGACCGGCAGTACCAAGTATTCTGACCCTCTGGTCAACGTTGAGGCTTGCAAGCGCGATGTGCCTCTTCTGAAGGCGCTTCACACCAACACCATCCGGACGTACGCCATTGACCCGAAGGGTGATCACGACACGTGCATGAAGCTGCTGGACGAAGCCGGCATCTACGTCATCAGCGATCTCGGCGAACCCTCGCTCTCCGTCAACCGCGACAGCCCGTCTTGGGACGTTGAGCTGTTCGAGCGCTACACGGGCGTGGTAGACAACCTCAGCAAGTACAGCAACGTGATCGGCTTCTTCGCCGGCAATGAGGTGTCCAACAACAACACCAACACCCCCGCGTCGGCCTACGTCAAGGCGGCCGTCCGCGACACCAAGTCGTACATCAAGAAGAACGTCGACCGCTGGATGGGCGTTGGCTACGCCGCCAACGATGACCCCTTTATTCGCGCTCAGATCGCCGAGTACTTCAACTGCGGCGAGCAGAGCGACGCCATCGACTTCTGGGGTTACAACATTTACTCGTGGTGCGGCAAGAGCAGCATGACTGACTCGGGCTACGACACCCAAGTCGAGTTCTTCCGCAACTTCTCCGTCCCCGTCTTCTTCGCCGAGTACGGCTGCAACATCCCCGACGGCGCCGAGGGTCGCATCTGGGAGGAGACTAAGGCCCTCTACTCGGACGATATGACCGACGTCATGTCCGGTGGCATCGTCTACATGTACTTCCAGGAAGCCAATGACTACGGTCTGGTCAAGCTCAAGAACGAGGAGGTTTCCACCATGAAGAACTACGACACTCTCAAGTCGGCCATCGCCTCGGTGAAGCCCTCGGCCACCTCGATGGACTCCTACAAGCCGACCAACACCCCCGCCTCTTGCCCGGCAGTCGGCAAGGACTGGAAGGTCAAGGGCGACACGCTGCCGCCGACCCCCGACTCGAGCCTGTGCGAGTGCATGTACAAGTCCCTGACCTGCGTCCCGACCGAGGACCTGAAGCCCAAGGCGTTCGGCGCCATCTTCGACTTCGTCTGCGACAAGTTCCCCGAGAACTGCTCCGGCATCAAGGGCAACACCACATCGGGCGTGTACGGCGCCTACTCCATGTGCGGCGCCCGCGAGAAGCTCGGTTTCGTTCTCGACCAGTACTACCAGGGCCAGGACTCCGCGTCCAACGCCTGCGACTTCGAGGGCCAGGCCACCGTCCAGAGCGCCAGCGACGATGGCAACTGCGAGGACGCCCTGGCTAGCGCCAGCTCGGCCAACCAGATCGCTGCTACTGCCACCGGCTCCAGCGATGCCGGCGCCGAGGAGAGCAGCAACGCCGCCATGGCCGGTGGGCCTCTGCGGGGCGGGTTTGCGCTCGGTGAGATGGCGGTTGGCCTGTACGTTGTCGTGGCCATGGGTGTCGGTGCGTCTATGGTGCTGCTGTAAGGGGAGTTTGGGTAATGGGTGGTGCAGTGGGGGGTTCGTTTTGTACTGGGTGCCAGTTAGGGGTTGGTTTAAACTATGCTTTCGGGCTGCTTTGTTGGGTTCTATCTGTTGTACTTGAGTAATGCCGATTTGTTTGCGCAAGATGATTTGGTCACTGCTGTGATAGTTACGGGATATTTGTTGAGGCACGGGTGAGGTTGTGGCAGATTCCGTCGGGCACTCGTTTTAGTGGGGCCGCGTGCCGCGATTCGATAAGGGGGCAACGGTCGACTTCGTGTTTGCAGACTCTGCACTGCAGAGTGCATGACAACGCCATTCAACACCTTGTACAGATCCGTACATCTCAATATCCTAGATATCCACCGACAGGAACCCTCCACCAAACCACCACCCCCTCCCCTCTCCCTAAATAAGAATCGACACCGCCGTCAACCCCGGATCCAACACCATATACGGGATACTCCCCCGATCCATCGCCACACTATTCCGATAAAACACCTTCTGCAGCCCTTTCAGATCCGCATACAGCTTCGCACTCGCCTCCTTGACGCGCATGTCCTTCTCGTCCCGCTTGTACCGGTACACGTGCCACTGGCTGGCCGCGTAGTTGAGCAGGCTGCGGTCGGGCTCGACCTTGAAGCTCAGCAGCCAGGGCACCTGCGCGGCCAGCAGCCACTGCCGCTGCCGGTTGATGGGTAAGGCCGCTACGAGGTCTCGCTCGCGGTAGGCGCGCAGTTGGTCGAGGGTTGTGGGTGGTGCGGTGCATAGGGCTGGTGGTTTGGCGGCGACGAAGGCTTGGTAGAAGTTTTGGAGGTAGTTGATGGCCGTGTGGAAGGGGGATGCGATGAAGATGCACATGGTTGTTGCGTCGACTAGCGAGTCGAGCGTGGTGAGGGCTGGGAAGGTCGGCATGTGCCCTGCTGTTTGCACCTCGGTCGCCCACTGCTGGAGCGCCTCGTCCGCGGCTACGCTGGCGTCGGTGGGGTAGGCGATATGCAGCATGGCTTTGGTGTAGGCGTGGAGGGCGGTCCAGAGGGCGAGCACGTTTTTGGCGTAGGGGTAGTTGCGGTACCGCGGGTGCGCGAGGCCCTTCTGCGTGCTGGGGAAGCCGCGCAGCTTGAGGTCGTTGGGCACGTAGCTGCCGACAAAGTCGTACGTGTCGTACGCGTGGCAAAGGAAGTGGTAGGCCTGGTCGGGGCTGATGCCCATGATGTCGACTGCGATCTGTGGCACCAGCGTCGAGCGCCCCGCAGCGTTGAGTGACAGCGTCTTGTACCAGTGCGGGTAGAGCAGCCGGTACACGGGGTGGTCCATGGGGATGGAGCGGTTCGTCGCGATGATGATGGCTTCCTCGACGAAGTGTGAGCACGTGAGGTGCACTGCTAGCTCATGGCGCATCCAGTCAGTGGCCTGGGCGCATGTCTTCGCGTACCGCCAGGGCCAGTCTTGTTTCTCGTTTCTGGTTGAGTCACTGGGGGACATGCGATTGTTGAAGATGGTGACGGAGTTGTCCAGTGATCCCCTATAGTCGATGCAGATAGCAACGGGATGCAATTTTCCGTTCTCGTGTAGCTGGAAGAGGCTGACTGCGCCCACGGTCCAGCACTCCTCGCTGCCTGGCTGCTTATGGTGAAGGGTCTCAGCCGGGTCCGACACGCCGACGGCTCTCCGGAAGAAACCTCCATCCTGCACGAAAAGAGACTCTGGGTCTGCCCTGGTGAGAGCCGTGGTCCATCGGCGGTAGTTTCCAGCTTGTGCTGCCGCGCAAAAGTCGGCGATCCACGCTGGGGTGGCGCGCGTGATGGTAGTGGGGTTGGTGCCCGTGAATTGCTGGTCTGCAAACCGGCGGTCGCTAAACCAGTCATCTAGCAACCCGATGTTTCCGCCGTGGTCAATATCCGTACCGAATTTGCGGTGATACTTATTGTAGTCGACAACATCCTGAATCGTGACCCCCTCGTCCGGGTCGCCGCCGAACGCCGCAGCGCGGGCCTTGTCGAGTAGGAATTCTCTCGTACGTCCACGGATACCCTCCTCGTCGGGTATAATCTTCTGGAGGAGGACTTTAGTCTCGATCAAGCCTGCAATGTTGAAGACCCTAAACACGCTGACGGACTGGTCTTCGGGCACGTGCTGGATGTGCGGCGGATACTGGGTCGGGGTTCCATCAGCATTTTTTGGGTATTCCGAGAACTGATAAAGACCTCTCTGCTCCTGGAGGGTACGGTGACGCGGTAATGTCGTTTCAATGCCAAGAACGTCGAACAGCGAGGCGAACCTAGGACTGAGGGTAAGTATCTTGCTGGTGTTAAGCGATCACTTAAGAGTCAGGTAACGAATGAAGACACTGACCTCTGCTCTATCCGTGAGTAAGCCTGGGTCAGCGCTACCTGCGTCCCTACGTAGGTTCCCTCCACGATATTTCCCTCCGGCTCTCCCACAGAAGACGGGTCCTGGGGGTCGACAGATGGGTACAGCTTCTGCTTCATGATCTCATTGTCGAAAACGCCCGGGTCAAACGACGGCAGCGGAACATCTTCGACAGCATCAGGTAGAGTCTGAGCTAAATACTTTGTTTCCGGCAGGTGCTTGAGTATGGTCTGCTGGTTGGGACGCTCGGCGGCTAACTTTGGGGGAGGGGCGGGGAGGTTAGGGTTAAGTGGTTTCTGGAAGAAGCTTTGGACAAAGGCGATTGCCCGACTAGGCCACCACGGGCTTTCCCCGCCAGGCATGGCGAAATAGTTGGTGGTGAGTGCCCTTGGTGTTCAGAGTAAATATGCGCGGGATATATTATCACAGTCCAACGTGAACTGTGAACACGGGGTTAAAGCGCGCAAAGTACAACGATGCCACAGCCATTTCGATTCTACTTGCGTTGTTTCCCCCATGCCGCGGATCGGTGCGGCATGTGCTTCGATGAGGGGAGACCGTCGTCATTGGGAACGATAGCTGACGCTAAGCTTTCGTCCCATCTTAACACGCAGTCTAGAATCCGGACGCTTGCCCGGGTCCCCATGACATTGCTTCTCATTTCTTTTGGCTTCGAACCTGAACACCATCGAGGTCAACAGCTCGATGCAGCAATTGACCACGACCGAGAGGAGGACCGTGCCTTGTGTGATGCAAACATCCCCGACGATGCCAAACGCACAGCTCTGGCCAGCGTATGCTCCAGTCCTCCTCCTGTCGGCGGCGAATTCATGTCATCGCAACACCTATGTTTCGGAACTTTGACTCAATGGCCCCGGGGCAGGTAGAATAGCTGGGCCGTGGCTGGCCCAGCCGGTACCAACCCCGAATCATCGTCAACCCAGGAGATGCGGTATTGGCCCTCGGAAGTGCGAGCCATGATGGATTCCCACTCCTGTGCGCCAAAGGCAGAGACATACGATCTTGGCATGGCGACTTCGCACATTCTGAGGCTTCTCAGACGTTGTATGGGACCCAAGTACAAGTCCCGCAGCGCAAATGGGTGTGGGTTCTGGTCGGTCTGGGGACAAGGAGGCATCAGGAGGGCGATCCGTAGGCGGGAGAGCACGGGCATCTCGGCCAGAGCATCCCAAAACGCCTCGTAGGCATCCCGACCGTAGGAGTGTGGCACCATGCTGGCGTGATTCCGATCAAAAGGGGCCACCTCCCACTTGATCTCAAGGGATCGTACGAGAGGCCAATGCTTGGGCATCTTGGCCTGGAGGCTGCGGATGTCATCGACGGGCAGTCTCCGGCTACCGCTGTTGATGACGAGAAATACGTTGCTGTGGTACAAAACAGGGATGCCGTCCATGAGCCTGCGCTGCTTTAGTCGGTGGGATTTAGCACCTATTGCGACGGCAGACGCAGACTTACGCTCGGTGGCATGTGAAGAGCATGGAAATGTCGAGGGCTCGGCGACGGGCAGCGGTGAGACAGTAGTGCTGGTGAGCAATCACACGGCCAAAAGGCGTCTCCATTCCATCCTCGCAAATGCCATGCCGCCATCTCCGCCTATTGCCCACTTTGTCGGCGCGCAGGGGATGCGGCATGAATTCGAGGTGAATTCTTCGGCCACCAAAAAGCTCCGTGAAGATCAGGGCGCGCAGCTCGGTGGGGAGTTTTGCAAAAAGCGGCGACGCCAGTTGCTGGTTAGGCCCGGGAGATGATTGGCATGACCCAAGATTGGGGTTCATCATGGTCACTTCCATGGTAATTTCTATTCGCAGGGCACTGACGAGATCTCGAGTTGGATCCTGGAAAGAACGGCAGAAACTTGAAGGTTGATATGTGTTCTCGATCGTCCGGTACACAGAGTGCGGCAGGTGCGGTGGGGTGAGGGGAGTCTGCAAGAAATCGTGGGGAAGTGGGGCACCCGATGGTGGGGTAATTGGATAGGTAACTCTCAAAATTACAGGCGAGGCACAGCAGCACAGCACAGCACAAACAGGTTCCCCTCCAATTCCACTGTGTACCTACACAGCATCATCGCCTTCTCATTTCTCGCGACCTCGCCTCGGTATTTGTATTCTATTGGAGCATGCCGTTTGATGGGCTCTGACTGTCAGCACTTTAACTTGACGACCAACCATCATCAATCAGCCTTGGGGACCAATCTGGGAGCTTGTGTGACAGCTCGGGACGGACCTCATGCAAGGTCGAGGCGCCACCTCCGATCCTTGCACCCTTGCATGCACCCTTGAGCATTCCAAGTTTTTGGAACAAAAACATGCACCCAAACAACCTGCACAGTACAGTCAATGACCGATGTTATGGTTTACCGGGACGCATATGAAGTCTACATTTGAGAAATTTGCCACATGGAAGACTTTCTATTTGATGGCAGCACCAACAATCGCAGAGTAAACTCAGTTTGTTCCTCACAGACGCGAGGTCCGCCTCCCATCCCATGCTCTCCCCCTTGCGGCCCCCATCCGGAGGCAACGCTACCCCGGCAGCCCGGGTCGCCCGGACGAGGTTCCTTCCTGACCGAGGCTCGGACTTCCAAAGACCCACATATTGATGACGTCCAGCTTTAAGTACTAAAGGGTCCGATAGTCCGTTACTGTCTGGATTCTTGTTCCAAAGGGGGACCGTCTCTCCCAAACTAATACACGAAAGGCACAACACGCGGTCATGAGGTTGCTCTCACTCTCCCTCCTTGGGGCCTTGCTTGCCTACGTGGTCTACACTGCATACCCTTCTATCTCCCGGGCAGCCATTGTGTTCGGAGCACTACGCAAGTATCCCCATGGCGCCACCGTTCAGGGCGACGTGATTGCCATCCCGGACACCGTCCACTGCGAGGACCTTCATTACCATGCCCCCAGCGGGACCCTTTTCACTGCCTGTGAGGACGATCCCGAGGCAAGGTTCAAGTGGTTCCCTCCGCTGGCCAACTTCGACAACCCGGAGCTGGGCAGCAAGAGCCGGGGCTCTTTGCATGTGATCGACCCCAAGGTAAGCAGGACCTGTTTTGTAACATAGCCGCCACTAACTCACTCGTCAAGACCATGAAATCGCAGAGGCTCAAGTTTGAGAACTTTGACGGGCCCTTCGTTACCCACGGCATCGATGTGATTCCGGACCAGGAACGGCCGGACGGGGAGGCCGTGTACATTTTTGCCATTAACCATGTGCCCGAGTCCCAACCATCCGGTGAAAAGGGGCCGCACGCCCGCTCGCAGCTAGAGCTCTTTCACCACGTTATTGGGTCGTCAGCTGCTAAGCACATCCGTTCCATCTGGCATCCCCTCATCAAAACCCCCAACGACGTCTTTGCCCAAAGCGTAACCTCCATCTACGTCACAAACGACCACAAGCACCGTCACCACGGATTCATGCGTACGATTGAGGATGTCTACTTCGGCGCAAAGTGGACCGAAGTTGTGCATATCCAGCTTGAGTCATTGGCTGTCGCAGAGGCGGCTGCAGGCGTCACTGGCAATGTTGCCTTGTCCAACATACACAATGCAAACGGTCTCGGGCATGGCCGGTCAAACCGCGAGATCCTCATCGCAAGCTGCTCAAGCGGACTGCTCTATATCGGCCAGCTCCCCGAGGATGGAGCCGGTAACATCACACTAGTGGACTCTATCGAGGTCGACCACGTCGCCGACAATCCTGCTTATTTTGCCGACCCATACGCCACCCCTGGCAATGACAAGAGCGGGTTCCTTGAGACGGGCCTGGCGCGAGCCGTCGATCTTGCCAAGAACATGCGCGACCCGGCCGCCAAAGACCCCGTTATGGTCACCTACATGAAGCCAATCTTGTCTGGTGGTTGGGAGAAACGGGTGATCTTAGAAGATGATGGTACTAAGATCAGGACCGGCAGTGCGGCGGTTCTCGTGGCCATTGACCCGGCAGAGGGGGGAAGTGCAGGGCCATCGAGACAGGCATGGCTGTTCGCAACGGGCTTTATGTCCAACAACATCATCGCAACCAAGGTTGACCTGTAATCTACCGTACTCGAACAAATTAACTATTCTCTAAAAACCTAGCCATTACCTCTCTTCTCTTAGGTATCTATGCCTTTGACAACTCGTGAATCCGCTCCGTATAGTATTGCTGCCACTAACGTCAGTCTTGATCTTCCTGCCAGTAACTCGCCACTTACACTATCCATTCCTGCGCCGACGATCGGGAGCCCGATCCACTTGAAGAACCAGGGTGTTTTGTTCTTCTTCCGGTACAGCGTAGCGTCCTGGTCCTTGACCTCGGCGTTAAACATGACGCTGTTGGGGGTAGAGGGGTTGAGGACGGCGGGCCTCCCAAGGCCGATCAGATCGCAGTCGCCGTCGACAACTGCCTTCTCCATCCCGCCCCGGCTGCTGAAGCCGCCGGTGACCATGAGGGGGACATCCGGGAATTCTTTCCGGATGACGTGGGCAAACTCGAGGAAGAAAGCCTCGCGGGCCTTGGTGCGGTCCGACTTTTCCTCCGGGCCATCTGGGCCATCATTGCCCCATATCATCTAGGTTCAGTCAGCCATCGAGCCATCATCGTCACGGCACCCGCACCCGCCAACAAAACGAGCAGTAGCAAACAACAAAGAGAACATACCTTCGGATTCTCAAAACTCCCACCGCTCACCTCCACAAAATCCACCCCGGCCTCCACGATCGCCCTCACCTGCTCCACACAATCCCTCATCTCCCCCTCATTCTGATGATCAGCACTATTCAGCTTCACCCCCACACAGAACCCCTCAAACCCCTCCACCGCCTTCCTCACAGCCCTCACCACCTCCACCACCACCCTCGCCCTGGCCCTCGCATCCCCACCATACCCGTCCCCCCTCACATTCGACCTCCCACTCAGAAACTGCGACAGCAAATACCCATGCGCCGCATGCACCTCGACCCCCTCAAACCCGGCCTCCGCACACACCCTCGCCGCGCGCGCAAATTGCGCCACCACGTCCCCGATCTCGTCCACCGTCAGCGCGCGTGGCGTACCAAACCCCAGCATGCGCACCGCCGTCGCCACCCAACCGGAGCCGAGAGAGACGGGCACGGCCGAGGGCGCGACGGCGGGGGCGAAGAAGCCGCGCCGGCCCGTGCCGCGCGGGGATTGGCGGCCCGGGTGGTTCAGCTGCCCGATGGTGGGCGTGTGCGTGTCCCCCTGGCTGGCGCGCGCGAGGGCGGAGTAGGCGGGGAGGAGCGTGGTTGGGGGCAGGGAGGGCGGGATGGCGGAGTCGGCGGGCGCGCCCAGGTGCGCGTCGTCGACGTGGACGTGGCCTGGGGGGGTGGTTAGATATCGGGGGGGAGTATTGAAAGGGGTAAGGTAAGATATGGGTGAGTGTACCGGTTATTATCAGCCCCCAGCCGCCTTGCGCCCAGTGTTTGTAGAGTGTCAGGAGGCGCTCATCGGGGAGTTGGTTGGTGCCGGCGAGTTGCTCAGCCATGGCGGCTTTGACCAGCCGATTGGGGAGCGTGAGGCCGCATTTGAGCGTCAGGGGCTGGGCGATCTGGAGGTCGAATTGTCCCCCCATTGTGAGGGCTGTGTTTGTGATGGGGGGCAAAGATGGCGGGTATCGTTTAAAAAAGGGGGACTGTCGTTATTTCTGCTGACGAAACCCCTGAGAAGACTACGACCTCAATACAACATGATACGGGACGATGATCGATATCTTATACTGTGTAGTCGAGTTGGCCACGGGCTCTCTTCCCCACCCGAAACACAAGATATCCCGGCAATACGACCCCTGGATGCCGAGGCTGGCGAAAATCCTCTTCATCGCAGGTTAGTCTTGAGGCCCCCACCCAAAGCTCCGCCGGCGGGATATCGCGCCGGGGCGAGCATATGTGTCCGCGAGGAACGCGGGCCACAATTCGGCCGAGTCTTGGGGCTTTTTTACGGGTTGATTAATCAACAAAGTTCTGGACCATACCTATGTTACTAGTGCTCACTAAACACAACTCTCAAGTTTCCGTTCTAGTGAATTGTCATCACTTCTTGAAATATATCAAGAGTGAATAGGTAGTCAATATGCAGAAAGTCTTGCCCTCCCAAAATATATAATACAAGATCCCCCCCTAGCAAAACATACAGAACGATGGTTTTTGCTATGCATGGAAGAAAGTGACAACTGCAACCAACAAAGACCGAGAATAGACTTGCAAACAAAAACTAATATTCGGGATTTGGTTAGTCCCAGGGAAGAACCTGTGGAGTTTAGTTGTAACAAGAAAAGGGAGAAGAGAAAATCAGGATACGGGGTTTGAAAAGGGGGATGGAGAAGAAAATGAACGACGGGTGAAAAGAGATGAATGAGTCAATGACGGTGAAGATCCATACCTGTAACTACCTTAGATTCGAGCAGAGCATGTTAATCGTGGCATTTGGGCCTGTTTTAGAAGAACAGTCAAAAAGAGAAGCGCTCTACTAAACCCTCATATACCTGTTCTGTTGAAGGGAGGCATATACACCCTCGCCTAACTTTTATAGCTGCTCTCGAGCGGAGGTCTCCCTTGCCGCCTTCTCGGTTGTTAATACCGAGTATTTCCGGTGGAACTGTCGTATGAGTTCACGTAGACGGTGATATTCTCACACTATCTCAAGTTAGTCACTTTGGCGGAGTGGTTAACGCGCTGCCCTGCTAATCAACAGTTAGCGTGTTAGGCAGTTCCCTCGGGAGCGCAGGTTCGAATCCTGCAGGTGACGTTTTGTTTTGCTGGAGGAAGCATCTTCTCCTTTTTGTTTCGTCGACGTGTTCACTGGGCTCAGCTACCTCGATATGGACGCCTCCCCTAACCCGGCTGAGTGGTGGCTTTGCCAGTTCTATAAACCCTGCCAACATGTTGAATATGAGTTTGACCTAGATCTCCATTTCATGTACCTAATAGTGTTGACAGACGGCAAGAATGGCGTAGTGCAACAGTGCGCGGGCCAGGGGCACCAGATATAAACCCCGAAAGCGTGGCTCTTACTTTTCACCGGCCTTCTCAGCTTCCTCCCTTGCAACCCTGCGCCAGTGCTTGGGGTAACCCCTTTCGACCCTCCACTCCTCAGCATCCTTTTCCACTGCATGCAGCATTATCTCCCTCCAGGTACCGATCATGTCCTGCCTCCAAGTCATGGCACCCCCGAAAGACCACGAGATGGCGCTCTCAGCTCTCGCGCCATCGGGAGAGTCCAACAATCCGACCGCCACATCGACGATGTCGGGCCTGTCATCTACGGCGTAGAACAGGGTTGCCGAGCATCTACCGCAAAAGTACCGCTGAACGTCAGGAGAACTGGCGTAGAAAGCGAGCGTACCTAGCCTGGGATCGCGCCCCTCACCATCTTTTGCCTCGGTAGCTATCCTCAGCTGCGACGTGTCTCGGGGGAACCCCTCCTTGTTGGCGCCCGCAAACGATATATGCCTGAGCGCCGCAAAGGTCCAGTTGTATACCTCGGATCCGGCTGCGAGCCGGCACGAGTCGCAGCCATCCAGCGAGCCCATGCCCTTGTGCGTGACGGGATCAATATACCACGGCAACTCCCCACCCCTTCTCTGCGTCTCCTCAAACTCCCTCTGCGCCTCGCCCGCGCGCAGCACCAAATCGATCCCGCGACAGTGGCACCGAAGCGACACATCCCCCTTGGCCCCCTCAGTCTTCAACCCAGCCTCATACCCCTTCTCCAACGCCCCCACCGCCGGCCACCGCGCCCCAGCAGGAACCTCTTCACTACAATCGCGCCCACCAAGCCACACTTTCGCCGCCGGCCCCCCCTCCCCATCCATCCCCCTCAACCACGGCAGCGCCCCCCCATCAAGCGTATCCCCCACAAAAATATGATCCACACACCTCACCACCGGCGGCAGCGTCGCACCCGGGCCGTCCCCCTCCACCGACAACGCCCCCGTAAAAGCCAAATACTCCGGTTCCCCGGCACCGGCACCACCGCCCTCTGCCGGGAGCTGCTCACAAAACAAGGGACTCCCACACCGCCCACAGAACAGTATATTCATCTTCTCCGTCTGCACATACCGCCGCAGCGTACCCCCACCCTCAGCATCAGCGTCAGCAGCGGCGTGGATGACGTTGGCTGGGCCGGGCCAGGGCGCGTCGGAGGAACGCAGGGCGCCGGTGAGGTGGCGGCAGGAGGTGCAGTGGCAGGAGGAGGACGGCAGGGGGAGGGAGGTGGTGGGGAGCGGGGGGGTGGCGAAGGAGTGGGCGCGGCAGAGGCATTGGGCGTGGAGGGTTATTGTTTGCTGGGTGGTGGTGGTCATTTTTTGGAGTTGGGTGGTTTGATGGTGAGTTGAGAGAGGCTGTATTTGGTTGGTGGTTTTGTGGTTTTGTCGCGGTTTGTTGCGGGGGAGGACGGCGTGTCGTCGTTGTGTTTAAGTACTCCGCTGTTGTGCCCGGAACGGAGTCGGAGATACGGGGTGGTTTCGTGTTGTCGGCCCGGGTGTATCGGTGCCGATGCTGACGGTTGGGGTAATGAGGGGTTGCGAGGGATGAGCATCGATCTTGACCACAACCTTGACGAAAAGAGGAAGGTCGCTGTGCAAGAGTTGGAGATAACCCCTTTGTTGCCTAAAGGGGGTCGAGAGAGCGTACATGATTACTCCGAACAACCACACTCCCAGCAACACGAGTATAACAAACAATAGGACCACTGCCATTGCTGAAACTTCCCAGAGTTATTACCTAAAACTTCCCAAAAAGAAATGATCATGCCGCTCTCCAAACGGCAGCCCAAACTCCCAACCCACCCACCATTGTAACTAATGCAAAGACAAAACAAAACACGCTCATCAACCACCCCCATCTACGCCACCCGATCGCTGTTCCTCCCCACCGTGCTCGGGCTGCTCGGCCCGTCCTCCTCCAGCCCGTCGTCCGTCAGCAGCTTCCTCCGCGCGGCGCGCTCCTCGTCCTCGTCATCGCTGACCAGGCCGTCGAGCTCGAACTCGTTGGCGGCGCGCAGCTGCGCATCGTCAACACCGCGCACCGCCTGCCCGTTGGCGAGGGGCTTCTTGGCGACGGGGTTGGCGCGGTCGTAGATGTGGATGAGGGTCATGGTGAAGAGGAAGAGCAGCGAGGCCAGGCTGTACAGGATCATGACGTAGGCGACGTGGTCGATGCCGGAGCCGGCGAGAAGCACCATCTGCTCTTCGGTCGCGCCCATGAAGAGGAAGCCGGCGGCGTAGAGGAGCTGTTGTCCGTGTTAGTCTTCCTTCATGATAGAAACAACGGTCGAGAACTTACGAAGACGGGGATGAACTGGAAACTGTTGGTTTCGGTGCCGTCTTCAGACACACTCGGCTTATCCCTGAGGATAAACGAAACCTCGATGATCCGGGTGACGCCAGCCGCCATGAGGGTGTAGCCGAACATCTGGTGGGTCATTGCGCTGATCATCAGCTCTTGCGGATGGGCCGACATGCCCCAGCCGGTAATGAGGATGACGAAGCCGGGGATGAAGTTGCGCTTCGGCGCGCCGTTCCTGTCCCTGCTGAGCCACACGCCCACCAGGCCGGCGCTCCACCAGATGATGCCCATGGTCGTGTGCTGCCAGTCGTTCCTGACCCACGCGGTGCCCCAGCGGTGCTCGGTGAAGGTGTTGACGCAACCCCAGGCGGCGATGACGGCGCTGTCGAAGAACTCCTGGCTACGGCCGGTGCGGCGGAGCCAGAGCTGGCCGGCCAGCAGTAGGATGGTAAGAAGAACGCCGTAGGCGATGAAAGCACCGCCCATGATGAAGTGGGCCAGGCATTGCCCCAGATGGTCGCCCTGGCAGAAACCGAGCGCCGTGATGCCGCCAAATATCATCTGGACCCATGCGTAGATCGGAAACGCCTTCCCGTTGATGCTATGTACCAGTCGGAAGAAGGGTCGGATACGGCCGTGAATCCCCTTTTCGAGATGCAACTTCAGGTAGACACCGAAGACAACCTGAGCCACCATGAGGAAGAAAAGAGGGGTGGCGGCCTTTGCGTGGACGTTGTTTGGTTGGAATTGCCGACCGCGGTGCAGGTGGCCGAGGACGTAGCCGAGTAGGGCGAGCGCGGTGCTGAATATTTGTAACGGAACGTGCCACCGGCTCTTGACTATCTGCACATAGGGTCGTTAGTCCGAGACAAGCTCTCCCGATTAACCGTTTACTCACCCCTAGGACCATCCCGACTGGGAAGAGGATGCCGAAGGCGAGCATCTGGACGAAAATGTGTATCCATAATGTGGTATCCTATGCCTTGTCAACCCACTGCTGGCCATGCGAGTTTGACATGATGATGCCAGCATACCATCGGCTCGAGAGAAACGGCTTCCCCCTCGGGAATTTTGTCCGTGTGGTGCCCTCCATGTCCCAGCGCCGTCGGCAGAAATGCCGCCGCCAAAGCTATCGTCGCAACCTGTTGTGAGAGTCGAAGCCGAAGTGGTCGCACCGAGGGGCCACTGCCCCGACCCGCATGGATGTTCATGGTGACGTCGGGCGGACAAGGAGCGTGGTGATCTTTTGAGGGGCAGATTCGCAAGATCGGACAAGGTTACGGTCGGCTCGTGCGACGTGGGATGCAGCGCAATTGAATGCCTGCCGCGTAGGTTGGTGGAATCCGTCGTGTGTTGGTTGGGAAGAAAAAGGAAGAGAACGATCAGATGTTGGCGCGGAGAGCTGAGGCTCGGCCTCGTCGGAATGATCCTTTGTCACCAAGAGGCCAATATCTCCTGAAGTCCCGCCCGGTACGTACCGATCCATGCATCATGCGAAAGCCTTGACTCTGATTGGATTCGGCCTTGCAGAAGTGGGGTTCAAATTTCTCCCTCCTTCTCGGCAAATGCTGGGCTCAAGACAGCGAAGCTTGGCCTGGGAACTGACAACGAAACCTGAGTTCGTATTAACGGCTGTATTAAAGAATAAATAATCTGTGGGAGAAGCAGAGACAGCTCCGGCAGGTTCAAGATATTTCCTGATTTCTAGCAGTTTGAGCGGCATTTAACGACTTTTCCTCACCTCTTTCATCTCTCACCCCTTTCATCCATCACTTTTTCGACTTTGGTTCTCCGCGGACCTTTTTCTTATCCCGGGGACCTTCATCATTTCGACCGTTCAAACTTCAGACCCATGCTTATGCCGCCACCTTCCCCTCCACCGCCCGCTGCATATCCTCCTCCCATTCCTTCTTCACCCTCCCCGCAAACGCATCATCACTCAACATCTTCCACCCGACCGCCGCCATGGCGCGCCCGCACTCCAGCGCCCGCTCAAACGCGTCCGGCGTCCCAGCGGCCGCCGCAAACCCCTTGGTGTGGTTTGCCTCGCCCTCCTTGGTGTCGATGCCAAACACGCCATGAAACCCCGGACACTCGTAGCACACGTCTCCCATGTCGGTACTCCCCGCCAGGATGTCCGCAGGCTCGTACATGTCGACGGTCCCCTCGGGCATGGCCTCGATGTAGGCCTCGCAGAGCCCCTTGCTCGGGCGCACGTCGGCGTACGAGTTGAGCGGCTCCAGGCGCATGGCGCAGCCGGTCGCGGTGGCGGCGCCCTCGAAGCACTTCTGCAGCCGCCCCCACAGCGCCTCGGCGCCGCGCTTGGTGGCGCTGCGGCAGTAGTACTCGACGGTGCAGTCGGCGGGGGTGACGTTGGGGCGGTCGCCGGCGGCGCGGAAGATGCCGTGGATGCGCTCGTAGGGGCGGATCTGCTGGCGCAGCATGCTGACGGCGTTGTAGGACAGGCACACGGCGTCGAGCGCGTTGACGCCGTCCCAGGGCGCGATGGCCGCGTGCGACTCGCGGCCCGTGTAGTGGATCCGCGTCTTGATGTTGGCCAGCATCCGCACGAACGCCACCCCGCGTATTGGTTCGGACAGGTTGTGGCCCGGCCCCGCGTGCACCATCAGGCTCGCCGCCGCGCCCGCGAAGGCCCCGTTCGCGATCAGCTTGAGCTTGCCGCCGCCGCCTTCTTCGGCTGGTGTCCCGAGCAGCCGGACCCGACCCGGCTGACCGGAGGTCTTGAGAGCCGCGACCGCGCCGAGAAACGCGGCGAAGGAGGAGGATGCGATCAGGTTGTGCCCGCAAGCGTGGCCGATCCCCGGGAGCGCGTCGTACTCGGCGTTGTAGATGACCAGCCGGCCGCCCGAACCGTACTCGGCCGAGAATGCCGTCTCGAGGCCGAAGGCGTGCGGGGTGACCTCGAACCCGAGGGACTTGAGAATCGAGACAAAGGCATCGTGGGCCTTGTACTCTTCGTAGGCCAGCTCGGGGTTGGCGTGGATTTGCTCGTTGATGGACGAGATCTCGGTGTTACGGGCCTTGATCTCGTCGTTGATGACGCTGGTTAGGTTGGCCATGGTGAAGGTGAGATTGCTAACGAGAAGGGCTAGCTTCTCGTTATTCCCCTTTCGAAGATTTGAGTTCAGTGTCGGGCCGTCGTTTATAAAGCACGCCTACCTTGCAAGCGGCGCAGCACTTGTATCCCACAATGTTGGGTATGGATTCGGACAAGGTTGGGTACCCACGAATTGAGAACAGTAAGTGGATGGCAGCTGCATGTCCGTCTGAGTCCGGCGTGTCTACCCCGCCATGCCGACTGCCGACCCCGCCTCCGGAGATCATGACGCCCGCGTGCATTGACAGGGCCACCAATCATTCTTTGGCCATTGCAGAAAGGGGACGTCGAAGCAACTTTAAATGTAGCCACCCAACATCATCCCACTCGCGGTTAAACCAGATTGCCGCAACACACCAACTTCGACATCTACCATCACCCTAGGCATGTGAAACCACACGTCAATGCCTTGTCTCGTAGAGTAGTCGATGAAATGGTGGTGTTTTGGCCCTGTTGAACTCGCGTCATCGGAGGTTTGCTGTTGAATAGGACCGGTAGGTAGTTGCGCTTTGACTTCAGTTCCCTGCGCCTACTCGGACTTCTCCCTCGGTATCAACACCGATCCGTCGGCCAGCAGCGTTTCAGGTCTGCTCTGCGGTAAATAGATCGATGCACCCTAACGTAACCGGTTCATGATATTTGGCCCTCCGAGTTGCTCAGCTCCCCTTGCAACATGCCGGTCGTGGTGCAGAAGCTCAGTACCATTACTGGTGTCGCCGTGACTTGGCCGGTGTGAAAGTCTGGGCCAGGTCTGCCGAGTCTACTCAGTCATCTGGTTACCATTTACAAAGATACGATCTTACAAGTATACGACGGCTCCATAGCCTCGAGTTAGACTAGGTACCTAGGTAGGTATATTTCGTTGACACCAGCACAGCGCACAAACGGCGTATACATCTACCTACGGTTCACCTAGCAAAGTTTCTAACAGGACATAACATAGCAAAATAAGAAGGTAGGAGTTAAAGTCTCCCTTAATATAAGATAGGCTATAGTATGGTTAGAGAGACGAGCAAGTGGCTGAGATCACTCGCAGCTTCCCCGGGCCATGATGTGAATACCAAAAGCTCAGAACGAATGCCCTCCTTCATTATCTTTAACTAAATCCGATATTCGCAAATAAGTCGGCCTCATGGCGTAATTGGTAGCGCGTTCGACTCCAGATCGAAAGGTTATCCGTTCAAGTCGGGTTGGGGTCAGAAAATTGCTTTGGAAGGAGTTTTCGTTTTTTCTCTTTTTTTCACCTTAGCAATTCTACTTACTTGTAGACTTTCTAGGCGGACGCTATCCTTTCTGAGTACCTATACAATGGTACTCGCAATACGAACATTGCCTCTAGGTACGCTCCGACCGTACAATGTAATAGTGGGAATTAGGACCGTAAGTAGGGGGAAGCTACCGGTAGCTACAGGAGCAACGATGAACAGGGTAGAAGGTTGCTATATGATAAATTTCTTATCTTCGCCGTTTACGATAGAGAGAGAGGATTTGGCCTTGGTAGTAATTGCTAACAAGGTCTAGGGTCTGAGCATTAGTACCGAAACTGGTATAGACGTCTTTTCCCAGCCGGCACCTACCAATCCTCGTGGCCGCTAACCCACTTTGTCTATCATGGTTAACTCCTCCCCGCGGATAAAACAGGGCAAGCTCGACTCATGGCTCGTAGGAATAATCGCTGTGCTTCGTTGATGATACCACGTAGGACCTCGTCCAACCCGGCGTAATCAAGCTCATTGATATCCTAGCTGCCATTACCTAGGTACATACAGGTAGCTACCACCTAGGGGGACTTTCCTCCATGAATGGTGCGGGGTTGCTCCTCGGCGAATTCAACTTAACAGCCCATGATAACTTCAATTTCCATTGCTTCCCGTGTGCTGAATTTGCAATAGATGCCAAAGATAGCGTGTGATGGTGTTTGTGTGAACCAGCCGTGATAGTTGGCTTGTCGTTGGTGGAGGGGTTCGTATGAAGCTGAGGCGCCTGGTTATAGGGCACCTTCTCTGCTAGAGACACTCCAGTGACTACACCTGTATAGCTCACTACCGATGTGCTCATTCTTGGCTTCTCACGTTCGTTTCTTGTAGCATAGTACCTAGAGAGAATTCCAACCGCCCTGTAGGAGCGTAGCCTAAGGTAATTAACCTATACCTCCTTAGGCACAGTCAGGTATTTTAGTGCTGGGAAACGTAGGGTGAAATGACGCGTGGCTGGTATGGTGAGAGTCTCGGTGCATCAAACCTTGGCTTGTTGGAGAGGGGTTCCTTCAAACCCGCCGAGTCTATTCGCAACTTGGCCAAGGGTGAACGAGTTCCTCCCCGCCTCCCCTATTAGGGATTTCCCCTCTCATGTGCTCATCCATTGATGGAAGTGTTAAATCCGGGATACCGGGTCCTTGGACCTCCAACCATGTCAGGTACTGCAACTTGGAGCCACATTAGCGATTTAGCCATCTAATTTACCGGCCGGGTGGTATCGATGCGCCCGAATCAACTAAAAGACCGCCTGTGTAAACAACGATCAGCCGTCTTGGCAGAGTGGTGGTGATGCACGCCTGCATGTTCGAACAAAAGGCCACGGCGAAGCAGGAGGGGATATATATACTCACCGAGGGGCCTCGTTCCCGAGATCCAGGTGCGTTACAGTCTACCGCTCCCACACCCGCGGACTGTTATCTCTTCTTCTGTTCCACCTCACCATGAAACTCCTGTCCGGCTTGACTCTGGCCCTGGCCGGGTCAGCAGCGGCGGCGAACTCGACTTACTACAACCCAATCCTCCCCGGCTGGCACTCGGATCCGTCTTGCATCCACGTTGACGGCACCTTCTACTGCGTCACATCCACCTTCATCTCGTTCCCCGGCCTCCCGATCTACGCGTCCAAGGATCTGATCAACTGGAAGCACGTCAGCCATGTCTGGAACCGCGAGTCGCAGCTCCCCGGCTACAGCTGGGCCACCTTCGGGCAGCAAGACGGCATGTACGCGGCCACCATCCGCGTGCGCGACGGCGTCTTCTACGTCATCTGCGAGTACCTCGACGTCGAAGGCAAGGACTCGGGCGTGCTGTTCCGAACCACCGACCCCTTCGACGACGCCTCCTGGAGCGACGCCGTAACATTCCTAGCACCCAAGATCGACCCGGACCTCTTCTGGGACGACGACGGCAAGGTCTACGTCGCCACCCAGGGCTGCCAGCTCCAAGAAATGAACATCGACACGGGCGAGATGGGGCCCATGATCCCACTGTGGAACGGCACGGGCGGCGTGTGGCCCGAGGGCCCGCACATCTACAAGCGCCCCGGCGACGGCCACTACTACCTGATGATCGCCGAGGGCGGCACGGCCGAGGACCACGCCATCACCATCGCGCGCTCCGAGTCCCTCACGGGGCCCTACGACCCTTCCCCCAACAACCCGATCCTCACCAACCGCGGCACGGACGAGTACTTCCAGACGGTCGGCCACGGCGACCTCTTCCAGGACCCCGACGGCAACTGGTGGGGCACCGCGCTGGCTACCCGCTCCGGGCCGGCTTACGAGTCCTACCCGATGGGCCGCGAGACCGTCCTCTTCCCGGTGACTTGGCGCGAGGGCGACTGGCCCATCCTGCAGCCCGTGCGCGGCAAGATGTCCGGCTGGCAGCTGCCGCCCGCGTCGCGGGATGTGCCGGGGGTGGGACCCTTCAACTCGGATCCGGATGTTTATGACTTTGAGGCGGAGACGGAGGCTGCTCTGCCGCGGAACTTGGTCTACTGGCGCGTGCCGCGCGATGGGGCGTTCTCCGTTGCTAAGGGGGGTGAGGGCTTGCAGGTTGTTCTGGGCCGGAATAGTCTTGCCGGTTTGCCGGGCGGTCCGGAGCCGGAGGCTAAGGCCATCTCGTTTATTGGGCGCCGCCAGACGGATAGCTTGTTCACGTATACTGTGGATTTGGACTTTGAGCCGCTGGAGGACGGCCAGGAGGCGGGTGTGACGGCCTTTTTGACGCAGGAGGCGAACCTGCAGCTGGGGTTGGTGCTGGTGGATGGACAGCTGAGCTTCCGCTTCAATGTGTCTGGTGAGGTGACGGAGAGTGTGGTGCCGGAGGGATGGGCTGGGGAGACAGTCCGTCTGGAGATCAAGATGGCCGAGCTGACCGAATATACCTTCTCGGCTGCCCTGGCGTCTAACCCCAAGGACAGCGTTGAGCTGGGGACCGCATCGGCGAAGTTGTTGAGCGGCGGCTCGGGGTCGTTTGTTGGCACTTTGATCGGTGTGTATGCTACCTGCAATGGTGCGGGTGAGGGAATTGACTGCCCTGCCGACACGCCCAGTGCGTACTTCAAGAGGTGGAGGTACACGGGAGATGGGCAGTACATCACCGAGACGGAGATGGCTCCCCGCGAAGTCAAGGGCAAGGGCAAGGGTAAGGGCAAGGAGGGCAAGGGAAAGAGGTCCAAAAGGAATTAACCCAGTGCAGGGAGTGTAATTAGTATTAACAAACCGATAGGCGGCTTGTACAGATTACTGATAGTATTAATCTCACGCCGGCTTGATCGTGAGTGAGTGTCTCGTATGGTGATAGTCCCCGAGTATCCCAATTCCTCTCATCAAGCACCGCTCCTATTTCTCCCGCTTCTCAAACACCAACTGTGCACCATCCTGTATCGAGATTAGCACAACCATCCATCACACCCTTATGGGATGAACACTTACCATAGGGAACAAGGTCGCAAAGACGCGAATCTCTTCCGACTTCTCCGTAGCCACATGCCTCCAGTCCAACTCCAGGGCTGCCTTCCCAATCATGGCCGCCATAGTGAGCGGCACATACCTCCTCGCTAGGCAATCATGCGCCCCAGCGCCAAACACCAGCCAGTTCTTGGTCTTGGACTCGGCATCCCCGGTGATCCACCTATCCGGATCAAACATGTCCGGGTTGGGATACACCTTCGGGTCGTGCAGCGCGGGATAACACGAGGGGATGACCATGGCACCCTTGGGAACCGTGTAGTCAGGGGTGATGGGGAAGGGCTTCGTCGCCAGGTACGGGACGAAGATGACGGGCGGCCTGTACCGGAGCAATTCCTTCACGACAGCCGCGGTGTAAGTCAGCGACTCCAACATGGGCAAATCAAACGGCTTATTCCTGTCCCCGCCCCTTGCGGCGAGGTTCTCCTCGCGCAGCCTATCCAAGACATCGGGGCGCTGCGCAAGGATCTGGAACAGCCAGGTGGTAGCGCTGCTCGAGGCGTCCTGGGAAGCGAACAAAAACGTAAACAGCGTCTCGGAGATCTCCTCATCGGTAAACTCGCGAATCAAGTTCGGCGGCTTCTCGGCATCGACCTCACCCGCGGCGACGCGCTCGCGGTAGCGGTTCGACTCGAACATGTGCAGCACCCAGTGGTCGACGATGCAGGTCGGGACGGCGCCCGCCGTGGCCATGTTGCGCTTACAGGCGGCGGCACACTTTGCGAACTCGGCGTGCACGGCGTCGGCGGTCCGCTTGCCGCGCCAGGGCTTGGTGAAGGGGATGTACATGGAGAAGGGCACGTTGACCAGCTCGAGGGCTGCCGTGGCGAGGTAGAAGTCGTCGGCGATCTTCTTGACGGCCGCCGGGGAGATGTAGTCGCCGAAGAAGGTGCGGCAGGAGAGGGCGCAGTTGATTTCCCGGAACAGGGTCATGAAGGGGAGGGGCTGGTTGTGGTTGGCCTTGCTGGCCGCGACGAACTTGTCGAAGTAGTCGGCCAGCACCCTTTCCTGGGCGGGGAGGTAGGTGGCCATGGCTTTGTTGGTGAAGAGGGGAGTCAGTCCCCGTCGGTACTCGGCATGGGTTTTGCCCTGGAGGAACACCCATGCCTTGTGGCCAATGATGTCTTTTGCGAGTGGCACGATGCACGGTTCAGTATACGTCGGGGATTTGAAGACCCTGTGGGCGAGATCGCGGTCGGAGGCGAGGACAACGAATCTGTTGCGTGAGGTGTCGGTGGAAGTGTGTGTGAGTGGAACGCTGGGACAGGGTACATACTTGTGAAAGACGGAGACGCAGCTAAGTGGTCCGCTCGCCCATTGTGCTAGATAGGATTCGAACTTTGGATGTAGTGCCTGGATAAAGGGTCCGGTGAGGGGAACTTTGAACCGAGGGCCCGTGATAGAACCTTTTCGGTACAGGTATATAACTAGAAGGAAATGTTAACGTGACGTGTTGGATTTTGTGGTCAACTAGCTTGGCCACATACCTTGGTCATAGACTACCAGTCCAAGCAACAAGGCGATTACATACTGCCATGCAGACCATTCTGTGGTTGGACCCGGGACGACGTCTCGTAGCTGCCATGGTGAACTCCCGGAAGCCAACCCGGAGGATCTCGGGAGCAGCTCAGGGGGGATTCCGGAGCGGTTAACGAGGTCGGCGGCCATATTAAAAAATGAGTTGAAGAAACAAAGTTCCCACGACCAAATCATGAAAAACTGGACGTTTCATGCCTTTTGACTTGCACGGTCTTCGGCCCCGAGATAGGGGTATCGGGGTTGGTCCTCCGGAGCGCCGAAGAAACCCCGGTCAGAGGTGCCGAACTGGGACTAGACTCCGAACACTGCGAATAAATTGAATGGAATTTCAATCCAAGACCAGGAAATCGGAGACTAGTCCTATTATACGTGGACTTGTATTATTGTATACCCACTTTGGACTATGGCGTACGTCCCCGCCCACACGTCGTCGTCGCCATCGCCATCGGCGCCCCCGCTCCTGCAACTCACGCCAGAAATTCGGCTGCTCCTTTACCGCTACTTGGGGTTGGCATCGTGGAACGGCCGGCCGTATAAGTTCGACTTGCGAGGCGGACGAGCCAGCTGCAGGAGGTACGCAACCTGCCCGGCCGTCCCGATCGATTTTCATGGCCTTCTAATCTCATGCCGCACCATCTACTCCGAGGCAGCTGCCTTGCTTTACTCGGCCAACAGCTTCGTTGTCCACAATTATGACCCTGCCCAGTTACCAGGGCTCCACTCCCTTTGTGCGCTCACCGAGCCGTCGCTCCGGTCGCTCTCTCAGCTCAAGATTGTCCTTAACGAGGCGGCCTGCCACAATAGAGTGACAAAAAACGACTGCAACGAGACTTGCTGCTGCCAGGACCGCGACGAGTACGACTGGTCGTCCTTGCTGTGGTGCCGGCAGAAGCACTGCGATATTCACCAGGCCCCGCTCCTAAGCGATGGTGCCATGTCGGCCGACGACGACGCGTGGCGGCGCGCCTGGCATTCCGCCGCCGCCCAGCTCTTCTCTCGTGTTGCTCCCGGCCGCCTCGCCCTCTCGCTCGTGTGCGATATCGACCCGCAGCACCCGCTAGCGCTCGATCTCGCCGAGTCTATTCTCGCGCCCTTGTACCTCCTTCCTCGCTCTTACCTCTCCGAATGCCGGATTCGGCTGGCCAAGACGCCGAACGGGCCGCTCCAGCAGCTTGCTCGAGATGCCGCTGTGCACGCCTGCGGGCTGCCCACCCCTGTTCCGCACGCCTCCCCAAAACCGCTCGGCGCCCCGGCCACCGCCACCCTGGCCAGCCTCCCGCGCGAGCTCCACGTCCGCATCTTGGAGTACACCGACCTAGTCGCACCGCGGAGGCAGGTAGTATGGAGCCGACAGGACCGTGCGTATGTGGTGCTCCGCTTCCGGCGCGTAGCAGAGCCACCCCCGACCCCGGATGAGGCGCACGGCGAGCAGTTCTTCGAGTGCTACCGCGATAGACCGGAGGGCTGCTTCTGCCGGCGCCGCCACGCCGTCTTTTCGTTGCACTGCACCTGCTGGGCGCCGCCGGGGCCTGCGCTCTTCCTCGTGTGCCGCACCGTGTCCCAGGTGGCCCAGTACGTCTTCTTTTCCCGCAACCGGTTCATCATCCACGACTACAAGGCGTACCCGGTCTGGCGGCTGCCGTCGCTACAACTGGGGTCCTCCGCAGGCCCGGGCGAGCTGCCCGACTCCTACCCGTTCGAGAAATTCGCCGCCTCGGAATTCCTCCGCGACGTGGTGCCCGCGTCTGCCCTCGCCTACCTCCGCTTTCTCGAGCTGGTCTTCCCACCCTACCCCTCTACGCTCTGGCCCGGGCCGGAACACCCGGCAGCACGGGACTGGCGAGCCACAGTTGGCTGGCTCCGGGGTGGGCTCAGCCTGCCGGCGCTCACGCTGCGGGTGATAGTCATGGACGAGAGCAACGGGACGCCGAACCGCGCCGGCGCAGCCACGGCCGAGGAGGCAGCGGCGCTACTGAGGGCGTACGCTGATCTCGTGCGGCCGCTCCGGGGGCTGGCGGAGCCGCCCGGCCTCGCGCGGTTCTACGCCCACTTCCGGCACCCTTGGGAAACGGCCTGGGACGACGAGCTCGATTACCCGCCGCGGTGCGGCCCGTGGTACGACCCGTGGTTTCACAAAAGAGACCTCAAAGAACGCCTCGAGCGCTACGTCATGGGCGCGCGGTACGAGAGCCTGTATGCGGATGACAGGAAGGAGCCGGCGCCCAGCGATTGGGATCTGATGTACTTTGCTAATCGCGGGTGGTGAGTGTGCGTTGGGCCGCCGGGCGGGTTGGGGCCGCGGTGTTGGGATCACACCACAATGTAGATGACAAACGGAACCCACTAAGGGAATAATAAAAACTGACTACCTAGGTACCGAGGAACCTAGACACGCGCTCTCTCTGTACCTCCCGTTTAATCCTTAGAAAGCCTTTTCAACATGTGACCCGAACTCTACCAAGTTAGCAATCTAAACTCGAAAAAAGAGCCCCCCAGTCCAGATTCACGTTCTTGCCCTCCCTAACAAAAACGACAACGTTTGGTCTTGCTTGTGGTTCAAAGGGTGCAGTTTCCTATCTTCATCATCAGGTGGCTACCAGTTCTAGGCCCTTCTAAGCAGACACGGACTTTTACGCTGGCAGTATACTTCGGAGGCACCAGAGAAACCCCACTCAAAACTGCCGAACTGGGACTAGACTCCAAACACGACATACAAGTAATCCAAAGCCAAGACCATGAAATCGGAGACTAGTCCTATTATGGCCGGTGTTGGAATGGTTCTGGTCTTTTGTGGTCCGCTCATCCGCACCCTCGTTCCTGAATCCTTGACCCGTTTTCGCTCATTGACAACTTGAAGCAACAGATTCGGAAACGTCCGCAAAATCCTCCCAAAATTGTCGTTCTTATCGCTGCGTGGCCATTGATCATACTGTGGTACGGTGGCTAGTTGGAAACAGGACCAATCAGCACGTGTCCTCAAGCCCTTCCGGGATCGTGAGACCTGTGGAAACGTCCCCATCCCACCCTCCTGGAGTCCTGGTATGGATGTACCTAGCCACCCAGTTACAGTTTACTCACTCAACAACCCACAGCGAGGTATTTTTACTAGACCGGAATCCGTTGCGCCCCGTCGTTAGTGCCAATTCTCGTCTGGCACAGCCGCACACCGAATCTCGATCCCGAAATGCGTCGCAGTCTTCGGCGATCCTGTGCTGCTTGTGCTAAATCCAAGCACAGCTGCGACCTCGCCACACCCCGTTGCTCTCGCTGCACCAAACGCAAAGTGCAGTGCGTTTACGCAAACGAGCCCCTTACCGCCGCCCTCTTACCATCATCAGACGAGTCCGGAGCATCCGGGCCCTTAGTTGGCTACAAGTTCCCACCAGTTGACCCCTTTGAATCATACCCCTCCACGAGGTTGCCCCGGGTGCATGTCCAACGTCTCATCCACAGCTGTATGTCTGCTTCTTCCCACCTCCGCCATACATCCTGGCTGGGCCTGTCACTCATCAAGTTTAGTTCTCCACAAGATTGCTTTCCAATATTACCCCCTCGATCTCAACGCCACCACAAATCCCTTTCTCGTGTCCTGGTGGCCACTCGCTCTCGGTGACCCGGCTTTGTTTCACGTGTCTCTGCAGACGGCATGCCTGGACGAGGAGTTGATAGCCCAAAGGGGCTTTCACAACTCCGAGATTCTCATGGCTGATTCTGTCGCTTTACTGCGCCGGAAGGTTGAGAACACATCCCTGGCTGTGCAAGACGGGACCATGAACTCAGTCATCACTCTGGCAACTATCGAGGTAAGCCACCACGCTTATTATTCCGGTCGAGCCTAACTGACCCGCCCCTCCCCAGTTCGGCAAAGGCAATATCGAGGTCGCCCAAATGCACGTCGACGGAGTAAAACGGCTGGTCGGCCTGAGGGGCGGCATCAACTCCGTGAGGCAGACCAGCCCGCTCACTGCAAGGATGGTTAGCTGGTAAGTACCCAGCACTACCCCACTAATTAATGAAAATGCCAACACTTACACGCGCCAGGGTGTCGATGCTCATCATGGGCCATCCCCAGTTCGATACACAAGATGACATGGGAACTGGGCATGGCATACCCCCTACTCCAGAATGGCAGCTGAGTTCGGCCACCATCCACGAAGCTCCACCCGAACTCACTTGTCTGGACATCGATCGCGAAGTCAACGAGGTCTTCATCCGCCTCCGCAGTGTCTTCCAAAGGGCACAACAGATACCGTTTACGACCACCCGGCTCCATGATTTGGCGTGCTTCGTCATCCACCGGCTTCTGCCTTCGGTTCTGGACATGGCGAGCGAAACAAAGCCGCTTACCGAATGCGTGCGCTACGCAATTATTCTCTACATGTTCATTATGCAGGGCCCGACCTACTTTACACATGTAGTAATATTCAGCCAGATTCTTGGCCGGCTCGTCAAGCACCTCCAACTGCGAGAGCAGGACACGCAAGACCCGATCACCGTTTGGTTCCTCGCCGTTGGGATGGTGGCATCGACCGGCACACCCTACTACTCGTGGTTTAGGGACACAGCAAGGGTCACGGCTGTGGAGTTGAACCTGAGTACCTGGGATGACGCCTCAGCTCACGTGAAAAGCGTTTTGTGGCTGGAGACACGGCAGGGTGAAGACATATTTCGGCCACATTGGGACGCTATTTTCAACGGAACGAGCACCCCAGAGCCGTCAGATTTGGCGGTCCATGGGTCACCAAATATACCTAGCGCGGCATTCATATGACATACAAGCTCATAATACCGTAAACGCGAGAGATCCGTATCCATTAGTTGGGTGAATGTGATGTGCCTTTTGTAGGGATATCAGGAAGGGTGTTCTATGGGGGTTTTCAGTCAAACGACCGAATGAAACCCCGCCAATCATCCCCGCAGAACTCTGTTGTCTCGGCATCACTCTCACTCTCCTCCTGTAGCCTCGATACCCTCACCGTCGGCGGGCCTGGCACACCACCCATGTCCACCGAGACGCGAAACTCGGGCTCCTCCTGACCATACAACACGCCCATCCTCCACCCACTGGAACAGGCACGAGCCGCACCCGCTCCTCGTCCCAAACGTATTCAGCTCCACCAGCTCACACCTGTCCGCATCCTCGTCATAAAACAAATCAAACGAGAACCCTTGCTCCATCATCAACCGATCCAGCCCATCCCCCCTCCTCTCCACCTCTACCAGAATCAACCCCCTCACCTCCTCCGCCCCCTCCACCACCCTCCTCACCACCCTCTCCTGGCCCCTCTCATCCACCCCCTGAAACCGCCACGGCCGATACCACCGATACTGACTCACCCCCACCACCCTTCCATCCCCAGGGCAACAAAACACTCTATACTCCCTCTCGGCCGCCATCCTTCCATCAAACCCCAAAAAGAACAACTCCACCCCCCCATCCCCTTCCTCACCCCCATCCCCATCCCCCCGTTCACCCCCCTCCAAACACCTCACCACCGCATTCCTTGCCCTCACGGACGTAACCAACCTCTCCACAACCCCCTCCACATCCCTCAACGGCGCATTCCCGCCGGCCCCATCCTTGGGCGAGCACGCCGCCAGGCGCAGGAAGAGGCCTTGCGGGGGGAAGACCAGCTGGGCGCGGAGCACGGGCAGGAGCAGGTCGGACAGGTCTTCGCGGAAGGTGCGGTTGGGCTCGCCGCGCGGGAGGGAGGCGTTGGTGGCGGCGAGGAGGAGGCGGGTTTGCGGGGGGGTGAGGGTGATTGTTTGGATGGGGGGGATGGGGGTGGTGGTGGTGGTTGTGGTAGTGGTGGTTGTGGTAGTGGTGGGTGGAGATGAGGAGGGTGGAGATGGGGAGGGTGAGGTGTTGGGTGGTGGTGGTTGGGGGGGCTTTTGGCGGGTCTGCAGGATCAGGGGGAGCCAGCGCTTGAAGGAGTAGGGCGTTTCGTCGGGTAAGGGGAGGCCTGGGGCCAACGCGGCTGGGTGGAAGCAGGTGTTGAAGGCTTGCTGGGGCGTGTCGTGGTGGCGCTCGGCCTCGCTGACCAGGAGGGAGTTGACCTTGACGAGTTTCATTTTCGGCGCTTTTTCTGCGTTTTGTTACTTGGTGATGCCTATGGCCGATGGATGGGGGAGGATGTGGTCGGGACCTCGATTGTTTCCAAATGAAATAATAATCGAAGTTGTGGGTTGAAGGTGAATGAATGGATTAATTAGGCAACAGCCAGCACAAACAAGATGGTACAAAACAAAACTTAAAATCCTTCTTGTTCAGACCTCAGACAAAACACTGGTTGTTTGTCCTGCCGAGACGGTGGTTCAAATCACAAGACCAAGCAAAAAGAACTGCGCGAAAGCAAAAGAGAATGCCCAATAACAGGATTGAACTGTTGACCTTCGCATACCTTATACGGGTTTCCCGGTATTAGTACGACGCTCTAACCAGCTGAGCTAATCGGGCTGCTTGATTGGTTGTAGGTTCCATCTGTGGGAACATGAGTAGCAGTTGCCATCGGTACCCCGAAAAGGGGTTGGAAGTTTTGGCACATACCTTTTCTGTTCTTCTTATCTTTTCCTATTCGTGTTGTAATTAGGTGGTGGTAGTGGGTATATCAGTACACAGGTACATAAGTCTGTCGAGCTAATAATTCTAAAAACAAGGCTTTGCAAGGTGGTATTACTCTACTGATATAGATAAACTCACAAGAGAGTATACCTTGAGTTAATTAGAGTCTAGGATAGGGGAGTCTTTCTCTTCACACTTCTCTGAATAGACATTTTGCCGCGTACTTGCAACATGGGACCTGGTTTCACGGCAATGATTACAGCGGAGAGATTGGTATTGTCTTGTACTATTTAGAAGCTCAACTATTGGAACATACTTCCTCAATCACAAGCTATCACCATCCCTTATCTTTACGCGCTCTCGATCTTCTGCTTGAGGAACTCCGGAGCCTCGCTTGCGGCCACACGACCATAGGCAAAGTGGGGGGCGGCGACGATGAGCGAGCCGGTGCAGACCCGGTCACCCGCGTTGCAGAACACCTTGAGCTTGTCGTCGGGGAAGTCGGGGATCGAGCCGCGGTTCTGGGCGTTCTTGGTGTAGCCGAAGAGCACGACGCCCTTGACCTGGTCCTGCACCTCGGACGGCAGCTGGCCGAGCGAGTTGGACATGACGGCGGTGCCCTGGCTGTAGCCGCCGGCAACGACGGCCGCATCGGGGCACTTCTCGTTGGCCATGGTGAACATCTTCTTAGCCTCGTCGATGGCTGCCTTCGACGTGCCCGCGGGAAGAGCGTTATCCCCCAGCCCCGCGTCGTACGGGCCGCCCACACCCTGCACCCACATATCCGAGTAGGTCCTCGTGAGCGCGCTCGCGACCGCAGGTCCCGTGCTCGAGCCCTATCAGAGTGTTGGTTTGTTTTCCAGGAAAGACGACCAAAGGATAAGGAGTCGAGAGCAAACGTACCATGTTACCACGCTCACCCGAGGCCCGGGCAAAGATGAAGATCACCTTGGGGCAAGCCGCCGCGTTGCCGTCCTGGAGGTCGTTGCGGGTGCTGCTGCCACCCCACTGACGGGCCATAACATCGGCCATGTCGTTGGCGGGCGCAGCCGGAAGAGCGGCGGCAAGGCCAGCAGCACCGAGAATCTGGACGAACTTCATGGTTGCGGTTGGAGAGCGTTGTCGAGCGAGGGATGGGCAAGGTTGTGTCGAAGGGAACGAGTGAATGAAGTCCTGGCGAGCACCAAGTTGAACATCAGGATCGTTGACTCCAGGTCCCTATTTATGCGCAGAGCTCAAGGCTCGAAGCTCGAGCCCTCACCACCCTTGGCAGCCCCGATGCTTCACACATCTCACTGTCAAAGAGGGGGATCGTGGGGCGAACCCCAATGCCGGAGACCAACCCATACCGCGATCGTACTAGCTGTGCGTCGATCCCCAGCCAAGAACCTCACCATCTTTAGTGTTGCGACTGGTGGAAGCGGAGAGGTGTGCTTATTCCGGGCTCGGGCGAGTTGCCAATGGTACTGTGATTCCCAACGCAGCAGGTCCGAGGATTCTTGGGATGGGGAATCCTGGTGTCGAATCCCGCCGATTGGATGAGGATCTGCGGTGCCGGCGCCAACGCCACGCCGGGGCACCCGGAGGAGTTCCACATCCCATGTGCCCGGCCTCTCCGCTGCCAAATGCCGGGATCCACCGTTTGGTGAAACACGACTCAGGCACAAGGCTTGGGGGCAGACTGCCTGAAGGAGTGTTGCTTGCGATTGGCGGGAATAAACACTGAGACAGGAGGTACAGGACAGCAACGTCAACCAAACCTCCCTCAGACCTCGGGCCATATCATACGTTCATGAGTACCGCAAGCCACCACAGTGGTTATTACAATGCAATTTTCCCATCACCGAACCTCGGTCGACCTCGGTGCTTCACCGGGTTCACCCTCCTTTCGCCCTTTCCCCCCTTTCGCCGCTACCCAGATTCCCGCCGTCTTCAACACCAGTCCAACTCCTCGGTCATTTGTTGCAGGAGATGGTATATCTTCTGTCCCGACAGGTTCCCCAACGGGAGGCGGTTTCCGTTTCGAGATGCGCGACGTCGTCCTACCAACATCGCACAACCCCAAGGGTTCTCAACATTCCTGCCTCCGTAACGGAGCCGCCACCGGAGGGATACTGGGAGCGGCGACAAGGCCCAACTTCGCTCGGCTGCCGCATCATACTCTTCCTACCGGTGGTGGTGAGTATAACCAGGTGGGGGACCTCCCTTTATGTTGCGGCTGATTACCGTTGTTGTCGGATATAACTCAGCTCCGAGCGACACTTGACGCTGTAACCATACCACTGACGGGGCTCGCGTCCATTTTATCTCCCAATACAGAGAAGCACGGATACGGGCAAGGTTGGCCAAAGGTATGCCAAGGAAGCAGAGGAACAAGACCAACCGAGTCCTGCTTTATATAAGGGGCAGCCAGATACTCCTGATTGTACCCATTATCAGACCACCCCCCCTTGGCCATGCTTCAAGCGACTCATTCAAAGTAAGGAATACAGCTCGCAGCCTGGCAATCCGGAAGCAGGAGCCGATGGGCACATTTGTCGTTTTTTTGAATATCGGTCCTTCTTCCTTTGGCCCCTGGCTAAATTCGACCACCATAATTTGACCCGGCAGCCTGATTCAAGTCTCCTTTGTGCACAGAACTACGGAAGACGATAGCCGCCACAGTAACATAACCAGCTTTTGCAGCTTTTGCAGCATTTAGAATTACACCACTAATTCCAGGTACACCCCACACAACAGGTTGACATTTAGCGATTTACAACATAATTATCACATGATATGCATATATACCATATTGGGATACCGGCTATATCGTTATTGGGCTCAACCTCCAGCCCAATTTTTAACTTTCTGATAGTGCTTCGGTACCGAGGCACACCCAACGTAGTGCCCTACAATTGCACTCGGTGCAGTGCCTTGCAATTGCACCCAATGCAGTGCCCTGCGATTGCACCCACCAAATGCAGTGCCCTGCAATTGCACTCGGTGCAGTGCCCTGCAATTGCACTCGGTGCAGTGCCTTGCAATTGCACCCACTAAATGCAGTACCCTGCAATTGCACTCGGTGCAGTGCCTTGCAATTGCACTCGGTGCAGTGCCTTGCAATTGCACTCGGTGCAGTGCCTTGCAATTGCACTCGGTACAGTGCCCTGCGATTGCACCCACCAAATGCAGTGCCCTGCGATTGCACCCACTAAATGCAGTACCCTGCAATTGCACTCGGTGCAGTGCCCTGCAATTGCACCCAATGCAGTGCCCTGCGATTATACCTAACCCAGTTCCATATACATTAGGTCCTATTGCGGAGAGAGCTGGAAAACTGGTGGTTAGAAGGATTGATAAAATGGGGGTCGAGGTTCTAATTGGCTAAATTCGTTACAATTGCAACGCTGGGGGGTCTGTCTATTTTGCACTAGCTGCCCCCCCCTGCAATACCTGCCTAATCTGGGTTATGTTACTGTGGCGGCTATCGTCTTCCGTACAGAACCCCCACGCAGTTCAAGGGCACACAGTTTTAAGCTTATCTGTTTGAGAGCCGGCTTCCTGATTGGCGGACCAGACGACTCTTGTCGTCCCGAATTCCCAATGTTTTCTTTCTCTTCGCGACACCGTTGTCAGTGCACAACCATTCCTTCCATGCAGCTGGCTCTTTAGGCGTCATGATCGACAGTCACATCACATTCTCCAGGCTGCTGCACCCGGAATCCGTGTCTTGGACCCCACAATCGCCCCAAGGATGACAGGCCCTCCCCTGATATCTCCGTGCAATCCATGCCGCTCGGAGGCTGACTGCCGGATAATATCAAGCCGTGCAATATATGCTTTCAGGGGGCCCTCATATCATCCCGCACCCAGAGAGGAGGGGCTGATCATCGTCTTTCTGATGGAGTTGTCCCAACATGTCACACACACTCTCCGCCGGCAAAGAACAGCTGTCGAACATTCCGTTGCATTGGGTGGCTGGATTCCCCGGTCAGCTAAGCACCATGTTCAGATCGCCAAGCACCACACAGAGGGATTTCGAGATCGAAGCTGGTGACGGCTTCGCTTCAGGAGCTTGGCAATATGTCGAGTGTCAGTACCCACCCGTCAACGCGGATCGTGTCCTGTCTTCGGATGCCTTCCCGACCAGCCGTCAACAAGATCACCCTCCTCCTGCACATCCCAACGGTGGCCAGCCGAAACCTCCCTAACGAGCTCGGCAAACTGCGCTTCTGAAGATCCTCTCTTTAAGCGCGACTAAACCATGCTGCAGGTCCGGATTAATATGGCCTTGCCGCCCTTGCCCCCAACGTTCTTCAGCCTCCAACGGGGCGCGGCAGGAGGAGGATTCCCGGGATCAGCCGCCCCATGCCATTGATTCTCCGACACATGCTCGTTGTAAATTAAAGCAGAGCCGGCAAAAGGGTCGATGATCCGATTCTATGGGTCCGCTGGGGTGACCGACTCTGGGCGGCGGAACGACGGACGAGAGTGCGAGATGGTATAATAAGGGTGGTGAAAGCACCGGACGATCGGGTCCAGGAATGGCACCACCACGCTCGTCAGTCACTACTGCTTCTTAAGCAACGAGGGCGAGGAAGTGCCCGGACCCCCACCCCTCGGCCCATCCCGCAGCCGTATAATTATAAATTATATCTCGGCTTGCCTTTCCCTAGACTTCTTCCCGCGACCAGGCCCGACCCCAGATAGCGGCGCGAGACACGGATATCCCCAAGAATAGCTACCCGTTTCCCGGACTCAACCTCTACCCACCCCATGCAGACCCTCGCGCCCCTTTTCGCCCTCTTGGGCTTGGCGGCGACCTCGCATGCCCTCCGGTTCTCCAACGAGACAGACCCGCTCGCCGACTGCCTGACCAAGGCCGCCGTGCCCGTTGGTGCCTCTGGGACGCCGGACTACCAGATCGACGTCTCGAGCTTCAACCTCCGGCTCAACTACACGCCCGTGGCGGTCGTTGCCGCTTCGACGGCCCAGCACGTCCAGGATGCCGTCAGCTGCGCAAACAAGCTGGGCATCAAGGCCACTGCCAAGTGCGGCGGTCACAGCTACGCTTCCTTCGGCCTCGGCGGCGAGGATGGCCACCTGGTCATCGAGATGAGCCGCATGAACAAGGTCGTCTTGGACAACACCACGGGCATCGCCACGGCCGAGGGCGGTACCCGTCTGGGCCATCTCGCCACGGAGCTCTACACCCAGGGGAAGAGGGCGATCAGCCACGGAACATGCCCTGGGTAAGTGACCCAGCTGCAAACAACAGACAGACCCTTGAGAGAGACCACGAACTGACATTCTGCAGCGTCGGAGTCGGCGGCCACTTGCTGCACGGCGGCTACGGCGTGAGCTCCCACACCCACGGTCTGGCTCTAGACTGGGTGGTGGGCGCCACCGTGGTGCTGGCCAACGCGACCGTTGTCGAGTGCTCCGAGACGGAGAACGCCGACCTGTTCTGGGCGATCCGCGGCGCCGGCGCGTCCATGGGCATCGTGACCGAGTTCCGCCTCAAGACCTTCGAGGTCCCCGAGCAGGTGACCTACTTTGTCGCCCCCGTCCAGTGGCCCACCGAAGCTAGGGCCCTCGTCGGCGTTACCGCGGTGCAGGAGTTTGCAAAAACCATGCCGGCTGAGTTGAACATGCGTCTGTTTATTGCCCGGCGTTTTATTAACCTCGAAGGGCTGTACTATGGTGACAAGGAGGGCCTGGAGGCTGCTCTCGCGCCGTTGGTCGAGAAGACAAACGCGACGCTCGCGCTGGCGAAGACGGGTGACTGGATGGAGCAGGTTAAGCACTTTGGTGGTGGTTCAAACATCGACCACGGTCACGGTTATGAGGAGGTGAGTCTCGGTTGGTGTCCCCCTGACTGAGCTTCCGCTGACTTGCCCAGCACGAAACCTTCTACTCGACCAGCCTGTACACCAAGGAGCTCAACGACGAGCAGCTCCAAAACTTTGTCGGCTACTGGTTCAACCAGGCCAAGAACAACACCCGGGACTGGTACGTGCAGATCGACCTGCACGGCGGCGAGAACTCGGCCGTGTCCACACCCGCACCGGACTCGACGTCGTATGCCCACCGCGACTACCTCCTGATGTACCTCCTGTACGACCGTGTCGACAGGGGCGAGTACCCGGCCGAGGGCCACACCGTGATGGAGAACTTTGCCAGCAACATCACCCAGGGCATGGAGCGGAGCGACTGGGGCATGTACATCAACTACCCGAACTCCAGGCTCAGCCAGCAGGACGCTCAGGTCAACTACTGGGGCGACAACCTGGCCAAGCTGCAGGCCATCAAGAAGGACGTTGATCCGACAGACGTGTTCCACTACCCGCAGGGTGTCTTGCCTGCTGTCTAAGGGTGGTTGTGACGGGAAGCGGCGTGAAGTGCGAGAGGCTTACATGCGAGCGTCCGGGAAAGAGAGCATTAGATGAGTGATGGGATAGAGGTTGCATTGTATTGTATCGGGTACGAAGCCGGAGATGGGCGGGTCTCATGGTCTGGGGGTGTATGCATCAAACATGACATATTCCAACTTGCCCCTGAAAAAGTCAACCCATTTCCCCCACCTCTGTCATGATGTGTATCTCACCCGCTCCGGCATAATCACCCGGGTGTGGATAGAACGCAATGAATAGCCTACTCGCTCCATACCATGCCACCCAACGCCGCCCAAACCCCCCTTTTCCTACTCAACCAACCTCCCCCGTCAGTATACATACCCCTTACAAAAGAACCACCGCAACCAGAGCCGGCAACACCAACCCAACTACCCCACCCCAAACCGTCCCCGCGCCATTAAACCCCGGCGGCGGCGTCATAAACGCCGGCCGTCCCGTCGCAACCGCCTCCCCCACCCCACTCGTCAAATTCGGCCTCACCCCATTCCCACTCCCACTCCCATCCCCGGCACCACCCCCAGCACCACCACCACCCCCCTCAACAACCGCAGCCTCCCTCAACAACCCCACCACCCTCTCATACGCCACCTTCTTCTCGTACCCTTCCGTCCACAAACACGCCTCCCCCTTCCCCGGAAACGTGCTCGGCACCCAGCTGTACCGATCCGTAAACTGCCACACCGTGACCCCGACACACGCCTCCACGTCCAGACACGACCCCACCACGGCCGCATAGTCCTCCGCCTGCTGCGCGTTCCCCGCCTCATCGGCAGGCAGCGCCGGCGCCACGTGCGCGATGTCTAATTCCGTGTACGCCACCTCGACCCCGAGCGCGGTGAAGCTGGTTAGGATGGCGGCGAGGTCGGCGCGCGAGGGGGTCTGCCCCACGTTGAGGTGGGCTTGGAAGCCGACGCCGTGGATGGGGGCGCCGGCGGACTGGACGGCGCGGACAAGGGAGAGGGCGGCGGCGGTTTTGGGCGGGGTGGTCTCCAGGTTGAAGTCGTTGTAGTAGAGCTTTGTGGAGGGGTCGGCTTGCGCGGCGATGGTGAAGGAGAGCGGGATGTAGGCCTCGCCGAGGGTGGTGAGGAAGGGGGAGGAGCGGAGGCTGCCGTCTTCGTTGAGCGCTTCGTTGACGACATCCCAGGCGTAGCATTGGCCCGCGTAGTGCTGCATCACGGTGGTGATGTGCGCGGTGAGGACGGCGGTCAGGGTTTCGGGGGTCCAGGTGCCGTTGGCGACTAGGGAGGGAATAAGGTTAGGTGGGGAGGGTGGTGGGAGACGTGGTGGTGGGCTTACCGAAAGGGGGGAGTTGGGAGTGCCATGTCAGGGTGTGGCAGCGGAAGAGTTGGCCGTTGGACAGGACCCTTTCCGCGATGCTGTCTGCTTGGGTGAAGGAGAAGTCGTTTTGTGTGGGTTCTGTCACTTCCCATTTCTGCGAGTTCTCGGGCGTGAACATGCCGAACTCGTTTTTGTTGGTTGCGATGGCCTGGTAGGCGGCGTCGTCGAAGTTGTTTGTCTCCATGGCGGTGCCGAAATAGAGTTTGCCCGCCGCCACCATCAGTGAATGTAGGCCCTCGCCTTGGGTCCCGTTCTGTGCTGCTGCGCCAGATGCCAGGCTGGAGGCCAGCAACAAAGTTCGTGTAAGTCTCGACATTTCGAGATTCGGCGTGGTTTCGCTCCTGGAACTGCTCTCAGAACACGTCTTGCTGTTGGATGGATAGATGGCCGCTGGATAGTGAAATGGCCAATAAAGAAATGTTTTGGTACCACCAGATGCCTTTAAGGCGAATGGAGTCTATTTCTATTTTCCGGGTCATCAAATAGCCCCCAGTCTTGAAGGGGATCATGCCGGGTACAGGCCGCCCACATTCCTGCCCCGTTGAAGTCGCGTACACATACGGATATCGGCCTGCGGTCCCATGTCCCTTGACTCATTGGGACGGGACGTATCGAGACGAGACGACGTGGTGTCGTCGATCTTGCGTGTTTCAGCCCGGAACCGTTACCCCTGAACCACGTAACCACTGTATTCCCTTGTTGTGAATGCAGCTTTTGTCAATGCATCATGCGTTATTGGCTTGGAGTTTGACATTCCCCAGTTCCTGAACTTCAATCGAACCTGCCGAGCCCTGTGACATCATGCGGGCATTTCCCGATACGACCTTGTGGTGTTGAGTGTGAATGGTGATGGCGGTTGGTGAAACCGGGTTCGGTTCCAGCTCCGAACCTCAGGGGCAGGGGTCTGCGTCAAATGCAACCAAAAAGTCTTCTAGAAGACGGGCGACATCTTCTCGAAGCCTCAAGGTACGAGGCTGAGACGACGAGTCCCAAGTTTATTTACACTGACGGCCGGCGACGCCGAGTTGCGCGGCCCGAGAAGGACAGCCGACGGTGATGTTCATGGACGTCGTCATGCCCATGCGTAGCTTAGCAACGTGATGAGATAGTCGAGCCGCGTAAACCTCTGGTAGAACGCGGACCGGGAGAGAATCAGTGAAGCTTCAACTCGATAATATGCAACCATGTCATGTAACACTAACTCCGCGTCAACAACAATACCAGCAATCCACTAACACCAAGCAATGCACCCCAAAATCCCAAGCCCTACCTCTCTCCTCTGCGTTCCGGCCCAATACTCACTCTCGAAGCCCAAGCAACCCCCTCAACACGTCGCTCGCATCAAACGCAGGGCCGACACACGCAGGCCCAAGCCAGTCCCTCTCTCCTTCATCCTCAACCACCGATGGCAGCACAGTTCCCACAAACGCATCCCCGTTCATCTCATCCTCTAAACCACAGCCCGCCCCCTCGTCCGCCTCCTAAGCAAACCGCACCTCATCGAACAACCCAGCGCGCACCTGCACTACACTAGCCAGCTCAAACAAGAACGCCTGCAGCACAATAACATTCGTCAGCACATGCGACACCGACACGGACCGGTCGATCGTCGGCGTCCCCGGCTCGCCCTCCCTGGTTCCGGCTCCGGCAGTAACCCCATCACGGTTGTCGTCATCCGTCTGCTCGCCGTCTTCCGAGGGCGCAAGGAGCGCGTCCTCGCCGCCGCCCTCCTCCGCCTTGGCCTCCTCCTCGTCGGCGGCGTATTTCTCGTCTGCCGAGGACACCCCGCCCGCCGTGCGCTGTCTGTCGAAGCTCAGGCCGATCGGCTCGATGGACTTCTCGGTGGAAGGCTTGACGTCGGGGACGCCGACGCGGCGGGCAAGGATGCTCTGGTCGACGGCCTGGAACGCTTTCGCTTGACTTGCGAAGGCGTCAGGCTTGCCGCTGTCCCACGGGCCGCTTCCGGGCATGTTTGAAGGGGAAGGGGTTCTAGGGGAAAAGGACCGCCCGGCTTGCGGTGACGGCAAGTGCAAAGGCGTGTCGGCGGATAGGAAAGAGGCAGGCGTGGAGCGGTCTGAAACGACCCGCTTTGCTTCCTTCCGCCCGCGTGGACTGCCGGAGAGGGTAGGCGAGCTGAGCTCAGAGAGAAGGCGCTGAGCGAAACCTTCGAATCCGGAGGGCCGCTCACGGGACGTGTCACGCCCTTCGTCGGTGTAGATAACCGTCCGTTCACTGGGGGTGACGGTACCGGCGGTCGAAGAAACCGGCGTTTTGGATCGGGGAGGATGAATAGGTAGGTGTTGGCTTGCAGAGTCTGCTATTTGGAAAGCCTCGCGGCGTTGCTGTAACAGATCGTCAAAGCGCGGGACAGTCTCCCGGTAACCGGCGACCTGGTCGCAGAGGGTCTGCAGTATTTTGAGCAGGCGAGGGAGGGCCGACTGGATCCACCTCGGGCGCCGACGCGCCTCCTGCATGGATTGCATCTGCTTGTACTCAATGTACTCTTGAGATTCGGGATCCAACGGGGGCTCGGGTAGCGGAGGGCTATCGTCCTCCTCTTCGTAAACGTAGTTCAGCGGACTCCGCATGAACCAACCTTCGAGGTGCATAAAGCCGCACACAGCGAGGTCGAAGATGGCTTCCGTCAAGGCAAGGTTCGTGTCGACGGAGTTGAGGAAAAAGGTGTCCAGCCGATCCAAGACAATGTTGAGCAAGGGATCACTCGGGTGAAGGGTGTGAGACCGGACGTCCCTCGGCGCGCCGGGAAGAGTGTCGGGGACCGCTGGCAGCTTGTGGTTGTGCGTTGAAGTTTTTGGTGTGACCAGCTTGATGGAACAAGGGTGGTTTTCCAGCCGTAGCAGCGTGTCTTTTAGGATATTATCGTAGATCTCGTCAAAGTTGTCCTCGCCTCCGATACTCCCCGCGAGGGACATCAAGTACTCGACCTCCTGTTGGTGTGCGCCAGATGTCCTGTGATGAGACTCGCCGAGTACGCCTTCGGTGTAGAGCAAGGTGATAACTGCGTATCGATGATGCCTCTTAAGAATCACCGACACCAGTTGAAGAGTGACGTAGACTGTTTGGTTGTTCTGCGACCGAAGACAAGCCAGGATAAGATCGACGAGGTTGAACAGCAACGGATCTGCGGCGGCCTCCCCCTTGGAGGCCATCATGGTGGCCAGGTCCAACGACTTGCGCTTACGGGCGGCGCTGACGACATCTCCAGTGTTGGCACTGACGGAGCCCACAAGGTCAGGAAGACCAAGTAAATAGTGGAGAATGAGGTTGACCATGTCGGGATGGTCCAGTGACTCCAGGATACGGCGGAGGTAGGTCAACACGGCAACGGATGAACCGCCGTCGACATCGGAAGACTCAAGGAGAGAGGGGTATCTGGGAAACGGTGAGCAGGAGATGAGTAAACCGGGTGCGGGTACCTACAATAGCTGCTGCAAGAAAATGACCTGGAAATGCTCCAGCAAAGTTGACTTGACCTCAACGGACCTACAGTGGTTCAGAACGTCCTGCCAGAAAAGCAGGTGGGAGAGAAACGTGTCCAGATGTGACTGAAACTGGAAGGAACAAGAGCTGACAACTTCGTAGTTGGACTTGGGGTGTTGGTAGTCGGAGAAGGCGAGGATAGGTGGGAGTTCGTTGGGTAGGTGGTCGATCACAAGCTTGCGACTCAGTTGACTATACAGAGCGCCCAGACCTGTCGCCATCAAAGTCGACAGATCGCTTTCGACGATCCACTGTTCGAGAGGGACAGAGTTCGAAGCGGCTTCGATAATGTAGAGCAACCCAGTCCTTGCAAAGTCGCCAATTTTGCCCTCGTGGTGAATGTAATCCATCAACAGGTAAAACAGGGGGAAGTCCTGCTTCTGTGTTCTCCCTGCGAACTTCTCGCGGTGGTCCAGTTGCCTCGTGTCCCCATGTTGTTGAGACTTGAACCAAGCGGTCAGGATATCGGGTTCAAGTCGGATCTTTGTAGTGATATTGAAGGCCAGCTCAACGACGCGGGCTTCGGTATCGGCACCGAGGCGGATACTATTAGCGCCGGTTATCCGGACCAGTAGGTTCGTCAAACTAGCGGCAAAGGTCTCATTCTCGACGAAGGCCTCCTCCTCGCTCTCGATCAGGCTCGCGAAGAAGAGCACTGCTTCCTTAATGATCCACTCATTGAAGGAGCTCGTGGCGATCTTGGCCACTGGTATATAGACCTGCTTGGCGGCGGCGAAGGAGATACACGGGTGAGGCAGCGGTCGGCGGGACTCGTCGTTGAGAAGGTTCGTCAGTTCCTGGAGGCGGATCTCGATGTGTTCGGCGGCTTCGTCATCGTGGGCAAGGTTGGACGAGTTGCGCCATGCGTGCTGGTAACGTCGTCAGCTTGGGGGGCTTCCGTCTTTGATGATCCTGACCATGCTCACCAGCAACTGGCTGTACTCCTTCTCGAACCGATGCAGGCGACGGGCGGGATCCTTCGCAAAGTCCTTGCGGGAACTAGCCGACGATAGCGGCGTGTGTGCTAGGAGGCGCGACCACTAGAAGAAGCACAGGTGTTAGGTTAGCGGATCCAAGATTCCAAGTAACTACCTCACGCCATGCAGCATCCATCTCGTCCCGAATTTAAATAATTTGACGGGGAACGGTCACTCACAAAATCCATGGCGTCCCTGAACTCATCTCGGGGACGAGTCCAAACAGTGTCGACGGTTACCTCACTGGGCTAGTCCGGAACTCCAACTCAGCAGTCCCGTCACGGTTGCATGAACTGTCGTGTTTCCAAGTGCCGCGAAATTGTTTGGCCGTTGAAGCATGCATCAGGTTGCCCTGCAGGTCCAGGCCCCTCTGTCGCTTCCTCGGCTGGCAGCAGCTGGGGTTGGGAGCACAGACATCAGCTGCACCTCAGCCAATGATGCCAGTCAATTCCCAGGCAAAGGGTCCACTCGTCCCTTTCCTCCCCCACGATGACTCGACTCTCCAAGTAACTCCCTACACATCGCTCTCTCTCCAAAAATACCGACCTCCCCATGTTCATCCGTCCCGAAACTGTCGTCACTCTCGGATGAATCGAGTTGGGCATGACCGACTAACCTAAATATGCACTTCTGAAAAATCCCCGTCGTAACTGGCCGGCGGTATGGGCGGCTTCCACATGCATCCATCCGGCTACAACCTCACTAATCAAGAAATGGAGAAGCCATGCACCCCCCGCAGCGTTAGGTACCAAAAAAGTCGAGGCTATCTCGCAGTTCAAGAGTCAAGCGACAGCCAGTGTTTTTTAATGAGTTGCAGACTTCCACCGTTGGCCCGCATGTTTTACTGGCCCACGCCCGTAGCCCGCAGGCGGGAATCTGCAGCTCAGTGTCAGGCACACGCTAGCCACATGCTGATTGAGGGGAAGCTTCATGGAACGGTGAACCACCGATTTGTTGTCATCGAATCCCGAAGCATCCCCCGCCTGCACTCCACTCGCTCGGCGGCTATCAGAAAAAACTATGGCACCCACCGCACCTTTTTTCTGCGGTTTCACATGCAGACCACAATCCTGACCCCGGTAGTTGGCCGAAGATGACTTGGCCGGGTCCGCAAAACCGCCACGTCGGATCGCGATTCGAGGCGAAGCAATGCCACAGCAGCGAATGGGAACACACAACCTCCCCGGACTGGGATGTCGAGTCATATCTTGGCTGCAGTAGCAGCAAGGCACTCCCGCCCTGGCCTGGGTGCGAGGGTGCCTGGTGGCCGGCCGTTTGCCCTCGGGTTGAACTATGTAGTGTCACCAGACCTCTTGTCACGGCCCGGCCGCCCCTTGGCCTTTTCGATCTTTCCAAAATATTACCGACCAGAGCTCGAGTGGCTTCTATCTCTCACTTTGTTTCTGTCATTTTCCTCCGAGTGGAGTAGCTTATACGGTAATTCATCGATGCTGAACCCTACGCCAAAATGGGGTTCTTCCTCAGATCCAAGAAGGTGAAGAAAGAGGCACCATCCCCTCGGTCCAAGGGTCAGAGGCCGCCTCCGCAGCTCCAACCGCCGCCACCGTCGCCGCCTACTCAACCCTTCCGGCCAGCCGGTCTTCTCCTTCCACCTCCCGGCTGGAATGATGAAGGCCAATCCCCACCTCCCTATCATCAACATGGCCAGTACCCTCCCATCATCGTGAACCAACACCACTACTATCTCGGTCCCCCGCCGCCCAAGCAGGCCGCGCCGCCCAGACAAGCCCCGCCGCCATCACAAGCACCCAGCACATCTTTGAGTAAACTGAATCTCAGTTCTGCGGTAGACCTGGCCAAGGAGGTATATCAGGGCACCGAACAGCTACTGGACGATGGCCTCTCGGCGTGGCACAACCGCGGGAATCAGCTGGTCAATCAAGGCAACGGGGTAGTAGACGAGGTCTCGAATCGCGTTTGTCAGGGCACCCAGCAGCTTTTGGATGGAATGTTGCCGTCGTTGCACAATTGTGGGGGACAGCTAGTTCACCAGGGCAACGCGGTCGTTGATGAGATATCTCACCGTTTCGACAACGTCTTAACCAAAATCGATTGTGGCGGCTACAATGGGAAAGAGCACGACATATTTGCGTGGCAATCCGCACAAACCCCCGTGCAACCGCCGTCGCCCGAGTTACCAGCCGTCCAGAGAACTCGTTCCAAGTCAAGCTCAAGCAGGAGGAGCCAGGGCAAAGCACACCCAAAGGGTCAGACAACGGCTGCCGCTGCGGTTGTCTCGGGGAGCTTCTTTGCGAAGGTGGATCACTACTCAAACTCGAGGCTGCCAATGAACCTACCGCCCCTAAAGCTGTATGCCTTGCTACGCCGAGCAGTCTAGAGTCTTCACTAACAGGGTCTCAGATACATCCCAACCTACCCCCTTCTTTGTCTAGCGGCGCAGTACTCGGAGAGGGTGTATGAACCGCCAACTGCGCGGGCCGAGCGAGATGCCCACGTGGACGCCGACTGGCGAACGGGCACCAAGGCCATGGTGATTAAATCGGTACCCATGGACTCCATGAACACCATCGTCTTTGCCATCCGCGGCACAGCGACGTTTATGGACTGGGCGGTGAACCTGGATATGACGCCAACGTCGCCAGCGGGCTTCTTGGTACGTTATCTCCTCGCCTCCCCCGACCTTCCTGATGCTAACACAAGCCAGGATGACCCGGGCAACCTTTGTCACTCCGGCTTTCTCTCCGTAGCGCGCAAGATGGTGGGCCCAGTCGCCCGCCGTCTCCGTCAACTTCTCGAAGAGGACCCATGGCGCGCGTCTTACTCTCTCCTCATCACAGGTCACAGCGCCGGCGGTGCAGTTGCCGCGCTCCTCTACAGCCATATGCTCGCGACCTCCAAGGAAGCCGAAACGGAACTCAACATCGTCGCGGGCTGCTTCAAGCGCATCCACTGTATCACCTTCGGCACACCGCCCATCAGCCTGGTCCCCCTGTCAAAACCCAGCGATTACCTCCGCCGCCCCCAGCTCCGCAAAAGCGTCTTCCTCAGCTTCGTCAACGAAGGCGACCCAGTAACGCGCGCCGACAAGGCCTACGTCAAGAGCCTCCTAGAGCTCTTTGCCGCGCCAGCCCCGAAAACCACCACGGACTCGCGAAAGTCGTCGGAGTCGTCGTTCCGCGACAGCAGAAAGTCCCGACGCGGCGATAAGTCCTCCAGCAAGTCCCTCTCGACAATATCATCATCCTTCTCATCCACAACCTCCTCCCGCTCCTCCAAATCCACCGGCCCGGCGTGGACCGTCCCGCCCAGCACGCTAAGCTGTGCGGGCCGTGTGGTGGTGCTGCGGTCGGGGGATCCCAAGGCCCGGCTGAGGAGGGGCAAGACGACTGTTGAGGAGCGCTTGCATGAGGGGGTTGTTGCCCAGATTGTTACGGACGAGCAGCTACGGGGGGTGGTGTGGGGGGATCCGGTGGCGCATATGATGCGGCTGTATGCGGGGCGGATTGAGGTGCTTGCTGTGGGGGCGGTTACGGGGATGGGGTATTGAGTTTGAGATCCATTGTGGTTTATTTTGTTTGGGAAAGATACCATGGCGTTTTGGCGGCTGTTTGTTTCTGTTTTCCTTAATCTGTATGAGGGGCGGCGGTGTTCACAGTCTGGGCATTGGTGTTGATAACCGCCGCCGTGATGAGTAACGAGACACGACTTCAAGATCGATATTATATATGGCAAGGCACATAATCTACCCTCTATTTAACCCAGCCGCTTGAGTTGTTGATATCAACCCCCAACATATAATGATGTTCAGGGGGTCAAGGAACCCCCCAACTCCCCTGCCCGCCGAGCCCGATATCGCTATCGCGGCCGGAATTGACCCCTCCAAAGCTCCCCCGCCAATAAACATTCCCATTCCATCCCCCAAAGTTGCAACTCGAGTACTTGCCAACAACCGCCAAGATGGATCTCGACCCCAAGCTTGGTATGAGCACTCCCTCTGTCCTTTCTGGGCAAAACTGACTCCTAATTTCTCCTGCCACAGCCCCGTACTCGACGGCCGACCAAACATCGTTCGCCTGGCAGACGGCCCGGCAGCGATGGCCCATCATCATCGTTGGTCACTTCTGAGCAGCTTCTATCCGAACCTTGAGGATATCGAAGGATATCGACTAATGGTACTACTACTCTTCTAGACCCAAGCGATTGACGATGCCTATCGCACCGTGGGTTCTTGCGACGCTGGTGACAAACTGGAGGAGGGCAAGAAGATCGTCGCCGAGCTTGCCGAGCTCAAGTACGAGGTGCAACACGACCGAGCCTTGACGTGGGTACGCCTGCAGTTTTCCAAGACAAATAGCAGCGGCTAAAGATACGCCATTACAGGCCCATCCGCGATGATGGCCACCCCGACGTGGCCGGATACAACAAGGAGCTGGAGAAGCTCGGCAAGGTCACTTGGCACAATGCCCCCTGGCTCTTCACCGAGTGCTATCTCTTCCGGTACCATTGCCCCCTATGCCCCTTACGATACCAGGAATCCACTTCCCATCACTAACCACCCCTCCTCCCACCCAGCCGCATGTCCACCTCCTTCAGACTCTCCGCCCACTGGAAGAACTACGACGTCTTCGCCCGTCAAAAGATCAAAACCTTCCGCTCGTCGCGGCCGGCCGTGCTCGAGCTCGCCGCGCGCTACAAGGACCTCGTCACGCAGCTGCGGTCGCAGGCGCCGCACGACCCGGAGGCCGACGCGCTCCTCTTCACCGAGATGTGCGAGGTGTGCCTCTGGGGCAACGCGACCGACCTCTCGCTGCTCACCAGCCTGACCTACGAGGACATCCAGAAGCTGCAGGGGTCCGAGGCCCGCCGCGCCGCCGAGAAGAACATCCTCGTCAACGACCTGCCCCACGTCTACGCCCACCTGCGCGCCACCAAAGAATCGAAGGCGGACCGCCGCGTCGACATCGTGTTGGACAACGCCGGCTTCGAGCTGTACGTGGACCTGATCCTGGCGGGCTACCTACTCTCAGCCGGGCTGGCAACGACGGTGGTGCTGCACCCCAAGTCCATCCCCTGGTTCGTGTCGGACGTGCTGCCGACCGACTTCGCCTCGCTGCTGTCCGCCCTCGCCGACCCGCGCGCCTTCTACGAGACGCCCTCCGACGAGGACACCCTCCAGGGCGTCCAGCCGCCGCGCCTGTCCGAGGCCGAGGTCGAGGAGCTGGCGTTCCTGTTCGCCGAGTGGAGCCGCTTCCACGCCGAGGGCCAGCTCGTCCTGCGCCCGAACCGCGTCTGGACTGGGCCCGGCAGCTTTTGGCGCCTGCCCGGCGAGGCGGGGCCGTTGGTGGAGGATCTGAGGGAGGGGGAGTTGGTCGTGTTTAAGGGGGATCTGAACTACCGGAAGCTGACGGGCGATGTGAGTCTCTCTCTGTCTCTCTTCCATTTTCGAGGGGGGTTGGGTTTTGCTGGCTGGATTGCTGCTGACTGAACTGACCTGTGCAGGTTGCCTGGGACCCGACGACGCCCTTCACCGAGGCCATTGGCCCGCTGGGGCCGGGCTCGGGGCTCAACGTGCTGGCGCTGCGGACGTGCAAGGCCGATGTCGTGGTGGGGTTGCAGCCGGGCGAGGACGAGAAGCTCAGGGCGATGGAGGGCGGGGGCGGTGATTCGGGCGCGCGCAAGTGGGCGTGGAACGGGAAGTGGGCGGTCGTGTCCTTCTCCAAGGGGACGTGAATGCGGTTGGGGGCGCCAACTGCCGAGGCTGTGATATACGCGTAACATATAGACAGATCTGATTTTCGTGTGGGATGTTTGAAGATCCATTTATGGAAGTGGAGGGTGTCACCGGCAAGACCGTGGTGCTTCTTCGGCCGTAGACACGCATCCGGCAGTCTCGAGTGGATGATTCATGCCTCCCCGTGCTACTTCGGCCAGAAACGACACCGAAATGATTTGAGAACTTGCCTTGTCCCGGAAAGAAGCGGCGGGTCGCTGGTAGGAACCTCAGGTTCCGGGCTCACTGTCAAATTGGTATCGGGTCACTATTTTCTTCTCTTTACGGCACTGGGCAATCAAACATCGGTCAGACCACTGGTGTCTTCCTCCTGCCCTTGGCTCCTTTCTAAGAACAGAACAAAAGCAAGACAGCAACAAAACACCAGTGGACCAGCTCGCCGCCCTCACGACTGTCCCCTCACTGTGGTCCAAACTCCCAATCATTTAACCGTCTTGTGTTTCAACCGGATAGCTCAGCTTTTCCATTGCTATATTCATAGCTCCGGGCGGCATCAGCAGCGGTTGGATCGACGGTCTCTCTACATGCATGCAAAGACGGGCCGTCGGCGTTCCCGAATAATGTTGGGCAATGTTGATAAAAGCATTGACCGAGTGTGTCGCTTTTTCAGCTTGGCTCGGAGAAGAGGAGGTATTATCATTGGGAAGTGATACTACCTAGTTTCACCGGTTGGAAGTCACTTCACTCACTGCATTGGATGCCGCTACCACCGGGCGGTCCGAACTGGTTGTTCATCCGGTCATCGGTCGCTGAGGCTCGGCGCGCAAGTGCTTGTTGAGAGACACGGGGGAGTCTAGGTCTGATTCCTCGACAAGGTTAGTGCTGCCCTATGAGCGTTGGGTTTTGTTTGAAACTTTGACGCGTTTCAGTCTTGGTCTCTTGGGGCCAGGAACAAGCCTTCATGCCGCGGAGAAGCTGTCGAAAGGACCCGGTTGGTGACGGGGGATTTTGAGTCTGAAGACAAATTGAATTGTCTAATGGTCCTTTTGCTTCCTTATCTTTGATCGACAGGTCGGCGTGGAGAATGGGGCTGGGGGGAACGGGGCTCCCGCTTGGTGTATCATGACTCCATCGCTAGGGTTTCAGTCACCCCCCAGCTAGATCGAGAACAGCCCCGTCGTCAACGCCCCGAGCCTGGAGATCTGTGCTGCGTCAGCATCACGAAATCCGAAGCGTCGTGGACAGTGAATAAGTTGACGCAAGAAAATCGTCTCAGCTCGGGAGAGCTCCCGGCTTGGCAACAACGCTTGTTGTATCTCCAGGGAAATGCGTTGCTTTTTATAGAATCTTCCACGTCTTCGTGATCGACGGTAACGACATGCCATTGATCAGATTACTGTCTGTACAGTCCGATGCCATGACGAGGCCTGCGTATGCGCAGTCGATCTGGTCTGGGCGATCGCCGTTGGCGTAGATCTTCTGATCTCGCCTCCAAACCGTTGAGACGTCAAAAGATGGAACAGGTTACAGGGATCTAGGGGGGTGGCTGTGCGGTGTAAGAGCCGCTCCAAACCCCGCTCCCCATACCCCAACCTCGATCTCAAATCAAGGAAGAAACCTAAAGTTATGGGTGTTGGGAGAAGGTTTGTGGGGTCCGTTCTAGAACTGTCATTCCCCCCTTGCTTGTGACCCCTCTGGACATGAGACGTCAATGGTTCACCGCCTCAGAAGCGTATCCAAGCTGTGTGAGGAGTCCGACATGGAGAACTGGAGTTATCCAATCGGCAGCTGTGGCGGGCGGCATCTTATCAATCAACCTTTGCTTTCTCATTGATTCTTGTCATTGTTGCGGCAAATAGTGGCTGTGGAGATCCATGCTTCACACCGGGGTTAAATCTGTTTGTCCCTGTCGCGTTTCCCCGTGTCTCAGTGTAAGAGGAGTGTGCGGAATGCGGAAAGCACCCGAAGGGGGGTTGGGATCTGGTGGGATACGTCAAGTCGGGTACTGTAGGCGACTTCAGCTCCGACGTGGAATATTAATAGAATGTTCTTCCTGGCAAGTTCCGGGGTCCGCGTCGGGAAAAAGCCTCGACTTCCGGCGGACCCGAGCCCTCGGTGCTAGACGATGGGGCTAAACCGAGGAAACCGGCGCCAGAATAGCCAAACAAGGCAATATAACAAGCCCAACCCTGTCTTAGATGTCAGCTACTACCAATCAAAAAGCCTTGTCCGACCTCTTTCGGAGGCCAAAATTGCTGAGAGTTCTCCATCGGTGCCACCGTGGAGGGGGGGAGACGACCATGTCTCAGCTTTGTGTCACTCCTGTCTCGAGCCCACACCTACGCTGTACCACCTCTACCATCGCCGGGGGGAAGCCAAGCTCACAGAAGCCCCCGGGCCACGTGCCGCCGCCGTTATGTTGGACAATGGCTGTCAATAATGGACGCCAACCCAGTGACGAGACAGATCGGGGTCCCCGGGCGCCTATGATTTCCCTATCCGTCTTGATGACGACTAGCCCCCCCGTTCCCGGGCACAGAGCCCTAAACAAAATATTGCCAAGGTTTCGGAGTGAGAGCTTAGCCACGGGGGGAGGCTTCATGACGACGAAACCCAATCGCCTAGCAAGAGGAGGAGGGGTTGAAGAGGGCCGGTGTGCTGCAGACGGCTGGGAAGTCAGACACGGTCACACCGTTTCCATCGATGCCGCGTCTGGCGGTCCGTAGGCTTCGTCGACGCCAACAGCCTTGCGGCCCACGCTTCCCCTCCAAGCACCGCTGGCCAAGCCGATATATTAGGAACCGTATTGCCGATTTTCCTGTTTGAAATATCCGGACAACACCAGCCTCTCGCCGTGTAAGCATCATCAAAGACGTTGCCGTCGCTTTGGGCCCTGTTGAACTCCTACTCTATTCAACCTCATCCACTCACCCCTCGCTTAGCGGTCAGCACCCGGCGTACCTTGGTTAAGCTCAGCTTTCTCTTTTCAACAACCACTCGATCGTTTTTGTTGGAAGATCTCCCACCTCCGGTTGAGCCTTGCTTTGATCATCTGTCTTGGGTTCGTCACTTGAACTGCTCGTCCAGATTACCCAGGGCATGACTGAACCTGTGGGCTAACACAGTCGCCGGGACCACCAGCCCGGGGCCGCCTTTAGTGTGTTGAAACCAACCACACTCCAACCTTGTGATACATCACGAGACAGCATCAACCTAAACAGTCTACCACCCCGGACGACGATATCCCCACTCGGTATATCAGTCCAACGATCCCAGCACTTCCCCACCGACACACCGTGAAACCAAGTCTTGCCGTCGGCATCCTTGCGAGCAGGCTATATCCCCACCCGTCACCTGCTTCGACTTTGGGCATCACTTGATAACCCCTCTGTCCAAGAGCGTGGTACTGGTCATTGTACTGGCCATTGTGGGCATACGTAACGGGGAAGACGACATCGTCGACGGCTGTGCCCAAATCAAAACGAAGGGGACAAACCGAAAGAATAGAGTGGTCATACATACCGCGTCGTTGAACTCGGAGACTGAAAGAAGGTAACCGCAAGGAAAAGAAAGGGGAAAGTGGAGAAGAGAGCGTGAAAAAGAAAAAGAAAAGGTGAAAAGAGAGAAAAGGACGAAGACCAACAAGATGTGTTTCTGGAGCTACTCCCACCACCACCGTACGTCAACCCCATCCCTCCAGCCGATTGGCCTCCCCTCCCCGGCTGGCTCGGGAACTTCTGCAAGATGACCTCGCCACCGGCATCACGGCGCCTTCCCACATGCCGTGCCGGGGCCAGGCCAGGCCAAACCAGCAGAAGCCACTTCTACTGCTCGTTATGCAGTGTAGTGTAGAACCGCGCGCTGACGGTCCCACTCCAGACCTCCCTCCCTGCACCCGGCCAATCGAGATCATCGTCAACTACGAGTACTGCCACTGCGCCGTTACCGACCCAATGACCGGCGAGACGCAGGCGTGCGACCGCGCGTTCTGTGGCGATAACGCTTCTCCCATGAACCAGGTCGATTACAACGACCCATGGTACGTACCAGTAGCCTGGTCTCCTGACCTCCCAATCCCTCAGCAGTGTAACCCCCCTCCATCCACCACCCCCCTTTCCAAGCAAGGCTGGAAAGAAGCAAGGAAGACAGACAGCAAGAGAACAGAGTCAGCTAACAACACCCTTGCCATTCAGCGCAACAGGCGGTTGCCTGATCTCGCCGGATTGCGAATCTGGTGGGTGCCGCCTCGCTCAGCTGGGTGGTTGCTGGGCGTGCTGCCAGTGTGGGGGTCGAGCCAACGAGCACCGCTGGTGTCAGCACCGGTTGCGGACAAGCCCGGACACATTTTGCTACCACACTTGCTGCGAAGGTTGCAGGGCCGACCCGGGGGGTTCGGCCTCGTCCGGGACGGGTGCTCCTTCCGCTCGGAGGGGTCGGAGGTGAATGTGATGGAATATGGTGTGGGTGGGGACTGGGGTGTTATGGGAAAAGGAGGCAGGTTTTGTTCTCGTGCGGTTTTTCTTTGTTCTTTTCTGGGGAAGTCCTGGCTTTTAGGCTCGTTTTGAGGAGACGGAGCCGCATTGCTGCCAGTCGGGAAACGAGGATCCCTTGGGTGGTCATCGAAGCCGGGGAGGGGCATGGACCCCCCTTCGCTAGCAGGGGCCAGAGATTGTACCGATGGTTATCGGGCTCGGAGGAAACCTTCCTTGAGTTTCCCTACTCATCTTCTTGTCTGTATTTTGTCTCTTTTTCCCACGAGAATGCCAAACCATTCCTCGACGACGACCGGTGTTCGAGACCGGCGAAAGTCTCAATGTGGTGCCACCAGGAATCCGTTCGTTGTCGAGGCGTTGGCCCGTTGTCTGAGACACCTGGCTGGCGATCCGCCGGACAGTGTTCCTTGTTGTTATTCCGGGTATTTGCACCACCTGCAGCGGCCTATCGTGGGTTGGGGTGAAAGGCCTGGGCCTACTTGACAATCCCTGGCTCAGCTTCTCCAAGCCGGACGACAGTGTTCCGGTGGTTCGCATCCTATCAGCCGTCCAGCCGGGCTCTCGCCACATTCTGGGCGTGGTGTAACGTTGACGAATCAAGGGTTCAGTAATCAAGGTGATGGTGATGACGGCCGGCAGGAAACATTCAAAAACCGCGGAAGAAACCGCTCACGATCCCCCCTCAGCTTGCCAACCACACTGACCAAGCTCCCAAGCCACCTGTGATGGCCCTTTCCCCGGCCAATCGTGAGTTAACGGTTCACTTCTGGTCCGGTCCACTCCCTCGACAAGGAGGCCCTGTGCTGATGCGGCGGGACCTCGAGCCAGTGTCCCGCTACCTTAGCTCCCGCTCGACGGCCCGAAGTTATGATTCCCTGGGGCCACCCTAGCTTCACCCGAGCGTTTGTGGATGTATCCCCACCCTGCAAGGCGCATCATCAACCCAGCGTGTCAATACCGATGCGTTCATACCATGGCCGGCGAGATCGGCCCGGGGATCTGAGGTACGTGAAGTCGGGGACGCAGGATGATGACATGCAGGAAAGCCACAAGCATCATTCCTGTCCTGTATTTCCAGATCGAGTAGTGAGAATCAAGTGTGCCACCCCAGTCTCCTCGTTTGGTCACACCAATGGGGCCTCACGGATAGCGCTGCAGGCAAGCGGACAGCTCACTTCCGTCAACCATCCCGTTGGTCAGGTGGGACTCGCGGGAGGATCCGGTATTCCTAAAAGGGATCCCAACGTCGATTTGGGACTCGACGGCAGATTTGAGGTAGAAATCCGGATGCCGATTACACCACTTCGAGTTGGGCATGGGTCACTCGGGTGCGAAACCCGGCGCCATGTTTCTCGCCGTGGTAATACATATGTGCCAATCATGCTTATTTTGACGGATGGGTGTGGCAGTCCTGGTGCCTCTAGAACAGCTGACCAAGCAAATGATCTCCTTGGGTCATGTAAACGGTAAGCCATGCACCCAAAACATGAGGCCCACGCTCTTGCCGGTCTCCCGGTTGGTCTTGCGTCAGCGCCTCGACGTTAGTGCCAGACACGCCATCGTGTCGGTTGACGGAGATCGACAATCCCCGACGCTATCTGTCCGCTCGCCCATGAGGAATGTTAAAGTCGGAGTGGATTGAGGCCGTCAGGGACCCATCCTACAAGCATGATACCGGTGAGTGAGGCTGCGGTGGCGTCACTATCCCGAGTCCAAGGGTGTCAATGAGGAAACGCGGCAATGGGCTGGGCCTCGCCGTCGCTCCCGAATGCGCTCTCTATCCAAGTATCGTAGCAGTGTGAGACGGGGGTGGGGGCGGTGTGAACGGATGAAACACAGCTGGTTGCCCCAACACCCGAATGTTGAGTTGCGTGATGTTGGCCAGGGAGCGAACCCGACTCGGTAAACGCCCCTTGTCTTAATAACAAACGATTAGCGCTGAGGCTGTTCCCAACACCATGGGCTGGGGTCGCGCTGATTATCCCAGCTGAGCCCAAGGTTGCCCTGCGCTGGTCAAGTGAAGCTGGGTCACCGAATAACGAGCGACGAAACCGGCAATGAACAGCTGAAGGGAGCTCTCGATCGAGACCGCGGATCGCCGGAGCTCAGATTAGCGGAGTCGAGGCCGTCCCAGTCCCATGGTAGGCGTGCCGGGCGATCTTGTGGCTTTGGCTCGCCAGATCTTGTGTTGCATACCTGTGGGCGGAGATCCTGCTGGACTCCGATCCTCATATTTTGTGGCTGACCCTGGAATCCCCGCAAGAGCTGCGCAACAAGGGTAACTGCTGGGAATAAAAACCGGGCATTGTTATCCTGGTGTCGATCGGTCCCAAAAGGCATCTCCCGATATCCTCCTGTCGGGAGGCGTGTTGCTTTTGGGTCAACGAAGGCTGGAATGCGAGGAAGCGGGTGGTCGGAAATGGATTGCTGCAGCCGCGAGCGGTGCCAATGGCGCGTCGATCAGGCTGAATGTGGAAACCCCAATCTGGTTACAACCGAGGAATCGGAGCCCCAGGACCCTGGCGAACCAGTCTCGGGGTATTTTTTTGAAGGAGCTGATTTGTCGAGAAGCCCACCTCGATGTGATCGGCCGGCCGATCGAGTCTCGGATCACAAAAGCATCGCACACGCCGCCAACGACACACATAACAGTGTGAAATGACTGAGGGGAAAGATGGACCGCAAAATATCGCACCACAATGTGGTTGTGCCAGAAGAGACGGCGCAACGATAGTGACTTCTCGAGGCTGACTCCGCGTTTCCTCGGGGATTCGGCAACCTATCAACGATATTAGTCTTGTCCATCACCAGAGAAGCGAGGTGCCCGTCAGTGCAGATCGGCCGCTTTATGTGAAATCCAGAAGGAGCTTACCATCTCCATTGAGGGCTCGGGTGTTAAGCCACCCTGTCCAGGAGGGGTAGCTGAAGGGCGGTGGCCCGACTAGCCTCCCTCGGCCTCGGTGACAGCAGCCGGAGCGGTCCGGGAGGGTTCCAACCTTTGGGATGACGAATGACCCACGTATAAATAATTCCATCTGATGTCTCTTGCTCTGAGTTGGGCGTACAAGCCGTTATCTGAGATTCTCATGTCGGTCCAGTTAGCACAGTTCGGTGAATTTCCGCAAGACACCCACACTTTGCAGAAACCTCTTGATCAACAAGACCTCGTTAGCTATCCGGAATCCCGCCCTCGATCTTTCGACTTTCATAACCAGCCATGTGTCACGGACACCCTCACTACCATTCGTGCGGCCACCAGTCCGTAACGTGGCATTATTGCCCGTCGGCGCTCATAGACTTGGAAACCGGCTATGAGACACCGTGCCCGAATATCACGTTTGCGGCATCCCAGTCATCGACAGCAGCGTGTCCACTAGCAAACTGCGACTTCCGCAGTGCTGGAGGGGGCGGGTGGACGTGCTGCAAATGCGGAGGACGGAATAGTAGCGGGTGGTGCCTAAACACGTCGCCCGAGCCGAAATGGGAGAAGAACTCCATCACGAACGAGTGGGAGTGGATGGAGAGGTGCGACCACGGGTGTTGTCGCAGCTGTACCAAAGATCGTAAGCAGAACCCCGATGACTGCGCACGCGTGAAGGGATTGCCGCTCCCTTCCTCCCCTTGGCGCATAGATGGAACGGTTCTAACACATTTTCAGCTCAGGTTAACTCTGGTGACTCCAACCGCAAAGACGGGCGAAAAGGAAAAGAATCAAGGAGACATCGGCAAACTGCGTCATCCAGTTCACCCAGCTCTGATTCAGTGACCTCGTATAATATCGAGCTGAATTACAGCGGGAAAGACGGGGATAGGCCGTCTAAGTCATCGCATAGGAAGAGGTGAAAATGTTTACCACCGGGTAAAAGACCTGGATATGGAACGGAGGGCAGAGGTAAAATGTATGTGCAGCAGATTCCAAGAGTTTAAGAGAGGGGGGATGCAACGAGCCACGGCGGAATGAAGTTGGAAGTCGGAGGCGTGCCTGGCTTGGTGTCCATTTTATTGTTTTCTTTCTAGGCTGGCGCATTGGTCAGAAGAAGATTGGGAAGACTCGCAAGGGTCGGCGACGCTTTGGTTAAGTTCTCATGGCCGGGGAGCGTCTCTGTATTTTCGTAGAAAGAATGGCGGTCGCACCCAAATGGGTCTGAGGCGCAGTAATTAATGGTGGAATCATGGTTGTCGGTGTCCAATAAATCGTGAAAGTGCTCTCCTAGAATTCAAGGTAAAAAGCTCGAAACAAGAAAGTTGACCAACCCCCTTCAGGGTTTCCATGTGTGGCTTCCCGGTTTTCTAGGTAAGGTAGGTAGGCTGCCATTGGGAGGGAAGGCACTTCATGCAGGTAGTGGAGGAAGGGTCAAGTGAGGTGGCTACCTAGGTAGGTACCTCTAGGTGGGTGGTTTGGGGATGGAAGGCGCCAGCGGTGGTTCTTGGTACTGAAGTTCATGTGGGAATAAAGGTGTGAGAAGGAAGGGGCGAATGGTTGGGCATCCTGCCTCTACCTAATAAAGAGGGGGAGATGAACGACCTATTGCCCGGTTCATCCAGCACGACCTAGCCCGGCGGCACAAGCGGCTTGCGCTTTCGAGTCTTGTGATCCTCCTCTCGGGGACATGCATAGGTAGACGGCAATGTCCTCCCGATAACCAAGTTTCAAGAATCCGAAGGCAACCAGAGAACAGGCTCATACACAAATGGGGCGTGCCCTATCCCTGCAATCAAGTTGTATCACAAGCCAATTCGGCCTTGGCGATCTGTGGCCACCGATCCCTAATTACGGGTATCGCGAGACCTTGGACTGTGAATCGTTGGTGTTTGTATTCGAGTTTCAGTTTGAGACCCCCCGGGCCAACTTCGGACACGCCAGCTCTGCCCGACTTGCCCGCTCTGACTGGTCCTCGTCCCTCAACTCTCTCTTCTTAAGAACATCGTTAAGGCGTTTTGGCACCAGCGGGCTACAAATCGTGCTCGGAGTGGAATTAGTAGACGGTCCTGGGATGTTTTTCAACCCAACACGACATGGCATACTGCAGAATGACTTGAGGAGACCATACGGGGGGGCACTCCTGCTAGGCTGGTAGGTATATTCCAATTCAGACTCTGACCGCTCGCTGCTCAAGCCAGGTGAGCGATGTGAACTGGCTTGGCAGATTAACGTGATACAGAGGGCATTGACAGATCCGTATGTACAGATTACATACACATTACAGATTACACAGGATTGATTCCGTCAGACTCGGAAATTGCAGAGCGAGAAAAGGCGTAAGATGGTCACAACCGCTGACTGTCTCGGTCTTGGCGCGGTCCCGACCCTTTTATCGCCAAGGCGGGTTTGTCCCCGGATGGTGACCTGATAAAATGCCACGTGCGCGCTTTTCGCTCGTGGCGGGGCGTCGCACCAGATCTTCGGCAGTGTTGTGTTGCTCACATGGGAGGCAGGAGCAAGGTTCAGAACCTTGATTGCCAAATCGCTGCCGTCATCTTCCGCCGTCCAGCCTGTCGGATCCAGCTGGGGCGACATGGGGCAAGACAGAAACGACAGAGGGCTTGGACCATGGAAGGAGATGAAAATATTGTGTCGAGCGTGTATTTTTGATAGTTATCGCTTGACACACAACATCCAGGCGCTTTGTAACTGACCATGTGCTTAACTACCCGATAGGCGGCATTCTTGGGGCATCTCGGGGCATCAGAGCATCTCCATCTCTCCGGAGCCTGGGGGTCGCACCTGGAAAACCCCCCGCACGCATGGCCAAAAAGGATGGTTGGCTGAATATCTTCAAGGGGCGTTTTGCCGAGAAGGAAGCAGTCCCCAGGTAAACCCCGGTTGCCCTGTTGAGGAGTCAATCTTCGCGAGACGGCCACCCATCCCTTCCGTTCTGGAGGATGCAAAATAGAACGTGATGGGATCCCGAATGAGAGCGTTAATTTAACCTCCTGCTGCAGAGAAACCCACCAACTCATCTTGTCGGGAATGCCATCACAGCAAGTCAGTTAACTCGTCGTTGAGGCGTTTGTGATGAGTGGGATGGGCCCGAATGACTGGTGTGATCGGGGACCGGCGTGACTGGGTGATGATCTGCCCTGACGAACCCCTGAGGCCCGCTTTTAGTTGGGGGCTCGCTGACTTTTTTGCGGGCTGGCCGCGGCAGCTGCAGCCCTCCCACATGGGCGTCCCGTCCTGCCCTGGTGTGCGCCAGTCCTCCCGGGCCGTTCTGAGTGGTGCCACCTTCCTGCTTCCTCTCCCGCCCGGCATCTCCTCTTTGTTCATCGCCACCACCTTTGCTCCGCTGTTACTCCGCTCATCTCATTTCGAATCGACCGTGTGCTATCAACGACACAACAATTGGCTGAACAACAGAACCGACGGGCTGTTCGACAAGCGACAAGTGACAAGCGACAAACGGCAAGTGATAAGCAACTATTTGGCAGGGTTTCGGCGACCGTGAGCGGAGCCAGCGAATTTCCACCCCCGGGCCAAGGTTGCTCTCAACAGGCTTTGTCTTGCTCCGGCGTTTCAAATCCGACAGCGTCGAAAGCCAGCACGGAAAGTCCGAACGCACGCTCGTATCATTGCCAGAATGCCGACCTCCCTGGAGTCTTCGCGCCCGATCATGGCCCCTTCGGTTCGTCTTTTCCCTCGTCACCTGCCCTAACCAGTCCAACACCACCCGCCCAACATATCTGAAATAAACCAATCGTCGCTAACCACGACTAAACCATCACTCGCTATCCAGACCCGCACCTCAGTCCGCTTTTCCACCTACAGCATGACCGCGCCGTCCATTACCCCGACGGTCCTCAGCACCGACAGCGTGACGGCCGAGATCCGCCCCATCGTCGACGGGCTCGAGCGCCTCAAGAACCCGCGCCTCTCGGACCAGCGCGTGTACCTCAACGAGGAGAAGACCACCAACCTCGCCAAGCTCGCCCTGAGCGCCAAGCTAGAGCGCGCCCTTGACCGCCGCATGACGAGCCAGGACGCCGTCATGCGCCCGCGGAAGCCGTCGGTCTTGGAGGTCACCTCGGAGAAGGAGAAGATCTGAAGCGAATATCATGGCGCTAGGCAGGAACAATTCGACCGACGGAGGATAGGAGTGGCGCTAGGCGTCGTGGCTTGGGGCGAGCGAAATTCCGTTTTGGAAACACGCCGTCCTGCTCTCAACGAACAATATACCCCATCTAGCGTTCTCTGCGCCACGAGTCGGACGACGGATTGAAGTATGGGCGGGAAGGGAGAGAAAGTGGGAGGGCTAGTTCATTAGCTGCATGGTCGGGTTTTCTGCCTCTGTTTTTTTGTGTTCGTATCTGGGCATCATCATATTGGCATCGTTCTTGTTTATGGGAGAAAGTCAACCGGGCGTGGGAATGGGCGTCCATAGGAGGATCTAACGAGGCGGCGGGACTACAGAAGAACCAGATCGAGTGAAGATGCAACGCCCAGCGGGGGCCGGAGTTTGCGAGGTTGCACGTCGGGTGGAGGCTGTCATGAGTTGCGTCAATCATCTAACCACCGTTCAAACATTCCCATTTACGAATACGTCTTCCCTCAAACAATCCCTTCATTCCCGGTGCTGCAAAATCCCGTAACGCCTAGCCCAAAGGTTGTTGAACGACCCACCATGACTCGATATGAACATGCTCCCCTCGTCCTGACGGCTACTCCACGCCGTCGCTATGGAACGACATCTCGCCCTATCAATCCTCCAAGAACAAATCCTAGGTAACGCACCTCAAGCATCCCTCCTCACCTTCTCCTCCTCCATCTTCCCGTCCACCTCCCGCAGCAGCTCAATCAGCTCCTTCTCCTCGCCCTCAAACTCCAGGCCCCTCGCGACCCACTCCCTCGCCTCTGCCAGACGGCCCATCTCGACGAGCGACCTCCCCCTCCTGAACCAGGCCTTCGCGTTGCCCTGGCGCTTGGCCTCCACGCTGGCCTCCGCGTCGGCCGCCGCCTCGGGCCAGTTGCCGAGGTGCATGTGGGCCTGGGCGCGGTTGCTGTAGAGCGCGTGGACCTCCTCGCGCACGAGCTGGCTGGGCTCCCAGGCGGCGCGGGTGAGCGCCATCTGCAAGCCCAGCGTGTAGAACTTGGCGGCCTCGCCGTAGCGCTGCTTGCGGTAGTCGGCGTTGCCCGACTCGCGCAGCTTGCCGATGTTGGCGCTGCGCTTCGGGTTCACCGGCACCGGCGGCGGCGGCACCACGTGCGGCGGGTCCAGCCCGTGCAGCGACCGGTGCAGCGAGTTGAGCGCGTTGAGCTCGGCCTCCAGCGCCCGGGAGGCGGGTGTCTGGGCCGCGCTGATGGCTTTGGATTTCGGGTCGATGTGGAGGGGGATGAAGTCGAAGGATTCGAGGTCTGACATTGTGGCGGTGGGTTGAGGGGGGTGGAGTGTAGTGGTGATGTTGAGCGAGGGTTGAAGAAAGGTGGAAAGTCCGAGTCGATGGGCGATGGAATTAAAATCGTTGTCGCAGTGGAGCAGTATGGGCGATTATCAGAGGCTTCTCGCGGTGCAATAGAGCCGGAGGTATTTCTAACCAAGCGCGTAGAAAAATGAGTGTTGTTCTCGCATTGAGTTGTTGGGTTGGTTGCTGTCACTACAATGGACCACGTTCAGATTGCCAGAAAAGGACAGCTGTGAGTTGACCTGACGGTCCCAGATCCCAGGAAATGCTTATCTTATCGTCCGGGAAATCGATGACTAAGCCGACATGATGATGTTTACCAGACCCACTTTACCCCTGTCCCGGCGTCAACAAGACGGCCTCCTCGTTGCTCTCCTCCACAGAAGGCTAACGTCAAGCACCCAACAAGGGACCCGATAATGGAAGCGGAAAGGTTTTGGGAACCAGTGCCTGAATTAGTAAGTTGTTTCGAGTGTAAAATCTACGCAACGATCCCTCGTGGCTGGCCTGAAGCAAACTCTGCCATCTCTCGCGACAAGGGGTGGGCGGAAAGGAAACATTTACCTCGATAATACAAGGAGAAACGGGAGTTCCAGGCCGGGGTATCATATTATATTTAGGATCACCTTGTTTTGTAACCCCAAACCTTCGTTTCTCACCCTTAGTAGAGCACCAGGCGGGTGTGTAAACCACAAACGCCCTCCTTTGGCACAATTCCAACCAGACCCAAACAGCAAACCCAACAACCGTATTACCGAATGCAAATTGTTCTCTTGGAGACGCATTCCACCTCACGCGATTAAATCATTCCCTGCCAACACTGGGTTTGGCCCGTGTAAATATCTCCGGTGGTGTCCAATCAGCCTTCGAGGACGGGCCGGAAACAAACATCTTGGAAACCCAGAAGAGCTCATGCTCCCAACAGCCTCCAGCTGGTGTGGTAGGAATGGAGGGCACTGATGCAAGCATTAGAATCCACCTAGCTTTTGAACCGAACGATAGCGAACGAGGTGACGAAAACTCAACTTACATCTTTCCTTAAGACGCGCCACAACGCGCTTAACGCAGTCAATTTGCTCCGCTTCAAGGGACGTCAACGCCGACTCTCCGACATTATCCCAATTGAACGTCATTAGATCACAACGCTTAAAGTATTGCCAGTGGGCCAAGAGCATGACGGCACCATAATGAACCTCCTCAACAAAACGGGTAAGGGGGTCATGGAGGTTTCCGTATCGTGTATCCTAGAAACCCGTCAGCTGCGTTCAGATAGCGATCTGGTCAAAGTGCGCACCAGTCGTTTCCCCCTTGAGTTTTGTTTGGCATGGCGGTGTCGGTCCTGGGAGGTGCAGGCAGCCAGATGAAGCAACAAGAATGTGGCCAGGAAGACGGTGAACCAGGCTTCTTTGTTGGATGATGCGAGGAATGCGTCGATTGTCCGGAGCACATCTGGTGCGAGCTTTTTGTAAATAAACTCATGCCGTATGCTGTCGAATTGGGCGACAATCATCCGCGACACTAGAACCCGACCGCGAAAGGGGTGGTTGGGCTCAAGTATCGGGCTCAGCCCCAGACGCTCGTTGCCGCAGAGCCATGCAGAACCTGTTCCATGCCCTGGACGACACTGTGAGTGACACGCACGGTATATTAATGAATATCGTGTAGCACTTACGTATCGCGAACCACAGACGGACCATCTTTCGCAGAAACTCTCTCTGATCCGGCTGCTTCTTCGCCCCCTTTGCTCCTTGACCGACTTTGGTTTTCTTGGCAAGCTTTGGAGAGATTTAGTATTTGAACGATATTCGGGGCAGGGATGGGAAACACAGGGGATCCATACTGGGAGCGAGTTACAGTGTGTCTCGATCATAGCAAAGACTTCCTTGACTATGTCATCTGAGCCCTTCACCGCTTCCGCCAGGCCTTCGACAGCATTGGAATCGATGTAGTCGTTGAACTTCTTGGCCGTTTCCTCAATGTCGGCCAAACAAAACGCACCGGTATCTTGGGATTTATGGGCGCGGGCGCCATCATCGATGTGATACCTCCAGTGCGTCTTGTCGGTTTGCCTCGGACGAAACCGTCGGACCTGGAGCAGCATGGGGGACTGACAAAGCCCTTGTGTTATCTCGATGTTGTAAATAACGCCGTCACTGTAGTCGACGACGTCCACAACCTTCGTGTGGTCGAAGCGTTCGGTGTAACCCAAACCGCCCGCACGGTACACGACCATCGACGTCACCTTAAACCGCAAACAAGGGGTAAAGTGAATGGTCTTTTTAGAGTTTCTGTGGACTTTGAGGCACGTCACACACGGTGCGAGGGGATTTGTGGGGTCTCCCTCGTTAGGCACGCACTTCGCCATGTTAGTTCTAGGAATTGTCTGCAAAGGCCATGAGGGAGCATCACTTACGCGGAGTCGTTGATTATGACATCGCATGCAGGCGCCAATTTGTCGCGTTTTGGATGTCTCACTGCGCAACCGTTCGTTGAACTTACCCCGCTTCTTCCGGTCGTGCGCACCTTCATCCTCTAACCCAGTGATGGGTTTCGACGGTCCTTCTACCAAGTCTGCATGGGGAACGTTCATCAGGAGTCCCGCCGGAATGGGCTCCCCCCTAGCCCCGTTGGCCGGGGCCAAACCCTCTTCTTTAATCCAGCCTCCACCTCCCAGCTGCTCGGCAGTTTGGGCATACAGTCCACATCGCTCCAACCCACCAATGTTGAGCTGTGCAGGTGGGTTGCCGTTCGCTGTAGGGCGAAGGGTGGGTGCGTGGTATGAGTCGAACACAGCAGTGGAAGCGCAGTAACCCTCAACTTGGTCAAACTTGGAATCGGCGGGATTTCGAAGAAGCGTCGCGTCTCCCGGCCCTTGTAGCAATGGTAAATAGGTTCCTGGGTCATCCGGCGCACCGGGTCCATCTACCGGTTGCTCTCCTGTGAGAGGAGAACACCCACCATCCGAATGGACGAAGGGAAAACCGGCATACGAATGAGCTTCTGCCCCTGTGAAGAGTGGCGGAGTCGGAAGAGAAGCGTGGGTGTTATGATGAACAAAGCCGGCATGAAGCTGATCATATGATCCTATGTCACCAACCGACGGTGGGATGGTTGGCGCAGTCAAGGACCAATGATAGGGTAGGGACCCAGCGGCGGCCTGATCGACCGGTGAGGGAGGAAGGACACCCCACAGCGTGTGACCGGGGGCTGTCGAGACAATTGCACCCAATGGTGGTGGTGGATCCGCATCGAGTTGAGGCGCGTGTGGCATCCAGTTCCCTTGGGGTGAGTATGGGGTTTGGTTGAAGCTCGCCGGCCCCATGTGACGGAACGGATACTGGCTATCGGAGGGGTATGGAGAGAGACCTGACCCTGCTAACCCTAGGATGTTGTCGGCACTGCCGGTCCCCGCCCCATGCGTTTCTCGCCCGGGCCCGTACACGGGCTCGTTGTGCCAAATCGCTTCGCTCGGGACCCGACTGGGGCTGACCTGCGTTCGGGGGGCTTTTGTGCGACGTTTCTTCGATGGCCGGGCCTCCGCATCCGTGGTACTATTTTGTACCACAGTGATGGCAGTCTAGGTTGAGAAGACGGAACGTTAATCACAGCTCGTGGATGCTTCGAAGGGTAAGAGCAAAACTCGGGAAATGGAGGGTTATTTACAGCTGCATGCGAAGACAAAAATGGCGCGGGAACAATTGCCTCCATTGATGGCGTGTATCCAGCAACCCTCATCCAAGCTTCCCCTCCGGCGCCTCCGGGTTGCCCAGCCCTAAGAGGCCCCAGACATGGCACCGGCAAGGCACCGCAGGACACGTCGTTCCCGGTGCCGTGGCTCTGGATCGAGGCGGCCCCTGTTTCCGATTGGCGGCGGGGAACAATGTCCAAGTCGTCGGAGGTCGGGCCAGATGTGCCTGGAATTGCTTCGCAGCCGGTGTGGGTGGTACAACCGGGACAGGGTGGTGAGCTCAACATCCAAATGAGGCGAACGGCCCCGAACCGGCCAAGGGGCTCTCTCGAGAGGGAATGGCTGCGCGAATCATTCCGTGGCCCAGCGGCGTGTTTGACGGGGCACTGCGCAGGCGCAAGGGGTCACCAACCTGCAAGCAAGCGCTGGTGGACTGGACTGGGGGAGTTGGCGCGCAGGCCTGCCTCGAGAGGTGAGACCGGGGTTTTGGGGAAGGACAGGCCAGACAGATACCACCCGCCGGGTTGGTACCCAACGAAAGAGGATGAAGAGGAGTCGAAAAGTTGCCAAGCGATGAACTCAACGTCTTTCCTGGCCCGGAGCGGTGACGTGAAACCTTCGCGCAGGGAATTTGCGATCTGAACCCTGCACAAGGCTGTCACTCACCCCGACGCAACACGCAAAGTGGCGCCGTTTCCAAGCCCAAGACAAGGCACCTCCCCGCCTTTCAGTCCTTCCGGCATTCAAACTTAAAAAAGACGGGACTCGCGAATCAGGGCCAAGGGCGATAAAAGCCAAGGGAGATTGGATTTGCGTGGTATCGTGGCTGATTCTCGCCTGGGCACCTGCCTTCCCAATGGAATTGAACGGGATGTCGGTCGGGAAGTCGAGGAGGCAGGTGCGCTGGGGATGGGAGTGCCAAAAGATGCGACCGGTGAACATGCAAGTTGCTCTTTCTGGGCTGACAAGTGCGCATGGACCGCACCACTGCACACCTGCCACCCACTGAGAGAGGTCCAACAAGCCACATTCCATCCGAGGGGTTGCGGCTTTGCCTGGGCCGCCTGGCTATTTCTCGGTTGTGCGTTTCGCGCGCCTGCAGGACGTTGCAACTCTCTCGCCGGCTCCCCCAACGCCGAAAGTCGAGTCGACCCTGATCCGCAACATGAACCATCAAGCACACTCTTGATCCCGGCGCCACGAGCTTCTTGCAGGCGTACTTCGTACACAGGCGTTCGATGCTAGCCGAGAACCACAACTAGTTATGTACTTTAGGATCGGAAGCATGAAAATGCAATGCCAAACACAAATTGGGATCGTGTCGTTTCTCGATTAGTTATCGTGCCCGTCACGGACCTGTTCCGAAGCCATTCGCCTTTCTGCGGCGAAACAAACGTTGTGTTTATCTCGTCGCGCTCGCTCGCCAAGCTCCCAAAGGTGCCCGGTGTTCCATCTCGATGCCGGAAGGTTACACAACAGCCACTCGGAAGCGCGCCGAAATCCCGTTGTGTGGAGTAAATACCCGAAGCTCCACGCTTCTCCCGCGCCTGCGCACGTCAAGTCTGACGAGCACCCCGTTTTTATGTATAATCGGTGGAACTGCGAACTAAAGATCGGCAGGAATCTGGGAAACGAGGAACGATCGGATAACGAGGGTCAGGCTCGTACGGCCACAGCCATGGCACTCATCACCTGGCCGCATGCCTGCCCAGCACATCCTAGTGATCCTACACTATCAAAACAACGCTGGTGAGAGGACGAGAACAACCACTGTGCACGGGACAAGATGCATGTGTGTGGGTGCTGCATGAATGCAGAATACCTCGTCAGATTCAAGCGTGGGCCGGACAGGCGGACCGTTCCGATCCGGCAAGATCTCCCCGGGAACTGACCCCCTTCAGGCAAGGTCGTGAGTCGGAATTGGGCCCTCACTGAGCGCTCCGAGGAAAAGAGCAGCGGAATCATCTGATTATGTGTTTGGGTTTGGGTCCACCGAGCTCCAACCCCCGCGGCTCTGCTCGTTGCGCGGGGAAAGAGACTTGGAAAACAAAATTCCGTGGTCTCGGTTCCGCAGGGTCCCCCAGGGGCGCCGCCATTGGGCATGAGCACCAGGAGGTGAGCATGTATCCTGGTCCGGTTCCTCCCTGACGATGGGAACAAATGCTCCGGCGAAACCTGTCATTGCCAATTCGATTCGTCCGAGAGCCCGCGGTACCTCGGACAGTGCTCCCAGGCTCTCAGCGTCCTACGGAACCCATTGGTTCAAAGCGATGAGAGTTCCAGGATTTGGGAGCTCGCTGTTGTCCTTACGTTCACCAGGGGTGTACCTAACCCCCCTCCCCCCCTTGGCGGCTGGTACTGGAGTGCACTGTTGTGATTATTGTCAAGCCCCTGAGGCCCCTTCGCTCACTGTGTCAGGTGGGCCGTCGCGGTGTGCTGGTTGCTTCGACTGTCCTCCCAACCAAACTTCCTCTTGACCCTCCTGCCGAGTCCGAATAGCCGTGGCAATGACAATGACGATACCGGTGCCCCCGCGCGATAACGGGAAAAACACGACCCTCCCCCCCCAACCGGCACCCTCGAGATGAAGAACGATTGGAACGAATCGCGGTACTCGACGCTGCTGGGCAACACACCACTCCATCCTTCGCCCCCTCCCTCTGGCTACAGCCCGTCCGAAGAGCACCAGAGAACGAACTACTAGGCCGACGAACCGCATGTTCTTACTTTATCGCTTCTGCGACGGATGACCCCACTGCAGTGGGAGGTGCAGGATACTTGAGCTCGTCGTCTCCGTCAATATGGCGCAGCTACTAGTATCCCACGTCAGTCTCGGTTCTCCGGTACCCGAACGCGTCGAGGATCTTCAAGTGACCACGACTACCCTACAAACCCGTACAACTTCGTCCTATTACTCGGCTTTGGTACTAGCCTGTACGGCCTTGGTAGAATGGCTGAAGGACTTCAGATCATGGACTCTCATCCAATGTCTTGGACACCCGATGATTTGGTTAACACCCAGGATTCGGCCGGCCCGGCTCAGCACGTCACGCAAGTTCGCGAGAAAGGGGTTGTCGAGGTGGAAAAGGCCCTGAGGAAGTTTAGAGGTTAATATCCACCTAGGTTTGGCGTCTTCGGACAGGCAGCTGACAACAAATAGAGCTTGATCTCGACGCAGGTGCCGTGACGCGGGAGAACTTCCCCCTCCCTACAGTCCAGGCGCAGCTTACCCGTGCCTGCATCGATATCCATCAAGGCCGTGGTTTCGCCATTGTTAGGGGGCTCGACCCTCGGAGATACACTGCAGAGGATAACATGGCAATCTTTCTGGGGATTTCGAACTACATTGGCGAGCAAAGGGGCATCCAAGACAAAAAAGGCTCCATGCTGAGTAGGTTACCACCCCCCCCCCCCCCCCCCCAAAGCTATTCTCACCCTGATGCTAACTAGTTTACGACAGCCCATGTCACGGAGTCCAAGATCTGGACAACCCCACCCGAGATGCGCCATGGTATTCACACAACTACCAGCCTGGCAAGTCGATTCTGCAAACATTCTAAGGCCTCGTTTCGCTGACCAGACGCGGTGATGCTCTGACAGGCTTGGCACTGTGATATGGGAGCCGATATTCTTGCTTTGCATGCCCGCTCGCTGGCTGAAACTGGCGGGAATACCTTCGTGGCATCGTCATGGACCATCTACAAAGAGCTTGCGGCGTCGTACCCCGAAGCTCTAGACACACTACGCGACCCGAGCTGGCCGATCCAGGTGTTAGTCTTGAACCCTCGTTGCCGCCAGTTTTGATTTTGATTCCTGTCACAACCCGCATCATTCTCCGATGCATTTCTAACCATCAAGACACAGGTCTGGGAATCCACCGCGATATATCCTCGCGCCGCTGCTGCATGTTTCGGAGGACAAGGTCCTGATCAGTGTCGATCCAGGCCGGCTGGGCCTCCATCCTGCAACTGCCAAGACAGGCCATGAATCCTGTATCCCGGCGCTGAGTCCTTCACAACTCGATTCCCTCGAAATTCTTTCCGCTCTAGCCTCCAAACACCAGTATTGTCTGGACATGGAGCAAGGTGACATGGTTTTCATCAACAACCTAAGCCTTCTCCACGCCCGCGACTCATACATCGACCCCAAGGACGGACCTGGGCGTCATTTTGTCCGGTTGTGGTTGCGGAATTCGAAGCTAGCTTGGACGATCCCCCAGTCAATGCGTGCGCCCTGGGAGGCCGCGTTCGGCCCTGAAGGGAACGGCTTTCCCGGACTCGTCAAACGGTATCCGGTAACACCGACGCCGGTGTACAAGCCGCCAAAGTACACAGCCGGCTCGGCTGCTTTTGTTCTCGAGGACGGCGAAGATGTCAACAACCCCGGCTCTTGACGCGCCATGACCATTCCCATCTTTCTACTTTCACATTTAGTTCGGGACATGCAAGGCCTGGAATTATCACGAAAGGGCGTACATTCTTTGGACTCTAGCCCTCTGACACAATCACTTTTCTTCAACGATATACACAGCCCCATCTACGGATGGTTTGGCGCCTATGCCAATTTCTACCCCATCCTCACACAACTATTCCGTGTTCTTTTTCAAGTCTGGGCTATGAATCCTTATAATCACACACTGCGTCTGCGTCACGGCCGGTTCCCGGGCTGGATGGATGCGAAGGAACTTCCTTCAAGGAAGCAGTGGGAATGGAGATTCTCCGTACAGCCTAAGCGCAGCAAGCATGATTGCGACGTATCGGCTAGCTTGGGCACCAACAATGATATGCCCGCATTTCAGTTTGCATCCTCAGTCCAGTATTCGTGAGCTCCCACCCCACTCTCTCCAGTCAGGATGAGACGAACCGGTGGATAGCTTCGGCTCTCGCGAGGTTTTCCCAGGTTGGTACAATGATAACAGGCCCCTGCCTATATCCCGGCTTCCCGCAAGTGGATAGCAAAGCCGTAGATCTTCGAGTATGGTACCCTCAACCAGCCCAATCTCTTCCTCTCCGCCCTCCCACTTCCGCGGGCCAATACTGACCAAGTTGGCCACACATGTTGACTCAGGCAGGGATGATCTGTATTCGATAATTGCCGCATTTGACGCTGGCCTGTCAACCAATGATCCGACCTAGGCTAGGCTCGAAGGCAGTGAGTGTCACACCTTGTCAACCCCACGGCAGGACCAGACTACCATGGAGGAATCTCACTCCGTATGAAGTACCTCGTCAGGGTTGGCCAGGTTGATGCCAGGCGCCTCCTAGCCAACGCGACCTAACCGCCGCTCACAACTTCTGTGGCCTTAACAAGCCAACAGCAGACAGCAATACTGCAAGCTTTTCCTCGTTTGGACTGCAGTCGCGCCCATTAATCAGAATGTTGTGTGGATGACAAACTCACTCTTTCGCCATAAGTTGCTTCCACCCCACAGGTTAAGGGGTCATCCGAACTGGTTTGCCGTGATACGCAGACGTATTATTCCGCGTCCAGACACCCTCCCTCGAATGTGCCACTAACCAACAGGATGCTCCGCGCCAGGTCCTTTGCAGGACTTTTGGTTACACCACCTTTCATTACTTGATTTGGGTATTCTCCGGCGGCAGCGTTGGTCGGATGCCGCCCTGCTGATCTAACATTGACGGGGCGGGCGGGGAGCAGTCAACTTGTTCTCAGTCAGTACTCCTGTCATGACGGGGGTATGGGCGAAGTTGCCAAATCACCTCGACTGGGTATGGTAACACGGCACAGAGTGCTTCTCTATGCCACTCGCATGCCATTGAATACCTTCAGCATCGCTCACTGCCGCTGACCTTGCCCGGCGCTGACTGTAGGACGTTGGCCTGTCCCGAAGCAGCCAACAAACAGCCTCCTTGGCTGGACATCTCTCCAAAGATTTCAATAACGGCTCGTTATACCGGCACTGGTCTAATGCAATCACGGCCCGCGCGTAAGCACCGAAAGGTTTCGGGCCGATGCCCGGAACCGAAAAGGAACCCTCCCGTGCAGGGCTTCCGCTTGGTCGAGCCAATCCTTCTGCTCGAATAGGCACAGGTGAGTGTTCCCACAGTCCCAGTGCGGGTTGTGGTGCGAGCAAAGGCTGGTACGGCGGGCCCGGCCGAGGCCGGTTAGCCCCTGTTTGTGTTTGTTGATATCAAGTCGCCCCTCCACCTCACGCCCCTTCCTAACCACACCCCCAATCAGGATTTGTTTCCACAAACGGCTCGTTCCGGGGTAGGACCCCTTAAAATTTCGGTAGGCCGAGTCCAGCAATGTCGTCAGCTGCCGGCATCGAGAGCGATGTCAAGGGACGACGGGTGATGCGGCTCTCAGCATCCCTCTCCCAGCACGCACCCTTGACTCTCTTCCCGCTTATCCTTTGTTATTCACCCATCCCCGAGGATCAAAAGTTGGTTGAGACAAACCTGATTAGGACGTTAATTTGAAGGGTTGTATTGACAAAGCTAGGAAGCTAGCCATGAGCCTGAGTACCATTTGATAAAGCCTCTGAGGCAGGAGTTGTTGTATTCCGTCGACGAAGCTAGCCATCACTGGATGGATCACTCCGCTTCATACTGATAGATAAGATTTGCGTGTGTGGAGATATCTGAAAGCTCACCGTTGCATGCAGTTGGTGATCGGGAGGATCGCTGTGCATACAAGCCCTGACCGAAAGCGTTCACCAGCAGATCCCCCCATGCGAGTTGGAGAGACCGAAAGGTCAGGAGCGAGTGCCACGTTACACAACTGACTGCAGGAAACCCCGCACATAGAGAAATCTCCGGTATCGAAATTGATCCATCTTGCAGCTCCTTACCGAGATCCCCGACCCCAACGAGTCAACGGCGACGCAAGCAGTGCAACACTCAATTTACTCCTTAACGACCGCGGCTAAGGCGCCGAACCTAGCGTGCTTTTCTACACAATTCACTACCGCTCTCAATATGACCGAAGTGAGAGTTCCCCACGTCCATTTCCTCCTGCGACCCCCTGTCGGCCTGTCCTGACGCACCGCACTCGGTTCCTGAACTTCCTGTCACCTCTATTCATCGTTGCTGGAAGTGTTTCCATCACACACACCTGCGTGTTAACTTGGCCCGGTTTGATTTCCTGCAGGTAAACTATCCACGGGGTTACAAAACGAGTCGGAAGGCGGAAGGACTCTGACTCGTCCTCATTTTCCAGGGGACACCCGCTGTCAGTCATCGCTTTTCCTAATTCTAGACCAGCCATCTTTTTCAAACTAAGGTACATGCCTTTTCCCTCACGCAATACAACCAACCATACCAACCTCTCCACGTCTCCATCTTAGGTACTCTCCAAACGGGACTCCCCCGCCGCCCAACCTCACACCGCAGACAAGCTCGTGACCCTCGCCAGACCAACACCACCCCCCTCCCTTGCTGCCGCCGCCGCAGGCTTGAGCGCCGCGCTAAACCGGCTTGCCGCCCGAATCCTCTCGCCGTATGCAACGAACCCGAATGGGACCAGCGCCAGGCCGGCACTAACGCCCGCCAGCAGCGTGCACGACCACGCGATCCCCAGCCCGTCCACCATGTCCTCGATGGCCAGCGGCAGCAGCGTGCCCAGCACGCTCCGCGTCATGCTCATCGCTGCCAGCGCCGACGCCGAGTAGATGCCGTACGCGTCCGCGACGTACTGGGTTTCGTTGGTTAGTTAGTTGGTCTGCGGTTTCAGGGGGGTGGGATTAAAAGAAAAGGGTTGGGGGGGTGGGTGGTGGGTTTTACGTACGTTGACGATGCCCACGTAGATCAAGTGGTAGGCTAGGCCGTAGGGTATCATGGACGATAGGGGCACCAGCCAGTGGATGTCGGACCGCGCCGACCAGCCCAGCCACAGCATGGAGGCGACGTAGAGGGGCCCGCCGGCACACACCAGCGGGAGTCGGAGATACTCCTCCCGCTTGGTGGGGTGCTTTGCGATGAGGCGTGGCGCCACGCCGTCGTACCAGACGAAGAGGCAGCAGCCCGTCGCCGTGCCGAGTCCCACTATTTGCGTGTCAGTATTGTGATGCCACTGAGTGGGTTAGGTGTGGGTGAGGCTGGCGTACTGATGGTGAAGAGTATGCCAGACATGCCGGGCGTGAAGCTGTATACGCCTTGGAAGATGCGCGGGAAGATCTGCAGTAGCCTTGGCCGCGTCAGTCACGGAGGCAAAAAGATGGGGGTTTCGTGATGGACTCACATGTAGAACACGGCGTAGACAAAACCCAGGTACGCGCAAGAGAGCGACACTACCATCTCCCCAAAGAGCAGATGCCACGGTCTCGACAGAGTTGTTTTCTACCCGAAACTGAGTCAGTGTCTTGTTGTCATCTCCCGGGGGTCGCCCGTCTCGTTACGGAGGCGCACTCACATATTCTACCCAAGCACTCTCCTGTTTCAGATCCGACGGCGCCACAAAGACCTTCCCCGTGCCTGGGAACTCCTTATTCAGCCGCGCCGCTTTTCTCCTCAGGATAGTAGACGCTAGCGTCTCGGGCATGAGGAGTACGCCGATGAATGAGGCCACAGCGAGAGACAGCGCAATCCTAGAGGAAAAGCATCTTAGCAGTGGGCCGAGGTCGGGGAGAAGGAAACCAAGGAGAAGCATACTCACCACATGACGGCCCTCCATCCTAGAGAAGTGCTCACATAGCCGGCTAAAATCGGAGCACCCAGGGGGCCAACGAATGTTGTTGCAGACCTGGTGATGATGTTAGTCTCCTGAACGAGAGTAGTTTGCTTATCATCCCTTCCCGCCCCCCCCCCCCCCCCGGCTTCATCAACAACCAGACCCTACTTCCCTGAGTCCGAGTCCGAGTTCACTCCCGAGTATCAGACCACAACACCTCACTCCCATCCCCCAACCCCAACCTCCACCCCCCACATCCACAACCTAACAAAGAAACGCAAACTCACCACCACATCATCACATTCCCCCTCACCACCTCCCCCTCAAACAAATCCGCAATCACCCCCCCAAAAACACTCACCGGCGGCGACGCCACGACCCCCCCAAAAAACCTCAACACCAAAAACCCCACCCAATCCCCCTCCCTGACCACCGCCTGGCCCAAACACATAACCACAAACAACCCCGCAGCGGACACCAGCACCCTCCAACGACCCACCAGCGGCGACTCGCTCAGGGGCGCCCAGACCAGCGGGCCGAAGACGAAGCCGGCGAGGTACAGCGAGGCGGGCAGCACGCGCTGGGGGCCGGAGGGGTCGGGGACGGCGAAGAGGACGGGCAGGGAGGGGGAGAAGTTGGAGGGGAGGGTCGAGGAGAAGGAGGTGGTTGTTGTGGAGAGGAAGGCGGAGAGGAAGATTAGGGATTTGGTTAGCTGTGGTTGGGGAAGGGGGGTTAGTTGGTTTGTGGATGTGCTTTTGGAGGGGGGAGGAGGTTTTGGAGTGAAGGAAGTGAGGGGAATGGTTAAGGGGCTATGGTGCAGTTGGGAAGGGAAAAGGGAGGGGGTAAAGAAAGCCAGGAAACAGGCGAAAATATGCTTTCTCGAGAGGGAAAGGAAAAGGGCTCACTAATGACCAGTTGTGGGGGTTGGCGCGGTCGTTGGGTTCGAATGAGACGACGGTGTATTCCTCTTGTGGCGAGGCTCCGGGGGACGATGGGTGGTGGTGGTTGCCTGTCAGGGGTGGCGCGGTCTCGCTTTTGGTGCTGCTACTGCTGCTTGAGACCGAGACGATGGGACCGGTCTTTTCGACCTTTTCACTGTAGTCGGCCTTCTCCATGGTTGTGGTGGGAGATGTTTTATGGGAAAGGGCGGAGTGAACACCAGAGGTGATCGGTACAGTAGAGGCACTTATAGCGGCGATTCAGGGCCGATGGGTCATGGCGAGCAAGCCTTTGGCAAAGATAGGAAACCGAGCATGGCAGCTGCCTTTTATGTCGCCCCCAAGATCAAGAATTCGTCCGGCATCCTCGCATCCCTGGTAACAATCCGACAATGACACATCGTAGCTCCAGTATGACGACAAGTAGGGGGCTAGTATCGGCGAGCTCCCGGCAAAAGCGCCGTTTGAAGGGTTCCAGAACGACCATTCCATCCTGTGCTTCTGTGCGGGCCATGTCAGTGTCTAACTAGCACAATGACATCCTGCGCGGGCCATGGCAGCCGCCGTCCAGTCCTCTTTCTTGCTAGCCATGCACACAATCGACCCCCTCGAGGGCATACGGTGCAACTTGCACGACTCCTGGCCGGCATGCCCTTTCTGGCTGACCTACCACCGACTGAATGTCTTCGTGTGTCGAAAAGTCCCAGTGTCATTGGCCTCCGATGACGGTCCGTAGCGCCGGGCCGGAAGGGTCCGATGGTCCTCCGGTTTCATCGGAGACTGTGGGTCAAGGCCTAGCCCTGGTTAGAGATCGTCCGGTCCGGAGGCCATCGGCGAGAGTGGGTTTCCAGACGCTTAGGCGGTCCTATTTCCCGTGCCGGCTATGTTGGTCGAAGCCCACGGTCAAAGGGCGGGTGTAGGGCAGCAGGAAGCATATTGGGAATGCTAGGCATGTGTGAGTCCGTGGAAAAGGAATATGATACTGACTTCGTTGCTCAACATGCCCATGATGCTCGGCGCGAGTGTTGACCTCGAGTGGAGACGGTTCCGGGAATACGGTGTGTAAGTCAGAGTCCGGAGCCAAGACGCTCTAAGCACTCATCCCCTTTGGCGGTCTGTAACATTCCCAACTCGCAAGTTTGCCTTCTCATCACATCACGAAAGCAGGGTGATGCCGGTGGTCGAGGGTTGACAAACCGATATCACCGTTAGACAGGCCAGACCAGCACGCTCTGGGGCCCGGTAACCATACCCGGGGCCATGCTGCAGGTTTTGAGAATGGGAGCGGTGTAACCAACGAATACCAGCGAGGTTCCTGGCCAAGGAGAGCGCCTCCAACGGCTGTCTGGGCCGGGCCCAGACGCCCTCGGTCCAACAAGCCAGGGTAACAAGAGCCGCAACAACCATGCAGAACACGAGAGGCAAGGGATATCCCTCCCACGTCTAGGCCGACATTGTGCATGAACTGGGAGTCGCCCCGTGGGTCCGCTACCGCCGGGACAAGGAGCGTGAACCCGATTGGTTCCCGACAGATGCAAGAGGTCATATGGCCGTTGAAGAATGTTGACGTCCATTCTCTGTCGTGCCGAGCGGTGTCTGATGCCGGGGCGGTTGTTACGATGCCGAACCGGGATATCCACACCCATGGCTCCGGTACCGTTCCGACTCTCGAGAGCGGTGCCGGCGGGCTTGAGGTGACCCATGGGCTCGACCAGATTGATTGACTAAATATGCCGCGGTCAGTCACGGAAATGCAAAGGGGCCGAACCGGTTCCTAATCCTCATGATTGCAAGGTGCTCAAGAGCATGCTCCGTATACGATATCGTGTAAGTAGTGCTTTCTAAAAAGGATATACCCCCCAGAAAACTCGCCCTTCGCCGCACGATCCATTCTTTCCCCCCGTCATAACGCCAACCCGAGGTATCGAATGCAAACCCAGTGGTATTTCTTGGGCCAACCGCAGGAATCCCGTTTCCAAGAGTCCAGCGCGAAACCAATTTCGGCCCCGGCAAGCCAAATTGCAAAACGCCAATGCCCGCCCTTTCCCTCCGTCATAAGTCGCATAGTGTCCGTGTAAGCATAATCCGTGTGTGAGTGGAGGGGTATCTCGTTCCAAAACGCCGAAGTTCAGGATATCAGAATAGCACCGAAACAAAACGGTTCCAGGTCTTGCAGAGGAAGTTGACGGCCAAGCCAAAAGCGCCGAGCACGCTGAAAATCTGAAGAAACTCCCAAGGGTACTTTGTCCGCACCTCGGTCTCGAGGAAAGGCTCTTGGCCCTTGGTGACGGCGTCGGCAGGGTTTGGCGGGAAGCGACCGGTCGAGACATATTGCTCCATGAGAGCATCCTTCTCGTACCACCTTTCGCGAAGCCAGACGTCGAACTCCTCATGGCTGCCGAGCGGAATGTCGTCGATACGGAACCGGCGCCAGTAGAAGTTTACCGATTTGGGTGTCTGTCCTTTGACGTAGGTCCCTGCGAGGGTGAAAATCCTCTCGCCGAACTTGCCACGGCTAGGAGCATTGATTGTTAGCTGATACACTCATAGACCACTGGGGATGGGGTTGTACGTACGGGACTCCCTCGTAGGCAACGGTGCAGTCGTAAACGTAGTCAACGGTGCCCTTGAGTTCGTTGAGGCAAAAGTAGGTGCCGGTGCTCCTGGGGAGCAGCATATGTTCGGGATCCTTCACGCCAATCTTGGCCGCCCACTTCGCCGACTTGTTCTTCCCATTCTGTGACGCATTGGTCCCCTCGGGAAACAAGAGCAGCCACATCGGGTCCAGATATTTCTTCCCGTCGGGCGCCGTGTGCGAAGTCTTGAGCTTCTTTAGACGGTGGGCCATCCGGGGCTGGTCAACGGCCATCTTCCGGGACATGAAGATGAAGCCGTAAAACATCATGCCGGGCCCAACGATCGGGATGTACTTGAGCGACTCCTTTAGGATGATGAAGAGAGAGCCGTGCATCTTCGGGGTGTTCGCGTAGCCGACCCACCACAGGTACAGCCAGTCGGTATAAATCTGCACATGTCAGCGCCCGAAAGTTAAACAACCAAGAAAGTCAGGTGGCATACCTGATGGTTGGCAATCATGACCATGCGCTCGGGGAAGGAGAATTCCACCAAGCCATCCTCCGTCTTGCGAATCTGATCGGCTACCGAGGCATCGCCGCTGATGCGTATCGTGGTCGGGCCCCACCAATGGGTCATGGTGGTGATGAGCAGCCCGAAGGACTGCTTGGTGAGGGTCATGTAGGCATAGTAGAGCTCGCGGTTGATCCAGTAGAGGGGTGCGCCGATAAGCTGGGTTGCGTGGATACTGTCATCCCATCACCAATGTCAGCTATGGATGGATACCTGGTAGGTAGGTAGGCGGCGGGAATCGGGGGTAGGTGGGGAGGTGCATACGCAGTGGCGCCGGCCAGGAAGTAGAGGGCAACCGAGATGGTCCGGAGGATTTGCACCACCTGGCCATGCTTTTCCCGGCCGGACGGGTGTTGTGTAGTTGGAACCGCCGTAGCCGGCGACTTGACTCTGGCCGTCATTTTGACTCGGTGCGCGATGACGCAGACACCGTCCGGGTCTCCAGCGATGGGTGCCAAGCTTTCGGGTCGAGATCCGGGGGGGAGGGTCGGTCAGCGGAGGGGAAACGGAATTGCGAAACTCAGGGTCGAGGAGGAGAGCGGTCAGATCAGACGAGCGGCTGGTGGATCGAGTTTTTGTTAGTAGGTAAATGCGTGGTTGACCCAGCCACAGGGACAGGCACCGGCGGCGCAGGAAGCTGAACTGGTAAGGTCCATATTTCGTACTCCGTACACTGCAGGGTCGATGACCGGCACTTCCGGCGATAACAAGTTAAACTACGAAGAGGCAAGGTGTCGGGTAACTCGTCACAGATTCCACCAACGGCACAACCTTGCAACAAAAAGCCCAACGGTCTAACCCTCGTGTGGCGCAGCTACTGGTGAGGGCATCGTTGATGACATCTGGCCCGGGATGGGACCAAAAACATGATGAAATTGATGAGGCTGATCAGGTGGGCATTTTCCAAGTCCGGTCGGGACTGACTTTGATGGAGAACAGATGCATGTGCTCCATTGCTGATTGCTGCTGTTGGGCTTCTGAGAGCTCGGATGCCCCCTGCAGCAAGCCCCACCATCATACCGACCGCCGCCCGCTGGCAGCCTGTCAATGGATGAGCTCGAGATGAGGTGATGAGCTTGACTCCCCCCAAGCTCGGACCTTGCAGGGCCCAGCCCAAACGATTAAAGCGGGAGTTTGCTTGTATTCCGTGCGCCGTGATTGGGTCTCCAACGGCCTGCGTGGGTACTGTCGGCTCACACGTCACAAGGGCAAAAACTCCGTTGCATGTTCTTGGCGGTTCAGAGGCTCCCAAGCTCCATCACCAGAAAACCAGATCCACCAAACAACCCATCTTTGACCTGCGAGCTTCGGAGGTATCGCCGCCAAAATACAGAACTTGGCCTAAAGTTTCACCACCACACCGACATCGCAACCGGGGAGAACAACTGTGACCAGCGCCATGTCGGGATGTCGGGGTCATTTCTGGCTCGAAACTGCCACTCCCGTCTTATCACCACCATGGCCTTGAATCCCGCCACCATGGCCGCCCTCGGAGGCAACTGTTGGAGGTTTGGATTAGGAGGAACACCTGGGGGGTACCGGCTGTTCTCTATCTCGGCCGCCCACAAGCAGATTCTCGATGTCGGGGCTCTCCCCGACCGGACCGTCCCCCATTACCAGCAGACAAAAACTTCGTCGCTGCTCTCGCTACACTGGCCGCAACCGCCCCAGAATATTCTACTCATGCCCAAGCTGCATGCACCCCGAGTCACAGGTAGAGCCATCGAGTTTGCGAAGCACATATACAACAACTACCCGGGGCTCAACCTCGTCTTCGAGAGCCACATCGCCAAGGACATCCACGAGACGCTGCCGTTTCCCATCTACACAACCGATCCGAGCGATGCCCCGACGCTGTTTGCCAAAAAGATCGACCTGGTCACGACTATGGGCGGCGATGGAACAATCCTGCGCGCGGCGAGCCTGTTCTCCATGCACAACAGCGTGCCGCCGATCCTGTCCTTTAGCATGGGCACCCTCGGCTTCCTGGGCGAGTGGAAGTTCAGCGAATACAAGCGCGCCTGGAGGGAGTGCTACATGAGCGGCTGTTCCGTAGCCATCGAAGACCTCGGCGACCCGCACACCCGCGCAGCCGTAGCAGGCACGCAACCGGGCGACATATCATCCGATTTCGCCCCCCTCTCCGGCTGGGATAACGTGCGGGGCAACGGCCAATGCATGGGTCTAAGCCGCACCTCCAAGGTCCTCCTCCGGAACCGGCTCCGGGTCGGAATCTACGACAGCAACGGCCGCAACATCAACGAGCAGCTCCTGCCCACCTCGACCGCCGAGCCCGACCTCGGGAGCAGCAGCGGTGGCGGCACCAACACGGCGATGAACCCCCCCTACCTCCACGCCATCAACGAGGTCTCGATCGACCGCGGCTCGCACCCGCACCTGGCCATCATCGACATCTACGTCAACTCGCACTTCCTCACCGAGGCCGTGGCCGACGGCATCCTCATCAGCACGCCGACGGGGTCGACGGCCTACTCGCTCAGCGCGGGGGGGTCCATCGTGCACCCGCTGGTCAAGTCGCTGCTCATCACGCCCATCAGCCCGCGCAGCCTCAGCTTCCGCCCGCTGGTCCTGCCGCTGCACACGAAAGTGGTGCTGAAGCTGAGCAAGCGCAACCGGGGCCGCGAGCTGCCCGTCAGCATCGACGGCAAGCGCCGCGTCGCCGTCACCATCGGCATGGAGGTCCGCGTCGAAGGGGAGCGCCTCGAGAAGGGCGTCGAGGGCTGGCGCGGCGGCGTCCCGTGTGTGATCCGCGCGTCGTCGACCAGGGGCGGTGATCAGGATGGTATTGCGGAGGATGATGATTCGTGGGTGGGGGGGCTGAATGGCCTGCTGAAGTTTAATTATCCCTTTGGGGAGCCGGTCGAGGAGCCGTAAATATGGTGGTGCTTTGTATAGCTGGAGAACTTGATACCCCGAAATGAAACTTTGTATACGGAGGCCGGCGTGTCTGCTGGTTTTGGTGTTGTTTGTGCTGACGATATGAGATGACTTTGCCGATTTCAAGCCGGACCATGGCTCGCCATTCAGGGGCTGAAGTCAACGCTATCCGACAATCCCCGGGCCTCTCGGGACATAGAAAAGCGCGTGGTATGGTTGTGACACGGCCAAGGGCGAGTACAAACGTTACAAGACAAGGGCACGAACACCAGGCGGTGCAACGGTTCAGCAAAGGAGAGCGAGGTTCGATCTTTGAGAAAGCCATCGTCCATTCAGTCGTCACACCTCATTAATTCCTACTACATACAGCCAGGATATGGCATTTCATCATTCCTACCCCTACTTCAGGGGTCTAACCACCAACCCACTCACAGCTTGGGACTCCCAAACCCAGCAAGCGAACAGCGTATGGGGTCCGCTTACAGAGCAGCGACAGCGCCCAGGAGGAGCATGCCGAAGCTGCCCACGGCACCAACCACCGCCGCGCCAGCGGTCTGGATCGACGAGGTCGCCGGCGGCGGGGTGTCATCGTCGTCATCGCCGCCCGTGGGGGAGGGGATGGCGCTGCCGGTGGGGGCCGGCGTGACCATGGAGCTGCCGAACGAGGCCGTCTCGGTCGGCTCGTCGTCGTCCTCACCGTCATCCTCGCCACCGTCATCCTCGCCGGGCGTCTCGGTCTCGGTCGGCTCCGGCTGCTCGGGGGCCGCGGAGGTCGTCACGGTGGCCATGGTGGTGGTGGGCGGGGGCGGGGGGGTCTCGCCGCCGTCGTCGCCGCCGTCGTCGCCGCCGTCGTCGCCGTTGCCGACGTCAGCGCAGAACTTCTCCGTGGCGGGGAGGACCTCGTCTGGGTTGTGTTAGTGGGGTGTCGGGTAGAAGGAACAGAGGGGGGGAGGGGGTGGCTGGTGGCTGGCTGGGAGAAGGAGGAGGGGGGGCACGCACTCAGAGCGGTGTCAATGCCGCACTTCTCGACGACGCAGGGGGTGGCGGCCTGCTTGACGGCCTCCATGTTCTTGCACACGCAGGCAAAGTCGGTCGCCTCGCACGAGGTCGTGCCGACGGCGTCGATGATGCAGGGCAGGGCGCACTCGGGGAAGATGGAGATGTCCTGGGCCGTGGCGGCGGCGGCCAGGGCGAGGACGGCGGAGCTGTACTTCATCGTGGCGGTGCGGTTGGTGTGGGGTGTAAGTGGTTGTGTTGTGTGAGGGTAAGGGGTTGAGACAACGAGCGTCTGGTGGGTGTGGTCTGGTCACGTAACGAGTGTGATGGGGAGAGGAGAGAGAGAGGACGAGGCGGGCTTGGGGATGGAGGACGGTCTTTTATACGGCGGCGTCTGCCTTACATCACAGCCAAGAATGAACATCCCCGTGTCATGGCAGACAAGACGAACACGATGGTGCTCGGCCCTGGGTAGGGGGTGGAGACACACTATCCAACATTTCATGAAGATATTGGGAGACGGGCGCAGGAGCGTCCTTCATTGGCCGGTCGGGACACACCCGATGGGAGGCAAGATGGTTCCCTGTTCCTGAATGCAACTTCCCCCAGATTGAGCGCCACAGGGGACCGTCAGCCAAGTCGAAGGATCGAATCCGGGGAAGTGGGACGTTGCATATGATGGTGGGAAGGGCAGCCTCGGCCCCAATACGCTCTGTCAAGTTTAATGGCTGTCCGAAACGGTTGTCCTCCCCGAGCTATCAGCTGATTGTGTAGCACAAAAGCCGTGCTTTCGGTCCTCAAGCCGGAGAGAGGAAGGAGTGTTTTGAAACCAGTTCTTCCCATCTGCAATAGTGGCGCGGTCGGAATGGCCTGCGTGTTGGACAGGATGACCCTAGTTGGGCTGGGTGGCTGGCCCGGCCGGGCTGTTGGTCGCTTGGTTTGTTTATGCTCCGATATTGTCCACCAACAAGCCGAATATCCGTACACCCCCTCCATGGGAACACACGAGGCAGTGGTTCGCGACCAGTCACCCGGTGTTTTTACCCATCACTTGGTGAAACATGTATGGATAATAAAAAATGCCTAAGGGACATGTCAGTTAGGTAGTCAAAACCAGCCATTGCCAATACATCTGTTGTCAACATCCCCCTTTCTACACTCGCGCAACAATTCGCCAACAAAACGGACCTCCCATCAAAAGCACCACTTGACAAGTCGGAGGAGAGGAAAGAGGTGGCAACCCCTGACATGCAAAGCGGGCCGTGACCCCCAGATCCAGCCTAGTGCCCCAATGACCGGTAGGGGAGAACAGGGGGCTCAAGCCAAACCTGTGGGGAAACTGGCCCCCTGCACCCCTGCCCCATCTGTCTCCCCGCATCAACTTCCTGCCTTTCCTGTCCTTGAACATCGCCCAGCTGCAGCTGCCCGATGCCGAGGCCGACCACCAATGCAGTGCCAAGAGGCATATGATTGTGCTGTGAGTCTGAGCTTCACCCGTTCCATTCCAGGTTCAAGTTGTCTTGGCTGTTGCTTGCTTGCTCTGCTTTAGCCCTCGGGTCACTTGAGAGCCCCCTGAATAATAATGCCATGATGGTCCTCAAAAGCCTACCCTCTGACATCCATTGGAGCACCACAGCGAGGCAAGAAAAGGAACAAGGAAAAAGAAAAAGAAAAAGAAAACAAGACTTGAAGTGCCAGTGGCAGGGGGGCCGATGCGTCTGAGACACAAGCGGGGGTGTGTTAAAGCGAGTTGAGGTAAATATTCAGTGTTGTTCCTTTACCAGCACTTAATAATTTCCCTACCTATGACAAGCCAAACGACCTGGTGCGGTGAGGAGAGGTCTTATCAGACTCCATGCTCCGTCATTCAGGGCAATATAAAGCTTGACCCCGACTTGTGATTTGAGTGGATATACAGAAACATAGCACAGCGTTAATACTGACACAAGTTGCTGCCAAATAGGTACAACAACCTGTGAAACAGTGGCTCACATCCCCTTCCACTAAGAATGGAGTGTTTGAACAAGTGAAAGGGACACAACCCAGCACCTTGTTACTCCTGACCAGGATGTTGTGCATTACTTGCCTAACCTCGTGCCAAGGACTAAGTGTTTCCGCCCCTGACGTGGTTGAAGCGATACACAGTGAGTCAGCCTTGTATATACGGTCTTGGGGCGGCCGTGGCACAGGAAGCGAGAATCAGTGAACAGGCACAACAAGCAGCGGGGGTAACGAGGCTTCCTCAAACAACAACAAACAGCCTTGCTGCTGGCTAGCAGGGCGCAACAAGAAGCAAAGAGCAATATGCACACAAAACCGACCAAAGATATGAATCAAGTCAGCAACTCAAAAGGCAAAGCAAAACAAGCAACTTTTAGCATTGACCAACGCTGACATCCAATGCATCTATGGACCGCCCGGCGAGGGCAAAACAAAAACACGCCATCGCAGCACAAGCAAGGGCTCAGACAACAGCAGCACCGCAAACCAACAAGCGCCGCTCATCGACACCAGAAACGCAGAGAAGCCAGCCATCTAGCCGAGCAGAACGCGACGCCCACCCTATCAGGCAGAGAGCCACAGGCAGCAGAAGCCAAGCCAAGCCAACCCCCAGCAGAGCAGAGCAGAGCAAGCAAGCAAGCAAGCAAGCAGCCCGGTCGGCCCGCCCGCCAGCGCCGAGACATATCACAGCCCCAGCAGCACCGCGAACACCCGACCCAGCCACTCACTACCCACCCCACTCATACCGGACTAACGGCCTCGCCCAGAGACGCGCCGCTGCCGCTGCCCGACCGCACGCTACTGCGGCCCGAGCCGGACCCGAACCCAGACCCGGACCCGGACGACCCCGACCCAAACGCAGACCCGCTCTTGACGTGGAAGCCCGGCGGGGGCCTGGCGATCGTGCCGGCCGGAGCGGCCGCATACGCGCCGCCGCCACCGCTGCTGCTGCTGCCGCCGAGGAGGCCGCCGCCACGGTGGTGGTGGTGGTGGTGGTGGTGGTGGTGGTGGCCGATGGGGGCGCCGACGACGGTGCTCGCGTTGTTGAGGCTGCCGCTCCCGCCGCTGCCGCTGCCGCTTCCGCTGGCGTGCTCGTCCTCGTCGGTGGACTGGGTGAAGCCCGAGACGTCGCTGAGCATGGACGAGGAGCGGCCGCGCATCCTGTGGGGCTGCGGCGGGGTGCTGAGGGCGGCTTGCATCGGGGTCGAGAAGGTGGAGAGGGAGAGCTGGGCGTGGGCCATGAGGGGCGTGGCTTGGGTGGACATGGGCATCGACACTGGTGGCCAGACGGGCTGCTGCGGCGCGTTGAACTGCGGGGCGGGGATGGTCGCCCAGGGCCCGGCGGACGAGAAGTGGTTCGGCTGCGGGCCCATCTCGTAGGTGGGCTCCTTTTGGAAGCTGGCTAGGTACTCCTGCATGTGAGCTGCCATGGCGTGGACTTGGGCTTGCTTGGTGGCGTTGTTGAGGCGCAGGGCCTGGACTCTGTCTCGGAGATTCTGCTCGGCCCTCGCCAGTTCCGCGGCGAGGTTGGCGCGCTCCTGACGACGCCGCTCGGCCTCATTCAGCCCCCTCGCATTGGCATCTGTTATCCGCGCGTGCTCGTCGTCGACCTTGGCGATGCGGGCGGCGATCTTGTTCCTCTTCGCCTGTAGGCTGGCCTTCTCCTCGTCCAGGGACTTGATCTGCTTGTCGATTGACGACTTGAAACTCTTGAACGATGCGCGGGCCTTGTCAAACTTGGTCTTTTCCGACGTCCACTCGTCATGCTTCGCGCGGTGCTCCTTGACCAACTTCTCCGGCACTGCCTCAAGTTCCTTGAGCTGGACTTCAAGCTCGCAGGTGGATTCTTCGGCACGTTTCTCCTGGATTTTGTTCTGAGCGATCTTCTGCCGCAATTTCTCGTCGTCACCCCCGGCTGATTGAACTGCTGATGTGAGCTTCTCGATCTCCTTCCGGGTAGCGTTTAGCTTTCGGTTATTGTCCTTCCGAACAGCCTTGAGGCGAGCCTTTTCGTCGGCCAGCTTCACCTCGGCTGCTGCAATCGAGGCTCGAAGTGTCGTGGCTGGAGAGTCATGGCGCGAATGGGACCGCGGCTTGTTTGTGGGAGGAGCTTCGGGGTCCTTGCTCTTGGCTGGGACGGTTCGGATGCTTGTCGAGAAGAGCACCTCACCCGTCCGCGTGCTGATGAACTCGCATTCGTAGTTGGATAGAGGGGTAAGACCATAAATATCGCCGGTCCAGCGCGTGCCTTCGTAGTTTTCCTCCTCGGGGTTTTCGATTGGTATGATGCGCGTTGGCTGCCAAATAGCCTTGTTGACTCGAACGTAGAATGGCTTGGATGCGTCGATCCCCAGCTTCCTCTCCTGCGGCGCCTCGTCATCCTCCACGTCCTCAACATCCGGGAAGTGGCTGGTGTTGAAGCAGACCTCGTCGCAGCCGACGTAGCAGATCCAGACTTGTTCAGGTTGGGTGTGAAAGGGCGCGTTGCCGAGATTGTGGATGTCCGTGGCGTTGGAGCCGGCCGACTCGCTTGCTGCGTGCGACAACTCGTATTCCTTGACCATGACAATCTTGGTGCTAGCAAGTGCCGCCCAGAGCGGCTGCTTGATCCTGACCTGGGCGCTCTGTTTCCGCCTTTTTTTGCTCGTGAGATGGGCTGCGCTTGTCTGTAAGTGAGCGTCACTGTCGGCCGCCATGAGGGCGACATCAGAACAGCCTTCCCCCGGGAACGGCACCGACTTGCCCGACTCCGGGTCTAGAAGGCCTTGCGACTGCAAATCCCGCCGTTCCCTGCGCAAATACCATTCTCGGATGCATCGAACAATGCCTTGTGTGAGGATGTGGATCGCCAAGACGCTCCTCACCCATCCATACGGACCCTTCTTATCGAACATCCGTAGACTGGGTTCCGCGTCGGAAGTTAGAAGACGACTCGAACCAAATATCGTTGTAAACCGAGACAGCCCATTCCATTTTTGGATCCAATGCGTAACGCCGACAATGCCAACACAGAGCACAATGCCAGGGGTCGTTCCTTGCCTAGACGTGCCCCCACCCCCTAATGTATACGATATGACGACCTGGGCGAGATCTAGTATGAACTGCTGAACGGGCGCCCAGAGAAACAGCCAGATGAGCAACATAATAACATCCATCCAGATCAACGTCCACAAGGAGGGGATGCCCTGGCTGCCGTCAAAGATCTCGGTGAAGCTGAGACCCGAACTGGTGGTCACCGGCGGGACGAAAGTGAGAACAGTGAAGAGCATGTAGATGGTGGCCAAGACGGCGGGCGACGCCTGCATGAGGATGATCAAGATGGCAATGGTATCGGCGAGGGGGCAGGACCGGAGCACGGTGATGGCAAGATCCAGGGGTCCCGGGTCGCGGTGCACATTGGTATTCTTCGCATCGTTGACATCGATCCGCCGATGGGTTCCTTCGGAGACATCATGCGTGGAAGGGGCGGGGAGCGAATCGGTCGACGAGGACTCGGAGTAGGTCCCGAGGGAGCCGCGGCGCAGCAGCTCGGTCGCTCTGTGCTCGGGAGCCATGTCGTCGAGATGTGTGGCGAAACCATTCAGAGTAGTGGGAAGAGGGGGGACGGGCGGCACCGAGGCGCTGTCGACGGCGAGCCTGGGGCCGTCATCAAGCTGGGTTTGGCTCTTTCGCTTGATGACGCGCTTGCCGGGGCCTACCAGGCCATTCTCGTGGCGGGTGTCGCGCTGGTTGCTCGCTGCCTGGTGTCGCTTTGCTGAATTTGACGCGCGAGGCATACGCATCCACTGACCCAGAAGCGAGTTCTGGGCCAGGCCAACAAGGGGTTGGAGTCGAGGCGACGGCGTGGGGGGGGAAGTCGAGCGCACAAAGGCTGACTTCTTTCCCAATATTCGAAACGATCACGTCCTCTCCTTGGTTATCCTCCTCGAGTGACGGCCAAGAAGTCGCACACAAATAACGGTCGGCCCGGGATCGCACATGGACGGATTCGAGGTATATACTTGGTAGCGGGGGAGGTTTCGCCTGACACCGATGTCGTGGCGGCGGACCCAGAAAATACCGTGCTATGCTGGGGGGTCCGGATCGAGGCGATGCAGGTCGGTTGGTTGTGTTTAAAAGGAGAAAAGCGGATTTTTGGATTGGCGGCTGACGGGAGGATTCGAGCACAGTGTCAGCTCCCTTTCAGTGCATCCTGGCTGGGACGGGTGCTGTGGGCCAAGGATTAAATGAGTCTCTTCAAAGTCGCTCCAGCACTGTGGGCCTGTGGCAAAGCCGCACAGCGCCGGATGCAAGGTACATGGCAGTACAAATCGCAGCGTCCCATTTCAACGGGTGAGTCAGGCACGTTCAAGCCAAAACATGCAAATCCAATCCGAGCAGTCCAGATGAGGCTCCAACATTGATCGACCGGGCAGTGGAATCGGATATCCTGCGCAGCGCTTCCCGACGCCCCGAGCATCAAAGGACTGCCCCGGTAGCCCGGCTTGCTGGGCCGTTGATCCTGCGGACAACCCATGCTGCGCTGGGACTTGGCCGGAAGATGGTGGGGTCATGGTTTTGAAGTTGCGTGTGGATCGTGAGAAGAGAATGGCTTTGGTGGATTTCAAGTTCGCTTCAATTTTCTCAACGGCCATCGGGGCTCTCGCTGGCGGCTGGTCACGCACCAATCGCAAGGTCTCTGGGGATTCAAATTGTTAAAAGGTGGTAACCATTACCCAAGAAACGACCCCCAAACCGGGCGAGAAAACTATGCGACCCCCACAGACTTTTTGTTCGACCCTCTCTCGATTCACGCAGCCGTCAAATCAATCTCTTGCACAGTATACAATGGCAAACAACAAACAAGCAACTTTGTTATCGGAAGGAGTGCCGAATGAGACCACAGCGAACCAACCCCGAATCCATATGGCGGGATGCGGGGGAGCGACTCGACCACGCCGATCACTGCTTGATCTCGGCCGACAATCCAAATAGCCCCCAGGCTCCCCGCGCAGCCACCGATATCTCCTGATTTCAACATGCCATTTCCGGGTGCGGCCAGAGTTATGTGCACAGTAAGCGGAACTCCAAGACCCTAAACACAGGCTCGCAAGGCGGAAACGACTCCACATCGACGAAAGACCCCTCATCAATCAGAGACTTCTACAAACCCAGCACCCTCCCCACGGCAACCGAGGGAGAGGTCCTTTTTGGCCGGCTTACAGCGCCTGCGATTGGGATTCTCTGTTCCGGTCGCGTCGAGATGAGTATCGCACCACATGCTCAACCAGGCATGTACTTCGTAATCCGTACGAAGTCATCCGTCGACCTCGCAAACCCCTCAGTGCGGACCTCATGTCGAAAGTCAAGCACGCAGCCGCAGACGTCGATCTCTTTCGGCATTTGAACCACACACGACCGCCCGGATTGGCCAGACTGATCTCTTGGCCCACCAACCCCGGCATTCAGGATGACCACCTTCCTTCTCGGTCCAAGTGCGACATGTCCCTGGACGAGAAAAAGCAAACCATGGAAGTCCGTGACGCCAGCTTCTCAGACCCAAGCGACTCGCGTGCTCACGCGTGGTCCCTTCTCGCCCTGTGACAAAAACATCAGACAGACAGCGGTTGTTGCTCCGCAAATCCCGCAGCCAGACCACGGGGCGGAGCTTGGCGATCGTCTCATGGCCAAGCTTTTGCATGCAACGTGCCCAAGTTTTCCTCTTCCATCAAGCCGTTGTGATAGGTTCTAGCCGTTTCATCGGTGGGGTCCAGGGTAGGATCGCAAGGGCGGCTTGATCTCCACATTGCTCGTGCGTCCAGATTTTCTCGCCGGTTCCCAAGACGCCGAGCTCACTCCGCTCAGTCTCCGACAGCCATCACCAATTGGAGTTTATCATGGGACTGCTTGGGGGGCAGCTTCTTCACGATAGTTGCACGTCTCCTCGGGCAATCCCCTCTCCTGGCAAGCCACTCTCGACGCATGCTCGGGGAGCAAATGACCGCGTGCTTTGCCGCCTGGAGACACACCCTGGCCCTATATCAATCCCAGCATAAGAGGGGTTAATCAGTCCCCTCACCCACCAGTAGCAGCCATGAAGCCATGAAGCCATCCAACCGTGCGAATCAATGTGCTTCCCGGCCGCAGCCGTTGCTGTCAGCTCTCATGATCGCCACCAGTGGACCCCAGAGACCCAACCACTCATGGTACCTCGAGGGTACAGAGAAACTTGTGATGCCGTGTCGCTGCACCAACCTCTCGGCTGTTGCGACGGGTGGTCTTGTTTGGCCTGTCACAATATAAATCCAAACGCCTTAGCTGGAGTAAAGGCAGGTTTGCTCTATTCTAAGAGTGTACGCCGTCTATACGCACAACCAAACCCCCTCAGTCCATCAGAGCCATCATTTACTCCCCTTTGCACCCCCCATATCCTCGACAGCGTCCGGTCTATTCCAAGTCTCGCCCTCCAGCCGGTCAACGGCCGCGTGCAGCTCCCATATCCGCGACCTCGCCTGCAGTATGGCTTGCTCCTGAAGCTTCCACGTCTCCTGAAACATATCCAGCATAAACCCTGGCATGCCTGTCTTGCCGGCCTTCTTGTAGTCGTAGATGACGATGTCCTCCTCCAGCCGGCAAGCGACGCGCCTGTGGCGGTGCGACAGGACCACGCAGTCGAGGTAGAAGGAGCTCGGGGCCGCCGGCTCCCCCTCGGGCCTGGTCCGCAGCTTGTGGTAGACGGAGATGCGGTCGGGGTACACCATCGGCTGGGTCCGGGTTAGCTTGCTGTTGTGTCTGATAGTAGGTAGGTAGTTACTGCGAGCCGACGAGCGAGTGACGTACAAACTTGAAATCCGCCTTCAGGCTCCGCATGATCAGCCCCGTTGAGATGGGCGACATCAGCTCCCGCCACTGCTTGCGATGCGCCGGGTCGACGTGCACGGCGAAGTTGGTGATCCAGTTCACCCGCGCCGACTCGGCGTAGCGGTAGTAGTTGACGTTATTAACGTGCGCCTGGTCAGCCAGTGTCAGTTTCATGTTCCCATGCTTTTCGTGCTCCCACCGCCGAACGTGGGGAGGGAGATGCGTAACGGGATGGGATACCCACGAAGGTGTCCATCTCTCCCCAAGCAATCTCTCTCGCGTCCAGCCCGCGCCGTCCGCCGGTCAGGAACCCCTCGCTGCTAGCCAGCAAGTCCTTCCACTCGGTCGCTATGACGCGCAGGACGGCGGCCGCTTGTGAGACTTGCTGCGCGTTGCAGCCGAACGAGAGGCACTTGCCGATGCGCGCAGGGAGCTCGCTGGTCCATCGTGACGGGGGGAGCGAGAGTGATGTTTCCTGAGGGTTGAGAGATGTCTGGTTGGAACTGGCACGCGCTGCGGCGGCGGAGAATGGCCGGCGCAGGGAGAGGGGATATGCGCGGCGGCATGCGCTCCCGGCGAGCTTCGTGGTGGTTGGGCGCGCGGCCATGGCAGATTGGGGGTTGGGCGGGTCAATTGATCCGATGGTTGCTACATGGGACGGCTGGGACCGTATGCGACTTCAGTTGTCTCGTCGAGGCAGGCCTGAGGCGAGGTCTGGTCCGGTCATCCTTCGTCGGTCACCATCGGCTTCGGCCCCTCGGCAGGGCGGAGAGCGAGGATGAGGTGGGGCTTTTTACATCCGGATCATGTCAACCGGTGCGAGATACGAAGTAGGTATCTTGCCATGTTCAACCTCACACTGCAGGCTGCAAGGACGGGAAATAAGCCGAAGGAAGTTGCAAGAACCAAATAATAGAAATTGCACATCCTTCAGTGTACATACATGAAGTGAAACCATATGCTCCGAGGATGGCCAGCGAGCGGTGCGAATCCACACCGTTCCCGTGTTCTTTGCCAAGACTCGAGCATGTCGTCACTCGTCAACGGCAGCATTTCCCAAAGCAGCGACTCAACACCAAATGTCGCGATCCGCCCATGCTTTGGACCTGCACCCAAGATATCCAGCTCGGGCCGCCACAGTTTCAAGCCATGAATGAGACATAGCGACGAAAACACCATTTACCACAATGCCTCTGGCCCCAAATCCCGAGCTAAGACGGCAGGTCATTGCCATCTACAAACGCAAGTCATTGTCTTCCTCCACCGACTCTCACCATGCGCATCCACCCAAGACATTAGCCACTTACACCAATCATTTCCGGCAGAACTCCTCTACCTCGGCCGGGACTATCCCCAGGGTTATGACTTCTTCCGCCCGCGGCTGCACCGGGCCTTCATGGCCAAGGCGAACCTCACGGACGAAAAGGCGATCCGGGAGGGCATCGCAAGGGCCGACTTTGTAAGAAAAGGTAATGTAGATGTTGTACTTCACTTCCCCTCCTATGCCAGCAGTCAACGATGGTCATGATTCAGGGCGCTGTGGTGGGGAGTGGGACTGGGCTAATAATGTGAATCCGCGTGACAGAAATTGAAGCGTTGTAAGTTCGAGTTCTCACGCTATCTTAAGGGGAAGAACGTTTTTCGGAAATGCAATTGCTTGTTTCCTGTCATATCATCCCTTTTTGTCAAGCCTCCCCGACACCTTGCACGGTCCCAGATTTCCGCTGATTACGTCCATGTCTAGGTACTACCTCAAACGATACCGGACACTGCGAAAGAGATATGACGGAGCATAGAAGGGCGCCACGGTCGGACTGTAAATAAATAGCAAGCGAATACAAGCGGTAGTATAACATTCACAGATCATGTATGTATACATCAGAACTCATCACCCGTCCCTCGCTCCCAGGAGCCCAGTGAGCCAGCCACCACGCTCCCAGCCGCTTCGTCACAAACCGAACACAACCTACACAAAACAAGTACACGGAATCACCCGAATCAACAGAATCACCTCTTCCTCGCCCACCAAGCCCCCACCTCCAAACACTCCCCCCAACTCGTCCCATTCTCCCTCACCAGATCATTCATCATCTTCCCCAACCACGCATCCCACTCATCCTGACTCTTCCCACTCGCCTCGCGCAGCATCGGCTCCATCGCCTGAATCATCTGCACAACGGTAACCAACGCCGTCCTCCGCAACGCCGCCCCCGCCGGCTCCAACCCCCTCGCCCCACCACCACCACCACCACCATCCTTCACACTCCCCCCACTAGGCGACACCCCCCCGCCCGCCCCCCTGCGGGCCTTCGTCTCGATATAGCTCTTCCCATCCTTCGTCACCACACCGCCGACCCCTTCCCTCTCCCAGCGAATCTCAGACAACGGCACGGCCAGCCGCCGCGACCCCAGCCCCGCCAGCACCTCGGCCTCCTGCAGCAGCAGCGGGCCGATGACGGTGCAGGGCACGGCGCAGAGGGCGCGGGCGTCGAGGGCGCGCGACGCCCAGCCGTTGTACTCGACCAGGAAGTTGTTGAGGGGGGTGGACAGGGGCGTGTTGGTCGTGATGACGTAGGCGCCGCCGATCTCGTCTTTTTCGGTGGTGGAGTTGCCGTTGGTGGGGTTGGTGCTGTCGGTTGGGGGGTGGTTGTGGTTGAGGTATGGGTCGGAGAGGGAGGTGGTGGTGGTGGAGGGGGAGGGGGTGGTCAGGTCGAAGTCGTCGGCTTCGGTTGGGCCCGAGGTGGTTGCGCAGTCCGGGACGTGCGGGCGGAGCATGCGTACCAGGTTGTCGGTTTCCCAGATCTCGATTGTGCCGCCGGGTGTGAGGATGCGGATGTATTCTTCGATGTAGGCTTGTTGCATGTGTGTTGGTGTGACGAGGGTCATGTCCTTGATCATGAGGAAGTCGAAGCTGTTGTTGGCAAAGGGGAACGGCAGCTTGCGTATGTCGTGTTGCACGAAGCGCCAGTTCATGGCCTTGTCCGGCCGCGTGTCGGCGGCGGGCTCGCCGGAGGATGCGTTGGGCGGCAGCGCCACGATGTCGATGCCGGTAAATGATATGTCCTTGTGCTGACCGCGCGCTTCGTAGTGCTTGTAGCACATGGTGCTCCAGAAGCCCGTTCCGCAGCCGACTTCCAGTATCCGCGCAGGCGGTTTGTTGGCGAAGGCCGGGGCGCAGATTGGGCGGCCGTACAATTGCATCAAGAGTATCGTTTTGAGGTTCTGACGGTGCAGCTCTTCCAAGTCGACGGGCAACGGGTATGGGAGGGACGGGTCGGCGAGGTAGGTCCGCCCATTGCGGACGACGAAGGGCCGTTGCTGGTACGCCGAGTCGGATGTGTGTTCGCTCGAGTACACTGTGCGATTGCTCGTCGTGGTAGCACCGGATACGCTGGATATGCTCTCGGCCCGAGCGCCACCGTTCCCGGGCCCCCTGCCCGGGCCGGCCTCTGTGTACGGGAGCATCCCACCGTGCTGCGCCCGGCGATCGGGAAAGGCGACAGCGGCGACAACAGCGCCGGGATTGCCAAAAGTATGGCCGGCCGTCGCAGTAGTTGCGGAAGCCGGCGTGCGAGCCGAGGCTGGTTCTGAGTTGCTGCCGGCGCCGAAGAGTTTTGCGGTCGCGTCGGCTGTGTTAAGTCGGGGCGTCGCCGGCAGCTGCTTGTCCTGAAAGTATTTGAGTGACGAATGCATCCGATCTCGTTCCCGGGTCGAATTACGGCGAGCCGCGGGGTGGTGATGTTGATGCTCGGGGATGGTGTCCGCACGGTCTCCCAAGCCGGTCGACGTCACCACTGCTCCTGCTGCTGCTGCTGCTGCCCCTGAGTCGCCGTCGGCACCGGCCGACGACTGCTGCAGCCACCCAGCGCTGCTGTGCGGCGGTGGTGCCTGGTGCTCAGTGCGCCCGCCGCCGCTGCTGCTCGTACTCGCACTGTTGGTCCTTGCGTGGCCCGGAATGCGCGATCGCTTCTTTGTCGCCGGCGCAGATGTCGAATTGGAGCGAGTCGGCTTCGAGCGCGAATGCGGCGAGCCCTCGACTTCATAAGTGAGGTAAGGGGCCTTGGCGGCTGCATATCCTGAGAGAAACTCCATTTTGACCCCAAGCGGGTTTTTTCCTCAATCCCACCCGTCAGGGGTTGCTGCGGCCGGGAACGGGGGTCAATGGTGCCCCGCCCGGGCTGTCCGCGGCGCGTGTTCCGGTGCGTTGGGTGCTGCAGCTCCAGTGGGATGCTGCCGCTCAACCGCCAAAATCTCGCAGCGCTCCTTCTTCCAGCACCCTCCGGCCGCCCTTCCAGGTTGTTTGGGGGGACCTGTGCTGCCGGCAAAAAGGCGCGGAAATTGCCTTCTTCCCCTTCGACGTTAGACCTTCCAAATTCAAAGCCAAGCCCGCACGAATTCCCTAGGATTCCTAGTCAACTGCAGCGACCGTGCCCTGGATTCTTTTGGATTCTTGAGAAACCCCCCGAGCCGATCAACGGGGTACCGGGGATGCCGACCCGGACACCGCCCCTTTCTAGAAGCCTTCCGTGTTTGGGCCGGTTTCGTGTCCCTGTCGCCTCCGGCTGTTGGTTTTCAACCGGTGAGCTCCCAGGTCGCTTTTTGGCGGAATTGCTGGCCGCCCTGTCCTCCTTGCCCCTGCTATCAATTCGGCGAGAGGTAACTCGTTAACTGACCAATTCGTGCGTCCGTCGCTCTCCCTTGTTCAGCCCCGGCTGCAGCTGTCTCCCCTGTGACAGGCCAGAAGTGATGGGTCGTCCCAACCGGGTGGAACGAGAACTGACAAAAGCAACGAAGTGGCCAAAGAGGTGCAACGGGTGGTATTTCCCGGTTGGGGGTCACCCGCTGGAGCGACTCGGTTGGTGGGGGATTGATGTCGGCTGTCTGATTAGGAGTTGCTGTCCCGCGTGTAAGTGCTTCTTTCGCCTTTTCTGGGTTCTTCAACCGTCTTCAGAAGATTCGACATGGCCAATTCAGCAAGCTCCTCGATGGCTGCAAAACTGGAAGTTTCCAGGTTGTCAGAGGCCGTGGCGCATGCCTAGGTTTTAACACCTCAGGTCCTCGCAGCCACGGTCGGCTCTCTGGCTCAGCGGCCCTGCGGAAGCTCGGAGGAGGCGACAGCGGGAGGACCTAGAGGGCGCCCTCTGCTGTTTTCTGTTTCCTGGGTGGGGCTCAAGCGGCCGTGACGGTCCGAAGCAAGTAAAACTCGCGATGTCCCACGGGCGGTTGGTTGCAATTGTAGTTTATTTTTGGAGAAAGGCGAGAATCGAAATGAAGGAACGACGTGGGAAAGACCGCAGCGCCTGGCAACATGACCGTCCTGGACAGTCTCGTTGGTAGGTAGGACAGACCCAGGAAGACTGATCGGGGGCGCGAGACTGCGACGCGAAGGCGGGCAGGCCGACATTTAGGAACACAGCACGAAAACCAAAAAGCTCGATCGATGAAAGTCGCCGATGGCACGGCCTTTCCAGTCGTCTTATTCCTTGCCAGACGAGCGCATTTTGCTCGAGAAGGCCCCATGATGCTCTCTTAGCCTCCCCCAGACTTTCCCCGATTCTGGCCGTCAACCTTCACCTTCGCCATCCCTTGCAGCGCCCACAAACTTAGTGGTGTGGAGCAAACGGTGGTGAGGGCAGTTGGAACCTTCCCCGCACCGCTGTTGCGCCCCGTGGATTGGCTGTTTCGGAAGACCATTGCCTGTCTGTCCCCTGCTCCGCGCCCGGTCCCAGGAGGCCCCGGACGCTGGAGAGGAAGGCGTCCGGTGGCCCTCATTGGCTTCACTGGCCAAGCACATGCTGCTGAGGGGCGAGGCCATGGCTCTGGCAGGCATTACGCTGGCCTTTTGGACCGCCGAGTGTCTGACCGGTCGTTGCACCAGCCAGCCATCCTGCCCAAAACGCTGCAAACCATACTGTTTTCGAGGCTCGGCGGCAGCCATCCTGCGGTTGATGATCCTTCACTGAGACTGGCGCGAGAGGTGCGAGGAAGAGGGTGCGAGCGCGTCTGCGAATGCCGACGGCTTATTTCCCAAGTTCGGAGTCAAGTCGGGGCTGTTGCCGAGCAGCCAAGTCGCTCACTCACTCCCAGCGGCTTCCATGCTTCGTTTCTGGAATACGGCCCTAGCCTACAATCGGAAACTGACTGAAACGGAAAGAACGGAGTTTGGTGCTGCTGCTCCATACACTAGATGCCATGGATGCCATCTCTGGGCGTGGATGATGTGGGGGAGACGTTGCCACTCTGTGAGTTTATGCATGGCAGCGAAAACCCCAGAAATAGCGCGAACCAACCGGAGTCTAGAGTGGTCGATGGAGGACTGAGCGGGAGCACATGATGCTGTACTTGTCGTACGAAAGAGGTACACTTATTCGCATGGCCAAGAACCTTCCAAGGTTGAGGAAGGAGAGTGTCACTCTTCTAAAATCGCTGCTAAAAGGGCCCAAACAAACAGCTGGAGCCATGGAGAGAGAGCGTCAAAATTCTCTAAAAATAATACAAAATAACATTGAGAAAAATATCTTCTAGATAAAAAGGCTCTTTAAATAGACTCCCCTCTCTTCCTTCTGACCACTCTGTTTTTTTCTCCCTCTGATATTAACCCGAGGTTGGCGTCGGAGTCCTCCGATGGTTAATCCTGCCTATCCATCCGGAAATATGACTGACTCCTGTGCATTTTTTTTTACCTGAGCAACCTCCCTACCTAACCTGGCCTGATGGTTTTCTGACTTCTTTTCTGTCAATATTCGCAGATCACTTGCCAGGGCACGAGTGCGCCGCGCCTGCCAAGGCGCGAGGCGGAAGATGGTGAATCAAGCATCACGTGAAATGAGAGACGGTCTCATGTGGGCAGGTCAGCCGCGTCAAACTGTGCCCGCCTAAGAAAGCTGTGGGGCGCTGGCTGGGCTCGAACGAAGCGGCCACAGCCAACAAGAAGCGATTGACGCATTGAGCACCCGACACTATCCACCACGCCACGCTGTAGCCCACGCATTCGCAACACCATATCTTTCCTCTAAAATATACATTCTCCCCGCTCTGAACCATTGCCATTAAAGTTTGTTGCACGATCTTTTTGTTTTCGATAGGTGAGAAAAACCCAGCGGTGCAGATTTCATCGGAACCCGGAGAACAAAACGCGAGTCAGTTCCTCTTTTTGGTGATGCAGCGATAGGTTCAGCTGCTGCTGCTGCTGCTGCTGCCCGTCGCCCTTTGTTCCCCATCGATCATGCCCAGGGCCCACATTCAGTCTCACCTCCCCCCCCTACTCCCTCCACCACATCCAACAGCATCGTTCACTCACTGATAATCCTCTGAACTCCACGATCAATGCGCTGACTGACGGGTCTACCCTATTCATTTACTAGACTTGTAGCCCAGAGTACCGAGAACAAAGAAAACGAAAAGTAGAAAAACCCACTCCACCAGCGAACATCTTTTCCTCGTCCTCCCAACCAACGTGTGCGTCCGCATCGAAGAACCCGCCGAGAGCCGAACGACGACGATCCATCTTCGAACGGCCCCTTCAGAACTCAAGGTGGTTGCCTGCTATTGGCATCTGTCGCATGCTGATGAATGGCCCTCTGAGCCATCTGCAACCATCACGACACCGGGTGCAACAGCAGAGCGACTAGCACATGCATCTATGCACGACATACATTTTGCTCTGCCCCATGCGAACCCTGTTGCTTCGAACTCTAAACCCACCGCGTCCCCCATACCCTCGACCTTCGAGGAGCCCATATCCCCGCCTTCCTACCTCCCCGCCTCCCGACCCGCCTTCAGAACCGGTACGCCCCGAGTTGTAGATGGCAGATGGTCACCGCCCTCTGTCACACGCCTTCCCGAACCCGCTTTCTTCCAACGGCGCCTCTAGCGACCGAGTCGCCAACGAGCTCTTTCTGAACTCCCTCCTCACCCATCTCGCCACCGCCCAGCCACCCTCACACTCCAAAACACCCCCCCACGGCTCCGCGAGCCAGAATCCGCGCGGCATGTACGGCCAGAACCACCAGCAAGGGCACAACTCCCGCATCAATGGGGCGCCGGGCCGGCAGCAGGCCATGCCCATGCTGTACAACTTCCAGCAGCAGTCGGCCCACCCCCACCAGGCTCATGCGCAGCACCACCAGGGTATCCAGCAAGACCATGGCGGCGCCTCCATCATGGGCCATTCGGCCTTCTCGAGCGGTGTCTTGCCGAACGCGAGCCCCTTCTCTTCCAACAACCTGCAGAACGGCCACACGTCGTCTTCCCGGGGAGGCCAGACGCAGCAACTTACCGAACATTGGGCGGAGCAGCTGCGGTTGCACAAGGAGGCGGAACGGGCGCATGCCACTATGACTGAGCAACACCAACCCCACTTCTACGCCCGGCTCAAGGCGGCCGAGAATCGCGGCATTGGTGGCGCCGCGCTGACCGGCGGCGATTCCGGACCTTCTGTCGACGGGGAGGACGACAGGAGACGGCCGTGGAGCCTCGAAAAGACCAACAAGAGGCAGGACTGGTACAACCTCGATATGAGCGGTCAGGGGCTGCGCGTCCTCGCCCCGCCCCTGTTCGCCTACGAATTCTTGCAAGAACTCTACATCGCGTCCAACCGACTCACCTATCTCCCCGCCGAGATTGGCCGGTTGCGCCATCTACGCCACCTCGACGCGTCGAACAATGTCATCTCGGAGCTGCCTCCTGAGATCGGCATGTGCACCAACCTCAAGTCGCTCTACCTGTTCAACAACCAAATCCGCAGTCTGCCCTTCGAGTTCGGGTCCCTGTACCTCTTGGATATGCTCGGCATCGAGGGGAATCCCCTCGACCCGTCCCTTAAGCAGGAGATAATGGGGGGCGACACGAAGAAACTGGTCCATAAGCTCCTAACGGACGCCCCAGGTTAGCAAACCCCCCTGGATAAGGAAAACCCTGGCTTTGTGACTGACTTTTTCCACTACCACAGTTCCTATCCCTCCCATTGACAGAAAGCCGATTGTTGTCCAAGAGGACGTGTCATCGACCCTCGAGCGGGTCAAGGTCCTCTCCTGGAACATACTCTGCGACAAATTCGCCACCTCGACTCTCTACGGCTACACGCCACCCCCCGCGCTCCATTGGGTCTACCGGAGCGAGAGGATCCTACAGGAACTCCACGAGAGGGATGCGGACATTCTGTGCCTGCAGGAAATCGCGACCGACGTCTTCCGCGACTTCTTCAGCCCGGAATTAGCCCAGGACGGCTACAAGGGGGTGCACTGGCCGAGACCCAAGGCCAAGACCATGGCAGAGAAGGACGCCCAGGCGGTCGACGGTTGTGCCGTCTTCTACAAGGCCAGCAAGTGGATCCTGCTCGACAAGCAGCTCCTTGACTACGCAAACATCGCCATCAACCGTCCGGACATGAAGAACCAACACGACATTTTCAACCGAGTGATGCCCAAGGACAATATTGGCCTGATCTGCCTGTTTGAGAGCAGACAGACCGGCGCGCGGATGATCGTCGCCAACACTCACTTGGCCTGGGAACCAACGCTTCCCGATGTCAAGCTCGTGCAGACGGCCATCATGATGGAGAACATCACGAGGCTCGCCGAAAAATATGCCCGGTGGCCCGCCCTCAAGGACAAGAAAATGATCCAGCTGCCGCTCGAAGAAGGGGAACAGCGCGCCGACGTGCCCGAACCTGGGCCGTCACAGGAGTACCGTAACAACACGGACATCCCGCTGGTCGTCTGCGGCGATTATAACTCGACGTATGACAGCAGCGTATACGAGCTGCTCTCCATGGGCCGCGTCGCGCCTAACCACAGCGACTTCGGCGATCACCAGTACGGCAGTTTCACGCGCGACGGCATCGAGCACCCCTTCAGCATGCGTTCCGCATACGTCCACCTGAAGGGCACCCCTGACGATCTGCCCTTCACCAACTACGTCCCCGGCTTTGCCGAGGTGATTGACTACATCTGGTACTCTACTAACACGCTCGAGGTGGTCAGTCTGCTCGGCCCGCCCGACCGCGACCATCTCAAGCGCGTCCCCGGATTCCCGAACTATCACTTTCCCGCGGACCACATCCAGATCATGGCCGAGCTAGTCATCAAGGCGAGGAAGGACAAGAAGATGGTCCAGGAGCCGGACTTCGGCTCGGGGAGCAATGATCGGAGGGGCTGACCATAGTCCCTCCGATGCGTCGCCGTTCTCTTCGACACATCATCTCCTCGTCCTTCCGTATCCTGGGTCTGGTCGGTTTTGTTTGGCTTGAGCGTTTGGTTGGCTGGCGGGACTGGTATGCGGGCAATGAAGGGGGCGCGTCCATAGCACGGGTCGGTTTGGGTTCGCCGGGCTGGGTGACTGGGTGGGCCGGTCAGTTGAATGGAGAAGGGGAGAGGCGCTTCGGCCGGTCGGCTTGTTTCGAAGCATGGCAGCTCGGATGGAGAGGGAAAGGGAATGGTGCAATATGGACGTGGGTTCTGAGGTGTCATGTAGGAATATATTGCCGTTGTCTTTGTCGTTCCCCCATGTATCTTCTGTTTGCTGCCATCTCGTGCGTGTGGCTATCGGTGCCCGTCACGGTATGTATGAGTGCTCTTTGGCACCTCCCTTTGCTTGGATAAAAACAACAAATTCTCATATTTCCGACAGTTCTATCCCTTCCTCCTCGAGTATCGCTCCAAGGCCTGGCCGAGGTGTTGACCCCAGTTCTAGCTCGCAGAAATCTCCGACGGGAAGATACAAGTTCGAAATATTCCCAACGCCCACCATGATCGTGTCCCACCATACCCGTTCGTGTTTATCTCCATCCACGTCTTCCGCTCCCTCCTCGCAAAGGACTATGAACTCCCTTCGCCAACCCAATATTACTGCCGAACTCCGTTTATACCAACTGGACCGCGCATTATATTCCCCATTACCCTCATTGTCACCACCAAACAATAACGACGCCCCCCTAGATACGGATATATTCTCGACCCCCGACCACGACCAGCGTGCCGGAATCCCTCCAAACCGCGACGATCTCGCCCGAGCCGCACCCCCCAGCAAAGGGCCGGCCGTCGCCGCTGATAAAGAAACAATACTAATACTACTGGTGCTACTGGTGCTACTGCGCCTGCTACCCGCCGCAATCCCCGTAGTGCTAACGCCAGCGCCAGCACCAGTCTCAACCCACGCTCCGGCATAACTCGCGCGCCTCCCGCTCTTGATATTCTTCCCATTACCCATAGCACTGGCACTCCCACTTCCACTCATACCCCCACTTATACTCTCATTCCCACTCCCACTCCCACTTTCACCCTCACCACTACCCCCTCCCCCTCCAACCCAATCTCCCCTTCCACCCCCACCCCCAACCCCCCCTCTCAACCCCCTTTTCAACCCCCCTTTCAACCCCCCCGTCAACCCCCCCGTCAACTCCCTCACCCTCCGCCACCGCGCCCTCCACCCCCCGACGAAAGACCCTGCAAACCCCGCCGACGCTGCCCCACCCAAACCCGAGCCCGCCTGCGGCGAACACATCGCGTTTCCGTGCCCGGATGAAATGCACGGCTACTTGGGTCTGGGTCTGGGTCCTCGCTGCGGATGGGTCGGTGGTGATGGCTGCTGAGCTGGTGCTGTACTCGTGTTGGCGGTGTTGGTGGTGGTGGTGGTGGTGGTGGTTGGGGAGGAGGGAAGTTAGGGATTGGGCGGAGGGGGTGGAGGGGGTGGAGGGGGTTGATGGGATGGATGGTATTGATGGGATGGATGATGCGGTAGGGATGGTTGGGATGGTGATGATGGTGGGGGTTGTTGTGGCGATTGCTGGTGCTGTTGCCGTGGGGATGGCTGGGGATGTTGTTGTTGTGGTGACGGTGGTGGTGACGGTGATGGTGGCGGTGGCGTTAGTGATGGCGTCGACGATCGCGTGATACTCGTCACTGGTGGTCTTGCTGCCGAAGAGGACGGCCCGTGGGATCTTGAGGGGGCGCTTGGCTGGGCCGGGCGGGCAGGTGTTGCTGCCGAGCCTTGAGGCTTGTGATGGACGGGGCTGTGTGGGTGTGTCGTCGGTTTTGCTGTTGGTGCTGCTACCAACATTGGAGGAGAAAAGCAGTGGTAGCTCGGCGAGGGCTGTGGGTAGGTCCAGACAGACGTGTACAACTTAATGGGAGGGTAAGTTCATATAGAAAGGACAAGGAGGTGAAGGCAGGAGGAACGGAACGAGACGGTATGGGGGGAAAGGGGCGAGAGTCGGGTGAAGGGAGGTAAGGGTGGTGACCTACCGTCAAGGTCTGGGAGAAGCTTCTCGCAAACGGATCTGGCGACCTTGGGATCTTTGGTGAAGAGGGCCACGGGAATGGGCGTTGTATGGTCCATGGCGCGAATGGTGTGTGACACGAAGTATATAAAGAACCGAATCTTGGAAGGTGTGGTCGACGAGTGGTAAGACAGACTGGGCGGTGTAGAGAGACACCGCGCAGCCCTCCTTCTGGTCTCGTGGCGAAACGAAACCCTAGAATAAAACACACCGAGTGACCAACCTTTCACGGATCATTGAGACTCCTCGCCGGTCCCATACTCCGTCAGGACCCCCCATTTCCTTGGCCCGCTCGTGATAGTTTGCGGTCGGAGCAACGTCCGAACTTCACTGACACGCCAGCTGTGCAATGATAAGGGGGCTGGCGTCAACAGCCTTCGACCCGTACCACACATCGCCCCGGTATGACGTAGAGTGAGCGGTGGGTGGCTCACATTCAGTAAAAGTATGATAAACCTAAGCTATCAGCTGAGGGTTGCCTTGGCTGAGCCGTGTCGTCCGTGAGTACATGTAAATAAATACACGACTCTGGAGTTTATGGCTCGATGCAGAGAAAGACGGGCAACTGTATCAGCCAGCAGGCCATGTAAACGAGTTCCCGGCAGCGTCTTATCCTAGTTGTACATCAAGGACGACGCCCGCGAGGTTGAGGCTGTCTTGCATCTTTGGGCGGGGGTTGGATGGACGTTAGGTTGGGGAAAACCCGTGCAGCCATGTGCCTGTTGCTTCGTTCAACCTACTATCCGGCTCTCTTTCCCCGCCTTGTCCACTCACCTTTGTACGCTCGCTTCCATTCGTTACCCAAGCGTGGAAAGTCGGAATGTATGTACACCATTCTTGTACTCCGTGGATTCTATTTCCGGTGTTAACGCAGTCGAAGCTGAGGGCCGTTGCACGCACGGGACGTGTTGCGGCCGGGTCTTCCTTGCTCGCTACAACATAATCACATATCCCGTGTGACGCACCTGACACCCGATGTCCGACCGGGAGGGCAGAGGAAACCCGAGACTCGGTTTGACGGTCACTCCGTCTTGTGGGGTCTGCCACGAGACAAGACAAGCAGGGAAGACGATAATAATTCACAATTCTATTGTTACACCAACCCAAGCTGGCAGGACTTGCACGTCGGCGGTAGGCGAGGAAACTCGGACAACGGCACGAACTTGCTCCAACCGCTGTTGCTATGCTTGCCCACACACTTCTCACCCATTCCACCACCCAAAACGCTGACCCTCCCAAACATCCGCGATTAGAATCCGCCGAACACCCGCCGCCGCTTTCCTTACACCAAAAAGTCTTTATACAAAACAGCCCCCACCCAAGATCCCGAGAACGACGCACCAACTGTTGGGTCTGAAACAAAGGAAAAGTGGTGTTGTGCTGCGAAGGTTCTGTCCGCTGTGGTACTGTTCCCCTGAGGATTCGTCATTCGTACTTTGGAATCCAGATAGAACCCCCCCCCTTCCCTCCGACGAGTGATAAATAAGCAAGGGGATAGATAGGAAAGAGATACTCCAATAACAGATGCTGAATGCTTGCTGACAGACCTTTTGAAGCCGACAAAAGAAATAATAAGTGAACACCGAGGGCCTAACGAGCCACAGATGTGTACGGACAGGCTTGCTCGCTAGGCACCTCCGCTTCGCTCTGGCAACGCTCGCCAATCCGGCGTTACTACCCTGTCAGTGTGTTGAAGTTCAGGTCGGGCCCTAACGGACTCATCCCAAGCGAGCCCATGGGGTGGTTCATGTCCGTATTGGATCTTTGAAGTGCTTGAAAGTCGCCGACCGTTCGTATTGGGGGCGCGTTCACGGCGAAACTATTCGCTCGTTGTGGGACCGGCGCTCTGGACATCAGATTATTGTTGTTGACTCCTTGTCCCAGGCCGCTATTTATCCCACCGCCGAGGCCCTGACCGAGGTGCATTTGGGAGGCGAGGCCTATGTTGGGCGGCGGGTTGATGTTGTTGGCATTTAGACCTTGCATCTGAGGGTTCGAATTTGGAAACGGGGACAACGGCCCGTGTTGAGAGTGCTGTGGTTGCTGCTGGTTCATCCCTCCCGGCGTGCCGAACGACGAGGGGGGCGCGTGGCCTACCGGGCTCATGACCATCTCGGGCATGGAAGTGAAGTCGGTTTGCAGTCTATGAGGCAACTCCACACTAGGGGACATGATCGCTGGAGAGCTGGCAAATGGCGAGTTCATGTCGTTGCTGCTCGAAGAAGGCCCGCCGTTGGGGCTGTTGGAATCCGAGTTCATGTCATCGAAACGTGGGACGGCATATTTGTTGTCGATATCTCCCGAGGAATACATTGGGGGCGGGCACATGCTGCTGCTGCCGAACCCGTCAAATATGTCCATGTTGCAAGGGGCCGCACTCTCGGGGGCGTTTTGAAGCATTGGGTTGGCTAGTTTCGGAAGAGCCAAGGCGACCTTGCTCAGCAGCAGCGGGAGGAATCGGTAATCGCCGTTACGGATAACCGTTACGATGCTCAAAATCTTGCAGAGCTCATCCCGAGGTCCGGGCGTGAAGGGTGTGCGAGGCGCTGGAAGGAGGGCGAGGATATCGGTCACCTCGCAGGTGACGTTGAACAGGTGCTCGCACAAGCTGAGGCCCTGCAAGCCCGGGCTGCCGTGGAAGTGAGACACCATGGGGAGAAGGTCATGGTTGCCATCCATATAGGAAGCCTCGGCGTTGTTTATGTTGCCGTTCGCTACGCCCAGCCCCCAGGCCTTGTGCTTCAACCATTGCTGGATCATCGACATTTCGCCGAGCTGAGCCTGTGTGTCATTTGCGTACGGAGATCGGACCTCTTGAAGCTGCCTGTCGAGGGTTGCGAGATACTCATCGGAGCACTCGTTCCTTGACCTGTTCCAAAGTTGGGTCAAGGCGTCGTCGAAACCTCGAAACAGGCTGATCATGCGCAAAGAACTTGTGCCCTGACCCATCAAGGGATCGGCGGGGTGTTCTTGCGGGGTTGGTGTGTTGATGCTGGCTTTGAGTGTCAAAGGGCGACCGTGGTGCAGTCCGTAAGCACTGTGGGGTCTGGTCAGTTTCCAGGTTCCAAAGGGAAAAAAAAGAAGAATTAACCGCAAGGACTTGTTACGAACCGTTCGTTGACGAAAAGGAGCCAGTACAAGCGCCTGCGCCGTGATGCATCAATGCTGTCGTACTGCAGATACGCTTGTTCCTCGGTCATCTTGGCGATGCACGCCAGGGTAGCAGCCTCGCGCAAATGGAACCACGCCTTGTCGTGCAGGTCCAGGCCGTGGTGTACCGCAAACAAAAAGTAGCTCGTGCAGAGGTTGTTGACGGTCTGGGAAGACTGGTAGTCGTAACCCTTGCGAACGCGGATCGTCTCCTCCATTAGAAGCGTGCTAGTGACGATGTTGTTGCCAATCATCATGTCCGGGCTGAAGGGGTCGTTCATTCCCGCGCCGGGCATCACCATGCCCGGTTGAAGGCAGACAAACGAGCAGAGCGACGTCAGGAGGCAGTAGGTGTCGAGATTCTGGTCCATGTACATGGCATCCTGCTCGAGGCGCTGGCGGTCGAGAATCGGGAGAGTGGGTTGCATGTGGGCAAAGAAGAAGTCGATGCAGGCCTTGAGGGTCTCCTTGGTCAAAAGCCTCGGGGTCGGAGCGAGAGTCGGGCTCGACGCGCCGCCGTTCATGCCGCCCTGCAACTTGGCCGATAGGCTGGTTTGGCGTTGCGTCTCCTTCAGTTCGTTGATGACCTTGGCTCGGGACCCCTTCGGACCCTTCTTCTGCGGGACCGCATTGTAGGTGCAGGCCAGCTGGGAGGCCGAGCAATTGCGGCAGGGCGTGATTCCGTCGCATTTCACCTTGCGCCGATGGCAGGCATCGCACGCCCGCTTCACTGCCGCCGTCGTCATGATTTCCGACTGTGCCGTGTTACCCTCGGTGTCCTTCAATTGCTGAACGCGAAGAGCGGGGAGCGCGTGTCACAGTGCCGCATCCACAGCCTTATTCAGACGAGATCCGGAGGGTCGGGAACGGTTGGTCTGGGGTGACGGTGCGCAATCGTGGGGACTCCAGAATCAATTGCAGGCAGTCTGGGGTTGAATCGGCCCGGTAAACTGGTCGCTAAGATCCCTAGGAAGGGACCGCGCTCTAGAAGACAGCGGCCCCTCGGTGCGTCCAGGACTAAAACCAAAATCCGTGTTTCGGGCGCCGCATTTGTCGTCGAGATGTCGTGAGGTGGGCTGGGGTTTTGACGATCTGTGCTTGTCGGAGAGCAGGGACGGCGACGAGATGGGTGTGAAGAAGGGGAGGAACCTGGGAAGGGACGGAAATGAAAGAAGCCCTGGGGAACACACTACCAGGGCGAAAACCGCAAGGGGGGCTCGCCAAGGGTTCTCTCATTTGGCGGCGGGGACAGCTGGGCTTCTTGCCTGGCCAGTGCGCATATGCAGGGCCAATGATGGCGCACCGTTCGCCAAAACGGAGCCCGCATCTCGAGGTTGCTTTCCCCTCGCGCTCACTGGCGCATAACTAAACGGCCCAGTTTCGAAACAAAACTGGCAAATTTAGCAGGCGGGCTGGTGGGCTTGCTTTGGCCCTCGGCACCGCAGAGAAGCGTTGGCGCTCGTCCATGCCCGACTGCCCCTCACCACTTGGCCTTCCCAGGCACGCGAGGCATCCATCAATGTTCCAGGCCCGCACCACACATCGCCAAGCAAACTGCGAGATGCGAAGGTTTGGCTTCATCCAGCAAGACAGCGTGCCGCCAGCCACATTGCGGTCGTCTCCTGTGTCGAGTACGAACTCATAACCAGTTGGGAATTGGGGCGCCCAAGCAAGGGTCTCATCACACAAATTCCTCGTTCTGAAAGCGGGAAGGCGTCCTGTTTGGGAATGACAAGCCGCAGCTTCGTGCATGAGTTCAGCCTGCAGTCAGTCGAGAATTGCTCGCGTCGGGTCGGAAGCAGAATGTGGCGTCTCCGTTTTTTCGTTCTCTTCTTGCGCTCTTTTTGGCACCGTCTGCTTGGCGCGCAGCTGCCGAGCCGGCGGTGCTGGCCCACTCCGCATCTGCCGAAGCGGTTTTCCGTTCTCTCTTGACGCTGACATGATCGGGGTCACCGGGCTTGCGAACTACACGACATACCTCGGTAGTGGCCACACTCTGCCGTCGAGTTCAGACGAACAAAAGATCCAGAATGACGGGTCGGATCTGGATGATCCACGGTGTGAGAACAAAGAGAAATCGCTCCACAGTCGTTACAACACCAAACCCAAGCCGTTTTCCCGGCACACAACAAGGTGAAACGGGAAGTCTTGTGTAGGTCGCATCGGAGTGCGGGAAAGCTGGGGTCGCGAGATGCTTGGAATTCGGGAATGCGGAGGATGGCAACGCTCTCGCGCCGTGGCCCCACAATCGGACCGACGAGGCTTCGCTTCCAGTCCGTCATGCTCGAAAAACGCTCGCGCAAAAACGGGCGCCCCCAAAAAGTAAGATCGAAGCCTCATTCCTTGGCTTCCATTTTGGACGATGCATGCAAGCTGAACTGCAACATCAAACTTCCGAACTTCAAAATCACACCGTGTTACACATTCCTGGCTCGGCGGCCTGAGATTCGCTTTCGCCCTTGCTGAACCAGCAACAGGGCTGAGCCTTGATTCAGCCTCGTGATTGCGACTTTTGTTGGCCATTGTCAAACACCAAACGGAACCCACCACCTGCAGCCTTTTCGGTCCCGCGATGGGACAGTCGCATTCGCGCTCACGGTTTCAAATGCGCCTAATGGTTGACCTTTTTACACAGTCCACTAGTTCCTGCTGCACTGCATCACAATCCCCAGCTACCCCGGATTTCAACTTCGGCCAGATTGTGGGGTAGATCCTCCTGTGCCTCAACCCCCAACCCAGTATCGTCAAGCAAGCTTTCTCGTCAGTCTGCTACACATTAGGGCCGAAGTGGATGAGAGCGGGGTCGCTTCCATACTCTATTATCACCACAACAACGCCAGCCTCTCCTGTTCTTGCACCACGCTAACCCCCAGGTCTTGCTAAAACTGGCGCTTCGGACCGATATCCGTGCCGGATCTCTTTTTAAGGGCCCGACTTCTTCGCGATCCTCATGCAGGACCGATCGGAGCCCGCAACGGTCGACAGCATACTTGTAAGGTCCTGATCTCAACACATGCGCCGGGAAGTGCCGGCGTCCGGCGCTCGGAATAAGCCTCGGTTGCAGCGCGGTGTCGCTCCTGTCCGGAAAGGGGAAGCAAGCCGGGCGGCGACAACAGCGAACGACAACGACCGCTCCCCTTCCATACAGTCCTCCGGGCCTTTGCACCGTCAGCAATCAACGCGCATCGTTAGTCGGTCCTTTGCCCCTGGCTTGCGTGCGTCGCGCTAGTCGATGCCGGTCGAGATCCCTTGGGTGAACACTGCTCTTCGCGAATCTCGGACATGGCAATTGGCTAGGAATGACGAAGAGATGGATCTGAGACGAGGAATCATTTCCACGTGCGGGTAGGGAAGCGGTCGGCCGGCCAGACCCCATGTTGTTGTTGAGATGTGTCGCCTGCGCAGTCGGCCCGTCATGCATGGCATGCTGGTTGTGCTGCATTAGAGCCTCAGCTTCCTATGATTCAAATACCTCAACTCCGCAACCCAGTAGACGCCCGATCCGAGAAAACCCCCATTACAAGTAGCCACGAAGAACCGAACTCGCTGCAAACTCCGCTTGGACTCCGACACCCATGAACCCCCCTATACAATGAACACGAAGCACCGAACCAAGCCCATCCTACCCCAAACTCTTACAGCTCCCCCCTTTACCTCTTGGGCAAATAACTCACCAAACCCTCACAGTTCCCCACTTCCCCCTCCCCCAGGTCCTGCGCGGGGACAGCTGCCCGTTTGCACACATGCCAACCACATGCAAAATATTACCTCCTCCCGTGGCGCGAGAAACGACCATTCCGCCGAGAGCGTGCTGATGTAGGTTGCGTGCTGGTTGTCTAGGCCGAGAAAGAGACGCGGTTGCTCAGGGACACACAAAGGCGGAGGCACTTGCGTACCGTAGCCAGTGTACCTAATAGAACTACCTGGGTGAGCAACATCCACCCGCCCGAGTGTACCAAGCAACACGAGCTGCCGGCAGTGGGTCTGCTATTGTGGCAGCTCATGAGTTCGTTTGTCAAGAGGGCATGCTAACGTACCGTTGAGAGGGTGCGGCAAGGCATCTTAGGGGTTGTTGTTGATAAAGGAAAGCTGTGAGAGAAGGTGCTCGCATACATGCCATGGTTAAAGCCGATTCGGGAGTTTATTGGGGAACATCCTGAGCTGACCCTCAATACCTCACCGAGTCAGAACTCCCCACTGATGGTTCATGGGAGATGCGTCCTCCGTGGGACTCAGCAGATGGTGGAGTTGAGGAAAAGGGGCCAGACTCATGGAGGTCCCGCTGAAGGGCTGAGCCAGTAAACGTGTGATCGGATGGTAGGGCTTGGCGTCCCGCGGGTACCTATGCTGATCGTGCAGCACCAACGAGCTCTTCTCATCGAGCTCCCTCCTAGGTCTTTAAACTGGAAAGTTGCTTTACCCACGAGTCGATTCCTAGGACCTGTGACATATCTGATACCTCCTCACCCACTCGAGCGGCATCTAGATAATATAACATATTACTTTACTCGTCTGATTTAACGCCTCCTAAACCCAACGGCAACATCTACATACACCAAGAACAACACCCACCACACTCTCAACGACCGTATCAACTCCCCAAACGGCAGCATGGCCCCCGATCCGCCAGGTTTCTTCCCGCCCGTCCGCTCCATACCGCCCCTCTCACCTCCCCACCGACAAACCTTCATCCTCCTCCACGGCCGTGGCCTCAGCTGGGAGACCTTCGGCCCGGATTTCATCTCCACCCGCTTCCCATTCCCACCAGCTTCACCATCCGCCACCCCATCCCCATCATCATCCCCATCATCGTCTCCATCACCATCCCCAGACACACCAACCCCCCAACCCCCTCAACCCCCTCAACCCCCTCAACCCCAAACCCAACCACCACTAACAACCCTCCGCGCCCTCCACCCCCACGCCAAATTCCTCCTCCCCCTCGCCCCGCGCCACCGCGCCACCATCTACGCCCGCAGCATAATCCGCCAATGGTTCGACAGCTGGCACCTCAACCCCACCACCTCCTCCATCCCCACCACAACCGAAGAATGGCGCTGCATCCCCGGACTTCACGACACAGTCCGCCACCTGCACGACCTCATCCGCGCCGAGGCGGCGCTGGTGGGTGGGGCGCACAACGTGGTGCTGGGGGGGATCAGCCAGGGGTGTGCGGCGGGGTTGGTGGCGCTGTTGTTGTGGGAGGGGGGGGCGTTGGGGGGGTATCTGGGGATGTGTGGGTGGTTGGTTTTTGAGGCGGGGGTGAGGGGGGTTTTGGCGGAGGGGGAGGGAGAGGGTGGAGATGGGGATGGGGGGTTTGATCCGTTCGAGAGGGAGGATGGGGATGAGGATAGGGAGGGGGAAGAGGAGGTGGTGAGTGTGGAGGGTAAGGTGGTGAGGGTGTTGAGGGAGATGCTGGAGTTGGAGGGGAAGCCGCCGGGTGGTCGTCCACTGTCGTTTGACACGCCGGTGTTTCTGGGGCACGGGACTCAGGATGACAAGGTCCCGGTTGCTCGTGGGAGGGCGGCGGCCGAGTGCTTAATGGCTGTTGAGATGGATACTGAATGGAGGGTGTATGAAGGCCTCGGGCACTGGTACTCTGGGGCGATGCTTACCGACATGGCCTCATTCCTAGCACTTCGAATACGTTGAAAACAAGACAATGAAGCGTCGTAAAATCATTATTTTGTTAGAAAACTGAGCTCGTCATGGCTGTACGTCCATGATAGTAATGTAATGAATCCAAACCCAACCGCCAATGCAAACCCTAAGTACATTCCTCACTCAGCCCCTTTACAGACCACAGACGCTGAGCTCCTCCCGCCGGACAACGGCGTCAACCTGGCCCAGGTCGGTGCCGTGGCCGCCCGTCAAGTCGTTGAAGGCATTGAGGCCAATGTTGAGGCCAGACGCCGCGCGGTCAAGAGCGATAATATGGATCGTCTTGCCGTTGAAGGTCGCGGACCAGCACGAGCCGCAGTTGGGGCTGTTCCACTCTGGGATGGAATCAGAGCCGCCGATGTAGGGGAAGCCCTGGACCTCGCCCTGAGTTTGCCTGAATGATGTCAGCCTCGTCGTCTCTTTGGCAGTTTTATCGGGGAACAGGCGGCCTTGACTTACCAGCCGTACTTCCAGATCAAACCGTTAACGCCGTCCGAGCAAGCAACTTCCGTCAGGCTACGCCCAGCCCGGTCGTAGCCCTCATCGTAGCTCACTGTGCCTGTGTCAGTTGTTTGCGTGGTTGTGAAGGAACAGGAAGGGTGTCGACGAACCGCGGATGGCCGACGTGGCGGCGGCGAGCGAGAAAATGCTGAGGATCTTGGAGAACTGCATGGTGATATTTTTTGAGTCTGGTGGACGGACTGCTGAAGATGTATGAAGATGGTTGTGAGGGGATGTAGACTGTGGTAATCCAAGACGTGAGCTGATGATGGTGGAAGAAGAGTAGTTTGTTTGGTGGTTCTGAGGCTTGATTTATAGGGAAATCATGACCGTGTTGTTGCTGCCCTTCATGCCTTCCTCCCCCGCTATGCTGTGGTTGCCCTCGATACGACAGCTCCTTCCCGTGTCGTCATGGTCCAAGGGCGAGAACCGGCATTGAACCCTGTCTTTCACCCCAGACGGCAGGCTGGCAGGCTGCCAAGCTGCATCCATCGCGTTGTTCTGTTTCCGGCGGCATCGTGACTTCTCCGTAGATGCATGTGCACAGCGAGCAGCCGATGCAGCTGCAGTCATGCCTGCCTTCTTCGTATTCCAACAAGCACATGCGCACTGCCAACACCGCAGCGGGGTCCTCGCTTTTCCCTTGTGCTCCATCGAAAAGTGGCACAGCGGAGAATTAGCCGTTGCAATACGAGGTTGGTAGAGTGCCGATCATCTTCCGCCTAGCCGATGTCTGGCTGTGATGGCACCTATCCGCCCCGGTTGCCACTCGCACTGAGACAACTGCAGCACTGCTAGTGTTATTTACGTCCGCTGCAAGGCATTGGGCTCCGGCGGGGGTGGGGCCGGCTCTTCCGTCGGAATACCGAACACCACCTCCCGGTCGGCTCGGCCCCGTCTCTTTGGGACGGCATGATTTCCGGTTGATGCTGTGTAAAACCGTTGCCGCGCTAACTGGTTCAAAATCGACCCGTTCTCAGTTAATACCATCGTCACTCGTTCCTTTTCTGTTTGCACCGTGTAAACAATGGAAGACCAGACAAGGCGGATTCTTCGCAGTACGCAGTAACGTTACAGAAGCGAACCTTGACATGTCATTGCCGGAAAATGATCCCGGCTTAGTTAACCAACTGTGAACTGTGCGAATGATGCCCGGCCCTTGTCGGACACCAGTCAAAAACAGAGACGTGCTGACGATGAGTTGTTGAGCACCGCGCGCGCCGACTTGAGCCACGAAATGCTCGAGGTATGCAGACACGAGCTGACGGGCGCTGAGTGAAGGATCCCACGGCCGTCGTAACAGGTGTGATCGGCGGGCGTTGGAACGGCGGGTTCCTTCTGTCAGCTCAGGAAATAGAGCTCAGTCTCGGGTCGCTGCCTAGTTTAAGTCCGGACGACTGGGGAAGCGGTTAGTTGTGGGATGCTTAGGACCAGGACTCAATATTCAAGGCATGAAGTCGCAGCATTCAACGTCGGCCTCGCCCCTGGCGGTTGTCGTGAAGAAATGGGTAAAGTTTCCTTGTGCGGCGTAGTATACGCCGCCGTGGGCAAAAATGCTCGATTAGACGACGCAATCTACATACCAAGCCGTAGCCACATGCCCCCTCGGTCACCAAAGGGAGGCGGGCGGTTCAAACCGCCTCCCAGTCCATAGCCTCCACCATGAACTCCCACTGCTCCTCCTCATCCCCGATGGTAGTCCAATCTATGGCTCTCCCATCGCTCTCGAGCATATCCGTATCCCGCTCGCCCTTCGCATACTCCTCGGCGATCCTAAACCCCTCGTCAAACCCTTGGAAGATGACCTCCAGCATGTGCTCGAGCCGGTACGAGTCCAGCGGCGCAGCGACCTTCCTAGACCGCCACTCCCTCCCCGGGCTCGCACCACCCTTTGCGGGGGACCTGCTCCCGCGGCCGTGATCATGCTCGGGCTCATCCGCCGCCGTCTTCCACCGGTTCCGCAAATCCTTCGCCCGTCCCAGCTGCGCCCTCACCTCCCCCGTCCCCAACGCGCCGTGCAGCGGGTTCTCCTCCCGGTCCAGCGCGGCCAGCACATTGGCATGATAGCGGTGCCTGCCCTCGCCGTGCCACACACTCGCCCCAAGTCCTTTCCCATTATTGTTATTATTCTTATTATCACCACCACCACCCCCCTCCCCCCCAACGCCCCAAGAACCACCACCACCACCACCACCACGCCCACGCCCGAGCCCGTGCGCGTGCCGCGGCACGTCCACGCCGAACACGCCCAGCAGGTGCACCAGCGCGCGCTCGACCAGCATGTAGTACTCGAAGAAGTCGAGCTTGAACATGAGCTCCGCCTCGCACACGGCGTCGGGGTCGGCGCCGACCCGGTCGACCGCCTGCCGGTAGCCCTGCGCGAGGAAGGGCAGCTTCCACTGCAGCCGCCGGACGATCTTGCTGTAGCGGCCGAGCTCGTGGCGTGCGGCGTCTCGTTTTGCGTCGGTGGTTGTTGGGGGGTGGTGCGGTGGTGGTGGTGGTGTTGTTGTTGTTGTTTGTGTTGATGGTTGTTGTGGTGGTGATGGGGAGCGGGGGACGGGGATGTTGGCGTTTCCTGTTGGGGCGGGTGGTACCGTTAGGTTCGCGTCTGCGTAGCCGCCATTGCGTCGCGGGTGCCGCGGGAACGGAGCGTGTCGTGAAGCGGCGAGGCCGGCCATGGTAAGAATAGAGGGAGGGAATCAATGGACGTGTAAGTGAGTACTCGGAAAGCGCATCTCGAAATGGCCGGTCGGAAAATCGCGTCGAGAAATACACAGTCGATGTTGGAGGAGCCCGCGCTCCACCGACGTCACAAGTCGACAGGTCGCTCACCCGGCGTCAAACACGGCGTTTGTTTCATCCTGAACAGAGGCGCGTAACAGCTGAACATTGCCCCTTTGCCTCGCATGCATCTTTGTTGAGAAAGCCAACTTGGGATTAGAGCAAGGCGTAACAGGTCCTTGTTCCAAATTGACAAGATAGCGCCTCGGCCGAGGCCTGGAAGCCGTAACTGAACAATTAGCGAAACGCGCCGCATTTGACAATCTTCTTCTTCCCCACATCCCGAGCAAAGCCCGAGAATGCAATGAAAAAGGTTTGCGTCGTCCAGAGGCAGTGTAATACTGGAGACACGGTGAGATTCAGGCTCGGCAAGCCGAGTGGACTGAGTCTCGAGGGACAAAAATTAATTTAATCAAATAAATCTACTCCGTAGAGCAGTTTCAGAGATTAAACTGAAAAGAACAGATACTACACTTGATCTAAGCCAAAAGGCAAAGAGAGCTAAAGAAGAAAAGAAAAGAGTTCCAGAATTTGGGAGCCGGGAGAAGAATATATAGGCGGGTGTGGCTGGTCTGTGCACGTCTGCAATCTGCAACGCCCCACTTTGCCTGTGCGTGGAGCTCGGAATTTGGCCTCAGCGGCACCGTCGCCGCTCCGATCCGAGTCGGTCCTCAAATCTCCACCAATTACATGAGCGCAACCGCCAATTCTCCGAGTTCCGTTCAGCACCACAAGCCGCCACATTGTGGAGTCGCACAGTTCGAGTCATCGTCTCACCAAGCTTCTTTCAGCGGCTCCCACGAGCCAATTCCCGAGGGGCTCTTTAAGTGCCGTTTTACTTGTCGAGCGATAGGTTCGAACCACCGGCAGACGATACCTTCGAGTTCGCCGTGCGGCACTGCGCGGATTCCTTGCATTCATTGTCTCTTTCTCAAACAGAACAAGTACGACAGGAGTGTTTGGTGGGACTAGGGAGATCGAAAGTCTATCAGTTCGAAAGAGAATTACATTTTGTGAATAGTATGGAAATCGACACTGATGTCTCATCCATACACAGTATACTAATATCGCCGTCTCAAAATACTCCCGGTCTTAGTTACCTGAGGTACGCCGAAGAAAATCAAGATGGTTCGGATATGATGTACATAACCCGGGCGGGTAAAATTCAAACTCCACCATTTCCCAGCAGAAGCCCTGGATCGTTCGCAGGAGTACAGAATCAGGAGAAACAGACAAATGGTTCCCCTGGTAAAGTCTCTTGTTCAAAAGCCGGGACACGTAAATAACCAGTGATGAGCCACGGACAACATAAGGAATCAAGCGAACGGGTTGTGAGTATGTACCAGTGGTTATACACACGATAGCAGTGTGACTAGAAGTATGAGGTGCAAGGGTCCATTGTATAACAAAGACAACTTGTATACTCTCATTCGGTCTATCAAGGACGGTCTATCCTGAAATCCCAACACGGCTGCTTCTCCGCGCAGCCCTATCCACAACATCCAAGTCTCCTCCCAGATCCGAACACTCTCTCAACACCCCAATCCAAGCTCACGAAAACGCCCGGCCAGCATCCAACTTCTCCACTAACAGACAAGCCTTCGCGATCGCCTCAGTAGCCGCATCCACGTTATCCTCCGTATCAAAGACATTGTAATGGTGCCCCGGAATATCAATAATCTCCTTGATGAGATCCTTCCTGTAGCCGCCCCACCCCAGCAGACGATCCGACCGATGCAGGTCAACCCGACTCACACCCTCAGCCACGGGCACACTCTCCCGCGCGCGGAGCATCACCACCGGCGGCGGCTTGGGCCCATCCCCCGCCTTGCCCTCCCACACCGGCAGTGTCCACTCCCCAACCATGCGCACCGCCTCCGCAAAGCAGCGCATGACCTTCTCGCGCGTCTCGGGGCGCGTGTGCTCATGCCACTGCATGGCATGCGGCACCACCAGCGGCGGGTTCCGCCCCCCGCCCACCGGCGCGAGCGGACACACCGAATCAACCATAACCAAACCCACCACGCGCACGCTGCCATCCGCGGCCGCCTGGCGCGCCATCTCGAGCGCGAGCAGCCCGCCCAGCGACCAGCCGCCGAGGATGACGTCGCCGCCCGTGGGGACGACCGACGCGACGAAGCCGAGGTAGTCGCGCGCCATCTCGGGGATGCCCCCCGCCCAGGCCCGCCCGGTCTCGTAGTGCGGGTTGGCGATGCCGTGCACGGTCCGGCGGAGGTCGCCCAGGCAGTAGTACGAGAAGATGGTGCCGCCGCCGTCGTGCATGAGGATGAGCGGGGTGGGGGCTTTTGGTGTGCGGGTTGGGTTGGGGTGTTCCTGGTTCCATGGTGATGATGATCCCGTGGTGGTGGTGGTGGCGTCCTCCGGGTCGAAGACCTGGATTAGGCTGGGTTGGTCCTCGAACATGCTGTTGCTGCCCATGGCGGTGTGGTTGTGATGGCTGTGATAGCCGACTATGGGTTGTGTTGGGTGGTAGGTAGTGGCTGGCTGTGTTTGTGGGTTAGAGGAAGAGGTCTAGCATGAGAGCGGTCGAGGGAGGGGTGGGTTATATAATTACCAAAGAACCGATGTCGGTTCAGGACTCCAGGTCTTGATGCAGTTGGTCGTGATCAGGATTTTGTGGTTCTCAAGGTCGCAACAGGTTGGGCAGGATCGGCGTAAAAAGGCAACGTCCCAAAAATAATCCGTCGCTGTTATCTAAGGAAGAAAAAAAGACAACCAAAATATTTATACTGACGAGCGACGTCTACGATGGGCGATGGCGCGGTCGCTGGCCGTGATGAAGTTGTTGTTGTCCGCGGTGCGTCGCGGATGGCGCGATTATCCCGAGAGGTTCGGAGGGCATTATCGGAGCAGGATGGCATTGTCACATCGGCACCCGAATCGAGCCGCGCATCCAAGCAGTGGATAAGAACACCCTCAACTCCACCAAAACCGTGGGCAGAACATGTAACTGTGATCACCACAACTGCAGCTTCAACATGGTAAATTGAATCTATCCGCGGTATAACAACGTTTTCGCCACGATTCGATGACACTGGTTTTCAATAACACCAGAAAGAAATCATAGTTCGAAGGCAGCTGTGCCTACCACATAATAAAATAATACAGTACCCAATAATAAGAGTAAGAAAACTAAACGAGGGTTACACGAATCGAGTCATATCTATTTAAAGTTGGGGTGCCACAGCGCGCTGTTGCTTTCGCCGTCATCTAATTATTAAATTAATTTGTGATCGTCTAATTGTGGGAATACAGGGTGAACCGCGGGCAGCAAGGTACCTATGTATCCCAACCTAGCACTCTTCAATTTGAATTTCACTGAAGAGGAAGATGGAGAACTGGAAAAAAGAATAAAAAGAAAACGCCGAAAAGCTCCAAATCCCCGCTAGGTACGTCCCCCCCATCTCACCACGTCCCCCTCCAGGTCTTGGTGACGTCGACCGTAAAGTAACTGTTCCGTCCGCCGGCGGCGATGACGTTAAGTCACTTGAAACCGCCCAGGGAATCCAACCGCCGTTGGAGTACCAATCTAGGCATTGGTATCGCCCTCTCCCTGACGGCGGCGGCGCTGGGTAGGGGGGGCGGAAGCGGTGGTGTCGGTGTTGCCGGAGCCGGCCGCGGGCCGGGAAGAAGTGGCCGTGGGTCGGGAAGCAGACGCTGCGGGGCGTTCGGGCAGACGCGTCGTGTTGCCGCCGGTCCGGGCCGCGGACGGTCGGGTGGGAGCACCGGTAGCAGCGGGGGTGCTGGGCGCGGGCGGTCGGGTGGGAGCACCGGTAGCAGCGGGGGTGCTGGGCGCGGGCGGTCGCGCTGTTCCGGTTGATGGGCCCTGGCCTCCGCCTCCTCTTCCGCTCGTTTCTCCTCTCCTTCCGCTTGCTACTCCTCCTCTTCCGTCTTGGGCCGCGGGGGTCCGCGATGGGGTTGATGAGCTCTGGCCTCCGCCTCCCCTTCCGCTTGCTCCTCCTCTTCCGCTCGCTCCTCCTCTTCCGCTCGCTCCTCCTCTTCTGCTCGCTCCTCCTCTTCCGCTCGCTCCTCCTCTTTCCTGGGGCGTGGCTGTTGTTCCTTGACGTGCTTGCGGGGCAGTGTTCCTGGCGGTGGGAGCCAGTACATATGAGGGGGGTACCATCGATCCGGGAGGGGCTACCTCCGAAGTACTGTGGTAGGACTCCTGGTCAGGTGGCGGAAGACCCTTACGGAAGGCCTCCTCCCTGATGTTGATCTGCGCGCTTGTGAAAATTTTGGAGTGAATGTAGGACTCGTGGCACCATTTGAGCCAGTGAACGAATCGGGAACCGTGGCACGTTTCGGGAAGCTTTTTGATGCAGCCAGCAAGCTCCCTTATCAATTCTGCTTGGCTTGGGTGGTCGGTCCGGCTGGTAACCGCATCGAAATCGTAGCGGAGAGCGCTAATATGAAGCGTAACAGCCAGGAGTATACCACGGATGGCACTCAGAGCCGAGGCAACCCCGGCCTGACGGCGCAGCTCGATTGTTCCTCTCTCATAGACTGGAGAAAAGTTGGTCGAGTAGTTCGCTGTCCCGCCCTCCCCCGTCTGCCCGCCTTTCAATACGTCGAGAAGCTTCGGCGCTGTTGTAGCAACTTCATCGATCTCCTTAAAGACTCTAGCCCAACCCCGGGTACGGACTAGCATGTATTCGTGGTACGCGAAAGCGGTATAGTTCGGTTGAGCGTATTGATTCCAGTTACGCTGTTTCGGGACAATCTCGGCCAGCGCATACTCCCAGAAGTAGGCCGCTTTGGCCGTCCTGACAAGCTGATCCAGCGTATAACGGGTGTTTGCCCCGGGCGATACGTGTACGTGGAAGCCGCAGTATTGGGGATTAGTCCAGAAGTCGAACGTCTTACCGAGTTCTTCAAAAACCATGTTTATCTCCAGTTGCCACTGCTTCGATACCGACATAGGTGGCGTGATGATCTCGACACCCCCTGTACTGTTATTAGCATATTGAAACGGAAAAGGAGTAAGGATGGCCCTATACATACACCACTTTCTTGGTTCGGTTCCCGGGCCCAATTGGAGCCACTCATCTCTCAAGCTGGAGTCCAACTCGCACGTCCATCCATTGCCGTCGCCCAAAACGCCATCAATAGTTGCTATAAACAGCTCTAACAACCTGGCACTGCTGTTCCGATTTTACTCTGGCCTCGTCGTCGTTTTTGGCGTCAAGGTTCCAGCCCCGCCAATAAGCTGGTAGGGAAGAAGGGTTCGTTCTTTGCTTTTCTCGCAGTGCAGCTTCCACGTTGTGTTTGATCTTGATGTAGACCTCGATCTCAGCGCTGAATATAGGCGACCGAGTCCTGGAGCTTCCGGTGTTTCCAGCATTTCCGGCGTTTCTAGCGTTCCCGCCGTTTCTGGCGTTTCCAGTGTTCCCCGCGTTTCCGGTGCTTCCAACGTTTCCGGTGTTCCCAGCATTTCCGGTGTTTCTAGCGTTCCCGGCGTTTCCAGTGGTTCCGGAGATCTGGCGCTCATTGTCGTAGGTTAGGTTGGTCTGTTGGAGTTGCTGAAGTTGATGAAATTGGTTGATGGTGTTGATGGTGCCCAAAACGCTATGATGCCTGGAGCTGACAGGTGTCCCTTTGATTATAGCAGGTAGCCAGTTCTGCACACTTGATGCCTATTCATTTATTTATCATCAAGGTGCGATGGTTTCACGATCCGCATCTACTAGGTACTGAAGGCGCCGGCGTATATCCATCCCATCAAAGCTGAAACCCATCTGACCTCGGACTCAATGGTGAAACTCGAATACCGCAGGCAACGGGACGCATTCAATGTGCGTAAAACAAAAGCGGGCCGCCTCCCCCGGGGCCACTAGCCCGCCTGGCCCAATTGTGCGGCACCACCAGATCCATGAGCTACCTACCTTACCTATTAGGTACCTAGTGGCCTGCGACACTGTTGCCTAGGTAGCTTACAACCAAGGCTACGATAACGAGCGCCAGGCGCCCCCGTTCCCCATATTTGCGGTCCTATTGAGTAAGCACAAGAATACACAAATAATTGTGAAATTTCCAAACAAGAAGCTCAGATTTGTAATCGTACAACCTAGAACCAAACGCCGTCCGCTACCCAAGATGGCACATTTTAACAACCTAATTTACAGAGCAGACATTGAGCAGAGAAGAACAAAAGAAAGAATGAGGGAGGGGAAAAAAGGGAAAAAAGAACAGAGCAAAGCCCAGCATCGAGTTCGACCAGGGTCAAGATGCAACCAGCCGCTCCATCACACCATCTGGGCAACCTCCGTCACCAACTCAGCGACCACACAAGCACCCACAACCGCCCAAAGAAGAAGGCGAACAAAATCGAACCGTGACCGCACGGGCGTGACAACAGGCGAGACCAGATACCCCTCCAAAAACGCAAGCAGCTGTTGCAACTTCGCCAGCGGCCCGATATGCGCGACATAGCCATCAGGGCGCACGAGCACGTAGCCGGCCCGGGGCCCAAACCCAAACTTGGCGTGCAGCTCGCCGCGCGGGTCGGCGTACCAGTCCTCGCCGCCCTGCGCCGCCGCCGTCGCCGCCGACCTGTCGTCCCCGGCGATGAAGTGCACCCTGACGTCGGCCTGGCACGCCCGCACCACGCTCTCCGCCGCACGGCTCAAGTCGGCCTCGCCCAGCCCACCCTTCGCCGCGTCGCCCGCAAAGAGCAACAGGTGGTGCGGCGCGCCGACACAGATCCGCTGCAGGCTGGTCTGCGTCTGCGCCTGCGTCCCCGCCTCGGCGGCGGCGGCGGCGGTGCGCACCACGCCGACCTTGCCGTCCGGCAGGCGGTCGCCGCCGCGGACGGGGGCCCGCCAGAAGAGGCCGGCGGCGTCGCCGACGAGGCGGGTGCGGCCGCGGTAGGTGACGCCGAACTGGGACATGAAGTACAGGATCTTGCGGCGGGCGGCGGGGCTCCGCACGAGGCGCGGGGAGACGTGCCGCAGGAAGAAGTTGCGGATGGGCGCGAACCAGGCCGCCGGCGAGCTCAGGAAGGTGAAGAGCCGGTCGGTCCCGCGCAGCAGCATCATGCCCACGGGCCGCCGCTCGAGGTCGTACGTGTCCAGGAGGGCGTCGGCGGCCGCGAGCGCGTGGGGCGTGGCGGTTTTGATGTTCCGGGACTGCGCCTGGAGGGATAGCGCGCGCGCGAGCTTCCAGCCGAGGTTGATGGCGTCCTGGATGCCCGCGTTCATCCCCTGCCCGCCTGCCGGGGAGTGGATGTGCGCGGCGTCGCCGGCGACGAAGAGGCGGCCGTCACGGTACTGGCTGACGCAGCGGTGGTGGAGGCGGAAGCGGGCGAGCCAGATTGGGGTTCCGAGGGTGCCTGACCCCTCCGGGGTCATCGCGGTGAAGTATGTTTGGAGCTCGTCCAAGCTGGGCGTTTCTTCTTGGTTCTGGATGGCGACCGAGCGCGAGGCGGTCACGCGAACGATGTCGTCCTTTATGGGCAGGATGGCGACGATGCCCTTGTTGTTGAGGTTGAGAGTCAAGCGATCCAGCGGGATGCATGAATCACGCAGGCGGGTGTCGCAGAGGACGAAGTCTTGGGGGTAAGCGCCGCCGGGGAAAGTCATCTTGTCGGAGGCGTGGCGGACGACGCTATGGGCGCCATCGCAGCCGACGATGTATCTGGACCGTATCGTCTCCCTCTTTCCATCGGGCCGTTCGAGGGTGACGGTGACTCCCGAATCATCTTGGCTGATGCTGGTGGCGGTGACGGGGCGCTCGACCTTGATGTCGTACTTGTCGAGACAGGTATCCAGAAACTTCTCGGTTTCGACCTGGGAGACGTTCAAGGGCAAGATGAACTCGGTGTCGGTGGTACCGAGGCCATCGAGGATGACGGATGAGGCAAGCTTCCTCTTGACGTACACTTGCCCACCGCGTAGGATGCGGCCCTCGCTGCACCATGGCGTCGGCGGCTCCATGACGGTTCAGGAGCTCGAGCGTCCGGGGCTGCATGACCAATGCCCGGCTTTTGTCGTTTCGGACCGGCTCCCGGTCAATGATGCGGAAGGAAACACGGTGGAGGGCGAGCTCCAGCGCAAGAGCGGTGCCGACCGGGCCGGCCCCGACAATGAAGACGTCACAGTCGTACGTCATGGTAACTTGTTCTCTTTAGGATCTCTTCAAGGTGGCAGAAGAGAGAAGTCAATAATAACAAGAGGGGGGATATGAGGTGCGAGGTATTCGGGAGTTATTGTTGTTGTGTTAGTTACTAAGATGGAAAACGACCAACCGGTGGCTCATCGCTCAGACCAACCTAGATTCTTTATATCCCCCCATCCACGACGGTGGTCGGAGGATGGTGAGTCTGTTGGCTCCGGCAGTGAGCCACGATGGAATATGGAATTGGTTGCAACCCTTCCATTGCCCTATCAATGTGGTGTCGGGGCGGCAAGCGACCGACCCCGCTGGCGGGCTAAGTGGCCGAAGGTCCAAGGATCGAGACCGGAGCGCGAGCCAAGCAGCGATCGGGAATGTCAAGCGCCGTTCAGGATTGCTCTCATCAGTTTACGGCCTGATACGGGGCCAACCTGGAAGTCCGAGGTCATGTTGATGTTGGGCGAGCTTTTCGCTAATTAACGTTACCTTGAACAAACGGGCAAGATCTGTGAATGGTAGTTTTGAAAATTGTCCTGATGCTTTGCTGTCCCCGGCAGTTAATCAAGCCCGCATCGGTGTCGCGCCGTGAACGTGACCGGGGGAGCGCGAGTTCGATGACTCGTGTAGGTCGTTAAACCTGAAAGGTGCTGCGGCTGTGCTGCTTGCTGTGCGGCATGGAGGAAGCTGACCCCGGAGACTCTTGGCGCGCTGACAGGATGCACCGACATTTTCCAACCGCGGCGGTGCCTGCCGGTTTCTTCTGCCGACCGCATCGGCGAAATCTCAAAAAGATTTCCCGGCAACCACGGCGGGCCTTGGCTTTCACCAAGCACGGCCCCGGGCCGTAAAGGGGCGCCGTAAGTGAAAAAAAAAAAAAAAAAAAAAAAAAAAAAAAAAAAAAAAAAAAAAAAAAAAAAAAAAAAAAAAAAAAAAAAAAAAAGAAAAAAAAGAAAGGATCATACCGCAATGGCTTGGTCTACTGTGTATCCCAGTCAGAGGAGGGATCTCTGGTTGAGAAGACAGCTGTTAAGAATCTTGGTGTTCTTAGGAAATTGAGAAATAGGTAGTTCCATAGTTATCGGCAAACTGTGCTCCCTTTCACCAGCGCAAGACTCATGAACGGGAACAGACATACACAGCAAAACGGTCCCAACTCGTGGTCATATGGCAAAAGCATCAAAGTGATTTCCACATTGAGGGAAGGTAAACAAAGAAAAAACGAAGGGAAAAAAACAGGAGAGCTGGCCACCGTTCCCAAGATACAAACAACCCCAACCCCCCAACCAAAACCCCTGAACGCGGCGGCGGTGACCAGTCGGCCCCTGAAAAACCGAGCCAACAAACCCCCCCCCCCCTCCCCTCCTAAAACAAAAACAATACTCGACAGCGCTGCCCGCTGCGCAATCCACACGGGGTAAATACTATAGAGTGAGTCATGGTATCATAAACACTGAAACTCCCGCCCAACCCCGATTCACCACACACCACACACACGAACGACATCACAACACCACACCGCCCAGGCTCGAGACTGAACTCAGCGACCCGACTCGGGCGTTCCAGCAGTCAACTTCTTGGTCGACTTGGCCGTGCCAATATGGGTGTTATGCACCTACACGCACGTCGTTAGCGTTTATATATCCTTGGGCAGTCCTTCCCATCGCCGGAGAGAAAACAGGAAGAGGGAACTCACCTTCGTAGCAAACCGCAAACTCGTAATCGTCTCCTTCAGATGCGCCTCGAGCGGGCTGACCATGACAAACATGAGCGTCTTGGAGTTCCCGCCGAGCGAGTACTGCAGCAGGTGGGTCAGCTTGGAGTTGCGGTAGGGGATGTGGCCCGACCCGCGGCCGAGCGCCTCGATGACGTCGCCGAGGCACGCCAGGCTCTTGTTGATGTTCTGCGTCTCCTTCATGCGCTCGCCCTCGGCCTGCGAGTGCTTGAGCCGCTCCGACCCGGCCAGGTCGACCAGGTTGAGCGTGCCCTCGCACCGCTCCTTGGTCGCGCTGTTCTCGCCCACCAGCTTGAGGATGAAGACCGAGTGGGAGCGCGAGGAGCGCTCGTTGGCCTTGGTGGCCGCCACGCTGCGGTTGTTTTGCGCCTGCTTGAGCATCGTCTCGACCTTGTCGGGCGAGTCGAGCGCGACCGTCTTGCAGTTTATGACGGTTGTCTGCTTGCGGGCGTCGTCGTGCCGGATCTCGAGCCTCTTGCGGCCGTCTGACTCGCGCCCGGGCGTGAGAAGGTCGTGCAGCTCCTCGTTGTAGACTTCGACGAAGCTGCCTTCCATCGTGTACGTCCACGACTTCTCTTGCAGCTTGGTGATCGTGTCGTAGATCATGTGGGTGGCCCGCGGGATCATGCCGTCCTGCGAGGACATGGTGTACGTCTTGCCGGAACCGGTTTGGCCGTAGCAGAAAATGCACACGTTATAGCCGTCGAGGGCACTCTGCACGAGCTGAGAGATCTCGCCAAACACCTCCTCGTTCTGCACGGGCGGGTCAAAGACGCGGTCGAACTCGAAGGGAAGCACCTTGCGGCTGATGGCCCCCAGACTACTCTTTTCCTCTGGGCCCGTGACGTCGATTTGCGCCGATGTTTTGACGTCGGGAAAAGCTATCCTGGCGACCTCGCCTTCTGACGAGTCGAGGACGGGTCGTACTCTGCACATGACGCGAATGTTGCCCTTCAGTTCCTGGTACTTGTTGAATAGTACACGACGCTCCGTTTCTTCTTTGATCAGCTTTTGCCGTGCTTCATCGGCAACACGCAAGGCCTCCTGGAGACGCGCCTCCATGTTCGCGTATGAATCCGATTGTTGCTTGCTGTCTGATTCAAGGAAGTCGATTTTTGCCCGCAGTCCGCGCATCCGATCCTCAAGCGTCATGTTTGTGGCCGTCATTTCGGCGATCTGTTGCTGGAGGGTGGCCTTGATTGTTTGCTCGAGGTCGAGGTCGGATTTGAGCATCTCGGCCTGTGACCGCATCTCCTGGACTTCTCGCTCCTTCTTTAGGATATCCAGATTCATGTCTTGCTGCTCTGCCCCGAGCTTGGAGCGCAGATTTTGGAGCTCCCTCGACCTCTGCGCCTGTTCTTCGGCCAGCTCCGCCCGGTAGTGTCTTTCCATAGCCTCCAAGGCATGCGCATGCTCCCTCTTCAGCTGGTCAAATTCACCCTTAAACTCACGCCTGATTTCGTCAACTTCGTGCTTGTGTCCCCGTTGTCGGTCCTCCATATCGAACTTTTGTCTTCTTTGTTCGGCTTCCATCTCGAGCACCATCGATTGCTTCTCCTGCTGTAATGAGTGGTTTTCTTGCCTTTGGAGGTCAAGCTGACCCTGGAGTTGTGTATTTTGGTCCACCAGCCGTTGCTGTTCCCGTTCAAGATCGCTCGCTGCCCCAGTATTAGCATCTCACCCGAGTGCCGGCGGCTAGAGAGCACATACCTCGATTCTTGGCCATGTCAATCGCTTCCTCCAAGACCTTTCTGTCGGTCATGGTGCCCTCGAAGGTCTCCTTCATGACCTTGAATTGCGATTCAAACTCGTTCAGCCGGCCGTCGACGTCCCAACCTGTAAAAGATGTTACATTCGAGTCTTTAGAGAGATACGACGATTTCGTCGGAGAGAAAGAGGACTTGGTTGGTGAAATGGGACACTTGTAAGGACTCCGGACACCCTTGCGCACCGTGTCCAGCGCCTCGTTGAACACTTTGGCTTCCGGCGGTGTTGTTGGCACTGGCGCAAGCGCACTTTGGGAGTCGGCAGGCCCGAGTGAGGTTTCTCTGGCTGCGTCTTCTGGTTGAAGCTTGCTGGGAGTGGTAATCTCCGTCTTGACATCCGACTGGGATGGTCGAGACGGAGGCCGCTTGAGTTGGTTGGAGACCACTTGGCCTTCATTTGTGCTCTTTTTGGGCTGGTCATCGAGTGATAGATTCTTAATGCCTCTGCTGAGCAACGAGATGTCCCTATGTTGTTGCCGGGTCTGCAAAGCCGCTGACTGTTGGGGAAGCGTCTTTCGCAAACCGGGATCCCGTGGACGGAGTTGAGAATAGACTGGGATCTGCATACCCTTCTTCTGGTTGGCCGGTTCAGGTTCATCCTCCATTTCTCTGTTCGCCATGACACTCGCTGGCCGGGTTCGTGTGTTCCCTCGTGGTCGGGTCATCGTGGATTGAGTGAAGCCCATCGAGGTCGGAGGTCTCCCTGATATCGGGGGGCGAGATGCGGGACCGACGCTTTTTGCGAAGCCGCCGGCGCGTCCATATTTTGATGCTGGGGCGGGAACATTGGCGGATAGGCTCGTGATGGAGGCGCCCTTAACGCTCGGAGCCCTCGATAGACCGCCGGTTGTGGAGGGGATTGCAGGCCTGGAAGTTTCGCCTGCCCTCTCTGCTAATGTTTTGCGCTTCTGTTCCGGGTAAGATACTGCTCAGGTTCCTCTAGGTCAGCTATCGATAGCACATCGCAAGCCCAAGCGGGGATGCCATGCGTACCGCTTCCTTTGTGGTTACGTTTTTGAGGGATTCCGGTCTGTTGCACTCGTGAATTGTGTTGAGAATCGGTGATTTCCTGGAGACATGTCGCGGTTGCTGCCGCGGTGGCTGCGCCGGCGCGGACTTGAGGGGGCCGCAGCCCCGATCGGAAGGTCTGATGTGTCGCAGTCAGTAAGTAACGTCGAGTTGAAGGGGTTGTCGTGATGTTGCACGTACCGCGTTCTCGGAGGGTTCCATGTTGACTGCGCGCATTCGAGGGATGACAAAGTGCACAAGCAAGTAGGAGGAGAGGAGCAAAGCCCCATGCGCAGATATGGTTGTCGGCAACGTCGTGAATAATGAGGGGGGTCCTTGTCTGGCGCAGTTATTTGCTCCTCTCCGCAATGGGTGTGGCGCAGATTGCTGGATGCTCAGTTTATCAACAATCACCCCGGCAACCAAACAAAAGTCGGAGATCCAATCATTACGAGGTGCATGCCGTGGGGTTGGTTTGGATGTCGGGTTAGGGTTGGCTCTTTGCTGCATTTGGAATGCCCGCCGCCACTTGCTCTGACGCACGAGCCATGTCAGATCCCCTTCACATGCAACAAGGCTCCCAATGCACCCCACCGACTCCAAAAGTTATGCCCAGGGACAAGGGACAGGGACAGCTGTCTCCGTCAAGTCAACCACCGCTCAAGTTGGAAACCCATCTTTTGTCGGGCCATCCAAATCGTCACCAACAGCTTTTCTCTGAACAGCTGCTGCGACAACTCGAAACACACATGCGACCATAAAGCCAACGCAACGGCCTGCACGCCATATTTTCTTTGACTGTGTTTAGACACCGACGGCCAACAGCAAGCAAGCGATCTCGAGGCCGTGGCCATCATGGAGAAGTTCTCTCAGTTTCGCGATAGAGGTAACCCAAGCTGGCTCCTCCTATTCCCCCACCTCATTTAATTATATCGTCAACTAACACTTAACTCAATAGGCTCCGGCATCTCCCCCTTCCTACCCGTGACGACGCCGTCCTCGATCCCAGCCACCATCTTCCACGCGATCCTCTTCCTCACCCGCCTGCCCTTCTTCCTCACCTACGCAACCGCCTACTTCCTCGTCCTGCATCACCTCCCCTTCCTGCCCACAGTCGCGCGCAAGCTCCTGCTCTGGTCACTGCTCGCGATCCCGGGCGTGTGGTGGGTAGACCTGCAGCTGGACGGGGTGAAGCGCGGCTCGCTGAGCCAGCAGCCGCGGTCGCGCGTGCCGCACCCGCGCTCCATCATCGCGGCCAACTGCACCTCGCCCATCGACGCCCTCTACCTCGCCGCCGTCTTCGACCCCATCTTCGTCGCCTCCCACCCAGCCTCCCGCAAGGTCCGCCAGATCAGCCTGCTCGCCGCCATCGCCGCCGCCCTCTCCCCCGCCGCCCAGCTCTGCTCCCTCGAAGAGTGGGAACAGCAACCACAAGAACTAACCGACCTACGCGCCCTCATAACCCGCCACCCGGACCGCGTGGTCGCCGTGTTCCCGGAGTGCGGCACGACCAACGGCCGGGGGATCCTGCCGCTGGGCCCCGCCCTGCTGGCCGCGCCCGCCGACAGCGCCATCTTCCCACTCAGCCTGCGCTACGCGCCCCCCGACGTCACCACCCCCGTCCTGGGGTACGCCGGGTGGGCCGGGTTTGTGTGGAAGCTGCTGGGCCGCCCGACGCATTGCGTCCGCGTGCGCATCGCCGAGGCCGTGCACAACACTACGGCTGCGCCGAACGGGGTTTCGGGTCGCGGTGCTGCTGCTGTTGGTGGTGGTGCGTTGGGTGGTGAGTGGGAGGGGCGCGCGGAGGACCGGCCGACTGCGGAGGAGCAACAGTTGCTGGATCGCATTGGGGAGGCGTTGGCGAGGTTGGGGAGGGTGAAGAGGGTTGGGCTGACGTTGAGGCGGAAGAAGGAGTTTTTGGCTGCTTGGGCGAAGAGGTGATGGTGTGGAGAGAGGTGTTTGCTCGGGGAACAAGGGATGACTTATATGCTGTGTCATAGGTCGAAGCGTGATATGCTTGGACCGGTTGTTGTATCTGTTCAACTTTCAGAGCGACGGTGATCGCCGCTGGGTGGTTCAACACAAAAACGAATAACATGACGATTAAATCCTAGATTGCTGACCCGGTATCCCTTTTAATCACCGGCCAGACAGTGTATCGCGAGCGCCTTTTCCAGCCCAGACACACAAACACATCTGTACAATCAGGAGATTCGAAACACCAGCCCCCACGCTCCCCCACAACTTTCCCCATACCCTCCTTCTAATACCGTTATGCCTTGTCGGTGACACACCCTTGGCTAGCATCGCTGACCAGGGCGGCGTACTTCTTCAGGGTACCGCGCTTCGCCCTGGGCTCGGGGGCCTTCCACTCGGACCTGCGCTTGTCCATCTCGGCGGCGGGCACCTCGAGGTCGAGGACGCGCTTGTCGGCGTCGATGACGATCTTGTCGCCGTCGCGGACCAGGCCGATGGGCCCGCCCTCCATGGCCTCGGGCACGATGTGGCCGATCAGGAAGCCGTGGCTGCCGCCGGAGAAGCGGCCGTCGGTGATGAGGGCGACGTCCTGGCCGAGCCCGGCGCCCATGATGGCCGAGCTGGGCTTGAGCATCTCGGGCATGCCGGGCCCGCCCTTGGGGCCCTCGTACCGGATCACCACCACCGTCTTCTCGCCCTTCTTGATCTCGCCCCGCTCCAGCGCCTCGATGAAGGCGTCCTCGTAGTCGTACACCTTGGCCGTGCCCTCGAACCGGAGCCCCTCCTTGCCCGTGATCTTGCCCACCGACCCGCCGGGGGCCAGCGACCCGCGCAGGATCTGGATGTGGCCCGTCGGCTTGAGCGGGTTGCTCAGCGGCCGGATGATGGGCTGGTCGTCGGGGAAGCCGGGCAGGTCGGCCACGTTCTCCTTCATGGTCTTGCCCGTCACGGTGATGCCCGAGCCGTCGAGGAGTCCCTCCTTGAGGAGGAACTTGAGCAGCGCCGGGGTGCCGCCGATCTTGAACAGGTCCTCCATGACGTACTTGCCCGAGGGCTTCAGGTCGGCCAGCAGGGGGGTGCGGTCGGAGACGGCCTGGAAGTCGTCGACGGTGAGCTTGATGCCGACCGAGTCGGCGATGGCGATGAGGTGCAGCACGGCGTTGGTGCTGCCGCCCAGCACGCCGACGACGATCATGGCGTTCTCGAACGCCTGCCGCGTTAGGATGTCGCTGGGCCGGATGTTCTCACGGAGGATGTTCTTGACGGCCTCGCCCACGCCCTCGCACTCGGCCTTCTTGCGCGCGTCCTCGGCCGGGAAGCTGCTGCTGCCGGGGAGGGTCATGCCGAGGGTCTCAATCGCCGAGGCCATGGTGTTGGCCGTGTACATGCCACCACAAGCGCCACCGCCGGGGCAGGCGTTGCGGATGATGTCGAAGCGCTCCTTCTCGTTGATCTCCCCCGAGAGGAACTGGCCGTACGCCTGGAAGGCGCTAACAATGTCGATGGGATCGCCCTTCATGGTGCAGCCCGGCTTGATGGTGCCGCCGTACACCATGATGCTAGGCCTGTTGACACGTCCCATGGCGATCAGGACACCAGGCATGTTCTTGTCGCAACCAGGCAGCGAGACGTTGGCGTCATACCACTGCCCCTGCATGACCGTCTCGATGCTGTCGGCGATGATCTCTCTGCTCTGTAAGCTGTAGCGCATGCCCGTGGTACCCATGCTAATACCGTCTGAGACACCAATGGTGTTGAAACGCATGGGAACAAGCCCGGCCTTCTCGATGCTGTCGCGAACAAGACTCGAGAGGCCCATCAGGTGCATGTTGCAGGGGTTGCCCTCGTACCAGACAGACGAGATACCGACTTGGGCCTTGGACATGTCTGCCTCATTCAAACCGGTGGCGTAGAGCATAGCCTGCGAGGCGCCCTGGGACTTGGGTTGTGTGATGGTGGCGGACACCCGGTTGAGCTTCTCGTCGGCATATCGGCGGGGTGTTGTGGATAGAAGGCGGCTAGAGGCATGGGTGAGTTTGTGCCCCTATGAGAAGTGACATCGCCTTGCCTCGACATACAACTGATTCCTAGAGGGTAGGGCCCGGCTCGTAGCCAGGGCCCTGGGAGTGCCAGTGCGCAGAAGAGACGGCGAGAGCATGACGCTCGATCAGAGGAAGAAACGAAGACGAGACAAAAATAGCAACGGGATGAGGTGAAAAAGGTTAAGGCGTATCTGAATCACCCTAGAGCCACCAAGACCAGCCAATTGACCCTCTAGTGATGTTTGAAGAGTGAGTTGTCTTGAGAAATTGGAACCCGACTCGAACTTTTGGGCGAAGTCGGAGCTAAAATAATAGTTGTGTTCCCAAGTCACAGGGACAGAGACAAGGGTCCCCGCGGGATCCCCGCAACAGCTGCATCGAATTACAAGCTTCCCGATTGGCTTATGGGGAAAAGTGTCAAGGAGCTTTGACGTTCCTGTGACTCGACATGCAACGAGAGAGAAGAGGAGAGAGTGCATCGACAGGATTCTTCTCCCACCGGATATTCAACCCCGGGAACCTTGCTTCTTCCACCAGCCTAGATCCTCGGTGTTGCACTCTCTAACAAACTCACTGTCTAGTCCAGGCCAGGACCTTCAACAACACCACCATCCGCCCCCGAATAGGTACCTTGATGCCGATGGTGAAGACCAGCGCGGTGACCGCAGTTAAGTGGAAACCTGGTTCCTTCCATGCACGTCGTCGCTCTTCGCTGTTATCTCGGAACGCGAAGCGGTCCTGTGCACCACTCCCCCTCCATCTTGCGCCCTGTCATTGACCATGCATGCATCATGGCTTCACCTTCCCGTCGCCGATCCCGGGCTTGTCGTCCCCCTTCTCTCTCTTATGCAGGATTTCGTCCACGATCCCCATCTCCTTGGCCTCTTCGGCAGTCAAGTACTTGTCCCGCTCCATCATGTCGTTGACAGCCTGCACGTCGTATTTCTCGTAGCCGAGCGACTTGTTGATATGCCTTTGCACGATCTTGTTGATCTGCTCCCGTAGCCTCTGAATCTGAGTCGCGTAGATCAAGATATCGGCGGCCTGCCCGCGGGTCCCGCCCAAGGGCTGATGCACCATGATGGAGCTATGCGGAAGAGCGTATCGCTTCCCAGGCTGGCCGCCGATCAGGAGGATGGCAGCCATAGATGCTGCGCCGCCCACGCATACGGTCGAGACGGGCGACTTGATGTAGGTCATGGTGTCGTAAATGGCGAGCCCCGAGCTCACCTCACCGCCGGGAGAGTTGATGTACATGGTGATGGGCTTGTCCGGGTTGTCCGACTCGAGCCATAGCAATTGGGCGACAATCGCTGCCGATACGGTGTCGTCGATGGCTCCGTTAAGGCATACTATGCGTTCCTATCCGGGTCAGAGTTGCGCCGATGGCGTCGGGCAGGGTTTACACTGACTTGCAACAACTTGGAAAAGATGTCGGCTTCGGGGTGTGGTTAGTGCCAATTGAGAGGTCGAAGACGTTTCTGAACTAGAACTCACATGTCCGCCAACCCCCGGACTGACCTATTAGCAATGCGACAACACGGGTGGCTCGAGACAACCTACTGTGACCTCGGTGATGTATGGCATCGGGATGCCGCCGGTGGGTGGCATTGCCACCCCAGGCGCGCTAAACTGGGAGAATCTCCGGCATTGTCGCGCGCCTATCCCATTTAGGAGGCGTAATGCTGTTCTTTGGGTATTCATGTTATGTTGGTGAAGTGGGTGGATTTGGAGTACCTCTCCTGCCGTGGTGGGAGGAGTGAAAGGCGGGCACCGTAACGGCCGACCAAATCAATGGCTGAAGTGGAGTGGAGCTGGCTGCGTCGCCAAGAAAGTTCAAGGGAGGATCCCGCCTCTTGGCATGTATATTCCACTTCGAGGTTCAATTATTCGAGATCACCTTCACACTCAGGCCTCATAACCAACAATCATCCAAAAAACTTGAAACCGGCTCCGTCATGCAAGCCATATGTCGAAGCTGGCACAGACCATCACTATACCCCACCATTTATCATGGGGCATGCCGGGCCCCGGGTGCTAGAGGTTCTCACAACAGCAACATCAACAATGATGCGGAACCACAGACCTCGCAAGATGACCACTCCGTCTCGGATGATGTCTACTCGAATGTACAAGTAGATCCAGAAGCGAAGACAGTAGATACCGCTGTTGGGGAACTACCCATATCCCCGTTGATGGACCCAGCATTCCATGAGGCTAGGCAGAGATTCACCACGCCCAAACCGCGACAGATTGAGCACAAGCCGACCAAATGGCAACAACACTTGGCCCGCAATCCCTACGGTAATACTCCGTGCGTCTTTGAGTCTATCTAGATATTCTCTAACCTGCCTCTAGCCCAAGCTCTGGCCAGACCTGTACGGAAATGTCCCCTTACCGGCGTCGCCCTCCCCGCCTTCTTCCTTCAGCGCTTTAATCTCATCGCACACCCAGAGACAAACGTCCCTTGGTTTGTGCCTGACAATCTGGAGACAAAGGTCCCAGCCGCTCCCACAGTTGCCGAGCCCGAAACAGTCGGACCCGGGTCAGAACCAGCCACTCACACAACGGCCGAACCTGAAGCTTCAGAAACGGTCCACCCCGAGCCCGAACCAGCCGAGCCGCCGTCACCGGAGGCGGCACAGGATCCACCGGAGTCGGCCGAGGCAGAGCTGAAAGCGGACAAGTCAGCCGCGCAGACAGAAGATGCTGACAAGACAGGCCCTGGTGCATACACGCTTGCTAGTCAACGGCTGCTTCAAGAACTGCAGCGGGACAAGTCCCCGTACTTCAGGGGTCAAAAAAGACTCCTCCGCATGAGCCAATATGGGCAATCCAAATCCGGCACTCTCCTAAACCAGGCCAATTGGCGCAGCGATATGGACACGGTCTTGCTGGAAATTATGCGCAGGCGCGTTGTTGAGCGACTCTGCTACTTTTCAAACATGGTCACAGGCTCCGAACGGAAGTATCTCACCAAGTGCGAGCCCTGGAACAATGTCAAGGACCGCAAACATCGGGGATGTCTGCTATATCTAGGCCCCCCGGATGGTAATCCGTCTTCGGAGCCCGCTTCCGAGTATGTTCCGCCGAGGTTGTCGACAATGGATATGGGCCCCGTGCGGTTTGGGGCGAAGCTCGCGGTTCACAATCTGCGTGAGCTTTTGGGGGAAAAGCACCTCAGCGAGCTGAGGCAGCAGGAACTGCTTCAGGATGGGTCTCTGTATCTGCTGGGCAGGAAAGCGACCGTTCCTCTGCAGATGCTGCTGTGGAAACTCCAGGGGTACATGGCGTGGGGAGAACAAGCGGATACGGCAAAAGCAGACGGCGACTCGGCACAATAAACGCCAGCAACGGTCATTTTTTTATGTTGGCAACGGTCCCCGGAAAGATTTGGGGAACCCCACCCTCGATCGGAAAACTGACCTCGCCGTTTGTACAAGGCTATCGAAGGCGGTTGCTCGATGGGATGGGCTAAATTAAAGCACCATACCGTTGATGGCAGTATCGCTAGAGATGGCGAAGCCGGCGTGGTTTCGGGCAAATGTTGTACGACAGCACTCTCGTCCCACGCCGTGGATGAAAGTCCGGTGAATACATCGAGGAGCCCGGACAGGGCTGATGAACTCAATTCTACTGATATGCCTATACGATTCTGCGAAGAAAGAGTTGACTGAATGGGAGGGGGTAGGGAAGGTGCGGCATCGGGCGGTTACATAATTCGGACGAAAAGGGGGGAAGGTATACAAAAACAAACGGGAAATCTACAACTAGGAATCGAAAAAGGAAGACTGTGGTCATTCTCCGGCCCCGGAGCGGTCTTGCGTCACGGGGGGAAATCGACGAGGTTCACTCTTACCACTGCACTACCGAGGTGGTTTCGTAGTGGTTGAAAACTAGCAACTAAAATGTAAATTATATAGCACCGTCCTTGCAGGCACTCTTGTCACGACCTTGTGCCTAACACTGCCATCCTGAAAATTTCGGCAGTGAACTCACACCCATGGCTATCCTGAAGACGAGAGTCGTCACGGCTGGGAATGGGAACTCGCAAAGGAATAGGGTTAGGGTTGTTTATCAAGCACTCCGACACGCCGATTGGGCCACTTTAATTGTGCCCCAAGAAAGCGCGTCGCGGCGCGTCTCCCCATTGCGGGACCGTTTTTGCCCGAGTCCATCCACATCGGCGACGACCCCAAGCAAGAATCAAGAGTTCCGTTGGAGACCAAAGCCACGTAGCCTCCACAATGAACCGCATCGACATCAAAAAGCGAAATGTCGACCACCGAAAGAAGCAGTTCGCGGGTCCTGCGTACAAGGAGACGCAGTATCCGCACCGCCTAAACTTTTACGCAACACCACCCACCGCCGACATTACCCTCGAACAGTTTGAGCAATGGGCGATAAACAGGCTACGAGGTCAGTGTACAAACATATAGACGAGGACAGTCGGTCACTCCCAATACCAATACTGACCGGCCATGGCGCTCCAGTCCTCGCCGAACTCGAAGCATGTTCCTTCCGCAACAAAACCCCCGCCGAGACGGCCCTGCACATGAAGCCGCTCCTCGACAAGTACCTCCCGCTAGACGCCACTAGCTCAAACAGCTCGGAGCTGCACCTGCAGCGCCAGCGGGACCACTACAGCCACTTCATCCTGCGGCTGGCCTTCGCGTCGACCGAGGACCTGCGGCGGCGCTTCGCCCGCGTCGAGACCATGTTGTTCCGCCTGCGCTTCCAGACGGACGACTCGCGCGAGCGCGCCGCCTTTGTGAGCGGGCTCAACCTCGACTGGGAGCCCGTGTCGGATGCGGAGAAACGCGAGCTGGCGCCCCAGCTGGCGACTACCATCGGGTTCGGGTACGGCAAGCGCGCCCAGCAGGTGCTGGACGAGGACTGGTGCAAGGTCGACTGGACGCGCGTGCCTGATCTAGTGGAGGCGCGCAAGGTGTATGTCAAGGCGGGCAAGGCGTACGTGCCCGGGAGGGAGCAGCAGAGCATGGTGTTGAATGCGTACACGAAGCGGTTGGCGCAGGCGTTAGAGGTGGGCATACACACACACGCACACACGAGAATTTCGTTTTAGGTGTGTGCTGTCGACTAACAAACCCTACAGCTCACAGCCCGCGCGCTCCCGCGATTAGACGAAGACGACCGCCTCGCGCCAATCCTCGACCACCTCTCCAAGAACTTCGTCGCGCCAGACGCGAGCTACACGGGCTCCGGGGCGGCGATCGAGGGCGCCGAGATCACGGCGCGCAACATGGACAACCTATCACAGCACTTCCCGATGTGCATGACGCACCTGCACCGGTCGCTCCGGCGGGACGCGCACCTCAAGCACTTCGGGCGGCTGCAGTACACGCTCTTCCTCAAGGGCATCGGGCTCAACCTGGAGGAGTGCCTGGTCTTCTGGCGGTCCGGGTTCAGCAAGATCACGGACGACACCTTCAACAAGGAGTACCGCTACAACGTGCGGCACGTCTACGGCGACGTCGGCGGCGACTCCAACCGCCGCAGCGGCGGCTACAGCCCCTACAGCTGCCAGAAGATCCTCACCGAGCACGCCCCGGGGCCCGGCGACGCCCACGGCTGCCCCTACCGCCACTTCTCCCTCGAGAACCTGACCACCCTGCTCCGCGCCTCGGGCGTCGGCGACCGCGCCGTCCTGCAGGGCGTCAAGGAGGATAAGGACAGCCAGAAGTTTCACATGGCGTGTAACCGGTATGTCCTTTTTTTTGTTATATCCATCTGACATGTGTCACGTCACGTCACGCACGTCACGTCACGCACGCGCGTCTGCCCCTTTTTTCATTTTTATTTTTAGGGCGGAAAGAGTACGTAAGCTAACGCAAATTGGGGGTGGTTGCAGTGTGTTTGAGCATTTGCACAAGACGGAGATGAAACGGGCCAAAGAGGAGGGTGTCATGACGGCGGCGCAGCTCGAGACCATTGTGCACCCGAACGAGTACTTCAAGCGGAGCTATCTGCTGAAGAATATGGACGGCGGGAAGTCACAAAAGGAGAAGGGGGATGTCAAGATGGAAGGGTGATAGTGATGGTGATTGATGGGATGGGGATGGGATGGGATGGCTCGGAAGTGAGAGGTGACAAAGTCGTCGAGACCGACCGAATGGTGGCTCAGGTGGGAGGGTCAGCTGTGTCGGCACCTGACCCCCACCACTTTATGTTGTGTTGAAAGAGCGTGGGATGGATTCGGGATGGTGGTGTTGTGGTGTCGGATTTGGTTGGCTTTGGCACCCGTCCCAGGCTGCCGGTGTTGGGCTTTTACATACAACATACAGAATATAACCGCTGGCATGTGAATGCGCAGGGCGTAAGCACGAGGGAAGGGTCAGGCGTTGCCTCACACTTTCAACAAATGGAACTTATCAGATTCCAATCGGCCTTGGAGAAGCCGTGGTGCCGTGACAGCCTCACCTTGGCACACCGACTCGAGACCGAGCCCGAATGGATGGTGTGTGAGGGAACAAACGGTCGGCCGTTCGCGGTTCCGTTGAGTTCGCCGTCGCAGCTTTTCGATGGATTATTACGTGAGATGGTGTAACGAATTACCGTCACAATTACTCCGGTCGCAGCGAGAATCGAGACCGTGATCGAACTTTCGATCCCTCGCCCCCTTGCGTCGATTCAAGAAACGTGCCGCAGCAAACGGCCATCGAAGAACGGATCGGCTGCGACGCTGGAGTCAAGATCCCCACGGGGATCCAGAGTGGAAACACTTTCTGGAAAGACAAAGCAGGAAATGATGACGGTTTTTTTCCGCCCCATCAGCTTGATGAACCTACCAAACCTTGTGTTTTTGTGGGCGGCCCCCCATTAACGGTCCGCTCGGCGCCATCCGAAAACTTGACAAAATGCATGCGGTCCTGCCAGGATTTCTGGGCTTTTCCATTGTTATTGTTGATGTCGTTGAGACTCCGGACGTTTTGGTCCGGAGTGTTGTTTCCGATGGAGTTTGCGTGCTCTTGGCCTTGTTTTGCCCTACTTTCCTTGCTGTCTGGCTTTTGACTGTGGCGTTTTGAGGGGATTCACACTTCTCAAAGGCTTCCCGGGGAAGGTCGGGCCGCGTTCGGTCATCGTTATTAACATCCCGTCGTTGGCTTGGAATTGTTCGCTCCGGTAAGTATTGTCGGTCCTCCGGTCCGATCAAAAAGACGGGATACTAGGTAGGTACCTAGTTACCGTGTTACCCCAACTTGACAACGTCCATGCCTCCGCTGGGGACACCTGTCCGTTGTTGTCGTGCTGTGCTCGTGTGACGATCGAAAGTGTGCTAACTGGACCAACCAAGCCCCGTGTGTTTCTGACGTCTTGCAATGTCTAAATCATGATGTCTTGCACGAACAAGGTCTCGGGTTGGCGTCGGAAATGATGTCTAGCCCCACGGATCGAGGGGAATCGGGGCGATCGAGGGCCACACTTGTCGGAATAACACACCCACGTCTCCACGTATCCCAGTTAGCGCTATCTCGCGTGTCTTTTTAACTACCGTGGCCTACACAGTAGTATGATCTCAAAGCAACGGCGGACGTAGGGTAGGATGCGGCATGAGGTCATCTGGCGGGTCGCTGAAGGGTTGAGAGTGGGATTTGTTGTTGATGGGTCCCCATCTCCGTTTCTTCCGGCCTTGTCCGTTGAGTCCGTGTCCCGGGCGAGTAGGTGAGCGAGTCACCTCGTGTAGGTTTGCGAGTTCGTGCTAGTGTAACCGTCCCGGCGCTGGCGCGGCCAACAGGCATGAACGCGGGCCCGCGCCGATCATGACCGAAGATGCCGTCCCGGGCCTAGAACGGGCTAGAGTGGAGAAGAAATTGCCTCCGAGTCTCCCTACCTAGGTGAACGTCATCGACGACAGATCATTGAATCACCGATGCCGACCCTACAAACGACGGGGCGCCCGCGAAGAATGAACGTGGTCCGGTGGAGGTTTGGGGGGTTGCTACTGTACCTTGCCTCCTTACCTTGAGCTCGGTAGCATCTGAAAGCGAGAACCTTCCGAGCTAGGAGTCGTAAATTCGGAGCTGAGATTCCATGTAGGTCGTTCCCTTGCCGCATAGCCTGATAGCGGCATGCTGCATTGATGACTGGCTGTTTTCAGTAAAGTGCCCCTACAACATTGTAGGTGCTAACTTGACAAGATGAATACTGTGTTATACAGATTAGGGACCGAGACACCTTTCTCAGCATCAAACATAATCGCTAACCCCGGTCGCCTCCAGCCAGAGGAAGTCTATTCAACTTAGGTTGCTGAAGGACCGGGAACGGTAACAATCCAATCTCGTTAAAAGAATTCCATGGGCGTAACCACACATTTGTTTCACCGTGCTACCATCCCCCATCTGAACACCACCAACTCTCACACAAGAAACATTCAACATCCAACAACCCAGGCCATGGGGCGCGCGGCGCGCGCCCCGGGGCCAACCCCAGCGCCGATCCTTCCCCACCTAACCAGCCGCATGTAAGTCCCAAAGTCGAACATTCCAACACCGGACAACACTCGCCTCGCGCGGGCGCCGGGTAGGTATCACAGACATGCAGACACGAAATGACGCTGCTGCGGCTGCGCCTTGCAGGAGGGGAGGAGGGTCAGCTCAGCACGTCCCACAGGCGAGTCCAGTAATCGAGCGCCCAAGACGCCACCCTCTCCCCTTTCATGCACAGGTAGCGAAAAAGCCAGCCAGGGTGGTTGGTGTAAAATGCAAATGAGACCGGGCAACGCTGTGCGTCGCGTCGCGGTCTGAAGCAGGCCGGCGACAGCGGAGGAAAAAGGGGAGGGGGGGGGGGGGGGGGGGGGTGGGCAGGATGCCAGAGTTGGGAGGTGGTTAAGGGCAAGCCCTGGAAGAGGGCCGGTGCCATTGGTTCGGGGCCGACGACTTCTGGCCGCAGAAGTTCCATTGGGGTGGTGAGCTGGCACTGCAGCGCCGTCCGCCCGGGGGGGTTGCAAGCTGCTGCTGCGTCTTTCCGCTTCGGGTTCAGTTGGCAGCACGGCACATGAGACGCTGGAAGGCTCGATTGGGTGCGGTTATTTAGCGCACGTCTCGCTGCCCGTGTGTGTGTGTGCTCTCGCTGCAGCATTGCGGACCGACCCCAGGTTTCATTAATTCAGCACGGAAAGGTTGGGGTCGACGAACACATCATCTGGGGAAGCGAACATGGCCACAGATGGCGCTTTACTCGGATGGTAGGGAACAGTGTTGGAGGTGGTGGTGGAACCATTTCGAAAATGTTGTTCCCATCGCTCATGGGCGAGGTTGCTAAGCTAGAGTACAGATTACATAGAGCCCGAACAAGGTGGTATAGCGTATCCATAATCCCGCATGCTCACAACCCGACCCAAAACGTTGCCCGATAGTGTTGGTATCCCGTGGCGCCCGCAAGTGCTGCCGTTCCATGTATTCCGTCCGCCCCGTTTTTTTTGGTGATGTCCCTTCCCCCCGCCCCTTTCCCAAAGACGCCGTCGCTGAAAGATCACAACCCAAATACAACAGGCCAACCCACAAATACCCTAGCGCTCGAGTAGAAAAGAAAGAAAGGAAAAAAGAGAACAAACACAGGAGGGGAAAGAAAGAAACCTCCGTCGGCCCGGGTAAACACAGAGCATCTTCGAGATGCAACGTGTGTGAAAGCGAGGCGTGTCCATGAAGAGTAAAAAGGCCGCAAAGCAAGACGCCGGCGTCCCCTTCCGGGCCTGGGCCCAGCCGCCCGTGCAGGGTGTTGTTGCAGGGCGTCGTCGCATGCGTCGACCCCTCTCGATTCTGTTTACCAAGATGAGCCAGGTGCGGACGAGTTGAAGCACGTCGACGTCAGCGGCTTGGCAAAGCCCAGGGGGTGGTATCGTGAACCCCACCATTGGCGGAAAAGGTGATGTTGCAAGTTGGGGCGAGTCGTGCTGCCCAATGGGGTGTCCGGGGTCCAAAGCCTGCAGCGGCCTGACGCACGATGATGATACCGCGCTGCAAGAAGGGAGATTGAGGGCCCTGGCTGTCGATTCGATGTGGTGTCGCGTTGTGGTGTGGAGAGGGAAGGGGAGCGGAGGGTTTTGCGACACAACCGGCGCTCTTGTCGACGCCCCGACTTGATAGATAGTTGCCAAACAGGTTGGAGGATAGAAAGCTGCGTCGATTACCGGACCTGCAATCACGGATGCGAAGGGCCGGCCCAGTCGCAAGCGAAGGTCGGTCGGTTGGGAGCTTTTTGCCTCCTGCGTTGGCGGGTTGTTTCGCCAGGGGTGTTTAGCCAAGACTGCCGAGGCGGAGGAGCCGGAGCAGCCGGAGGAGGCCGGCGACAAGCAAATGCCTGCGGCTTGCGACCCAACCTCGGACGGCCGAAAAGGCTGGCGGGTCCGGCAATCCGGAAATGCAGGTGTTGCCGGGGTTCTGAGGCCGCCGCACGATCCAGGGGTCCTTGTTCCCGCCACATCTCATATTTGTGAGACGAACGAGATCGTCCGGGATCTTGCAGCGCGAGGCCGCCCATCGAAGGCAGAAAACTGATGGCTGCGACGTTCGGCGTTCGGCGGTTAACCATGGTGTTTTTGCCCAGGGGAAGACTTCTTCCATTCTGCCCCAGGAAACCCCTGGTTCCATCACCGTCCGTCCGTCCGTCGTCTTCGTTTCCAAGCGTCCCCCCTTTGGGAACACCCTTCACGTGTAGCCAACCATCTTTGCGCAACGGTTGCAATAGTAAATGTTGGTGCCGATCTGGACCATGCCAGAGAGGCTCGGGTCGTCGGTCGAGGTCAGCTCTTCGGCGCGGGCGCACCTCAGGCAGCGGATGATGGCGACCTGGACTACCGGTCGGGATCCTGACTCCATGCTGGTCCGGGCGACGACTGTCGAGCTCATCGTGTTCGAAGACGGAAGATCCGAGTCGGATGATGAGTATGATGATGAGGAAGATGATGAAGACGAGGACGACACGCTGCCTGTATATGGGACCTGTGGTGGGCGTGTTGCAGCAGTGGACATTGTGGGCAAAAAGCGTCGGCTAGAGGGTATGCTGGTTTATCTAGCAATTTGAGGCCGAAGCCAGGAAGGAACCATTGGATAGATATGGAGGTGTTGGTTGTTGAAGTCTGGGCGTGTTCTAGATGGCAGGGTGCGAGTTGCAAAGTTGGAGGGGGGTGTCGCTGCTTTATTTGGGGGAACAGTGGATTTGCGGGAGGTGGGCTGGGCCAGACCAAGGCCCGGGGCTTGGTTTCGGACCCACCAACTGAGAAGGGCTGGGGTCTGGCCAATGTGGGTCCATCTGGGAGTCAGGCACGCCAAGGGAGGTTTTCTTGTCAGGGGGTCAGGGATGTGGGCGTTGCTGGGATAATTTTACCCTGTATCCAGTTACGAAGATTACGCTGCATGCGTACAGCCGGGGCCACGCATGCTGTCGCCCAAACGGCGAGCATGCCGAGACAACTGCGATTGGACGAAGTCGCCTGCCGTTTCGATCCCTCCCCATAGACGCAGCCCGGTGATCGGGGTTTGCGACTGAAAACCGAAAAATGGGTTTCGATCTCCTTGGCCTTCCGCTCTCGTTCGAGAGCGCCGGCAAACGTGACGAGCGCTGACTCACAATTCGTCCCGTTTGCTGATGATAACGGTCGCGGCCGGTCCTGTGTGGAGTCTGTGGGTTGCGGTGGCTGGAATCGATGTCAGACAAGCACCCGTGGACCATCCCTCCTCCGTCGGCTTGTGCTGTGTACGTGAGCCCGAGGGTGGCTTGTTATTCGCGCACGGCTGGGGATCGAACGGGTGGCGCTCTCATCGAAATAAATACATTGAGAGCGAGGTGATGCCTGCTCCCCTTGCCTGATCCTGCGGCTAGCTCGAACAGATGCTGACTGCACATCACCAGACCACTGGCGCGATGTTGGTGATTTCGGTCTAGATTTGGTTTGTAAGATTCGATGCATTTGCGTTTGCAATCCGGAACGCGATTTCACCCGAATTCCACGATCGGGTGCTCGCGTTTTTGAGAAGTCCAGGCTCCAGCAGACCGATTACATAAGTCCCAGCGCGGCCAAGTCTAGACCAAGGCCGCGAAAGCTTGCGCCAAGAAGGCTGGAACCAGCATCTCCGCGTAAATCTCATCACGGGACACCGCAGAACCCAAGTCCAGCATCGCCAAATCGGCGAAAACTCGCAAGAGCGACAAGGCGCGGGACAAGCAAAGGCGTTTTCCATCCTGCCGCTCTTTCTGGGAATTGGTCGAGGACGGGGAATGAGGCTCCGACAATGAAACTTCGACTGGATGAGGGTACCCCACTCTTTTCAGCTTGCAGCTGCTTTCTGATCGGCGATTCCCAGAGGTCCCTCGTCAAGCACCGTTCTCGCACTCAAGGACTGAAGCGGGGCGTTCACAGCGAGCGCTGTGGCGCCCTCAATCATTCCCGAATGCAACTTGTAGAAACTTCCGGTTGCACCAAGAAGCTCTCCCCCTCCCCCACCCCTTTCCTTTCAGTTTCCCGTTGATGGGAAAGTCAGTTCATTGGACTCAAGAAAGAAAAGGAATCATTTCGTTCATGCGGGCTCTTTCCTTAGCGGGACCCTTCTTCCGACCTTAATATCCTGCGGGACGCAGGAACGTTTCACCTCAGACCCACCTCTACAGAACGTGCTCAATCTCAAGGAAACAACTTGGTGGATACCGGGAAAAGCCAAACAATTCGCATGCAAACCTGGAAACGCATCTTTGGAATTTACAAACGCGTTATCTTTTTTGCCCAATCTCTCCGCCCGACGGGATGCGAGGAAAATCTTGTTGATCAGGCGCTGACCGGGCGACATGGCCTCAAAGTCCAGCCCTATTCCAAAGGACCCGCTGTCTCAGCCATCTCCCGTGCTTGGCATGCGAGTGCAACGTTCGAGACCGATCGATCGGATTCTCGCTTTCGGCCAACCATCGACAAAAGTGTTGCAGATCTCACACTTGTTGAGAAGGTGGAAAAAGCAAAAAGACATGCATCGACAGCACTCCTTTTCCCCTTTGCCTTTGCTGATCTTAGCGACACATGGACCAGTGAAGATTGGTCTCTCAGCTCCTGTGCGACATGAGTTGGTGTTCTTTTTGATCGTCTTTTGCGATTCGATCGCCCCCAAGATCGATGAACGGGCCCTTGGATCGAGGCTAACGATCCGACCTCCGCTCGATTCATCTTGAGTTGAGCCGTGTCAGCAACAACAGGCGATAGCGGTCATCTTGATCTGATAGCGAACCACTATTCGGCAAAGATGTCCCAAATTTCGCGGATGCAGGATGGCCATGGGTGGCTTGCCATATCAGCCGGGTTGGGGACGATCCGATCTCATTACATGTCCAGTCAGCCACATCACCTTATATCGAGTTTCCGCTCCCTCATCGGCACCCTCATTGCAGCTGAACAACCTAAGCTCGGTTACAGCCATTCCCGTGAAGCTAGTATGCCGGCATCTTGCCCCATTCGTCAACTGCGATGATGGCCTGTCATCGCCCCCACGACCTTTGTTTCGTAAACTTACAGCGCGACAGTACACCGTTCGTCGCGGAGCTTGCATGCTAGCCCCCTTTCTACCTCGTCCCGTTGTGTGTTGAGTTTGCGAGGCTTGGTACACATGCAATTCAGCATCGATCGGACGCGGCATCGATTTCAGCAGCATCAATCTCAATATCCTCAGAGATTAGGAAGACCGCCCTGACCATCGGCGACGTACATAGAAGAAGCGGCTCCAGAACCTCGCATTGCTCTCAGAGCCAGCCAAGACGCGAAGCTTTACAGGACACGCGCAGGGTTTCGTTGAGGATACCCGCTACCCAACTTTTGGCCTACCATAACGGTCACCCCCGCGGGAGAGGTAGGTTGTCACCGAAACCGACCAAGCCGACGTGCTTCCACTCGAGGTAGGTACGTTGCCTGAGGACGGAGTCATCGTTGACGCGTACTCACCGGGCCCCGCAATCAGTCGACAAAGAAGACCACAAGTTCCAGAACCGACCGTAACCGGCGGTCTGGATATCATCTCGCCAGAAATGGAAGGCTTACCCGGGAGGTCTCGCATTCGAAACAGACCTATCTACCACAGTAGCTTTGTTTAGTCCTTTCGGGATGCGTTACAGTTATTACACCGGCCGCCCAAGCAACAAGTGGGATGACCGCTGGAGTTGATCCCGGCGCTGAAGAAAAATGCCAGGCATCCGGGATGCTACCTGAAACAAGAGTAGACCAAAGGTAATCTCCCTCAAGGCTTCATCGCATGTGCATCAGATATGGCATGACTGTGGGGGACCCGAGAGGATACTAGTGTTGGGGATCATCTGCAATAACCGCCATCGGTGGGAGTTCGCGATAGTCCTCTCGGTCCGCCAGTCATCACCATAGGCGGTCACTTCCTTGGCCGTGGATCTTCCCTGGTGTATCCTCACCAAAATGCATTTCCTCCAGTCTGATACACCCTCTGCATCCCCTCCCCATCACCATCAGACCATAAACGGGTACGGCCGCCGCCGCCGCATTGAGGCCACTTCCGAACACTTTCCCTTAACTTCGGGCATCCAACTTGTTCGAACCCTTCCGAGACACCTCGGAGGTTCCAACGGCTCCAACCCCGCCATAACCTCCGAGTCATGGCCGTGGCTGAAGGTGAAATGTTCCCGCCCGCCACAATAACGCTTCGCCTGAACCGTTTGATGAGGGTTTGCCGCTTATAGCAGGCTCCAGCTCCTTTGCTCCATCTCCATCTCCATCTCCATCTCCATCTCCATCCCCAACCCTTCCCCATCCCCATCCCCGTCCCACCTCCACTTCACCCAAAGCGTCCACATATCCGATGGCAAATAAATAACGGGGAAAAAAACAAACACTCCACCACCACCCCTTCCATCTAACGTCAGACGGGTTGTCTGTCTACACAGTAGGCCGCGCGTTTGAGCGAGCGGGGAAGGGACCGAAGTAGCTCCATCCCTGCCGGACATGGGGGTATGTCGTTCGGCGAAGGCCACAGGAGGGGGTAGACAAGGAGCGGAAGACGGGCGGGGTTGTGTAAGTGGTACGTACGTTATGGGCGGCTAACCGGGCCAGGACATACTTCGAGCACCTCGATGGGTATGTACCTAGGTAGTAGGTAGGTGAGCCCGAGGCATCGGTGCCGGCGGCGTTCTCCGTTTGTTTGCTTGGGTTGCTGCATGTTGCTGCTGCTGCTGGAGACGTGGCGTTGCGCTCATGCGTCCACCGTGACGGCGTTCTCCGTTTGGCTGGTTTGTAAGCTGTTGCTGCTGAGGACGTGGCCTTGCATTGCGTGCTAGCTAGAATGGTACGATAGTAGGGGAGAGGGGGAAACGGGGCGGGGATGGAGAGGTTGGCGGGAAGTGCTGCTTTGTTGGACGGTGTTGGATGGTCGGCGCCGCTCGCCCTGCTTCGCGGTGGCTTAGTGAGAGGGTATAAGGTTCGGGGTCGGGCGGTGACACAATTCGGACGAAAGGAGGGAAAAAAGATGTAAAAAAACAAGCGGGAAAGCCACAGCCAGGAATCGAAAAAGGGGGACTGTGGTCATTCTCCGTCACGGCGGGTGGGGGGGGGGGGGGGATCGACTAGGTTCACACTTTAGCATTGTACTACCAAGGTGGTTTCCTCGTGATTGAAGACTAGCAACAAAAGCCAAAGTTATATACCACCCTCTCGCAGCTACTCCTCCTACGGTCGTGTGCTTGATCACCAACGCCGTCCCACATAGGATCACGGCAAGATTAGCTACCAGGATATCACCATCACCATCCACTCACAGCCGTAGATGTGTTTGACATCAAGATATCTTGGCTTCTCTATCTTGTTGTCCAGCTATGCTACCCCCGAGAACCGCAACTCCCCAACAAACCGGCTGGAAGCGCCCCGTCCCCTTCCCCTGCTTACCAACGAAAAAAGCAGGGAGCCACTCAGAAAGAGCCCCCCTCGACAGTCTAATATGTACAGCCCAAAGGGAAACAACAACGCCGGTCAGCATAGTTGGGCATGGCACTCTCTCCCCGCTTCCTTCTGTCAATAAGCCAAGATCACTTCAGTCGCCCAGACAACGGAAAGTAAAGGAAAATGGGGTCACCCTCGTTTTGATGTATGGCTGGCTATGACGGTACGAGTAGGTATCTCCAGTAGCGTTAGTCCCAAGTCGGACATATCCGGGCTGGGCACGCAGAAAATAAAAGAAGAAAAACGAGAAACAGCGCAGGCTAAATAAGAAATCCTCCCCTCTGTATTAAAAGGTCACCGTGGCTCCTGGCTACGAGTGTATGTACTGGTGGTGGTGCTTTAGCTCTGTGCTGGCTGTATCGGGCTTCATCGGGGTATTGTGTCAGGCCCAACAGGCCGGATACGTACAGCGATGTGCCAAAGCGGGTATGAAACAGGAGGACAAAAGGAAGGAAGACGAGACCTGGGGGGTAAGGTAAGTACAGGCCATGTGTGATGGACCGGGTGAGGGGATGGGAATCTGCTGAACGACGCCTGGAACCGAAAAAAAATCGTCTCTCATAAGCCGGCTTGTCTTTCCGGAAGTCTTCAAAGAAAATGGGTATGTGGGACGAGTCTATCCTCTGACTAGCGCAATGCTTGGTTGCAACCCGATAAGGTTTGGAGGCTGGGAGTGATGACCGCTGGCTCTTGATTCGCTGGGTTGACGGAATCCGGAACTCATTGCGACCAGGACAACGAAGCCGGCTCACATCACGATACAGCAACCGCAGCCTGCTTTCTTGTCCTCGGGCTCCTCGGCGGGCTCTGGCAAGCCCGGTGTTTGTGACGGCTGGGTTTGATGCGCGGGCGCCCTGGGGCTCGATAGAGAATTGGCCGCCGGTGTGTCGGAAATCCTGGGCATGGTGGAGTAAGAATTTGTTCTCCCGGGAAGCGTCGGGCTCTTGGGTTCTGCTTTCAGTGGCCAGTCTCCCTGCTCCTCGTTTTGTTCTTCCTCGGCTTCCTTCTCAGTCTCCTTATCCTGGGCGCCGCCTTCGGGGGGCTTGAGGAAGCCCTCGTCAGTGAGCGGCCTAAACTCTTTGTCGTAAATGCTCCCGAATTTGCCCTCCCGCTCCCACTTCTCCTGCTGCAACCGCTTCGCCACCGTTGGTAGCAACTGCTGGTCTGGCGGCAGCCGTGGGTCGGGCCGATAAGCCGAAACCATCCATGGAGGTTCGCCCTCCATCGGTTTGGAGTTGCCGGTGGAGAACTCACGTTCGCCGGATCGGGTGGACGGTCGAGTTGCGCCGTTGCCACCGTTTGTCGAGTCCTTGCTCGGGCCGCCTCGCGTCTTTGGTCGTCCTGCGGCGCCGTTGGCCGGCTTCGGTTTTCTCGCCGTAGTGACAGCGCCGGGCTTCTTCGGGGAGGAATCTGGTCGTTTGGGCTGTGGAGTCGAAGTCGTGCCTGGCGCCTTTGCAAGCCCCAGTGCGTTGCCTGTGCTACCACTCCTCGTACGGGGTTTGGGGTACGTTATACTATCCTCCTCGCCAGGGCTGCCATCTCGTTTCCGCGCCAGCCTCGTGTCTCGTGCGAGGTGCTCGTTTGGTAGAGGCACTGGGCTGGTCTTTGCCACGGGTATCCGGGACGAGCCTTTCCCGTTACCGTTGGCCACCCAGTGCCCGTCGACTTCTTCCAGAATCTCCTCAGGCCGCCTCAGATCCCAGCTGGGAGTGGCCGGTTGGTCGAGGAGCCTTGCGTCTGTTGTCGTCGCGGCCGAGTTCTTCCTCGACCTTGAGACTGTGTACTCGGAGCCTCCAATCGACCTGCCCGATCCGTTCATCTTATCTTGGCTCTGATCCCGCCTCGGCCTGTTTTGGCTCTTTGACCTCGCCCTATCATCCCTTTGGCGGGGAATAAATATCCCTGCGGCCTGCAGCTCTGCGCTCTCTATCTTGGCGAGCTTGTCGCGGTGAATCCATTTCGAGTTTTCGTCGCTGTCCGAACCCGGCGAGCGCCCGCCCGACACTTTCCTGGGCGTATCCTTAGGACGTACCCCGTTTGCGGTGTCCTGCTGCTCCACCGAGCTTTCGGGAGTTGCGTGTTCTTTGATGCTTCGTGGGGTCATATCCTTGTGATCGAGGTGGGAGGATTGAACGCCATTGAGGCCCTCGGGGTTCAAACCGCCTGCGCCTTGGTCCTCATCGCTGTACCCTTGCGGTAGGGAGTGTGGATTCGTGGTAGTGCGCATAGTCGAGTTCCCGTTTTGAGATGCCAGCGGCAGGCGACCAGATGTGGAGAGGTTGTGCTCGTTCAGTTGGGTCTTTTCATTGTGGAAGTTCTGCAGCGACAAACATAGGTTAGTCCGGTACATGCGTAAAACCTGGGCGAGTGGGGAGGAAGGACGGTTGATCGTCGTTGTTGGGATGTGGAGGGGCAGAGCAAAGCGAAGGCAGCATGGCATCTTACCTCTGTTTCGGCCGGTAGGGCATCTTCCCACAAATAAGGTGACGGCGTTAGAGCCGTCGCGGTTTGCGAAACGGTCGCCATCCTCTCATTAATGAGGCACCCCGCTTGCTGTTAAATGCCGGTCGGGTGTCTGCGAGGTTGGAGTTGAAGGGCGACCCGGGGTATCTGATTCTGGCGATGACGAGGCAAGATTGCAAATCTCAATCCACCCCGCCAGAGTCGTGGAGATGGTTGGGGTACGGAATATGGGGTGCCGCTGGAAGTGTTGATTGGATTCTTGAGGCTGTCGGCGAGGGTGGGACGATGGGTTGTCTCGTGCCCGGCCCAGCCTCCAGCGGGCCAAAATTGGCCAACGGATTCTCAATGGTTGGGCAGGAGGGTTTCCAGAATACACATGCGCCGGAAATATGCCCGATTGTCTTTGCTGCAATGTCCACCCCGCGAGTTTGCTATGGTTGGGTTAAGCAGCGTCGGGTATTGGGTCGGTTGGTGGCGGTGTGTTGTCAATCGTGGGTATTCCGATGGTGTTTCGTGGATCAAAGTTGGCTGAGCCTGCCTCTCGAAAAAAGCAATTATCCTTGCATCGGCGGGTGCCGGGTTCTCCCTTTCTATCCTCTGCCTTTTGTTTGTCTGGCGTCGCGGTAAACTGCAGTTCCTGGCAGCAGAGATCACGGGGGGATCCGTCGTCAGGAGGTGTGGCGGACTGCAGACAGGATGATGCGAGTCCTGAGAGTGAGGCTTGATTGCTGCAGCACTGACGGCGGCTGCCAGCTAGCAGATGAGGGGCGTTGGAGGGCTTAGATAGCGCATCACTCGACTAGCCTCCTTTTCTTTTGTTTAGTCTGGTGTCGATTGCTGCAGGCGATCCGAGGCCAGCCAACAACTCCAGCGAAATTCCTGAGTGGCGGCCTGTGAATGGCCCTCCTGTTTTCCCCAACGTGAAGAGCTTCGAGAATTCGCTTCAAAGGGGGACCCGTCGAATGGATCTGACAGGGATTCCAGCTCCATTAATCTGCCTGCGTAATGCCATTCGTCAATGATGTGGGTCATGTGGATTTCCAGGGTCTTGCTTCCCTATTCGGTTTGCCAGCCACTAACTACCAGCCATTCGGTCATCGACCGCCAACACCACTGAGACTCTTGTCGCCGCCACTCGCGATACCCGTATCAATCGTAAATTTCCCGTACCTGCCTAGCCATAACGGGGTATGAGAATCAACGGGATCGACTTCCGCAGCGGGATTCACGTTCATCTCATCTCCTAAACTTAATTGTCGCGACAACAGACTTGACTTTATGTTAATGGGCAGCCCTGAGGGTTCAGTTAACGAGAGGGCATAAAACCTAATATCGGAAAACCTAAGCCGAAATTTGAAGAAAAAAATTAATTATGTCCACTTCATCGACTGCTCGTCCTACACGGCGGACTAGGATCGTGTGCATCAGCGACACCCACAACTCCACTGTTAAGCTGCCAAAGGGCGATGTCCTAATTCACGCTGGCGACCTCACTAATCAGGGGAGCTACTCCGAGGCAAGCACCTCAGGTGATCCCGCCGTGTCCCAGGGGATGCGTTTATTTTTAAAGCGAGATGGCTAACATGACTGTGCAGCTCTCCAAGGCTGTTCAGTGGCTAGAAAAAGCCGACTTCGAAGCCAAAATTGTTATTGCAGGTCGGAACCAGTTCACAAAAGCATATGGTCTGCGAGGCGCGGACTGATACGGCGTAGGAAACCATGATATCACGCTCGACCGTGACTTCTACTCGAAACATGGATCAAGCTTCCACAACCAAACACCCCAAGATCCGGCCGAGTGTCTGTCACTATTTACTTCGAGTAGCACCATCACTTATCTCCAGAATGAGAGCGCTACTGTTAGACTAGCAAGTCCCAACGGCCCCGGTACCGAATTCACCATCTTCGGGTCCCCTTACAGCCCTCGGTACGGCACATGGGCATTCATGTACCCCCGCTCATCAGGTGAAGAACCAGAATCGTCAGGGCAGGCCAACACGGCAGCAGAGCTATGGGCAGCCATTCCCCCAACCACCGATATCCTCGTCACCCACACGCCGCCCTACTCGCACTGCGACGACGCTTGCGGCTGCGAGGAGCTGCGGAAGACGCTCGCCAAAGTACGGCCCCGGCTCCACGTGTGCGGCCACGTCCACCAGGGCAGAGGGGCAGAGCGCGTGAGGTGGAACACGGACGACCTCGCCGCCGAAGACGAGGCCGTCGCCGCCGCCGAGGCCTCCGTGGAGGCGTGGGAAGATCCCCACCCGGATCCCTCATCCGCCAAGATCAGCTTAGTCGACCTCACGGCGCGCGGTGGGAAGCGGCCTCTCGATTTTCACAACGCCGCACGACCAGTCGGCGACACGTCCGACCGCCGCTTGCCGGACCCAGCGCAACGGGTCCCGTGCGCCTCGTCCCATCCCGGGCCCGGGGGTCAGGATAGGGTGGTGGGGCCGGGGGATCCGGTAGTGCGGATCGGGAACCCTGATTCAGCTCCAGAACATGGGGGCGCCGTCATCTCTGAAAGCACGGGGCAGCCGGTGGCGATGGACCGCACGGGCAGACGGGAAACGTGTATTGTCAACTGCGCCATTGTTGCCACCGGTTGGCCGCATACGGGGGGCAAACGGTTCAACAAGCCCATCGTGGTTGACCTCGACTTGCCCGTGTGGAGGTGACGATATCGACATTGACATATCGGTGCATATTGGTCTCGAGCAAAACATGCTAGAATCCGCGGAACCTCATTGCATCCCTTCATATGTCCAGTATGGAGCTCAGTGAGTGACATGGGAAAAGACGTCAGGTGGCTGGCCTCCTTTCTCTTGTTGAAAAAGCCCATACTGGATGGGATCACGAGCTAGGCGGAACGGCGAGGCAGACAACTCACCACCGATCCGCTTGGATATTGCCCCAGTTGAATTTCCTAACTATCCTTTGGCCGACGTCGATTAGGGCATCCACCAAAAGTTTACGTAGGCAATAATCTCCTCCCTACAACTTACACAATATATGATTCATCCGGAACTTGCGTCAGCTCACCTCAGAGCTCAGCCTCGATGTGGTGGTGTACGCTGGGACGATACGACCCTCCACATGAATTATTGTCCGAATACAGGACGCGAGAGTAACTCTTTGGTATAGTAAATCATCCGGTGGCTGCATCAGCTCCCTCACACAGCCGTTTGCCGTATTACGCAGTCGCCTCGTAATGCATTCTCGTTTTCGAGCTCAGGAACCGGGCTTAGAAAGCGAGCTTGGCCTTCAGCCCGGCGGCAACGATGCAAGCCCGAGGTGACACCGGAGCTACCGAAGAGCCCCCCGCCCGTCTCTGGAGAAGAGCTGCAGCACCGAAGGACAAATAGAAGACGTGGAAGTTTTTCGATCCGAGGGCGAGACAACGAATTGGAGCCAACTCCGGGCGGCTCACCGCCACGCACAAAACGGCCAACAGCGTGTGACATGTGTTACTCGGTGGGCATCGGCCACGGACGAATGGCAGATGAGGACTCGCTCAAGAATTTTTGCTCTCGATTTTCCTGACCGCATCGTCTTACCCTAAGATGGGTGGGTGTCACAAGTCGTGGTTCATCGAACGAGAATCCCGTCCCCATCGAGGGGAGAATTCTGTGACCGATCCGCGTCAAGAATATTCCGGTACCAGTCCCTGTGCCGCTCCCACGAAACTTTCTGCACTTCGATGAATCCATGGATGGTGTCTCTCGAGGTTGGACGAAGGAAGCGGGCAAGGAGGGGTAACGTGCATTTTCTGGCGGGGTAAAAGTCGCAGCTTCTGGCCTCCGACTCGCTAAAGCGCAACGTGGGTCTCCTGAGCGGTGCAGAAAGCTCCAGCAGACCATCGGGAATACAATCCTGTTACGGGAAAGGAAGTCTTGTGGGAGACAGTAGTCTCACTTGGAGAATGGGGGTCTGAAGATAGCGTGGACCGGCAATTCCGCTGATCTTGAAACGTGGATCGGGAATGACCATGTTCGACAAGAAGAAAACAAGAAACGGATACTGGCGTGTCTTCTGAGCTTCTCCAAGTCTCAACAGCTGACCACGACCGACCAACGGTTGCCGTCCGAGCCGTCCAAACCGTTGCTTACCTCCACCACCAGCACAGGGCACAGTCAGCGGCACCTCATCCCTTCAGGCACCACGTTCCCGTCCTTTTTTGACAGCGGGTTGATCCGTGGGGAAAGCGCAACAAGCGTTCCGATCGGCTTGTGTGCCCCATGGCCCGCTTTCCCCCGCGGCGGCCGGTGAGACAGGCCCATCGAGTGCCGCTGAACGCCCTGCATATTCGGCCTCGGGCGCAGGTGATTGGCAGACGCGCCTCGCCCCCACCCCAGACCTGCCCCGCGTTGGCCGCTGATAGGACCATCGCCAGCACATGCACCGTCCATTCACAGATCGTTTCGGTCGGTGCACCACGCCAGTGCTGAGACGTTGGCAGCTTCTGGCCAATCACCCAATCCAGACGGGAGGGAGGAAGGGGAGGCCCAGATGGAAGCAACCCTCCAATGACTCGCGTCATCAACGTCGGCTGCTGCTGGCCGGGCCAAAGGTGGCCCGCGTGGTTTGTCGTGAGGGTGTGCGGTGCTCCCCCCAAGGCTCACCGTCGGGTTCACGGCGCCCCAATCATTGCCGTCCCGAGGTGTCGGTGTTGCATGGCCCTCCGCCTTGTGAGGTGAGCAGCAGGCACGGCAGTGCCACCGTACCTGCTTCGAGGCCGAACGGATGGGCCAGAGGTGGTTGGCTGGGGCGGTCGTGGTGTTGGTGTTGGTTGCTGTCGTCCACACCATGCCGGAGAGGGGAGGGGAAGCGTCACAGAGCCTCGTGTTTGAAACTCTTACTGGGGCAACGGCAGCGGGATTGAGCCCCGTCTTGGAGAGAGACTTTTACCTAACATCCGCAACGGATCCCACCTCACAGTGGGCCTTGACTTTTGCGAGTCGATCTACGGTTGAAAAGAGACAGGAGAGAACCCGCGGCTGGCGCCGATTTGACGATGAAATTTGGGCCAATTGGTGGGTGTTCGATCATGGTTCGTCAATTCCATTGCATGTCACGCCTCCGAGGAGCCTTGAAAGTCATGAGGAAGCCTCAAAGGTGATGAAATAGGCGCGGGGCTTCCTCGAGGGGGGTTGATGGCTCGTCCCCTGCAGGACATCACAACCGAAGGGGAATGGTTGGCGAGAGCCACAGAACGATAGCCAAGTCGCCTCGCATGGCTGCGTGTGTCCGCTGGCTGCACCACACTGGCGCAGCGTCGCCCCGGCCGTCATTTTTGCAATCGAATCGGGGCTCGGGAACGGCTTGGTTCCTCTCCAGTAGTGCAACGCTGGCTGACACTTCAGATGGGATGAAAAGCGGGAGCTCGACGGGAGATGGCCTGGCTGCGAACTGCCGCATGATGGGGTCTTGCAGCTTGTTGAGACATGGCGCCCAATCTTGCATTTCCATTGCTCGATGAAGTTTGCTTCGGGGACGTGCCTCGACAGCCGTAGCGGCGCATGGGTTGAGACGAGGCAGGCGGGGTTGCCCAGCCAGTATGAGGAGACGAGACGAACTCGTGATACAGGCTTCTGACGGACAGGCCCTGTGCGGGATGCGAGGAAGGGTTGCTAAAAAGAGCGTAATGTAGGGTAACTGCCCGCCAACGCAGCACAACAAACAAGACAGGTTGTGTTGGCTAGTCAGTTGGTGACCTGTAAGGCTACTTATGTAGTTGGTGGCTGTTGAGGCTGACCGGAGGCAGAAGGAATCACGGTCCCTTTCCCCGGCCATCCAGCAAGCTGGGACAGCGCTTGGAATGCTGTCGAACATTCGACTGCCGTCCTTGATTGATGGGGACGACCCATCGCCCATGATCCCAGGACCTCGTTGCCGGGTGAAGACCTGTGCTGCATCTTCACCGCCGATTGTCTCCTTGCGGCATGAAACACCGACCGCTCCCTCTCTTTTCCGATGCGCACCGTCCGCTATCGGCCCGGCACCGACAATTGTTTGAATCACGGCTTCATGCTGCCCTGGGCTCTCGCCAACATTCTTTCCGAGCCGAGGAGCTTAGGCATGATCAGTTTTGGGAGGATGCGGATCCGGATGTACACAGTAGTTGATCGTTCCCAGCGTTGCCACAACCAAGATAGAATATCCACAGGCAGCCCGTTCCTGAGACCTCGTTTGGCCGCCACAGCCACGGGGGAGTTAAAGCCCAAGCCACCGGTGCTTGGATTTGAACCTCGGAGCTTCGCGTTGCCCGTTGTGGCACAGCTGAAACTTCAGACGCCAGTCATGCGATTAGAGTAACTAATTCTTTTCTAAAAGAAAGTCCACGTAATTATACCGGGCTCGTTGACCTTGGAAGGGTGATTTCATCCCAGCGTTCAGCTTCCACGTTGCCACGGAAGGCGACTTGCCTTTCTGTGGAGCTCAGCTGTGGCTTGTGATTCATCGCATCGCAGTCTCGCTGCTTGCCGAAGCCCGGGTGGGAGGCCGCTTGTGCAGGGGTCGTTATGGCCTCGCCCGGACGGTGTTGTTGTTTTCGTACCTATCCGAGCGCGGCATGAATGGAGGCCTTGCCATCGGAGACCGGTGGCTGCGGATCTGTCATGATGCGGCACCGGTCGCGTCAGCTTAACGTTAGCAGCGCCGCCGTTGAGGCTGGAGCAGTTGGCTGTCTTTGCTCGCGCTCCCCGAAGAGAGACGTGGGCAGCGCCCGGAGCAGCTGCATCGCTAGCGGCAATAACGAAAGCTGAAGGAGACAGAAGCCGACAGAATTCAAAGGACGACCGACCGAGAGGGAACTCTTGGCCGGCAAGAAGAGGGGATGCCGTAAGCCATCCTAAATGGGAGAAGCAAGGTACGAGAGACCAATCGACGACGCTCACTGTAGCCCCTGTCGACCCACCTTCTCCCCACAACCACCCGCAGCGGACCCCCCTTGGCCCCCTCTGGTGTCCACAGGGAAGCCACTGCTGCTTCCTCACTGGCAGCGACCTCTCTTGCCCCCCAATCGATTCCATTTCCCTCCTTTTGGCAGGAACGGGGCCCGGGGATCAGCCATCACCCGCCGAAAGGTGCACCCCCCCGAAGTGCCCCACTGCCCTGGCCGCTGCGTGGAAGGTCCCCTCACCCGCCCTGGCCGCTGCCCGACAAGCCATCCATCCATCCCGCCTTTCCCAGGTCCCGACCCTTCTTGAGCGGGTGATCTCATGGCATGTTTCCATCCCTCTCTCTTATCACCTTACACCACGACAACCACCACCTGAGCTCGAACAATAGGCCGGATTTTGGGCTGGTCCTGACCATCTTTTGCCAGCGGGCCAACAAACAGGCCGACTTTTGCCCTTTTTGTTTTGCACTTGCCATCGACAAGTCCCATGCCGAGGGAATAACAACCGAGCCACGATCCAAGACGGCAACGACGGTTGCTTGGTGCTGGGGCGTACTCCACCAGCCGACCTGTTCATCCCATATACAATACGCCCCCTTCTTTCCACCGCTCCCTTTTTAGTCCCATTCACCCCCCCGCTTGTTGTCCTACGACCTTGCAACAACACCCCCCCTCAAACCATCAACACACTGCATTTCTTGTACATCTAATTGTTGTGCTGCCGGCCGCCGACCACCGACCCCCCCGCGAGCAGCCAGCCTTCCTTTCATTCCATCGCCGCATACGCCTCCCTGCACAACACCACCCACGCTCCTTCTACCGGAGCCAAGGTCATCTCGTCGCACCTCCGATGCAATAGCCACCCGCAAAAGTCGACTGCCGACTGCTGCTGCCTTCGCATACGACTCTTATACGACGTTCGTCTAATTACCTCACCGGCTCACTCGTTTTCCCGCTCTCTCTATCAGACGCCCAGCGCTGGTATTTGACGGGAAACCACTTTTCTCGCATCTCAAACCTTTCCCAAGATGACCTCCTCTCTACCCCCGGATCCTTGGAAAGCTCTTGGTATCGAGAGGAATGCAGACAAGTCGGAAATTCGGACTGCATACAGGAAGCTGGTGCTTAAGTGTCACCCGGACAAGATCCAGGATCCGACGCTGAAGGCACTGAAGGCCGATGAGTTTCAGAAGGTCCAGCAGGCGTGGGAGCTGCTCAATGACGATGCTGAGAAGGCAAAGTACGAGCAGAAGCTTCGGCTCGCCGAGCTGCAGCGCGCTGCCAAGGTCCAACAGGACGTAAAGAACTCGCCCAACACCTCGGTTCCGCGCTCGTCGAAACATGCCACGTACGAGGTGCGCACTGCCGAGCCGGCCTCGCGGTACAAGAGCTCGTCGAAGGTGTACACATACTCCACGACACACACCCGCTCGCACGAGGAGATGCCATCATCCCGCGGCTACAATATATACGAAGACGTTGATAAGCAGGCTCGCAGGGCCGCGAGTTACGAGAAGCCGTCCAAGCGGGATGACGAGAGGCGTGAGCGAGACCGAGACGAGCGGAGACGCAGAAGAGAAGATGAGGCGTTCAGGTTACAGGAGAAGGAACGGGAACGCGACAGGGAGAGGGAGAGGGAGAGGAAGAAGGAAGAGGAGCGTGAGCGCAAAGCCGAGAAGAAGCGACTTGAAAGGGAGCGGGAGAAGGAACGCGAGAAGGACAGGAAACGGGATGCCGAAGATAAGGCCCGCCGCCACAAGCCCTACGTAGAACACTACGAGACTTACATGGGCGACATCGACCTCGGCGTCGAGGAGATCATCCTTCAGGACGAGGAGTTTGTCACATCCACATCCAAGCCAGAGAAGAAACGGTCCTCGAGCAGGAAGCATGACGAGACACGCGACCGAGACCGCGAGCGCGAGCGCGACAGGGATAGGGATCGGGAACGGGAACGAGATAAGTCGAGCTCGCGCCGGGCCAAGTCACCGCATGCGAACAGCGAGCGGAAGCATATCAACCTTTACGAGAGTGCTGCGAGTTACTTGGTAACCAAAGGCAGTGCTATCAATCCCTCAACCGCCTTCTGGAAGTCGCAGACCCCTCCGGAGCCTTCGTACATCACACCACTCGCGCCGACTCCGCCGCCTGCCGACTTTGAGGATGATAGCATTCTCAAATCGGCATCCCGTGCGGCAGGTCGCCGTGCCTCCAACGATCCTGCGAGGTCCAGGGAGAAGCTCAAATACGAGCCAAGCGATGTCACTCCCACGGCCCGGCCGGTCCCCCCCTCCCTTCCCAAGTCGTACAGCACTCCTCCTATAGTTCCAGAATCTCCTCCGCGCGTCAGCCGGTCGCAGACGACGCCGCACGATTCGTCGTACAGAACGATGCCGCACCTGCCCCGCACCCAAACATGGGCTCCTGGCAGCACCTCTACCCCTGTATACTATGCCGACATCGAGTCCGAAGACGACCGGGACCGCGACCGCCGCCGCCGTAGCCGCCGCACACGCTCGCCTTCGGGCCAGTCCACTCGGTATAAAGTCGATAGCGGCAAGACGTCCAAGCTGGACTCGCAGTACTCGTACGGCGAATCTCCGACTTCGACAAGGCGGTACGCGGGTGAAGAGCATCTTGGGCACTCCCCGTCGTCGGCAACTTACGCCAGTGCTCCCTTCTCCCGGGTCAAGCAAAGCAAAAGCTTCGGGGTGGACGATGTCAAGTATGCTCAGTACGACCAGCCAGCGTACTACTCCTCACACGGCATGGACGGGTATACCGCCAAGGCCTGAACGCTTGGCGGATGATCAAGAGGCGAGAGGAGATGCGCCTCTCGTTCTCGGTGTATTTTCTCCCATCTGCTTGTTGATTTCTGTTATAATCTCTAATGAGCGGATGATGGTAAGTGTCAAAGATGAGGTCATGATGATGAGTTTTATGGTTTTCTTTACATTCCCTCTCTGCCTGTCGCTGGCGTTCACGGATCTCGGACGGGGAATTTTGGAGTCTTGGGTGTTTTTCTTTTTTGGCTTGGTTTCATTACACAGCATTGACATGAACGACGAAAGAGCGTCATGGAAAAAAAAACAGTAACGAACCAGTCGTGTCTTTTATCTCTCATTTTGGCTATGGGCCTCCTCATCATGATGGCGAGGATTTGGCTTCTAGGGGCTATCATGGCATGGCATTTTGAGCGGGTGGGTCAGCATGGATGGATGGTTGGATGGACGGTTGGATGGATCGATGGGTTCAGATGGAGAAAGGCTGGGAAAGGGACGGTCTGAGAGGGCATCAAGGTCAGGAACTGGGAGCTATGGACAAGACTCAAACCTCGAAAGAGTTGAAGCTTTCCTCGCTTGCTACTTCCCGAGCGAAATAAATGCCTACCTCCAAGGACCTGGCATGGAATGGGAGGAAGGGAATTGGAATGACTGGATGAGAGCATCTTATTTGGATCCTTGTTTCGTCGTCGGTTTTGGTTCCCTTTTTCTTCTTCCCCCTTTTTGGATGTACTTAGTTAGCTATGACTGGGTGATGAATGCCCCTCTACGCACAATACAAATACAAAGACAAAATGATGCACGCTTGGTTTTCGGTGTCCTTTGCCGCGATGACCTTCTCGAGAATTGTATCGCGGAGTTTTGGCTAACTAGATTCGCTTTCAATCTTGGCCATCACATGAATACGAAGCTGGCTGGCTAGTAATGTCGTCCCTTCTGCGACAAGGTATGAGTTTTGATTTCTATTTGTCATAATCTCATGTAGCACCGCTGGTATCGTGGACAAGCACGAGATATCTGCATCTACAAGTCTTGTTTTCCTGCCGCTGTATCTGTCCAATTCCAATGTAATCATGCCAAATGTATCTTTGTATCCAGTTCCTGCACATTCCCCGTCGAAGTGACGATGATTGTCTCGCTGCATCACCGCCCCACTGATGTTCTTCACGAAGCCACGTCAGGGATGGATGGCCACCTCCAAGTCCGACGGGGGCAATTGGAAAACGGGGCGCCCGACCCAACCCGACCAGACCAGGGGAAACCTGTCCGCCTTGCCTTTTGCGCGTGCGCGCCCGCCCCGCGCAGAAACGCAAATGCCCTGTCGGATCGTCCGGCCCATGCAAGCTCGCAAGAGGTTGGGCAAATGCGACTCGTGTGGAGGAAGGGTGTGCTCGGGGATTGGGGCGCAGGTGTACCACGTGCCCGCATTGCCGACCCTCCCTCCTCCTCCCCCGGCACCCGCCCACTGGCTTGCTCTGCGGTTCTGCCTCATACCAAGACGTAGAGTGAACAGATCTGCATGGGAATTGAAAAAATAATTATTAGTTTCATTCGTTCTCGGTGTTGTTGTTTGACGCGGCGGGAACAGGGACACGTAAAAGCCAAAAGCAGACTTACTAGGCTCAACCCCAGGATCATGCTGCACCAGAAGCACACATTGTTGAAGGTCTTGCGGCCCCTGACCCACTTGGTCCGCTGCAGCATGACGATGGGGAGCTGCAGCATCTGGCAGATGAAGCCGTAGCCGCGCAGCTTCTTGGTGATGCAGGCCATGACGATCTCGTGGCCGAGGGCGCTGACGAGGAAGGTGATGACGGTCGCGTTGGCCTTGCCGATGTGGGGCCGGCTGGCGCTGTAGACGTGGCGCCGGAGGAAGCTGTAGACGGGCACGTTCCACTCGCGCGAGAACTCCATCCAGTCGGTGCTGTTCCACCAGTCGCTGTAGAAGTGCCGGTCCGCGAACCGCGTGATCTCGGCGCAGGCCCCGAGCACGTACTCAAAGATGACGAGGAAGACGAGCAGGAAGGTCAGCATGAAGGGGAAGAGTAGCCAGGAGATGGTCTCGGCCAGGATGAGGAGCACTTCGAGGGCCGTAAGGGCCGAGTCGGCCGTTCGCAGCGACGGGTCGAGCCTCTGTGAGGCATCGACTAGGGCTGGGAGGATGAACTCCTCCGAGATGATGGTCAGGAGGAAGATGCAGCCGAAGATGGCAGCGATCTTGGAGAAGAGGTTTTGCCAGTCGATCTTGTCGTTCCGCGGGTACTCGATCTCGTAGCACAGGGTCGGACAGCATATGTAATCGGCATAGTTTGGCCAGGTTAAGTTGGCCGGATACGTTATTGTGCCGATGGGGCTGGTTAACTCCCGGGCCAGGTCCTCACGGAGCTCGACAATCTCATCACTGTCCACAGGGACGTCATCTTCGCCCTCCCCCACCCCCTCGCCTGCCGCATCGGCTCTCTTAGGGCTACCCGCCATCGCGCCCATGGGGTTGTCTGGGGTCGGGTAAAGATATGCCGGGGCCCGCGATGCGGTGGAGGGGTTGTCAAGGGAGCGCAGTCGCTTCTCGGTCTCGCTAAGATGGCCGTTGTAGAAGACGTAGGAATGCATCTTCATTAGGAGAACCATGGTATGGAGCAAAAAGAAGACCTGAGACGTCCACGTCCAGCCCAGCAAGAAAGGCACGGCAATCCACAAGGCCAGCCACAAGACCTGGTATACGCTCATGATGGCCATGCCGCCCTTGGCCCACGTCAATGCACCTCCGGCTGGTGCAGCGCGGAAAATGCGTTGCAAGGGGAGAGAAACGGCAGTGGTGGCCACCATCAGAAAGTCGGCAATGGCCAGGTGCCAGAGCTTGACGGTGAACAGACTCCATATCTCGACGCGGAGTGGGTACCCGGTGTCTTTTATATTCCGTAGCATGGATGTTATGGCCATGATGGCAAGCCCAATCCAGAAGAGGTTGAAGAAGCCCCGGAAATCGCGGTAGTCGCTGTTCGGATCAAAGTGCGACACGCGGCTTGCGAACTCGATGGTTGGGAAGAGGCGGCGGCGCTGCTCTGCGCGGGCCTGCTTTCGGGCCGTCGAGAGGGACTTGACCGATGGTGGCGCATCGACGGGTACCGGCGTGGAGCGACCACTATGAGCGGGAGAAACGGTGAGTGAGTCTTCTGGTTCGAAAGGTTCAATACTCGTCCGACCTACCTTGTTGAACCAGTAGCGTGGCCATTGCTGGGGGGTTCGAGCGTGCCGTTTGTCTCGGATGCGTTGCTAATCTGCGACAGCTGGGAATGGAGGGGCTTCCGTGGTCGGGGCCGCACGAGGTAATCGCCGGCGGCATCCAAGACATCGGCCGAGGTGGAAGCCATTGTGCGGGAGATGGATCAGTCGCAGCGCAGTCGGGAAAACCACCGGGCACGGGGCCTTTTCTCTCCTTTTTGTCCGGGGGTGAGCGACTTCAATCGCAACGTCAACAGCCCAGTTCAGGCGAAGTGATTATGTCTCGTTTGGTTCCACCGCCTCCTGATCCAGCAGGTCGCAAAGGAAAGGTTGCTCTAACCCGGAGATGGATATTGGAGACGAGTATTGGAGAAAACGGGTATCGAAGTCGAATTGGGAATGGATCGCCTTCTTTTTCGCGAGTCGGCAGGCATCAATTGGCGGTAGAAAATAATGATAAAAAAATGACAGAATCAACCAATGCACTCCTGGGTCAAACTCAATGTTCGGTAGTCAGCCATAGCTTACTGACATATATTTGGATGCCCATCAGGGCGGCGCGGCGCGTTGCCTCGGATGGTTCCATCATCCTCTCTGCATGTTCCATTTTCCATCTCTGACCAACGGCGCATCTCGGCAGTCGTCAGCCTGTCCTGTTCTTCCTGGCTTGGGAAGCGTCAGCCAACTACGTCACTGCCACGTGATTTGCCTGTCCTTTTGGCTGCGGCCAGGTACGACAGGGGTTCAGATAGGGAGTTTCCCCGGATTGAATTCAGCGGGGCACCTGACCCATTTCATTTCAACTCTCTCTCGTCTTTGCACGAGCTTTGTCAACTTGTGGCGATTCCGAGGGACATGCAACCGAGCCCCTTTCCGGTCCTTATTGCGACGAATATGGCTAGACAACGTCCCTGAAAGCTGAAACTGGCTACATAGGCATCTATATTGTGCAGCTCAACCGACTCCCGATACCACAAAAGGATAGCCACAGTGTGGCCTCCCAGCGTTTACTCGATGGATGCATTCAGCACACAGCACGGGACGTGGACGCGGTATCCGCGGCTCTTGCATTTGATGCAGTTTCCACTTCATGGCCTCTACTTGTATATTTTTGCGGCAAACATCGTCCTTCCTGCACGCCCGGTCCGTGCCGCACAAACTTGTGAGCAGCAAAGGTCTGTAAGACGGGCCAGACGCAGTCTGGTGGTTCTCTGAAAAGTGCGACCAATTGGTGTCGAGGATTGGCCATCGTGGTGTTGCGAAGCCCAACGAGGGGTTGCTGGTCCTCGATGATCCTCGTCTCGTCTCGTCTGATGTAACACTCGAGAGGTGAATTCGTCGTTTATCCCTTTGTAACTCTACGAGGGACCCTTCAATCGCCAATCTCGGATAGACGCTCGCACCCTCTCCGGGTTGGGTTGATAGACTGATAAGCGGTTGCAATCGCGGCGAGCCCGGTGGGAGATATGCAGATGAATAAAGTATCCATGATGTGGCTCGAAATGCCACGCGGTACCAAGTATCACCGACTCGGAATGAGGCCAAGAGGTCTTACACTCGAGCAAACACGCCGATAAGTAAACTCGAGTTAAAACCAAGCGGCCTCGAGGCGGGCAAGACGGAGCCGAGGACCCACGCTACCGAAGCTTCCATTGTTCCCGATCGTCTTGGCACTTTGAGTCTTTTGGGCGCTCTTGATGAAGCGCGCAAACTGCGGCTTACTCTCTTTATGTTTTGAATTCGGACTCGGAGTTTTGTCACTCTTTATCTCTCTTTATCTAAACGGCCCCCTTTATATAGACGTCTGTGCCTGAGGTTTTAGCATCCGACATTAAAGGACTGCACCGATCCGATCACGAGCCGCCCACGGACAGCAACCCAACCGACGACCCACGTTCCTGGTTAAACTACCTGGTATCCGTACGGACTCTCACGGGCAATTTGCAGCAAACCTGCACCTCACCCTCGGTATCTCGCCTCACGCAGGCTGCGGTTCTGGAGGAGTCGGCGTTGCGCATCATAAACCGCGAAATCATCAGCGTGTGTTGAATGAAGCATTGGCGAAAAAGTATAGAAGGCACACCCCCACCTGCGAACTTTTCCCGTTCCACTCTACACACGTTCTCGACCCCGTTCGAGCAAGCTACGCTCGAGCTACGTTACCTACCGACGTTACCTACCTACCTAGTAACTTTACAAGACTACATTTACCTACGCGGACCTCAACATTCGGGATTCAGTGTCGTGCAATCACTCCTCAGGTAGGCTGCAGCCGTTCCTTAGCGTTATCACTCCAGCCCCCTTCTTGTTCGTTGGTGGACGGCGGTTAGTGCAATTACCAGCCCCTGGAACGGTGCAGTGGGAAGAAGTCCGCCCCTGGTTTGGCGCAGCCCCACTTGCCGCCCACAGTGCCGCCAAAGTCTCAGACGGGAGTCAGAGGGCACCCAGACGCTGGGGTAGTTACTGCGTAGGTGGCTCTGTTTCACGCACAACCCGCTGGAACAACCTCTCAGGGCTCCCACCTCACTCTGCCACGCCGACCCGGCGAGGTCCTCACACCCTCGCACTCCCGCCTCGTCGCCCACTTCACCCAGGCTCAGGTTACTCTCAACCGCAAGTGCGCACAGCCATGACCTCGACGCCCTTTCAATCGCTATCATCTGACAGAAGCGACAAACCAAGTGGACACAATGCACCTCTCGTGGACACATCGGCTGCGATAGTCGCTGCGGCGGCCCTCAACCGTCGCAACGCCCAAGCAAACTCGACAATCAATGTTGACTTTGTTGCTTCTCCAGTCTCTGACATGTCGGATGCCCCAGGTATCGCAGCATCCGTAGACACTATCCCGTTTCGCTCCTACACCATCGCTCCGTCACCCCCGGTGCTGGCTCCCGGGAACCGATCTCGGTCTCCGTCAGCCGTGCCCCTTGAAGAGTCGGGTCGCCTCACCCAGTCTCCCGACCACCTGGACCACACCAGAGAAACCGGCTTGAACCTGCAGACAGACCTTACGCACCCGGCCTACGGCTACGCGACGCCTGTCAAGTCCACGAGGCGCCCGGCGATCTCGCTGCGGAACCAATCCTCGGCTCAGTCGCTCCGGCCCATCTCGAGGACCCCGAGTCTCAAAGCCGGCATCTACGGTTCATTTGGCTCTGCCTCGGCCGCCAGCTCCACCGTTGCGAGTCCGATCATTTCTGCCATGGGCGACCTCACTCCGTTTCCATCGCCCCTTTTGGCAGGCGACTCGCCAGGTCCGTGGAAACAGTTGGGTCGGAGGATGTCGCGCGAGACTGCAATGTCCCCGCCAGCTTCGGCGCCACTGGACTCGCACGACCAAAACCATGTCGCGGGGACCGCGAAGAAAGGATACACAGGCCTCACGTCGGGTCCTGCGCCCGCCGATGGGACCAGCCAACAGCAAAACGGCAGACTCGCTCAGCCTCCGGTACACCACACGAGGAATCGGAGCATCAGCGAGTACATCCCGGACCCCATGTTGATACCTAAGCGCATGTCGACTATGTCTGGAACCCGTGTCAAACCCGACCTAAAGAGCGCCGCCGAGGGACACTTGCGACGCGAACCCCACCTCTCCGAAGCGAGGGGTCTGACCCCCATAGAGAAGCCACCCACACCGCCCCCGAGCGAATCATCACTGAGTACGACGGACTTGGCCCTACCTGCTAGCTCGGCGGCTAGTAGTAGCAAACAGTCAACGGCCGAGTATTTTGAGGCCCTTGGCCGATATGACCGAAAGCGGCGCCGTTGGCGGGCCGTCAGAGTGCTCGGCCAAGGCACTTTCAGCCAAGTCTACTTGGCCACCAGCCATATATCTTCATCTTCCTCCGATGATGAGGATTGCAGTTCAGGTACCGCCGGACAGAACCCGGATCAGGCTTCGGCTCGGCAGCGTCGATCCCTAGTAGCCGTCAAGGTCTGCGAGCACGGGCCCCGGGGAGGTGCATCTGAGGACCGCATCGAGATGAGCCTGAAGCGGGAGCTCGAGATCATGCAGTCAGTACGGCACCCATCGCTCGTGAACCTCAAGGCTTGGAACATCGAGCCGTCCCGCGCCATCCTCGTGCTCAGTTACCACCCCGGCGGAGATCTCTTCGACGTGGCGACTCGCCATCGCGACCTTCTCACACCATCCCTCATCCGCCGTATTTTCTCCGAACTCGTCGGCGCCGTCGCCTACCTTCACGCCCAAAATATCGTCCACCGCGATATAAAACTCGAGAGTATGCCTCCCCGCTCGTGTCCACACCCCCATACCTCCCCTCCCAACTAACATCCCATTGCAGACGTCCTCATCAACCTACCCCCATCGGAACTCTCTCCCGAAACCGACTGGACAACGTACCCCTACTCGGTCGCCACGCTCACCGACCTGGGCCTCTCGCGGCGCATCGCGCCGGACGAGAAGCTCGAGACCCGCTGCGGGTCCGACGACTACGCGGCGCCCGAGGTCATCATGGGCCAGCCGTACGACGGGCGCGCGACCGACGCGTGGTCGCTCGGCGTGCTGCTGTACGCGCTGCTCGAGGCGCGCCTGCCCTTCGACCCGCCGCCCGCGGGCCCGCAGGGCGTCGACCACGCCATGCAGATGCGCATGCGCAGCCGCACCAGCCACCGCATCGCCCGCGTCGAGTGGCGCTGGTTCGAGTACGGCGCCGCCGAGGCCGACGACGGCGAGGGCGACCACGAGGCCGAGCCCAAGAAGTTTGAGGAGAGGGGGCTGCTCGGCGCGATGGAGGTTGTTGAGGGATTGCTGAAGCGCGCCAGGAGTCGCTGGCCGCTGAGCACCGTCGGCCAGACGGAGTGGGTTGCTGGCGGCGTCCGTGTCGAGGGTGGTATTAGGTTTCGGGAGGAGGAGGAGGGCGAGGAGGTATGACCTTGGGGGTTTCTGCCTCTCTCTCTCTCTCTCTCTCTCTCTCTCTCTCTCTTTGCCTTACGCATAACCTAGCGGGGGAGGGGAGGGGAGTGGTATCACGGTTGAAGCCTCGAGAGGAGTGGAGAAAGGGGGGTCGGTGGTTGGAAGGGTGAGAGAGGAGGTAATCTTGCTGCATCTTGAAGAGCGAAGGGGGTGGACTCGGGCCCGGGGAAGGCCGACATTAATTTCTTCTATGCTGACTGACAAGGAAGGGGAGGCGAGGGGGAGGCCGTGGGATCCGTGGCCGGCTGAACTTCCATCCTGCTGCTGCTGTGTTGGTGATGTAAATTAGCATATCCTTTTTTCTTCTTCTTTCTCTTCTCATTGACTTATGACGATACAACAAGGGAAGAAGAAGAAGACGATGACGATGATGACGATGACAGACGAGGAAACGGCGTTTTTTTAAAGTACGAGGACTGGGGGCCAGCGGGGGTTTATATGCATTGTATTTATTTTGGAAGGGGGGAGGGTGGGTTGTTGCATCACATCATATCATTGTCTGTCAGTCATCATGCAGCTACCTACACCATAAAGGGGCATCTTATTGTTGCATTGGAATTGAATCAGAAGCAAACATCCACATAGGTCCCAAGCTGTCACCCTGTGCCAATGAGTTCGGATTCCCAAAGGAATCTCCCTCCGTGTTGGCGGCTGTGGTCATGTCAAAGCGCTGTACTTTCATGACGACGAGAGGTGTGCTCCCACCCAAGGCTAACTAATTATAGGGCGCTTTCAATATCTTTCATTTTAAATGCTTCGTATGGCCATGCTGGAGGGTCTAACAGGGGGACGGGCAGGCAAAGCGTGCTTTGATGCTCGTCGACCGATTCTCTGGAAAGGTCAAGTCACATTTTAAAACCACGCCGGTTTCGCATTTCGACACGCACTCGGCAAAAGCAAGTCAAGATCCCATTCCATCTAATTGCTGTATTCATGTCTACGTCAGATCGTGACCATTCCCGTCCTAGACTAAAGTTACAGAGCAACGAGACTGACTGTAAGGAATTAGGCGAGGTCGGCGAATGATGCGGATGGGTAACTAAAGTGCCAATAAAACGAGAAAAATGAACCGTCCAACTCCGAATTCCCAAGGCCGCTTTTTCATTTCCCAGTCATGTTATCATTTAGTCGACCTCCTCCATGGCGCTGTCGCCGGTCTCGGCGGCGGGAACGCCGGCATCAGCAGCCGGGGCCTCCTCAGCGGCCTCGGGCTCCTCATCCAGGTTCAGGCCGAGCGAGACGAGCTTGTGGATGCGCTCGGCGAAGCCAGCAGGCTCCTCGATAGTGAAGCCAGAGACGAGAAGCGAGGTCTCGAAGAGAAGCTGGACGATCGACTTGACGGTCTTGTCGCCCTCACCGTCCGCCTCGACCTTCTTCTTGAGCTCCTTGATGATGGGGCTCTTGGGCGAGATCTCGAACGTCTTCTTCGAGGACATGTAGCTGCTCATGGAGGTGTCACGGAGGGCCTGCGCCTTCATGATGCGCTCCATGTTGGCAGACCAGCCGAACTGGCCAGTGCGGATGGCGCAAGGAGAGCCGACCAGCTTGTGGGAGACGACGACCTTCTCAACCTTCTCGCCGAGGACGTTCTTGAGCGCCTTGGCGAGGTCCTCGTACTCCTTCTCCTCAGCCTCACGCTGCTGCTTCTCCTCGTCGGTCTCCTCAAGCTCGAAGTCCTTGGTGATGTCGACGAGCTTCTTGCCCTCGAACTCCTTCAGCTGAGTCATGGCATACTCATCGATGGGGTCAACCAGGAAGAGGACCTCGAAGCCCTTCTCCTTGAGCGAATCGAGGAAGGGCGACTTGGTGACAGCCTTGAGCGACTCGCCAGTGATGTAGTACATGTTCTTCTGGTGCTCGGGCATGCGGGTGACGTAGTCGGTGAGCGAGGTCTGCTCATCACCAGACTTGGTCGAGTTGAAGCGCAGCAGCTTGGCGAGGATGGAGCGGTTCTGCGAATCCTCGTGGATGCCAAGCTTGAGGTTCTTGGAGAAGGCGCTGTAGAACTTGTCGAATTGCTCCTTGTCCTCGGCGATCTCTTGGAAGAGCTCCAGAGACTTCTTGACGATGTTCTTCTTGATCACCTTCATGATCTTGTTCTGCTGGAGGGTCTCGCGAGACAGGTTGAGGGGCAGATCCTCGGAGTCGACGACACCCTTGACGAAGCTCAGCCACTCGGGGACGAGGTCGGTGGCATCGTCGGTGATGAACACACGGCGGACGTAGAGCTTGATGTTGTTCTTGGTCTTCTTGGTCTCGAAGAGGTCAAAGGGAGCGCGCTTGGGAACGAAGAGGATGGCGCGGAACTCGAGCTGACCCTCGACGGAGAAGTGCTTGACACCGAGGTGGTCCTCCCAGTCGTTGGAGAGCGACTTGTAGAAAGCGGCGTACTCCTCCTGGGTGATGTCCTGCGGGTTGCGGGTCCAGATGGGCTTCTGCTTGTTCAACTCCTCCTCCTCAATGGTGGTCTCCTTGACCTTCTTGGTCTTGGGCTTCTTCTCCTTGTCCTCTTCCTCATCATCGACCTCCTCGATCTTGGGCTTCTTGTCATCGCCCTCCTCAACCTCCTCGGCCTCCTCATCAGGGACCTCCTTCTCGGTCTCCTTCTGGACGTGGAGGTAGATGGGGTACGAGATGAACTCGGAGTGCTTCTTGATGACCTCTTTGACACGGCTCTCGTTGAGGTAATCCATCTGCTCATCCTTGAGGTGGAGGATGATCTTGGTGCCGCGGCCGATCTGCTCGCCCTCGGTGTCCGGGGTGATGTTGAAGGTGCCGCCGGCGCTAGACTCCCAGACGTACTGCTCATCATCGTTGTTCTTGGAGATGACGGTGACCCGGTCGGCAACCAGGTAGGCAGAGTAGAAACCGACACCGAACTGGCCAATCATGGAAATGTCGGCACCGGCGGTGAGGGCCTCCATAAACTGCTTGGTGCCAGAGCGAGCAATGGTACCAAGGTTGTTCACAAGGTCCTGTGACGATTTGTTAGCGAGTGCCCTCACCCGGGAAGGTGAAAGAAGAAAGCAGGTATACTTACAGCCTTGGTCATGCCGATACCAGAATCCTGGATGGTCAAGGTCTTGTTCTCCTTGTCCGGGATGATGTCGATGCGGAGGTCCTTGCCCGAGTCCAGCTTGCTGGGGTCGGACAAGGCCTCGTAGCGGATCTTGTCGAGCGCATCAGATGCGTTCGAGACAATCTCTCGCAGGAAGATCTCCTTGTTGGAGTAAACGGTGTTGATGATGAGCGAGAGAAGCTGAGAAATCTCAGCCTGGAACTCGAAAGTCTCGGCCATCTTGAGGGTATGTGTGTGATCTCTTGGGTATCTGGTGGTTGAGAGGAGTCAGTACCGCTGTGTAAAAATAAAAAAATAAAAAGTTGGTCGGCCGCGGGGCAAGCTCCGTGCGAGTCAAGTGCGGGGTGGGTTTTGCTTGTTGCCGCAGCAAATTGCAACAAAGGAAACGAATCTTCAAGATTGTGATCCAGGAAAATGTGACTCGAGGATCGCGAGATTGTGGGAAACGAGGCAAAGGAAATCGTAGGAATTGGGGAAAAGCGTTGGGGCCTTGTCGAAGGCCGTTGACGAGGCTGAAGGCGAGAGCGATGGCGGGGAACCAACAAGATGCACTTACCAAAGAAATGGGACGTGGAGGATGATCAACGGTCTACACCTCGAAGACCTTTCTGTGGGTTTGTAGAGGAAAAGTGAGAATAAGAGGAGCGATGGAGAAGATGGAGGAGGAAGAGTTGAGGGAGGAGGAGCCGTGGCAGCTAAAATGTATTGCGGGCTGTTCCTGGGCTGTGCTCTGAGGAGTTTCTACGGGATTCTATCGCCCAAATTCTGCGGCTTTCTTCTGATTCGCTTCTCCCCGCCTCCACAGCGACCAATGGATACCGCTGATTGGCCACTCACCCCAGGTCCTCTCAGGCAGCGGCCCACTGGAGGCTACGATGGAATCACAAGCTCGGGATTCCAACAGATGCTCAAACCTTTGAAAGAAGTGCATGTACGGAATTAGAAACGTGACACCAAGCCTCCACAAACATCAAGAAGCAGCCTAGATTTCCGTGGTTTGTTTCGCATTTTGGCAAGCACTGCCAGTGGCAAGGCATGGAAATTCGGAATGACCTAGAAGAGTCTCGACCACAACCCCGCCTACGAGGCTGAAACGAGGCTGGTCGTTGCCCAACTGCCCCGCAGTTGCCCCTCCAACAGGCGGTCAACCGCCTTCAACCTCAACAGCGACCGATGGTAGCAGCCTTGGGCGGGTCATACAGTTTATTATTTTATTTTCGGAGTCCGAGGAATGTATGGAGGCGTCGTCTCTCGGCGGCTTTGGCTCAGCTTCTGGGCTACCTGCTCATCTTACATCCTCTCCATGCCCCTTGCGCCGGTTTTGGTGTCGCGCCCCGGAGGTTTCAGACACCCGCCGTACGTGCTTCTTGCTGCCCGGACGATTCCACCATTGCCTTGCGTTTGGCCTTCTCGGCATAAGACGGGGGAGCAAAACGGTACATCAAAGCCATCAAGATTGAAGCGAGAGCCTGGGTAGTTCTTTGCGTTAGTACGAATTCCAAACACGGCCCTCCTTGGATTTGGATTCCGTTTGCGCGGAGCGTGACGATGGAAACTTGGTTCTTACCGGTCCTACCCACCACACCCAATGGTCTGTGTTGGGTTGCGTTGCCTCGGTTAGCTTCTCGACTGTGATACATTGGCATAAGGAGATACTGACGATGCCAATTTCGTCCTGCAATGGCGAGCGCGATGGCTCGCGCGGGGTTCATCGAGGCGCCTGTGTACCCGGGGGCAACGCCTGTCGTTGAGGACGACACGAGACCTAAGCTGAGCCCCACAAGCAGCGGCCCAAGCTGGCGCCCGTACAGGACTTGCTGTCGTGGATCCAACCCGGTGCCGATCGCCAGGTAACTGCGTAGATAATCGCGGAGCATGAGCATCTGGTCTCGGGACTTTCAGGGAAGGGAAGGCTGGCGGCGTACAGAATGGTCATTGAGGACATCACCTCGATTAGCAAGACCTGACCGGGCGAGATTTGCGTCGGATCGAAAAAGTTGCCGCCTCCCATGCGGCTGTCGGCATAGTGGACGCCAAAGGTCAGCAGTTTCACCACGGCAGAGGGTATATATCACCGATAAAGCACTCACGAAATAGCTCTATCTTGACCCCAGGAACCGAGTAGCACGCCTCCAGCGAGGACACCGCCGAGAATTTGGGCCGTGATTAACACCACGCCTTGCTTGTTAGTTATAAGCCTTTTGTCGCCGAGTTCGGCTGCTCTTACCTCTTGGGATAGGCGTCAAGCCACACAGCATAGTCGTGAAGGTGATCATGGGGTTTATGTGACCGCCCGTGGCAGTAGCTGTTGCGTATACGAAAAGAGTGAGGAAAACGGCGTTGTAGATGCCGACATAGGCCGTGACTTGGGTGACACCGGTGTTCATCAGAGTCATGCTAAACTGTCCGGAGAGGTAGATTGAACATGTCGTGGCAAAGCACTCAACAAACTAGGAGCGATTGTAAGCAACAGACAGACCTGGGAAGGAAGTTACCTAAGGAACCCGTCACACTTACAGCAGCCCGTTGAATTACGGGATTCGTCCAGCCATCAAGATAGTACTCTCGTCGATAATACCACGGCTGAGGGCGAACTCCGGCGATGTCCCGTCCTGTCCCGGCAAATGAGCCCTCGAATGCACCGTCAACATCCCGCGAGTCCGTCATCTTGGAGCTGGTTCTCTCCCGTAAGGGCGGCGGGGCCGAGGAGGGAGCTGGCATTGGACTATTCGTATCCGGCGTCTCTAAGTCGTCGTAATGGATATTTTCGCATATTTCTGCGACGACGACCCCTCTACTTCTCCTGCCATCTTGGCTACTTACCGTTATATAACTACCTACCTAGCAAACCTTGATCGTCGTGATTTCTCGCCTTTTGTTCCTGAACATGGGTTGGCGTGAGTAAGCAGCTACATAATGCTTATGAATACAGCAATTATCCCGTTATATGCAGTTTAAGTGGTTAGCAAGGACCGTCGATGGCACCGTCAGATCCCTTTTAGGTCTTTTGTCGCGCTCTCCTCGAGCTTTTTTCCCTCCAAGTTGACGGATGTGGTGGAGTTTCTGCCGTAGACGATCGCGACGTCTGTAAACCCTAACCCTGTGAGCCGCGGGACCTCCCCTCCTCACACACCCCTGAGCCACCCACCCCTGAGCCACCCACCCCAAGCCCTTGGCACATAAAAGGTTGGTGCACCGCCCCTCGATAAACAAGGCGGATGGAAGTCCCATGCAGCAGTTCGGAGCTGTGGAACATTCATTGCTTGCGTGTCTTGCGGGTGGATGGCTCGAGATGGCGTCCCTGAAACCCCAACTCGTGCGTTAGTTGGCTGAAATAAATAGAAGGTGCCGTCGATCGCTCCTCCATCCGATTGCGTCACAAAACTAACCTGCAAGCTACCCCGCCTCCCCGCCTCAAGTACATACCCATTGACCCTCGACTAACTCGGCTCCCTCTTTCCATTCTTTCTCTCTGAACAAATTCGTCCCATTCTCCAAAATCAATCAATTGACACCAGTTCCAAATTCAATCACTCCATCTCAACAAAATGGGCATCCCGCAGCTTGACGGTCTTGAGATCGTGGTTTTGGCCGAAGGACAGGGCACCCGTGAGACCAAGCGTGGTAAGGTTTCCCGATTTACCCCGCCTTTAGCACCCCTCCAAGGAGCTCGGGGTGCCTGCGAATAGGTTGTGCAGGCCTTGATACAGCGACTGACGTATAATCCAGGCGACAAAATCGCGGTGCACTACAACGGCACGCTCGTCGATGGTACCCCGTTTGATTCCAGTTACAGTCGTGGAGATCCGCTCGAATTCACGGCCGGCGGCGGCCAGGTCATCAAGGGCTGGGACGAAGGTCTTCTCGGCATGAAGATCGGCGAGAAGCGCAAGCTGACCATTGCCCCTCACCTCGCCTACGGCGACAAAGAGATGGCCGGCACTCCCATCAAGGCCTACTCGACCCTGGTTTTCGAGACCGAACTCGTTAGTATCAAGGGTGTCAACCCTGGCGAGTAAATAATGGATGGACTTTCGGTATGATGGATGAGGTGTCTCTGGACAGCGGTCGGGTTTGGGCGTGAAGCCTAGGCGTAAACGATGACACTAGCTCGTTGAGTTACGACATTCTAAATCGAGATTACTTCTTCGGGTTGGCCTCCGGCCGCACTTTTCTCCTCGTACATGCTTATATTCCCGTAATGCCTTAACCAACGCCGCCGCCGTTAAATCGAAAATGGAATACATCCGACCGTACTATACCCAATGGTAATACACCCGATTGTACATGCCGTCTACTCCCCATCTATGACCGTTTTCGCTCCTCGCCGGGGGTGATGCAGTCCCCGAGTTGCCTGTACCGTCTATCTGTGTACAACAACCCAAACCTCTCCTCCCTCTCCCTCTGCGCCCCAGTACCCTCCACGATCTCCAACACCTCCCCGAGCACAATGACATGATCCCTCACCCTCACCAACCCCCTGGTAGGCTCGTCATCGAGCAACCTACACCTCAAGACATACAGCACCCCCCTCCCCCTCCAACACCGGCGCCTCCTTACCACCACCACCACCACCACCACCACCACCAACGATACCACCACCCTCCTCAACGAGCCGCTCGAACGCGCCCCGCCCCTCGGCGTTGCCCCCCGTGAACCAGTCCGCCACCCGCGCCCCGCCCGCGTCGTCCGCCAGCACGTGGATGTTGAAGCACCCGCTGGCCGCCACCGCGTCGAGCGTGCGGCTCGGCGTCGCGATGTTGAAGCTCACGACGGGCGTCGGGGTCAGGGCGAGGGAGGTGAATGAGGACATTGTCATGCCGCGGGGGGTGCCTTGTGTTGGTGTACGGGGGGGTGGGTTTGGTGAGCTGGGTGAGTTGGGTGTGGGCGAGTTGCTGGGCGTGGGTGGGGGGTGGGTGGAGGTGCAGACGACTACCGGGTGTGTGAGGAGGCGCATGACGCTGCGGAATTGTTCGGGGAGGGGTGGTGTTGGTAATGCGTCGGCGGAGGAGGGGTGCGGGTGGATGGAGGGGGGTTGCGGTGCGGTGCGGTGGAAGGTTCGTGGGTGGCGGTCGTGGTGAGGTTGGGAGGTGGTATGGAAGTGTCGTCGGGTTCGGGGAGAGGCGGGAGGGTCTGGGGGAGAAGTTGTTAGCACTCAGTACGCGGGGAGGTAGGTGGTGAGGGTGGGTTGATGGGATGGGCACTGAGTGGTTTGCGTACGTTTAGAGTAGCAGCATATCCCCCCGGAGGCTAATGTCGGCAGCGTGGCTGCGGCTCGGGGCCGTTGCATCGGGTTTGTCCAGGCCGAGCAACCATGATTGCGCCGGGGAACGAGAGGGGCCAGGGGAGCGCGCTCGGCGGCCAAGCCCGCCAGGACACGGCAACTGCTCATCTCAACCCCATGAATACCAATGGCTTGCAATTGAAGCCACTTGGATTGTCTCGGTGTTGCTCGGTACTTTGCGGGTACCCGGGTGGTCGGCTTCGGGCGGCCGAAATTTTGGCGGAGCTTGAGCCGGGACGAGCACAAGCCCGGGCGGAACCCAACCGGCGATAAGCGATCCGATAAGAACCCTGATCGTCAACCACGCGAGAATATTTGCGCAAGCGGCCGAACCGCTCACCGTATCAAAATTTCATCCCCAGTCGAAGCCCCAATTGCAGTTCCAGCACCCGGACGCCTGCAGCCGACAAGACGAATTTGGGGGACACCACCAGCTCAGCGACGCGGACAAGGAGCGGAACCATACCAATTGCGCCGTCCTACCACATCCCTCCCACCTCCCATCCCGAAACCTCTCCACTCGACGCCCGAAACCTTCACACCAACCCGTCGATTCACCCTCTCTCCCGACGATAACCTCTTCCAATATGGGGAAGCTCCCCAGCACCCTCCTCCGGCGGCCGTCGCTGGCCGGCTACCTCCCATCAACATCACCGGCACTCCCCCACCACACACCCACAACGGCGGGCGGCCTGCTCTCCACACCACAAAAAAAAGCGGCAGCGGCAGGCCAGGTGCGGCACGCGACGTTCGTGCCGCGGTCGCGGCGGCCGTACCAGTTCACGCAGCTGGTGCAGCTGAGCGACGGGTCGACCTTCACGGTGCGGACGACGTCCCCGCTGGCGCTGTACCGGTCGGCCAAGGACAGCCGCAACCACATCCTGTGGCAGCCGACCGAGAAGTCGCTGCGCAACGTCGAGGTCGACGAGGCCGGCAAGCTCGCCGCCTTCCGCGAGCGCTACGGCTCCTCGTGGGATTTGGACGCGCCTACTACTGCTGCTGGCGCTGATGCTCCGGGTGCTGGTGCTGCGGCTCCGGGTGCGGGTGATGCTGCTGCTGCTTCGAAGGAAGGCGGGGAGAAGGGCCCTGCGGTCGAAAAGAAGGGCGCCGCGGAGGAGAAGGGCGACAAGAAGCAGGTGGATGCCAAGGAGGCCAAGCCAGCAGCGGCACAGGAGCCAGCAGAGGCCGCGGCGTCGGCCGATCCTTTCGACTCGCTGGTCGACCTTATCAGCACGTACGCGAGCGAGGACAAGAACACTAAGGGTGGGTTGAGCGCCAAGGACCAGGCGAGGAAGGAGAAGAAGAAGAAATAAGCTGCCTAAGGGGCCAGAGGTTCTGTGGGAGTAGTGTATGCTGTAACATAGAAAACAGACCTGTGTATTTTGAGGAGCCGACGTCCCGTCTGATAGATGGATGGATTGAGAAACCGGAGAAGGCTACCGCGGCATGCGGATACGGCTGTGTATAATACAATGACAACGACGCCATACAGGCTCCTAAGCTGTCTGACTGAATCCCACATGGCTCCATCCAGCGCCACACGCCCCCATACAGCCCTTGCACATCCACTATGCTATCTGTTCCGTGACAGAATCAAGCAGGGTGTTCCCCAACCTACGCCTAATCCGAATCTTCGTGGATCCTCGCCCTAGCCCGATCCACAGCCGTGTCGCCGGCAGGCTTGTTTGCCTGGATAACAGGGGGGCGGTAGAAGACAGTCTCGTCGTCCTCAGCATCGAGCTGCATCAAGAACGTCTCCCATTTCTCGATCAACTAAACAAAAGCAAGAAAGTCAGCAAAGAACTGTCCCTCCCGTTCAACTGAAAAATGACCTACCTCCTTCTGCGCCTCGACCGCGCTCTCGAGGAAAGTCTCGACCCCGGATTTGAAATCCTCCACCTTCTCTCGCTCAAAGCGGTCCAGTTCCGACCGCATCAGCCGGCCCATGTCTTCAAACAGAAGCCGCGCCTTGTGCACTTTGTGCTCGGCGTCGGCGACCTCGGCGTTGACCTGGTTGAGGCGGTCCTGCTGGCTCTTGCCCTGGCGCAGCAGCTTGTCCTGCGCGGTTTTACGCTTGGAGAGCTCCGACTCGGTTGCGTGCCAGCTATGGAAGGCCTTTTGGCGCTGTGAGAACGCTTGCTTGACGCTGCCGATCAGCCGGATGTACTCCTCGAGGATGATGCCAAATGTGAGCACGTCTTGTTGTGCCTGGCGGTCGTAGACGTCGCGGATCGTGAGTTGTAGCTCGGAGAGGGCGTCGAGGGGCCCGGAGAGGGTGGGTGAGAGCTCGACGGTAGAGAGGGCGTGGAGGGAAGCTGAGAAATCACCGGCTGCCTCGGCCATGGCCTTGCGCTGGGCAACCATGCCGTCCATGGCTTTGAGGAGCGCCTTGAGTTGGTTTTCGAGCGCGTCAAGATAGACCCTGCGATCATGGAACCACTGTGAGGTATTAGCCACCGCTCTCGGCACTATCAGTCTGGGGTACTCACATCATCCTGCTCGACGAACTTATTCCCACCGCCCACGCCGAACCCCAGCGACCCGAGCACGCTCTTGCTCTCCCCGAGACTCGGCTCCTTCCGCTCCTTGTGCTTGACATCCACATTAAACGCCTCACTCTCCAGGAACAGCTTCAGATCGCCGTCCTGCTGCAGCGTCGGGTGCGCCGCGGTCTTGTTGAGCATCTTCTCTAGCGCCGCGCGCCGCGCCTCGACGAAATTGCTCTCGAACCGGCCTACGGCCTGCTTCTCGGGCGGCGGCGGCACCACCACGCCGGGGTTGTTCGCGTGCAGGGTGTTGTACAGCCACAAGAAATCCCGGTACCGTCTCTTAACCTCGAACTCGCTCTGCTTATACGCCTTGGACGTCGTCTAACCCCCCCCCAGCCCACACACGTCAGCCCTCACCTATCCACCAACCTCCCCACCCAGGCAACAACAACAAACAGGAAAGAGAAACATACCGTGGTCCTAACCGAATAAACAATATGACTACTAGTCAAATCCCCCACCTTATGCGGATCGCCCACCGCAATATGGAAGCTCGGCCGCGCCGCCTGCTCGACGCTGACACTCGGGCGCGTTGCCGTGTGCAAGGGACTCGGGTGGGCGGCCTGCACGGGCGGCGGCTGTCTCCCGCCCGGCCTCCCACCATCATCCCTCTCGCTGTCGTCGTCGTCGATGCGATGCGGGTCCGGCGGCCCGCCGGCAGCACCAACACCAACAGCGCCGGGTCGGTGTTGTTGGTGCGGGTGCAGCTTGCTCCCGCCGCCAGCCGAGCCCGGGGTGGGGGGCCCCATGGTGGTGCGGAGGGGGAGGTTGTTCTCCTTGAGCGGCGGGACGGGGGGCCCGCCTTCTTGGCCTGCGGCCGGGCCGAGCGGGGAGTGGAGGGCATCGGCGGCGGTGGTGGGGAGCGGGGGGGTGGCGGCGGCAGAGGTGGCGGGTGCGCCGAGCGGGCCGAGGGGGTCGTCTTCGACTGCTTGCAGGCGGGTGGGCTGGGCGACGAAGCGGCGCGGGGTGATGCGCGAGGGGCGGGCGGAGGAGGATGTCGCGGCGGCGGTTGTGGACGGGGCGCTGGAACCGGTGGGAGCGGTGGCGGTGCCGTCGTCGGCGCTCTCTTGGGTGGAGGAACCGAGAGGGTCCGATGTGGCGGCCGAGTCGGCCCACGGGTCTTCCATTGTGGGCGAGGAGTGGTTGGGATACGGAGTAGGTACGGCTTTATTGTTCAATTGCTGCGCTTCAGGGACCCGAAGCCAAACGTGTCGTGCAGCAATCCCAGGCCAGATGATGGGGCCTTGCGATAATTGCGGGATGCTGGTGGATTGTGTTTGTGGATGATAGTGGTAGAGGAGCAGCCGCCTGGAGTCGCTGTGTTACGTAGCAGACGTTAAGCTAAGCCTTTCTTGGCAGTTGATCGATGTGGGGTTATCGCGAGATTCAAGGTGCCCCTCGGCCCCTGAAGTGCGCCCCCCTTTCGTTGTCATGCACATCGTTTGTATGGTGCCCGTGCAAGCAGCCCGTCTCATTGAATGTTTGAATCTCTTAGTTATAGAGTCTAGAAATCAAAATCATGCACCGTGGATATCTGAGTCCGTTGCACCCGTGTACTATACATATCCCAAACTCCAGACTTGAACCCGGCCGCCCAGTCAAAAAAGCCATCACTGAACCGTCCGATCTTTGGAATGGCAGTTATTCCGCATCCCTCCTGTCGGGAATTATACCTGCTTAGCCTCGGCGGTCCTACCGCTCAGGGTCATAACAGCCGCCCGCTACGATCAGGTTCATACGTGTGAACTGTACCTTCATGACCGGCGTCTTCTTGGTCGCAAAGGCGCTGATCTGGTCTGGTGTGACCTGAACCTCCTTCCCTTTCTTCTTACCACCACCGCCTCCGCCGGATCCAACACCACCACCGGATGCGCTCGCGCCGGGCGCAGGCGCTGACTGACCGCCCACCGTAATGCTGCGGCTATCCGAAGGGCCCCCGACGGCGATGGTGTCACCTGCCACCGCCCCGTCCACTTGCGGTGCCGGCTGGATAACACCGGCCGTGAGCGGGTTAGCCTTGCTGGGGTCTGCGGGTAGCTCAACATCCCAGACACGGACGGTACCATCCAGACCGCCGGATACAAGAACGTTCGACTCGGCGCTAAAACTGAGAGATGGAATCCCGCCTTTGCCGTGCCCGCGGCATCGTTTGATACGCGTGCCCTTGTCAATGTCCCAGAGGATGATGTTTCCTCCTGCGTCGGCGCTTGCCAGTATTTTCCCGTTGTGGGCACACTCGAGAGCGCTGATGTAGTGAGCATGGCCGGTAAAGACCCGTACGCAGTTACCGGTGGTGATGGACCACATGCGGATCGACTTGTCCATCTCGTCTGAAGCGGAAAACACATAGGTGCCGTTCGGGTGCCAGGTCAGCGCCGAGATACTGGTGTCATGGCCGACCATGAGGCGTTGCGCCGAGGCATGGTCTTGAGAAAAGACACGGACCGTCTTGTCCCATCCTGCCGTGGCAAAGTAGTGTCCGTGGGGACTCCAGAGAACACGGAAAACCGGCCCGTAATGCGACTTGTAGATGCACAAGCATGCCCACACATCCAAAGACCAGAGGCGTATTTGGCCGTCGGCCGAACAGGACAACAGCAACTTCGTGCCTGTGTCGGGCTTCTTGTCGTCGCCATCGCCATATATGTTACGGTTCAGGTTGGCGATTGAGTCCGAGAATGCCACCCCGTACACGGGACCCGAGTGCCCGATAAGTTTCCGGTTGTTCACCTTGAGGTCCCTCTCGTTCTCGACAGACGTCGGGAGCGGCTTGCCATCAAGAGACCACACGCGGATGTAAGAATCCATTGTGCCAGCCGCCACGAGCTGGTGGTCGTTGGAGAAATCCATGCATGACACGCTAAGGAATTGTCAGTTTCAGCCAGCCTAGGAGATGTAGATACGAAGACGCAACGTACCTTCCGAGCGTGTTGTGGAAAGTGAACATGCAGGACGAAACCGGGATGCCAATACCGCCTGTGCGTCCCTCGATCTGAAACCTGTCGCGGTTTTCGCGCACCTTTTGCATCTCCATCACCACGTCTCGGGCCCGGGACGGAGGAAGCGGCAAGTCCGCTCGCGAAGGGGCGTCGGCGCTTTCCTCGCGCTTAATGCGCTTGTCGAACTCTTCGACCAAGGAGGACCGGCCGTCGGCCGGTGGATTTCGTTGGTCTTCCTCCTCGAGTTCGGCCCGGACATCCTCCCTCAGATCGAACTCCATCGGCATCGGCCCAAGCTTGAGCTTGGCGCTCGTATCAAGGACGTCGCGGTTCGATACTCCCGTGAACACGCCTGGGATGCCTTCTTGTGCGTCCACCTCGTCCAGGTCAAGGTTCTGGGCGCGGCGGTAGATGGCCTCGAAGCTGTAAGGCTCAATTGGCCCGCGCGCGCTCGTCTCAACGCTGCAGTAGGTCTGGAGGATGTAGGTAATGGTCGCCCCGCCTTCGTCTGACTCGCGCTCGAGGAAGTGGAAGAGATTGCCAGAAAGCGACTGGTTCAGTGGGATGCGGTACTTGTTTTCCCGGTAAAGCCGGGTAGTCTGGTTTTCCTCGACATGCTGGGGCAGCGTGACCGTTGTCAGCAGCGCCAGGGCATCATGGTGGACAGCGTCGAAATTCGGGCGCAGTGTATCCAGTAGATGCTTCGCGTCATCGGTGTAGCCCTGCCCGATGAGCTCTAGGTAAGAGTAAACAAAGACGGGCCAGAGGAGCTTTCTGAGTTCAAACTAGAAAATCTCGAGTTAGCCGCTAGGTAAGGTAGAGTCCAAATTATCAGAATGCTTACTTTGTAGATATCGAGATTGTTCTCAATCCAGTTTCTCAGCAATACAAAGGATTTGAGATACTTCTTCGGACCCGGATCATCGCTTCGCTGGGCGGGTCTCCCGTCGGGGCCCAGATAAGACGTTTCTTGCCGGAAGACGGCTTCGGTCTTGGTGAAACCTTTCTTCTTCAAGTAATCGGTGACCTGGTCGGGAGATGGTAAGCTATGGTTCGTGGGTCTGTTGAGAGCTCGCTGAACACCAGCGGGGCGGTTCTGAGATGGCCACTGAAACATGGCGAGGCATTTGGCGGTTGTGGTGGGAATGTCTATGTAGAAGGGATAAGGAAGCGTTGGAGCGGGAAGAGAATATATGCCGAGCGAAGGCTTTGTCCCCGTTGATAAAATAGAAGGAACAATAGCCACAAGAAACGTTGAATGAGGCTGCCACCGAGGAAAATCCGATCGGCAGGTCAAACCGGCTCAGCACTGAGAACATCCTCTTGATAAGCCCTTTCATGGCCATGGAAACTCCATTTCGAGGCGTGCATGGAGAGCGGCTGCATTCCATGTTTGTGGGCGCTGTGTTGATATTGTCCATGATGAATTGTCTTGAGAATGAGGAATTGACGGCTGTAAAACGGAGAACAACACATGAAGTTTCAAGTACTCACAATCTGATTAAGATTCTGGGCGGATGGCGGGTTGTTGGTGTTCGTCGTCGCTGCCGCATTGCTGGTACCAGGACCCCCCCGCCGATTGAGGCTGGACGCCATAAGGCCCTCCAGTTGATCCGGGCATGGTGCCCTGGGGCGGTGGGTTCGACATATCGGGAGGTTTGGAGTACGTGTATCCAGACAAGTTGCAAGGGCCGCAGCAGCGCTTGTTATGAGGTGAGCTCCCACCTCTTATGAGCGCGTGGTGTGCTGGTGCTGCCGTGCAGGGGCAACGAAGGAGTCTGGGGCGCGTTTCCCCACGAGCTCCGCTCCCACGCAGTTCAAAATCCCAGTATAATAAACGAAATCGTAATTTTTACGTGGATGTATCAGGCGTCCAGCGTTTGATGGGGAATTGATGAGAATGTCGGTTTTTCTTGTTGTTTGATATTGCACACGATTCAAGAGATGCAAACGGAGATGAGGCTGGTTGTGAATGAAGACCCAGAGCCCAGAACGGAGCCTGCCGGAGTTGACCAGGTTCTTGCTGCAGGATGGCCTGTGCGTCCCGCAGCCCCACAGCAATTCGATGTGGGGGAGCTTGGAAGCTTAACATCCCAATTTGATCTCGATGGGAGAGGCATTGATTTTGAACTCTCGATTTTACCACAATCACCAACCATACCGCACATGGTTATCAGTAACAACATCCAATAACCCCAATCAACAATCTCCTCTTCCAACCCCATAACTCACACCATGGACAACCCGACACAACCCCCGGACCTCAATGGAGGAGCACCAATCGACATCCACAAGCCCTTCACCTCAGGCGAGCGCATCCAACAGCTCGGCGAAATCGACCAGGACATCGCCTCCCTCCTCGTCCACCTCTCCTCCGCCATGCGCGCCCTCGCCACACCCCCCGGCACCACCGTACCCCAGAACACCACAACCACAAACGGCCACAGCCCAAGCGACAACAACAACAACCCCTCCATCCCCAACTCGGAGGAAGAAGAAGCCGCCGCCGCCGCCGACCCCATAACCGCCTTCAACACGGCGCAATCCTCCTTCTTCAACACGGTCGACCGCATCGACAAGCACCTGACCCGGCAGATCCTCGCGCTCGAAGAGGCCGGCATCATCACGCTGCGCAACAGCGGGGCCGCCGCCGAGAACCAGCCAGGCGCCGAGGCGGGCTCGGGCCAACAACCACAGCAACAACAACAACAACAACAACAACAGGCAGGCGGGGGCGAGTCGGGGGGCAGCGGCGGCAGGGCGCGGGCTGCGGGGCCGGCGCGGCTGGAGCCGGATGGCATGGGCCGGTACGGCTCGCTGGATGTGGGCAAGTTGAATATGGCGAGTAGTACGGTGGAGAGGGATATGGAGCGCGAGTTGTGGCGGCGGGCGAGGGAGGAGCTCGGTAAGGTTGTTGGGGAGGGGCTGGAGGAGGGTGGGGATGGTGATCGGATGCAGGAGTAGATATCCTTGGTCGCGGGGTGGGGAGGCAGAAGGTTGCTGGTTGGCGTTTGTGGGTTTCTGGTTTGTTGGATGGGTTTGAGGCGCTACCGCCGGCGTTGGTAAATGGCAGGGTTGAGATTGGGAGGTTATGGATATACCCTTGGGAGTGGGTGAGCATCATTATCAACAGCGTCTTTTCTTTCCCCTGCATACAATACAAGCGCTTCATGGGCAGCACCGTACAAGGGGTTGGTTTATGCAGGTGATATTGTTCATTTGGTCTGCCTCGATTAAAGTAGAAGGCGGGTCCTTCTCAACCGCGCCCATACTCCCATCACACCTACTTTTTCCACCTCAACTACCCGCTCCGAAGCCTTCTGAGCCAGAAGCGACCTTGTGAGGGCGTCCTGAACGCACCCTAGGACGAGTGGTCGCAAAGCTTGTCATAGGCGCCCGATGCAATGGTACCGGTGGTCTCGATAAAGGCCGAGGTAGGGATGCTGTGAGTGGTCAGCAATTGGAGAACCGGGACTATGAAGCAGAGGGGATCTTCTTACACAGCATCAAACAGGACACAGTTCAAATGCTCGTTGTCGGTCCCCACATTGGCTACACAGCAGTTAACCTAAGTTCAAGTTGGGGAAGATTTCGGGGAATTGTACTCACCATACCAGACAAAGTAGGCAGCGCAGCTGTCATCGGAATTGCATGTGTACTGGCACTTGAACGGTCCGTAAGGTTCGCTCTGGTGCGTGAAGCTCATGATCTATTCCCCAATTAGTGGATGTTCGGCAGTTCCTTATAGAGGTAGTAGAATACTTACGTGCGGGCCAGAGACAAAGTGGTCGTTGTACCAGTCCTGCTTGACCTCATATGAAGTCCAGTTGCTGTCACCCGGAGTCACCACGGTGTAATCGTTGATCGGATAGCCCGCAGGGTGCTGCTTAGACGCCGGCATGCCATTAGTGCAGACCGAGGGCATCGCATCACGAGTCGGGGTCGCCAGAATGGGGTCGGTAACCCGGTGGTGGATGGCCTGAGGAGGCACGGCCAGCGACACTGCAGCCAAGGTGGCTAATAGAAGGAAGGAGATGAGTTTCATGGTGGCAGCCATCCTGAGGACAGTGGAACCAATGTGAAGTTTTGGAGACGAGGAGTTTTGTCGTGAAGGGTGGCTTTGTAGAAGACAGCTGACGGGAAAGGGTGTGAAGTAGAAAGAAAAAGAAAAGAAAAGTCCCGGAGGTCAAAAAGAATAAATAGCCTCACTGCCTAGGTAACGACAGTAATCTTAGAACGGGAGGGAAGGAGCGATACCTGTGTTGGCCACACCCTTCTCTTTTGAGTTCGAGGTGCTCTTCATCAACGCGTGAATGCTGCTTCTCTGCCTTGTCAAGAAGTCGATGAACGTTAGAAAACGAGAAAAGACTCCTATTGACCTGTTTCTTTAACCGTATATAAACTTGCCGAGCTTAAACAACCAGTCCGGCTCTTTGCCTTACATGACTTACGAGTCAATTTCGCCAACTTGTCACCAGCATCGGTACAACATGGATCGTTTGGTGCCACATTTGAGAAATCATGATATTTGGGTTCCAGAATGTCAATTCACCCCCGAATACTACCTACTTGCAAGTCTCCAAGGTGTAGAGGAGCGGGTGGCTGCTCAATATCAAGCCCGAATTAAGCGCCCATCTCCGACATATACATTTACACAGTATATATCACTGAGGCAAGATCGGCACGGTCATTGCCCAATAAATAACCAGGCTAATGGCTGAGCCTGAACGATCAAACCTTCTTGTCCAACCCAGTCCTGACTCGACTGTCGATCCTGCCACGCAAGACGGGTAACTGCAGTGCTACACCATCGGCAGATCAAAGGATGGTTAGTGTAACAGTGAAGTAGGACGACAATGGAAATGAGAGACAATCCTACGCAAACCCTCCCCAAAAGTAAACAAGTTGAAGCACAAGGCGTGTGCGGGAAGCATCACTCATACTACTACAACCACAGAATCACACGATGTGTAAGATCCAAAGAAAAGACACGTTATGCTGTTCATCCCCAGTGACGTAGTACCTTGTAGTGTATTACATAGGCACCTTACCCAGACACTCAAAATGGTGTCACCTACGCCCTCATCTAACCCTCCTAGGAGACTCGGCGCTCACCCAGGACAATTACACACAAATGCCAATGACATTCCCCCACTGCCCACTGGCAACACCATGCTTCCAAAAGTAAAACAGAAAACCAAGTCCTAGCTACTCACGAGACGAACACAACCCCAGGCAGCAAGCTCCCATGCCACTCACACCTCAAACGCCCTCCTCCCCTCCACCAGCCCCTCCGACAACTTCGTAACCGCGACCCAGGCGGGCGCAAACTGGAGCGCCTCATCCAGCGCCGGTATCGTCCCCGGTACATTGGCATCGCTCCACATACACACGACCGTACCCTTGAGGCCCTCCCCACGCCTCCTTAGCTCCTCGTCTCCCAGCACCTCCCCATCGCCCTTGGAAGAAAGAGAAGCAGAAGGAAATGGGTCCTCCGGAGACCCCGCCTCTTCATCCTCTCCCCCCTTCCACTCCACATCCACCACCCACTTCTCGTCCCACCGGCGGTGCCACAACCGCAGGTTCTTGACCCCCGCGTCAGGGAACTGCCCGAACCGCTCGTCCCACCCCGAGCTCCCATGCACAGCCAGCGCCGACACCGGCTCGTCAAACTCCAGAAAGCAGGCCTTGGTGTTGTTCGCGTCGATCTCGATCCTGGCCGCACGGCCACCCGTGCGCGAGGCATTGACCGCCACCAGATGCCCATACCCACCACCATCCCCACCACCGGAAGGGCCCTCACCACCAGCAGCAAGACTCGGCGGCGTGCCGGCACCATCAAAGCAGCAGCTGACCAGGCCCGCCCTCTTCGACCCCCCGGTGCAGTCCACATCCCGCCCGGAGGCGGAGGGCAGCGAGGCGACCACGGCGCGGACATACTCGTCCACGCCATGGTAGCACACTCTATTCGCACCCGTCTCCAGATCCAGCGTCTGCACGAAATAGACCTTATACCGCGCCGCGGGCGAGAAGGGAAACGCGACCAGGTTGTACACCAGCGTGGCCACGAAGACGGCCGCCAGGAACACGGGCACGTGGTGCGAGACGCGGTGGACGAAGGGCGCCAGCGGCAGGAGCAGCACGAGCACGGCCAGGGCGGCGAGCAGGTAAGGGAGCAGGAGGCTGCTGCCGTCGGCGCCGGTCTGGTGGACGGCGTCGACCAGCATGAGGGCGATCTGGGCGACGAGTATGACGGTGAAGGGCCCGAGCAGCAGGAACTGCAGGAACCAGGTCCAGGAGGGCAGGCGGCCCGACCACGCCTGCTCGCGCTCGAAGGGCTCGCGGTGCGGGCGGTCGCCGCCGCTGTCGCTGTCGCTGTAGCGGCGGGCCCGCGTGACGAGGGCCGATATGGAGCGCCGGTAGTTCGTCGCGAAGGTGGTGCGGGTTTGGTCGGCATTGCCCCCGACGAGGGGGGTGCGTTCTGTCGGGGCGTTGGTGGAGTCCTCATCGTCGTTTTCGGTTGGATTCGTGCGGGTAGATGCGGTGTGGTTCGAGTGCCTCGTCCCGGGGGGTGTTGACTCCTGGTTGGGAGCTGAGGGTGGCAATTGGGAAGGCGAGAGGGCGCCATGAGAGCGGCCCCGCTGGTAATCCCTCTCCTCCTGCTCGTCTCGCGTTTTCTGGGCCCAGGCAGTCTTTTTTGGCAACGCGAAAAACTCGCAAAGCGCGATAAAGAGCGAGAGGAACACACTGGACTGGAGGAAGACAAACATGTACCCTGCACCGATCCTGAGACGGTCCTCGGCAACGGTAACCGCGACGAGCATGGCCCACCCGAGGACGAAGAGCCAGATCTGGACGTAGACTCGGTGAAGAGCGCTAGGCCTCGCAAAATTGGCACCGCGCATAATGGCCCAGAACGTAAAGTAGAACAATGAAACCATCATGGCCAAACTGCCGGCTTGTCAGCTAGTGCTCTCCGCATCCAGAGGAAAAGGCTAGCTTACACCGAATACCGGCTGCTGTAAATAATAAACGGATTAACCTTGCGCATCAAGAACGCCGCTCCAATGGTCAAGGAGCCGGCGACCACCAGCGCCAATGGGAACCGGAAGAAGCCCTTCCACCCGCCAACCGGCAAGGCTTCATCATCGGGCTGGTCGCCTGGCTTGACGCTCGAGGTGAACATATAGTACTTATCCGCCCTATGGAGCAGGTAGCTGAGCAGCATCAAAATAAGCGGCGTGGCGATGAGCACAGTCAGCGACCAAGCAAACAATCCCCTGAGACCGAAGAGCACGAATCCCTTGCCAAAAAGATCGAACCACACCCCGTCGCTCGGACTGCCATTGTGGACCTTCCCGGACGCACCGTCAGCGCGGGGGCCAATAAAGGTATCGCCTGTGTCGCTGGACAGCTGGGTAGCCGTGTGGATGGAGGCGGACAGCATATGCCAGAGACTACCCCTGGATGCGTGCCTGGCGTCGTCTTGGTTGGTGTGGTACCTCGCGCGGGGCTTGAAGAAGGCCAGATCGAGGCCGCGCTGGCCGAAGACGTCATAGAGAACCGAGTAGTCAGTGCCGCTTCTTATGAAGCCGAGGCCAAACGCATCGGAGCCGATGACGGTACCGAAGGGGTCGGGAGACCCGGCGTAGGCAGCGGTCACCTCACGGTCGGTGGTGCGGAAGAGGATGGCTCGGCCGCCGGCACCAGCTCCCTCAAGGTTCAGGAAGGTATGGATGTATGGGTTTAATGGATGTTGTCCGAGGGCTCGAGCGCCGTAGAGGTAGTCTTCCTCGCCGTTGTTGAGCATGACAACGATGCCCCTCTCCGGTCGGTTTTCGGGACGGGTGAAGTACTGGATTAGTTGCAGGCAGGTCACGACACCCATGCCGTCGTCTGTCGCGCCGTATCCAGTGGAAACGCTAGTATCGCTGTCAGTCACCTCTCATGTTAGCATAATAGGATGTAAACTCACGAGTCGTAGTGAGCGTTGACCAGCGTCAAGCCTTTCTCGTTTCGCCTGGAGTCGTGAACGCCCGCTGTGTCCCACCACTTGCCCTGGTCATCGGCTTTACCCCTGATGTAAACAAGAATGTTGGTGCCCTCAAAGTACGCGGCAACCTGGGGCGTGTTTGGGGGCGGGGCAACGCCCGACGACATAAGGAAAGTGCAGTTAGATCTCAAGTCGTCGAACACTGTGACAGCGGCCTCCGAGTTGTTGGAACCAGGCCTGTTGCATGGTTAGCGAAGCTTTGGACCGACATCCATTGCTACCCACTCATCCATCGTCCAGGCCGCCTCATTATCATCCAAGATGGAGCGTATCCGCTCGAGGAGGAACCCCCGAAGATCGTCATTGTAGTGGCTGTTGTAGGGATGGTAGGCTCGGGTGAGGGTGGTCAGGTCGAGCCATGCCTCGGTGAGGTTGGTGCCGCGTATCGGAGACTCCTCCCTCGGTGCTGGCGGTGTTTCCTCGTTGATGATGATGATGGGGATGAGTAGGGCAAGGTAGGTGACGGTTGTCCAGAAGGTGACCGGTCCTGGCCGGAATGAAAAAGGGTTGTTGACCATATTGCCTGATCTGGGTAATGCTACCCCAGTTCTAGGCCCCCGTGAATTGTTGATGGGAAGCGAGATGAGCAGTAGAGGCACCGGAGCGGAAAGCGACACCTGCTCATAAACAACGAGGGTGGTTTTGAGATGACATGGGATGAAATTGGCAGAGAACAAGGTCGAAACAAGTACAAATGCGGGAAGTGTTGTAGCGGTAGCACACAGATGATTCCCTAGTGAAGCATTTAAGTAGTGAGAGAGGCGAGTCGAACGGCGCCGCCCGTCATCAGTGAGCTCGGCTTTCGGTGTTTGGGGATTGCCCGTCTTTGTCGGCAATTGACGGGAGTTGTGGTGAGCAAAGTTGAGTTGACTGTACCCCCTTCCGACAGGTGGAAATTCCGCAAGTCTAGTATAATTCAATGCATAAATAACACTCGTCGGATTCTCTACTTGGGACCGAATAGAGGAGCTGAAGTTGTTATGTTGTGAAGGTGGAAGGGCCGGTGAGCCGCTGTAGGAGATCTGCGGGGAGCAGCTGAGAAAGCGCCTCCGAGAGGCACGGCAGGCTGCACTCAGCTGATGCGTGGCCCAAGCTCCCATGTGCTGTGATGTCACAGGGACTCGGACCCTAGCTGATCTGGAACACCCCTCTGCGCGCAACTCAGACCGAACTGTCGAATAAAAGAATGCATCGGAACCTCATTGGGTAAGTGATCCATTGACAACAAGCAATAGCTTTATTACGGCCAACATGATACCACTTCTTGAGCTACATAACGCCCTCAAGTGCCTATGTTTACTCTACTCACGTTGCATTTCACAGATTACACACTGATCATAGACGGGTTAAAAGATATTCTCTCTAAACTTGTGCCGTTAGTGCCCACCGGAGCTCGTGTAGCTGTCTAGCTAGCAGACCAGTCAACTTAGTTGCCAACCTATTGTCAAGCTGGTTGATGAGTTAGGCTATGGAGGAAGCGCGCCATCGTAAAATAAAAATAAAACAACAAACATCCTATCGGTCAGTAGCATCCCACTGCCCAACGCAAAATATATTGGAGCAGAGTTAGTTCGCTAGCGTCTCCCTTAAGCACCAGGGGGAGGAGGCGGCAGGTCCATGGGCGGAGGAGGCGGCGGAGCATCTCCCGACGGGGGTGGAGGTGGAGGCGGGGCGGCATTAGCGTATTGGCTGATGAGGGCATTGAGTCCACCCGGGAGGCCAGGCGGTGCGCCGCCCGGAGGAGGCGGGGGAGGCAATCCAGGAGGGGCGCCACCCACTCCCGGGGGCGCGCCAGGAGCGCCATAACCACCGTAGCTCGGGTATCCACCATATCCAGCTGCAGCACCCGCCGGCTGGTTCCAGGGAGCAGTCCCCGGGGCGGAAGGGGCGCCGCCATACGAGCCCTGACCACCCGGGTAGTAGCTATCACCACCATCACGGCCATCGGAGCCGCGATAACCACGATCCCTATCGCGGTCACCACCGCGGTCGCGAGCCCAGGGCGCAGGTCCGCCCGAGGGGCCAGCAGGAGGCCCGCCGGGAGGTCCGCCTTCGCTGTCGCGGTCGTTGTTCCGAGAACGCCAGGGAGCAGGTCCGCCGGTCGGGCCACGTGCCCAGGGCCGAGCATCGGCGCCACCAGCGCCACCAGCAGCGGGAGCACCCTGGGATCCAGGCCCTGCTTCGATGCGCGCGGGAGCAGCGCCCGTGCCACCGAGTTCTTGCATGAGTTGCTACGATAAGAATTAGTACATGGGTTTGTTGGGTCACAGAAGGAGCATGAACATACCTCGTACTCTCGGTCCACTGCATCGCCGCCGCCGCCGCCGCCCAAGCGAGGAGCGCCGGGCCGGCCCATCGGGTTGTCGTTACGCCAGCTCGCGCCCCGCTGTCTGTCAGGACAATCACGAGCCATATGTCCAGCGTTACCACAGACACGGCAGATGATGCTGGCCGTGTAGTTCTGCTTCTCCGGGCAGTCGTACTTGCGGTGGCCAATCTGGCCGCAGTTCTGGCATGCCTGGTTTTCGTCATCACGAAGCGTTCCGTTGAGGGCAGCAAGTTCACGAAGCTGGTTACGCTTCAGCTCGTTCTGGCCTTCGGGAATAGAGGCAGCCTAGAAACGTCATCAGTATGCGCTGTGGGTATGCGAGGGGTGAGGAACACGAACCGTCTCAATGACATTGTGGATCAGCTTTTTGGCCTTGTTGACCTTGTCCTCGGTGTCGGCCATGATGAGGCAGTGGAGATCCTCTTCCTGGTTGCTGGAATGGGCAGCGTCGGAGCGGCCTTTGCCCTCCTTGACGGAGCCCTTTCCACGGATGGCAATCTTGGCGCCGGATTCTGATTCCATTTTCTTGAGCGTATTGCCACGGGGTCCGATGAGTAAGCCAACTTAAGTAGGGAGAGCTAGGTGTTAGTGAACTGGGCCAAATAGTAGAACGGTGAGTGAGTTAGAGCCCAGCAAGGTCAGCCCGCAAGGCACAGCATCACGGCGGGATGCTGACACGAGTGAGTGCCTGGCAAAGTACCACGGGAAAAGGGGAGGTTCAAAGTGGTTAGAGAGGTTAGAGGGTTAGCAATCATACTGAAATTGATCTCTGGATAATCGTTGACCGGCACGTAGACCTTCTCCTGGGTCTTGGTGGGCCGGCGATAGTCCTGGGGCGGGTGGTAGTTCGGGATGGTCTTCATGGCCTTCTCGATCAGCTTGTGACGCTCGTCCTCGAGACGCTTTCGGTAGCGGTATTCGCGGGTGTTGACACGGCGACCATGGTTGTCGTACTGAGGGGGGGGCGAGGGCGACCTAGCCGGGCGCGTCAGCAATTGCGACAGCAACTGTTTGGGTGGGCGATGAGCATACCTATCTCCGTCGGCGGGAACGACATCGTCAATCTTGAGCTTCTGGGTGATTTCCTCAATGCGCAAATGAAGAGTGTAGGCCTCGAGCTGCTCGCTGGTCATGTCGGCGACGATGGCGGTCGGTAGGCCCATTAGGCCGGCAGCCTTGTTCTCGGTTGCTTCGCCCCAGCGGTTGCGCTTCTTGCGACGTCTCGGTCCGTCAAGGTCGGATCCTATGGAGAGTTAACATCATGGTAGGAGGATGTGGCTGTGGACTGAACGTACGCTCAGGGCTGCGGCCGCGTTTGACATCACGGTCGCTATTCGAAAATCCATTCGGCGACACGGTGCCATTCGAGACGCCATTCGAGACTCCGTTCGCGACACCAATTTCTTCTTCGTCGTCACCACCAAATCGGCGCTTTCCCAGGGGAATGTTATTGGAGCCGGTGATGCCTTGATTTCTCCACGACATGCTGGCGGTTGGTTCTCAGACTGGTGTGGGTGGATAGGAAGTATCGCAAGGCGATAACAAAATACTTTTGAAAGAAATCGAGATGTCGAGGCGAAGAACAAAGCAGCATTGCCACTAACTCCATCGAGGCCCGAAGGCGTTCGTTCCCACGTGACGGAGGTGGCACCGTGCACGGATCCCTGTATGTGCGAAGCGGTCCGTACCAAATATTCTGTGTGGTACAGATTACTGGCAGCTTACTTGATACGCCAAGGCTCACACTCACACTCCTCCTCCCAGACATTCGACCGTTCATCAAACACGACAATCATAAGCGCAAATATATGAGGGATGAAGTAGTTCTTGATTTCCATCAACTACATCCATCAATAAGCCAGCGTGTTTGAAGTCACTCTTCATTTCTTCTTCGCGTCCTCCTGCATGCCCTGCAGGACCCAGCCCCTCGTCTCCTCAGCGGCCTTGTCCTTTTCCTCCTCAGTCTGGTGCCGGTTCTCCAAAGCCTTGTGCCGGCTTGGGACATGCCTGCCCTTTTCCGACCCAGGTCGGGCTACAATCTTGTCGACCCAGGCATTCAAGGAGGGGAAGTCGTCCAATGAAATACCCGCCCAGTCTTTACACAGTTAGCCCCTATCGTTGCCTCTCGGAAAAAGGTGGGCAAATGACACTCACAGCCAGCAGCGACCCAACCCCAGCAGGCAATGTCAGCGATGGTGCATCTGTCACCAACGAGATAGCCTGACTTGGACTTTTTCAGATGATCATCCATGACACGGTACAGGCGCCGCGTCTCGTTCTGGTATCGGTCGATGCCGTACTTGATCTTCTCAGGGGCGTATCCTAGTCGTTGTCAGTCAGGTTCAGGGCCTTAAAAGTGCTACCATTAGCTTACTGGCAAAGTGGTTTGCTTGACTAATCAGGTCCGTAAGTCAGTACAGATCACGGCCCTCTCTCACTCGCTAGGCACACTCACCCTTGCATCGGCCCAAGACCGCCCATCTGCCAGAACAACTGTTGCCCGCCACCCAACATTAGCGATCGCTCATGCTCGTGTCTTCAGACCCGAGGGCGTACATACCCAGTTGTTCACTTCGTAGTACTCGCGCGTGCCCCGCGGGTACGACAGCTTGTGCTCGGTGTCGTAGCGGTCGACCAGGTACTGCATGATGGAACCGCTCTCAAACAGGCGGATGGGCGAGCCATCGGTGAGGGTGTCGGTCAGCGCGGGGATGCGCCCGTTGGGGTTGATTTCGAGAAACCAGGGTTCCTTTGCAAGGCCGTCAACAGATTTGTCCTGGAGTAAACAAGTCGCCCGTCCGGCTGCCAACGGGACGATGCTCCTACCTTCTGGGTGTTCTTGCCCAGCTCGATGGCGGTCACCTTGTCAAAGTCAGCCTGGGGTGCACTACGGGTACTTAATGGGGAGGTTTCATAAAGTAGGTACCTTGTACGGCAGACCGAGCTCCTCAAGAAGCATCGAGACCTTGATGCCGTTGGGCGTCTGGGCCGTGTAGAGGTGGATATCTGACTTGGTCTCGGCCATTTTGCTGGATGTGCTGTCGCTACTCGATATCAGGTGTGATGCTAACAAAGCCACTCTTTGCATCGAGAGTCAATGGTTTAAATAGGTGCTTGTGAACGCTCGTTCGTATAAATAAGTTCCCGGTGCGTACGGCAGGGACGGAAGCACGAACATAACATCATCGATGCGGGGCTTAGAAATCAGGATCCCCTTTCTGTCGATTACTCCGCAATGGGGAGGGGAACATCATTCAGACCAATACCGCCCACAAGATTCGACCGCACTCGCTCGGTATCCCTTTAATACACAATTGCAACAGTTTTAGCGGGGCCACCAATTGGAAGCTGTAGATGCGCCAAGACCGTATCCACAGTACATTGCGTTTTGGTGGTGATACATTTGTCGACCCTGGACCGCACCAAAATGCCCCCCGGTAAATGTGTAAATCCCACCAAAATAGTGTGGCTCAAGTGTGGCTGTTTGTACCCAAGTAGACTTGGCGCCCCGCTGAAACTGTTGCAATTGTGTATTAAAGGGATAACCCGGGAAGGCCAGTGGGTGGGGTGCTGCAATAAATAGCACTAGTGCTCGATTTGGTTTTAGATGCGTTAAGAGCATCTACTTTAGGTATTCATACCGAGCATGGAGACATTACGAGTATGTAGAACTCCATCGTCTTTTGGCCCCCTTACAGATCAAAACATTTGGCTCGGGAATTAAGAATACTATTAATTATATTAGAATATATCGAGAAAATAGTGTAATCAGAAAGTTATGACCCGTTGGGTAACCAACATCAAAGCAATCAGCTCGCTACCATCGTCGCTCATCCAACCGCGATAACCGCAACAACCCCGGGCCCTCTCTCTCAAAACACACTGCACATCCTCCCATCCTCCCTAACCCCCCATCTCTCACTCCCCACCCCCTTGGAAACATAAAAGAATCCCTCCGGGTCGTACACCCGCTTGACACGCTCCAGTCGCTCATAATTCCCACCAAAAAACACCTCCTGAAACCGCGGCTGACGAAAATCCGCCTCGTTCATGTACGCACCAGAGCCGGGGGTGACGGCCTCGAGCCTAGGAAGGATATCGTCGGTCATGAGGCGCTGGTTGGCGAGCATGCGGTCCCACGCGGCCGGGTCGAACGACCACTCGGTGGTGAGGGTGGCGTGGACGATCGGGCCGGCGCGCCAGGCCGGCAGCACGGCGTTGGTGCCGCCCCCGCCGAACCGCGAGACGTCGGTGCCGACGCCGATCCAGGTCACGTTCTTCTCCGCGATGTACCGCGTCACGGCCGACATGCCGGTCGCGTTGGCCTCGAAGGCTGAGAGCGGGACTAGCCGCCCGCCGTACTGCGCGATGCCGACCTGGATGTTGCCTGCGGGGAGCGGGCCGAAGTACTTATCGTAGTGCTCGTAGTAGGTGGCGCTTTGGCTGTAGGCCGAGGTGTATTTGACGCCCATTGCAGTGAGTGTGGTGAGGAAGGGGGCCATGATGGCCTCGACCTCGGCGGCGGTCTTGTTGTAGGCTGTCAATGGCGCGATCATGAAAAAGTCAGAGGTGAAGAAGTACACCGTCATAGCTCCCGCTTCAACCATGGCGGGGAGGGCGGCGTGGAAGGCATCGACGGCGCCATAAAAGGACTCGGTTGGGTTTTCGCTGGCGTAGAACGAGAGGGTAGCGCCGCTGACGTGGGCGTCAGGGAAAGTCTTGACGGTCATGCTGACAACGACGCCATAGTTGCCGCCGCCTCCGCCGGAGAGCGCCCAGTACAGATCGGTATTTTGTGCTTGCGAGGCCGTGACGATCTCACCAGCAGCTGTGACGACTTCAAACTCGAGCGTGTTGTCGGCCGACAAGCCGAAGGAGGTGCTCAGGGCGGAATGGCCACCGCCCTGGGTGTAACCACCAGCAATGCCGACGCTTGGGCATTCGCCGCCAAGGACAACCTGCTTCTTCTCGAGAGCCGCCGACATGGCTTCGAAGCCTTGTACGCCGGCGCCAAGCTTCACGGCACTGCCTCTGTAGTCCTCGTCGTTCCACTCCTTGAACTCGATGCCGTCGAGCTTGTGAGTCCATACCGACAGAGCCCCAGCGCCCGTGGAGCGGCCAAGGTAGTCATGACCGGTGTTGCGGATGACAAAACGAATGTTGTTCTTTTTGGCAAACTTGACTGCAGCAACTATGTCGGCGGTCGACTCGGCCTCGACGGCGTAGACCACATAATTGCCCAGTGTGCAGGGCTTCGACTGTGAGGTAAAAGGGTCACAGCTCTGGTTGGCAAAGAAAGGGGCCATGACCGAAGCCGAATCATCCATGCTATGCCGAGGGCCCGGTTAGTGATCGACACATACAATCCTCCGACCTGGCCGATCCTGGTCATCATACAACCCCGCGCTTCGGAGATAAAGTTATGAAGGGGCAAGAGGGACATGTCTTACTGAGTAGCCGGATTCTGCCAGCCATCACGCAGAGCCTGACATCTCACGGGGTCGTAGTTGGGGTCGTGACAGGCCTGGGCGAGCGGCACCGTGGCAACCAACCGGCCGCTGACCGTCTGGTTCAAGCTGTCCCAGTCTTGGGTTGATGGCCAACACGTGTCTCCCGGGAAGCACTTGCAGTTGAGGGGGTTGAGTGATACCGAAGCATCCAGATCAACTGCGAGAGCGCTAGCTGCGAGTAGACTGGCGGTGAGGAAGGGCGCCTTCATGGTTTCTACAAAAGAGTGACGAAATGTGAGGCTATCAAAACAAAAGTGAACGTGGGAAAGAAGGTGCTCGAGGAGAGTCTCCTAAAGAAACATCATCGTTGCACGAAAAGAAAAGCCCCAGGCATTTGATCCTCCGTCAGCCCCCGCATCGCAAATCAATGGAGCCATACCCTTATTCGTTCCGTAGACAGAGAACCCTGGCAAATTCCGGGGCAGCGGAGATGGGTGAAGGGGGTTTTGAGGTTCAAAATACCGGTAGAGAGTTCTCTCTCCACTGAATTTCCCCACCGGTCACCCAGGACTGGGATTTCATTGACCGGGAAGGAGACGACAACGAGCGAGCACCGGTCTCACCGTGGGCATTCGCGCTTTCCGGGCTTGAACCGGCCTGTAAGGTGGTGATACGTGGCACCGAAGAGAAACACCCCGCACAGGATGGCCGACTACCATGGGATTATTATCTTCGGGGTGTTTAAACTGAACCTAGCCAGTAATTTAATATGAATGAAGGGATGAGACACGAGTTAAATGTTATGTTCGATGTAAAGGAGTTCAATCCTGCCCAAATCCCGGCCCAGACAATCCAGACTCTGCTTGGAAAGAGCCTGCTTGCCCATTTCTCGATCGGCACGGGTTGTGTTCCCAAGTACTATGTAGGAAGGACGTCTTTTTAATACCGGAAACGGAAAGATCCACTCACTCAGTACCTTGACGACTTGGCTTTCGATCTTCGATCTTTCCCGCCTGGATCCCCTGTCTCCCGCTCTGTCACCTCGATTTGAGGTATCAGCGATCGCTTCGCTTTATCTTTTCTGTTCCAGACTAGGTAGATGCGTGAGACCTCATCGCGTTGGTCCATGTCGCCTGGTGTCTATCTATCGCTTCGTTTTAGCTACTCGGCAACAAACCGATTCACAACTTTAGCAACAGACGAAACGACGAGGTTATTTCTTCTTCTGCATCGTAGAAACAACTCCATACAACCGGGCTGATGACTTATATCTTAGCCTCTCAAGTGTTGATCGTCGTCAAGCGTACTCAAACGGGCAATGTACGCGAACGACGTGCCCGGGAGCAATCGCCGGTCACTTGTCGACGGCCCTCGGGATAGGTTGTTCGAGAAGGAAGGTAGGGACATGTCGACATATCTCTTCTGCTAGGCTAACCCTGTGTCGACTGCATCCGTCCTCGGCGACTGCAGATCCCTCGAAATGTACACGGACTCCCTCCCCGGATCTGCACCGAGCTTTTTCTCAGATTTTCTTAGCCTCTCGGTTTTTGGTCCAAGTAGAAGTCCCGACTTCAGTTTCCCGATGCCCCCTGGCATCCCGACAAATCGGTATCATCAACTTGCTGTCTTTACGGATATGTACTCCCCGCTGAACTGGCTATATGGAAGCTCCGACGGCTGCGGGTTGGCATGCGCCTGCACCACCAGTCGAGGTTTATCACGCCCTCATTGTCCCACCAAAATGGTCTTGACTCGAATTCGGGGTCCAGAGGCTGATCGTCATGCCCTTCCTGCCGTCGCCACAGGGATTCTCCCAGCTTCTCGGTCCACATTTCTCGGCATATCTACAGACCAGAACCACGTCCACTTAGTGTCGTGCAACTTGGAACGGATGTTTCTGGATACAACATGCCGATAGTGGCGTAGAACCATCGTGTCACGAATCTTCAAGTGCCAATCCTCTCTGTGGTCGGTCTGATCATTGTGGCATTGTGAATCCCAGCTCAATGGAACTCCCTGTTCTATCGCGAGCACATGTGATGTGACTCGTAACGCATAATTATTTGCGTTTGGACCTGCTATGGTGACCGAGAAACCCTCCGGCCGCTCTTTCATATCCGGCCCCCCTCCACCCCGTGGAAGTCGATATTATAGCAGAACCACTCCCATCACCCGTGGATCAGCGGTTCAACCTCCCCACGGGTTGTAGGGTGTCTCCTTCTACCATTTTTCTTCCATGACCAGCCCCTCAATGTCAAATCAAATGACCCGCCACATCCCGAGTCCGGGGCAGCATTGAAGCTGATAAATGTCAAGTATCGGATCATCCTCCCAAGTCCATCTGTACCCCTGAAAATCCTCGTCCTCCCCACCGCCAGAGAGGCCATCAATATGGGCTGGACATACAACACCAAAGACCCCGATGCCCCCACAATCGGGCCCATGATCACGGGTGTTGCTACTGCCCTCACTTTCCTCTCTCTTGTCACAGTCTGCCTTCGGACTTATGTGCGGGCCCGCTTAATCAAGGCTTTCGGGATTGGTAAGGCTCTCCCCCCCCCCCCTGGCGGCATCCCAATATTTACAAGGCGAACAGATGACTGGATTATTCTGGTAACATGGGTAAGTTGTATCCATCACACGTGGTTGGTCTCCGAAACCTGACAGAACCAGATCTGCGTGGCAGGGTTCGCCATCGTCAGCGTCGTTCGTTAGTACCGAGTCTACTCCGAGGGATATCCGCCAGAAGACTGATTGTTTGTAACAGAGACGAAATGGGGCCTCGGATTACGGCATATCCAAGATTTACCCCTTGAAGACGTTTACAACTTTGGTCTTGTGAGTCAAGGTGTTATGGGACTCGTAAGGTCGACGTACTAACCAGACCACAGCTCCAATATATGGGTGCCCCTTTGTAAGTATCAGGATTTCCATGTCTACTAGATAGCTATGTTGTTAACACTCCCGTATAGCTACATCACCAGCATACTCGGCTTCAAACTTGCCCTCCTATTCTCCTACCGCCGTTTTGTCCCCATCGGCGCCTACCGCCTCACGTTGTTTACCGTCATCACAGCCTGCGTGCTGTTCCACCTCTCCTTCCTCCTCATCCAGCTCAACCTCTGCCAGCCGATCCGGAAACAGTGGGACCCGGCAATCACCTACGGCTCATGCATTCCCGGCGTGCCCTTCTACACCTCCATGGCCTCGATAACGATCGTCTTTGACGTGACAGTGTTCGTCCCCCTCCCCTCCCCTCCCCCATACACACGACCACTTTCCACCCCTCCCCAACTAACCTCCCCCCTAAACAACAGCATGCTCCTCCCCTTCCCGGTCCTCCTGCACTCGCGCATCCAGACGCGCAAAAAGGTCGTCCTCCTCGGCCTCTTCGGCCTCGGCGTCTTCATCACCGTCATCCAGATCATCCGCATCCAGACGGTCGCCCAGCTCGCCAACTACACCGACTCGGCCCCGCTGATCCTGTGGTCCGCCGTCGAGACCAACCTCGGCCTCGTCGTCGCCAACGTGCCCACCCTCGCGCCCCTCGTCAAGTACTACAGCGAGCGCACCTCCCGCGGGAGCCGCGGCGGTGCCGGTGCCGGTGCCAGTGCTAGTGGTTATGGGAATAGTCGTAGTGGGGGGGGGATGGCATCGGGGAGCGGGAAGCCGGACGGTAGGAGGGCGGTTTCGTGGTATGGTGCGTGGCGGTCGCGGGGTAATAAGGAGGGGATGGAGACGCTGGCGAGTAACGCGACTGAGATGGGGAGTTTTGACGAGGGGCGGGATGCTGTTGCTGCTGCTAGTAGGGGGGGGGATGGGAGTTTGGACTCGGTGGGGCGAGATCTTTGCAGGGTTGGTGGTGGGAGTGCGCGGGATGTGGAGGTGGAGGTGAATCACCATGATCGGTGCGTGACACCGGGGGGGATTACGAAGAAGGTCGAGGTTGTAGTTACGAGGAGTTAGGGGTTAAAGTGGGCTATGGTTACGGTAGTTAGGAGTCAGCACCGAGGATTCCCTAGTCGTCACCGACCTGAGTAGGGACTGATTCGGCGACCGTTGTAATATCCAACAGACACCACACCTAGACTTGGTAAAGACAAGCCACCTGCTCCATAGCAGCCAACTAATCTGTACCGGCTACCAGACTAGACCAGAACCAAGACACCTTGGGACACACCTCCACCAATCACCAAGCCCCCCCCCTTAACCTCGGGCTCGTAGGAACTGATAAGACATGATATTGCAGCGTCATTTTCTTTAGTACGAAGTACTCATCACTGCGGCTAGGACGCCGCGGAGAGGTCGGTCAAACTCGCTCGGGAGGTCGTCGTCTTCGGCCAGGTGGATGAAGTCCGAGAGCCAAAGTTTGATCTATCCGCTGGGAGTCGAATACATTGGCTTTGCTCTTGACCTGGGCCGACCTTATATAAACCTCTTCGAGGTTGTTTAATCTGTTCTCAGCTTCGGCAGTATTAAACTTCACGAACTCATCTAGCCTAGCCTACGGGTCGAACGCCGCCATCACTTTGAGACTGCCCTGGCTAGGTACTTAGGTACCTTATCTAAGGCAATTAATCAGGCCCAGTACTCTGCGTCAATTCGGAACCTGATCAGTCGAGTTTGAGTAGGTACCTACCTACCTAAGCCTTGTTCGACTTGGTCGATTTGTCAACCTAGGGGCGGACCAATGCTCGACAAAATTGGCGGCAGTGGCCCGCAACCACCACCCACACGTCGATCGAATTCTGTTTCCAAGAACCAACACGTCGATGCACCCTGCCGCCAGCCTCAAGTCCAGAAATAACTGCCAATCATATCGTTTCAATGTTGTGTTTGTTCTGGAAGAGAGGGGTAGGTAGGCAACAACCCAGCCCAGTTCACAGCCCTGCCCTTTTGAACACTCGTCACAATCTTCTCATCCGTACCTGAAATCTGCTTTCCTCTTCCTTAAGGCATTTCCTGACTTTCCCAACCGAGCCGGCACGTGACCATGTCAAATATCGAGAACACGCGGCCCCGATATATCGGAACGAGGTCTCTACGGAATTCTGTTGGGTCCATTGTGTTCAACTTTGTGTTCAACGGTGTGTTGTTCCGCGTTGTCGCAGCTACCCCCGACGATGCTGGTGAAGCCTTGGTTCCTGTTGATTACGATTACGACGAGTCCATCGAAGGCAAAATCATCAACGAAATCATCGACCTGTCCATGCTTGAAGGGGACGCGGCGCGGGACGCGGCAAACCAAGAAGCAACCGAACGGCTGAAAATGCAGCTGGCTGACCTGGCCGCCGATGTGTGCCTCCCGACCATGCGGCGCCTGGCACCGAGCCAGCTACCGGCGGTGCAAACACTGCAGGACGAGCTCTACCGCCCGACCTATGCTCTACAAGTTCTCACGGAGGGCAACAAGCTGACGTGTCTGACGCTGGACGGCTACACGGGGATCCCAGAGCGCCACCCACCCGTACCCGACGAGAGGCTACGGGCAATTGGACTCGACCTTGACACCACCGATCTTCTTGTTGTCAAGCCATCGCAGGTTATCCTGGTTCGGCGTCTACAACACTTGGTCTCGGCGGTAACGGTGGACGGTGAAGAAATGGTTTGCAAGGCCTCGCTTGACCTCTTTGAACATGCAGTTGGCGATGAACTTGCGACGTATCTGAAAATAAGAGCGGCCGGGGTCAAGTTCAAGATACCCGAGCTAAAAGGTAGGTAGGCACAATCCCAGTCATGGCCTAGGGGCTGATATTCATGTTTCCATAGGCATCATACGATCCCACCGCGGAGTGGTCGGCATCCTGCTTTCCTACATCCCTCATAAGCACCACAGTCTCCACACCATCCTGGCCGGTGTTAAAGAAGGCACCATCCCAGCCAGTGAAGCGACCCCATCGTCGCGGCAGAGGTGGGCGTGGCAGATTAAGGAGACTGTGGCGGGCCTGCATGGCGTAGGAATTCTCTGGCGAGATCTCAAGACCCACAACATTCTCATCGATGACAACGGTGACGCCGTCGTGCTTGACTTTGGCGGAGGGAACACGGTAGGTTGGGTCGACAACGACAAGTACGCCACCATGCAGGGCGAGGAACAGGGGCTTGGGAAAATAATGGAGGCCTTGGGAGTACAGGATTTGGGCCTGGTGGGCGGTGTTGGGGTTGATGAGGCCTGATGGCTTGTCCGCTTTTTTGTTTGTTTGCTGCTAGAAGTTCCGTATCTGCTTGGAGTGGTCTAGAACCGCAGCTATGAGGACAGGAAAGCGGGCCTTTTGAACAACTAGGACCAGAAGCCGTAGTTGTTAGAGAGAGAGTGAAACCGCGACTCTGGACCTGGTGTTTGCAATGTGTAGCGGCCGAGTTGCCCTGGGCAGGTACGGGGTAAGACCGTTTACAGGGATAAATTCAATTTTTTCAGGCGCATTTGTGAGAAGACCAACAGGCAACAGCCGCGATACCACGGCTGCAACTGCATAAAGTCCTTGCAGTGATGTATCATACAGCCGAGCCGGGGCGGTGCTGGATAAGCCATTTGGGGGCTGCTCGCTAGAGATCCCATAAATAGAGGCCCCTAAAATGAATCAGTCCAGATATTCTCTTCAACCACGGACAAAGTCACTCGGCCGGTGTAAGAGTCACCGGTCAGTAATCCAACACAACCCCCTTGCATAGGTAAATCAACAACACCAACGTACGCCTCTCAATTTACATTCCTTCTCTCTCAACACCCCACCCACAAACACACAAAACACGCAAAATACCTAAAATACCATGGGCCGGTACAGCGATCAATGGGACTGGTACGAGTGCGAGTGGTGTCGCGTGAGGGGAAGCTGGACGCAACGACCATGTCTCCGCGGCCTTTATCGGTCCAAAGAGACGCTGCGCGCAAAATGGGAGGCGTGCGAACGCGTGCGCATGGAGAACGCAGCGAAGCGAAATAAGACGCTATCCAAAGCCTACAGGAGGGCCATGATGGCGGCAGCCAAGGCCGAGGACAAAGGAGTTCCGGACTACTTGCCTATCCGTCCGAATACTGGGGTCTCGATTTTTGACCGGCTGAGGAAGCTTCATGTTGATGAGAGGACGCCAGCTGAGGTGGATAGTGAGACGGACTCTGGGACAGAGAAGGCAGAGGCGTCGCCGTTGCCCGCTGCAGCCAAGTCAACGCCAAAGCCGAAACAATATCACGAGGTCGACGCAAAGAAAACACAGCAGCGACAAGCAAAATCAAGCACCGGACCAAAACGCATGATTGATGAGGGCGTTAGTCTGGCATCCGACGACGACGGCGACGTCGCAAGGATACATGCCGCGAATCGGAAAGCGTGGCCACGGGGCCAGGAACCAATTGCAGCCGATGCAACCGTCGAGGACAGGGAGATTGCAGAACTTCTTCGACGCGGACTCATTGCCGCCGAGGACCTTCAGGTGGACCATGATGGTATTGACGGGGACGATTACATGTGTCCGTACACTGTCCGGTTTGTGGAAGCAAGGAAGAAGGGGAGGAAGGGGAATCATCGTCGACGACAAGAGGTTCAAGTTGCAGAACCTGCGCCGTCGTACACGGAGTCGGACTGGTGGTATCTTGAGGACGAAGCGTATCATGCTCAGCTTCTCAGCGATGGGGGGTCGGCCGAGTTGGTGGAGTGGAGCGAAGCGTCGTCGTTTGTATATGTGGACTGATGGATGAACTGGAAACAGGGCTCGTGTTGCAAAGCGTTCTCCAGTCGTCGCCCACCCCTAACCCTAGCCCAAATTGAAAACCAAAATTGCAATTCACTTCCTCGGAGATAGGATACGCAGTACACAGGAGATGGTTGGCGTAATATTACACGTGTTTTCAATATTTGGTAATTATTATCACCAGTTGCCAACCAAAATGCGAAATCCACCCCCGCTTTACGCCCAGGCCGTAATCGTCAACACGCCACCACGAGGAGAGTCGGCAGCACGGCACAGCCGGCACTCAGCTGAGTTTGAAACCCGACCCCAGGGCAACATAATGCAGACCTCAAACCTTCACAGCCGCAACGACAGCAACGGAGGCTGTAGTTCGTGCAGCCTACTCCAACGCCCAAGATGCCGACGTTTGGGAGACGAAAAACATGGGCCTTTGTCTTCGCCGCCTTCATTCTCTTCTTCCTCTATGCCTTCCACCGTCTTAACGCGAGCGACTCCAGTTTCTTGACCAATTCTGGGCTCAACACCGATGCTGGCATCGCCCCCAAAATAAAATCAAAATGGGCCAAAATGAAGCCCAAATTCCCGGTCAAGGATATGCGGGCCCTCCCAACAAGACAACCGCTCGCTCTACCCAAGGTGCAGAAAGACTTTGGCCCAGAGTCCGACTCGGACCGTGACGTACGCCTCAAGCGCCAAGATGCCGTCCTGGCCTCCTTCCAACGATGCTGGAAGTCGTACCGCAAACTTGCCTGGATGAGCGACGAACTGAAGCCTATTAGCGGGGCCAGACACAACCCCTTTGGCGGATGGGGGGCTACCTTGGTGGACAGCCTCGACACGCTGTGGATCATGGGCTTGAAGGAAGAATTTGAACACGCAGTTGCTGCAACATCAAAGATCAGCTTTGACAAGGTCCCAAACCAGGACATCAACGTCTTCGAGACCAACATTCGCTACCTAGGTGGTTTCCTCGCTGCATACGATCTCAGTGGTGACAAGCGCCTGCTCACCAAGGCCAGAGAAGTCGGCGAGATGCTTTACATCGCTTTCGACACGCCCAACCGGATGCCGCTGACCAGATGGAATGCGTGGGCGGCGGGTTGGGGCAAATCCCAGGTCGCCCAGGATCACACCCTCCTCGCTGAGATCGGCTCCTTCTCGCTCGAGTTCATACGCCTGTCGATTCTGACAGGCGATGCCAAGTGGTACGACGCCGTGCAGCGCATCATCGAGCTCCTCCGGGAACAGCAGCAGACCACCCGCCTCCCGGGCATGTGGCCAGTTGTGGTCAACGCCCGGAAGGGAGACTTCGCTCAACACTACGAATATACCCTTGGCGCCATGGCCGATTCGCTGTATGAATACCTCCCAAAGACGTATGCGCTCGCCGGTGGCCTGCTACCTATCTACCGGGAAATGTACGAGCAATCGATGGATACCGCCATCCAACACAACCTATTCCGGCCGATGCTGCCAGACGAAAAGGACGTTCTCGTGTCTGGTTTGGTCAGGTCCCGCACGGACAACGACGAGCCCACCCGGAAGCTGCAACCAGAAGGACAGCACCTCGTGTGCTTTGCCGGAGGCATGTTCGCTCTCGGCGGGAAACTTGTCAACAACGAAACCCACGTGGACAAGGGCGAGAAATTGACTGACGGCTGTATCTGGACGTACCAGGCCATGCCCCTGGGAATCATGCCCGAGTGGTTCCAGATGCTGGCTTGCGAGTCAGCCGACCACTGCCCGTGGGATGAGGAGAAGTGGCGGCGGGCAGTGCTCACCAAGGCTGGTTTGGATGGCGACATGGATCCGAAGCATGGTGATGAAATCATTACTCATAAACGGATCCCGAAGGGCTTCGTTTCCATCGACGACGCCCGGTATATCCTGCGACCCGAAGCCATCGAGAGTGTCTTCATACTGTACCGTATCACCGGTCGCAAGGACCTTCTCGAGTCAGCATGGAAAATGTTCGAGGCCATCGAGGAGAACACCAAGACCCCGTTGGCCAACTCGGCTCTCAACGATATCACCATCACCGAGGGGAAACCCGGACAGAGCGACTCGATGGAGAGCTTTTGGCTGGGCGAAACGCTCAAGTATTTCTACTTGATCTTTAGCGAGCCCGATCTCATCAGCTTGGATGAATATGTCTTCAACACAGAAGCCCATCCGCTAAAGAGGCTTCTTCCGTGAGCTATCTTGTCACGGGGCCCTCGTTTGTGGATTTTGGATGCAATAGTCGACATCATTAGGTTGTTTGTGTATGATATTCTGCGCTGGTTGGAGATGAATATACGGGGATCGTTACCCTAAAGGCAAGCTCACACTCACCTACCCCTAAATAACAATATCACCCCCCGCGTTTGTAGTGGACATCTCCCATTAAATATGAAAGCTCTTGAGTTTAACTACTACCATAGAATACTTCAGTGGTTATTGGTTACTTTGTGCCTTCATTACAACGTTCTCGATCCCGAGACTCGTTGGTTCGTCCTCAACACCCACACCTCAACGGGCCGCGGAGCCACGTTCGAGCCGAGGTCTACCCCAACATCAAGGTGGTCTGCACGGCACTCGATCCCTCACACTGGGCAAAGATTCCCGAGAGATGACACGATCAGATGCTTGCTACCAGACCGGGCATGGCTTCGGTAGGATCGAGGTGGAAATTGCGGGGCGATGGTTACACAACATGGCGGGCAATAAGCACGCCATCCCTTGATTCGATATCGCAACGACACAAGGCACGCTGTTCATAGTAACCAAGTCGCTAAAAACGTAAAGTAATCCCCATCTTAGCTCCTTGCCGATGGGTCCAACGGGAATCACGTCATTCTCCGGCCGGCGACCACCGATGGTGCCGTGTTCGGATCCGGGGTAGTACTTATACCTGCATTTTCGCCTTCCAACTGTCTGTACCCCGTTGTTCATCCGCCGCTCTCTGGTCGTCTAACCCTTCCCAAGTTGCCTTGTTATCTGTCCCCTTCTCCTAGTCAGACAGCTCCCGACACCCACTTAACCCCTCCACTCCGGTAACCTTCCAAACCAGAACCAACAAAAACAATGGCACCCGGACTCCTCATCGACGAGGTCCAGCAGAACCTCCCACAGCCCTCCAAGCGGAACGATGACGCCCCCCGCAACATCTTCCCCGACGGCATCCGCACCTCAGGCCAGCACCCACCCCTCTACGACCTCCTAAAGCCCTACTCCGCCTTCCCCAAGCAAATCACCGGCCCAACCGTCTGGCAAGCCTCCGAATTCACCTCCAACCCCTCCCGCTGGATCCACCCGCTCACCCCCTCCGACCTGGCCGAGCTCTCCGCCGCCACCGACACCTTCCTCGCCTCAAACCAGCCCCTAACCGCCATCTCCAAATCCACCTTCCCCCTCCCCACCCTGTCCCCCACCCTCCAATCCCTCCGCGAAACCCTCCTCAACGGCGCCGGCTTCACCCTCCTCAAAAACTTCCCCTCCCAGACCTGGACCCCGCTCAAAACCGCCGCGGCCTACCTCGGCCTCGGCGCGCAGCTCGGGTACGCCGTCTCGCAGAACGGCCGCGGCCACGTGCTGGGCCACGTCAAGGACGTGGGCGACGACCCGGCGCAGATCGACTCGGTGCGCATCTACCGCACCGCGGCGCGGCAGTTCTTCCATGCCGATGATGCGGATTTGGTGGGGCTGTTGTGCGTGCACAGGGCGGCGGAGGGCGGGGAGAGTGATGTGGTGAGCGTGCATCGGGTGTGGAACGTGCTGCAGCGGGAGTATCCGGATGTGGCGGAGTTGTTGACGAGGCCGGTGTGGTATTTTGATCGGAAGGGGGAGGTGGGGGAGGGCCAGGGGGAGTGGATCCGCCAGGCGGTCGTGTATCTGGAGACTGGGGGCAAGGGGAGGGTGTATATGAAGTGGGATCCGTATTATGTGAGGAGTTTGAAGCGGTTTGAGGAGAAGGGGGTGGTGCCGCCGCTGAGTGAGGAGCAGAAGAGGGCGATGGAGGTGCTGGAGGAGGTTTGTCAGAGGGAGGCGCTGCATATGGTGCTGGAGGTGGGGGATATTCAGTTTGTGAGCAATGCGCACTTGTTGCATGCGAGGACGGCGTATAAGGGTGAGTACCTGGTCTTTCTGTTTAACCTTTGGATCGTACTGACAGCCATTCAGACTTTGCTCCTCCGGCACCGCGACGCCATCTTTTACGGCTGTGGCTGGCGACCCCGGAGGGCGAGGGCGGGTGGGCCCTGCCCATGCCAGACAGCCACGAGAAGAAGCGTGGCGGAGTGCAGGTCAACAACACACCACCTCGGGCGCCTCTGGATGCGGAATAGGAGTCAAGGTATCTGCCACACCATCTCGCCTAGAATAATGATGAATATGACTTTATGGGCCTGCCCTATGCGTCGTGATCTGTTTGAAGTGCAAAACTGTCCTGTCGATCAAACCGTGTTACCCTTGAGAGGGATATGCGGGAGTGGACGGTGGCAAACGTCATTGGTGAGAATGGGAACCTTTACCTTCAGGAGGGTCGCCGTTCAGCTTACCACTCCACTAGTAGAATAATTCAACTCGAATTTATCTTTACTGGCCCGGGCCAGCACATGTTACTACCCTGCCTGTCTCCCTCTTGTCACATTACCATTCCTTCCTCTTCTTCCTTGCTGGGTGAAATGCAAAAAGAAGGAGACTTCTTGTGCGAAGTGCACTATGAGGTAAACTATCTCGGTATCAAGGGACTTTACCTTGTGGATCTAATAACCCAATAAGCTCAAACCCCAACCCCCAAGATCATGACTTTTGACACTCCCTGGGTGGGTACCTATAGCTGGTAATGGTAGTCAATGAACCAACCATAATCCTTTAGTTTCATACCCCAGTCCAAACCGAGGCTTTCAACTGCTGGACTAAACCATCGCCGGCTTATATTACAACCTTCACTCCCTCGGAGCAGCCGATCTGAGCCTAGGCCGACTGCGGTGAGTTCTATAATTTCCAGAGAAGCCTTGGCAGCTTCCATGGAACTTCCAAGCCCATCTGACATGGGAAAGATGAACAGGCTGAAGACGAGAGCGCAGTCGAGGAAGCATGATCGGCCTTCTAGAAGGCCTGCCCCCCAAGGACGGCGCATGGCAGTGACAATCAACGCCGCCAAACCGGGAAAATAGCTGTGTATATTGGCCCAGCCGGGTCTTGTGGACCAATCATCAACACCGGTCATCCGAGAGCAGGGCCGGTTCCTGCTGCGTGCGGGGTTTCGTTCGACGGGAAGTTCGGGACATGTAACGATGGTAAAGTAAATAGATTGCATGGAAACCCCAATAAAGGTCGGCAATTCCCACGAGATTAGCTCCGGTGGTCAGAACTGTACGACGACCACCTCAACGCCACACAATCCTCCTTCACACAAACTAACCCGGGTCGAGGTCCACACTAGAAGCATGTCGATCAAAGAAATAGATTATGATTACCCTCCCGTCCCCCCACCCACGTGTAACTTGAAGGCGGCTCAGGAGGAACCGGCCGGATCGCAGCCGGTGAAGAATTAACAACGCAGGCTGGCAACAAGGCATGCATATATAACTCCCGGGTTCCCGTTCCATGGGATGTCCGACATTGTCCCCGCCGTTGCCGTCATCAGATAACCCAGCCCAACGAAGTCCGCTAGGAGTGAAAGAAAACTCTCAAGTAAAAACCGGAAAGGACACCCCTCGGATAACGTCAACATGCACATGAACTCGTTGGCCGCGCTGGCGCTCGTTGCGCCGGCGTCAGCTCTGCTTCGCTTTGGGTGCTCGCAGCTCGTCGTTGAGCGCCTGGACCCTCTCGTCAACCCCGGCTCCAACCCCTCGCCGCATCTCCATCAAATCATTGGCGGTGTAAGTTAATAGAGCCCTTCTGTGCCCAGAGGTAACAATCAATGGACTAACCGACCGGGACCAGGATGCCTTCAACGTGACCATGGACGCGGAGGCGGGCGACATCGCCGAGAAAGCCGCATGCACGACGTGCCAGTTCACCGAGGACTTCTCCAACTACTGGACGGCGGTGCTCTTCTTCAAGGCGCGCAACGGCACGTACCAGCGGGTGCCGCAGATCCCCAACGTCGGGTTCGAGGGCCAGACGGGCGGCATGACGGTCTACTACATGCAGGACGGGCTGGCCAACTACGAGCAGACGTCCAAGGTGACGGCCTTCAAGACGGGCTTCCGCATGCTGGTCGGCGAGGCGGCGTACCGCACCAAGGAGCAGGCCAACCGCTTCCGCCAGATCACCTACACGTGCCTCCAAGACATGGGCACCCGCTTCCCCGAGTCCATGGACTTCCCCAAGGAGCCGTGCCCGGCCGGCATCATGGCCAACGTCCGCTTCCCGACCTGCTGGGACGGCAAGAACCTCGACAGCCCCGACCACATGAGCCATATGTCGTACCCGGAGTTGGGTACCTTTGAGAGCGGTGGTCCCTGCCCCGAGTCGCACCCCGTGCGCGTGCCGCAGTTGATGTATGAGACCATTTGGGATACGTCCAAGTATAACGACCCGGAGCTGTGGCCTGAGGATGGATCCCAGCCGTTCGTGTGGTCGATGGATGATACGTAAGTCTTCTCTTGGGCGCCTTGGGGGCTAAATGGGAAAGAGAGAAGAACGAACATGCTGACACTCAGTAGCACCGGGTTCGGTTCCCACGGCGACTACATGTTTGGCTGGAAGGACGACTCGTTGCAGCGGGCCATGGACTCACCGTGCTACGTCAACTGCCCGACGCTCAAGACCCAGAGCGTCGAGGAGATGAACAAGTGTTCCGTTCCGAATACCGTGGACGAGAACTTCGACGGCTGTAAGTGATCCATATGAACTCTGATGGCTGTTGGACCAAGACTGACACAGTCATACAGGGCTCGATGCGTTGCCGGGTGGCCGGACGGGTGAGAAGGCTTGAGGCTTTAACTTTTGGGGCGTTGAGTACGATAAGTACGTAGAGAAGCAGTTGGGTAGCCGGGTCGGGGGTTCCTTGAATCATGTTGGAGGCAGCCACGCAACGAAGAAAACACTGAATCAGACATAGGAAAGAGAGAGCCTTCCATGTAACGAGAACCCTCCACGTAAGGAGGTAGCGTACTATCCCGAGCAATTCAGTTGGATTGTGGCCCGTGGGTAGGTCATGAGGGTATCCTACAGGTTCTATACAGGCTCAAAACTGAACCAATACCCGTCATGTCCATGTTGCGTGTTCCGTTACCTTTTGCCTTAGCCGAGGTTGCGGAGAGTCCGTTTAAGTTATTTCTGTGTAAGTTGGTTGCCTCCTACAGCGGAGAAAAACCGATGTGGTGGGTTCAGCTCCGTGTCACGACAGCCCAATCGCGTTTCTCGCCGTGGCTCATGAAAAATGCGTGCGACCCGTATTACCCGGTTCAGAAACTTACTAACGAGCGGACATGGCCGCGGCGTGTGTGCATCCGAACCGTTGAAGAACACTCGAGGAACAGTGAAGACGACGTCGCAGTATCCGTACGATGGAAGTTAGGTAGGGAGTCCACAGCACTTCCTTTGTCGGCGGTCAAGAATCGGAGGCCGGCAAAAACTGTTGGGGAACCTCGCAGCATGGCCTGAATTCAGCCAATAACAACACTGACCCGCTTCCAATCAGGGCAAGAGCAGAGAAAGAACCCCACTGTGACCCAGGCGGCAGGCGACTGTCAGCCACCGGCAAATGGCACTCTGCAGCTGTGCTTCGCGGGCTGCCCCGCCTGTCCACGCCACCCGGACGCCAACCACCTCCGATTCCTTTCCATCCCGCAACAAAGCTGCATCCAGGCCTTTTTCCCAATCCCACATTGCGGAGGCGAGATCGGGTTTGCTGCATCACTGCATATACGCGATGCCCGCCAGCACAATACGAGCTTCAAGAAAAAGAGAATTTGGCGCCATGGTGGTATTGCAGCGGCAGAAGGGCAGGTAGCACACGGCGGCCGCCTATGACGGGAGCTCCTCGGCTCGAGCCAGGCGAGCCAGGCTTCCAAAGAGACAGCTCCGGTGCCCGCTCGGACAAGCCCGCTTCCAGCTCCCGTCCCACAACCCCGCCTCGCCCGCCACTGTCCGCGCCGTTCAGATCCTCGGACCCAATTTTCCCGATGATGTCTGTGATTCTTTGTGGCCCAGTCTCACAGCAAGTCGTCATCACGAGAGGATCTACAAGCTCACAATCCATTCGGGACAGTGGCTGGCGCTTCGAATAGCCCCCTCGCCTGTTCACTGTGCCACCCTCATCGCGTGGTTGGTGCAGCACCACATCCCACAGAACATCTCACCTGAACAGAGGGAAACCCGGCTGAAGTGGGATGGCGATCTGACGCATGTGAACATGGTGCATCCGAGTGCATACAGATTATGTGTATAAATAACGAGGCGGCTGCCCGTCTTGCACGAATCGAATTCTAATACCATCATCCCCACCAAATCCAATAGTCCGGTTGACATCCCAAACGGTGAAGATCTACAAGCAACGATCATCATATCTTGACGCCATCCCATTTCGTTCCCCTCTCCAATCTACCAGCCCTCACAGCCCTCTTCTCCTCTGAGTCTGCTCTCTCCGCAAACCACAAACACCAAGCATCAGCAACCACCCAAAACCACAACCGTCAAGATGTACTTCAGCACCCCCTTCGCCCTTCTCTCCCTCCTCGGCCTGGCATCTGCCTCTCCCGTCCCGAGCCCGAGCCCTGCCGAAGGCAGCACGTCACCGGCCGGCTGCTCAGACACGTCGTTCGGGGCGTTCGCCTGGACGGCCAAGAACTTCGACTTCCACGCCTCATACATCTTCACGACACCATCCCACCAAAACTCATGGGGCTATGTGTCGTTCGACTTGCTCAACCCCGCCGACCAGAGCACCACCCACTGCGAGGGCGCCAGCAACCAGCTCAGCGACTTCTTCTACGGCACCGTCGCCTACAAGTGCAACGACACCGCGAGGATCGGCGAGACCAGCTTTGACTTTGCGCGGCCGACCAACCAGCTGCGGGTCAACCAGACCTGGACCTGCGACGACAAGGACCCGAAGTGGCCGTAAGTTTTACCTTTCCCTTGCTGATTTAGTGACAACACAGAATGCTGACTCGGGTATAGTACCACCTTCACTGGCCGCGGCCAAGTCGACCTGACGCTCGAGTGCGAGGATGAGAAGTGGGAGAACAAGGAGTGGGAGATGGGCCAGATCTACAGCAGTCGGACCATCACGTGTGCTCCCGTCGAGAGCACCTTCAAGCCCACGGAGTTGACCGCTGTGGCGTAGAAGGCTGACGGACGGGTTTTCTTTTTTACGAGTACATGATTGATGAATGACTGGGAAGTCTCACATATGGGTTGGTTATCACCTACTATGCTTTGACAATAATTCGGCCGCCTTAGCGGTTAATGGTTGGATCTGGACTGGATACCTCTTAGACTTTAGACATGCAATATACATGCATACAAAGCAGAAACCATTGCCACACAAGACTCATATTTGCTGTTCACTGCTAACCACCTGTTCGCACGAACACGGGTCTTCAACATGGCACTAATTGTAAAGGCCAAGGTCTCTGACTAGACGTCGTAGCTAACCCTCAGCTCACAACCTACCTACCTACCTAGTCATCATAAAAGATCTCGTTCAAAATATACCCATACTCAGCATACGACGCATACGCCAGATTCATCTTCTCAATATCATAATCATTCCACAGCCCACCGCCAGCCACCTGGGCCTCGCGACTCCACTGCGCCAGCCTCCCCCTCGCCTGCGCCGGACTCTGCCCAAACTGCGGCTTCGAATCGTTGACCACCCACAGGATCGGCACCACCTTCATGCCCAGCGCCGTCTGCCAGGTGGCCGGCACGTTGCGCGCCCCGCCGTCGTACAGCTGCAGGTAGACGCGGTCGACCAGGCCCGCGCTGGCCTGGTTGGCGCGCGAGACCACCCCGGCCCAGAAGGCCATGCGCCCGGCGTCGTACGGCGCGATCGTGTAGCGGTAGCCGACGGCGCCGAGCATGCCCGCGAAGGCGACGGTGCTGACCGTGTCGTAGATGCTCTCGTCGTCGTTGTTGACGGCGTCGAGGGCCCAGGCCGTTTTGAGGGCCGCGAAGTTGCGGTAGAGCGGGGTGTTGGGGCCCGGGCCGGGGCTGGCCATCAGGTCGCGGATGTTTTGGGCGTTCATGCAGATCTCGACGCGATTGACGAGGGTGTCGCCGGCTTTGAAGGATTGGACCTTGGCCGCGAGGGCGTCGCCGCCGACGTAGGACCCGCCGGATGCGATGAGCACGTCGCTGCTGCCGGGCGTGTTGGAGTAGTACATGATGTCGCCGTTGCTGAGGACGCCGACGCCGAAGACGATGAGCGTGTTGAACCCGGACGTCTTGAGGGCTGTTGTGTTGGACTTCATCACGTCCTTGAAGAGGAAGATGCTCCGGATGTTGCCGACGGCGAGGACATGGCTGAGGAGGGTGTGGAAGAGCAGCGCTCCGAAAAGGCCATGGAGCTTCATCTTGTCAGGGGCGAGGAAATGTTGTGTGAAGGGTGAGATGCTCCAGGAAAGAGAGTTGCCCTTAGACGGGGCAATTCATGATTTATATATTTGCCAGTTGCATCATGTCTGTAATTAATCTGGAGTTCTTTTTAGGAGTGTTAAGCTTGGACCCCGGCACTCTCGGAGAGGATGGGGTTGCAACCCAGGTGATTCTGCATAAGGGACATCCACTCAGGCTTGCTGTAGGGGATGGGGGCCCGTTTTTCTAACTCGTCCGGGTTGTAGAAATGGAACTTCTGGATATTGTTCCCTGGTTAAAAGGCGCCCGTTCCTCCCCGCCCGGTTCTGGTCGTGTACCGGTGCGGCCCGGGGGTTAGAAAACTGCGGCCGCGCCGATCCTTTGGATCCACGAATGTGACTTTCCTTGATGGCCTATTCGTGGACTTACGCCACAGGATCAATAAAAGCAACATGAACATTATGCGATCCAGAGACTGAGATCACAGGTGAAGATTCCGATCCCGAACCAGGCGAGTGGGAGCCGACTAGGGCATGGAAACGCTATGCCGAGACTTGAAAGTTCCCAACGAGGGTCAAAGATGGGGGCCAGATCCAAGGTTGTCGTACACGTCTGAGCATTTGGTAACGGCCATATGAAGTACTCAGGACAAACACTGTACCAAAGTTCCAGGAGAGTCCACACGAGGGCAGATGCACGCAAACCTTTCGCTGCTTTGCCCCTTGTTTTGGTCCTACTATGAGCGGTACAAATCACCATTAGTTTACAGACGTGGTACCTACCACGAGACGTAGTCACGTAGAGAATGGAGTAAAAAGCATAACATACGAGACGGGCTGGCTGTTCGGCCGCAACTCTGCGGGCACCTATTAACTATATCGATTAATTATGTTATTCTCTGCATAACTACAAACTACCTACCTAGGTATGTAGTCGGTCAGCTTTACCCAGGTGCTAGTACATACGTATAAACCCACCAGTCGTAACAGGCTGACAGATTCTAGGTTGTCCCCCTAGCACTGACCAGCCATTCCTTATCGAGATCGGTTCCAACTTGGATGTCCACGACGTCATCCCCTGACATCAGATACCCACAACCACCAAGCAGTCCAGCATTAGAGAAGTGATGTACGTGGGCTGAGTGCAACTCCCCGATACACACAACCTTCCCGTGATACGTCTACGGTCTACATCTGCCGGCCACACGCTTCACACCACATCTTCTCAACCCAAAACACTTCCAACAACACAAACCACATCCCGCACACTCCATTCTCCAACCCCCCTAGGTTCCCAAACACCACCGCAACAATGCCCCACAAACCCCTCCGCCAACTCGCCGCCGAAAAGGCCCGCAGCAACAAGCCCGCCAACCCGTCCCAGCTCGGCGACCCCATCGACCTCAAGGCCGAGACCAACGACGGACAGGATCCTGTCGAGAGCCCGTACGACGGCAATGGCATCGGAAGCAACCTCAGCATCCCTCGTGCGTCGCTGGAGGGGGACCCGAACCAAGAGGGGGAGGAGAGGGGTGTGGTGGTTGGGCTGGGGAGCGGGGCGGGGCCGGTGGGTGGGGTGAGGAAGAGGGGGTCGAAGTTGTAAGGGGAGTTTAGGTAGTTCGTAGGGGTGATAGGGGTGATGTGAACGGCAGGGTGGTGGGATGGGTGGTACTTGTGCGTTGTATGACCATTGTGTTGGTTGATGGTAAAGGAACCGGGGGAAGGGGAGTGGCCGAGACAGTCGAGAGACAGTGTACGTTGGGTGGTAGTTTACGTGCTAGGGGGGAGAGGTCATTCACTATAGTATCAATGTTCCTTGATCCACCACTTTTGTACTCGTCACTGTTTTTTGATCTTCTTTTTCTTTCCAGTCGAAGTTCAGTTATGAAAATAAGGCTTGAAACGCCGTACAAAAGCCAGCAACGTTTGTATGGAAACAACAGGAATCGAACAAGAGGGACTGTACCTTGTCAGCGATCCCAACACTATTTCGCAAGGGAGGTTGATTAGGTTGGTACACACTCCTGCCGCTGTACCACCGAGGTGCTATGTCGGCGTTGGAAAACTGACTGCCACAACGCAGTCTCCATTGCTTGGCTCCCCTCCAAGGTCACGATGGTTTGATCTGTCAGATGGATGTTCTGCTGAGAATCCACCGAGATATAGAATTAGTTAGCTTTGCTCTAATTACAATTCCTAGTTAAAGTCTGGAAGGTATGGTGAGGACGATATGCAGAAAAGTCCCCCTCGGCTTATACACCACCGCCTGATTTCGCCTTCTGGTTGCTGTTGGCAAGCTCCAGCGTTCAAAGGAACGGCGCGACAGTCCGGGAGGAGTACGCAACCAAGCTAGATGATCGCATCTTGGTTACTATGTTCAACCAGTTTGAAAGACTCGGGGATATGGTTGATTACCACCTGTGCAAACACCTGGAAGCAAGACCGACTGCTCCCAATAAATATTGTGAAATCTAGACGGGGTATCACAAATCATTACTCATACAAGTTCTCAACCACAGCCCTGATTTCATCGACATCTAACCACCCCACTTGGTGTTCAGCTCCGCAAGCGCCTGATACAGCCCACGGCTACCATTATCCTCCAAGACGTTCCTCGTGGCCCTGGGAATCTTGCTCAGCACAAAGTTCGACACAGCGGCCTTGTCCCTCGCATCCGGCCGGCCAATCCCCACCGAGACGCGCGCCCACTTGCCCGCCGCGGGGTTGGCGCCCAGCGCGGCGTGCACGCTCTTGACGCCGTTGTGGCCGCGGGGGCTCCGCTTCCACTCCCGGATCTTGATCACCCCCAGCTCCTCCTCGAGGTCGTCGTGCACGAGCACGACCCCGACCTCCTCGGCGCCGAGCCGGTTGTCGACCAGCTGCTGCCGGTAGGCCTGCGCCGCCCACGGCCCGGTCACGTTCATGATGGCGGGGGACTGGAGGAGGGAGTACTGGGACCCGATTGATGCGAGGGTGTTTTGCTTCCCGATGCGCTGCGCCGCGAAGGAGGGCTGTGATGGGCCAATGGCTTGCTGCAGAGCCTGGAGCACGATGTGGCCGGCCGAGTGGTATGTGTTGCGCAACTCGCCCGGGTTGCCGAGGCTGATGACGACGAGGCGTCGTATTACCATGGTGGTGTCTGATACTTCGATAATCATGGGTGCCGATGCTTGTTCTGGAGTCTCTGTGGGAGAACGCGATCTGCGCTTCCTTTTCCCTTTCTCTTTCTTCGCAACTTGCTGTGGACTTGTTCCGGCAGGCATAAATGAACGGCTTCCGAAGGTCGTGCTCGTATTTGGGGAAGAGATTGTGCAATCTCGAGGTCTCGCGTCGGGAATTGGGAGGTCTTGGTCTTGTTGGCTTGCGATGGTGGGAGGCCGGCAAGGGTCGAATGGATGCAATTCCTCTGCAATTCGTGGTCGTGGTTTTGGTGTTGGGGGAGGTATGTGTGCTAATAAAGTTGAGAAATCTCACCATTAACCAAAAGAACGAAAGCCGCTTTGTTATGTGCCGTCCAGACACGCCCACCCGACCGGCGCGTGAGTCACCGGGCTTGACCGAAGATGTCCTCAACCAGCCGACGATGATTTTCAATGCAGAACAAAAGCCCCAGCGCTGCAGGAGGATGAGCGAGCTGGTGACAGGGGTCCACTTCTTGGCACCGAGGGCTTTCGTGGCTTGCCAGCGCTGACGTCGTTGGTGCCCAGGCCAGGAACATTTGCGCGGGGCTCGGGGCTGCAAGCGGCGGGACGCACCGCCACAGTCAACTTCGTCACTCGGGCACTCTGTTCCTCCCAGGCACCGCAAGGATCCACGCTTTTGTCCAGCACGCCGACGCGCATTTCTCCCGAGACTCTCAGTAACAAACGATATCCAGCTTGCCACCCGTCGTACTACGTTTTTGCTGTCTTGTACTGCGATTAGCAGTTCAGCGACTTCGATACCCCAAATCCGCCGTTGCAAGGAAGAACACAGCAATCCGCGAAGATGTCTTGGGCGGGTGCGTCCTGAGCCCGGCTGTCGCTTGATTTCCCGGTCTCCCATGCTGACCTCGCCCTTAGGTTTCAAGAAGAATGTTAACCGCGCGACGACGCAGGTGATGATGAAAACCGGTACGCCGATCCGACCCCGCTGATCTCACGCCCTCTCGAAACCCCCCGCGTGTTGCTGACGGAGCTGGGATAGGTCATGTCGAGAAGACAAACGACCGGGATTATGAAGTCGAGGAGAGGTACGGAAAGATGCGCGGACAATGGGCCATGAGACACGAATACTAAGACTCCCAATAGGAGATTCAGGACAATGGAGGCGGCCTCGTTGCGGTTACAAAAGGAGGCCAAGGGATACCTGGATTCATTACGAGGTACGGCGACCCACGAACAGGGAGGGCGTGATCGCGGAACTGACACGGCCGGTCACAGCAATGACGGCTTCACAAATGCGAATTGCCGAAACGATCGACGCATTTTACGGCGACTCGGGCGCCAAGGACGGCGTCAGCAGAAGTTACAAGCAAGCTGTTGAGGACCTCGACGCCGAGACGATCAAGGCGCTAGATGGGCCATACCGCACAACAGTACTAGAACCCATCTCGCGGTTTTGCGCATACTTCCCCGACGTAAACGAATGTACGCTGCGAAAATACCCTTGGCTCCCACCCCCCGCTTCTCTGCTGACAATCCCGGCCAGGCATCAAAAAACGCGGCCACAAGCTCCTCGACTACGACGCGCTCCGCGCCAAGGTCAAGAAGCTCGTCGAGAAGCCCGACAAGGACGTGACCAAGCTGCCGCGAGCCGAGAAGGAGATGGACATGGCCAAGGCGGCGTACGAGCAGCTCAACGAGCAGCTGTGCTCGGAACTGCCGCAGCTGATCGACCTGCGCGTGCCGTACCTCGACCCGTCGTTCGAGGCGCTCGTCAAGATCCAGCTGCGCTTCTGCGCCGAGGCGTACAGCCGCATGGCCCAGGTCCAACAGTATCTCGACGCCGACACCCGCGAGCAGTACGCCCAAGGGCAGCTGGATACGCGGGTGGAGCAGGTGTTGCAGGAGATCAGGGAGCTGAGCATCAGCGGGACCGTTTGATCCCGTCTTCTGGGGTAGGGAAGTAGGATATATGAGCATGGTGCCGGTTGCTGCCTCCCGAGTTGGGGAGCAGGAAGATCACACCTCTTTTGCGGCGTTTGGTTCTGGCATTGGTTAGTTATACAGGGTATACCGGTGAGCACGGGCGTGTAACTGAAAAGATACCCGTCATTCTAGGCGCGGTGCTGTTCTATAGGTCTTGACCAGATACATTGATTTGAGAAGCGTCTTCAACATGCATGTTCAGATAATTGGCTATCGTGCTGTCTCGGGGATTGTGCTGGAACTGGTGCGCTTTTGAGCCGCGCCGGAGTGGCATGGCCGGGGATCCTTCGTCTGAAGCAAGCTAATATTCTAGAAGCCCGTTGAGTGCAACGTTTGACGCTTCACCCAGGAGCAGGACCGAAACTCAAAACAAGGACGACTCGGCTCTCCACGGGAGATCGTCCATGTCTCTCGCACTGCCTCGTTGCTGTTTGCACATCTTGCGTGGGATCGTCGGAAGCGAGATGGGAGGGCACGTTGATGCCAAGATTTCATGGAGACTTCTGTCACTTTTGGGCCATGCAACGTTTCTCGAAGCTATTTCGAGCCACTTTCTTAACCGCTGGGAATGCCGTTCCAGGAACATCTTTCCAGGTCACGGTGTCACTCCTTATTATTCCTCATCGAGGCTGGCTAGACCTGGGATGCTCTCTGGTGCTAAAATAACCTGTTTTTAGGAATTAACAATTGGATCTGCGCTTCGTCGAGGCGCGGTCGATCGTCGATGGAACGACTGGAGCATCGACGGTTGAGGCTGAAACGGCTTGATGACAGGGGTGCTTCGTGGGGTCGACACCTGGACGTTTCGGGGACCTGAAGCAACGGGGGCTCGATTGGCGGCCAACCCCTGAATTTGGCGGTTCACGGACTTCTCCGGCGTCTAAACTGATGAAGCAGCCCCAAGGTCGCTCACTCACATCGATGATAGGGGCCAAAATGCGGCCAGAAAGGACACAAAGGACACGCCCTTATCACCACCAACGGACCGGTTATTCAATTTATCGAAATTGAGTGTGATCTTTCTGAAGCAGGGCCGTTCGGTGCAATTTCGCCTCAACTTTTTAGGCTACCCGGGCCGGCGTATGTCTGCGTGGTCTGCCACACTTCACGAAAACGCTGCACCCCAGATATGCAAGCGCCAGGGGCACGACGGGGTTTCTTTCCGAAAGGTGTGCTCCCGAGCGCCACTGTGCGTCGATTGCAGTCGATCCCGCGGGACCGGATCGCGATGTGCAGTCCGCGTCTCGCTGAAGGGGAAAGAGTGACAGCGGTGGAAACTGCTGCGCCTCACAAATGGTTCGCTGAGGCGAGCCGTGGGTTTTTGGGGAACCCTGCACTGGTTGCCAGACACCCACAATCCGACACACCAGTTGAGGACCCAAGTTCACAGACAGGAGGTCTGAAAATGGGCCACTGTCTGCCATACGACCGTCCCATCAGGCCGTTCGATCAGGCGGGTGGAGGCCAGGGTCAGGAGAAGTGGCCATCATGTCCCCAACAGATTCCAGACGCGCGTCTACGCTGTGTGGTACGAAGGTAGCTCCGTCGGTAACATGGAGAGAAACCTCGTAGTTAGGTATGCGCTGCATTGTTCCAGCGCTGCCCGCCGTGAAAGAATAGCAGTCAGTTTTTAGGACGAAGCACAAAGTAAGGGAAAGGACTTCGGGGGCATTCTTTGAGTCGACCTCGTGTTTTTCCATTTTCCTGCCACTTCCATTTTCGGGCCTTGTTGCAGGCCAGGAAAGCACGCCCATCGATCACTCCGTCGGTTACTTGTCCCGTCCCGTGCCTTGGCAGCCAGGAACGAAGGAGGCATTGTCCAGGCCCTGCAGCTGCACACAAGCGCGGCAACACGACTGGTCTGGAGCACCCGCTGGCTCCCTGGCCCTGGCAGCCAGGACAGGGGTCAACTTTGAACTGTTTGGCGAGTTTCGCAATCCAGCGCTGGCGATCCAGGTCCAGTCTTATTGCCACCCCATTGTTGACCACCACACCACATTCGTTATTTATCAACGCTGGTCTCCCGGTCGGACGGTCTCTCAGTCTCTCGTTTTATTATTCTCGACCCAGTTACCCGACCGTCTTGCATGAAGGTTGGACTGCACGACATTTGCAACTATACAAAGCCTTGGCTAAGACGCTGCCCTTGTCGCATTGAGAAACGTCACTCGCTGCAAGCATTGGACCGCGACCAGCCACACCAAAACCGAGAGGTTGGTGAACCAAGCTGTGCGTTGGCAGTTTTCGCAAGGAACCAAAAGGAGAAGACGCCCCTTACATTTACTTCCGGAGACTCGAATTCTTCCCTCTGTCTCCCTCCCGACCTTTCTCCTCCCGACGCCATCGTTTACACGTTGAGGACACCCAGCAACAGCAACCATGAATATCACCAAGAAGTTCGACCGCGCCTTCCAATGGGCGGGCGAGAAGATGGGCGGCGAAGCCAAGACCACCATGTCAGACGACTTCAAGATGCTCGAGACCGAGATGGCACTGCGCTTTGAAGGTGCGTCGCTTGTCCCACCTGTGACACAGCCTGGGGGGGACAGCTTGCTGACTGCTTCCTAGGCATGGAGCGCCTCCAGAGGTCAATGAACCAGTATGTCAAGTGGATGGGCCGGCACCTTGAACCTTCCGAGGACAGGGAGAAAGCCCTCCCAGTGGGATACCTAGGACGCACCATGGTCGGCCATGGCGAGGAGTTCCACCCGGACTCCGAGTTTGGCAACTGCCTGGTAACAATGGGCCGTGCCAACGAGAGCGTATCAGCCATTCAGGAGACCTTCGTCGGCCAGGCCACCGCATCGTGGTTGGAGTCTCTCGAGAGGTCTTTGGCCATGATGAGGGAGTACCAGGTCAGTCCCTTCTCCACCCCTCATGCCTCGAACACTTCGCTAACAGACGTTTCCAGACCGCCCGCAAGAAGCTTGAGACCCGCCGCCTGAACTATGACACCAGCATGGGCAGAGTCCACAAAGCCAAGCGCGACGATTTCCGTCTCGAAGAGGAGCTCCGCGGCGCAAAGGCGAAATACGAAGAGTCATCCGAGGACGTGCTGCGCCGCATGCAAGACATCCAGGACATGGAAGCCGACAACACTCGGGACCTAACCCATTTCCTGGACGCGGAACTCGAATACCACGAGCGGGCTGCCGAGGAGCTCCGTCGCGTCCGTCAGAACTGGCCCAGCAACGCCTCCCCAAGCTACAGCCCGGTTGAGCGGCGCCCAGTCGTGCGCAGCCGCGCTAGCACCCACAGCTACACCGACCGCCTGTCGCGCACCAACACCTTCGAAGCCGAATCCAGCGGCGCGCCGCCCGTCCGCATGCCGGTCCGGCCTGCCAACTCGCGCATGCAGTCCTTCACCCAGCAGGCCGACGGCCCCGTCCGCCCAACAATCGGCAAGCCGAGCCACACCAGCGCTGGCTTCCAGGGCGGCGCGACCCTCACGCGCGAGCGTGGCGCCAGCGTCTCAACCCCGACCACCACCCACAACATCACCACCAACGTGGGCGCCCTTCGCGGCCAGCTGCGCCCCGTGAGCAGGATCGTGACCGCTCCCATCCCCAACGGCGCCGGGCGCGACAACGACGTCTTTGCCGACCGCGACGACGACAGCGGCGCGAGCGACACGGGCAGCCCTGGATGGGGCAACCGCAGCACCAGCTCGACGACCAGCGTCGGGAGCCTGAGCCGGACGCCGAGTAATAATGCCAATGCTAATGGTAATTTTAATGGTCTGGGCGGGCTGAAGAAGGCGCCGCCCCCGCCCCCACCGAGCCGCGCGAAGAAGCCCCCTCCGCCCGTGCCGGCGAGGAGGGAGGTCGCGTACTAATGTGGGCGGTGAGGGAAGAGCGGTACATAATTGGCTGCGTTCTTTGGGTCGGGCATGGTAAACGGCCGGTGGGAGGTCGACAATGAGGTGATGAAATGTCCAGGATAACTATTGGTACTATTGGTATGGTTCGGTTTTGGGGGCGTTTCGGGGTTCTCTGTGTTGTTTTGGTTTCGTGGGCTGGCTCCGCGCGGTTCTTGCTTGAACCTGGTGATCCTATATAGACACAGTTAACCATGCAAACCGCAAGGCAAAGGTTATGATCAATTATACGAATAAACTTTCAGCGTTTTGCTCAGACACGCCGCCGACTTGTCCAAAAAGTCCGGGGCTGGCATAAATTTGGTGTCGTGTGTTGTCGCGACATGCAACCAGTCGCGGCAGGGTGGGATTTCCAGCGGGACCACCTGCGAATCCCTGCGGCCAAGAGGCGCTAAACATGCAGCTTTGATGTGGGGTTCCAGACCTCAATTCCATCCACTGGCCCCAGCACGGTGCGACAGACAGCTCTCGATCACGCCCGTGAACCGCGAAACGCTGGACCTCGATCAACATTGGATACTGGACAAGCAGCCGCGGTAAGTGGCAAACCTGCTACGATGGCTACCGAAGATGCCCGTTACCGGCAAACATCGCAGTTTCAGCTGTGGTCTTTCTCACCGACCCAGTTGTCTTCGATGCGCGAGAAGACCAACGCCGCCGCTCGAACTAGAATCGCCGAACGCCTCTCTTCCCTTCCTGCCCTCGCCAACAACACGTCCGCGCCGACGTCGAGCGCCAACACTCCCGACCCCGATGGCACGTCTACCCCCGCGCTCCCCGCGTTTCTCTCCGCACCGGAGGAGGCCCAGCTCGTCACCTTCTTCACGTCGGAGCTGCTGAGAGCAGGAGACCACGCCGAGATGACGGACGAGATCAAAGCGACCGCTGCGGCGTTTTTCAGGAGGTTCTACGTTACAAACAGCATCATGACATATCCGCCGCAAGAGATGTTGATTGTCGCCCTGTTCTTTGGGTGCAAGGCTGAGGGCTCCTTCGTGAGCATTACCGAGTGAGCAGCTCCGCCGAAGCGACTTTCGGAGTACGCAGCTGATCATGGCATATTCCCACTTAGTTTTGTCAAGACATTCGGCAGGGAGAACCCGGAAGAGATTCTCGCTGGCGAATTCTTGCTCTGCCAGGGGCTTCGGTTTGCCATCGACGTGAAGCACCCCTTCCGCGCCCTTCGCGGTGCCCTGATGGAGCTCGCCTCTCACCCAAACGTTGACGTACGCCTGTCCCCTACCACTCTTAGAGATATCCGCTAACCCGAGTCACCTACGCAGCGAGCCCGCCTCGGCGCCGCGGAAACCCGCGCCCGCGAAATCCTCCGCTTCAGCCCCCTGATAACCGACGCCTACTTCCACTACACGCCGAGCCAGATCATGATGGCGGCCCTCTCCCTCGCCGACCGCGGGCTCGCCGAGCAGCTAATAACCCAAACCTTCCATCACGTGGCCGCGCCCACCGACTCCGGCGCCGACACACCGGCCGCGTCCGGCACCGACGGCCCCGCGAAGGAACCCGCACCCCGCAGCGACGACAAGGCGCAAATAATCGGGTCCGTCGCCCGGGACAAGGTCCTCGGCACGATCGAGGCATGCCGGGACATGCTGGGACGAGAGTTGCCCGAGCGGCGGGAGCACTGGACAAATGTACAACCCCTTTCCCTTTCCCACCCCTCCTCCCCCCCCCCCCCCGCCAACCAAACCCTTTTAACCCAACCCAACGAACCAAACACTAACCACCGCCCCGAAAACAGCGCGCCGTAATAAAAGCCCAAATCACCCCCCTCCGCAAGAAACTCAACAAGTGCCGCGACCCCGAGCGCTGGAATCTCGTCGAGCTGCAGCGCGCGCGGCGCGAGCAGGCGGCCAAGAAATCCGACTCGGAGGACGGCGACCCGGACGACCGCGACGACAGCAAGGCCAACAACAAGAACAGCAATAACAACAACGCAAGCGACGCGGCCGTGTTCGGGGACGCGCTGCCGCGGGATCCCAAGCGCAGGCGCGTGCTGGGTGAGGGGGCGGGGCAGAAGGGAAAGGGGTTGGATGATCCGTTTGGGGGGCCGTTGTGATTCGCGGGGTTGGTTGGTTGGTTGGTTTCTGCGGTTCGGGGTTTAAAAGGGGTGTGTGTTTTCGGTCATGGCATGGCGTGGCATGGTATGGTATGGCGTTTGGAGGGTCAGTGTTTGAGAACTGCAAAAGGTTGGGTTACTAGGTAGATAGGTACTTCTTCTCTAAATACGTGAAGTATGCAAAAAGCGCTCAGGGGAGGCGGGCGAAGAACGGCAGTGCTACACCAAAAGGTCGTCCCTTCATGCGCATGGGATCACATCTCGCGTTCTGTGTGTCGACCCAAACGCATGTCAACCAAAGCACTGCATTCCGCTATCCTTCTGTTACGATTATCGCACCTTTCCCTCCCTCCTCTCCGCAAAGATATCAGGTATTCCATAAACCATCCCTCACCAACTTCGCTAAAAGGAAAACTCCTGAAAATGACTCGAGACCGAAACAAAACGCCTGTCAGTGACCCTTGAGCTCCGCCTAAGCGCCGCCATCCCCCGGATTCCATATGGACGCGCGTGACGAGGCCAGGAGAGAGGAGAGAGTACTAGGAAATGTAAACATAATGGGAAGTATCGATACTACAATGCATATGAGTTCGTGGTTTGTGAGGGTAGGGACCACGAGAAGTCTCGGACGCGCGAAATCGACCGTGAAAACCGGCAGTGGGCCCAACTCAGAACTGTGGCCAGGAGTCGTCGGGGAACATAGAGTCAAGCTTCGGCTGCGAGGGTAGTTTGGGCTGTGGTGGTAGTTGGGGCTGCGCGGGTGCTTGGGGTTGTTGGGTTGCCGGGCTTTCCTCGGTCCCTTCGCCTTGGAGGGTCTGTGATTGCTGGTAGAGCTGGAGGGGAGAAGGAGAATGAAACTGCTGTGGCGGTTGGGACGCCGGAACAAGCTGGGACGGTGGAAGAAATTGCGGCGATGGAAGAAGCTGAGGCTGGGGAGCGAGTGCGTTCTGGTGCCCCAAGCCTCCGGCTGTGGGGAGAATGCCGGGCTGGGCAGACGTGGGATATATGAGATGCGACCCATGTTTCTTCCACTTATCTTGGAGTAGCTGCAAGGGGGATTTCTCGTGAAAAGAGGTCTGGTGCCAGGTCTGGGGGTGTTGAGACGGCCAAGGGGGTAGAGGGCCAGTCGCCGAGCTTCCCTGAGCTTGGACAGGCGATAGAGGGTTGCCCGCGTAGCTCGACAACCAAGGCTTTCTCATCAGCTCCTTTCGGGCAGATATTTGAGACTGAACCTCGGGGTTCGTCTTCTAATCATTGAACCCGTGCTGGTTCAACAGCTTCTCGAGGTTGTGGGTCACCTTGGACAACCCCCCTCCCTTCGGAGAGACCTTTTCCCACTTGTGCACCGTGGTAACGATTACACTAGCCTTTAGTTTGAAGTGCTCTCGGATTACGGTGCCGAAAATAGGGTCGTCTGCTTTGGAGGGTACCCCAAGGGTCTGTTGAGAACTCGTGGCCCCTTGGCATGGGTCGTTCTCAGAGTGTGCAAGATGTTGCGCGTCCTTTGCCTCGGCTAGTTCATCCTCGACGTGCTGTACTTCGGCCCCATGGTGTTCCTCTTTCTTCATAGGGATTGCCGATTGCCCTTGGATTGTTCCTAGGGGGGTTGGATAGGAGTAGGATGGATTGAAAGCTCCATAATATCCAGGTGCACCCATATACCCATGATAACCCTGAGCGTTTGGGTCAACCAATATCAAGGAAGGGGGGAGGAACGAAGGAAGAAATGGGGTCATCGTCGTCGAGTGCGGTGGAACCAGCGTTTTTTGGTCCGATAGCTGTTGATCCGGCTTTACCTGCGTGTTGGCCGGCAATGTCGGGACCACCAACCGCTCCGCTAGCCAAGGGATCATGGCGTAGCGGACTGTCAATGCCTCGATACCCCTGTTGTAATTTTCGGCCTGAGCGGGAGTATTGCGCAACTCGTAGCCCGGCTCGTTATAGTAGGGTTGGTCATTAAAGACCATAGCTTGGGTTTGATGTCAGATGGAACTTATGACGGCTAGGGGCCGGCTTACCTTGTATCGAAACCAGAAGTTGTAAGAGAGTAGACTGGTCCGGGTTCCACGGCTGGCCGCGCCAGGTTCCTAGGAGCGAGAAGCAAACTAGCTGCGGCGTTAGCAGGCCCCTCCAAGGTGAATGAGTGATTCTAATCCGAGGCGTAACTTACTCTTCCCATTTGTATACAGATTGGGGTTAAAGCGGGCGGCTCCGTTCCCCGTTGTCCGAAAGAACATCTGCGGTGGGTGTTGCGGGAACTCCGGGCCACAAAACAGATCGAACTCGAAAAGACCGTTTTCGTAAGGCGTGTCAGATGGGCCAACAATCAAGACCTTCATCACGTCCACGCGGCTCTCACCGTGCCGAACGTAAATGCCATCAGGCAAGTCGGAACTCAAAGAGGACACTTGAGCGAGGAGCCTTCTCATGCGGCCTGGCGATGGTTTCGATTCCCCTGCCTTCTTTGCCTCGGACGCGAAGTGGAAGCTGTTTAGTATGACGTGGTCCGAAACCTCCTCGAGACAGTTTGCGCGGTGCCACTCCGATACCGCCTTCGCTGCCTCCGTCATGGCCTTGGCCTCGGCTACCCTGGCGGCATTGGCGCGCGTATTCCGTGTGGCGACGTTGGCTGTCGGGCGGCCAGATGGTGGGGAAGAAGGCTCCTGCCGGGGTGGCCCAATAGCTACTTTAGCACGGAGATACGCGAGGCCGTCGGCCATCGTGCAAATTTTCTTTAGAACTTCAAGCGATTCCCCCTGCTCATAATCGTCACCGAGGCTGCCAGTACCAGCGCGGCGGGAGGCTTCCACAAATTTACGGACTGGGATCGCCAGGTGCTCGAGAACGGCAGCTGGGGGTTCGGATGTGTCGTATTTGGCGATCCCGACGGTATTCTGCAACTTCTGTCGCCTTGAATTCTGTTTGGGCGCCCCGAAAACGATCTGAGGAAGCTGTTCTGTGGTCGAGTAGAGGGTCCTGGGGTGCAAGAGAAGCGGACATGTGCTCTCATGACCGGCGATCGTCTCCAAGAAGTCGAGAACAGCGGCGATGGGCCGGCATCGCTGGTTGATTTCCTCGATCGCAGCATGCCTCAGTAATTCAGAGGCACGTGCAAATACTGGGCTTCTCCGTATCATTTCCGAGATCAGTGGCTGAGAGGACCGGTCGAATGGCGTTGTTGCCTTGATCTTAGAGGGCAAAAGCGACGAGAGGGCGTCGAAATAGAGTGTCAACTCGGCTGTATCGTCGTTGGCCTTTTTCTGGTTGTTAACAGCCGGAACAGTGCCTATCTCCGGCATGTAGTCCCAGTCGCTGTCACCATAACCCGTGCCTTTGGAAAGATGCGAGTGCGCGGGAGTACTCCTGGACGAAACCTCGTTGCGACTGGCCTTTGTCGGTTTCTTTGCCAGCGGTGGGGTCGTTGACTCAAGTCCGCAGAGGAGAGAAAATATGAGAAACAAACGGCCTTTGTCGCAGCACCAGGCAAATTTGAATTCTTTCGTTGAGACAAGAGGCTTGAGCCCAGGTGACTGACCACCGGCATGGTACCCGCCGCAGTGTATGCAAGACCATCCTTTGCATTTGGGGCAGAAAGCACATGGATGGAGATATCCTGCGACGATGAGTTTTTATCGGCCATGCAAAAGTAAGGATAAGGATAATATCCGAACCTACCTCGTTTTAACATCTCTCGGGTCTGCTGGATAAGTGCGGTGCCGTCGATTTCGAGAGAAGCTTTATTACACGAAAGGCATCGCCGGGATTGCAGTCGCTTCCGTAAATCAGCGAAAGGATCGGAATCAAATGCGGACTTAAGCATTTGAAGAGATCGAGCAAGCTGGTCTTGTCCTGAGGAGCTTTCGGGCTCGTCATACAACTGTTGTTGCAGAATCTCGGCCGCCCGCCGGTCGTTCTCAACTTGCGTCATTTCGATATTCATATCGTTAAACTTGAGACCAGGGCGTTTGCGGAACAAGACTCCGCGGCGGGAACTTTGGGTAGTGGTGTTCAAGGAGTCGGTTGGTTCGTCCGGCAAACAGCTCGAAGCACTTGGGGATGCTGTGAGGTCTTGAGTAGGGTGGGGGATTAGCAACTCATGGCACAGGATCGGATGGTTGGACCGAGAGACGACGGATAGGAGATCACTTACCGATAGGATTAGTTTCTGAGCCTGGCCCTTCGTTGCCCGAGGGATTTGCGGAAAAGGAACAAGCCGAGTGGGTAGGCGCCTCTCCTTGATCTGAAGAGAGATTAGTCGGTGGTGAGTCGGTGCTTGACCACTTTGACGTCCCGGGACCCATACCTCCATGTGTCGTCGTCGTCATCATGCGCTGCTGCTTCGACCCTCGAGAGCCATATGATGCGTCATCTGGGGGGTGTATGCGCCGTTTCGCCATGGCGGGCCACTGATGCAACCTATGGGTTGCTTTTTCTAATTTTCCTCGCAAAACGGTCCACGAGGGCATCGTTGGGAAAGGCTTCGGCCTCGGGCTGGGCCAGGTCGCTGTACCGGGACGCCGTACAGTGGCGTAATCGGGACGTCAACGTGCGCACCAAACCCCGAGGGGAGATGCCGGGATGGAATGTGACGAAAGCAAGAGGCCGTAACAGGCCGCAACGAGTCGTACCAGCCCGGTTGTACCATTGACCGACCGTTGAGGGCCTGGTGAGTCCTAATAACCTCACTGCTCGTGCAGCCCAAGGTTTGCAGATTGCAGCTCCGTCCGTCCGAGCCACTACCTCTTTTAGTAGTGAGTTCGAATGAATGATGAATCGGAAAGTTGGCGGGCCAGACTGGTGCAGCGAGGAGGTAGAACGGACGGAATCGTCTCAATAATCAAGTGATGACGCCAAACAAGCAGAGTGTAAAGATACGGGTAGGTTGTGGATAATCACCCAAGGCTCGGTGAATCCATCAGGTAGGTTGTTAAGCGACCAACTCTGCAGGATCGCCGGCTCAGCCCTTTCAGTTTGGCCGGAGGAGGTGTGTGGTTCACGCAGTTGTTCAAGTGTTCGAATGGGTTTCGGTCGGGACCGCTAGGTTAGCCTGGTTAGGTGGTCACGATACACTGGGCAGCGTGACCACTGACCAGCCATGAGACGCTCAGGTAATCGCTCACAAAGTTGTTCAGTAAGGGCAGGCAACCGTGACGGACCGCTCGCAACTGCCCAGCCAGGCGAAGAGCGGAGGTGCGGAGCAAGGCCTGTTTGCCTGCATGACCGGGCGCTCTCAGCCCGTTGAGGGGTTCCGTAGGTGGCCCGACATGTGGCTGTTCATTGGAAAGTGCCGTTTGTTCCTGGCTGCCCTGTGTGGCTGCTTGAATTCAGCGGGCAGCCCTGTTCTCGCTCGTCGTTCGTAGGTGTCGCATGGGAAAGCAAGGCGATTGCAACTCACTACTGCGTGTACTGTGAATATGCCGAATGGTTTTGATCGAGTTTGAGTCGGTTTGTTTCGTTTCGTTTCAGTTAAAGGAAACAACCTCAGCTCCTCAGGTACAACCAGTACCCAGTATGTACATGGGGGGCGTCAAGCCGGCCAGTGCGGGGTTCAGTTGGGCAGTTTCAACTTTCAAGCCACCTTCCTGCTGAGCAACGACATTAGCTTGAGCCTGCCCGAAAATCTTCAATCACCAGTGATTCAACCATTGGTTAAACATTTCAGCCTGAACAATTTTATGTTGTGCAGAAAAACATGGATGCCGATCGCAACTGATACAGCCCAGCCCGTACGAAGTAGCAAGGGAGTTCGGCTTCTTACAACTAAGACGAGACCGCCCCACTCTTCGAGGCCGAGGTCGCGCAGCTCCAACAACGTTTTCTGTCACCAATAAATCCAATTTCCTTGTATGGATTGCTATCCCTAACGTGACACAGTTCTTGCCTTATCCGTTCTTCGCTATTATTCCACGTCTTCTAAAATGACGCATTAACACAGTAGAGAAGCAAATATCCCAAGACGGCAGTTGGTGACGAATGACTAAAAAGTGGGTACCCAAGAGACAAAACGCCGCCCATCGACACCGCCATGTTTGATTGCGGAACGATCGATGACTCGGATACCCGGCCGTCAATACGGAGGGAGAGCCGGGCGGCGTGCAAGGCCGAAGTGAAAAGGGAACATCGGAATGGCCCGGGGATGGGCGAAGGTCCCTCTACGTTGTTGTGTCGAGCAGAACCCCGAACCCAACTAATTGCCAAGACCAAGACGTCTGCCAAGAGATAACGCAGCGAAGAAGACTGCGACAAGCTTGGAGCTGAGTAAATTGCAAAGGTACGAAGTACTTCGCTGATGTGCCTTTCCACGGACTTGGGACGGACGTGGGGGACAGCGGGGTGTTTGCAATCCTTGAAACCCCTTCCCATGGCTAGGAGAGAAAAGATTCAGAGAATTGTCGTTGGTACGAATTACTTCTTATATTCGTACTTCTCGTGCTTCGCTCTGTTATCGGTTCAAACCGTTGCCTTATCATGGCTGGGATGGGGCGATTGGCTCACGGCTTGGCAACCGAGAACCCCCCAAAACCGACAGCGTAAAAGTCTCGAGTCTCGACTCAACACCATGCACAGCTTGGTACCATTTCGCGATGCGCAAACGAGGCGCTCCCACGGCAATGATGCAAGTTATGGGTCTCGAGAAGAAGTTCCGGTCCACTTTCCTCGTCCCACGCGACAGTCGCTGGCCCCCACCAATCCTTCAGCCATGACAATGTGGCAGCAGAAGCTGGGCCGCTTGCGGTTTGCTCTTATCAGTGGCCCCACCAAAACTTCTTGATGTTGGCCCCCGGCCAAGAAAGGATGCGCCCAGAACGGAATCAAGGGGCCGATAATAATCGATGGTCTTATCAGTCTGCAGCGAGGTTGACAAAAGGAGCTGAAGAGCTGGCCGAGCTCTTGGAGTGTCGCCCGAGCGGGCGGGACGCGGGAGCTTATTTGACCCTGCTAATCCCTCGCGAGCTGGCGCGACTCTTGGTCTCTTCAAATTCACATCGAACCAGTATCCCGTTTTGTTTTACGCCGCCTTTGCTTTGAAAATCCCGCCGTCCTCACCATGTCGGCCGGGCCCTTAAAGGACTATGCCGGCGTCACGGGCGTTGCCGACCCAGGCGGTGACTCCATGGCCGAGGACCTCAACCTCTATTACTCGGTAAGACAGCACCATGTGTCGTAGGCAGAGACCTGTAGCCCCTGTCACTAACTAACCTTACCCGCAGGCCGGCGACTTCGCGTGGATCATGACATCCTCGGCTCTCGTCTTGCTCATGGTCCCCGGCGTTGGCTTCTTCTACAGCGGTCTGGCACGCCGGAAGTCAGCCCTCGCTCTGATCTGGCTATCCCTGATATCCATAGCCATCGCAGGGTTCCAGTGGTTTTTCTGGGGCTACTCGCTCACCTTCTCCCATACGGGCAGCGCTTTCATTGGAGACCTCACCAACTTCGGCCTGATGAAGGTGCTCGCCCAACCCAGCGTCGGCAGCACCAAGCTCCCAGACATACTATTCTGCCTATACCAGGGCATGTTCGCCGCCATCACGTTTGTGACCCCTTTCCCCGATACGGCCCTTGCGCCCGACAGGAGACAAAGATCAAACTAACTGTACTTTTCCAGCCCCGCCCTCGCCATCGGCGCCGCCGCCGACCGCGGCCGCATGCTGCCCTGCGTCGTCTTCATCTTCATCTGGGCGACGATCGTGTACGACCCGATCGCGTACTGGACCTGGAACGCCAACGGCTGGTCCTTGGTCATGGGCGGGCTCGACTTCGCGGGCGGCACGCCCGTGCACATCAGCTCGGGGGCCGCCGCGCTCGCCTACTCGCTCATGCTCGGCAAGCGCACCGGCTACACGCGCGTGCACGGCCTCCCCTACCGCCCGCACAACGTCACCCACGTCGTCCTCGGCACCGTCTTCCTCTGGGTCGGCTGGTTCGGCTTCAACGGCGGCAGCGCCCTCGGCGCCAACATGCGCGCCGTCATGGCCTGCGTCGTCACCCACATCGCCGCCTGCGTCGGCGGTTTTACGTGGTGCCTGCTCGACTACCGCCTCGAGAAGAAGTGGAGCACAGTCGGCTTCTGCAGCGGCGTCATCTCGGGCCTGGTCGCCATCACCCCCGCCGCGGGTTACGTGCCGCCTTGGTCAGCCGTTGTGTTTGGCGTTGTGGGCGGTGTCGTGTGCAACTTTGCGACCAAGCTCAAGTTTGTCCTTGGCATCGACGACGCCCTCGATATCTTTGCGGAGCACGGCGTGGGGGGGTATTGTTGGCAACCTGCTTACAGGTCTCTTTGCTTCGTAAGTTAAGGCTATCAGTTCCATCAAGCCTGCCCAAGCTAACCGGTACAGTGACTACATCGCCCGCCTTGACGGCTTCACCGAGATCCCCGGCGGCTGGGTGAATCAGAACTATATCCAACTCGGCTATCAGTTAGCCGACAGTGTCGCCGGGTTCTCTTACTCCTTCGTCATGACCTGTGTCATCCTGTTCCTCATGAACCTGGTCCCCGGCCTGTCGCTGCGTGCCAGTGCCGAAGAAGAGGAGATTGGCCTCGACGATGGCGAGCTCGGGGAGTTTGCCTACGACTATGTCGAGATCACCCGTCATATTGACGGCTCGATGACGGGCATTACTGGCAGTCCTAGCCACAGCATCAAAGGGGACGTCCCGGAGAAGACCGCATGATAGCTGTGCTTCGATGGTCATGGGAATTCACATTGGGGAGGTGGATTTTTAGATATTGCGTGTTTTGCCTTTCTACATGATACCTTTTGTTATTTTATCTAGGTACGTTAATAATGAGTTGGTGGTTTCAATATGGCGTGACGGGGGAATCTGTTTGAGCACTAGGGAACGGTAGTTTGAGGTTGTGGTTTGTGGAACAGACTGAGTGAGTGAACTTGAGGGATGTGATTGACTTGCTTGCTCCTTTGTGCCGGTCTCCGCACAAATTTAGCTTTGGCCTTGACGGTGGGAATTGAACAACTGCATAAATGACAAAAAGCTAAGATCTCTCCCTCCGGAGGGAGGAGACCGGCAAAAGTAAATGGGAACTGTGAGGCTCGAACTCACGACCTCAGGATATTTCGATTTGTCACCGAATCACACAAACGTATGAGACCTGCGCTCTTCCAACTGAGCCAAGCTCCCTGGAATGCGATAGGAAGAGAATCTGCACCACGGCCTTATGAACCTAATGCCGATCCCGCCAAGCACCATGACGTCCTCGACGACTTCGCCAACCAACCTTCGGCCAGGAGAGACGTCATATCAGAAACTGGGTCAGGGAATCAATATTTAGTTGTTGGTTCCATTTTTCGAATTAGCATTGCACTTCGCTACTCTCATAAACTGCAACTACGCACACTACAAACACTACAGATTCTCTAATCAGTCCTTACCGAACTCCTGCAATACATCTTTCAATACTAGCACCATGGATTCTGCGGGCTCAAAGTCAGCCATGTCGAATGACATGCAAGAGATCACTCAGGGGAAGGAGGACATCACCAACCGGATTCGGGGCCACAAGGCCAACCTGTCCAACCCGAGTAAGGTTACTATTCTCCTGGTGTAGAGGAGTTAGCACTGACAGCATGTAGACACCAGTGAAGAATCCAAAGAGAACAGCAGGGAGGCCTTGAAGGAGCTTGGAGGCGATGACACCCTTGAGGACCGCCGTAACAACCCCGTTAGCAAGAGTGCTGCCGATAAGTTGTACGGCACCCGTGCTGCTGCTGGTTGAACGGACGTGACAAGGGGCTAGCCCAACGGATTTCGTTCATTTATCGCTATCGAGACGCAGAAATAGAAAGCTTTCAAGTACATCAAAGCATATGGAACCTCAAGACTTTACACTTGCATGCTTACACTGACCAAGTTCAGTCCAGCCCGGTAACCTATGACTTACCTCAGACCTGCCACCAAGATCACACCGATGGATCATGCCTACTCCTGAAGCCACTGCTTGAACCAAGCAACCAGCGCCTCGTGACCCCTCGTCATAGCCGCCCTCTCCCCCTCCACATTCGCATTCCCCCTAACCAAACACCAGTGCTCCACCCCCGGGAAGTGTTGATAATCAAACGGCACCCCCCTCTTCTGCAGCGTCAGAAACGCAAACAGTTTCAACTCCGGCGTAAACATCTCATCCACCTCCGGCGCCAGCAACTGCACCGGCACCCGCACGCCCTCAAAATCCCCCTCAACCACCAAACTCGGATGCCCCACCGAAACACAATCCACCAAGCCCCTCCCTCCAAACTCCCCCTTAAACTCCCCCGCCGCGAGCCTCAACGCCGCCCACCCCCCATAGCAATACCCGACCGCCCCCACCCTCTCATACCGCCCCCGCAACGCCCTAGCATAAGCCAGCACCTCGGGCTCGCGCACCGCGCGCGCCTGCCGCGCCATGATGCCCGGGATGTCGATCTCGTCGTAGCGGCCGGCCAGCGCGGCGTCGAAGTCGATGACCTCGCCGCCGAAGAAATCGGGCAGGTAGACGGTGGCGCCCGTGGTAAGGGCGAGGGCGTCGGCGAGGAGGCGCCCGTTGCGGAACGTCCCACCCGAGTAGGTCGTGGATGTAGAGGATGGCGGTGGGGGTGTCGGTGGTGGTGGTGGTGGTGTTGGTGGTGTTGGTGTTGGGGGGGTAGGCGACGTAGGTTGGGTTGGGGACGCCGTCGAGCGTGGTTTCTGTGCCGGTTGGCGTGCCCTCCCAGAGGGAGGCCTGTAGGCAGCAGGTGGAGAGGGGCTTGGGGATGGTGGTGGCCATGTTGGTGTTGTTGAGGTTGGTGTTGTGGGGAGGGTGTTGCTGTGGCTCTGGAGCGAGAGCTGTTGTGTGTGTTCTAGAGACGAGAAGGCCTTGGGAAGTGTAGGAGATGTAGCAATTTATAGCCTACCGCCGAACGTCCCGCCGAATGCACTGGCATCGCGGTTGCACCCATCGTCCTGCGACTCCTGTCCAATGGCTGACGCTTCCCGCCCTGCTTCGACTGGTGATCACCGGAGTTAAGTACCTCGCTATCCTCCGAGGCCGCTTGGTCCGCTTCGTCCGGTGCTCGCGGCTCGGAAGCAACCGCGTGGTGGAGCTCGCATTTCTTCGTTTTCGAATTGTTCAAGCTTCAGCGAAGGCCCCGTGTTGAACGCGACTAACTGTATTGGACGAGTTAATGCTTTGACTTTGTCGTGCTGTATCTGTGGCACGGGGTGCTCGCGTCGCGGTCTCTTCTGGACGCAAGCTTCAGTTAACATTGGCTCAGGAACCTCCCCGTCAGTGCGCCGGCCTGTTGTTCAAATAAAATCGTGTTAGGAAAGAGAAGGTCGAGCGAGACTTCACCCTCGCTTGAGTAGACACGGTATTTGGTGAGATTCTGACCAGCCCGTCATGGTTGTCGACCGACATGGGCAAAATCCGACGCGGTTCTTTCTCGATTAAGCGAGGGCAGGCCAGGCTTGAGGATCGGGAATCGTTAAAAGTTGACAATCAGCTTCTTCTCCATGACGCCGCTCAGGCGACGTTCACAGTGAAAAAGGGTTTGTTTGACAGCAAAAATTACGGCCGGAACGGCCCCGAAGGACAATTCATGACAGCTAGCACCACGATGTGCAATGCAGGCTCTCCGTCATATGGCAGGGTTTTCTTGATCTCCCCGCAATCAACCAAGGTAAGTATGAAGAAGAAAAGAGAAGAGGAGGAAGTTTAGGGGAGTTGGCCGGGGATTTATAGCTAAGGTCTTGCTGGTCTGTGCACGTCTGCAGTGGTTCAAAGTTGCAGTTGCTTGCACGTGATCATACATACCATGTCCATCTGCCACTTGGTTGCTTGGCAGAGGCGCAAGGTATCGCGCCTGTCACTCTGGGCCACGGATCCAAGGGCGCTCTCCATCAGCGCAACCACGAGATTGTAACGAGTGAGATACCGCTGCATCTTGCTGACAAGGGTCTCATGGTCGCCGACCGTCAAGGGCTATACTCTTCGGGGGAGGAGGAAGGGTTCAAGCTCTGGTTCAGTGGTTCTTCTTTTTGTTGCCACGACTATATGTTGAAGTCTCCAAAATGGATGCCGAGTTTTCGTGAAGAGCGGGACCAACCGTTTTCTCGAGACCAACTGCCCAGACCAGGGCACTGATTGGGGGCTGAGGGTAAAGCAAGGCGGGGTCGTGAATGGTGAACAGAACACGTCCAGGCATCCAATCCAATTTCCAACCAATTCCGCAATTAGCCTTACATCTGATCCAATACTTACATTGCATTTCTATGCTACTGGCATTTCCTCGCGGCCTGAGCCCTACACTGTGACGACAACAACGACCATGGAGCCAACCTCAGATGCTACCGACCCTTTGGCAAAACCCCAATTTCTAGCAGAACAAGAGCCAGACCCCTCCCTTCGAACCGTCACAAAGGGAGGGCCGGACGCCGGCGCCATCGACGCCCAGGTTCCAGACGCCCGAGTTACGGCAGAAGAACGTTTTGCCACCTTTGACCTCTCCGCTGTCTCTCACGTTGTTATACAGTAAGATACCTAGGCACCCAGCCTAGCATAAAATGCTCATAAGTATCCTAACCCCTGGCAGGGTGTCAATCACAAGGCAACAGGACATCTTCCGCCGTGTGGGTTACCAGTACGACTGGGATCGGCCCGGACCTTTTTGGCATTTCCTGGGCAAGATAGCTGCCAAGGCTATATTCAACGATGAGATCAAGCTCGACGTACTCAACTATATCCCATTAGGCAGGCGAGAATTTATCTGTTATACAACGCCCACGTGGACAGCCACAGTCAAAGCGAGAGAAGCAGATGGCTTGACAGAGCCGCCGCCACTCCATGTTATCGAGGTCAACTTCAAGAAGCCAGTGCCGAGCCAGCCGCTAGAAATGTCCTGGGTCCCAGCTAGAGACCGTGTTCTCCTTCAGATTAGGCGTTGTAGGTTGAAAACTATCGTGTGTGCTCATTGACAATACTAACGCAAGGTCGCAATACAGGGAACGAAGATTCGGGTGGAGAAGAAGACAACCCCGACATATCCGACTGAATGTATTGGGATTTCATGGCCGCCCTGCGCGGATCAGATCCCGTGGGGATTGACTCCTTGGTTTCTTGTCTTAAACTAGATAAGCGATGGGATGGCGGGAAATGCGGAATAAGGTGGGTTGTCCCGAGAAAAGAGGAAGCCATGTGCATGGACACTCACAGGCTCAACTTGTGTGTTTGAAGTTCAGGGGGGTTTAGTCGGAAAAGCCAAGATCGCTCACACACGATACTCGGGTCAACCATTTTCTTCCTCGTTACTTCTGCCGACTTGGGGGGGGCGGGATGAGACTTGTCCGTTTCTTCCAGGTATGTATATTCGTCTCTGACCCGCATCTAGACACCATCATGTTCCACGTCGCACTGTCGATGACCGAAAATGGCCTCGCTGTCAACCCAGATTTGGCGACCACAGCAGAAAGTATTGTACTTGACGCATAGTTAGATACATAATGAACCCAATCAACGTCAAACTTGCATCCTCGGTCTACCGGGCACCAAACGCCCCTCATGCCGTCATCCGGCATTCTGCAAGCCACAATCTCACCCTTTTACCAACCTCTTACTCACCATCCCACCCTCACGCTATCCATCTCCATTTCCTCGACCTGCAGCGTCATCCCAAGCCGTCTACACCGCCGCCCAGGTCAACCACACGTACTTCCCCTGCTCACTGTACGACACAAAATGCACCTCCAGCGCCGGATCCCCGACCGCCGGCGGCCCGCCCTCTCCCGAGCTAGCCATCAGCCCGTACTGCCCATACCGCAAACAGTCCTTGCCCGGAATCGAGTTCGGAAACGGCCAGATCTGTATACCCCCCGTGTCAGCATACCCCACCAGGAACAGAACGTAAGAAACAGAGAAAAGAAAAAAACACACCCCAAACTCCACCCCCGCATCCCCCCCGCCACAGGTAAACCTCCCCCCATAGATCCGGCACGGCCCCGCCGCGGACGTCAGTGTAAAAGTCGGCAGGCTGCTCGTGCCAAGCGCCGTGCCCGTGAAGGTGCCGCAGTGGGCGTTGTCGGTCGTCCACAGGCCCGCGGGCGTCAGGCAGCCCAGGTCGGCGTGGTCGCCTTCGTTCCAGAGGGTGCGCAGTTGGCCGCGGCCGGTGAAACCTGTCGTGGAGCGGGGGGTGGTGGGGTGGGCGGTGGTGGTTGTGGTGGTGGTGAGGAGGGAGAGTAGGAGGAGGGGGGGTTGAGGACGCATTGTGGGTGATGGGGTGGGGAGGTGATGGTTGGGTGGTTGTTGTTGTGTTCTGGGGTGGTGGTTTGGTTGGAGGGAGGTTGACGGGGCGGTAGGGAGAGATCGTGCAAGATATATATGAGTTTGAGATCATATCAATAACTAGAAGTTCCGGGTATGCGCGTAATTCCGGGAGACCCCCTCGGACACGCGTCACATTGACCGACTTTGGGCGGTGTGTCCCATACTACTACCACAGCATACGATCGTTGCATCTTGTGCGCCCATGGAGCGCGATTTCTAGACCGTAGCCAAGTACCAAGCGACGTGGTGGCTGCGGAGCTGTTACCCCTTTTGCTCGAGACCGACGAATTCGGCGGCCAAGGACGTGAGCTTACACTCCATCGAAAGGTCATGCTCCGCTGACAAACGGAGAGGGTTGCAGTTTTGGAGCGAGCATGGAAAACAACAGGTGAACTTTCGGGTGGTGAAATCGTTGCCTATGGGCATCTGGCAACGGCATAAGGTGACACGCTTCGCGTTCTAGACTCCATGACGTTTAGAAACTCCCGCACACGTAACAAGCAGGAGGAAACTTGTCTTGGAATGTTTCTGAGGATGAATAATACGGTATCTAGGTGGTTACAACGCAGAAGCAGGCCCTCTCCTGACAGTTCTCTCCCGCTTGAACCTGGGCCAAGGTTCACGAGCCCGAAAAGAAGTCGGCGGCAAGCAGTGTTTGAACCGCTTTCGGGGCCTCAGGTCAAATATCTCCACGCTATCCCGCCGCGTAGGCCTCAAGGACGATTTCCCCGAGCGACCACTCTGATCTGTATGTAGCGGCCACGGGGAATCGCCGTTTGGCGGTTGGTGTGGCGAGAAAGGCCGCCTGTATCCCTGACCATCCTCCCGTCGTTTTCGTTTCGAGTGTGGCTCTACGCTCGGCCTCACTATGTCTTTGCGGTTGACTTGTCGAATTCCCCGGGGGTTGGTAATGGGTTGCATTGGTCGCGCAACAGGTACATCTGACATCTCGACGGACTTTCCTACTATGGGGTCGACGTCGGGGGCGATGAGGAGATCCCATCGGGAGTTGACTTTTTGGGGGGCCCAAGAGAAGAGAATTTTGTTTTCGTTTTCGTCCTCACCGGAAATCGGCTCCATCGAGGACTCCAGCCCCAGAGTCAAGGAGTTTGCTTCTGGTGTCTTAAGCGCTTCAATGAATGCCTTACGCCGGTGCAGGATAGGCTCATGTGTTACCGCTTCCTGGGGGTCATAGTTCCACGCGTTAGACCATCCTGTCCCATCATAAAGTTTAGCACGGAGATGCCAGGTTGGTGCCGACTGTAGCAATTTCAGAAACCGTGAGCCACCCGCTCGGATTTCAGCCGGATTGGTGACGAAGACACAGAGCCGTGGACCTGTACACCCCGCGGTGGGCTTACTGGAGTTGACAAGGAGAACTCCGTGCTTAGGCATTGGAGGAAGCTCCGGCGGCCGTCTGAACCAACGAGAGGACTTGATTTCTCGAGGGCAAAATGAGGGTGACTGCTCAGATATCCCTAGCTCGTCAAGCACCGAAGAGCCTCGTAGAAAAGAGCAGAATGGCTCATTTCTTCCCACTTTGTGTTGGTCATAGAGAGTGCGGACAAAATATGTTGTGTCCGCTGTGTCACCTTTGAGCACCGTGTCGGCCCGAATAATGAGGCCTGCGTCAGATCTTTCCACAGAAACGACGGAGAGGGCATCCCGGTGTTCTTGTCCGTTTTTGGTGGACAGTATCCCCGTAGAGAGACAAACTCGGGAGATACAGGCCAGCAGATTGCTCCCAGTAGACTGGCGACGCAAAACAAGGAGGATGTCGCTAAAGGCATCCTTGTCCACAAAGGGAAGGTCGGAGAGCTTATGACCCCTAGCAAGCTTGTATCCGGCATGGACCAGTATATCGTCCACAGCACTCTCTTCGACGGCAAGATAAGACAGCTCTCTTGTTTGCTCCCAGTCGAAGGAAAGGTACGCAGCGACGCCCGCCACTACCAAGAAAGTGACTTCCCGGTGTGACTGGCCCTGACCGCGATCCTTTCCCGTCCAGTCGAACTCGAGCGCGTCTAGAGTTTCTCCTTTCACTCTCCAACCCTCCACCAAGTGCTTAAGGAGGGAAGCCGCCAAGTTTTTGGATCCCAGGTCCGAGTCTCTCGATCCTAAAAAGGCGGTCAGGTTCTCCCGGGTTACATAGAGACCAAAGAATCGACTCTTGATGTAACGAATATCGCGGATCACACCCGATTTTGTGTCGAAGGATCGAAGTGCGTCCTTTATGCCTGATTCTTGCCCGACCCACGCCCCCGTATTGGTGTTGTCGGCCTCGGGGTTAACTTCAGCCCACAACCCAACCCGATCACGGGCATAGTAGGTGGACATTATGTCACTGTCCTGGTATGCTAAGCTCTTGGAATCGGAGATAGCGAGCTTCCTCAGACTCTGGATGATGGCTTCCCGATACATGTCACGAGCCCAGTCAAAGATATAATCGATGATCAGCAGCAGTTGGAGTGCCCCATCCTTGACATTTACGGCGCCGCGCCAAAGCTGAACAATCCGCTGGGACCCAGAGATTAGTCTTGTGGACTAAATCAGTCGACTTCGGAGAAGCAGGCTGGTACTTACAAAGTACTGGCATCCGTCTTTTATCTCAATGTAGGCAATGGAGACCTTCCATTCCTCTCCCTTGTACGAGAGAAACCACACAAGAGGGCCCGCGTCCCACTCGCGGTCCTCTCCCGCCGCCGCGCGTAGATTTTCCTGGAGCAAGAGCAGCTCCCTAATGGCGAAGGCGGTCTGATATGCTGCATCGCTGAAGGAATCCGCACCCTTCTCCGATTTGGCCTCGAGAACGAAGAAGGGAAAGTTCGGAGGTTCCGCGTCTCCACGAAAGGGGTGGCTAGTGATACTGTCGCCGACGCACTGGCCGGCTGCCGAGGGCCTGTTGTCGGTTGAAGACAGGAGGCGCTCTAGCCTTCGGGTTGATCGCAGCCCGTAAATCCTATCTGGCTTCTCTTCCCGTTTTGCCAGCTCGGATTTAAGTTCCGGAGGATAGACCATTGCCTCCTCAATATGGTAATCGAACAAGGGGCTGATGCCCGGATCGTCCCTGTCGCGGGGCCCAGGCTTCAGCTTGGGGTAAGAAGGAGAGAGACAGGGAACCTGGCTTACAAGTCATCGTGCTGCTCGCTTGGGTCACAGGCGCATGGTTCTCGGTCTCGTTGGCGCTCGCGGAGTCGCCTCGCAGCCGCTCCATCGGTATTCCCAGGATCGACCTCTTGCTCAGACCGCCAAAGCCGCCCCCGACACCGCTTACTTCGAGCTTGTTAAGACTAATTTCCGCAGCCGCGTCGGTGCCAAAACTTACCACGCTACCTCGATGGACATTCGGGCCATGACTTCTGTCTCGACTTCAAATCGCCAGCCAGATTCATTTTTGCGGTTCGCTAGACATGTCTGGGCTTTCACAGCCACGCGTTTTGCGCGCCGCCTCACTTGTTCTCTCCAAGGACGGTGAAGAGAATCGCAACTGATGCTCGCTTGATATCGGTGGTATTCTGTCTGGCCGAGGCTCTGGACGCTTCTGACGAGGTTGTCGCGAGCGGCGGGCCAGTTTTCGGGGGACTGGAACGGACTTTCGGCCGGCCCATCAAACCGAATCTTGTATTTCTTGATCAGTCGTCGGCGTTTTGGTATCTTTGAGCTTGAAGCCATCGGGACCTCGAGAATCGAGATTTCGGGAAAGGAATCGGAACACGATCGCGCTTTGGGTAGGACGGTAGGTAGGTACCTATACTTATCGAATCCAACCTTACTTCAGAACTTCTGGTACACGTCGGTTTCTAACAACGGCAGCAGGCTCGAAACTTAAAAGGCTGCGCCTTTCCCATCCTTGAAACCTTGGCGGCCGCCTGCCCGCATCGCCCCCTGACTCTGTGGGCGGCTATGTGACTCGGTACGACGCTGTTGGTTGACAGTGGTGGCTTGAGGGTGGCTGAACACTCTGGATTCGGCGCCCTCTGGGAATTTAGCCTAGGATATCAATGCTTCTGTAACTCGATAGCTACTTCGATGTGTAGATGCCACGGTAGAGCAAAGTACGCAGGTGCGGTTAACCGCGCTGGCTACATGTAGGGACACCCGAGAACCGTTCGTTATTCAGGGATTCCGGTCAAAGAAAGAAGTCCAATACTTGTAGATATGCGGTATGTACCTACCTACCTAGTCATCCCGAATCTCCATCCAATTCAAGCTGCAGCCGGGGCCAGACACATACCCAATCCCCTCGGGTTAAGTCTTAGCGTGATGAATTCCATCGGCAAACCGGACAGTTGCCCTTAATGAATTACGCTTGGTTAATGCCGGGATATCGATTGATGACCTTGAAGTGAACACTGGCCTCTTTTGTCATTGATGGTCTCATCTGGGTTGAGTCGGGTATTTCAGGGCTGTGATCGGAATTCTCACGACAACGAAAGCCGGCCCGGTCTTCTTTGGGCTTGGTCCAAATCCGCAACGCGCGCTTTGCGAAAAGGTATTACCATCATACAAACCCCCATCACCTACGCCCACTCTCCCACGAGCTGGGAAGCGCATTTACTAGTTTCCCAAACCTAATACAATCAGCAACATGTCGACTCCGCAGAGACTCAAGACGGTTCGCCGCCTACAGACCATTATGGGAACGGCGTATGCCGGCCTGGGCACCTGGTACGAATCCTGCTCGTCCAGTTTGTATCAAAACTTCATACTTACCCAGTACCAACGAATACAGGTGTCTGTTCCACCCTCAGTCGGTCATTGCGCTCGGTTTCGCACCCAAATATGTCGCCATGTCGAATGCCACTACCGATCTCTTTGCGCGATGCTTTGGTGCCCAAGCCATGACATGCGGCTTGCTCTTGGGCACTTCTGAAATGACTGCCTGCAGCTTTACCGCGTTCGGCTTAGCCATGATACCGTACATCGGATGGAACTTTTGGTTCGGTGTCGGCCCAGCCAAGGGCATGGTCAACAAGTTGATGTGGTTGGATTTTGTTGGAAATATGTTCTTTATGGGCGGGTCGCTTTGGTGTGCGAAAGTGCTGAGGGAGTGAGGTTAATGATGCGTGGTTGCTGTGTCTCTCGACTCAATTTCCTTGTCAGATACGAATACCTTCGTGACGTGGTTTGGTAATTACCCCATCGTCGTCGGGCAACAGACGGAGTGGCGCTGAAACCCCACCAAAGCCACCGCGGAGAGCGCGGGGAAGGTTTGGGGAAGAAACACAAAAACTCAGCTCCACATTCTTCTCGCCCCGCGTGCCCCGCACCGAGCAACAGCTCAGACGAATGTCTGAAGTCCATTCCTCCGCGTTCTCGTCCTGTGTGACGGGTTGGAGCCGAAGCCTTCTTTTCTCTCCGCTCCCGTGACCGCTCTTTCTCATGACCACCATGATGGTTCAGTCACCGTATAATAAGCCTCGCCGTGATCGGCGGTCTCGGCGGATTGGCGCTCTCCGTCGCTATTCTCGCAGCTTATCGCGGCAGACACAGCGGGGCTCATTCGTTGCGACACTCCCCCCTGCCCCGCGCCGCATTCCGTGATATTCCCCAGCTCGCGATAGCAACAAACATTGTTACAGGTTCATTGTGCTTTCCTTGAAGACAATCCTACGCGCTTCCTGGCGCAAGCATCGACAAGACGGGGCTACGAGGCACACCACTTCCTTACTCCCAAACTTGACCGACTCCAACGAGGTCTAAGTTGCTACCCCCACATCGCGACCATGGCCGAGCCGGTAAACACCCCGATGCCCCCGAGCACCCCGGTGCCGGCATCAACACCGCGTTCGATGTCCCCCGCGCCGCCCGTCCCGAACCTATCACCGAATGCGACCATGTCCGCCATGTCCAGGATGTTTCCACCGCCTGCGACCGGACGCGCCACACCGAAACGGCCCGTGGTCCTTCATATCGGTGACCCGATCAAATACAACCCGGGGACATACGCAGAATTCAGCACCGAGTTTGAAGTGATCCGCCCGGACGCCGCCGAGCGTGAGCGGAGCGAGTTCATACGGGCCCTGAAAGAGCGCCGCTGGGGGGACTTCAGCGCCATCTTCCGGCCATTCTGGGGCACTGGCGGCGAGATGGGCCGATGGGACGCCGAGCTTATCGGCCTACTTCCGGACACAGTGAAGGTCTTTGCCAGTGCCGGTGCGGGTTTCGACTGGGTTGATACCGAGCTGTTAGGAGAGAAGGGTGGGTGATCTCTTCCCAACCCCCGGCTTGCCGCAAACCACAAAGCGCACACCTGCTGACACGCACAAGGCATCATCTACTGCAACTCCGGCCTCGCCGCCGCCGAAGCGGTCGCCGACTTCGCCGTAGCCATGATCATCTCCACCTTCCGGCACCTGCCCTGGTGCATGACCGCCGCGACCTTCCCCCCTCCCAGCCCGCTGTCCACCGACCCCGCCCACACCGACGCGCGCGCGCGCGAGGCCTTCCAGACCTGCCACGCCCGCGCCACCGCCGCCAGCCACAACCCGCGCGGCCACGTCCTCGGCCTCATCGGCTTCGGCAACATCGGCCAGCAGATCGCCGCCAAGCTGGGCAACCCGGCCTTCGGCATGCGCATCGCCTACCACGACGTGGTGCGCAAGCCCGCGGCCCTCGAGAACTCCCTGCACGCCACCTTCCAGCCGACCCTCGACGCCCTCCTCCAAGCCTCCGACTGCGTCGTGCTCGCGACGCCCGCGTCGCCCGACGGCCGCCCGCTCGTCACGGCCTCCACCCTCGCCCGCTTCCGCCCCGGCGCGCGCTTCGTCAACGTCGCGCGCGGCTCGCTCGTCGACGAGGACGCGCTCGCCGACGCCCTCGAGACGGGACACCTGGCCGCTGCCGCTCTCGACGTGCACGCCAACGAGCCCCGCGTGCACCCGCGGCTGGTGCGCCTCGCGACCAGGTTGCCTGCTTTTGATGGTGAAGCTGGCGGTGAGACGCCGCCGCCCGGCTCGGGCCGCGTCATGCTCACGTGCCATAATGCGGGCGGGACGGTGGAGACGCATGTCGGGTTTGAGGAGCTGAGTATGCGGAATATTTTGGCTGTGTTGAGGGGTGGGGAGGCCGTGACGGCGGTGAATATGGGGGTTTTGAAGCGGTGAGTGTGTGGTGCTGGCTGGCCGACTTTCGTTCGTGCTGGGTGGGGGCCCAGAGGGCGATGGGATTGCGGGTAGGATTGGAGGTTGAACGGTTTTGAAACGCCATGGAAATGCATGAGCCTGTAGATAGTCTGTTTTGGTTGGGGGGGTGGCGACGATTGACGCAGGGTGGGAGATCAGGGGTGGAAGGAGCCGTTTTGGAACGGTGATGGATGGATGTATGTAGAAGGACCAGCTCTGGCGCTGGTGCTTGTGATTTCTTGCTAGTAGCCTTGTGTATCGCTTCGTATGTAGATAGAATCCAAAAATTAAGCGCCCGATGGGTTGGGTTGCCGATGTCCCGAACCCCTTTGACTTTTGGTAGTGAACCCCCCTCCTTGATTTGTAAAACACACGCCGTTGACGCTTGACATTTCGCCCCGTAGAATGTCAGGTAAGTGTACATGAAATGGGAATCCGCTCGCTCAGAAAGCCAAAAAAATACCCAAGAAGAATGACCAAAAAGACATTATTAATGTCCGTGACCCGCTGCCGCCGGAAGACCCCCACCCCTTTATATCCAGTATCCGTTCGTTGCAGCCCCATCTCCAAAACACACAGGGGAATCATCTATCGCTGCTCAGGCGGGTTGGCTGCCATCTCAACTGGGGGGTTCTGCTGCGGCGCCACGTTCGTATTGTCCAGCTCAGAGATCGGCTGCTGCGGATAAGGCCCGGGGTAGGGCCCGTATCCGGGGTGAGGGAAGCCACCAGCTTGCTGCTGGTCCGCTGGCTTGGACGGGTCGTAGTAGGAGTGCCGCCCATCGTAGGCGCCGGGGGGTTGTGGTGTCGTGCTGGACAAGTACGGGGTTTCGGGGTACGTTGTGGAGCCGATCGTGCTCGGGTTGTAGTACTGGCCGCCTTGGTTCATCTGCGGGGACATGTAGGATGGAGGATAGCCGGAAGTCGGCGGCATGGGGCTCCCCGGGAAATTGGGGTCGCCCGGCGCGACGGCGCTATAAGTCGTGCTGCCGCCGGTGTTATTCTTCTTTTTGCGCGAGCGGATCATGACGAAGGCGATGGCACCAGCAATCAGCGCCAGGCCGGCGACGCCGCCCACCACTCCGCCGACGATTGCGCCGGTGTTACTGCCGCCTGTGTCGGAAGTCGGCGGAGGCGTATCGGTTTCTGTTTGTGCGGGCGGGGTGTTGGTGGTCGCTGAGCTAGTCGAGGTTTCGGATGTGGTAGTGCTGGTGTCGCTGCTGGTTTCGGAGACGAAGGGCGAGCTCAACATTGTGACAACGGCCCTCTCAGTGTAGCATCGGTACATGGACTTCACGGTAGCGCCAGGCCAGAGGTACGTGATGCACTCGCCGATAGATTCGGTCATGCTGATATGTGTTAGTCACGCACCAAGCAGACGGGAAACTTTTGGATTGTTCCTTACCAGCATCCGGTTTTTGGGCCGGCAGACTTGCAGGCTCCGTTTTGGACGGCCTGATAATCGAGACATACGGTGAAGAATGGGTTCGGTCCCCCCGAGGATGTGCAGCCAACGACTTGGTTGGTGTTTGTCGCGCAACTATGCGATGCTGGGCAAGTAAACGGCGCGGCTGATGCATGATTAGCAGGCGCCTCAACGAGGCGGGATGAAAAAAGACTTACATTCGGTATTGGCACGCCAACCACATGTCGTCTCGTCCACCCAAGTGTTGTCCGACTGCCGCTTCACTTTGACCCAGTCCTGCCTCCTTCGCGCCAGCTCTAATGAGGGCCCATCGGTGGGCCTTGGTGTCCACCCATTCGCGCCGTCGTGAGTTGACGCTCTTGTTTCCCGCGGCAGTACTCGTGCTGCCTCTCCTCCGCGATAGTCAAGTTCCTGCCCGAATGCCCAGTCCGCGCATGCGAGATGGCCCGAGGCGGCCAGGAGCCAAAGTTGCGACCGCATGGCGGCTATCGGACTCTTGCGCGGATGCTCCCGTGTGAAAGACAAGGCTCACGCAAGACAAGGTGCCCGCAACTGAGCCGGCGATGCTTGGGCTTGCGTAGGTCGGAATCGGCGAGGGAGCGAGAGCAGGTGATTGTCGAGGTTGACGTGAACGGGAAAGGAGCGGGAACGAAGAGGATTGCGCCGCTTTTCCTCACAGCCTCCCATGCAACCGGCAAACGAGGAAAACGCTCTGGAGAGGACCACCCGCTCGGGAACCCGTCCCGTCGTGGCATGGCACGCCCAGATGCTGACGGGAGCAGGGGTGTACTGCAGGGGTTTGAGGCGTCCTTCTCGCGCTCCTTCGGCGGCCAGCGAATCAGGGCATCTTCTTGAAGCCATCCCGGCCGGCCCATCGATCTTGCCATGCTGTTGCGCTCAGAGTTCCACGACCACTGATAACGTTAGCCATGCCCGACCTGATCAAACATCCAAGAAGGATGAACTCTTCGAAGCGTCCCTCGCTGGAAACCCATCACTTCGACAACATATTCTGTCGCATAGAAACGCGCGAAGAGGCCGGCTCGCCAGGCAACGCTGAAAAGTGTGCCGTGCCCACTGCTGGTGTGACGGTTTGCAATCCTGGCGGCCCTGGGCCATTTCGCGTGCATGGGAAGCCGGGGGGTTTGCGAGTGGTCCCCTCTCACTTCCCTGTAAAAATAGGGGTGGGGCCGGGTTGGCCAATGATCTGAATCTCGAATCGTGGGGAGTTGCGACGGAAAGCCAATGATCAGTGCAACTTGCTCAGCCTTGGTGGGGCACAGCACCCACTTGCCCCGCAGAGGCATTCATCCGAAACCTTGAAATGGACATGCAGAACTTTGGGTGTTGCCTAAAAACTGTCGTGGTGCCAAAACCTTGTTGCAGGGAATCATCGACAAATGCACTGTTTTCGCGATGGATCGATCTTCATTCGACGCCATTGCCCGCTCCGCCCCGGTTGCTTCGTATCGTCTTCCCAAAGATGGAAGTATTCCGTCCATGCCTCTGTAAGCTTGAGAGAGTTGGCGGGTGGAACCGAGCCACGATCCCTCTGAAACGTGCCGCATCGACAACCAATCATAACCACTGAGCACAATTCATCACCCAACGTCTTTCTTCGTCGGCTTTACATAGAAAACTGAACTGGAAGAAAGTGGGACAATCCGATGGGACAGAAATTTATCCCCTGGGGTTTTCCACATTTGTTTCCGTGACGGTGTATTCCCGGAAAAGTTCGCGAGCACGTCCACACGTGCCCAGCCACAAGAAATTGGACACAGACGAACACCGTCACCCAGATCCCATAGTCAGTCAGAAGCAGGTCAAAAAGCTACACGGTAGGAGGATACCGGGGACAAATCGTCTCGGCGGCCACAAAACGCAGAAGGTGCAGGAATATTGCCCCGTGAAAACAGTCTCGTCAACATGCCGGTGTCGGATATCTTGCGCGTGCCATGCTCACCCTAACCCCGGTTTTCCGCTCCCCACCGCAAAACATTTTCACGGCTGCAACACCGAATTGGCGCATCATGACGAAGCCGGAACCGGGGTAGTCCTCACCTCACCATACACCAAACCACCATCTCCTTTGCGTTGACGACACACGTGGTGACACTGATCTGATTCGTCAAATACCTTGGGCGATTCTCTTTCAGCCAGCCAGTGCGCCAAAAGCAGCCACCAGGGTCTCACCAAGTCTTCACGTGGCATCCCGCAGAACACCATGGCAGACCCTTGTCGCATCGTCGTGATGGCCAGTGGGAATGGTTCGAATTTCCAGGCCCTCATCGACGCCGTCGCCGCCGGCCGGATCGCAGATTCCAAAATTGTCCGCCTGATTGTGAACCGGGGGAAGGCATATGCAACCACCCGAGCAGACCTTGTCGGTATCCCATGGGAGTATTTCAACCTGATCTCGCACGGATTTCAGGCCAAGGGCGAAAAGGACATGCAGAAGATCCAAGAATCGAGGGACAAGTATGACGCGGCGTTGGCGGAGAAGTTGTTGCAGGGTGACTTCAAGCCAGACCTCGTGGTCTTGGCCGGCTGGATGTACGTGTTTGGCAAGCACTTCCTGGACCCCATCGATGCTGCGGGCATCAAAATTATCAACCTCCATCCCGCACTGCCAGGTACGAGCCCCCTTTCCATTGTCGTTGGGCTCGCCGTGACTGACCGACCGGAAGGAAAATACGATGGCGCCGGGGCGATCGAGCGAGCCTTCAACGACTTCAAGGAAGGCAAGCTCGAAAACAACAAGACAGGCATCATGGTTCACTATGTCATCGACAAAGTCGACCGGGGCGAGCCGATTCTGGTGAGAGAGATCGAATGCCGTGCAGGGGAGGAACTGCATCAGCTCGAAGAGAGGATACACTCACAAGAGCACGAGTTGATTGTCGAGGCCGCCGCAAAAGTAGCCCGGGAGATTGTTGCCCAAAAGAGCAAGACACAATAGATGAGCTTCAAATCCGAAGTTTTTGGGCGTCTCGTATGTGTTCCGGCCAAAGGCGCAGTCCTGCTGAATTAACTCGGCGAGGGTGCTCACCGGAAGTCAAGGCCAGGGCTTGCTGAGGAGTTGCGTGTCTGTACTGTGCAACTTGAGATATTCTGTAAGCCTGAACCCCGCATACGTCGCACTCATGCATGGCTTGACGGCTGCGTCTCGCCATCTTGTTTGGTGAGTCTGGTTGTTGATTTTGAGTGATGGGTTGTGAGAGCTGAGAGCCGAGAAGGCCCGTTGATTGGTTTGCCTTCACCGAGCTTGACCCACCACTGCCTAAACCTCCCAGGTTGGAGCCAGACGAAGCGTGTGGTTTGCAGGCAGCAATGCCGACCAAACGACGCCAATGCGCCTTCCACATTGATGATTAAAACGCGATCCAGAACCTCCATGAATTCAAATCTGAACATTTAACCAAGTACCCTACGAATTCTTCACACTGAGAATTAAACCCACTCCACACCACTTCACGCATGACCGGCACAACCGTGGCTACAATGGACCCCCAACATGGTTCCGGCCTGGTTCAAATTCCACTAGAGGTCCTCACCCGCATCACCCACTTCATCTCAACCACCGACCTTGGAAATGTGCGATTAAGCTGCAAGGCCCTGGAGCAAGGCCTCTTCCACTTCTTCTCGCACGAGTTCTTCCGCAAGAAGCAGTTCATGGTTCTCAGCGACAGCCTGCAGGCCCTGATTGATATCTCCAAACATCCAAATTTGTCCCCCTTCCTCAAGCATGTCATCATCGGCACCGACCGCCCAAGCCAGCGCTATCACTTCCCGAACAGGAAAGAGGAGGCGAGCGCCCGCCTTGCAACCGCCAATGCAGACCACATGCAGCTGTTGGCCGCAGGGGGGCTCCGAGACATGCTCGCCGAGGCATTTGCTAACCTCACCAACTTGGAGACGGTCGACATCCGCGACTTTAACTCCCCAAGCCGCAGCCGCGATGGACGGGGGACTGAGTGGAGGAGCTGGGGCGCCAACACGCTGGCTGCGTCGACCAATACCAGCATCTTCACCGGCATTGTTAATAGCGAAGACCCCTATCTTAGTCAGATTTTCAGCGCTGTTACCGCCGCCCTGGCCGCTGCACAAGCCCGGCCAAAGAGCCTCGAGATTCTTGCCAGATCAAGATCAGGTTACGGTGGGATCGCGCTGCGCGACTCTGCCTTCTATATTCCGCCGCGCATGGAGGCCGCGGTATCGCCGATGCTCGCCAGTTTGCAGTCGCTCCATCTCACTTTGAGCCTGACACACAGCCTGGGGATGAAACCCTTCATGTTCCAGAAGTTCCTGTCACTCACGATCAGCCTGACTTGGCTGCGTGTGAACTTCAAGAACACGGCCCCGCACGACCAGGAAGAAGTGCTCTCTTGGTTGGCCCTCAAGGACACCCAGAAGCCCAACGCCCCATTCGACATGGCCCCTATCCAGCTTCCACGCCTCGAGCGCCTCGACCTAGGGGATACCGAGCTCAAAGCGGAGAATATACTCAATCTAGTCGTCAAGTTGGCGCCCACCTTGACATCGCTCTACCTCCGCAGGGTGTGCTTGTTCGACGAAAGTAATGACCACACGGCGGACAAGATCAACCCTTGGGACCGCTGCCTGTCTGTGTTATCCAGGACGCGTGGACTGAATCTGCGAGTCCTGGACTTGAGCCAAATCGCGCACCAGAGCGGCGGGTTCAGAGGCAGCGTGCCGTTCAAGCCGACAGAAGACTCGGCGACCATTCGGGACTGGACTTGTTCCACCAACCTGGTCACTTTGGACAAGGCCATCGCGCAAGCGGTTGCAGCCATGGTCCCCGATTGGCCACCGGAACCGGATCGAATGGACGGTATGTGTGCGCCTGCAGGATGTTTTCGGTATCAATTTCTAACCGCGTTCACAGAGGATGGTTCGGACGATGATGACGAAGATGACGAAGACGACGATGAAGAGGAAAGCGATGGGGAGGGAGAAAGCGGCGATGGTGAAGACAATTAACGATTGGATTCTCACTTCGCCCAGTACTTGGAACCTTCCAATCATGACGACGGGTCACAGCGAGAAGCCCACGGGTTCTATGCCTCGTTTGGCCAAACTATGGTCGGGTTACGATGAACTCTGAGCGGTAGTTTTAATTTACACAGTACCAGGCCCGGTTGTCTCAGAGCTGCAAAGATTTCGTAGCTCTGACGCCTGTCGCTTCTTGCTTCAGACAACCCTCTCGTGGCGGTACTTGGTTGAACTCTGATCAAGCGCCCACAAACTCACAGCATAGATGAGCAGCGTCGCAACTGTCGGCGGAATTAACCCAGTCTGCCAATTTACACAAGTTCCGCACCTTAAGCCTGTCAGCTTGTCGCCGAACCCACCCGACGATATTCATGGAACCCCCGATTCAGCTCCGATAGCTAAGGCGGTGGAAGAAAGCTTAGCCCAAAGCAGGAAAAGCCTAGCGAAATTGATCCAGGGCCGGGAACCGCTTAGTTCCGTGGCCACGAGGACTTCAAAAGGGTGACAGCCCTCCTTGGAAACGATCGGAAATGCAAGGTCCCTTCTTCCATCACACCCCCCATCCCCGTCCACTCACAAAACCACAACCGCAATGAAGCCCCTCCTCCTCGCCGTCCTCGCCCTAGCCGGCACCGTGTCCGCGTACCCCCGTTTCACCGAGTACGAAGAGTGCGTAACATTCTGCGACAACGACCCGACCTGCCAGTCGGCCTTCTTCGACACCATCTCGGGCGACTGCCAGTACCACGCCTGCCTCGACGGACGGACGCCCCCGGACAGGTTCAGGAAATACGTCAAGGCCGGGGCCGCCGGGTACTGTTCCGGCACCAGCCCCACGGCAACCTCGGCGGGGCCAACGGCGACTTCGACGGAAGTCCCGACGTCGGTGTCCCAGGCGGGTTCTGCTTCAACTGAAAGCTCGGGTGCGTCGGTTGGGTGGGCAGTGTCAAGGGGGGACGTTGTGCCGGCGGTTGCGGTGGCTTGGATGGTGGTTGGGATATTGAGGTGAAGGCGGGAGGCTGAAATGCGATCACGATTATCGACCTGGTGTTGGGGGAAAGGGCTCTGATACGATGGGTTATGATATGCGGACTTTGGCACAGAAAAGGCTATGTGGTTTCACTGGAATCGGTCATGAAAGAGCAAATATGGAGAGAATCAAGCTGTTTTCTTTCCCGGTACCTAAACCCTCATACGTCATGCCAACGAGGAACTTCTACGACTAGGAGACCTAGCATCTCACCCTTGTCTTACCACCATCTGGGATCGAATTTGATTATAGCTCCATCTCGATAGGTAGGGCCAAGCATCGGCCGGGAACTAACGGCGGGCGGGGTAAATACATCCCAAGTAAAACGGGAAAACGAAGAGCACCATCAAGTCAACCGGAGATAGTAAATAAAAACCGAGCAAGTAACAAGACTCTGACAGGGTTTGATGTCATGGCCCCCACTAACACCATGAGAATAAGTGCCTCAGTTTGTTCTGGCAGCACATGTCTTGATGAATTTGTCAGCATGCCGAGAACTTGAGACTGCACTCAAGACTCCATTGGCACCCCTGACCTGCTCCCCACGGTCTCACGGTGCTAATGGGAAAATATATAAAGCTGCGAAGTCACCCACTCCTAGTCCTCTTTTTCCCGGGCAGGTCAACAAAAACACACTCAACCTTCCACACACCCCCCCCCCCAACGCACGTCTCCAGCAGTCCTCCTCCTCGACAAAGGGGGTACATACATACATAGATACAAACAGCAGACCGACCAGCCCCAACCCCAACAACAACCCCAACCATGACACCCCCCACTTCCATCCTAATAATCGGCGCCGGCGAACTCGGCACCGCCATCCTCGCCGCTCTAACCACCCACCCGGCCTACACCCACCCCAAACCCAATTCCACCCCCGCCAAACTCGCCCTCCTCCGCCGCCCCTCCACCCTCGCCTCCACCGACCCAACCACCCTCGCCTCCCTCACCGCCCTCACCACCCGCGGCATCACCCTCGAAGCAGGCGACTTCGCCACCACCCCCGTCCCCGAGCTGGCCGCCACCTTCAGCAAATACGACGTGGTGATCCAAGCGGGCGGGTACGGCGCGGCGCCGGGCGTGCTCTTGCGGGTGGCGGAAGCGGCGGTGTTAGGCGGCGTGCGCCGGTTCTTGCCGTGGCAGTTTGGGGTGGATTATGCTGTGTTTGGGGCGGGGGAGGGGGGTGGTGTGGAGGGGAGTGGGCATGGGGCGCTGTTTGGCGAGATGTTGGCTGTGAGGGCGCTGTTGAGGGGGCAGGAGGGAACGGGGTGGACGGTGGTGTCGACGGGGCTGTTTATGAGTTTTTGTTTTTGAGGGGGTTTGGGGTGGTGGATTTGAAGGGGAGGGTTGTGAGGGGGTTGGGGGCGTGGGGGAATAGGGTGACGGTCACGGATGTGGAGGGGATTGGGCGTGCGGTGGCGGAGGTGGTGTTTGAACCGGGGGAGACGGAGAATAGGGTGGTGTATGTGGCTGGGGATACGGTGTCGTATGGTGAGGTGGCGGATATTGTGGAGGCGGGGTTTGGTGGTGGGTTTAAGCGGGAGCTGTGGGATCGGGACTTTCTGAGGGAGAGGCTTGAGCAGGAGCCGGAGGACTTGATGTTGAAGTATCAGAATGTGTTTGGGGCGGGGGTTGGGGTGTCTTGGGAGATGGAGAGGACGCTGAACTACCGGCGGGGGGTGAAGCTTACTGATCTACGGAAGTATGTGGAGGACAACAAGGAACAGTTGCTGGCGTCGGCGGACTAATACCACCGGAAAACCAGCCGAGAGGTAGCTATTGGCGTGGCGCAACTAAAAATATAGTTATATCAAGACACTCTCGCTGTTCTGGTCTAATCTGGAAATGAAGGGCACGGCTAGAGACTGAGGCAACGTGGGATCTGACCTCCAGTCATTGTTCGTCGCTCACCAGACCGGATCAAAGAGAGTGTCGGACTTAGGGCTTGAGTCACGGTGAATATTAGCGCCTAGAAATAAGTCAATATTAATATCCCGCCAACTCTCAAACCGAGCTCTCTTTCATAAGGTACCTATTCTCGAATTATCACAACCATTATCACAGCCCGCCAAAGCCATCGCACAACGTTGATAGCCTTACACAAAACACAAAACCATGCCACCTCTTTTATTCGAAAATATGCTGATCGCCAATGAGCTGCGCAACGAAGCCCTGCCAGCTCTCGAGCGCCTGGCCCAAAATCCCTCTCTGCGCGACAGAGCCCTCGCGCGATTCGGTCGAGACGAGCCCCCACCATACGTTTCGTCGACCGAGGACGAGGATGAGGACGAGGATGAGGACGAGGATGAGGACGATGTCATGCGTTACCCGGCATCAGACCGCGTTGGCGGCGATCTATTGGATGAGGTGCAACGCCACCTCGATGAGCCTCTCAACAGTGATCAAACCGACGAAGCAGCATCGTTCTTGGAGGGTCAGTCACTATGGTATAGCCCCGGAGTGCGCTATGATATGGAGCTGGAGCCCGAGGTAGAGCGTGTAGCGAGGTGGGCCCGAACCAAGGCTAGCACCGACACCAGAGAATATCTTGTCCAATATGGCCTGGCAGCCAAAGGGCGCGCTGGCCGGGAGCGCGTCAACATCATCGCACGCCGGAACATCAGGCGGCGCTGGCAAAAGCTTGGAGTTTGGAATCCCAAATGGGGCATCCCCAATAGGACAACCAATCCACAGCCCAACGACGACACCTACACATGGAAGTGGCCATGGCAGCATGGCGAGGCCGCCGCCGAATGGCGTAACGGCCTCGGGGCGATGTCACTGAACTCTCGGCATCCCTCCGTGCGAGCCCTTCGATCACGCCAGGGCCAGCGCCGGAGCGAGCATGCCCCCGTTCTTCCGCATCCCGGGCTTGAGGGTGACGCTTCGGCTTCGCAGGCGGAGTCGTTTATTATATCCCGACCTTGGTTCAGGTTTGCGGTCGAAGTCAGCGAGGAGGTGCAGAGGCACAGACGTCTGCCCGAGAAGATACGTTTGCTTCACCGGAATTCCGCATTTGGGGATGTCAAAGAACTTTGGAAGGAGAGGGGCGACTGGCAAGAAGAGTGGAAAGACCCGCGCGGGGGTAAGGAGGGCAAAATCCTGATCGGCTGGAAGTGGCGGCACGAGAGCCCTACCCCCGAACCCGAAGAACTTTCCGGCCTCGAAGACCTCGCCACCTTCGAGCTCACTCCCTCCGAGGTTGACGCGCTTGAGGCGGTACCCCCGCCCTCACCCCCTACGCCCCGGCGCCCTTATTCACCCGGTCCCTGGCGCTGGAGGTTCGACTCCCGCCCCCAAGAGCACCCGCCGAAAGCAGAGGACACTGTCGAGCAGTCATCGGCCGCAGGCGGCGGCCTCTTCGACTAGCTCCCGCCGCAGTGCCAAAGCCGCCTCCAGCAGTCGCTGGTCCAGCCTTTCCTTTGTGGCACCAGGGTTGCCGCCATATCCATGAACCGCCCACGGTCGCCGCGTGTCCAGACCCGGCTTAGGGGTCGGCTAAAATGAAGACGGCTCGGTATATAGCTCATGCACGTTGTTGCTCTACGGTGTTAAGCCCCGGTAATTGGTGATGTTAGCTTAGTGTTAGATCAGACTAACACAATGTCAAATTCCGCCGAGTCTCAGTTTTCTTGTGTAGCAAGTGACATAATAGTTGCTACCACCGCCTTCACAGCAGGGATTAGAAGTCGACTTAGATACCTAGTCACATTGGGAGATCTACCCCTGCCACCGTTTTTAGGTGTGCTGTCTGCGAGTCAAAAAGCAGCCCCTAGCAGACATTCTCAAGCAGGCATCACTCAGAAACGATGTAGGCATGAGGACAGATAAAGTCCAGCACAAACCAATTCCATTCAAAAAGAGGACATATACAGGCCAGAGGAAATTGAAAGAGCGTAGCGTACAGCTCAGGAGGCAGGCCGAACACCGAATCAAGAACTGAACCCCAAATCAAACCAAAACCGAAGCCCAATCCAACCCCAATCCAATCCCCTGCAACCACCACACCCCTTCCGCAACCCCTCCCCATCCCCTCAACTCCCCATCACCCCATCACACCCAGGCAGGGCGCGTCAGCCCGCCACCGGCCCCTGATTTAGTAGACCTTGTAGCTGCGGATCTTGCGGGCGGGCAGCTTGTGGGTGCCCTTGCCGTTGCGGTAGCTCAGGCCCTTGCAGCCCTTGTTGACGTACAGGTCGAAGGTCTTGGGGTCGGGGAGGAGGTCGGTCTTGGGCGAGAAGCGGGCCTTGTTGACGTTGAGCACGGGCGTGAAGGAGATGTCGTTGCAGCCGCTGTCCAGGCGGCCGCTCATGGTCGTCTTGCGCCCGCCCTTGGCCCACAGCTCCAGCTTCCAGGCCGAGGCGAGGGGGAGCGCGAAGAGGAAGAGGCTGGCCTTCATGGTGGTGGTGGTTTGGGGGGTTTTGGTTCTGCGAGGGTGTGTTAGTGAGGGGTTGGGAGAGAGAGGGGCTCGGATGGGGGGATTTCACTTGTTGGTGGTTGGGACTCGTGTTTGGTTTGTGAGGTTGTGCTGGCTGTTGTGCTGCTGTGGATGTCGATGCTGGTGAATATTCTGCTTCAACTCGGGGGGGGGCCAGCCCTTTAAATATTCATTCCTTGCCCAGCGTGATCGGCTGTCGATACATTCTTGCGGAGGAATGCAGGGAGAGGCCATCAGCTCGGACAGTCCTTCATCGAAGCTACCAAAAGCCTTACTTGCTCAGCCATGGACGCCCAAACACTGGGGATTGCAGCATGATTACGGCAACAACACCCCGTCGTCGTCAAGCTGAGTTACGCCGCGGCCGTGTCATGGTCGTCGTTTGGAGTAGGCACTGTAACCCAACGGTGGTACCGGCCAGCGCCACTGCGGAGAGGCAGCGGCTTGAGATGGTCGATATGTAAGCAGGAGGTCTAGAAACCGTTGGACAGGAGCCGCAGTAGCTCGTGAACAGATCCGGGGAAACGTTGGCACGAGAAAATGGGAAAGTAAGCACTACTGAGCTGAAGGCTGAATGCCTTAGGGGCGCTCCCGTCCTCTGAATGGGTTGCAGCCGAGGCAGCTTGGCGGCCAATATTTGATGTTGGACCCCAATCTGGCGGTATCGGCGTTAGGTTCCGCCGCGTTGTGGCATGATGGTTAGTTACCGCCGTGGGTGATTGGACAAAACATGTCTCAGACCACATTCGCCACGAGACGAGGGACTCAAGAAGTGGCCGACTCGACGAGTGTTTGAGACTGTTGCAAACCGTTGCTGACATCTGCCAAGCAGTCCCCTCGTACGAATACCTGAGAGACACTGCAAGCCACTGTGAGACCGGATACTCACATCTTCCATGCCCCCCTCGAGGCGGTGCGTGCTATTTTGGGAGAAGAGGCTGAAACCCCTCTAAACGCCATAACTGCCCATCCGACGGTTCAGGTGCTGCCCAGGCGCTAACCAGCCGCAACGGAGGGCATGGTTCCCCCGGTTTGAGAATAAGCCTATACTATAGGATCATGATGTTGTTGTTGATGTGCAGGAGAACCACCGAGCCTCTCCCGTTGTGTTACTCGAATATATGCATGACACCTGTTGGGGGCGCAATTTATGCCTCCTTTTGGTCGAACCTCGGCTGCGGGAAGGTGAGTTCTCGTGATGGCTGGTATCGATTTGTCGGGGACGGAACCCCCCCTGCATAACCCTCTCTAGTCTACCAAACCTGTAGGCATTCTTGAGATTGCACCCGAAAGATCTCGGTTGGATCTCATACGAGATCCCGCAATCTTACCCCCTTCCCCCCCCTTACTATCTGACCAAACAAACCAACCCTCAACCGCACCAACCCCGCCGAGCCGAGGCATCTACAACACGCAGTCACCGACACACGCGCCGCCCCTTCCCCCCTTACGGCCCGAATAAACAAACCAAACCAGCACCTCCACTTGACCACACCCACACCCACCCGCTCAACCTCGGCACCCAACCCACCAACCCACGCCATCCCATCCAACTCACCGCACATACGCTCCTCCCCCCCCCACCGCCACAACCAACACCTCCGGCTCCCCCGCCTCCACCTTCCCACTCTCATCCCTCCCCCCATCCGGCTGCACATCATCATACGCAAAGGCATACCCCTTCCCATCCAGGTTGCACCCATGCACCACGCGCGCGTAGTGGTTCGCCGGGCCGGTCATGGCATAAAAGTACTCCGGCGCCGACGGGTGCTCGGCCGTCGCGCAGATGCAGCCGCGCTGGAAGGCGGCGGCGAGTCGTGGGATGATGGCGTTGCGGATGGGGGAGGGGCCGGTGGTGAAGGGGCCGCTGTTGCAGCTGAGGATGTCGGCTGTGCTGGGCCGGGCGAAGGGTTCGGGCCCGATGAGGAGGGAGGCGGAAGCTGGGGGGACCTGGCCGGTGAGGATGCCGGGGGCGGATTGGGTGTTGATGTAGAGGGTGTTTTGGGTTTGGGGGGGTTGTTGTTGTTGGGGTTGGGGGGGCGTTGGTTGTGGTGGGGGGTTGGGGACGGGCTTGCGCCGGAAGAGGGAGAGGCGTAGCCTGCTGTGGAGGTGTTCTTTGGGTGCCTCTGGATGTTGTTGTTGTTGTTGTGATGGTTGTGGTGGTGGTGGTTGCTGAGAGGCGGAGTACTTCTTCCATGCTGCTTCGACTAACGGTTCAAAGTACCCGTCGAAACTCGCGCCTACGGCATTGCCGTGCGTTGGGCTCAATACCCGCAACGGCCTGTCCTGCCCCTGAGGCGTCACGACGAGCTTGTCCCATGGCCGGCCATCCCTGGCGGTCTGCTCTTTCAGCCCGGCACACACTCTCTCCAGGCCGTCTAGCGCCATCCCACTGACGTGCTGCACGGCGCCACCCTTGATTTGCAGCGTCAGTGCAACGGGCAAGCAAGGCACGAAGTCGACGTAGCTGATGTTGGCGAATAGCTGGTCGTTGTTGAGGGTGAACTCGCAAAATGAAAAGTCGATGTCGGCGTTGGGGTCGCTGGGGTTGAGGACTGACGGCTCGACGAGTGCCGCACCACCACCGGGTCCGCCTGGGTTGCGTAGGAAGGTGAGCCGTTTCTCGGCGCTGAACCAGATGCGGCCACCGGCCATCTGTGGGATGGTCACCGTGACTGTGTTTCCTGGAGACCCAAGCAGGATAGCGCAGTCTTGGGTGAGCGGTTGTAGGATCTGTCCCGGCGGCGGTGACTCGGGATAGTAGAGATCCCTGCCGTCCGGCTTGAGGAACACGCGGGCCATGTTGTGCTGGATGGCCAACCCGGTGATGAATGCGTAGACATTATGCGAGTTTGTTTGGTTGGTTAATTGGATTGTGAGTGAACTGGGCATCTTGACTGGCTGGTGAGAGTCTGCATATAAAATGTCCGTATCTGTCCAAAAGGGCCTAGAACTGGTGAATATAAAATACTTAGTATGACGAAGAATAGAAGTTGTTCCTGCTGTTGTGGGGGTGAAACCATGATTCTGAACCTGAGCGTTATTAACCCGCTTTTTAGCCCAAATTGCTGACTTAGCAGCAATTTGCGTCATCCCGTGTATTTAAGGAATCGTACCCGCTTGGCTGCTTTTTGTTCCGGTTTCCAACCCTGTTTCTCATCTACCTTACTGTGATAGAATACTACGGCGTGATCACAATCGTCTTGTCGCTCCAAGTTGGATCCACAAATACGTTACAATCATCTCCCGAGCCAACTAACGTTTATACCCCTACTCTAGACGGCTTGACCAAGATGTAAAGTTGAGTTCCAAGCTTCCCAACTTCCCAAGGTATTACCAGCTCTTTCGACATTGCTACGGTGGGTCGGGAATGCACATTTTCCACTTTTCATCCCTTTCTCCTATCGTTGCCACAGAAACCCTTACAACTTGCCTCATCAACAACATATCCCACCACACCCATTCTGCAAACCCCCGAACCCATCTCCCTCATCCATACCTGCAAAACCCCCTCGCCCACGGCTTGACGGTGCAACTCACATAGCAACTCCCCAACCCAAGATCAACTAGCAGTATGGGCAGGTGGCCGATAACCAATCCAACCCAAGGATTCATCTCCTTTTCTCCGGTCAGATATTCATGGAGCCGCAGCCACGACAGGCCCACGGGGATCCGCGTGCCGACGACGATGAAGACCATGTACCGACTGCCCGTGAGGTATGGCCAGAGAAAGAGGCGGAGCAGGGCGTTGCACACCAGGACGAAGAAGAAGCAGCACCAGGATGTCAGCCGGCGCTCGAGAGGGGTGCAAACGGCGGTCGGGGGTGCCGGGGGAACGTTGTCGTCGTTCTTTTGGTTGACCATGTCGTCCGTGAAAGCTTGAGTTGTATGTGTGGCGGTAAGACGATGTGAGAGGGATAACGACCGGACGTTTACAGTAGCAGTGCAATGAAGAGGGGGCGCGGAGACCAACTCGGATACTGCCTTGGCTCGGAGGTACTGGTTAGCCATTGCAACGATGAACCAACAACTTTGCCAAGACGCCGAACACTGTCGCTCGGCGTATCGCCACACAGAAGCGTCGGTACCTATCCAACGACCAGGGTCTGGGAACGCGTTGTCTGGCAAAACCTTGGTTCTGCAAGTGGTTCCGTGCCTGTGGCTGAGTGCCTGGAAAGCGGGGAATGAGAAACAAGTTCCAAACTTCAAGTTCCGTCGTAGTCGAGAAGGCTATTCTGGAACGTTGAGGATTTCGAGGTTGAAGACGGCGGGGAGAGGAATGCTGCATTCATCTATCTACCACCTAACGGTCAATGCCCTCTTAATTCTTTTGTTCTTAAACCACCCTCGCGAGACGTGGTATTGTTTAGGGGTCGGGAGCGGCCCGCCTTACCCCCCCATTTCCCTTCACTCCTTTTGCCTAAGACGCTTCTCCTCTGCTCGCTGTGCGTCTTTCATGGCGCCCCTCTCCCGAACAACATTGGCCATTCGAAGGCCATCGTCGGTCCCAAGAGCCTCGAAGCCTTCAATGACACCCTCGCGGTCCCCAACGCTCAACTCCTGGCTCATCTTATGCTTTCCCTCGAGGCGGTCGATGGTGATCTCGACACCGGTGATGCTCTTTTTGAGAATGTTGATGAAAGAGCTGGGCGCATCCGTAACCTCCCACGGTGCTGGCCGACCGTCGACGCCGGTGTAGCCCATGATGTTACGCTCGGTATGCTCAGACAAGTCGACAAGCTGCTTGTTAAGAAAGGCGGCGGTTGAATCCGCCTTCGTGTCGAAGAAGATTGTCGCGCGCCCGTAGACCTGTACGGCAGAGTAGTTCCACGTCGGCGCCACCTTGCCGGTCGTTGGCTTGGTTTCCGTGTAGAACTTGGTTGTGACATAGGACTGCACGGGACCAGTAAAGACCACTAGCACCTCTTGTTCGAGTCTGCCATTCGTAGACGTGTCCGAGGCACGTTCGACGGCCTCTTGCATGGCTTTGGAGTGCGGATTCTGCTTGGCTAGATGGCCCCGTAGCGTGCCGAGCTCCGTCTGGCTGTCTTCATCGGCCATATCGAGCAGCCACGGAATGTGGGTGCATTGCAGCGTGGGGTAGTTGGGCGAAGGTAATGTCGTGATGAGGATTCCCAACGGATTCTCGCGGATGAAACCACGCAGTGCCGGGATGTCAGTCTCAACGTGGGCGCTTCGAAAATACATGGCGGTGGTACTCTCAGTCTCAGTAGGTGCGTATCGTGTATGTACCGCAGTTCAGGGGTAATTGAACGATGAAGCTATCATGACCACACCGAACTTTTATGCTCCTCCGAGACGACGAGGAGGGCAGGACGGGGCAGTTCTAACAATTACCCAGCATGGAGTTGCGCTGAGTCATAGCCACGGCGGCGATACCCTTCCCTTGCCAATGACATCCTGTTCCGGGAAATTGCTGACGTGACCGCCACGAGACTGACTGTGTATTTGATCAGCTACCTAAGTACATGTAGTGTCAACAAAGCGTTAGTCTGAGCTCCCATGGAGGTAGACATGGCGACAGCTTTCCGATACCTCGTCTTCTTTACGGGCTTCAGTTCAGGCAGTCCTTGTCGGGCGGGAATATTGAGCTCGCGCACTCTCGCGCGCATGACTTCGACTCACCCGCCGATGGGTTATCGGGGTGAGCTATGCCGCTGCTGCTGAGCTCTCCCCCGTCCACTACCCACCCTTCCCTCTGCCCTCCCGCTCCTCCAATCCGAGAACTACCTCCCCTTACTTTCCCCTGTTCCAGCCCAGCCAGCCACTTACCTACCAACCCTGCCCAAAAGACACCTCCTCCACGCAGCACTTCATCGCGGACCTCACCTCGCACCACACCCTCAAAAACCCTCTGGTCGCGCCTGCTCCGCGTCGGACCCAACCACACCCATCCACAACTCGCGGCACCCCCACGGGCCTGGTCATGGCAACCGTGTAACATGCTGCACCTGCGGCGCTTCCGCCCCGTGCCCTGGCAGCCCCGGAACGACGACGACGACGACGCCGGCGTGGGCGTCACGCCCCGCCCTGGCGCCTGCTGCTACAAGGGCTACGGCAACTGGGTGGCGTGCGTGGGCCGGTGTGCGGGGGACGAGTGTGGGTTGCAGTGGAAACTTTTGTCAATGAACCCGGGCTTGCACAGAGGAGGGGCGCCGGGGAGGTGTGTGCTGGCGAGGTCTTTGGACAAGGGCAGCCTGGCTTGGCTGGTTGAGTAATGGGGGGAGGGAGAAGGCTGCGAGGGAGGAGATGTTGGGGGCCCGGAAGGAGGCGACCGTTGGGTCGTACCCAGTGATTTTGAGTGCAGTACGAATAACGAAATGGGGAAGGGGGGGGGGGGGGGCGGGTGTTCGTCTGGCGTTGTTGGTGTTGGGGGCATGCGAAGGAGTTATTCCAAGTTGCTGGCTGGACGGGAAACCATTTTAGTTGGACAAGTCGAGTTACAAATGACAGCTTCGTCGAGTGCCGCGTGGACGACGCCAACTTTGCAATCTCGACGATTGCCGGCCTTGACATACGCTCCAACACGAGGGTTCTCCTACTATATCGCAGGCTTCATACCCGGAAGTCTTCACGGCAGACACCTCGTGATGTCGTTCACTGCCCCCTTCACCAGTCCCTGCACCAAGACATATGCCGCTCGACAGCCTTTTCTTCCGAAATCAGGGTCAGCACGACATCCCACGCAACTCATGCTCTGTTTCTGTAATGGGCTCGTGGCACTAGGAGTCACAACGCATTGCAATAAGCTAGGTACCTATTACTTAGGGACATGTGTTTCCGGACCAACAGCATCGCAACTCAAACGCTCCACTCAACAACACTGCTCAGACCTGAGATCCTGATACTGACTCTTACCAGTGGACATGAGCCGATATCCCTGCGCCATTCGTGGCAACGGCATGTGTTTTGTGCCATTAACGGCACGCGCCATTGCAGTACATGAGAAACAAATGTCCACATCCACCTAGTAAATCGTTAACAAACGAAGTCCATATCACGGCTAGGTAGTTATGAACTCACGAGCTTGATATTCGCATGCGGCGTTGCTGTTGCACGACGAAGACCCGTCGCAGTAATCGGCACCCGTAGAGCATCCGCAGGTTGCCCGCTTCTCAAGTCCACCAGCAGACTCGGTGGAAGCATCGCCGAGAATGAGTCTGCACTCCTCGCTGCCGAACGCCTCGTCACACTTCGTCAGAAGCTCAGGGATCCTCTTTGTGGCAAAGGTGTTCACCACGTCATCTGCGAGGTTGAGAACAGCCGCCTGTGCATCGGACAGGTTGTTGCCGTGCCGGGTGCGAGCGGCATCGATGTGGGCGCGGGCCTTGGGGGCTTCATTGAAGTATTGGTCTCGCTCCATGAACTGAGCGCTCGAAAAGGCTGCCATGCCCAGGATCAGGGCATTCTTGAGGATTGCGTAATGCATGTTGAAGATGATGGTTTGGAAAGATGGCTCGCAGTTGTAATGGTGAACAGATGCTGGCGTGCTTGGTCCTCAACTCCTGGTTAGACGTGGAGGACAGACCATATTTATACTTGATCGCCCGTTCGGCTTGATACAGTACCAGTGCGCTCCGTCCTAGGTTTTCAACAGGCTCAGGTTCTATTCTCGAACTCTGTACCTCTGCATTGCTAAGAATCGGTACAAACGATGACCCGAACTGTCCTGAGGACAAGCCAACAGAACCTTGGCAATGGCGATGTAGTATTCGTAAGGGAACCTCTATCAAATGATGACCCGAACTGTCCCTTGAGTAGGGAGCCACAAGAAAAAGCCTTTGCGATGGCGATCAGGTACAGACAGCTACATAGTACGAGAAATGAACCTTGGCGATGACGGTGGAGTACTGGCGAGGGACCCGGTATGAATGATGACCCGAACTGTCTCTTGGGTAGCCACAAGAATGAACCTTGGCGATGGCGATGAGGGACCTCCGTGAGGCAAACTCGGAAGATCGGCTGAGGTTCAGCGCAGCCTCGGAAAACCGGCTGAGGTTCAGCACTGTGATGTTACACATCTATTGCCTTAATGGTCACGGCGTCTTGCAGCTCTTGCAGCCCCAAGCACCGAATAGCAATGAGAAGGATGCACGTGTACAGAATTGAAGAAAGATCCACAGTGTTATGTGGTATCCGTGCCTTGGCTACTATGCATAATCGGACCGTTCCTCGTAGTCGTCGCCACTCCAACTATCCGTCTTATGGACCTTGACTATCGGACCTTGATTCTAAACTAAACAGGGGTCTTTGCTTCTTTCTTTCGACTTGCGGCAAGTTGTCCCGCTGCGTCCTATGGTTGCTGTTGCGTTGGAAGCAGCAGTGCGAAGGACGTGCAATCACCAACGACCGAATACTATAAAGCCGGTCTGGTCCAACCACCCAGTCAGTCTTCAGAGGCACCACCCCTTCATCACAACATCTTCCATCCATATCACAAACATTTCCATTCAAGCATACACGAAAGAACAACTTCGAATTCGCTCAACATGAAGCTTCTCTTCCCCGTCCTTGCCTCTGTGGCTCTCGCAGCTGCCGCTGAGAAAGTCTACTCGCCATCGGCCGACATTACTTGCAACTCGGGCGCCAACGGCGGTTGGGAATGTTATCGCGGTCAAGATGGAGATGCTGAAGTCCAAGAGGTATGTCCAAAAATGTCCCTTTACTTGAAATAACGAAAGAAAACAGGAGAATCGTTAACGTGAACATTGCTCAGGTCGTGATTCACAAAGGGCTCGAGGCTCGACATGAGAAAAGACAAGGCTCATGCGACATTAACTTGCCGTGGGTCTCGGCTTGTGCGATTAGCTGCGCGACGCAGCTGTGTAACAGATCTTGGTGCGAGAAGGGTATTTGCCACTGCGCCGAATGTTGAGAGGGCTTTGGCAGCGTTCAGTATGGAACATCATGCTACGCGAGTTGCGAGAGCAGGACTGGGGGTTGGTTATGTGCAGAGTGCATTGGGTCAAGTCGCTGTTTGTTTAACTTAGTCGCTCCTTTTCGCAAACCCAGAAGCTGGTTGCAGTATAGTTCACTCTCTTGATAGGTAGTCAAGTCGACCTTTCCAATCCACCAGCCTTTTGTAAGGCACTGTACATCTGCCCATTTTTCCCTACTATGAGTTGTGATGAATCGTCTGACCCAGTCTCTGAAAGGGATTACACTGAAGTCTGAAGCTAAAGTACCTAACTACCGTACCTTACGTCTTGACTATGTGAAGTGAAACTCAAGGCAACAGGTTGGGGAGTACTGAGAAGCCCCAAAGACCACAGAAGATTCGCTGCGTACCTCGTGTGTTGCACCCTGAGGTAGAGGGAGGCGGGTGGCGGAATAAGACGGATGGACAACATACCGTTCTTGTCACAACAAAACCTTTACTGGATAGACCAGCATCACGTTGGCCAATATGACTCTCATTACCAACAACGCCAATTCTGACTTCGCTTTAGCCGAAAAGTATAGCCTTCCCAATGTCTCCGTATAGCAGAAGTTGAGTCCTCTAGATATGAACCTGCCCTGGGTTTACAGGTTTCGCTGGATCTTGTGCTTCGCTTTGTCTGCTGAGGTAGATTACGCTCAAATGTATACCTTGGATAGTACTTCCTATTCACCAAATGGCTCTACTCTTGAGAACTGACATGGTCGTTTTGTAAGTTACGAGTACCTCCGGGTAGGGTTGGCATATACTGTTGCTGCAATGCCTTGGATCGCCGGCAATGTAGTATGTATATTCCCAACGTGTTGCTACAAATCGATTGCTAACCACAATGTTTCCCAGGGACCAGAGGAGGGTTTTGATCCAGATAGTGGTTGGATCCAATCCATAGGCGACTCTAGCGGCGTCTAGTTCAAGTGCGTATCTTTTCCATTTCCCTCATGAAGGCAACAAAACACGACCTGCTAACACGTTTCTTCCAGGTCTACAGATCCTATTAGGACCTTGCCGCCCTATGAGGAGCTGAAGGCGCAGCACTTTCCCCTTTCCAAGCTCTCAACCGCGTATCTCTCCCCTGGTCGGAGTCATGCGCCAGCTACCCAATCCCCTACCAGCACTTGTAAAAGCGGTAGACTACGCTCGTGGGCTGACGGTGCCTCGGGCAGTGCACCACAATGCTGCCACTTGGACTGGAGACTGTGGGTCACATGAATGGGAAAGTCATCCCCCCGGTTGGCAGTTCTGATCGGGCCGGACCGGAGACAACATCATCAAAAGCCATGCAAGGGCCGCCGTATTCATCCTGGTTACAGATGCCTCCATGCAGCGGAAGCGCAGCCTTGACCGTCGTGCCGGTATGGGGGATAGTGGTAGGGTAACATGTTGCCGCAAGCACTACAAACTTTCCCAGCAGTTGGGGGATGTGAGCAGTTCTAGCACCAGTCCGGTGGAGCCATGTCTGAGGTGGTGTGTATACTGTTGGTAGGTACAGGTACCTAACCCGCTCGCCGGTAGATACACACGGGTGCGCTCTGACAACCCACCAGCGTTTTCGTATAAAGCTACCTGGTACCGCCACGATAATACCTACAATGCGCAGCCCTCTAAACACCGGTGGCCCTGAGACGTGGGTAAGTAAGAATAGAACCTACAGCCGCATGAACTTCCACACGATTTGATCCGAGCCCCCAGGCACGGGATGAGGATCGGTTTTCCTATAGTCAGAAGGTGTTACCCCTATGCCCAGGATGATTATCCCAGCCAAAACCCGGCAGACAAGACCATGCCTCTACCGGCCGTACTGACGATGCCGTTGTCAGCCCCTGAACATTTTGTTCGGCTTTCGCAACCCCATCAACGTGGCGCTGGCCGACTTTGGCTGGGCCGGAGAATCGGCGGAATCCATGTCCACGGTCTGCGCCGGCACCGTTTACTACCGCGCTCCCGAGGTGCTCGCCCACGCCCGATATCGCAGCCCGGTCGACATCTGGTCGCGTGATTAGTCGGCCTTGAGCACGTCGAAGAGCCCCCGAACGAGGACGACTCGTCAACGGAAGCGGACCCCGCGCTCTGCATCTCGGACCACACCGGGTTTCTTGGCCATCTACGACCCCTCACACACCCACCGGCACCTGCTGAGCCAGATGCTGAGTGAGAAGCCCGCCGAGCGGCCGACAGCCGTGCAGTGCCTGGAAGCCGTGTCCGACTTGATTGCCCAGGGCACGCCGCCTGTCACGCCACCGCAAATCGAGCCCGTGACACGCGGGGGCCACGAACACCCCCGCAGTGGCATCGACAGCCAGCCCACAGTCCTCGCCCCGAGTAGCCCCCATGACAAACAGACGTCTGTCCGCCTCTGGAGCAACAGATAGAGCCATCACGGCGGCGACCAAGAAGAGGATGACTTCGGGGACAGTAGCGACGACCAAGATGAAGACGACTTCGCTTTCTCGTCCTCAACCCCAGCTTGTTGAGCGTCCGCCTCCGTCAGTCGGGCTTTCTTCGCAGGAAACAAATCTTGATCTGCTTCCTCGAGAGGTCTTTTCGTAGCCTGCACGGCCGCTGCGTCTCGCTCAGGTCGAAGAGTCCCGGCACTCCGTTCTGTCTCACCTGTCATCATATCTTTGGGCTGGGCGACTGGGGACTGGACAGGGAAGATACTTCCCCGGTGTCAATGCCGAGGAACGCTAACCTCGGACCGTCAAATCAGGAGAGCGAGGCGAGCGTTCCTGGCCTGTCACTGCCGGGGGGTGAGTCTGCCAAGGCGGTAAGCCCCTGGGATTTGCGTGGAACCGTCCGTGCAAATCACGGAGCTTGCCTTGAAACGGAAACACCACGAGGAGTTCCCCGGTTCATTGGCATTCCAGTTTCCGGGTCGGGATGTGGGGAGGTCGGGGAGATGCGTGAAGCACTCAAGATGGGAATTCTCGGAATCAGCGACATGGTTGCACATTTCTTGTTGCTCCCCTCTCCCTTTCCCTTTGTTCGGCCCGTTCCCGTTCATCGTTTTGTTTGTTTTTCTCCGCCGGCTCCGCTATCTCGGTTTCATGTTGACTTGAGTCTCAACTGCCTGCTTCGGCCACCACCGGAACGGCGGTGGGCAACCCGCCCACAGTTAATTTCGCCTTGCCACGATGGAGTCGTCACCGGGTCCCCCGCCGGGGCCGCCTCCGATGTTCCCCATCAGTGAGCGCATCGCACTCCTTTCCCGGGTCCACATCGGTACTACCATACCTCTGCTTGTCTTGTGTCTCGTTCCCTTTATCTACCGGATGTACATCAGAATCTGGCCGGTATGGAGGTTCGGGGTAGACGACGGCTTCATCGTCGCTGGCCTGGTAATCCTCCCGCTTCCGGCATACCACCGCCCCTCCTTTTCTAAGCTCGACGCTGACGCTTTCGTCGCCAGTTATGCGCCATCACCGACTGGGCCTTGCTCGTAGAGGAGCTTTATTTTGAGACACAGCTGATCTCCTTCGAAGAAACTCTCTTTGCAGTCAAGTTAGCCTACTTCGCCATACCGGTGTGGGCTATTGCCATGACACTGATCAAGACATCAATTATCCTTACGCTCCTTCGGCTCCCACTGAAACAGTCATACAAGGTCATGTTGTATATCTTACTGGCCGTCCAGCTCGGCTTCGGCATCGCCAATACCATCTACAACTTCGTCAAATGTCAACCCTACCATGCCGCCTGGGACATGAGTGTCATTGACAGACGATGCCCCAGTGGCGAGACCGACATCGCCGTCTCCAACTTCACCTCGGCTTTAAACATCGCAACCGACTTGGTTTTGTCCGTCACGCCCATGTTCATGTTCTGGAATCTGCACCGCCCGTTACGCGAGCGCATCCTGATCTGCAGCCTGACAAGCATCGGCTTGTTCGCCACCTTCGCCTCCGTCATGAAAGTGGTCGTCATTGCGGAATGGAACACGGCGGGGGACTCCTGGTCCACGGCCATTGCGATCGCGACATGGACCATCACCGAGCAGTTCGTCTCCATTTTAGCCGCCTGCAGCCCCTCGCTCAAGAAGCCCATCGAGACCTTGCTGAACAAGTTCGGCATCCCCCTGGTCGAGCACGATCCCAACATTTCCTTCATGCATGTCCCCCCCGACATGCGAGGATCGGAAGCGGCGAGGCGGCGGGCGAGGGGGTTTCTGGGCGATGAGGAGGCGCAACCGAGCCCTGTCCTGTCGCACACGGCGACTGAGGCAAGCCGGAACAGGGATAGTGAGAATTGGGGGAAGAAGTCGCTGTGCAGTTCGGCAACGGCTTCTACTTCACGTACCGCTCTTCGGGGGACTTGATGCATCATCGATCATCGGCAGACACAGGCCTTTGGATCTCAGACCATTGTCTGGTTCGCGGAATGACGGGTGAGGACCCGGGCTCGAAGTCCCTCCTGCGACATGCCCGGAGGAACGTCAGTCATCCCCCGCCCGCGTTGGATCACCCAACTGGAGGCGACAAATCATCACATCCTCGGATGCGTTCCAAGTCTCCTGCCAAGTGGAAACAGGTAAGATTCCGATACGTGACTCTGCTTGAGAACTGCGGCCGACAACCCGTTCATTACCCAGCTCCCCAACGTCGAGATTGTTTTCCCCAGGACCTCACGGCCACCCTTTTCGGCCCGGCTCTTCCAACACCAGCTTCAGCCTACGAGCAACCCTGAACACCGAGACGAGAAGAACAAGGAATCTTCCGCGGCATGGCATAGATGGTGACGAACAGGGGGGAACCAATACCTGGGTCGCCGCTACCAGGGTTGGCGGGTCCACACGTACACACCTGGCTCTCGACAGAAGCCCTAGACAAAACCCCTCGAACATATGGAAGTGTGTAGCTGGGCATCCATCGTGGGTTGTTCCAAGCCAGGATGACCTGCCACTCCCAAGCAGTACCACTATGGCAGCGGCTCAGCTCCACCGTGGAAAGGAGGCATGGGGAAGGCGGGAAGGGCCGCTAAAAGGGGGCGTGGAAAAGGGGTTGTGTTCTTGAAGGGACTCGGGACACCAGGACACATTTCAACCCTCCACGACATCTCTTCCAACACCCTGCGGTTGCGTCCAAAACGGTATAGTTGTGCCCAGAGACCACCTGTGTTGGCCAGGTCATGGTCGGAAGAGACCTTCTCGGCTTGTGTGGAGTTGATAACTAGGGCTTGCTCCACCTGCCGACCATGCAATAACCCCTTGTGGTGTAGTTGGCTATCACGTTCGGCTGTAAAGGAATTTATTGATTACCGAAAGGTCACCGGCTCGATTCCGGTCGAGGGGACTTCTTTTTTTCTCGCATGAGCACTGGCCTCGTTCCGTCATCGAGATTCGAATCAGGGGACCTTAGACTGTTGCCAACCACTGTCGGCTTTTGTGGGGGAATTTGATGGGTGGCTAAGGTGACTTACTGCGTACAAGAAGACCCGGGCTTGGCCTTGTTTGGTAACCGCAGCCGTATCTTAGCCCCTGAATAACCAAACTCTCTACGGAGTACAGCAGCTTCCACTGTTACAGATGCATGAGACAACGGGCTTAGTCACGAAGTATGGGAAGCGGGATGTAAAACCTGGAGGTGTCACGGAATAGAGCTGTTGGGTGACTGCAGTCGTGTTTTATTTCAGTTGGCCTCCGCCCACTAAATCCCCAAAGAGCCCCCTTCGATAGCACAAGCATATGTAACTACCTAGGTAGGTATGTAGTATTTCCATCCGGCATTACCACATTGGCCCAACCCGGGGCATGGCAGTGACCAGATTAACCGCAAGCATCGCAGACTGCCTGTGCAGCAGTGAGCACGGCCGGGGCACCTGCAATGCCGCAGCCGTCAATGACGCAAGAGGCGGCGCTGGTCTGGAGTTCGTCGAACTTGCCGCACATGCAGGGGTAGTCAGTGTCCGCACAGCCAACCGCTACGGCAGCCTCGAGGATGCAGGGAGCCTGATCGATGGTTTCCCCACGTTAGCGTGATTCTTGTTTCAAAAGGGCTTCCGCTCGATGAGAACTCCTACGGCGCTGAGAGAAACTTACACCGCAAGCGGGGATGTCCGCCACCTGGGGGCACTCAGCCTGGCGTCTGACGGCGGGGCTGGCGGAAACCACGGCGGCGAGGGTAGCAATGATAAGAGTGGAGAACTGCATTATGGCTGTTGGTTCGAAAGAAGTGTGTTTGATAGACTTGAGGATGCTGTGTATCTGTTGGTGTGTATCTGTCCGTGTGTTGAAGGGAGAAGGGAGGTCTGGGGAAAGGAAAAGGGCAAGTATTTATACTATTCTAAGCTTCATGACATGCTGCCATCAGCAGTTGACGCCAAGGATATTATGCTTTCTCCTTCTGTTTCGTTACCCTCGCCGCCACCCTTTCCCGATCCAACCCCTCACTCTAGTTTCCTTATTTTGTGTCTTGCCGATGCTTGTAGCCAATGGCGTAGTACGCTACATGGCCCATGGAGCTGAGGGCTACCCTACATCAACGTGCGGTGTTCAAGAACTTGCAATGGTGGAGTGGAGGGCCGGGACTTTTGGTCAGGTCCGACACACATCAGATCCCTTCATGCACGGCCTGAGATCCGTATGGGGTACCTGTCCGGAAAAGGCAGGTTTTTACCCCGGATTTTCGTCGATCCATTCTCCTTCGGCACCCGTTGACCTCACACTTCGCGGGGAGAGCCAGGGTACGGGGCTCGGCGCTACACGGCATCGGCTGGGGGTTACATCCAAAATTGGGGAGAGCCCCTTACCGACCTCGCCAACAAATAACATCTGATCAGGCCGTGTTTGCCCGCCGAGGTATGCAACTATGGCCTCCCATGTGAAGCTCAGTTCTGACATTGGACCGTGTACAATCGTCTCCAAACCCCACCAACCTCCTGGGGTAGGTAACATCCGTCAAACTCGAGCCCCTTTCATGTAATTTATCTCCCGAGCCAACCGGAGGGTTTACACACAGTTCTCCCTCCAATGTATGGCGTCGCCTCGGACTTACTCATACCCACAAACTAGAACCTGGAAGGTAACTGAACCGAAACTTGGGTCACACGAACGTCACACCGTGCGTTGTAGGTGTTGAGCTGTCAAATTGAACAGGGGCGTCTCGGGGCGGGAGACAGAGGGAGCTCTTAGCTTGGACGAATGACAACATTGAGTGGTAATATTGCAACACCTCGCGGCCGACGATCGGCTGAGCCTCGGGCCTTCCAATATTGCTGTGATTATTGTGTATCGATGTGGGATTAGTTGCTTAAGGTAGGTAGGTGGCACAGTGGCACGGTGACAAAGGTAACAATTAATGAGAACTGCTGATGTCACCCTCGTAGGAGTTGCGTTGCCGAGAAAGAAATTGAATGCATGTGAGAAACCATTGGAGACATCCGGTCATGGGACAACACCAAACTGGTTGAACACATGGTATGTAGGTAGTTGGTTCTTTACCGACGGCCCCGACTTCCTCCGGCCATCAATCATGGTGCCCCTCGTAGTGCGAGGACTGTACGGATTTACCTGCCTCTCAGCGCAACGGGACATGGACAGCCTTCTAATGAACCGTGCCACTTCAGAATCCTCCAAACCAGCTCTGTTAACCCCTGAACTACTCCCCTCAGGTTGATCTAATACATGTCAACCAAGCTCCTCCAAGGTGAAGACATTCACCCAGCCAAATGCCAAATCCGCAATCGTCCACACCATATCGCCATCCCGCCCCATAACAGCCACCCACGGCGCGGCGTCGGAAAACACCGACCCCGCCCCAACCCCTGACGTCCTGACATCCCACACCGGACGATTAGCATCGTACAGCACAAAGTTCCCATCCCCACCAAAGCCCAACTCGCACAAGGACCCGTCGGCCCCGCACGCGGCCGAGTGCCTACTGCTCGCCCACCTGACCGCCCACTCGGCACCAGTGGTGACGAGACCGACCAGGTTCCCGTCGGCCCGCAGCCGCGTGACCAGCGCCGTCTTGCCGCCCAGCGACAATGACCTGGGTATGACGGACTATTGGGTTGGTAGAGGGGGTGGGTGGCGGGGCCAGTTGCTCGTGTTGACGGGGATGGAGTGGAGGCGAAGTCGGGTTGGAGGGTGAGCGGGGGGCTGCCGGCGCCGGGCTCGTAGACGATGAGTTGGGTGTTGGTGTTGAAGATGGATTGTTGCTGTGCGCCGCAGGAAGAGGCGTCGGCGAAGTTGGCGCTGGGGCTGTGGGTTTGGAATATGTCGTCGTCGGTTACCTGGTAGATGGGTCACACGGCTATCTCAATTTGGCCTCGGTCTCTTCTAAGCCTGGGATTTTACTAGGGCCGGAAGCACTTGCAGCGAGCCCGTTCTCCCACCCGTTGATGACGATGGAGAAGCCAATGTAACCATGTTGATGGCCCCAAATCCACGTTACGTGGTGGATGATGTGAGATTACCTACCTTACTCAACCCATCAACCTACAAAACATTGCCGTTCTCATCAACGCCCTCTTCCCCGCACGGCCCGACCGCGTTGAATGTAATGGCCGCCTTACGGCACGGATTGTCGTCCTGGCCGAAGGCGATCTGGTGGAGACAGCTCCGGCAGCGTGTGTTCTTGATCACTGCATGGGATACTGTCTGCTACCGAACCGGACGACAACTGACAGTATTCGCGGCCTTGTCGTGGCTTTCTACAGGGTGCCTGGTCAGACTTCGAGGAATAGCAGCACCCTCAACCCAGTGGTTGGTGCGCAGGCGGCGATGGCTGCCCGAAGCGAACCGTTGGCTTGGTGGGCGATTAATATGGTACTGTTGGGGGAGGCCATCCCAACAACGCAACAAGCTGCGCGGGAAGCCAGTGCCCACGCCGACCTCGAGCACTTTTATGTGGGAAAGGCTGAAGGCCAGTTGGCTTGCAACTAGAGTTGCCATGCGAGCCGGCTGCTCCTTGGGAAGGGACATCTCTGGGAGTTCCCGGGGTAGCCGCTCTAGTAGGCCATGCTCCCGGAGCACATCGAGGATCGTATCCCGAATCGGTGTTGGCCTGGTTGCCCGAGTCTTGGTAGCGAAGTGGCGGGGTGGCTGTGTTGCATGTTGGCTCTGTACAGTTCAACCCTGGTTTGTTTGTTAGCGCGTCCGATCTGACAGGGGTCCCGGTTCAAAAGTTGAAAAACCCTACCTTGACAGCCCAACAACGGTTTAAAATGGAGGAAACTGTGATAAATAGAATGTTTTATGAAGACAATTCTAGTCAAGGCCTTTTTTCTGTTGAAAAAGGCGCGGTTTTGCCGTTGAGTTGGAGATTTTGGCATGGACCCCGGTCTTGAAGTCACGGGCTAACGAACAAACCAGGGGGGGACTGTACATACATTTAGTGTGAAAGGTAAGGTACCGAATCTCTGAATCTCACTCCGCCCCGTCGGGTGTCCGAATCCTTCTTTAAATCTCACTCAGCGGGGTAACTCCACGTGTACCTAATCTCCCTGTAATCCGTGGGTACTTCGTATTAATTAACTCGTTGTCAACATCTGTCGTGTGAAGACTGAAGACCGAGGACTCAACTCCTCGTGCATCCATCTCTTGCCAAATCCACTCCTACCCTATCTTCCCTTCGGTACCTACTTTACCGACCTTGCCCGCCTGGAGCCTCTCAATTGCAAAATGGTCGCGGCGTTGCAACAACCAATCTTCCCTTCCGCCTCGTCCGTCCCCAAGAGCCGTAGTGAGGCACCCAGGGTTGTTCTTTATTCAGTAACTAAGCGCCCAATCCTAACATTTATTTGCATGAGGGTGCTACGGCACTGCGTACCTCGGTACATGTAAACACTAAAACAGTAAATTAACAAGGTGGCAGGCATTCCGTGATAATTTCCATCTGACAACATGGGTTGCCCTCGGTGCACTCGTGCAGGGCATCGCCTGTCTTGTCCTGCCCGCCCGCCATGCTCTGCTGCCAATCGTCTTCTTGCTGCTGCAACGGTTGGTGCGCACAATCATGATGGCAAATAGCATCATCCCAGACACGCAAATGGACGGTGTCATGATGGGCAAGTTCACGGCTCAGATCCCCGGCACCGACGGCTGCCCACCGACGCAGCCTGCCGAGCAAGATATTGTCGTCATCCTCCTCGCCACACGATCAAACCAGTGAGTAACTCCCTACCTGGTGCACCGGCAGTGGGACGTACAATTAGCTACCTTTGGGGGCAGAAGCTGACCGTAGCACTGTTATATGCAGCCCTCTGGGACTCCTCGCCAAAGGCTATCGCGATATGGGAGTTCACATGAAGGCCATGCTCACAGAATTACACGAGGACGGGGAGCAGTACGGGTGTAAGCACGCTAGACCGTCGGGTACGCTTCTATGACTAACTAGGCTCTGACAGTCCTGGGACAAACATCATGGGTATCAACGAACGAGCGCTATAGCAACAACCAAACCATGATCCTCTGCTACTTTCGGTCTATCGAGGGCCTGCACGCCTTCGCTCATGGGCCCATCCACCGCAAGGCATGGTAAGTAATCATCCCCTTGATGCTACGACATGGCCTTAAGGAACGCTAACATTCTGCTCGAGGGACTGGTGGAATACCATCACCAAAACGCACCCTTACCTGAGCATCATGCACGAGGTCTACCACGCACCCAAGGGGCACTGGGAAAACATCTACATCAATAACCATCTCACCGGGCTTGGTATGCATCTCCAGTGACTGACCTTCCTCTGTCTGCATGCTGACAATAGGCCGGTACTAGCGAATACCACGGCGAGGATGACGGTAGATGGCCAAGCCACCAGGCCCCTCTTCGACGCACGTCGAGGGGGCCTCCGAACACAACTCGGGCGTTTGGGACGTTCGGATGGGGCCGAGGATGAGCAGTATGGCGAGAACTCGTACTAAAATGGCTGACCAACCCAAAATCTGGGACTGGCTTCGGTGCCCAAGTGGTGTCGTGTCATTGGGCTCGGGAATGGTTAGTGCGCTCCAGGAGCCCAGTCCACCGTGGCTAGCTCATAAGTGGGAAACGCTAAGTACCTTATGTTGGGATGTGGCATGCCCCCTGAGCCGTTGTCGATGGAAACGATGATTAGGTTATAACTATGATCAGTGTTTCGCAACGGCGGAAGCGTTGTTGTGTTCTTCAACGTACAATTGCTCTGCTCATCTCGCTCGCATCGACTTTAAGTTTAAAGGAATCTTGCTAGGAAATCGTGCCAGGAGGGTTTTATGATTCCATCTCGCAGCCGTTGTCCATAAAACCGCCATAGTCAAACTGTCAAGCTTCATCGGTCAAACCGGTCGTCCTCCAACCCTTGCGACTTGCTTCAATGGACCAGCTGGTTAGGTACCTGGACCCACGGCATATAATCACACACCGTAATTGCAGCGAGTTATCCGAAGTTGCGATCAATGATCGACGCCCAAACTAGACTTGTCGATCAATCATCTCGTGGACGACCATTTCCTATCCAGTAAGGTTTTGCCATCGCTGAAAACAGGGTTCGTCTGAGACAGGACAAGCATTCGAGTCTCTCACGACGATCCTCTGGTCGATGCAGCCGACTTGTGATTCACCCACTTGGCCTCCGGGTCCCGCTGGGAAACTGCACATGTCTGGTGCTCACGGCACCATTCCACTGCAAGCGTGAGTTACGATTACACGTGGCACATCCATCTTTTGTGTTCCCCAGAAGAAGTTGAAATCCAAGCATCGGTACGAAGTATGACCTAGCTCTAGGTGACATTCGGAATCACAGCAACTGGCCATCCATAATGGAGGCGTCATCAAGTTCAGCGTCAGAACCGTTGCTGGTTCCCAGCTTCGCCGCCTTGATCCTGGCTCATCTTCTTGGGGTTCCCGCCGCTCTCGGGATTGGGAAGCGCCTTTCTCGCCGTGGGACCCTCAAATACCACCGGCCCGATAGTTATTACTCGGACGAGGATGGCGAGGCAAGCGACGAGTCGTCCCGGTGTTTCTCGAGCAAGTGGCAGAGTGTGACGCTTGTCATTTCGTCCGTTATCGGACTGGTTGCCTCTCTCGCTCTGCTGCTGTCTTCCTCACGAGCAAATGGCCATCAGATGGCGTCCTTGGCCGCGCAAAGTGGCATCTGGGTGAGTTAATCGAGATGCTCCAACCGGGTGTGTGAGGCCGCGAGTCCGGGCTAACGAATAATGTAGACTTCCGTTGCCCTTCAAGCCGCGGCTTTATATATCGAACGTTGGCCGACGGAGCGTTTCAGGCTGAGCAACTACGTCCTTTGGACCGCCGTGTTGACGTTGTTTTCCCCAGCGTTGAGCATCGTCAGCCTTGTCGTCCTCGGCGATGCGGCAACACGAGGGAGGAGTATGACGCTGCAGGTGCCAGTGGCCGCACAAGTGGCCGCAGCGTTGATTTGTATCGTCTGCAGCTCGCTGATTCCGAGACGTCCGGACGTGTTTCACAACGGGAGGCGCGTGGACAGACAAGCCACCACCTCCGCCTTTGGTAACCTCAGCTTCGGATGGGCAGCCGATCTTTTGGGGCAAGTCGCACGGAATCCCGACTTGGGGCTCCAAGACCTCCCCGAAGTTTCGCATGCTGCGCGGTCCGACGTGCTCCTCGCTCGCCTCGAGCAACAGCGGGCCAAGGGACGAGCGACTCTCTGGCGACTCCTCCTGGCAACGCACCGGGGCCCCCTCCTCCGTCAGACGATTCTCGGGGTTGCGTCTGCGCTTGTAAGCTTTGGACCGCAGGTTGCCCTATTTGGCCTTCTGAGGGGGTTGGAAGGCGGAGATGGGGGTGCCCGGACGGGTCCAGGCAGTGGTCTGCTATCACCGTGGCTTTGGGTTCTCGCATTGGCAGTCGCCATGGTTCTAGACTCAGTACTTGGTGCCAGGCTTTCATGGATGGCCCAATCCGAGGCGGGCATACCTGTCCAAGCCGAGCTCGTCGGCATGATCTTTGCAAAGTCCATGAGGCTGAGAGACTCGGCCCAGTCGTCGCAGCCGCAGAGCAATGTGGACGAAGGCAAGGGACAACGGGGCACCGGGCAGCGCAGCGTGGTCAACTTGGCCGCCGTTGATGCGCGACGTATAGCCGAGTTCGCCTCGTCGCAATATATGGTCCCCGATTCCCTTACCCGGCTGCTGGTTGCGTGTGGCCTCCTGTTTCGCCTCCTTGGCCTGAAGAGCCTGTTGGCAGGTTTGGGGGTTACCATTCTCGTCGCTCCTTTAAACAGTTTTCTCACAAGAGGATTGGGCCGAATTCAGGGCAATGTCATGACTGCGACAGATCGTCGGACCTCCGCCTTGGCCGAGTGCCTCCAAGGGATTCGCCAGGTGAAGTTCTCAGCGCTCGAAAGCCAGTGGGAGTCACGGATTCTCGCTCAGCGAGAGGGGGAGCTTGCGTCGCTTTCGACCGCCGTGAAGTATCGCGTGGCCCTCATCTCGGTGTGGGTGTTCTCCCCCATCATCGTGTCCGCCGTCTCGCTCACCGTGTACTCTTTGATACACGGGGACTTGACGGCCGCGGTTGCCTTTACAGCCATGTCCATTTTTGCCAACCTCGGCACTGCCTTGTTCAGTATGCCGGATCTCTTGGCCAAGGCAACCGGTGCGGCAGTTGGCGTCCGTCGCATCCAGACCTTCTTGAAGTCTCCCGAAAAGAAGAACACGGCCACCGCAGGTGTCGTGCATCCCATTTGCCTCCGAGATGCTACCATTTCGTGGCCAACCTCGGATGATGCAAAGCCTCGTTTAGATCGGTTCCTTCTCAGGCGCGTCAACCTGACCTTCCCGCCACGGGGCCTGACTCTGATCGCAGGCAGGACTGGTAGCGGGAAGACGCTCCTCTTGACGTCGGTCCTTGGCGATTGCAACATCGTGTCCGGTACCGTGAGCGTCCCCTCGCCGCCAACGGCAGCGGACCGACACGACGAGCTCGCCAGCCCCGCAGACTGGCTTCTCGACACGGCACAGGCCTATGTCTCGCAGAACCCTTGGATCGAGAACGGTACGGTGAAGACAAACATCCTCATGGGCCTCCCACACTTCGAATCACGTTATCGCCAGGTCCTATTCGCGACCAGTCTCGAAAAGGATCTGAACATGTTCCCTGACGGCGACCTCACCGACATCGGGGCCAACGGGGTGAACCTCAGCGGCGGCCAGAAGTGGCGGATAGCGTTTGCCCGCGCCTTATATTCCCGTGCTGGGACGCTCGTAATCGACGACATCTTTAGCGCCCTGGACGCACACACCAGCCGCCACGTCTTCGAGCATGGACTCGTGGGGGAGATTGCAAACGGGCGGACCAGAATTCTGGCAACCCATCACATCGGCCTTTGTCTTGGGCACGCCGATTATTGCGTGGTACTCGAGCAGGGACATGTCCAACACGCGGGTAGCGCCGAGACACTTGTCAAGGCGGACCTGTGTTCCCATCTTGGCTTGTCGCGCGATGACAAGGGCCGAGATCAGAAGTCGCGCTATCGACGTGACGGACCTAGTGACGCCACAGGCCATAGGAGAAGCGCCACGACTTCCACCAAGTTTGTCCAGGATGAAGGACGAGCAACGGGATCCATGTCCTGGGCGCTGTATGGAAACTATATTGGGAGAAGCAGGAGAGCCTTCCTATGGGCTCTTGTCCTCCTCGCCTCTGTTGCATATACCTTTTTCGTCATTGCCCGTGTAAGTCTATTCCTTCCGGCATCTCACCCCTTTTACGAGGTTGACTCTCTGACTTTCTATTTAGTCCTTGTGGATGGCTTTGTGGACGGGATCGAATGCCGCCAACCGACAGCCCGAGCACCATGCGTCATTTGTTTCAAGTCAACGCCCCCCTTCTCCTCCTCCCTCGGACCTGACTAACTCCAATTCCTCGACCCATCAGTTGGATAAGCATATCTCCTGGTACATCAGCATCTACGTGGGAATATCGATTGCTACTTGTATCATGGGCACAGTTCGGGTCATGCTCCTCTACTACGCCGCTCTTAGCTCGTCCAAAGGCTTGTTCGAGGACCTACTCTACACGGTCCTCCGGGCGCCGATGAGGTGGTTCGACAGGGTCCCACAAGGCCGAATCATGAATCGGTTTGTTGCAGACATGTCGCTCCTCGATAGCAGGCTCGGCCTCGATCTTCTGGTCAGTGTAGGAAGGTCCCTGGAGATGGTGGGAGTCGCAGTCACGGCGGTGGTCGTCTGCCCGGTGCTGGTGCCTCCGGCCATTGCTTTCCTGGCAATCTGCGCCTATCTAGGATCCGTCTACCTCGCGGGAGCTCGCGAGATAAAGCGGCTGGAAAGCGTCGCGAGCAGCCCCATTCTTGAACAGTTCGGGTCCTGCACCAGGGGCCTGGCGACCATCCGGGCCTTCGGCTTGGTCGAGAAGTACGTCCGACTGATGCACGCAAAGGTAGACGACCGTTCTAGGGCATCTTGGAACCTCTGGCTATTGAACAGCTGGATGACGCTTCGCCTGACCCTTCTTGTCGCCCTCTTCTCAACCGTGACGGCGAGCGTCGTCGTCGTGCGCATGGAGAGCATCCCGGCCTCGGCAGCGGGCTTGATCTTGACCCTCGTCTTCCGCTATAACTCCCTGATGGTAACCGCTATCAAGCAGTGTGCAAACTTGGAGATGGATATGAACGCGGCCGAGCGCGTTGTCGAGTATGCCGGCGTGGCGACCGAGACCCAAGGGGGAAAAGAGGCCCCGGCAGCGTGGCCAACCGAGGGCCGCCTGGAGGTGGAGGACTTGGTCGTCGGTTATGCTCCGGAACTCGCCCCTTCGCTGAACGGACTGTCCTTCACTATCCTCCCCAACCAACGAGTCGGCATCGTGGGGCGCACCGGGGCCGGCAAGTCGACGTTGGCGTTGGCCCTATTCCGCGTCCTCGAGGCACGCAGCGGATGTGTCCGCGTCGACGGCGTCGACATCTCCACAATCAGACTGCACAACCTGCGCAGCAAGCTTGCCGTAATCCCACAGGACCCCGTCCTGTTTTCAGGTAGCTTGCGGGCCAACTTGGACACGTTCGGCGAACATGACGACGTGCGGTTATACGAAGCGCTAGAACAGGTATCCCTGGTACGGCCAACGGAGGAACAGGAAGAGAAGGGTGTGTTTCCGGCCCTATCTACTCCCGTATCAGCGGGTGGCCATAACCTTTCCCAGGGCCAGCGGCAGCTCATCTGCCTGGCCCGAGCCGCACTATCGCGGTCTAAGATCCTGGTACTGGACGAGGCGACATCAGCCATCGACATGGAGACAGATGCCTTGATCCAAAAATCGTTACGGTCCCAATTTGGCGGCAACTCGACAACCATGTTGGTTGTTGCCCATCGTCTCAGCACCGTCGCCGATTTTGACTCCATCATCGTGATGGACGCAGGGAAAGTGGTCGAGTTTGGCAGTCCACGGACACTGATGGGAATTTGTGGCGGCAGTTTTAGGAGTCTGGTTGAGAACAGCGGTGAAAAGGAACGGTTGCAGCAATTGATTTTCGAATCTCGCCCAGAGGGGCTGGGACTGAAGTGACCTAGCGGTGGGAAATACGTATAGTTTATCTTGTAGTACAAATATCTATGGACCAACTTTCTTCTTCATATCTACCTAGGTCCCTCGCGCGTAACAAACCCAGACTCATGACATCTAGAACCCCTACGAATTAACTCGACGCAATGGTGTACGAGGCAAGCCCGAGCTGCGGGTGTTTCCGCATATACTCCGTTGCCGCATACTCCAACTCCCGCTTTAAGACTTTCCCAGTGACCGTCAAGGGCCAACTCTTCATGCCGAGCTGCTCAAGTGTCAAAACTGTACCCAGGCAATAGCTGGAGCCTACAGCATTGCTGAAATATTCCCTCATATCGCCCTGACTGGTCCCTTCGGGGAGGCGGTCGACAATGGGGTAGGGCACCTCGCCGTTCATTGGAGAGGGGAGCCCGATTACTTGTGTCTTTTGGCAGTTATTAGCATGCGTCACGACAAAGGAGGAACAGGCCTCGCGAAGAGAGGGTAGGATAGGAACATACCTGGACATTGAATCCGGTGCTGAGACAGGACTCGATCATGTGCGGCTGGATGATGCCAGTCACATTCTTGATGAGATCTTTCTTACGGCCCACGACATAGACATATCCGGCCTTGTCAATCACACCAATGTCGCCCGTCTTGAACCAGCGGCCAAACCCATCCTCATAAAAGCTCTCACTGCCACCCTTATCGCCCGGGCGCATGTGAAAGTACCTTTCAATTGTGGCGTCGCTGCCAACATGCAGCTCCCCCGCCTCACCTAGCCCAGCGACAAGCCCCTTCTCATTGACAACCCTGACCCTGGTCCCAGGCATCGGGATCCCGCACGAGGCGACGCCGTCGTGATCGGGGACGGGGTTAGGAACACCGCCGGGCCATCCGAACAAGCCTGTCACCTCGGACATGCCGTATCTAGACGTGACGACGGTACCGGGGAGCACCTCGTGAGCCTTGTTCACAAAGTCCTTCGTGACGAGCTCCCCGGAAAGACCAACACACCGTCGAGAAGCGACCTTTTCGACCGAGAAATCGCGGTTCTCCAACAGTATGCTAAGCTGCGTCCGCATCATGTTGATATCGGTGATCCGACAGGTCTCCATGGCGCGGATGACGGCGGTCCACGAAAAGTCGGGGCTGGGCAGGACGGCAGTGTTGCCGCTGTTCCAGAGGAGATACGGCGCCGTCGATGCCAGCGAGGCGAAATTCCCCCCAAGGACGACCCCGACCGTAGAGCCAGGGCGAGGGTCCCTCATGGTTGCCGTGCTGGCGGCGAGGTTCTTGACCGTCTTGGCCACGCCCTTGGCCGCCCCGGACGAGCCGCTCGTGAAGAAGATCTGCACCACGCGGTCGAGGCGGTCATCCACCGCGGAGGCATCCACGGTGCTCTCGCTGTCGGTAAAGGACATCTCGGCGACATCTGCCAGGCTAACCCACCCAGGCCGTGGCTCGCTCAGGCGCGACAGGCACAGGCCCAGAAAAGAGCGCGGTGCCTCCCCGGTCGTGCTCGCTGACTGGACGACCGCCCTGGCATCGTCGGCGAGCCGAGCGGCGGCTTCGTCTTGCACGACAACGACGGCAGGCATCATGTCGAAGGAAGCGCGGAGGTCTGCCTCGCTTTCGGGCAGCCGGAGGACGTGCGCCATCTGGTTGACGACGGTGAGGCATCGCAGAGTGTGGGACTCGCGATAGTAGAGTCGGTGGGAAAACGTGTGTGGAATGTTGTGTGTGGGAGGAAAAGCTAGCTAGCCCTGCCACTACGGGAGGATGTGGGCGGTTGCCCTGTACGTGAGGTGGGCCAGGGAAGGCCCCACCTCTCACACCCCTCTACAAACGGCTACATACCTCCTCCCAACTACTGAATATAGAAGTCTAGATAGTTTATATGGTATTAAGGCTCTACGCCTCCCTCAATGGATCCCGTAATACCTCAGTCCTTCTACGGAACCTCCTATAATATTATCCCCAATATCTTGACGAACTGTATATATATCTTATACTCTAATAGTTTCGTTAATCTATCGGCAACTATATTCGTTCTTTTAATATAGTTAACGGTAAATCGTCCCTCTTTAACCTTCTCGATAATCTACTTATATCGAATATTAAGATATCTTATTTATACTATATTTAACGGGTTTATTACCGTTATCCGGGTGTTCTTACTATCAGTTATTACTATATATGGTACCGGCTGTTCGGTACTGTAATCCTTTAGTATCTTGGCTACCTATTGCGTTGCTAAAGCGGTAGGGGTAAGGTTTACAAATTCAGCCTCTATTGTATTTAGGGTAATGAAGGTTTACTTTTTTGTTTTCTATAGTACTAGGCCTCCTATAACGAAGACGATATAGCTGTTAGTTAACTATTATTTAAGTAAATTGTTAGTGAAGGAGGTATTAGTAAATGCCTTTATTATTAAATTGTTAATTGTTATTGATCTGTTAAGTTCGATCCTAAGTGCGATAGTTCCGTTTAAATAATGGTAAAGATGCTGGAGAAGCGAGATATACTCCTCCGAAAGACCGTTATTAGCTTTATATAATTACAATACAGTATATATAATATTAGGGTATGAACCAATCGTTAGTTAGTTAAGGCTTCCTATCTTTTATTAATAAGGTGTCTTTTCGTTATTAAGTGGCTCCTATAAATGTAGAAGTTTGAAGTATAGGCGCTATAGGGTTTGTATAGGATTGAGGTTGTTGATACTGTATTGTTTAAGTATCGCCTGTAAGTATGTTTCCTATAATAAGAAGATCTTCCTCTATTATTAGTTATAAACGATATTAAAGCTGAGGAAACGTTTAACTTCGCCTAGTTCCTTTATATTGAAACGAGCCTTTAGCCTGTTATATATAGTATTAATAATATCGATAGTTGGTACCGAGATTAAGATATCGTCTACGTAGAGGATAACTAAGGCGCTGTTTTCTTTATAGTAAAAGAGATAGAGGTTAGAGGGCATTAACTTATATCCTAACAACTCTATAACTGGCTTTAATATTGTAAACTAGTATAGTGGACTTTATCTTAAACTGTAGAGAGCTTTCTTTAGTCTATAAACTTTGCCCGGGGGCTTCCTGTCACGGATATGCCAACATGTGGGGCCCAAGGCACGGGACGCCCCGGGCCAGTCAAACCAATCAGGGATGCAGCAGGGTGATCAGTGAGCTCAGTCGCCAAGCAGACTGAGCACAGTGAGCACCGCGATCCCAATCACCAATCAGGATGAACAGGACGTTCTAAGTGATCAGTGTGATCAGTGTTCAGAGGAACTGAGCACACTGAGCACTCAAGAATTAGACAGGTATATAGTCACTCGTCCTGGAGAGCTCTGGGAGTTCTCCAGTTAGCAATCACAACTACAGTTCGCTACAAGCTCGAGAGCCTACTGTTGAGACAAGTCTTTGTTGTGCACCCTTTGGCTGCACCGAACCTACGCACCCTTGAGAGAATACCTTCGACCGATACTGAACCCTAACAGGACGGGTCCAGAGACAGGTTCGTCACACGTTGCTAACTCCCTTTGATCTGTTACAGTTCAGGCTCGAAGGTAAAACGACATGGCAACTCAACCGACGCCGGGCCAGATCACGGCCGCGCTTCAGAGAGTCACCGAACGACTCGACGAAACTGAAGAAGAGCTTGCGAAGACCAAGGCCAGCAACGCGGCATTGGCAGCCCGACTTGCGGCGACCGAGGTCCACACCAAGGACCCGGCCAAGACGAAGGTCAAATTGGAGCAACCCGAGAAGTACGGGGGCGACCAGGAAGCCTTGCCAGGTTGGATCACGGAGATGCGGAACTATCTCGACCACAACTCGCACCAGTTCGCCACTGAGGAATCCAAGACCAGATACGCCGCCACCCGACTCAAGGACAAGGCCCTCAAGTGGTTCACGGGAACACTGAGTGATTTCCTCGGCGGAGCAATCCACAAACCCTTCACCAAAAAGGTCTTCGAGAACTACTCCGAGTTCGAGAGTGAGATTCAGAAGGTGTTCGGCGACAAGGACGAGAAGTTGCACGCCCAGGAACGGCTAGGACGGCTGAAGCAGACTAGGTCAGCCACCGCCTACGCCACGATTTTCCGACAAGACTCCATGAAGGCAGAGATAGACGACGAGGGGCTGATGCACCTGTTCTACGGAGGACTGAAGGAGGAGGTCAAGGACGAGCTCTACAAGGAGAGCCGACCTGACACGCTCGACGAGTACATCGCCATGGCTGTCAAGATTGACGACCGACAGTTCGCCCGCAAACAACAGAAGAAGGGCAGCGAGACTCAGCGATCCGCAGGCTACCACAAACCCAACGACAAAAAGAAACGCCAGCACCAGAGCACGTCGTACGGCACTCACTCGGGACCCATGGACGTCAGCGCTGCCCAGGCACAATGGGCAGGAAAGAGAGATGGTGCCAAGGACAAATCAGGCATCACTTGCTACAATTGCGGCAAGAAGGGTCACTTCAAACGCGACTGCCGCAGCAAGAAAGAGTGGAGACCGGTTCCAGGGAAGGAAGCTGCCACCATCGACCAAAACACGGTCGGAAGAAGAACCCGGTTTCTGGAGGTCGCAGCCGCCAGCTACACGCAGGACGACCTCGAAATCGACATTGACCGAGTCATCGAGCAGGACGATGAACTCACCGACTCGGATCAAGAAGACTTGATGAGCAGCAACCACCAGGAGGGAAATGACACCGCCCATCACGCTTTCATCGAAACGGATGACGAGGGAGAACTGGCTCCCCCGCGGCACATCCGACAAGTCGCTGAGGACTGGGGCATCACCCTGGTTCAGCAAGAGGACGGGCAATGGCGAACCCACGAGGGTGAAGGAGGAGTCAGCCCGAACCTCATTTTTCTGCAACAGAAGGTCCTAAGCCAACGGCAAAGGATCGAGGAGTTGTCAAGAGAGAAAGAAGAACTCGAGCAACTTCTCCAGAGAAGGAACGACCAGTACGGACGACTTTGCGCGGAACTCGATTTCGCCAGGGAACGAGTCCAAGAGATCACCGAGGCCAACAACAGGGCCGGGGATCACGTCGAAAAGACATTAAGAGAGGCACAGGCCTTGCAGGACGACATCCGCCAGGCACTTCCGCACCACACACCGTGGGATGGACCCACCGAAGAGGCGGAAGGATACGAAAACGGAGTACGATACCCCGAGCAACTTTTCGACTACGCACAGGAACAGAATGCGGCGAAAGGAAGAAAACAGCAGAGCTGGGAAGAATACTGGACGCGACATCAGCACATCGTGCGCGCCGGGACGACAAACCTCCGACCTTGAATGGTGGGGTTTCCGGGGCGAGAACAACACGGAGGGATTCCAGTTGTTATCAGAAGACCACGAGCGGGTGGACCCACGAAAAGAAAGTCACATCTACCTGCCCTGGTTCCAGTGCTATCGCGCACGAATGTCGGTACCACTTCCAGGACAAATTTCGCAACAGTTTCTGGCCCACAAGAGGAAGAAAAGGGGAATGCAACCCCTACCCATCAGATGGGTATACGACAGCGGCGACGCTCCCGCAGGCATGTTGTGGGACACCCAACGCACTCACGAGGGCAGGCTGAGGGTTAAACCCAAGGCAGCCTGGCCCCGACGCTGTATGGCGGGCGTAGGAGTCAACGAATGCCGAAGCGCAGACTGCCTATCCACACGCCGACGAGAAAATCTGGGGATACATGGAACAGCAATCCCAGAGGAAGCCACACCAGAGGACGAGAGCGTCCCGAAGGAACGAGAGGCGCCCAGTTGAGGCATGGGCGGCCCAATGGCTCCAAGAACACCAGACGATTGACGCCGCAAGCCAAGGTGCGGACAGGGACGCCTTGAAACACCACGAGAGCTTGGGAAACGGCTCAGGGCCCTCCGAGGGGCCCGGAAACCTCTAACTCCACAACAACGGAGACAGGCTGCGCAGTACAGGAAGAACTGGCGTAAACAAAAGCCTTACAACGACCTCCCAGCAGACGAACACGAAGTAGCTGCTGTACGAAGCACCAAGCCAGACAACAGGCTCTGGATCACAGCGCGATGGGGGAAATTCGAAGGCCCTCGCGTTAGTGGATGGAGGAGCGCAGATGGACCTCATTGCGCCCACATTTGTGAATCAACTCAGGATCCCATGGAGGATCAAGAAGCAACCACACGTCGTCAAAGGACCATTCGACACGCAATGGGTACGACGAGAAACAGAACCACTCGACATCGAGGTGGAAGGGAAAACCACCCAAGTGGTGTTCGACATCGTGAACATGGGACCAGAGAAAGACATGATTCTCGGGCGCCCATGGCATGAGGATTACGACCCAGACATCAGTTGGAAGGGAGATGGCCATCTGCGACCGCGGGAACAGCGGGAGCATCCGACCAACTCGATGGGAGAACGCGCAGAACAGGAGCCACGGGAGAGCAGCGGGTCAGAACGAACCCCCTCTACGGGCCCACCGCAGGAAGCAGCCAGTGCAGAACCACGCACTCTGGAGTCCGGAAGAAGCGGCACACGACGAAAGAAGCAGGCACGGGAGGAACGAACCATCGCCGTCGTCTCAGTCGACGAGCACGGAATGCTCAAACACGAACAATGGGTCAATCAGCTCGAAGCGGCAAGCATCGAGCTGGCAGCA